TTGGTCCAGTTATGTGACTGCCGCCGTGTTTTCGTACAACACTACCGTACATTCCACCACGAAGATGACGCCGTTTTTTCTTATGTTCGGTCGAAAAGCTCGTCTACCGGTTGACGCCATTGTCGAAGGCATTGCACCAGCCAAGTTCTCCACCTACTCCGAACATGTGCAGCGTTTCGCGGATAGAATGGCCCACATCTACGAAGAGACCAAAATACGAATTTCCGCCATGCACGAGAAGTCCAGCGACCGTCACGACCGGAAATGTAATCCCGCAACGTACCGCGAAAACGACTTGGTTTTGTTGGAATCTTGGCACAAGCCACCGGTGCTGTCGAAAAAACTGCTTGCAAAGTACCATGGACCATACCGAATAACCGCCGTGTTGAAAGATAACTCATACTCGATTGTCCACGTTCAGACCAACGAACGAATGCAAAAGGTCAGTGGAGCCAGTCTGAAGCCATTTTACGAGAGAAAGATGCCGCGGCTGTGGTATGGCCAACCGCCCCAAGAGTATGATATCGACTGCCCGTTTCCCACCATTAAAGAACCGGATTACGGTATTCCGAATGCGTTACCGGTAATATCAGAACAAGTCGCACCGATATCACCTCCACAGTGTGATGACGACCACGGGATACCACCACCGTTACCATTGGCCGATATCTTACCGTTTGGATTTAGCGAAATTCCTGCATCGGAAATCCACCAGCAGATTCCAAGTGATCACGCCGTACGAAAGCGCCGCCAGCGAAAACCGAAAAAGATGTCCATTATTTCGGGAACCATTCCATCTCTGGAAAGCCCCGAAATCAACGTTGATCAGCAAGTTCAAAACGTTACAGTTAATTCCGTATTTCCTTTGATTTTATCCACATCCACCACATCCAGTGAAAACCCTTTGAAAAGTGCCATCCCGACACTACCGATCCTTTGTTTGGCTATGAAGGCCGATTTCCCGCCGTACGGATGCCGCACATCAAAGGCGCCGACCAGTGGAATTCCCCAACCCAATGCCGCGCCAATCGCATGCGAGCACAGAGAGGCTAACCAGTATAAAACACTCAATGCACATTGCATTTACCGTCCAGTGATGCAGTCAGCAGTTAGTAGTCCAGCAGTTAACAAGAGTGTGTATTCCGAATTGCCACCGGACATTTCCCGAACTTTACCGTATCCTCACCTGATTACGCCGATATCAGCCAATCCGCTGATCATGGATCGCCAACCAAAGCGTTTTGCACCCGATTATGGCGGCGAAGAAGGCGAATACAACCTTTCTTACGGACAGCCATCCCGCAGTGATCACCAGGCGGCGGCCGCCAGAAATGCATCCCGCTGGGAGTTTCTTCGTCCGACTACTGCCTACGGGGATATTGACGGTGACATCATGCCGTCCTTCTCGCCCACGCGCCACCGACCGATCCTTGCTCCAACCCCACCTGCAGGCTCTTCGCGGACCTGTTTCTGTTGTGGACAGACAGGGCATGTGCAGGCCAAATGTCCCAAGAATCCGGTAGTGCAATTAGCGGCAGAACTGTCGGAGCTCAAGCGCAAGGTTAGTGTCAAAGCGCGCCCGTGTGCCTCGAGCGCTGACAACGAAACATTTGCCCGCCGCCTTACCGACATCCACGGCCTTATGGAACAGTACCATGCCGACGTCATGCAGGCCATACAGCCCAAGACGCCAGCGGAAGGATACCGTTTTGGCCTCGGAGACCAGGTGGTGCTGAACATGTCCGACGTGTACTCCAAACCCCGCCCGGGACGCCGGTTCATCGTTATCGACCGCGGATTTACAGGCAGTCCAGATGAGCAGCCCACCTACACCTTGGCGGACATCATGGGCGTCGGGAAGAAAATTACAGTGTCTGAAGACCGCCTCACACCATACGCCGATTTCCTGGAGGCTCCCGGAGTCCGTCCGGGAAAGCGCAACACCATGGGGATGGGTGACATCGTGGAAGTCGTCCATCAGGAGGGCTATTTCCAGGTGGTCTCCATCAACGACGGGCCACCTTTAGCTGAATGTGAGTATGCACGGGTTCAGCGTGTGCGTCTCACAGATGGGTTTGTTCATACCGTGACCTCCCAGCAGCCGTTTGCCATACACCAACAGAGTGCCCGCGTCCGTCACGCAGCATCAACGGTCCGCCGTGTTGCCCCCGGACATGCGCCAACTAAAGGGCGGAAGCGCGCCAGACGACCGGCCGAGATGCCGCCTCCGGAGGAACCTGAGATGGGACACGCAGATGTGCCCCGCGGTTCCGGACATGAAAGCTCCCCGGAGATTTTGTGAGAAAAGAGCGCGGACACCGCCCCACGAAGAGGACATCATCTCGGGTAATTTTGCATTTATTTCCGGCATTTCTCCAGTTAACCACTTTTTGCCGCATTTGATTCTTGCATATATGCTTATTTTTCGCTTAATGTGTTACAGTACTATAATAATCGTGTACCGCATAAAGGTACTTGTGTTTTTCTTGTTCTCTCTTTTTTGAACGGGGTTCCGTGCAGTCAGAGCCGACTGCTCCCCGCATCTCCACCATGTGAGAGTAGACGACGCATAGGATGTGATTCCCTGTTCTGTTTCTCCTCATCGGCATATCCGATCGAGTTGAGTGTGTTTTTTCGATTATGATATCATTCGGATATTATTCTCCTGATTTTTTCCCTGACTTTTACGATTTTCCTGCGCATTACCATTCGCGCAGATTTGTGCCTTCCGATGATGTTTTTGTATACGAATAAAACCGCAGTTTTATTCCCGTTTGTCTTTTCCGTCTGATCTTCCCATTACGGGACCGTTATACACGCCACCACGTGTAACACTGGCTTTTGTTTTCTTCGAAACCGGGGCTAATTCGATCAAGGGAATTGGATTTTTTAGGCATTTAAAAATCGAACATTTGAACAGCAATCAGGCGATTCAAATTCAACATGTTTGCAAATAAAATAATTACAAATTTATTGTAGTACATACTTAACACTTTAATTAACTACATCCGTAACAGCCATGACGGCCTTTGCTAAGAAAATTATGTTTGGACAAACGGGTAGGCCGATTTCGACGCGGTAAAGTGCGCCAGAATCGTCGCAACGACTCCGGTGATGTTGCGCTATTGCCGAACCGATGCGCCTCGAGGGGAAAGCAGGTGCCTCAAAAAACAAATTGTTGCCATGGGCCTGTCAGCCTCGGCTTCAGACATCGATCCCATCTGGTTAAAGCAAAGTACTGTAAACAACGTTTACTGCTTATTATTTCCGGGTGTGAAGTACAGGACGCACCTCGGCCACCGGCCTCCATGCGTAAAAAGCCAAAGTTTTTATCCGGAATACCTCGACAAATTTTAATAATGTATGCGTCCGACGCCGTAATATCACACAACTGGGTACGGATGTAGTCCTCCGTAAACTGGTTAACTACATTCGTAACAACAGTGACGGCATAAGGTAAAAAAACCTATGTTTGAGAGAACGGGTAGGCCGATTTCAACGCGGTCAAGTGCGCCGGAACCGCTGCAACGACGCGGTGGATGTTACGCTATTACCGAGTCGATGTGCCTCGAGGGGAAGAAAGGGGACCGGAAAAGAAAGTTGTAACCATGGGCCTCCATAGACTACATGGACAAGTTGATCCCATGTGCGTAAATTACACGACACGCCTCGGCCACCGGCCTCGATGCGAACAAAAATATAAATTGCTCAAAAAGCCGACGCCGATAAACTGGTTACGGATGTAGTCCTCCGTAAACTGGTTAACTACATCCGTAACATCTTATACACGAGTATGCTTTGTTCCGCATGATTGGCCGAACGGCTGGGCCGATTTTCACGCAGAAAAGTGCGTTAGAATCGTCGCAACGACGCCGTTAATGTTACGCTATTGCTTAATCGATGCGCCCCAACGGGTACACAGAGGCCCCCAAAAAGAAATTGTTGCCATGGGCCCCCATAGACGGACGTGGGCTATTCATTTGTACAGTCGCAGCGACAGAGGCAGCCCGCGGCCTTCGGCATCTCTTCGGCAAACAAAGTAAAAAATCGCAAAGCCAGGCCAAAATAATAATATTAATCAAGCGGGTGAATAATAGTGATTAGCGCAATCTGTATTTTTTTCTTTGTTTCTTAGCTTTCTTAGGGTTCTTAAGTTTCTTAGGTTTCTTAGATTTCTTAGATTCTTTCGTTTCTTAGCCTTTCTTAGGCTTCTTAGATTTCCTAAATTTCTTAACTTTTCTTGGGTTGCTTATGTTTCTTACGTTTTTAAGGTTTCTTACAATTCTTACGCTTATAAAAATTTTTGAGTACAAAAAATTCTTATGTTTCTTTAAATAAAAATTTTCGAAACTAATGTGAGCCACGACAATACGTACGGATGTAGATCCCGTAAACTGGTTATATGAATACTAACTAAGTAACAAGGGTCCTCGACACTTTGCCGATGGAGCGAATGATCTCCCGTTCCACACATCCAATCTGCACGCTCTAAAGTGCTACAGAATCCTCTCAGTGTCGAGAGTGTTCCTGCATCATCAGTTTTCTGGAAAGGCCAATCCCCACAGTCCAGTGGTCACTCAAAAGCTTGTTACCATGGTGGCCATTAGCTTAACATGGGCTTTTTGTAAATCCCCAGATAGCAAAATAACAGGCTGCTCACGCCTGCTTATTTTGTTCGTACCTTAATGTAATAAACATCGTGCCAATCAGCTCAAACAGCAGTTATTTATTACATATGCAATCAATTTTTTTACATGCTCAAAATCCTAAGACATTATTCATCCGTGCTGGGCTTGTAAATGTTCTAAGCAACTGGCATTGCTATTATTCTCAAGGTCACCTTGAAAGCTTTACTGAAGCCAGTTCTGCCGAAACCGGCATCGGTGGGACGGGTTCAAATAATTTATTTAAGAAATAAAATGCCTGTGACACAGTTTCTGAACATGCTGAATCTAATGGCGTTTACAGTTTTTTTTATTAGGTTCTGGTTTTTCCGATCTCGATGCCTCAGCTTTTTTTGTAGTTATATTATAGATCTAGTTCCTTGATAGTTCCTTGATAGTAATCGTGTTTATGTCGCTACGTTGAGGACTCAGATCATGCAATACGGACATATCTTCGTACGTCAGTGCGGAAGTTTCCACAACCTGTACCACGATAAAAAATGTTGACATTTCGACACTTTAAATACGTTGATTACATCCTAGCAGGGCAAACGCACCACCGGTGCATACCACTGCAGACTTCGGCCAGACTGATAGCCAGACGCTTTAGAGACGAAGAAAAAATATTCTAATGTAAAGAGATGCTTTCTAACGCCATGCTCAGGATTTAAAATGTTTGTCAGGTTGCGATAGAGAAGAAAAATTCGAGTCGTTGTCAACATGGATCCTCTCGCTTACGCTCGGATAGGATTGTGTGCATCGGGTCAACTCTGACGGCTGATGCTTGCAGTGGCGATAGTGGAGGACCACTGGCATGCTTTGATCCTAGAGAACATCGCTTTTATTTGGCCGGAGCCACTAGTTACGGGTTTGGAACGCCGCCCAACAAGTGCGCGTCAGGTGAACTGGCTCGTTACACCGATGTGCCGGCATATGTGGACTGGATTGCCAATGTGACGCAGACGGAAGTGGTTACCTAAATGTCTACTGTCCTTCGATGAGCCCAATACTAAACTATCTGTAATACCTACCTTACCATGTAGCTATGGACAACACCCCTAACCAATGCATTTCTTAGAAAATTACTCATCGTGTGCAGTTAGAATTCGTTTCATGTCTTACGTACTTCTCATTATTTAAATGTTTTAATTTATCTCCCTTCAATAAGGAGATGAAATAACAGGTTGTACTTTAAACAATGAGAACAAAGAATTTTTGAGTAATACACCCGACTGTTCGAATTTTGGCCTTTAACTAACGTTTAGCTAACGTACTTTTTACCAACTGTTTTACTCGGGACAAAAACCTTGAAATATTGTTGCTTAATTTGTTTTTGCCAAGTAATGTATTTTGTTCCGCGTGCTGATAAATTCTCAAAGACCTTAAGGACGCTTTTACAGTTCAGTTTAATCATTCTTCAGAAAAGCAAAAATACATGTGCACTATAATAGTTACCGGTAGCTGCCAAGCGTCTTACAAACAAACAAATTTTCTAACAATTGTAGTTAAGTACACGGCGCTAGTTGCATATACAGTGAAACCTCCAAGATACGTACACCTCCGTTCAAAAAATTTCGTACGTAACTTAGAGGTGTACGTAACATAGAATCGGCGCCCCCCCAGCCCCCCTGGGGGGACGACTATATAATAAGGGCACTGCCCCACCGCGGCATCCTCAGTATACTGCATTCAACTGCACGCAGTGTCTAAAATGTATATAATGCTGCATTAGTTCACACATGTATATCTATATAATGCTGCATTAGTTCCTTTTACAACATAATATAAGCAGGCGGAAAAGTTTCTCCCACGCATTTCAAACCGAAAACATTGTCCTAATCGCTTCGGAACAGAAGGCAACATACAATACTGAGCTAGCTTTTTTGAATTTTCACAATTTTCCCATCAGATATTTTAAAAAATCCAGTGCTGACTCACCGGTGTACGTATATTCGAGGTGCTTGCGTACAGTTCAATGCTTAGGCGGTACAGGGAAAAAGTGTACGTGTACGCATCGTAGAGGTGTACGTCACGTAGAGGTTCCCCCCTGTACTGTAGTCTACGGAGAATTCCGGTACAGAATTTTTTGTACTTAAGTGGGAGGTGTACGTATCTTGGGAGTGTACGTACGAGGAGGTTTTACTGTATAAGCACAGCTAAAAGATTAAAAGTTTATTTTCTGCCGCAATGAAAGCAATTTATTTTTCTAAGAAATAATTGATAATTAATTATGCAAGCCCGTATAAATTTAATTTTAATATGTGGTGCAGTTGCAGCTAGGTCAATAGGCCGACGGACTCATCACTGCTCTGACCAGTACGCACTTTTGTGCAGGGTAAAAATCAACGCAACAACGCAACGCAAAATCAACGCAACGGTTCGCGCACTGCAGGCTTTGAAGGTATCAATATCAGCGAGCAGTCAAGATGCAGGGTGACCAACACCATCACCAGCTGTAATCCACACTCAGGAAGCTACTGAAACAGCAGTTTACAATGATCGAACTATTACTTTTGTGACTGTTGTTATTATAATCAGCATAACATTACGTCGCACCAGAAAGCCTCCATGATAATGTTTGTCGTTGGTCGTACGATCCCATCTGTGGAAACAATAGGTAAACCGCGCGGTCAATGAGATCGTTTATTGACTTGTCAGCCTGAACACACACATAAACTCACACGGAATCCGTTATGTTGACCAAGGTCAGAGCTCGAGTGAGCTTGCGTAATAATCAAATCACATATGCAAACGGCGAAGAATTATGCGCTAACAAAGTGGCTCAAGTATGTCCTTGCCAGCCGCCAATCGACAATGCTCACAACGCCACTGATGCAGTTCATTTTTTCATTCAATTAAGTGCAACTGATTTTTATTTCTCTCGATCGCAGTAATTATTTACATCTGCCGGAATTGTAATGGCTGAGACGTCCATGATTGACCTTTCTTTAAATTTGCATTTAGTAATGTGACTACTAGCAGAAACAAATTTCATCGCTTCGATCTGCTATCCAGCTTACCAATAGAAGACTTTGTTTTTCGTTATCACCAAAAAATGACCGCAAGTGCAATGCCGGACAATGATACTACAACGTCTACACCGCTTCCAGTGCAACCTCCAGAATCCACTGTCTATGTATTTTATGCACCTTTCCTGGAATTTGGCTTCAGTCCCACGGTTGTATTGCAGCAATTCACGTTGCACACAGTAGCGCAATTTTACGGAGCGCTGGGAGCTGTTGCCGGCATTGCATTTTTATTCCAGTTGATCAGTGCATTCAAAGATAGGTTGCATACTCGCTATATGCAAATTCAGCGGCTACGCACCGCTACCGATGTAGATTCCGGAGAAGATGAAGATAACTGTGACGGGTGCGTAGCAAGATGCCGGTAAACACAAATATTATGAGTTCATGACCTAAAAGCCTATGATCCCTTGGCTGATACAGAAGCTGTATAAATAATAATATTATGCAATGTTTTAGGTGTTCCTGCATGTTATTCCTGTTTTTGACGGGACTCCATTTAGCCCAAACAGTATGCGGATTTTTCATCATTCTTATAGCAGCCTCTTTCAATGGTAAATGGCAATTATGAAGTACAGTCGCAAAACTTAGATTAAAATTTACGTGGTTTTTGCGTATTTACGTACACGTCTCTGTGTATTTACGTTATAATTTTACAAGCTTCTACAAGCCCGCCAATTTACGACTGAATGAATAGGTGCGTACGGTCACTTAATGGATAGTCCTCCTTACCTTAATTTTGTACCCAAACAGGTTGGTTAATTGGCGCCATGATTGGAGGATCTGCTTTAGGATATTTAATGGGAATGTGGAAATGCTGCTGCGATCACGTAATGATGGATCTGAAGGTCCCTTAAATAGGTGGATGTCGACAATATTTATTTTAGTGTGTGTGGTGTATGCACGGGTAGTTGGGGTACCTAATCTGTGGCAGCGTAGGGCTCAGCCAGTTCTAGCATGGTCCTTATTACGAGCAGTTTGTTTTAGCTTTAATCTATTTGCACGCACTAAAGCTTTCACCATGCAACGTCGCAAGTTTATATAATTAAAAACATTTCACACTCAGAGGAAAACATAAATAAAGAAATCCTTGTTATATTTTGGTTGTCAGTACACTGTATTTGTTTATTTGTTACCGAAAACCTGCTAAAAAGCAATCCTATGTCCTGGGAATTCAAATAAAGACCCCGTTTTAGACGGTACTTCCGTATCGTGCAATACAATCCGCCATCGGTATTAGATAGGTCACTAGCAAGAGTACAGCAACACTCCATCCGGCTGGTAAGGTACGGTACGAAGATGAGGATTGGTTTTTTTGTGTGTTGGGACTGACATCCGTGGCAACGGTACGTAGGATATCGGCATGATTGCAGAGCGTCGAATTGCAAGTGCATGAGCTGCCTTCAAACAAAACCGTGCTGTTTCCCACATCGTTTTGCTTAGGAGATTTCTCTGCGGAAATTGCGAGCAAGCTGCAGCCATCTGCAGGATGATGGACTCCGTCGATTGTTATGTCGTGATGATGTATTGTCACTGAAACATGGCCCGCGTGCCCGCATCCGGCTACGGTGATTTTCGTTGCTAAACATTAAACACAAAATTAATCATCACTGCGTACAGTGCTGGCCCGATTTCATTCGATTTACAAGTTAGATAGTTATCTGGATTACAATAAAATTATGCGATCTGTAATTACTCGTACAAGCGGTACGTATACAATGTTCCGGAGGCGGAACAATAGTGCGCGTAAGAAAATGACAGATAATAAATAAATAAAGCAGATCTCGGCACTAGCATTTGAACCGACTGACAGAATTATACTGTAAAAAACATATTAAGCACACGTGGCACTAGTTTTGATTAGCGCATTCCTACCATTTTCTTGGTCGATTTTTACCAATCCTTGAATAAAATGGCACCTGTCTCCGTGAAAGCTGCAGTCAATGGTATCGTTGCACTGCTGCTTTTCGTCGTCAACGATTTTACATTTGAAACAGCGGAACGACGTTGCGACCGGGAGGGCCATGCGAGCATTGCTGGAAATGTTTCCACCGTCCACCGCGGCCGCTTGAACAACTTCCGGTGCAGTACCATTGTTAACAATTACACTGGCAGCTTCCACATTGGCTGCAGGTTCCACCGGATTGTTGACAGCAGGAATCGAGGTAGCTGCGGCATCGGAAACCGGCGCTAGGGCTACTGTAGTTTGTTCCGTTAAAGAAGCGCATCCTGCGAAAGTTTAAAAATTACAAATTGGGTGTCATCGCAACCACATACACGAATACTGGAGCAGTTACAAAGGTTTGCTTATGTGTTGTATGGGTAGCATACGTCATGCGATAGTTTTATAGCGGTCATTTTGAAAGCGGTCGTGAATGTTGCCGGACTGTACACTAGTTAGCTGGGAGCAAATAATTACTGTAATGCATTTAACTCAAGAGGTGTCACAATATGCATTAGTTAACAACCACAGAAGTATATATATTTGCGCTAAAACTGATTATTTTGGTATTTCGAAATATAATAATTAATATATTTGTCGCTGCTCTTACCAATATTCTGAACATAAAGGAAAACCAGCAGAAGCGGGAAACTGGCTTTTAGCGGCATCGTAAATGAACGGGGAATTGTGCAACCTGTTCTATTTCTAACTACTTTAGCAATTTAACATCTGCAGATCAAACGGGAGCCGGTTAATTATAATGAAAGCTCTGGTCGGTACTCCGCTCTTTTCTGGTTCGACAGAAATTTGCAGTACTGTAAAACCCAGTAGACTAAACAACCGGTTCGCAACTCGGGAGGTTAATGATGTTAGTCGCATATAAATGCACCTTCCAAAAGCATAAAACGCTGCCTCACAGTAGTACTGGATACTTTGCTAAGGGAAACAACCATACTCATGCGTACGCGCAGATATCAGTCTCTCGATGATTCAAATGCCGGACTCTACCTATAACGGTCGGAAATAAAAGATAACAGATAAAAATTCCTCTTCGGATATGAGTGAGGTGAATGCAGTGTAAACCCAAATCGCAACGATGGTGCTAACTGTAACATCTATGGAGTCGTGAACAGACTCTTTAGTGGCAGGTGCTGGGCTGTGGTAACTATCGCGGCTGTTGTGCGATCACTGCAAATAATAGCCTGCAATTCCTGGACAAAAGTAAATTTGTTGGAGTCCAAAGGTTTGTTTGCCATTGCTGGCTGGCCATAAGAATGCCATGAAGGAAAAACTTGATCCACTTCGCTTGAAGTTATTAAACCGTCCTTGGTTGTATGGCAGAATGGGCGTGGGCGTTTGCAAATGTGCGAACTATCAGGGCGGATATAGGTACAAACAGGTACTGGTAACACCTACATACAATAATCCTGCCGCGGAATTATGCTTAATGAGTGAAAATCGTGTCGATAATGTAGCCAGTTACCACTAAACCTAATTGTTATAAACTAAACCTAAACAATGCATAATGTATATATATTATAAAATGCTATCAAGTGTAATGTATAATTATAAAGTTAGGTATATGCATGCGTATTGTACTTTGTACTTCTAACGATTTACTGCTATCAGTGCTATGAAACTCGTTAATGCAAAAAAATTTTGCTTTTGGATGTTCCCAGTTGAGTTTTTGGGTGAAGTTGAGGGGTGATCAATACGATATGAGTATTACAATTGATCTTGCTAATGTTAAGTGACTTAAAAGTACCGTAGGAAATCATGAACAGACTTGTAGTTAGCGAATCGCCGAATACAAAATAATCACTAGAAGTATAGCTACAGTTAACGATACTTGATTTTAGTCGTAACAGAATTAAGCAAATTCTACCCTAGTTGTATCGACAGAATTAACGGTAAACACAGATCGATGCTTAGCAGGTGTAAAGCTATATATACGAGTACCAGTGGCGTAACGAGCCTAATAATTTGGGGGCCATGGCCTACCCAAACGAAAAGTTATAGCATAGAGTCTATGGGAACGGCCTACCCCAAAGCCAACACTTGTGGCCCACCCCAAACCTTTGAGCTCGTTACGCCGCTGACGAGTACTAATCGTAAGCAGTCTTGCGTGCAGTAGGATGGCAGCATAATAGATAAGAAAATAAAGAAAATAAGAACAAGAAAGATACAAGCCCACAAGAAAAGCCTGTCTCCCGGGTAAATCTCTAGACCCTACTCTAGTTAAGCGTTTCTAGGCAAGGAAAAACAAGGTTGTGTTGATTTCAAACTCTTTACATGGATTTACATGGATCACCTGATTTTATGTGCTTTAAAAGCAATCACCTGAAGAAATGCCGACTATCATGCTCAGCAAGTGGAGAGGTACAGTAGTTTAATTTACCTACGAGTATTAAGGTTAATATTGGTATAATTAAGCGCAAGTGTCAGTCACACAGTGTGAAAGTTTCGCCACTCATATTTTAAATGTGCCAGACACCACGTCTTGTTAGCCATAAAAAAATAACAGTAAACGAACAATCCAATAAGCAAGCGTTGATATGTCGCCCTGACCTTCGTACATTCAATACTCGTATTAAGACGCAGTGGTCATACCTGCAGTAGAAACTACACTTCACTTCAAAAGCGACGACCTGATGTTCCGACACCCGAGGCGTTTCTCGCTTGCCTGACCTATACATGGTCAAGCACATACGATAAAATATTCGGATGGCGAAGTTGAATCTTTGTTTTGCGATGTACACCAAAAGGATTCTTCACTATCTGTAGTTTCGGTGTTTTATTTTATTCTAGCGGTTCCAAACAGCAAGAGATCCCCACAAGTAAGACAGCGACCTTAATTCCATAGTTTTTGGATGCTTTCAGTGGCCGTCTCATGAATGTTATGAAGTCGTGTTTCGTAGGAAGATTAACTTTAATTCGTGTTATAAAGTGCGTACTAGTCCGTATCGTGACATCACTTATATATTGTCAGTAACCCAGGTGTTAGAATTTGTAAAAATATTCTGTGAATAATTATTAGGAATGCCATCCATCGTAACGACGGAGAACGTCACAATTCAAGTACAGGAAAATGCTGTTGTTAAAGAAAATCCAGATAGAAGCAGTTTAAGACAGGAGAGCAGCGAATCCAAAAGCATCCGTCAAAGATTGCAGGAAGCTAAAGAGGCGATTTTTATGGGGCGACGCCGCAAGTGGAAAGTTCCGGCAGCTTAAATGAGGATTTTGTACTCGTATATGATGACTGTTATTTTCATGGTTAAGCTTGTACGATAAAGATTTTAAATATAGCACCGAAGTCGCATCGTAATTACAGCTTTGGGCAAAATGTGGGCAGTACTGGATACTGAGTACTGACAAAAGAGTACTCTACGTTAAAGTTAATGGAATCGACCTAGCTGATTGCTGGTTTGGAACTTGGATTAGCTATAAACTGACCGGTGACCATCAAAATTTAATAAAATTAATCCAAAACTGCAGCACTGAGTGCGACTGTTATGATTTAACTTTGTTACAGCTGACCGCTCTGTGTTTTGTACGTTTAGTATGAGCCTCCACGTTTTAATAAAAAATTCAAGAAGTATTCTCAATAAATCGCGAAAATGCATGCAAGGTACACATTCAATAATTAAGCAGTTTAGAGTATTATGCAATGTGCGATAGACACAACTAGTACAGTATGTGTACGTACTATAGTAAACATTAATTTATATACTTATATCTATAATAATAATTATTCTATATAGTATATATACGAGAACTATAATCTTACGGACTTTCTGATGTGACCACTACCGTACCGTACGTAAGTGAATGAGCGAATTTTTACTTTAACCATTCCGGTAACCACCAACCATAACTTGTTGACTTTCACAGAAAGAAATTTATTTGGCCAAACAGGCAGTAAGCAATCTCTGAAATAGATCAGAATTTTCTTTTCTTTTCGGAAAAGATGTTTAATGTTTTATTCGAGGTTGCGGCAGCTCATCCTAAATACTCAACAGAGCGAACTCAATCTCACCATCAGTAATGCATGTATGTGGGATGTATCCACCGAAACATAATTAACGAAATACCACCGAAACATTATGGAATACAGTTTATTCAGGCCTTAACCCTTAACCATCATTTGCTTGAAGAATGTACACATTTTATAAATTCAAAACTACGCGGTAATCCTGCAAACCGAAATTACTGTATGTACATCAGAGTAATTTTGCCGTGAGACATAATTCTGGGTATGTAATTATTATGCTACACATTATGTCTACACATTTTAGGCGTGTCTGGACTCTGGATACTCTGGACTTCGTACTTATTACTTATGCCATACGTTTTGTATCTATCTGTAGCTTTCTTGTGGTGCGTGCGAAGGACTTCTAGTTTTTCTTAAGTGATTAACAAATTCATGTATACGAGTACGAAGTCCAGAGTAACCAGAGTCCAGACACGCCTAAAAGTCGAAACCGCACGCTTTCTCGGCATGCCTGCTGCGTCTGATTGTTAGCCGAAGTTCTTGCAAATACTGATCCGATGTCGTTCTCTAAATAGCGCAGCTTCTACGGTGCTCCCTCATCGAAAACTGAATTTTGTTCATCACCTTTGACGTGCTGGATGATAAGTTTTACAATTCTGTTGGGAACTCCACGAGACTGTGGAGACAACGAAGTGTAGTCAATGCGGCTTAAACTGTTAGCGGTACAACGTGGATGATTCCAGTTTTCCGAATTTCAATAACTGACTGTTGCTTTATGGGCATGGTAACGTTATAATTATTAAGCTAATCTATCTCCATTCTTACTTCGGTGGAAATTCCATGCAGATTTGGCCAATGGCAGCGCCTTTACGCCGGAAAACTACAAATACCTTGCGTAATTTGGATGAGTCATTCATTCATTTATACAGAACGGCTCAGTAATAGGTGTGAACGTACGCTAGTAGACGATCGATTGGTTCACCTCATATGCCCTGCGTCTGTGAACGATCAATAGTACAGTCATTAGTACAGTTCCTTTTCTATGGTACAGTACTCGTAGTCTACTGTAGCAGTCATTTAAGGCTAAGCCAAGCCAAGCGAAGCCAAGGGAATTTTCCAGCACTGCATGTACGGTAGGCGGTATCACTAAAACATCAACAGTGAATCCCAGAGCGTATAAAAGCTTGGCTAGCAACCAGTTGCGGCATCACAGTGACCTGAATGAAATTCCAAGTTCATAAAGGAAGAAGTTTTTACACTATTTGAGGCAACTTAGTTACTTATATTGAATTTCCGGATTAAATCGTTCTGCAGAAATGACTGAACACGTTACGAAGGAGAAACACGTCGTCCACGCTGACGGAAGTGAAACCCACGAGGTTAAAAGCGAGATTAAGGTAAGCTCTTATTCTCTTCTCGGATTTTGATTTGTGCACACTAATTCGGTCGTTCGCGTTTAAATAAAGAAAATTCTGTACCTGTAATTGCACTATCGAAGATGAAGCATAATTTGAATTTTTTTGCCTTTTGGGGCAATGTGTGAAAATCAGTGTTATGAGCATCATAATTATGTACAATGTCGGCTGGTTGGGTGAGCCGTAGCCGTACCAATTATTGTATACAATTATTGTACTTCCATAATTTTCAGGATGCTCGCAGTCTGGGCCAAAAGATCGATGATGCAAAAGATGCTTTCAAGTCGGATCCCACCAAAATGCAACAAGTTACAAAAGTAAGTTTTGGGCTTTTGCTGCCTGAATTTCAATGATGGTTGAATAACAGGTTGACTCATTGTCCTCGTCGGCTCTAATAATACCGAAAGTAGTATTGAGTATTACGAGTATAAGTAATTGTACATGTAAATTTTGTTACATATATCAAGCACATTGGTGTCTTGAATACTGGTTTTACAAATTGCAAAATTTTGTAGGAAAAAGTTGAAATCAAGGACGGTAAAAGCACACACGAGGTGAAGACAGAAGTAAAAGACCCTCGATCACTCGGCGAAAAGCTGACCGATGCCAAAGACGCATTTGTGGGGAACAAATAATTTTGCCTGGTCGGTCATCCGATGTTTCCTTCACTCGTTGATCTGTCCTAATTTTTAGCCAAATGTTTTTAGTGTTATTTTTTATTGATAAGTGTGAGGTGCAGGAATTTTATTCTTCGATCTACACTGGAAGGTTAAGCTAAAACTTCGCATTTGATTTATTTTAACTAAAGTGAGAGAATGTACTCGTACATGAAGTTGGCTTGAAAGTCATTAAAAACTTGCTATAGATATCAATATTATCCGACGGTCTTTCCGGGTGTTTATGTTTATAACCTAGTATTAGGGAAATATTGTCAACAGGCATTCACGACTGTCAGACCATCCTTTCTTTCTTCTGGTTTGTAGCGACCATGGCGGCTCGCAGGATGCTATTGTAGTTTATAATAAAACTACAAAGTGAACACTACACAATAAACTCGAGCGTTAAATACCTACGTATTACTGATATTACTTACTTTCTTCTTTAAGTGATTTTTTGATATTCAGTAAGAAGTAGAACTGCTACTGTATGAGTACTCCATACTTAAGTAATCACTGAATAATGACAAGAATCATGATGGTCGAGACTCGACAATCGACATGTTCGATACTTTAGCTGGAACAATGAAATCATGACAACAGAGGCTACTCTGCGGTCAGCGCTGTCATCGGAGCACTGTGAGCACCTACGTACAACATCACCTCCTACGACGCCTACGACTCTGTCTCCACTTTTGCCACACAAAAAACTAATAAGTACAGTACTGTAATAGACTGGTAGTCACTTTAAAGTCAGTCAGTGTTACTAGTATTTGTGACATAAATTCTCCGGCCTTTTACTTGTTAGGTTCGTAACAGCCTCGCTTAAACCACGTGAGGTGACAGTTACCATAATTACTTTTCCACCTGTTTTGGTGATGCGTCTTTCGTAGACTTCGGCAGTTCGGAACAGTTTTTGCTAAGGTGTCTGCAATACTCTACATGTAAAGTTGGTTTAGGTTTTTGGACTTTTAAAAAGGAATCCTACGGGAGCCTGCTCCCTGCATTCAGTAAATGTGTCTGTAGAAGCTGCCGGTTCGATTTATAAATGTCGTCTTGGACGAGAACGAGTAAGGCGCAGCAGCGCATCCATAAAGAACGCGCACAGGTACTGTACCACGGTATATTGTGTTTTCATTTTTCATAAGCTCTTCGCACTCGTAATAAGAACTTTCGTTCTCTTTTTGTTTGCTCTGGCATTACATACTTATATAGCAGTGTTTCTGACCGTTTTTCTCTGTTTTCAGCCGGAATCTCGTCGGAAACTTGGATTTTTGGAGAAGAAAAAAGACTACAAGATCCGTGCGATGTGCGTCCAGAACTCCACAGATTTAGACTTTAGCATCAAATTAAGTGTGTATCTGGCCATTTTCCTGGTCACAAGCTTAGATACAAATGTAGCATTGTTTATATATCCGTAGCTTTATGACCAGGAGCTTGGATATATGAAGTATACGGCCCGCATAAGAAGAACAGCAATAAATGTTTGATAAATTCATTAAATTGAAATTCGGGTTTTTTTCAGAGACCATGAGAAGAAAGACAGAACCATTAGATCGCTTAGGCAGAAGGCTTTGGATAAAAATCCTGATGAATTTTATTTTCACATGCATAATTCGAAATTAGTGGTAAGTAGGTCGTTGTTGCCGCAGTTACATTAATTGTATCAGAAGACAGTATGTTTTTGATTCCTGAAGTCTTTCCTGGGCTAGGATGGAAAACACATTGAAAAGGAGAAGGAAGAGGAAGCCACAGATGCCCAGAAGATGCTGATGAAAAGCCAGGATCTGGCGTACGTCAGATCGAAGCGGATATCCGAAATGAAGGCAAGTGCAGAGTACCGATCTTCAAAAATCAAAATATTCAGCTGACTATGCTCGCAAGTCCAGCAGGAGCGGCAGACTTTGTGGTTGCTTTAACGCTGCCATGTGCACTGTTAATTCTGGCTGCGTATACTTTATAAACGGGATGAATGACACAAGCGGATGTTGTAAAATGTAGTATGCAATAATTTTTCCCGTGGTTCTCCCGGTTTATTTATTTGACACTTGCGTTTTATAGAAAATCGAGGCATTGAAGGCGTCCTTAGCAGGAACATTTATCGGGGGCAACACAAAGCACACATTTTTCGTCGATTCGGAGGGCGATAAAAATGTTGTAAAAGAACGTTTGAGCAGGAGTCATATTGCAGAAGAAGCGGATAATTCTGTGGAGCTGACTGCTGATCCTGTAAGTTAGAGTTGACAAAAAAATTGAAAATAATTACTCACTAGTCAGACATGATCAATTATTACCCAAATAATTGTTTTGAATGAATTTGTTTTCTGGACGGTTAAAAAATAGAGACGGGTAAACGATCTTGCATTGTGGTATATTTTTGTAGTTGATTGGAAAAGAAAGAAAAAAACTGCTGAAAGAACTAAGATTACGGGTGGACCGAGAAAAAGAGCTACGAACGACCGAAGAGAAACTTCAAACTCGGAGGAATTTACTGGTACGTTTGGCATTCTGATTTTGTCATATGCCACAAATTACAACACAGCAAAACATCATTTTGCGGCGCAATTACAGGAAAAGCGAAAACCGGTAAAAATTAAGGAAGGCACAAAAGATAGCCCAGCTGTGTACAAATGGACATTTCAACGCAAACGATGAAGTTCACACGCGAAGCTATCCCATGGATAGAAGAAATGTCTTTTAGCCAATCCACACTGCGATTCTATCTCTTTCTCCTAATGGGAAAATTAAAATTGATTTAAACCAAAGCGTAGCGTTAATTTATAGAACTGCTAAATTGTTCGTGCTTACCATCTGGGTTTAGCTCGGGCACCCATAAAGCCATATTTCTTTCGTTCTCTTATTCGTCTGTCATGAGTAAGAAGTCCAGCTGCAACAAGAAGATTTCAACTTTGGAAATTAATTCTTTAGTATTACTGGTAGTGACGCTGCAGAATATGTACTCCTACCTTGACGCATTAGTTCAATTTCTTCTTTGGTAGCAAAAGCTGCCAGACATTTGGACACGGCTTCCCGGATCGCAGAAGCCTGCGCAGCTTCTCCCGTTGCGCCAAACTTCACGCTTACTTTTAGATCAAATTTGTACATCTGGTTGAGGAATTGAAAAGGAAACATAACAGCTAATCTAAAATAAATAAATACGAGATAAACAAATGTGTAAATTTTAAAATGGTACAAAATGCAAAGCTCTAGCACACTAAAGTGAAAGTTGTGGGACAATATACATATACGAAACCGAAGTTACATAGTACAAGACTAACAAATAATGTTTGAAATAAATTCAAAGCCGAACCTGTTTTGAGCACGAGGAAAGTACAATATGTCGTATCCATTCACATCGATTTTTCCGGTTCCTTCCTTTATTTGCACCCAACAGTGGACTGTTTTCCGGTGACCTGTACAAAATATTTGAAGTCTGAGTAAAGTTACTGTATCCAATCTTCGGAAGGCGGAAAACGTAAAAAAAAACCAAAACGCGGAAAAGGGTCCGAAATTGATTTTACCATATGCTTCCGCATATTTTCTTCCATCTTCGTCCACTTTGACCTACAATAAATCACAATTTACCCACATCACTGTAATTTGTAACGTATTTGTATGTTGGAGTATACGGTAATTACGAATTCTACTAGATTGCAGTTATTCTTTATCGTAAGTTCTGTTCTTGTAATCACCTGAGGGATTTCGAGATTTATCGTCACCGGTATCAAACTTCGACGAAACTTCATAACGAATTCCTGCACGCGAAATGCGTAGGGATGCTGCAGCAAGCGATCCATGAGCATAATAAACCTTCGATACTGCCGAAAAAAGAACACAGTAACAGTATTAAAGCTCCAGTACCAAAAAGGGAAAAGCTATACTGACGTGGTGGTCATCGATCTTTTCAAGGAACATTTCGGCTAGCTCTTCTTTTGGGACCCACTCCGTCCCGGCCAGCTCACTGCAATACCATGTAATAACCTGATGTGATCGAAACCACAAAGTTTTGTTGAAAGAAACTGTCTCACATCGTCTGCTCAATGGGAGATTTTCCTTTCCGTACGCGATCATCCTCCTCTTTGTTCAACTGTTCTATCCACTCAGAAATATCCTACAAACAGTTTATGGCTCGCACTCCACACATCCGCAAAACAAGATTGCAAAAACTATCTCACATGCATAGCCTGGTAATAATTCGGAAGGAGGGTGTAAAACAATGGATGAAAAGGACGACCATCAAGGCCAAATTGTGCCTCTGCAAAAAATCCAAAACAAATATCAAGTTACGATTTTAAAATAATACATATAATTCAGCGACACGAGGCACCTTTTTGTTGTGGGAATATTTCTTCTGGAGGCTGATGCGCATGAAACAGAAATCTCGCTATTATTACCGAAAGGTCACTAGAACATGAAAGTACCTTCATCACTGGACGAGATCCTTTGGCAGATAAATTCGACGGCAAAAGGTACGCTATTGCTCTCTAGAAAAATAAATCTGTATGTGTACAATATATGCATGGTACATGCTACTCACAATTTGACGTAAAATATCTATATGACGTGAACATAAACTGACGTAAACGCAAGTACAAAGCACTGATAGCACTAAGAGTGGCAGACGGACATCCATCAGCTGGAGCTCGCGATCTTACATCGACATCCTTCTGCGTGAATGTTTCGGGATCCTCTCCCATCATGTTGGCCAGATGTCGCTTCCCAATTTCGAATTCGTGAGTCTGTTGTTTCATAAACATGTCTAAACAAAACAAGTGCGGTCTGCAGTTACCCGGTGAAATCTATGTTTATCAACAACAAAATAACAAAATCAATCCACCAAACCGCCAATCAGAGCAAGGTAGAAACTTGTGGACATAACTTACTGTGTGCCTGCGCTCGCTCCAGGTAGGATCTCATAGCTTTACTGATTTTTACCCTTGAATCTGCAATGAATCGTAATAGCAGCTTATGGTTAGCTTTATGAAACATCTGCGCAGGCGCACAGACAGGACAAACAACACAATTCCTCTTCACTCACCTTGAGCTATCACAGTGCTCGGCACTTGTGCAGCGGATGAACTGTTCTCACTAGGCACCACGGTTGCCCCTCTGACATTCGACGCATGTCGCGGAATCGTCAATAAAACATCGCTCTAAGAAGCACACTCGATTAATTCAGCAACCCTCGCAGCGTATACGCTCGTTCTGTGTACCAGAGATTGGCCGCTTTGAGTTCTTGAACAAAGACGACTGGTGCGGCAGCAGAAGTTCAACATCTTGTGCTGCTTGTTCCTTGTCAGCTATAACAATCACCGGAGTTCCCAGTTCGCAGAAGATGCTGCAGGAGCAAAATCACCCGGGATTTCAATTACCCATACCAGATGGAAACCGGCTAGCAACAATCAATAACAACTAAAGCTGTTACAATAAAAGCAATAAAGTACGTTCAAAAATCAAAAATAACTAGAAGTGCTGTCTGTACACAATGATCAAGAATCCTACTATAGTCGCCGTTCGAAGAAGTCAAAAAGATTTTTGATAGACTACAAGGCGAGTGGGGTGCACCCTCATATGTACTGCTGGCAGGAAAGTTTTCACCCCCTGAAATTCGTGCTCGTTTCAGCACGCCTTAAACCTCGCTCGGAAAATTCAAAGAACGAGTCAAACAGTTTTATTTACGTTTTAACTTTTTTGCGGTTTGAATTGTTTGGTTCTTATTTGTTTCGGAGAAAAGGTAGGTCACAAGTTAGGTAGTTGTGTGCTGTCAGCCTGTCACTGTGGATAATAGTAATACGACCACCTGCGCCCAACGCAACGAAAAACGCTAGACTGTAGTTGCTCGCGCGAAGTGGAAGGTCAATTTGTTTGGTTGCCACTTGCCAGTTTTTTTGCTTGGTGGTTTGATGAGAATGCGCTATCTTCCGGAAATATTGCGCTGCATTTGTATTGCCAGTGTTTTAACTGGAGTGATCCCGCTGGACAGGTTGGATGAAAATGACAATCCTAAACCAGCGAAAAAGAAGTCTATACTAGATTATAATGACGTTGATATGGAGCGAATCTACGAACAGTGGGAGGTGAGTACCTAGCAAAAAGTTACCGTAACTCCGTAAGTGACTGGAAAGTTAATAGGAATCGTAAATTAGTGGGTGATTTAAAATTCTGTAAGAAGTAGAAAGTGAAGATGAAGAAATAATACCATGGACAAGTTAATCCGAATTTTGTGCTGCCAGAAAGACGAAGAGCCTTTGGAACCGGATGAACTGCCTGAACATCTGCGGCCGTCGCCTAAGATTGATTTAAGCAAGCTCGATACCAGTGATCCAGAAAGCATTATCAAGATGACTAAGAAGGGCAAAACTCTGATGATGTTTGTGACAGTTAGCGGAAATCCGGATAAGAGTGAGCTGGAAAGAATCACGGGACTGTGGCATACCAGTCTGTTTAATATGCACATTGAATCTCAGAGGTTTGCAGCGATTACGACTATTAATGATATTATTAATTATATGCGCTGTATACTTCTTGTTCTTTCCAGAAGTGACGGCAGATTATTCTGACGGCTATTTCTTTTCGTTTGATGTAGATTTGTTGTCGACGCAAGCAGAGCGATTTTCATGTTCAAAGATGGAGCGCAAGCATGGGAGGCTAAAGATTTCCTCGTTGAGCAGGACCAGTGCAAAGAAGTGGTTATCGAGAACAAAAGCTATCCAGGAAAGCATTTTGAAACAGACAACACAAAGGATGAGTTATAGATAATAGTAGTGTGACTTTTTGACTGTGTTTATTGGTAAGCATTTTGGGCTCATGATAACGCTCATCCAAATCTTCCATGTGCCAATTGGATGCGCTTGTGTCCGGTGCATTCGTGTTGGTGACCAAGATGAATGGTTGTTAATTGATTTTAATTGTTGTAACTCGCCATCGAGCTGTTTGTTGGTATTATTATTTCTTGTTGCTTCACACTTGTTTTGACTTGAAATTTTTATTTAGAGCGACGGTGAATACTCTTCTTTCCGGTGATCTGATTAAACTCATTGGTCTTTGTGTGGGATTTTTTCTCGGTTAGAGCTAGAACACGGCATTTTCTGTCGATCTAACCGATTAGCAAGTCTTGATAACATCGTGTAATACATACATTATCGTTTTTGCATGGATGACAACAGAATAAACGAAGCAATAATTCTTACGAAGTTACCAACCACAACTTAATACTGGTACATCGGATAACACTGAACAGCTGCACATTTTAAAGGCTAGGGTAGAAATTTTTTGCACATCCCTTGTACGTTTGATATCATGCCATATTCTACAGAAAGCAAAAAAGCGCGAGATCGCGCTCAATATGCTATCAAAGTGACAATCCGACCATATATCGCAATTACCAAAACAAAAAATCATGCGACTAGAAGCTTTATCGTGCATGGAAGCCTGATAAAAGACGACGGATACTTTCATGCGTCGTAATCAATCATCATCCTCGTCAGCTCTGGAGGCAGCGGTAGAAGTGCCGCAACGAAGGGCAGACGGAATGAGAGTCCTGTCTTGCAAAATACCATGCCTGAAACCATACAAGTTAATGAGCTTTCGCCGCATGTGGTTGATGACGTTATATAGTTCAATTTGCATTTTCATGAATTCACTCACTCGATGAGGTAGCCTTCCACGTCAGTAGGATAAATGTCTTCGCCAAACTCTTTCACCAACTGGACGTAATTCCCAATTAATTCGCCATTCCGATAAACTAGCAGTGCTGGTAGACCAAAGGCTTTGAATTTTAAACTTAAATTCACCTAAAGATAGTAAAAAGAAGTCAAAAACCATCCTACTTCGCATTATTGCTTTTTGCTGCAAAATATTTGCATATATTTGCATATCAGCGCAAACTGTAGAAGGACATCCAGTACGCTATTTTTCCACTACAATCAAAGTTTAAACGCAATTACACTTACCAGGCTGGCTTTCATCTGGCAAAACTTAACGTCAGAATATTCTGCCGCAAGGTATCGCATGCAATTCTTCATAGAATTACATCCCGAAGCTCGATCCTCGTAGATGAGAATAATCAGCAGATCCCCATCGGAGTTTTTCTCGGTCGCTGTCAAATAGGCTTCCGATGATTCGATTTCAATTACACTCCCAAATACTTTCTTTCGGGATTTCTCGAGCTGCATCAGTTCTTTAATTCGCTTTTCTCGAAACTCCTTGAGCACTGCGTCTAGATCTTCGTCACATGCCTCATCCGACAGTTGCGATTTTTCCTGAGCTTCCTTTTCCTCATCAAGCTACAACATACGTCGGAAATTGCTTAATTGCTAAATCAGTGCCAGCACTGATGCTCACGATATGGAGCATGCCAAGAACGTTGCCCACGCGACAGCTGTGCTGACAATACTCCGAACATTCAAAATTTCGTTTTTTTAAGAAAGTTACTAAACCTAACATTTACAACTAACTTCATAAAAAATGAAAAATTCTTGAAAAACGTACATGAGTTTGGCACATTGGTGCTAACTTTTTCGCCAGTATCAGTTTTTCCTTTTCTTGTGCTTCTCGCCTTTCTGATTCCAATTGCTTAAACCTCTGCCAATCTCGTATAACTCCTTTCGGACCAGTCTGAAAAACGTAATGCACATTTTCCGTATACAGAGTACACTGCAAGCGCCATGCTTCAAAAATTACTTGACATCAAGAACAATACATAGCAGCAGCCTTTTCGCTGTTTACCAGTTGCGGATGACATAAAAAGCTCTTTCATGTCACTTACATTCGTACTGCTGCCTTCCCATTCCCTGGCGACGCTATCCGGTATGAATTTCGGTCCATTACTGGACGCCTTATGTGGTCGCCGGTTATCACCATCCCCGTCCAAATCGTTTCCGGCTGATTTATCCTCTTCGCTTGGCTCCTCATCTTCACTACTACTGCAGTAATAATGCAGCTTCTCGCCCAGCAGTTTGTCATCAAGGGTGGCCATGATAATGAAACCTATTATGGAAGACATAAAACAATGACATTCGTAAACATACAGCAATAGGGATTCACGAAGAACTCCCCCACCGACCACAGTAATTGAAAAACTGTTTTTGAATGACACCATGATTTAACGACAGCTTAACTGCCGTAATACACAACAACTTCCATCTGCACTTTTCATTCCAAAAAAATTTGAATAAAAATGTTATGGTACAAACTACAACGAGAGTAGAAGTACTCTTATGAATTTCTCTGTGCTAATTGCAAAAACGTTTAATCACCTTTCTCACAACCAAATGTTGTAACATGTAAGATTACCGGCATCCCTAATAAACTATTTCCACATTTTTGTTTAAAAATTAAACGGTTAGAATTTGATTCGTACCAATATGGGAGAACATGTGATAACAAAAAAGAGAAAAAACGCACTCCATCCCCTAACATCGACAAACTGGTATGTCACCGTATGTCTTTACGAGTAAATCGTCAACCTTATTAATTCTTAAGGGTCAGTGTACAGTAGTCTACACAATACACCCAAGTTACCCAACATCTTTAATCCCGCTCATCTGCTATACCGCCTACACGCTGATTGTTTTATCCTTTTTACTTAAAAATAGGAACAATAAATTAACAAATTCACAAAGTAAGTCTACAAAAGTGCCCATACTTACCATACAGTATATACTCTACTTTCAAGGGTTAATTCCTTAAATTAAAAAGTATAAGTAATCACAGAGATACACAACGCGGCACTGATAATTACTGTATTGGCTAACAACTACAAAGTGCAGAAACCCGAAAAAATTTTCAGAATTCGCGATCTTTTCAGATTTATACTTTCGATCAGAGTCCAAATTAACACCCGGGCGATCTTTCGGCTGAGCTGTGCAGTTAAGCAGTTACGCAAAAATATCCTACTCACAAAGTTAATACTGGTTGCGATGCTTATGCTCCCTCGAGAATTTTTCCATTTTATCAGTAAAATTATTAGAGTATTAAATTTGAGAAAATTGATAACTAGTTGTAAGAAGCTCTCGTAACGAGTAGCCATATTGTGAAAACTGCTCTAGGTCCATAATAACGGGCCTTTTAATGACCACTGGGTTGACAAGGGTGAGGGCTTACCATTAGGGGACATCACCACAGAACCAGAACTGTCTATGAGCTTTTGCTGACAACATGCCAAATCCAGATTAACAGTTCAACACTTTAACAGTATGTATGTAATAATTAACATGTATTCATGTTACAATATCGCAAATATAAAATTACTGCATTGTCTGCCCAAATCACCAATCCCTCTGCAGAAAAAACTGAAAGTACCAGAACTGGAGGTTTGGGTTTTTCAGTAGCATCACTTCGTCCGCTAACGGCAACGCCGCAACGGGCAACTTAATTATTAGAAATCTTCAGCTGGATCCTTTTTAAGTCCCGCTGCCTGCAGGACAACCGAAATTGGCAGCAACGACACACGAAAAGAGTTTTTTTACTTAAAACTTAAAAGCAGCCAATACTAAAAGTGAAACAAACATACCCAGAATCTAGAAATTCGTCGTACAGAGCTGTGCTTCTATCATGCCTATGAGTGAGTTGTGACTTACCTTGCTAACAAAAAGATACTAAGGACCGCCAGAAAAGAATCATCAATCTCAAACAGTTCCGATTTATCATAACATTTTGATGTCCAAGGATTTTGTGATCAGTCAGCTCACTCAGCTGTATCTCCGCCTGCACAAGATCACACCTGACAATGCACACTATTTCCTCTTTCAGTTTTCCATAACATGCAACGAAAACAACCGGAAGCGAACTCAAAAAGGAAATAATGAAAAATTATCATAGATAATACACGCTTCAGCTCACAAGACTAAAACGTGAGAGATTGAACCAGATTCTATAGATGGGACAATTTACTGAGTCCTGAGACTCCTGACGGGCGACTGTCGACGGACGACTGCGAACATTTTATTATTGTCGACTGTAGTCGACGACTCGGTAATAGCAGACTACTGAGACTAGCAGCCTAGTAAGCAGCAGGCTAGCACGCATGTAAAACGACAAGGCGTGGAAGTTGCGGCACCCTCGATTCCACTGGGACACCCGAATGCGGGTACCTTGGCGACTTACTCTTTTACCCCGAAAACAAAGCGCCGTACAGCGGCGCTGTGCGGCGCCGGTTAGTGCCTGGCAGATATTCGTGATATATGCATCCGTTTAGTCATACCATAGAAGTACCTGAAAAAATTTTAAAAATTTGCAAATTTGAAGACAAATACAGTAGTTAGTTAGCTTGAAAAATGTTAAAAAGAATTCCCGTTTTCTGAAACGTTTCTAATCGCAAACGAAAATCGCGCGAAAGCCAAACCCACAGAGGTTGTCTATTGCGACAGATGCGTCTTGTACCACCGCGCTAAGATGCCGAAAGAAGCCGGCCGCATTGTGAGACGTGAGTGGCTACCGTACTTTTTCGCTGGCTTTTAGAAGTTTTAGAACTTTAGAAGTTTTAGAACTTTTATTGGCCAACACATCATCAACATATGTCATATCGACAAAAAAGTTAAAGGAAAAATTTGCGGGTTTAACCTTTGTTCTTTGCCGTTTGTCTCTTTGTTAGTGCGTTCTTATTTTTAGTTTGCCGTGGAGATCTGATCTTATTGAAGTTCATGCTTTATAGCTGTTATTACTTATTAGTTAATTGCAGCTTTCGAGTTCTCCTTTAACTGGTAAGATTGGTCGCCGACTCGCAGTCCCCTGTTTTCGACGAATTCCTTGGACTGGATAGTAGATACTTTTGCGTTATGGCCGATCAACCACCGTTCGTTGTGCTGGATACCAGCATGGGTAAAGTTGCCGTGGAACTGTACTGGCACCATGCACCAAAAACTTGCCACAATTTTGCTGAACTGGCTCGACGTGGGTACTATGATGGAATTGCTTTCCACAGGATAATTCAGAATTTTATTATCCAAGGTGGCGATCCAACAGGAACGGGTGCGTTGCCAGTTCAAAAGGCCAAGTCAGCAGTTTAAGAAAACTTACCATATTACTTATTAGTTTTATTGCTATTACTGCCTATTAGTTAATTAGTATTATTATTTTTAACTTTTATACGCATTTTAAACCACATCATATTTTTGTGTTAAGCCGCTTAACGCAAAAATATGATGTGGTTTAAAGTGGTTCGGACGCGAGTCTGTTTTATAAAATTGGTATCTTAGGCCGTGGAGGACACTCGGTTTATGGGAAAACATTTGCGGATGAAATTCATCCAGATTTGAAACATGCAGGAGCGGGGATCTTGTCGATGGCCAATGCCGGACCGAACACCAATGGCAGCCAATTTTTCATAACACTGGCCCCGACTGCGCATTTGGATGGGAAGCATGCAATCTTCGGAAGGATCTGTAAAGGCATGAAGACTGTTGAGCGGTTAGGAAAAGTTGAAACTGGAAAAGATGATAAACCCTTGCACGAAGTCAAAATAGTGAAAGCTTACCTTGCTGATGATTTAGAAGAAACCTAATATTACGGAAAGAAAAGTTGTTGGAATACAGCACCTTGCTTTCTGCTTGTTGCTTTTAGTGCCCATCTTAATTTTTTGGTACGGATTACTGTTTCAGTCAGTATTTTCTCATGGTCAGTTTCAGTCATCAGTAATGACGTGAATGCAATATTGTAGAAGTATACTACCGAGTTACGATGCTGTGAATGAGCGTTTGCGAATTACAGTGTCCTCGCGCTCAAAATGTTCCCCTACTACAATGGAGATTATTGTACAGATGATCGCTTTTTGAAATGAAATGTTGGAAATCACTGCCCCGATGTCAAAACGACAAAACAATATCATAATACACTAGTATTGTTGACTTACAGTTGATGTATGCAGTTTCATAATTATTGAGTAAAAAGTATCATAATTATAGAGCAGCTAGTAAAAGCAGTTTCGAAACCATTTTGTAAGCACTGTGCAGTCGGTTGGCGCTCAGTCGGCTACATACAACTGAAATGCGCTTTTAACTAAAGTGACAAAAAAGGGAAACCTAAGAAATCCGCGCCATTAACAATAATAAGTGTAGCAAAATAAAAATTCATAGCCAATTTAGCCATAAGAGAATGCGTATCGGCTTTATAATAATTACTTCTTTACGAGTACACAATTTCCGATTGACACAGAGAAGCAATTCACATCAATTCGAAATTGCGAAGCACGTCAACAAAAAGGGAAAAAATTCCGACTACCAAATCAGCGACTAGCCGCGTACAATTTCACCAGAATGCAGAAGATTCGCGTCCGAATACCACTGACGTCCCAAATTCAAGATAAAACTTTAAACTTCAAGAAATACTCTAAAACCCAATAAATCAAAAAAGGTAGTCATCACAAGTTTTACCTTTATTAGTAAACGCAGAATCATAGTAACATGTCTCAAAAGACGAATACGAGCCAGCTTATTGTTAAAGGACTAGGAAGTGTTGGCTGGGTCATCAGAGCTGACGGCTTTTCCGTGGCAAACCGTGCAGAAATCGTTGTTAGACAACTGTGCAGCTTCCAGTGCTTCCTTCAGTTTTTCAGGAGGATCCATAAAATACTAAAATCATATAGGAAGCACATCAATTTAACAAAGTTACGCGCTTCGTCTAGTTGTACGCATTTCACCCTCTGAGCACTTCGAACTCACTATGTAGAAATAATTTTCGTGCATTTTTCGCTATAAGCATTAAGCAGTACCACTGCAGTTTAACGTCTTAATAATTACGATCAAAAACTGACTTACCTCCGTTGTTAAAATGAAGGTTCCCCAATGGATACCCAAGGATTTTCTTGATTTAATATCTATATGTATTTTCACCGCTTCCTCTGGGTTCACATGGGCAAATTTCATAAACCATCTTGGCTCATACGCTCCAATCGGAATGGCACTGATATCAAAAGGCCCATAAACATCTCCAATTTCCTTAAATCCCACACAGTAGCCGGTATCACCACCGAAGAAAAATCGATGTTTTGGAGAGATCACACACCAGCTGCCCCATAATTGCTAAAAAACCAAAGGGATTTCTTTAAATTATGTTGTCGCATTTTATAAGGCACCGCGCAAATTAAACAAATTATTAACAAATGAATCAATAGGTTTTCCAAAGTAAAGACTTCTCCCAGCCATTAGGGGAGCAGCAAAACCAGGGGAAGAAAATAAACAACACAAACAAGCAGAAAACTAATTGTTACTAAATAAAATTGGGTTATATGACTGAGACACTTTAGTTCACGACTGACGATCCGAAATCGAGCCAAACGAATCAAAAGAGCGAAATATAAGGCAAAATTAATATTTACGAAGACTGCCACAATTTCTAATTTTCATAATATCAAACTGATGGATCTTACTTTGCAATAATCAAACGCTGTGCGTTTACACCAGTGCTGGGACGGTGTGAACGCGAAAGTTACGTCCGTGCCTGGCAAAATATTCTCATCCCACCAATTCATCTCCACCACATTTTCACAACCATTACCACGCATCCACTGTGCAGTACCTTCCGGAACGTACCACCGCAATTTTTCACCGAACCGAGCATTTAACTGTCTCACCGATCCCAAATCCAAGTGGTCATAATGATTGTGACTGATGACCACAGCATCGATTGCCGGAAGTGCATCGATACCGCATGCCGGAGGACGGTAGCGCTTATTGCCCACAAACTGTACCGGGGAACACCTAAAAAGAGCAAATGAAAAGGTGAGCGTCGGATTATTTACAGCAGATATCTTTCAGCACAAATAAATATAAAAACACTGGTCTGTAGCTCCGTACCACATTGTCCACACACAAAAATAAATTATGCAAAGGCACGCTAGCGTAATTATTTTATTATCACAACCGGAATCGACCGGAAGCGAGTGTATATTTTAGCTTGTACTAAGCTGAATGGCTGAATAAAATTCAAAGTAAGTATTGCGGCGAAATTTTACTATGCAATATGATCATATGACCATAAGTCCAAAACCATAGGTCGCTCGTACCGGTCACTGAAAATAGGATCAGTCAGCACCGTTATTCCATCCATCTGCAAAAGACTTAGCGTATCTCACTGTTATTGATCGCATCTATTATCGTTTACTTGTTTCCCTACTGTAGTTCTAATTTTGTGAGCTATATATTATCACTTTTCACACCTGAAGTACCACCGTTGCGTGACCAATCCATGTCACTTTCGGACGCCCGTCAGGATTAGGTTCAAAATCCGGCCTGAATACCGGAAGGACTTTATTAAGTTCCTGAAAATAAAATAATCAGTAACTGCAGTCCACTCAAATATTTTCTCGCAATTTCAAAGCAGCCAGCAACGTCCAATACATTGTAAAGACAGAGAAAAAACCGATCGCGCCAGTGGAAGTCAAAATTCCGTTTGGTCTAATGTAAGCACAGGGTGTATTACTGTATTTCCATTTATTTGAGCGAAATAATAATATTATTATTTTAATTCTATCATCTAACAGTAATACGCACGTCAATATTACGCGGAACTCCTGTTTTATGCATCTCAGTAGCTGCAATTTTTAAAAACGACATCATCGTTGTGAGCCCGTGGTCCTGCCAGGTTTCCCAAGGATTCTTGTAGATATTATTTTCGCGCAAGGGATAGTGCAAATTAACGGCTTGGGAAAACCTCCCAACTTTAGGGCGAGGAGACTGCGCTGCATCTTGAGGATTTCGATCCATCTCCAATTCCCGACCAATAAATACCAGCGAAACAGCAGGAAGATTTTTTGGGATGAATTTCAAGGTCCCAAACATCCAGGACTCGAAAACGTAAAACTCATAAAAGCTAATAATTGTAGCAGACTACGACCAGGTGTGAACTGTGAAGTAGTGATTCAGTACTCCGTCCAGCGCATGAGCAACAAGCATAAAGCCAAAATCCTTACGGTCTTACCTTATGTAGAAAGCACCAGATCTGTACTTATTACTTCGGTATAATAGTAAATAAAAGAAAATTATCGGACTACTAACCTATCAAGCACCATCGACTCAACTTGGAGACCTGATACACAAGATCTGCTGTAAACTGGAAACTCCACACAACGATAAATTGAAAGTCTGGTAGAAAACAGAAATCGGCGATTATGGACAATGCAACATGGATTCGTACATTTGAAATGTAACGAGTACGCCTTTCTAAAGTAAAATAATTCAAAAGTGCAGTGTCAGGATGTCACCTGAAACAAAATTTCGTGCTAATACGTCATCGCGGAATGTGTTGTGTACGTATTGTAAGTACTCGTCCTTCATTCCCTATACTGACAGCTGATACTAATACGCAGTCATGTACAATAGTCTACCCTTTTCCTCGCTTACTTTTTCTTCATTGTTCTATTATTAGTAATTAAAAAAATGATTAAGTGCCTAATTAGTTTGTAAGCACCGCAAATATATATAAAAATTATTACATAAAACAAATATTTTTATATATTTTACATTAATATGCTTTAACATAAAAAAACACGTTCGGGTGCACTGCGACTTTCAAGAAGTTGAACAAGCTCGAGATCTTTAATTTGCACAAAATGAATATGAAATTCCAGCCGGTATATCGCAAGCATTGCCGGTACATTGTACATCGATAATATACGTGCAATGTGACTGCAATACAAGACTTATTATTAAACCTTAAAGGTTATAATCGGATTATGTAAAATTTCTCGTGGGTACTCTTTGTTTTTCCGGTTGTTGTACATTGCCTTTTGTGTGTTTTGCAAGTGCAAGGACAGTAAAAATCTCTGGAAATAACGATACCCAAGGCATAATTCCACACACAGTACATTTTACCCTTAAACAAATATGTACAGTACAATCGTACAATAAGCGGCAAGTGGGAACTGCACAATTAAATTCCAGTTGTTGCTACAGTACTCCTATACAAGATTTTTCGCATAAAACAACAAGAATCATCAGCGTAATACTGCCTTCGACCGTTTTTTGTGGATTACAGGTTTCTTAGTCCGCAGTACACTATCGTCGCAGTACACCTGCAGAGCAACAACGTTTCCATTTTTTGTTGTACGTGCACCCGTATGTGTTAGAGCACCCGGAAGCGAACACAATATGCAATGCACACGCCTTTGTATCATAGCACGTCCAGCCGTCCAGGAAACAAATATTTATCCCATTACAGGTATAGACAATTCCGGTAGTAGATGCTGTAATGCAGTCCGCTCGTGTGTGGGAGCACGAAACAGAGAATTCCAGTATCGCAGAGAGCAAGAAAAGGAAGGTGTTTTAATGCTCCCATTGGATAGGCTCCCATGCTCCTGAAATGGAAATACGTATCCCGGCTTATTAGTAACTTCGGTAATTGCTAATATTACATGTGTCTACTTGTTCGCTCGATTCATGTTTTGTACCATATTCACGTGTCTAAATAATAGCACGGTTATACAAAGACTTGCATTCGGATGCCGCGTTTGCACGGACACTGTGCCTCATCCTTCCTGCCGGTATACACAATGAAAATTACACAACAAGATCAGTTGTCATATGGGTACAATCCAAGGAACACTGGAAATAATATACATCTGCGTTCCAAATATGCGCTTGGCCGTGCATTGCAAATTAGCCTTAAGACTTGTGTCAAATACAATCATACAACTTGTCTGATGAAGTGCTGTAGAGGGACCGTAAAAGGGCAAAGCTGCTACGCATACGTTACTAAATTAATTCAGAAAATCTAATATAACTTCCTCGCACCGGAACTTGATCGATAGCGTTTTGACAAATCGGGCATCCGCGGTACGCTTGACAGGAATATCGAAACCCGGCTATTCAACGGCGGAAGCCACAAAGTAACAAGATATTACATATTTAGGAGAGATTAAAGGATACTAGATTTGCTATCACTGTCTCCAGTGTGCCATATACATGTACATATGTATACCAGCGAAGGTATCATTAATAAGATTAATCGTCCATTTTCAAGGGTACAAAATTGGTGTCGATCCTGGTACATTGCCCATTTATTCCCGGCCATAACCGGCCTGTTGCGGCCTTTTCAATTGGCTGTTATGTGTTCGCTTTTGTCGACCCCCTCTGTTTTCCCCTACCAAGCTGTAGCCTGTGGGGATTAATGATCATGACAGTGCTGAACCAATGTAACCGCCTGACTAGACGACAGGACTGTAGGCATTTGCTCACTTCCTGATTGCGATCGTTAAGTTTCAACTTGTACACCGGAAATAAGCGGGATAAAGCTACTTATTGCCAGGAGAAAAATATTCTAATCCTGATTAAATCCTCATCCAACTTTGAGAATAATGGGTATTGTTGGTTTTCTTCGAGACCCAGTGAGCAGATTATGGTTTGCCGCATTGTGTGTTGTTTGCTTACCGGCATTGGCGCATGGCACTGCTGCCGAGGTGCGTTTCGGTATACTGGTGACAAATGCTAAACAACAAATGCTTTTACAGTAAGTTTAATTTGGTGAACTGCTGATTCGAATGCGTATTCACCTTTAAATATAATCATTTACAGTAAATTTTACTGGTTTCAGGCGGAATTCCCATCGTGCCGTCGTAGACTACTTTTCAAATAACCGTTTTGGTTTCACAAAAACGGTGAAAATTCTTCCTCCACCGGTTATTTCTCTTGATGTAAGCGATTTTTAAATAAAATTTAAACTGCCTAAGAAATAGATTACTTTTTAGGGTTTTCTTGGACCGAGTAATATTCTCAGCATTATCTGCAATAAAATCTTAGCCCAGAATGTTAATGCGCTGGTTTCCGTGTCATTTTACGAAGACGCAAAAGTGGACGAGGTCAATGCGTTACAATATTTGTTTCAAGTAAGAAAAGTATAAAGCGTAGTATTACGTTTTGCCCTGTCTATTAGCAGTTTTTGATCTAATTTTGCAATGTCAATGTCACATAAAATGTTGTATGTTGTGTATTCCTAGAAGGTTTCAACTGTGCAAGTGCAATGTGCGATGCTTGAGCATTTAAAAAACTGCAATACGTTGCATGTGATAAATTGTTTTAGTTTTGCGATCCATAATTATGTACTACGTAAATATCCTGGAAAGCAATCATAATCAAAACTCAGTAATCGTTGTCTTTATATTTTACGGTTCACTGAGCCTCTAGTACTTTCTTTGGGGTGCTGGTCGGACCAGTTTTCTGTGTTCATAATGTGGTGCATTTAATATTATAGATTTACTAGAGTAAAGTTAATAATTTATTAGTAAATTTAATAATTTTTTTTCTGCAGTTGTCGTCCTATTTGCAAATACCGGTAATATCTTGGCAGACTGAAAGAGCAGAGCGTGTAAGTAGAAATTATATAAACAAGTATGGTAATTTTACTAATTAGCGTCCCTTACAGATACATCTATAGAAGTATATTACATGCTGAGATCATAATTTGTTCGCTCGCTATAAAATAAATTTAACAGTACTTAAGAATTAGTAATCATGTATAAATTTTCTGCTGCCCAAATAACCGAGGTGTAATATAAAAGCTAAAAATTTGACAAACATTTTTAGTTGGCGAAAAGTGTATCTAAAAAGCGTACTTTTGTCGGGCAAAAAATGGGTATACTAACACAATGTACAGTAAACACAGTGGAACTATATGGAATTATTTCGGGATGAATTGCAGTCATCTGATGATCTTCTGGTGATTCAAATGGCTTCCACGATCCACCATCAAGTAAAAGCTGCATTCAGGTACTTACAGTACATCCATGATGATACGCCTGTACTTATTCAGGGTACGACTTGTATAAAGGAAGCCGTACTTGTGTACGTATTATGCGACCTGTCGCTCCGCGATCCTTAGAACGAACAAAACTGAATGAAAATCCTTACAAATTAATATGAAACAGCCCAGATATACATACTTTCTTTCTTTTAATTCTACAAACTTTTCCAGAACACACAAGTTGACAACAAAATTTAATAAACTAATCCCTGTTTGTATGGCTTACGACTTGTCCATGATAACTTTCTAAGTTGTCTGCAAGATGCTTTTTACGCTTTTCTAATGTCTTGAAAGAAACGTAATTTTTTTTACTGCAAAATTAGCTGTAAAAGTGTGTCTATGGTATGGCATTGCTTCGCAAAAATCCTTCCACATCCACTATCTTAAAGTTTTGATTTATGTACGTAACTGTTGTATCCTTTCCTCTACTTGATAAACTAATAATTACAAGTTTAAAATATATTTGCGGTTCCCGGTTATTGCTGTCTTCTGCTGTTAAAATTTAAAGAACAACACCTTTCCTTCTCACTCATCCACGCACTGATATATATTGCTGTTATTAAGAAGTTCCACTGTTATGTGACTTCTTTTGGTACTAATAACTGAAGTGCACATATGTTTTAATTAAAGATCTAGAATATTTAAACGCGCGCCTGTCTTTGATTAACGGTACGCTTACTATTATTATTTATTATGATTATTAAATAATTTAGTTTATTCTAATTTAAACAACTGTGCAGCTGTAACAATAGCCTTTTTGCCTTACAGCATCTTGGAGCGTTACAAATGGACACAGTTTTCTATAGTGATGGTGAAGGCACTTGCTGGACACGATGCTTTCATCAATGCCATTCGGCAGGAACGCAATAAGGAAACTTTTAAGTAAGCACATAATTAAAGAGTTAAACGCGCATTTGTGATAGCACATAACTAAAGCAATGTTGAGCGCATTGTGAGTTGCAATGGCGAATTCCGGTGTATAGAATGCTGTTGGTTTACGGAACATAAGCCCTTATCGGCGCTCCCCAGAGACACGAGTGCAATGTTTTTTATGTTCCCAGTTATCCCATCTTAAGAATAATTAAGTGTGACATGAAAACGATGGTGTGTAATCACAAGTCGCGCGCACCAATACAGGAGACAATAAACCGATTTACGATTCCAGTGACGTAAATTCGCAGTTTTTGTGCGGTGTATTGGCCAATGCAGACCGCTTGGATTACATATGGCATGCGGCATTGATCGTCTTGCAAGATGTGTCCTGACACACAAAGTACACGTACACTACTGTATAGATAACAGATCTACTGTGTCTCATCCACATCACTCTATAAGTCACGGCATAAACAAACTTTATTTCTGAAAACAATAATACAGTAATAATATCATTATTGTTATTTCTGCATCAACAGATATTTCACAACAATTTAAATTTGTTGTAGAATGTAACGCTGTCTATGTCTACATCTAACTTTGTGTATTCTGTACGCATATCCAGAGGATGTCATTTTTGGCAGTTAATATAGGACCACATAACTCTTACATGAACAGTTCTATTTATTATGCAGGACGCAGATCTTGAGTATTATCGAGATTACTTCGCTCCAGCCCGACGACATACGAAAGCATATGCAAACACTGGACAGCGAAACCCGTGTGATAATGTTCTTTGCTCATAAAAATGCGGCGGTGGCCATACTGCAGATTGCTTCCGAATTGGGGTTAACAGGGCCAGATCACATGTGGATCTGCATGCAGAAAGTTATCGGCGATATGACTACGAAAACCATTCCCCCGCCACCGGAATATCCTGTCGGCATGTTAGGTAACCACATGTTTAAAAGTCATACTACAGTATATTACTTTTAAAATTTGTAATACATGCGTACTTGCATTATTTATAACCTAAGGAAATCTCTGTATTCTGGATTTGCGTGGTAATAACTTTGTCATTATTGTGGGTATCAGTTGCAAATTAATCTGGAGCAAATTTATTCATTACCACTGGCAGCGGGCTGCATTGATTGCCGTGTATGTATATACTGTACCGATATAGGAATTGATATGGACATGACCGAAGCGAATATGATTAAAATTGTCGGCAACGGGATAAAGATATATGGCCATGCCATGGATATATTAGTTCAGGAATCTAACGTGTCGGCCAGTTCGTTTAGTCCAAACATTTCTTGTGATACGGACGATGCTGTGTGGGCACTGGGAAGAGACTTTTACAAGTAAGTAGTTGACTCTACGAGTAGAAATCTATAATTAACAAAATTCAAGTTTTTTTGCCGTATATTAATAAATGAAGTACACAAGATCGTCATTTTTTGCACGGGTACTGTGTTTATCACACCATAAACACCTGCAGTTTCGTGGTGCTATCGTAGTGCAAAAATATATGAAGAAGTTTTATCAATAAAAAATACGGACACTGAATATTTTTAGAGCGATGCGCAAAGTTAAAGTACCATTACTGACCAGCCGAAACAGTCCTGAAATTCAGTTTACAAAAGATGGTGGCACAACGTACGCCGAGTTTGATGTCGTCAATTTGGTTATCGATAAAAAGCAGCGAACGCGTGCCTGGAAACAGGTGAATAGCTAATAGTAACGTTTCTGGTAGAATTCAGGTGTACATTCGGGAATAATTGTTGTGAAGCACTATAAGAACGGGGTTCCTAACCGACCTCGTCGTGTGGGATTCTGGCGCGTAAATGATTTTTTACTGCTTCGTGCTGACGCCGATCTATTCAAGTAATACACGTATATACTCGTATATCAGGTCGGCAGCTGGAACACTCTCCTTGGATTGCAACTGAGCGATATTATGTGGCCTGCACACTTACCTGTGCCTCCCCGTGGACGACCGGAAAAATTTCATTTAACCGTGGTTACGTTAGAAGAAGTGCCGTATGTTTGGATAAAGCCTACAGGTCAATAGGAACAAATGCCCGCTACGATTGATAATGCAGAAAAACTGATTTCCAATGCAGGTCCTGGTGGTAAATGCGAAGTTCGTACAGCCCCTTGCCGCGTGCGCCCCAAGGCGGTGTAAGTGCATTTGACCTTATGGCTTCTTGCTGTGATAACTGACTCAGATTGTCCAATATCTGTTTTACATAATTTAAAAAATTATACTGCTAACGCAAGCAACTAAAATCGAACATTTATTTTTGTAGTGTTAGTGTATCAGACATTTTGAAATCAGCGCAGTATTCGCTCTTTTCAAAATATAAGCGTGCTTCGAGTTTCTAGCCTTGAAGGTATCCGAATTTATAATTTCTATATAGTCAATTGTTTAGTTAATGTCTCTTTGCAGCTTGGATGTTGTTAATATCACCGAAAGCTGGCAAGATTGGTGTTGCACTGGACTTTCCATCGATCTGCTCACAAAACTCGGCGCAGACATCGGATTTACTTTCGACATATATCAAGTCGAAGATTTGAAATGGGGACGGAAAACGGTAAAATTCTTTTTAATAAAAACAGTAAATAGTGTCACCAATTACCAGACAAGAAGTTTGAGGTACTTCAGTTTTTTCTATGTATGCAGTTTAAGTATGGATCAGTTGTAACCATCCCCTTTGTACGCATATTAGGCATATATATCCATAAAAGGGACTGTCCACTGTGGTTTTAAGAACAATAATATTTCCGGTTTGTGGATATGAATTTCGCTGAAACGATGGAAATTAATTTAGATAAATGGAAGCTGGAACGGACTGGTTGCTGATCTGCTGAAAAGGAAAGCCCATTTGGCAATGACCTCGTTAACTGTGACGAAAGAGCGGCAAGCGGCAATCAGTTTTTCTACGGCATACTTAGGTAAATCAAGCGGAACTGGGAACCGATCAGCAAATTCAGTCCCATAGCATACATATACAATAGTCACTGCTATGGGTTTCATGTTCTCACAGAGAGTCCTGACGAAGATTTATGTGAGCAATGTTACTTATTACGATTATTTTAGGGACCGGCATAGGAATTGTAGTCGCTAAACAAGAGGGACGCATTTCACCAACGGCATTTCTTGGTAAACAGATTTTTAAAAAAGGCTGACATTAGAAAATTATACCTTCCTGTGTATTAATCGCCGCTCGAAAACGCTTCGAAACTTAGGTTAGAGTGCTAGCCTAAAGCGGTGGACTTCCCTAGTACTTAATTTTGCTAGTGATTTAATGCCCATCTTTGTCGATTGTTATTTCAGAACCTTTTGACTACGTTACATGGATTGTGTTAGTGGTGGCATGCATCCAGACAGTTAGCATTTTCATTTTTGCTTTTGAATGGTTGAGCCCTTCCGGGTTCAACATGCAGTCCATTCCAGACGAAGGTACTGTATCCGGCACGCGGTAAATTAGCAGAGATAAGTTTTATGTTTATATCGCGTGTCACTGCCGGAATCAATCCAGAATACGTAAACCAGTTCTTATTTGCAGATAATCGCTTTAGCTTTTTCCGGGTATATTGGCTTGTTTTTACCATCTTTTTTGGAGCTCCTTGTCCGGTTATTTTGCCAAGGTCATTTACTGCCAAATTTCTTACTGCTGTTTGGGGTAAGCACAAATTAAGTACGAGTATATATTTCTCTGCATCTGTCTGCGCGGCTTTACAGAATAATATAGAACTGGTTAATCTAAAAAAGGCTGCGGTAGTTAAACTTCTGTAAAATTTTGAACCGCTACGGCTGTTTGTTTTTTTTACTACAGAGTTTTATAAGTATGTGTGTACATAATCCTCAGTGGGAGAGAAAAGTTGTATGCATAAACGCTGACGGGTTTTTTGACGTAAATGGAGGCGTTTATGAATGTCTATGCATGAATAAGTAGAGCTGTCCAGAAGATGCTTTACGGTTGATGAAATTTGAGCTTAATTCGATCTGGGTTGTAATTTTTTGCAGCGTGCTGCGCCTTCGTGTTTATAGCGGTTTACACTGCCAATCTAGCCACATTTATGATAACCAGGGATGATCTACTGCTGATTCAAGGCATCCAGGATCGTCGGTTTCATAATGAATCGAAAAGTAATCCATTTAGATTCGGCACCATATCATCGGGATCAACTGTGGAGACGATTCGGCAGACTTATGAGCACATGTACCATTATATGCAAAAGTATAACAAGGACAATATATCCCAAGGGATCGAAGCGGTAAAGAACGGGTATGTAAACACATCTGTTCGGTGTTTTTATAACACGCAATACGCGTATGATCAATGACACCATCCGCAGTTTAAACCAACACTTGTCATAATATTTTAGACAACTGGATGCCTTTCTGTACGACGCTTCGGTTCTTGAATACCGGGTAAAGCGGTCAATGTAATCAGCTAAGTACTTACTGGAATAGTTACTGCATTGCTTATGGCCGATTTTGTATGAAATCATTTGTGTGTTTTGTGTTCCTAACTTTAATAAAAATAAGTTTGATGCTTTGTAGGTCGGTTCGGATACGGCTTGCAAAATACAAACTGTTGGATCCTGGTTTGCAACAACAGGGTAAAAACCAATCTACAGGCAGTAGACACAATAAGGGTACACGAAAGTGATGAAAAATCTTTGGTTCTGTTTTAGTTACGCTATTGGATTTCCACAGGGATCTCCATTAATTGCTGTATTTGATGAGCACCTTCTTAAATATCAACAAAACGGTTCGTGCAATTTTAGTTGCCTTTAGATGCCCTTGCACTATCACTTTTTCATAGATTAATAGGCTTTTTTACATGCAAATACTGTATCTGTACATAACTAAAGCTGGGCCAACGTATACTTAAGTCTGAATTTTTCTGCGACTCACAATTTACGAACAATGAGTATATCTATATAAGATTACATAAGAAGTTTCTTATAACTGGAATAATTTGAGGTTCTCAAACAATTGCAGAGGTACTGCAGTTACGTAAAAATTGAAAAGCTGCTTAAACTTTGTTGCTTAAATTTTATTGGTTTCCATGTGGCACTGGAACAATGGTCTACAATTCAATAACAACTTAAATTGGTAATTATATTGCAAATGTTCAACCGTATGGTTAAGGTTACGGAAGGGATGTGCAGGAAACGCGTCATTATACGTAATATGTAAATCATTAATGCTCTTATTTCCGTGTTGGAAATTCAGGATACTTGGAACAACTACAACAATTCTGGCTAACCGGCGCCTGTAATCTGAAATCCCAAAAGGAGGACAAGTCTTCCCACGCTTTAGGCCCAAAGAATTTTACAAGCGCTTTCATTTTCCTGGGCGCGGGAATCGTCAGTGGAATACTGTGTCTCATTGTGGAATGGATCTACTTTAAATTCATTAATTTCGGCATCTGCAGTGCGGTGTTTGAGAGTAGTACCTGCCAGTTTCTTAGCGTTAACATCTTCAAAGCAGTGCGAGCGGAAAAAATTCGGCATCCACGTCAACTAGTGCCGGACACCGATATTCCTGTGAACACCGAACGGCGTCGGTCCAGCGCTGTGGAAGACGACCTGGCCAGGATTAGCGCCGAGTTGGTCATCGCTCGCATGCAGGTGCACAAGCTGGAGAACATTCAGAAGCGGTTGCGCAAATCACCGCTAAGAAAAGTGGACAGTATTGTGGGGCAGCCGCGCAGCGGGGCACCAGCAGGTCCCGAAACACCGCTGCGAAAGCGCACCGGTAAACGACCGGGAATGCAGGATGCGGATATCAATGGCACTAGTTTGCATGTGGTGGAAATGGAAACGGTTTTATAATTCAGAATTAGGAATGCTTCCGATCTCAGTAACCTTTATGCGCAAAAAATTGAATCGTATTAACAAAACTGATCATACACAGGAAAAACACAATAATAAAATGAAGGAATTCAGTTACGTCAGTCTTCCCATGTTAAGTATCGCTTAGATGATCACAGTGTACCGCACTCTACCATCCAGAGAAAAAAGAATAAACTAAAATTGCAAGCCCCAAATCAGAAGTTTTACCGCAAAAAAAACAAAGAAAAATTATTCCAGCGTTCCAAGGCTCAATGTAAGCGGCGATAAACTCGACTGGCAGTAACATTTCCACACATGTACGTCTATAAAAAAGCGATGTATTCGTTACAGATGTGATATGTGCACCAGTCATCTGAAATGGCTGGACAAACCGAATTGTAGCCGTGTTCGTCAAAGTCGCCAATGCGAATAAAGTCTTGAAACGTAGGCGCACTGCCATTATTGAACTTCTCTTTGAAAATCGAAATAAGGAATGTCCGTTCGCCTTCATATGCATAATAGGTGTACTGAAACATAAATACTGCAGTTACCGATTTGGCGTTCCTAAGATCTTTTAACCTGTCAGGTGCAGAGGTCACAGCGACTACTCGCTGCATAATAAATTCCAGTACCACAGAACGGTCACTGATGGGATTCACGTCAACCTCACCTCCATCCACCATTTACTTTTGACCAGCTGATCATGGCTTTCTCCCAGAGTGAAAGGTACGTGGGTAAACGGACTGTCAATGCCGTACTGAAAGCGTTGTACATAACTATCATTCGCTTCAGCGTATTCCGTGATGGTCTTCCGTGTAATTTCCGGGAAATCTTGCAAAAAAACACCAAGACAGATGCCGCATCGTTATCGGCATTTAAAATATTTTTGACAAAGTTAAATGCGTACGGATGGAATAAGCGAAGCTGTTAAAATTCGGCGAGGCTCCAATGGACTCATATCGTCCGAAGACTATACTAGGAAGACGCCGACGAAAAAAGCGTCTAGCAGTTATTGAAGCGGTGCTGGTTTCGCGGCGGTAAAACTGCAAAATCCAAATTTTGCAACTAAGAACGTAACCTCCACAATTGGAAAGAACTGTCGTATTTAGGTATCTGTAAAACAGCTTTATAAAAGAAACGTTACCGCTTCAATTCCTCTCGCATCTACGGTATAGCGCACTTTAAAGCTTAAGTCGCCATCTGTGTTAACAAAGTGAATAAAAAGTATCGGATTCTCTCCGCCGTCGTACGTATAAGTTATCTGGAAGTTTAAAAATTCAGTATTAGTTTAAACATATCATACAGATATGTCCGGGAATTATTCACTTCGAAGTTCTTGCCGCCGATTTCTTGGGAAACTGGGACACCAAGGTGAAAGGGAATATCTACGGACTCCTTGCTTCCCAAAATGTTGATGATCTCCTGATGATACGTGCCGTTCTTTCGATAAAAACGGACACGTGAACCGGCATCAGACTCGGAACCCAAAACAGGATCCACTAAAATTAGCCATAGCACTCACAAACAGAAAAATTACGAGTATTATAAAACGGAATGCCTCAAATTCATATAGAGGTATACGAACACATTCAAGAATAGGACTAAATAATTTATATTATTCGCTATTTTTTAGGCCTAGCGTTCGGAACACATAAAGTATATTAAATTTGTATACACGTCGCACTCACAGAAGACAGAACTGAATTCTGTATAGTTTTCGGAATTCGCGGTAAGGGACTCAAATTTTCCATAGATTTCGATAGGTAGTGCGCGCTTGTAATGCCGAGTTGCCACCACATTATTTCCGCTATATGTCTGGAAAAAAGGTCAACACATGTGGTAAAAAATCACAATCTGCGTAAAGCAGGAAGATCCTGCTGGCGCATTTAAGTGCTTTTGAAATGGCATTTCTTACCATATCGATCCCTTCGCCATCAAAAACTCCGGTAATCGTGTACGATGCATCGCCGTTCGTCTGCACGAATTCACCTTTGATGACAGTCGAGTTCTCCGTTTGGTACACATTAAAGGAGTACTGCAAAAATTTAACCAGTTGATGGATTTACGTGATCCTTTGTTGTATAGGGCAACAAACCTCCAGCGCTTTTCCTTCCACAAATATCTTCTGTTTTTCTCCAATAAAAAACGGATAGGTGATTGACATTGTTTCCGGGTCGAGAATTTCCTGGTAGCGGTATGATTCGCCGGGTGGGCCCATCAAACTCAGCTTACTGTTGGACGTATACTGACCCTTCTCTCGGCGCGCTGCACGAGTAAAATGCCATTAGAAACAACCAAGTAAATGTCGCGCACTCATAACCATCTCTTTACACCAAGTACTGCATTAAAAATTTTGTGCCGCGTTAAGAGTTAGAATGTGGCCGTAAAACATACTTACGCAGTACGGAAGCAAATTTAGCATAATTTTGGATTCTTTTTTGGCATCGTTCTCGTAATAACCCAGAAATCGCTTCGGTATAACCCGTTTGTATTTGCGTCGAGCCATAATGTTATCGAGAACGTCTGCATGCGTGTATGTCTGCAAAGCATGACAAATGGCAAGCCGCAACATAACAATATGTACATTTCCGTGTGAGATGCCGTTGTTTTAATTAATTTTAGGTATACACACGACTGTCATTCCCGTTCGCGTAAAGGTGGCTTCCACAGTAAAACGAATATCCCCTCCAATTTCCTGATACGTCGCAAAGATTGTGGCACGATTGGGATCCGCCGTGGGTTCATACGCATAGATGTACTGCGGTAATAAGGTCAAGATTACTAGGTGAAACTGTTACCGTCACTGCGGTGCTACTGTAAAGATGGCGTTAATCTTTGTAGCGTGGAATTAAGCTGCAAGCATTTATTTACCACTATAAAAAATTTCATTGCAGATTTCTTCATTGCCACATTTGAAAACGTTTTGCAGGATAAGCGCCATGCTTTCGTAATGCGAATATCATCGTATATAATAAGTCATAGCAAGTATAGTACTGCCATGAATAAGTTTACAACGTTTAAGCACCATACTGGCATACTCTACTCTAAACGTTAAGTTTTGCCGTGCGGTATATATGCTTTATTTAATTGATAAAATCTTACCTCGATAACTTTGCCATGGATAGTTTTATTTTGAGTTTCCCCAAATTTGAACTCGAATTCTAATACTCGGGAAGTGTTTTCGAAAATAAATCTACAAATCATACAAAAAGATTATTTTTGCTAAATACATTCCACAATATGTAGTGACAATACTCCATATTAAACTACTTGAATACCTGTGGTGAAACCATTCGCCAATCCGATGGAACTGCACCGTATTTCTTTCAGAAAACGAATCCAGTCCTAAACAATGTAAAGTTACATGATCTGAAAGGGTTATTATGCCTTTCCGATATGAATTGTGATTCCCCACGTAAAGCTTTGCCAAACTCCGCAATATTCCCCCTTCCACCAGGTAAACTGATGAAATCGCCGACGACGACAGTCGTATTGCTCATACTCTCATCCTGCGTCGATGGAGAAATTAAGCACAATGCATCTATGTAAAACACAACATTCAACGTATGAATTGTTTTTGCATAGGTAATTGTCGTATTGAGAATGCAGGCTTACACAGGAAAATTACTTCCACATTTGCGGACATTTTTGAAATTACTCTAAAAACCGGCGGGTAGCCGGTAGGAAAAGCTTTAGAACCACAACAGTGACAACACTTGAAAAAACAACGGTGACAAGGGTGTAAACAGATCCATGAAACTGCACAATCCACGAAACTGTCTCGGTTACAAGCCGAATAATGTGGTACGCTCTCCGGACACCACCAACACTCGAGAACATGATCTTGATCTGATAACATTGCACCTATCGAGTTGACAACTCGCACTAGGTATCCAGAGGTCAACCTTTTACCTCTCATCAGCTACAGGCTGTACCATAACGCTGCTTTGAGTGAGACTAACAAGTAAAACACATAAAAGATAAAATAAAAATAGTAGCACCTACACGAAAATCAACTAACAGGTGACATAAAATTTATAACAAATAGTAAACCAAAAGGTTCAACATAACACGAGAAACTGGCTAAAACGCATAATAACACTAGTGACTAATACTGATCTACTGATCATATCAGCTTTCTTGTGGGAAGCTTTTTTAGCCAGTCCTTTTTCAAACAGCCAAGATCTATCAACCGTCCCATGTCCTTTAGCTTCTCACGCTTTTGCGCATACTCCAGTAATCGTTCCTAGAACACAAACAAATCTTAAGCACGACTTTGCCTATATTTTTAATTACTGTGCAATATCTTCTTGTCACATGCGAATGTGATATCTTGTTTGACAGGCCTACAAATAAATGCAACCAAACTGCTATATACAGTTTTGTCGAATATCTCCTTATGCCGGGTAATCATGGTAAAATTTAAAATAGTCTACCACATCTGTGTCACAATAAACTGATGGGAAAACAAATTCACGAAACACAACTATAATAACGTTGTCACAAAGACGAGATATTTGCTAAAAGTTTTAAACACACCTTTGCAGAGCTTTTGAGGAGCATGAGTCTCTTTGTCTTTGGGTCAGTTTTTATCAGATCCAAGCGCACCAACATATCTTCGATGTCATCCTTCGCCATTCCCAAATGTTCAATCAGGAGATCCAGTAAAGCCGGGTACTGGATCTGTTCTGTTCCTTCCCAGTAATTTAACAAAGCCCGTGATACCATACATTGCCAATACGAAGTGAAGGCCAGCAGTCCTGCTTTTGATAAAGGTCGTTCAGGTGTTCCGGGTTTGTGTGTAGTGCGCGCGATCACATAGCCTGAAGAATTGTGAGTATGCATATCAATCTAGAGTAGGTGCCAGAGATGTTGCACATTCCGCTACTTACTCAGATCTATCAACAGTTTACCGAATCCTTGGTTTTCATATTGAGGAAAGACCAGTATGCAAGCAAGTGTATTTTTTTCCAGATCCTTGTCCTGTAGAAAATTAATAACTGAATGAACCGTAATTAGCTTTAAACAGAAAGCAATATGAGTACCTTGGAAAAATATCCAACCGGTCTATATCTACCGTCCGCGCCTCGCTGGACGAGGACATAATACATCATATAAATCACGTCGTAACATACGGCCTTTGTCGCTAAGAAGAATCTGGATAACAGCGACAGATTCTGACAAAATGTCTGCAATGGAAAATTCAAAACATGAGCAAATAAAAAATCTGAATAATAAAAAACCCTAAAATATTGCCGCTCGCTATTGAACTCATCCGTATTAATTCTCGGCACACAGAATTGACTAACTGGACCTATGACTTACTCATGGAAAGTATTAGTTTTAGGTCATTTCAATATATGTGCTAGGCAACCACATTTCTCGGTAGGCCAATATTAACATGCAAGTCTATGGGAGATGCCCCTTGTTGCAATGCTAAGTCAACTACTGACTGCACAAGATTTTTGTTCTGGCCCGTAACAAGCACCTTTTCGGTCACTTAACACTTTGCAGAAAAGCTCAAACAAAAATATCGATCGGTGAATTTACTGGAGGGGCTGATGTAAGCATCCCACAACGTACTACTACCTGTCCCCCTAAATTAATGCTCGACACCCTACTGGCTAATCAAAAGGCTCGGATTTTAGTATTTCTGGATTGGCGATAAAAAGTTACACGGAAAAAGTCTAAACATAAATATAGACCAACGAACAGAAATATTTGCCAATTATTTTACAAAAGTGCCCCAACTTGGCCCGGCAGGGCTGTACAAAGCTACTATTATTATTATTTGTACAATAGCTATCTTTCGACCTTTCACTGTTCTCCAGTTTTTACAGCAGTAGCTTGATCGTTATATTTTGTACGCATTTGTGTTTTATCGTATATGTTTTGTATCGTGAATTTCCACAACCTACCTTTTCCACTCGTCCATCTATCTCAAAAATAGCCAGATCATTCTTGGAATATATGCGTTCTCCAGAAAATTCGTAATCGCAAACCGCAGTATGGCGGGTATATTGGATCTTTTCATGAGATATGTCCAAACATATATCGCAAAAATAGACCTCCGTTTGTAATGGCTCATCACGAATTGTGGCTGACGTTTCGCTAAAACAATCATCAAAACATTCTTCAAATCATAACGAAAAACACAGAACGCAACGGACACACAACCCAGAAAACATTCAAAAAAAGTCGGATTATGGGAACTATCTGGTCGGACGCACTTACTGTACATCAACCACGTAAGGTCCAATAGATATTTTTTCGATGAAGAAATGTTGCTTGTGTGGCACAATATTTTGTTCATCCTAAACCAAAAACAATCTGTTTCAGGAAAATGTTTACTTAAATCCTGCATTTCATAGTTTAACAACCTACCAGCTTCTTCGCGTGACTGATTTTACTCATCTCGAAGAGCGCTTTGCTGAAACCGGAAACACCTTTTAGCTCGGGTGCTAACAGAACATCCGTAGGCTTTGTCAGCTTTTCGGATTTCTTGGTAGGGTTCAAGCGCTTATCTGCCAGTACCGACAATGTATCCAACTAAGAAAGGGTTTAAGGAATTAACCGCAAATACGATAGACCCTGTCATCAGATACAGACGTCGAAACATTTACGTACCATTTCCTTGCAGTCTTTGCTTCTCTTGATAGATGTGTTTTCTAACGCTTCGACCACTTCAGTGTATAAAAGTGCTGTGTTCTTGTCCAAACGGTTATAGATAGGGCAAAACATCAAGGAATTATGGGAACCACTGACGCCGTTCAAATGTCCTAAAACAGCAAAAAGTGAATACAAACAACAACACCCCAATGAATATTGCATTGCGAATCGACTTTGGAATATAACAATCATAACAAGTACTGTACGGATATGGCTTACTCACCAGTTCCGTCGCATCCCCTTGCCACACAGGTTTTCGGCAACGGATCACTGACATGGGCCTCTGCTTCGTCGATAGACGAAGAATCATTCTCAGCCTCCAAGCTTTCTGAACGGCGTTGCCGTATTTTACGAGGGGCTTAGTTTTCAGTTTTTTCTTGGGGGAATCCTTTTTAAAAGAAGCTGCCTTCGCGTGTCACATCCTAAAAGTTTAGTGCGACGGAATCCGCGTGTTGTATGTTTGGCTTCAATGCAGTCTTTGCACAGGAATGGAGTCTCATCTACTAAAAAAAAGATAATCACAGAAGTTTTCATCACTTAAACAATAATTATTGTTGAGGATTTCCGTAATACTGCAAACAAACTTGTATCCATCATTTACAGAGGTTCCATTTGAAGGCATTAAACTTCGTGATAATAATTAGTGAAGTGACATGTTTTTTATATTACTAACAATTAACACAGAGATTACGTACCTCCTTCTGAGACATTCACGGGAGGGTTCAAACATTTTCCATGATATCCCCGGTCGCAGCCGTCACAGAAAAGCATTCCATCCTATAAAGGAAAATAAATTCTTTATGTAAACTGAAAAGCACTGAGCGCAGTCAGGTATGTGTTTAATCTAATATGTAAGTCAAAAGCATCAAAAGTCAAGCAACCATCGCTACTTTGCAGATGAAAACTGTCCAGAATATTTACAAATCATCGTACTAGGCAAACCCAGCAGAATACTCGTCAAAGCGGGTAAGTACAATACTCGTTTTTTACGGACATAAAATTCGGTTCAAAGAATATTAATATCACTAATAATTTAGGATTATCACTGGAACAACTGCAGCAACCGTACAGTCATGATATTATCCACATTTTTACAGTGTAAGTTATTACGCACCGCTTCGTCTTTCTGGCAGACTTGACAAACTTTACATTCGTTGCACTGCCATTCATAGAAACCCAACCGTGTACATTTTGATGGGATATTCGCGCACTCCGAGTGATCTGAAACAGACATACACTTCTGTAAATCATAAACAGTCTGCAAGTACAATTAAACTCTGTGATCTCACAAATCCGCAACAGAACAACCGTAACCGTTAATTAAACACTAACAGTTATAGTCCGTTTAAAATTATAATGCCTATAATCACGGAATAAGCCGAAAAGCAGAGAGGCATAACAGGAAGGAGCCCAAACAAAAGGAAGACTTACAAACATCCATGCAAAAACTGCAACGAACCCACGAAGGAACTGTTGTTCTTCGACGGCGCGCAGCATCTGACAGGTCAATGTTTTTATGACACTGGCTGCAAGGAACCACCTCAACATCGTCCACGTCCATTGCTAAGTCTGACGGAAGAGATTTTCCCAAGATCACCATACAAATCAAAAGCTAAACCGTTTTTAAATGGTTGGAAAATGGTCCAGAAGAAACGCGGGAGAGTGTTAGTAATTAGCGTAACATCTCCATGGCACAGAGCGCTTCCCGTCTCATTATCAGTATTTTAACAATCAGTGATCACAACGGACAAATTCGGATTCAAATGCAACACATTCCGACATTTTCCAAATTTTTACTGAAACACTTCGCAGGGAAAATAGTTCAAAATACTTAACAAATCAACAAAACAGCCATGAGTGGATTGTTTTCCTCTCCTGTTGTTTATTCCGTTACGTTAACCATGGAACCTCCGCAAAAGGCGGTTGCACAGTATACTATCTACCCACTATGGCGTTTGGTTCATTTATCATAAAATTCTCAGATTTTTTATCAGAAATTCAATGTTGGGAGACTTATATTGTTGGGAGGCTTGAACGTTGGGATCGCTTGAAATACGAGTACGTTAACATTATCGTTGAAAGTTAATCAAGCCCGATCAATTTTATTTTTCACGACAGGTATATACATGAAGTCCGTTGGATCACGTAAAATCTGTGGGAAAATCTTATCGTAATCCATTTCCGATCCCACCATATCGCACAGCTTTCTTTCCACTACATCGCTATGGGACAGGAATCTTTCAAACTGAAACAAAGTACAAAAATTACTTGTACAAAAATATACGTCAAACGACTGTAGCTGTCGGATAAAAGATGCAAAACATGCTATGCAAGAGCTATTTTATGAAACATTCATGAAACAAACTCACAAAACATTTCCCGATGGAGTGTACAGAGTATACCATGCCTCATTTCATTTGCTTTTGTTGCGGCGTTGACACTTTTACTACAGTATAACAACGAATAGCTCTAGCTGAACGTACGATGTCAAGCTGTTGAATAGGATCATCTGGAATACATTCGGCATCCGCACCGGTCAGTGAACGGACAACGTAGACCAAATCATCCACCGAATCCACCAGTCGCTCGTAGTCGGCCCGCTCCCCCTCGTACGCATCGTTATACCCTCGATTCAGATCTTTGAGGTTTATCAGTTGTGTTGAAAGGTCATCTCTAGTTGCAAAAGCGTTTTGCAACCGCTTTCGCATCGCAGCATTTTCTGCTTCCCATTCCTGAAACATCAGCAACATTCCAGCCATTTATTTCCAGATATCATAATTATATTCGAACAACATCTAATGCTGCCTGTGTTTTGGGAACTGTTGAGAAGCAGCATGAACTGGATGGTTTATTTTTAATCTGTGCATAGTTTGACTGATGTTCTGGCTTAGTAATAGTACAGTTATGCTATATAGGAAACAACATTTTCAGATCGTATACGCAGCACTAAAACTTTGGCTGCCGTTAACTCTGAATTACCGAGAACATGACAGAAGCAGTACCTCTGGCCGAACTTCGGCCTCTGTTTGAATGGCATCCAGTTGAGACTGCTCATCATCGTGCACCTCCATACATAGTTTTAGTACTGCGGCATTTTTCTCATGAAATCCGCAAAAATCATCCATATCATAGAAAGTCTGAAGGAAAATAATGATAAACAATTAGGGCTCTTGTCATTACGTTACCAACATAACCGTACTTACTTGTCCCAGATTTCTCTTGACTTCCGTCGCCAGACGCTGCCACTTACTTCGAATTTTTCCATGTGTTTGCAAACACTTTTGTCTCTTGATAAGCTCTCTTTGCTCTTCTAGTGACCTTTTTAAAAAATAAAATTAGTGAATTAAGGTTGATTTCAATTGGACGAAGCACAAGTCATAATTGTTCCACAGTGTGTTTTAATGCCGTGTCAAAGTGCAGTTACATTACTCCAAACGGGACATTTCCGCCTGTTCTCGTTGTTGCCGGTCATCTTCGGCCCTTCGCGCTGTTTGCTCTCTTAAATTCGTGCTAACCTAAACAACAACGTGTGCACTGAAGGAATAATATTTAACTTCGTAAACAACGAAGCAGTGCAAGCCGCATGATAGATAAACTGATTATTTCCCGAATAATTCATTGAGGCATACACATTTCCGATGGTCTTCAGACAGGCACCACCAAACATACAGTTATCTGGTTCTCAATCCAGTTTATATAATCCTGGACGGCGGCATGTTTTTCCTCAAAAGCTTGTTTTCTCGTCCTTTTGGCATTCAGTTCGTACGATAACCGCTATAAAAAATCGTTTTGACGTTAGGCAAGCATGCTATGTGCAACTGATAAGACTATCGCTATTTTTACTTCACCTCGGAGGATTGTTTAATGTTAGCCTCTTGCTGTTTGTGTTTCGCTTCCGCCAAATAGCACTGCGCAAATTGCGATACCACAAGAGATTCTTTATCACTGAAGAATCCAAAATTAAAACAAAAAATCGCAGTTTGTAGCTGTAAAAAATGTATTTTTACGGTGTACCGTGTACCTAAAATTACTTTCAAATCCAGGTGTGCCGCGAAACAGCGCTACAATCTTTCTTTCGGTGTTTTCCAGTTGCTCTTTTGCAGCAGTGCATCGGCTTCGGGATCGTGCAGCAGTATGTGAAATGGTTCGATGGATGTTTCATCATCGGACAACGGTCGCTTTAGCCATTTCATCAGTTCTGTGATCTTGTCAGATAAAACTTTAACTGTGGTTACTTGCGGTTGGGTAGAATGAATTCTTGTCGCGTCCTTTACAATAAGATTATCGGCATTGGAGGGGAGGAAGTCGTCGTCCGATCTATTCTGGTTCTTTGGCTCTGGGTCCTGCTTTGCAGACTGCATATTGTGGATTTGTTCGGCCGGTTCCATATTTGTGTCTTCCATTTTGTCCTTCCTTTACGTTAGCGTCAAACAAGCGCAATATATAGAATACTTAGAGCGATATCCCGTGATGGGTTCCAGCTGTCAATAATTTTACGGTTTTACGGGCTAATCAACGTTACTCGTTTCTAAAGAACTAAAGGTGACATTCACCAGTATAGTTTATTGCATTTAACGTTAGAAATTCGTGTAGCCTGGTGATTATAACGAATCTCTACAACTTGGAGCAATCGTCCTTTGGACGGATAAGTGTAATATTCTGTCACCAACAACAACAACCTGTTGCGCATTAAGGCTTATGGTTAGCGATGGAGATTGCAAGTCAAGCTGCTTCAAAGACTGCGACAAAACAGCCACTCTAAGATCACCATTATTAATCGTTAATTTGATATTCGACAAGCAAGTTCGAGAAATAATCCACTAATGTGTCGTGGGTTTAGGTGTGGCCCAATATTTTGTTTATCTACAACCGCATGGGTGTTGAACATCCACGACACTGGGCATCAAGAGATTGCGGTATTAGTAATTGACCACTGGACATCTGTGTACAGTGTTACGAGTAAATGAATCAAGCCGACAAACACAGTACATCGCCGAGCATAACAAGCATTAACAGTGTTTAATTAACCGCAGTAAGTAAATTTAACCACGGCTTTTTATAAAAGTAATACAGATTACTTTTGGTTTTAACTTTATTTTTGATGGATAGGTTGGAAAGGAACAGCTGCTCCTTTGCGGACAAAATTTCGTCGAGCAACTTTGGACTTATTGTCGTAGATAAAAGTAGCGGTAAATCCATCTGACCGGAAGACGCCCGTGATTTCGTAATAATTATGAGCGTTGTCAGTCTGGTTGATCTTGCCATGCAGAATCGGGGTGTTGTCCATCTCGTAATAAAACCATGTTTGCTGCAAGTAAAACCATTTTACGCGGTAGACAAAATTCCCATCATAAAAAAATTGTGCTTCCGGTACGACGCACGGACCTCGAGCTTTTTTCCATGGACAGTTAGTTCCTCGGGCTTGCCGAATGTTATTTGACTTTCGTGTACCGGATCTCCTTCGTGCGTAATTTTTTGAACGAAAGTGCCGTCTTTTGCTTGAGAGAATTCCATGGGCACTTTTCTGGCCATTTCCGGAGCGCCTGCAATACACTTGCTTAATATCAAAGATCGAAGCAAACCGGAGAAACAAAATTCATGAATAACTGTGACTGTACCTATATGGTTAGCAAACGCCTTGAATTCTTCGTTGAGGTCATCGCTCTCGAAAGTCCCAGTTGCGGTTTTAGAGACAAGCCGGCGCATAAACTTCTTGGCAACCACATTGCCTCGTATATATTTCTGCAAAGTATCAAAAGACCGATCCAGTGACACAAAAGGCCGGTTGCGACTTAAAGTTCCCCACCACATAGATTCCATCAGGAGCAGCGATTTCCTCAACGATATATTTCTTGTCGGTGCCGGCAAGTTTCACGCTGGTTTCGAGAATAACGTCATTTTTTCGCCGTTTATGGGCGGTAACGCTAAACTGCAAAAATAATTACCAGCAACAGATGTCTATTCACTTTTAAATAGTTGATTTCAAACCAATGCAAAAAGCAGTGTTTGCGGAGTTTTAATTACGGTTTTTACCTTATATGTGTTGTTTCCAATCTGAAATTCCTCGGGGCTATCTAGTTTAAATTCAAAATCCATTTTCGTTCCGTTCTTGTAGGTTTTGCGAGCGCCATAATGATCACCCGTGCGGTACATGTCCAGAGTGTGCGGATGATTGTCAAAGGGCAACCTCGAAGAAAGCACTCAAGTACAGGAAACCAACCATAACCCATAAATGTTGGCCTGGACAGATGAAATCCGTGTGCTTACTGCCGTCTTCGAGGAATTTTTCGTAGTTTTCGGTCATCGCAGGAACCTCTTCGAATTTCCCGTAGAAGAACCAAGGCATAACCCGGCTGTATCGACTTTTCACTTCGCCTTTATCAGTCACTATAGTCTAACATGGAAACGAGAGTACATGTCTACATGGATCATATACCGACTGCCATGGGATTAATTGTATTTACTCATTAAGCTAGCAACTAGGTACGCTACAAGGAATTATAACTAGTTTAAAGAGACACGGCATACGCAAGTAAATCCCGCGCGGTCGTGGACACACGTGTTAACAAAGGTGCCCTTTGCTGACTTGGTTGTAATTCTCACGGTAGTGCTGTTGGGTGTGCTGTTCATAATTTCGTGTTTAGACTCGACTGTTTGATTGCCGTGAGTTACAGTTTGTTTCCGGTTTAGATGGAACTCTGTTTTGTAGTACAAAGTGGACATGGGATCCACGATGGCCGTCTCGCAGAATTTGTCGTCGAAGCGTTCCAGGTGAAATTTGCTGTCCTTAGACCAACTGAATCCTTTGGGAGGAGCTAAAAAACAAGTCAAAGTAATATCGCAGTGCAATGCCATCACACTATTTTGCCGGGAAATTTAATCAAGCAATACTCCGAGAGGCAGATGCTTTTGCACTGGTTAATCAATCCTTCTAATAATTCATCTAAAATCATTCAAACTCCTGTGCACACACAAAAATGCAGAAAACCAAACATTTCAGGCGGCCCTTGGTCCAAGCGTTGAAAAATACATAGCATAATAAATCTACTGTATATCTACTAGCCTCTACTGCAGTAGTTCTATGTTGTGGATCTAGTACTGGATTTTTTGGTGTTGCAATTTAAGAAATTGGGCCACTTACAAAAAAGATTGTTGTAAAAGTCGATAATATTGGGAGAGCTTTGACTGAGATCCGGCTCGAAAGCGCCGAAAACATATCCAGGCAAAATGCGACGGTAGCTACGTCTGGCTACGGATTCTCCTCGGGTGTATGTCTAAACACATTCCATTTAACCAGATTTTTCCCACCATATAACCGTTACAGATTTATAATTACCGAAGTGATTCATTGCTGCAGCAAGCAGTGCTGACTTAAGTGCAAAGAGCAAATAAATTTCGACTCTTTATTATTATTATTTTTGCAGTTAAGTACTCTGTTCAGGTAATTCGGGCACTCGTGTAATTAAACGGTGCTCGTCTTACAGCATTGTAACCGTTGCTGTCGAAAATGGCCACCACATCAAATTTTCGACTGCCGTTAATTTCGCGGAATGCTGCTCGAATAGTTGCTCCATGGTTATCGCCCTCAGCAGTAAATTCGTACTGAAATCACATGTAGTTCGGTGTATCGAATGCCGAAACAAATTAAGAGCAAAGAATGGGTCGGGTATCAAACCTCAACAACTCTGCCGTTGATTGTTTTATTTTGCTTTCCGTCAAGTTTGAAGGGAATATATGCAGAGTAGAGATGGTCGGCAGATATAAAGTACTGACGAAAACTGTCGCCTTGTTTATGAAATCCAGCTAAACTACGATCTCTTTCGTTAACCGCTACCGCTAGATCTGTTGACATACAGAAATAATACAACGTTTAATTAGAAAGTAATAGTTTATAATACATTCATCATGTCAGTCTTACTCTAATCGTCATGCTGTCACTTACGGAATATGTGGGTTAATTCGTCAAAATGGCTGTCCTCACTTTCTGGTATGGCCTCATACAAACCCAAGACAATTTCCGGCAGGTTGGTCAAAGGAACAGACCTGGTGCAGCTTACACCTGTATATAAAAACTGACATAAAACCAAAGAACAACAAAACCAAAAGAAATGTTTAACAATGCACAAATTCATATCGTCAAATGATCACGACATTTTATCAATAAATCTGCTTGGAATGGCGCTTAGGATCGGTAAGTACTCGTACGACAGGTAACACAACTATCTTTGCCAAATGTTTTACTGTAGATGTTCGTGGATGTACCAAGAAAAAGAAGAAACATGATAGGTCTCATTTTTTTCCTGGTGTTGGAGACCAAATTACGTAAAAAATTACCGGCAGTGCGAAACCAGCTTTACTGCTGTGCTACCATTTCTCCATAAATTAAGACTGTCGGTGGGCTTGATAAACATGGTATGCTTCACGCTATCAGTCGGTCAATCTCATTGTCAGCTGGCATTTGGCAGGTATTACTGTAACATTTATAACCTTGTATTCGGCTATTAACGCAGTCTACGGGTGCAACAACAACAACGCGTAACGATGAAATTTTATTTGGGCATTGGGTGAAGACACTAGCACCGGAACACGGGTCACCGGCGCAACCGGCCCCGCCGTCCTTGCTAAAACAACCCCCCTCACCAAAGAGGGTGGGCGGGAGGGAAGAACGACTTGTTACATGCAAACCATCTTTGTTCCAATACGACAGCAACTCAAATGCACTAACAGAAATGCACAATCACTACAAATGCAACGTCCACAACCGAAACTGCATTGCTTATACAGCATCGGAATCTGCATCCCAAGGCACACCCTAATGGGTTTTCTTGGCTGGACACTGGTCAACCAAGTCGTCCAGCCTTGCGAACACCTACGCTGCGTTAACCGGAATTAGCTTCGCTAATTCTATTTTATTTCGGTTCGAATTTCAGCCTTTGTAATTTGGGAAGTGTTGACAATATATATAATTATAAGACAAACATCAATATTAACGTGTTCTTATTATTTATAGGTGTAAATGCACATAAAGAACGAAATTAAAATTAACTAATTTTGATCAAAATAATTACGTGGATCTTGTTTTTTTTTTATGTTTTACTGGATTTTTTATCGCGACATGTATTCGTTATTACCAGCAGCTTGTATAACTGTTTGTAGCTAACAAGTACTACTAACTTAAATAAAATTTAAGGTTAAAATATACGAGCAAATACTTCTGGTAAGTCATTTCTATATGGACTTGTGAATTACTGTGGGGTATGCATGATCATGAGGCTCAACAGAAAACAATTTATTACATAAAACTGATATCAGGAGTAACTTAATATTTCATAAGCATTTTTTATACTAAAATAAGCGTTAGAATAAGTTTTGACTGCCGGGTGAATTCGTTCATTTATCTTTCACCTTTAATTTGGAATCAGAATTTTGGTCTTTGCGGTGATAACGTAAACCACGCAACATAGATGTGCAGCAGCCAAAAATACAACAGCCCAGAATTAAGCATTTCTTAGGTGCGCTGAAAATACATGTCCAAAGCAGATCGACAACATTTCAAATACCGAAAACTGACACTGGTTTAGTGAGCAGGCTCGAAGGGAACAGCTGCTCCCTTGCGGGTGTAGGTGCGGTGAGCAATCTTGGTGTTGTGATCGTACACGAAGGTAGCGGTGTAGCCATCGGGACGGAAGATACCAACAACGTCAAAGTAGTTGTTGGCATTATCGGTCTGGTTGATGGATCCACGGAGGACTGGGGTGTTGTCAACTTCGTAGTAAAACCACTTTTGCTGCAATTACAATTGTGGATATCAGTTACCCGTTCGAATGACTTGAGTCGCAGATGTCCTTTCGTGTAACATACCTCGAGGTGCTTTCCGTGGACGGTGATCTCATCGGGCTTGCCGAAGGTGATGCGGCTTTCCTGAGTGGCGTCTCCTTCAGGGGTCAGCTTCTGGACGAACACACCGTTCTCGGCATCGGAGAATTCAATGGTGATCTTCTTGAACAGTTCAGGAGCACCTGATGAAGCAGCAGAAAGTAAGTTTACTGATGTACTGATAATGGTCTTGCTCACAGCCTGTGTTCTCAAATTTCTTACCAATATGAGTGGTGAAAGCCTTGAACTCGTCGTTGTTATCAGTGGATTCGAAGGTTCCGAACACAGTCTTGGGAAGGACACGGCGCAAGAATTTCTTCGCAACAACACCTTCGCGTTTGTAGGTCTGGAAAAAGTGGTTTAATGCCGGTTAACCAACAAGCAATGCATAAAGCATAATAATCTGATGCTGTTAATTAATCAACTTCATATATTGAAATACGGCTTTTTAATGAATTAAGTCCAAAATTCCAAGCAAAAAACAATGCGCTACTTACCACATACAGACAAACAATGCGCTACTTACCACATACAGTCCTTCAGGGGCAACTTGTTCCTCAACGATGAACCATTTGTCAGTACCCTTGACCTTGATCTTGCTGTGCATGATCACTTTGTCTCCACGGGACTGGATAGTGACGTTGTACTAAATTAAAAACAAGATCTTGTGATTGCAGCACGTTAACTCCCAGATCAAGTGATAACTTTGTTAGAAATTGTAAATTCACACATACACAAAAAAATTTGTTACATTATCAGATAAGTGTACCGTACTTTGAAAGTTTTGCCATTAGCCTGGAATTCCTGAGGAGTGTTCAGCTTGAATTCGAATTCCATAGCCTTCTCTTCACCAAAGGATTTGCGGGCACCATAGTGGTCACCTTTCTTGAAGATCTCCAAAGTGGCAGGCTGGTTCTTGTGGGCGAATGGGCAATCTAAAACCATGTGGACGAAGTTAAGCAACTTCTTGTTGGAGATAACTGTACATAGTATTGTTTAAAATGCATAAAATACATTAACCAAATCAATTTTTAATTTTATTAGAAGTTAAAACTAAAAGCAGGCTTAGCCCAGTAGTACTAGTAATTGATGCGAACGATTAAATTTACAAATCAACCGTAAAGCATATATAAATATTTCAGAGCTTGCGCGAAAAGCTGTTGTTTATGCGTATTACAGCGTATATAACTTTGATCATGACGAAATAGTAATAGCAAATTTCTCGCACCTTCTCCCTTGGTGAATTCTTCGTAGTTCTCAGTCTTTTCAGGGACTTCCTTGAATTTACCATAGAACAACCAGGGCAGAACACGGTTGTAGCGGGTCTTCACTTCGCCCTTGTCGGACTTAGCGGTCTACAAAACCACACCAGTGAACGGTCACCCGAGTGTAAACTACGTCATAAGTAATACCGTACACCCAAAGGAAACCAGGATTTTCTCCAGACATTAACGACATTTTACATACCGAGGTCACTCCTTCATGGTCGAAGACGCAGGTGAAAACGAGGGTTCCCTTCTCGGGGCACTTGTAGGTAATGCGCAGAGTGGTGGTCTCCTTTGTGGTCTCCACAACTTCGTAATGGTAGTTCACGGTGTGGTTGCCGTGCTGGATGCTGCCGGGCTTGTTCAGCTCGAATTCCACCTTCTCGTAGTAGGTGGCGTCGACGATAAACTTCTCGTAGAACTTGTTACCGTGACGGCCAACGAAGAACTTGGTGTCCTTGGTCCAGGTCAATCCCTTGGGCAGAGCTGCAATATGTACAACATAATTAATTTCGAATTTCGCGGTAAATTTATTGCAGCGGCTGTACGAAAGTACTTACGGAAAAAGTTGTTGTAGAATTCGGCGGTGTTGGGCGAGCTCTTGGTAATGTCCAGTTCATAGGCACCGAAAACGTAGAAAGGCAGAGTGCGACGATAGCTAATCTTGGCGACAAGGGCGTCCTTGGTGTAGGTCTGCGGATGTAAAGAAGCTGGTCTTAACACATGTGACAAGCATAGACGTCCATAGTACAGACATATCGACCAGTTAATCAAAGCAATTTCACATTATAACACCATATTTTGCTGAATATGCAGTAGTTTTCTTCGTGTCAGGTTATTCTTGATTAACATACCGCGTTGTAACCGAATTTGTCGAAGCGGGTCTCAACGGTGAATTTGACATCACCATCGACTTCGCGGAGCTTGGCGTGGATAGTGGCGGTGTTATCGTCTCCTTCGGCGGTGATTTCGTACTGCAAAATCAAAAGCAATGAAGATCAATCGGCTTAGAATTCAGTGACCTATGTCCTATACGCACTTCGATGGTCTTGCCGTTCATGGTGGTGGTCATCTTTTCGCCCAGCTTGAATGGCATGTCAACGTAATAATTCTGACCGGGGTACCAGAAGTGCTTGTGGTAGGTCTCACCATCCTTGCGGTATGCCACGAAGTTGGGTTCAGCCAACTTGATGTGCTCGGGCATATCTGTAAAAGGTCGTTCATAAGAAAAGTATTTACTTACGTAGAGTAGTGGACAGAAAAGAACCAGTTTAAGCTGGTAACTGCAGCCTAGCAGCATTCCACCAAATCTTAAGGCCGTTATTTTTATTCGGCATCAACCCGCTGCATTAGTCTTACCCCTGCGCAGACTTACACCATTTAAAATAATTAAATTTTGAAATTTGAAAAACATCCAAAAAATTCCACCAAACGAAATACGTACAGGCCAACACAAACTTTTCGCGAAAAACAATAAAACAATTGGTCACTCACGGAAGGCGGTTTTAGCGAATTCGGCGAAGTTGCTGCTCACGGTTTCCGGGATTGGCTCGTACAGGCCCAGGACGACCTTTGGCAGGGTGTTGGAAGGGACTGGAGTGGCACAAGCCACGCCTGCAATGCACAAAAAATCAACAGTACGTAAATTAAATCGGGCTGGCCGCGAGTCAGTCACTACAGTGTTATGTTTATCCATAAAAAACATTTTTTTCAGCTGGAGTAAATTAACAAAATTGAGGATACGCACCCAGAAGGGCAAGAGCAACGAAGACACGGGTCATTTTAAAGATATTCCGTTAACCAGTGAATCGCCGAAAACGCTAAAATTAAAGCTGGAATGACTGCCAAAACCATCTTTTATAGCCGGTGTCTAGAAGTGACCTTGACGGGGTATCAGCCGCTACATCGAAACTGGCAGCCATTTCGATTCTTGAAGTTTCCGCTAAATACGCCTTCTTCCATTTTAAAACTGCACAGTCCAATGCAGAATGCAGTATTATAAAACATGTTTATAGAAGATGTTACGCAACGCGCCCGTCTGGACCTTGCCGCTAGTATCTGCAGTAGTAATCATTTTGCAAGGAATGGTACCCGTCAAATCATTCAATCGACGTGAGACTAGAGTGCCAAAAACTAAAAATTCCGTCGATTTACATCTCAACGGCTGTATGTAACTCATATTAACCGGTAGGAAGCGATCAGCCAGCCATAACGTCGCAGCGTGAACATTTGCGCGCCTTCCTGAAAAATGCATCAGGCGAATGATCGGGAAAACAAAGTTCAACGAAGCAAACGGAAGTGGACTATTACAAAGCTAAATTCCGCAACAAAAGTATGTTATACAAGTAGTAAGACTTTATTTCTTAATCAAACAAAATTAGAAATTCCAAAAAACTGCAGGAATTTAAAATACTTCGCAGTCACCAAAGCCACCTGCCAACCCCAACTCATCAATAACTGGATGCAAGCCTTGAAATGTTCAACACAGTAAAATATCAGTATTCGTATCCAGCGCAGAAAGTTTAAGAAAATAACACCCACAAATTTAGCCTTCACGACTGAATGAGGCAAAGGATTTCATAAGACTCTCCTTTTAGCATGTCAGTTGTTTCGCAGGCAAAACAGTAAGTCTCCAATGCGGCAGCGCTCCTGTTGGGCTCACACGATAGGAGCCAAATTACTTCCGAGCGTACACGACCTCCCAAAATGCGTTACCCTAAGCGGAGTAATTCATCGCTATCTGCTTCAAAACAGCATGTCCGCAAAATATTGATCGAAATCCATGCCAACAGGTTTATCCTGGACAGCCGGTGCTGGTTGACCCCAGATGGCCTTTTCTTGTTCCTTGATTTGTTCTTCTGTTGGCACGGCAAGGGACGACTCAGTCGAGCTCGACTGAGTCGGAACATGGCTGGGTGACAGAGGCTCTTCTTTTATCACAACAGGTGCGGCTTCGCGAGATACGTCCTTGTGCCTGAAACGGTCCAGTCAGCAGTGTTATTAAAACAGGTGATAAAATTTAGCCATACAAACAGATCTGACACGTAAAACGAAGTTCAAGAACTTACGCTTTATTATGGTTTAACTTTCCGGAACAAGAAGGACACAACCCTGCAGAAGGATGGAAATCATGAAAATTTGAGGTTTGAGTTTCCAGCCGACAGGAAATGTGCATACTTAATTTAATAAGAGCATTTTTCTTAGTTTCGTTTTCCATGTATCCAAAATTAACTTCCCAGCTTCTAAGCCCCATTTGGTTCGAGCAGTGCTTTGATCCACATATGAATTGTCCTATTTAAGTAAAACAAGACATGTCTATTTAAGTAAAACAGATTAAAAATTAGCCATACAAACCCCAGAATAGCTATGCGCAAAAAAGCACAGCTTCTAATTTCATTTCGGGCGCAACTCACCTTTCCCTTCTATCACTTCTTTTTCTGTTCTCCATCTCATTCCAATTTTATTGTGCTTATAATGATGTAAATCCGCAATGCAGTACTCCTTAAATAATTTGTCATAATACTTTTTCGCCAGTTTTTGTTCCCAGCTAAGTTCATCTTCATTCTCCTCATCCCACAAAAATTTGTGATTCTCTCTTATCACATCCTTATCCGTCCGATCGCGGCTCCTATTTCACGAAAGCGGATAAACAATCTATTGCTGCGGATCACCTGAATCTCATATAACTGTACAACACTTTGAAAGTAACAAAAAAATTTTGAAACTTACGTATCACGACGAAGAAGTTTCGTGTCCCCAGGTGTAATTAGAAGATAATCGTTAATCATCTTTTTATGCCGGGAGTAGGCATCCATGCCGGATGCATGATATCGCACGATGTCCCTCGAATCCCTATGGACAAACAAGAGAAAAAGTGTAAGCAAACCACACACGAAAATCCTTACGAGCGAACTGATTCCGAATGGTACTGTATCACTCCAGTTTCTGTCTCCCAGAACTCCGGATCGGAGGGTTCAGACAGGTTTTAGAAGAAAATTACTACTTTAACGAAGCAAAAAGAAAACCAAATCTACAATCTTCAGCAAATCTAAAATTGGAAAATTATAACTGCAACTCTTAACTCACCTAAAGATACACAGCGCACTAAGCAAATAATAATTATAAAATAATCAATATACTACAGTAACAAAACAATCGAAAAGTAAATAATACTAAATGTGTATCTCGACAAGCTTATTAAACCACAGTAGTTGCTTTCAGGATTCCTTTTGGTTGCTCGAAACTTTAATAACTTCGTGGAAACAGTTTCTGTAAATGGCAAGTAAACCACCCTAATTTCTTTCGTCCACGAGCACAAACGCTATGAGTAAGGCCACTAAAGAGCGTACTTGTAAAGAGCGTCGGATTTGGTTGGTGGTTTATATCTTTTCGAGCCAACGTTTTCCACCGGAGCTGGAAGTTCTTTATTGGTTAAGTCATGTCTGCGCTTCCTGAAAAAAAAGCAAATCTAAAATTATAGCTATAACTGGTCCAAACCGTCCAATACACATCTAAACATAACTCGTCCCCGTTCTAAGTTTAAAATAATGGAAAAAAGTTGCGGAAAGCGAAACAAGTGTCTCAATCCACAATCAGGGATTTCGAGAAGATTTGTGGCAGCTGTGATATCATAAGTGATTCAAGTGGTTACCTTTTCTTGTCTGCTTCCGAATCATATTCGAATTCCGAAGAGTAATCGCGAGAGCCCGAAGCGTCCATCGTGCGTTAGGAATCAGGGTGACAATCAAGATGCTGATGGGATATACCACTGGTCCTGGCACTGGAGCTGTCTAGCTCAACCAGTACGAGTACGTCAACAGAACAACACAGACATCGAGCCCTATCCCCTTTTTTGTAACAGATTAACTAAACATCTGAATCAAACTCCAGCTTAATCCACATGTATTACGTACAACTGCAATACTGTACGTATTAAGATCGCCTATAAAAATTCAAGATAAAGACCTTTACAAGCAAAACTCCGAAGACAAAAGTCGCAAAAGTCCAGAAGCTCTAAAAAACAAGAATGCGAAACCACAACAAAATCACAATCGTATTTGAGAAGTGCTGTGAGCGCACCCCTGTGCGGATGGATAACCGCGGAATTTGAATTATGGAAGTTTTGCAGTTCGCAGATTTCCCATCACTACTATCAGATATATACGGTATCTGTCGGGTTACTTCATAAATTATAATTACAACCGCGCGGGCTCGAGACTGACCAGGTGAGTTCTTCCCGGATGCCCTGTGCTCCTCTGAAAAAGTTCTGAACTTCTTCGCAAGTTTTTGAACAGAATACTGGAGAAAATATTAAGCAAATGCACGATTTAATTGCTTCCGGTATTATACTGACAGTAACGTCTAAAAGCGACTTCCGGTTGTCTTCGGTGTATGTATTTATCTTTTTAGGTTGGATTTTCAACGGAAAAGCACACGAAATATTTTGTGTCGTAGGTTAGTAGCTTTAAACCAGATCCTGCTAGTGTAGATCGCTGGCTTCGCGGCTGTGTTAGGAATACACATGGGAACTCATAGGTTGACAAATATTATGGTCAACCTGTGAATTCCCATGTATGCCCCTTTGCCACCCTTTGCATGTTTAATATTTTCGCCATAGCTGTAAAAATTTGTAAGAGTCAAAAACCAGTTATTCAAGAGTTTGCCAAGCTCTCTCTCTTAGTTATGCTCTCATTAACTGATTTTTCCACAGCAAAAGTTTAAAATGTTTTCGCTCCGAATCAAGTAGCAAACGTTCACGGTTGCTTATGGTTAGCTTAGGATTAACAATAGCATCGCACAAGCGTGTCAGCGGCGAAACAGACAGTCCTGCGCAATCATTGCCGACCGGAGGTCATATCGACCACAACAGAAGGGCGAGGAAAATGGTGATACAATCGACTGCAGATGCCCTAAGTCTGACCTGTGGCCTAAATTTGCGGCTGGTGATCAGTTGTTCATTTTAATGTCCACATAGCTGTTAGTGGTTCAGCAGTACAGATAGGCGACAAGTACTGCACAAATTACAATTGACAACTCAACTAGTCAACTGGGATGATATCTAATTATCTATACTTTGCTACTACTCGTAGCACGTAAATGTACGGTATAATATCACTTTTCAGCTAAGATTTTCTACATAACCGGCCTGCGTCACTTGTAGCGTTCACAAGAAGGTTCTTCTTGCCTTTTACTTTTTTAGTAACGACATCTTCTCAAGAATGTTTGGTCGCAGCAGGTGCAAAATACAATACATGCTGTGCCTTTTGATGTTTATCGTGGCACTTCGGGAAGGTAAGTTTCTTTTTTTCCACTGCTGATCGATAATGCACATAAAATGTTGAAGTTCAAATCTGATGACACAGTTCTCTGCTTGCGGTGCTACAACTGCATGAATGTCTGGATGAAAGAAAAGGTCACCCACAAGGATGGCTCAATATCCTGGGGCAGCACACGAGAGAGCAATCCGGACTGCGGAAAAGGTCGCGATCAGAAATACGTTCAATGTGACGAAACATATGGACCTTACAAGCAGTACTGCGCGACTTCCGTTCTGATCCAATATCACGACCAAATAGCCATATTAAAAAGTAAGAGCGATTGGTATTTGGTACAGAAACAGAGCGCATATCTAAAAGATAATTCGCTTCAGAAATTCGACGAAACTGTCCGACTCGCTCTGTTCGTGATAAGTGGATGTACAATCTTCATGCACGAAACGGGTGCACTCCATTCCGCACTCATCAGGTCATGGAAGGCACCCACCAACCTGCGCACAACTTGACAATTTCCATCAAAGAGCGTTATTGTTTCTGCCCAAGCGACTACTGCAATGCTGCATCCAAAGATCAACTAGCTGATTAGAGAATATCTTAAGCACTGTTTTTACTATCATATATTATCACAAAAACGTCGTTGCCATTAAGATTCTAAGAAAACTGCTTAAACTCATCCATTTACAGAAGAAACTTTCATTCGCGGAGCAATATTCATACTGATTAACTCCTGAAAAAGCAGTTTACACGCGTAAGGCATCCGCACGGCAGATATTTTTCCTGACTGCCGACATGACGTGCAGGTTTCCTTCCATACAAATAATCCACATGTATCGCAAATCAGCACTTCGCACTCGTCACTGGCCAGCATGAGCCGTTCGTTGAGCAGAGCGGATACACCGTGAGCAATCATACAGTCTCTCTCCATTTCTCCCATACGTAAACCACCATCCCGTGCTCTTCCTTCCGTCGGTTGTCTAGTCAAAGACTGCCGAGGTCCTTTGGAACGTGCATGAATCTTGTCGATTACCATGTGTTTCAATCGCTGATAGAAAAATGGTCCAATAAAAATGTACGCCTCCAGCATTTTGCCTAAAACAATTTGAAAAAATGTCAAAAACGAAACGTACAGTATCTCTTGGCAGATAACGACATCGCACAAGAAGCTGCTTCGGCTAACACTCCTGTAATGGATTTACTGTTTCGATAAAGAAAATACTTCCTTAACTTATGTGACTGTCAGTATTTGGAATGTCTGCATACGTTTCAGGCTTCAACAACTGCAAGACAGTTTCTGAAAAAACAATCACATACCGGTTACTCCGTCTGTAAGAATTTCTTTGCCCGACCGATCAAAGCCAGCTTTTTCCATAATCTGGCACATTTCCTCCAGCCTATCTTCCCCAAAGGCTGACCCATCAAAGATTTTGCCGACAATAGCGCCTGCCTTACTCCCCATCAACTCCCTTAGCAATCCAACAGTCATGCGACTGGGAATACCGTGAGGATTCATAATGGCATCCGGTCGAATACCGCTCATGGTGAAAGGCATATCTTCCTCCGGTACAATTAATCCACACACTCCTTTCTGTCCATGGCGACTACTAAATTTATCCCCAATCTCCGGAATCCTCGTTTGCGATGTCCGCACTTTAATCAGCTGTTCACGTTCACTCTGAGAGATCATGATTTTATCGATATGACATTTATTGGGCTCTTGAAAACGAACGGGTTCCGGTTTATCTCTGGCTATGCTCCGATTCGGTCCACCCAACGGATTCACCGATAAATCAGTGGGCTGGGCTGCGCCCACCGGTACGTATTTATTAATCATAACGTCGCCACGTTCCACAGTTTCCCCAATAACAATCAAACCATCTTTATCCAGCTTCTTGTCGGACGGGAAAATTTCGCCGGTTGACTGATTGACTCGCGGAGGGAATAGGCTTTCTTTCTCCGTGTCCAGTGCTCGCAAAAGCGTTTGATGTTTACGGTAAACTGTACAGCGCTGATATCCTCGTTCCAAAGAAGCTTTGTTTAGTATTATCGCGTCCTCAATGTCGTATGCAGAATACGAAACCATGGCCACAATAGCGTTTTGTCCAGCAGGTAACTGGTCAAAAGAGGTAATTCCTGCAACGATTAATGTTAAACTAACATTATTTCAGAACTTCGAGCTACCTAAAAAAAAATTAACAGAAATGGAAAAAAGATTAACCTCGCTAAAAGCAAGTGAGCATCAAATTTCTTACCATAGCTTTTTGACTGGACCAGAGGACGCTGAGGATTCCATGAGCACTGCAGAACAGTGTCAATACGACTCGTCTGATTCAAAGCGATGGCTCCAATAGCCTGCTTGCCCATAGCACACTGGTAAGTGTTTCGAGGGCTTTGATTATGATGGGGAAAAGGTATAGTTCCCGCCACAACGCCCAAAATGGAAAAGGGAGCAATTTCCATGTGCGTCGTCTGTTCACTGATCTCAGATTCATCAAGAGCAATAAGACTGTCATTTAGTTCGTTAACATCCAGATATTCAACTGCTCCTTCTTTAACCAGATCGTCAAAGTTCAAGTATCCATCCCGTACGGCATCAACATATTTCTGCTGCATTAACAATCGTCCTCCTTCCACAATAAAGTATGGTCTGCACATTCGGCCGCCGTCGGTGGCAAATGTTACGGTACGATGCAGATCACTGTAAAATTGTGTAATTCACTGATACATCGATGTAGTTTCAAACTGGTCACGTAACAACAATTTTACGATGCATACCTTACGGCAGCTGATATAAACTTATCAATTTTGCCCAATCGTCGAGCTTGCTTGACAGATTTGTGCACATGGAAGTGGATTTTTAGTAAACCCGAAAATGCTTCCGTTAACGAATATCGTATACACATCTCCCTTCGGATACGTCCAAGGTGATGCGGCAAGTTCTTGAGGTGTCCTGGTAGCAACACACGATAAGAGTTTTCGTATCTGATCCTCCGGCGACTCCACGGTCAAATCACACAGCAAAGCCAGATTTTTGGTCAAACCACAGCCTTCACCTTCCGGCGTATCGGATGGGCACACGATTCCATACTGGCTAGCTTGAATGGATCGCGGTCCGCTAACCTTCCGACTTTTTTCGAACTGACTCTGCAGACGAGACATCATTCCCACCGCAGATACGTAAGATAACCGCACCAATACTTGCGCAACGCCGACACGGTTAATCTTGAAACGGCGAATGTTCAAATTGCCGGTATCGAGGAAATAATTAAATCCTTTGCTCACCAGGTCGGCTCGTATACTTGTTGTCGGATCATATGGGCTAACTCGGGCGCGCGTTTTCAGATGGTGATCTGCGCGCTTCTTAATTTCAGTATTGAGCGTTTTTATCACATCTTCAAACACAAATGCCAGAATATTCCCAGCCAGTTGCAGACGTTTGACGCCAAAATGATCTCGGTCGTCCAGCAAACGGGGATCCTTCTCCGCTAGAATACACCGCCGTACCATGTAACTCAGAAACGCGGCTTTATCGTCAAAGCATCCATTGATAACGGGAACATGACTGATAAGCGTTCCGACCAAGATCTGCATAACTTCCGCTGTCTTCGGCCGCTTCAATCCCCAACTAACGATGCCCGTTTTCAGTTTAGCGGCTAAGTATTGCAGCGCTTCTTCTTTCTTACTAATATCCAAACAAAGAAATTCATCAACAGACAGGGTGAATTTTTCCAAAACGAAGTGTTCTCGCCCGATCCATCCCAACGCCATGTCCAGATAGTGTATTCCCATTGCGGCAAAAATCATCAGTACTGGAATGTCCTCTCGGAACATGTTGAAGCGCACATAATAGCATCCTTTTTTCTTGACCACGGTCGTCCGCGTTTTGTGATCTTGTGAAAAACTGATGACGAAACACGTCAGCTAAAAAAAATATCAAAACCTTTCATTTAGTAAATAAAAGATTAAACGCGTCTGTACGAGTCATCCAACTGAACGACCAATATGAGCACTGACCGAAATGTTCGCTACTTCTGAAAAACAATTAGCAATAAAAAAATTAAGTGTTTTCGAAAAAAATAAAAACCTGGAATTATTGTAGTAATGGCTTAGCAGGTAAGCATAAAAGTTAATGCTACGTCGCTACCTCTTTTTTTGGATTAAATTCACAGACGATTCGGTCGTTCATCATCTGCTCTTGCATCAGCACAGCTTTTTCGCTTCCTTTGGCAATAAAATATCCGCCGGGATCCAGCGGGCACTCTTTCAGTTTCATCAACTCTTCCTCACTTTTCCCGTACAGAACACACAGCTGACTCCGTAGCATTACGGGAATTTTACCAATTAAAACATTTTCCTTTCGCTCTTCTTTACCCTGCAAAATGTAGCGAATATCCACGAGAATCGGCGCGGAGTAAGTGAGATTCCGCAGACGGCACTCATTAGGGGAAGTAGCTTTTACAGGGCCCAGACCATCTTCAACCTGCAACCGATAAAATTAAATTAAAATATTCCAGATTCTGTGATAGTTTTATTCGAAACTTTTATTGAGAGAGGAGTCTCCAATTACCTGTGGCTGTCCAACGCGTATTCCGTCATACTCCAAATACCAACTCGAGTCTGCATCACTGGTTACGCGTCGATTAGCACGCAGAATCTCCGGCATACGCACGTTAATAAAATTGTTGTAGGAATCCAGATGCAGCTTCTCCAGACCATGACTTTTTAGGAAATCCTTAACGATTACCGATGTGTTAATCAGCTTCGGACTGCGGCTGTCCGAGCTCGTAGTACCCGTAGTGGAATCTGCAGACATCTTTGCAGCGAAAATTCCTTGTCAAACCACAAGGCAAAGTGCAGTTTCATCGATACACTTCAACGCCTCGAAACATTTGCATTAATGATTAATGCATATGATTAATGCATAATCCAAATGCATTACCCCTCCAAAAGGACTAGAAATCCTGCAAATTTAACATAGAAGTATAGATTATAGTAGCAACTTTCGAGCGAAAAAACCAAAAAATTATTCAGGACTCTGGACTTATCTGACAGATAAGAAAGTCTTCTTGCTCTCCATGTCGCAACAAAACAGCTGCAGTAGCAGCGCGGAATCTACGCCGCCAGGCGGTAGACATACTTACCGGCGAACTGATAGGCTTGCCGCCACTAGTAGTGAACCTTTCCGGCTATCAGCTATCTTACTCCTGAAAAATTTTCGCATGAAGTAATAAAGTTGATCAAATTTTAAAATTTTGCATTAGATTCGCGTGCATTATACCTGGGAAGTGGTTCTTGACCGGACATTTTATGAGATAGTTGAAAATCCAGCGGTTTGGGCAAATCTAACTTGCCGTGTGTTTCATGACTGCCGTTCTGGGAACTGGAAACCATCTTCACAAGCCATTACATTTTTTCTTGAATGTGTGAACCGAGTACTTAGTACTAGTACTTGATTTGGAAGTTCGTTTCTGGGCAGCAGTCGTCAGTTTACAACCTTCTACAACATGTTGAGCTCGAAAACATTTGTTGCTAAAGTTTTGAGCATGCGAAGGACAGAGCGTCTTATTCAGCAGTTTCTCCGCACTGCGTACGAAAGGCAAGCATGTCCAGGTAAGCAATAAGGGGGAAGTAAGTTGCAGTGCTTATAAATTCTAGCACTAACTGACTAACAGTGTAGCAGACTAACACCATTTACAGTGATTTCCGGTTTAATGAGTTTACATTGATCAAAATCGCTTGACACTGTTAACTATTTGAGCAGTACCGATGTCAACGGAGACCATTCGCAGACACCTGAATACGACAGCACATTTGCATGGGACGGGTTTTACGAAGTCTCATTCCAAAGCGGCGCACCAGCTCTACAAGTACCGCTTAAAAGCCGGTCCCGAACCCCTTCGCCATCGCAGTATTTGGCAAAACTGGTAGGAAATTCAAGATCGCGTATTGGTCTCTTTTTGTTGTACGAAAAATTTGAACAGGAACTATGATGCGGAAATCTACGCGTTTGGACAGCGCTTAGGGGAGAATTTCTCCACTGAAACGCTGCGGTTGGCGTTCATGCATCCTTCCTATCAGGAACAGGAAATGGCAAAGCGACGCGAACTGATGATTGACGAGCAAATACAAATAGGTTCCATTGCCCATCATACTGCCCTTAAAGATGCAGGTGTGTTTTCTAAGTAAATAAATTGGGATTCTAAATCAGCCTCGGAGCTTTGACTTTGTAATTTTTCCGCTGCTGTCGCCTTTCGCAGTTTCGATCGGCGCGGATCTTTTTTTCGATAGTACTGGATGTTTTTGTGGGGTGTTATTGCGATTTCGCTCAAAATTTTGCACCGGATGCGTAAATATACGTGAATAGTTACATCAGCTTTGGACAAAAACTCATACACGTTTTTTGTGCGCTTTCTGGTTGTAGACGTGTAAATTACTTGGCTTTACACGCAAAAATTGTATATTTCTCGCATCAGTTATATCAGAAGTACGTCGTGCTTCTTAATTCTGCAGATAACTCTCGTTTATCTTCTTTAGGGATGGAATTGATGCACAGTTATATCCCGAGCTTCTTGAGATACAATTATCCATTTTTTCCTGAAGAAGGCATTAAGTAAATTGAGTTTTTTTATTTAGTAAGTCGTTTTAATAACAACATCATTATTATTTTAATTAGGGGATTGACCAATTTTTTATGTTCGGATGATGTTCTGGCTGAAATCTCGTTTTTCCTTGGTACAAGCGATTTGATTATGTGTGCGGTATGTTTCTGGATTACCGTCACGACAGCTCTTTGTTAAGTTGGACTGCGTTTTCACCTCTTGGACGTTTGGTTTTAGGACTTTCCTCCGGAAAGATCAACCCTGGTGGACACTTTGTACGCCATTGTCGGTGCTTTGGCCAAAGATTCCGGTGTGGAACGCGCCGAATATTTCGTTTTAGATTTTGTTATTACTCATTTGGCTGATAAGGATGTTAACGAACATCTCCCCATAACAAACCCTATGGGTGTTATTGCGGACATTCTTGAACGGGAAGGCAAAGCGGAGCCTGAATCGCGACTTCTGCGGAAGACGGGTGAAAGTACTTTGATGGCTGCCTACCTTGTCGGAGTGTACAGCGATAAAAAGCTCATCGGAGAGAGTACGTATGATGACTCCCTGACCGTACTGTTCCGCTTTTTTTACACTTATGTGGTCCACGAGAAGTATGGTATAAACTCCCGACTTCTGTTCTTTTCTGTAAAATGAATCTGTTCGGATGTTATTTACTTGTAGAAGTGATTTGTTGCTGATAATTTAGGTTTTGGAGAAACTCTCCTGATTGCGGAAGAAATGGCTGCACGTGATGCACTGATCCGTATGTTCAAAACCGATTTGAAACAGCGACCATTGTTGTGGGGACAGGCCGGACGAAATCTTCCTTTGCAACATTTCTATAATGTGCCTAATGTTTCTCTCAGTGATTGGTCCACTGCATCTTGTGGAGAGAATTTTCAGAGGCGTATAAGCTCAGAGGCAGCCAAAGCTGGGAAGCAGAAGAAACAAGTTGTACAGTGATCTTATTTAGTTTGCATTGACATTTCCTGTGGTAAGGAATTTATTGTCATTTCTGGTTGACAGTGGTTGTAAAGCTACTTGAAACGGGCACTGTATATGGTTCCCACTGTGCATTAGTACTTGGGAAAGCAAAAAAGAATTGCTGCAGTCCATTTCGATGGGTTTTTTATTCGGTCGGTGTGTACAAATGTGGATAAGTATTGTATACAAATGTGTTAAGAATTGTTTTAGTTCGTTTGTACAAAAACATTATATCGAAATCCACACTCGTATAATTATGGTGCAGTAAATTTGGAACGCAAATTTGTACTTTTGGATGCTCTTTTGCTCAGGCACCATAAAGAAGCAGTGCCATCATAGCAGCACCAAAAGCTGCTGATAACGGCAGTGTAATGAGCCATCCCCCTGCGATCCAGCCAAACAACCTCAAGTTGACTTCTTTGCGGCACTGCAGCAGCCCGACAATAATTACAGATCCCACAATGCAGTGCGTCGTGCTAATCGGTATGCCAGGGATAACACAACAGATATTTTTGCAAATTCAATGGATGATCCCAAGAATGGCGCCCATCCAGATGTTTGACCTCGCAACCAGGAACGACTGTTTACACAGGGAATTTTTTGAATAAGAACATCGTCGGAAAGTATGGTGGAGCAAAATGGTTGAAACTGCCGTTGACTTACGTATTATTAGCTGTTATTTTCTCCATAGGACTTGTATGCTAACCTCTAACACTAACGCCGTGCACATTTCGAATGGAAACCATCCAGCCGATATCTCACAAGAATGGAATATCAAACAAATCGTAATGAATAGTAAATAAGACAAGTTCTAGCTATTTCCGGTTTATTATTTTCTGTGCCTGAAGTTTAGTGAGTTTACTAAATGTTGGTTGAAGATCGAATACAAAGACAACCTTACAATTCACAAAAGAAACATCACATCCTAATATTAACAAACAGCAGAAACAGGCGGCCGGATTACAGAGAACATTTGATCTAAATTAGCCGAGGCCGGTGCCGTTCCCAGGATAGATGCCGCGTTTCCACGTTGAATTTCGATGCTGAACCTGGGGCGCAAAAACTCCGTTGCACGTTTCTCGCCTGTTTCCTGCCATATCATCTTGCCCACTTCGCTAATCAGCCGGGAGGCTTCCGGTCCACGTGGCCCCACTGTCTCCACGCCGACCGCTCGGAACAGGTAATCGTGGGTGATGTTCTGGGTATTTCTCGATTGCCGCTGCTGCGCCGGCTTCTGTGGATGTTCCAGCGATGTGGGAAAAGCCATCGTACACACGCATGTCACATCCCATGTTCACATTTTGCCTCGCTCCCACGGTACTGACTACTAAGGTGACACCGTCAGGGCTTAGGCCGTTGGTTCGCGATATTCCCAAAGGCTCGAGTTCAGTCTCAATGGTGGCTGAAGCGAATGCTCGTTAATTTAAGCGTGGCATTTAAGCTGCTATGTCTAGACTTCCGGCCCCGACTTTTCTTGCAGCTGAAGTCGTGGTAACCTCGAGCGCCTAACCATTCATTGCAGATACATCGGTGCGGAGTTACGATCGGTGTGCCCAGGCGCAGGCCAACAGCAATTCGTAGTGCGGAATCGTTTAAAAGGTTTTCCAGTGATGCAGCTAGTAGAGCATCTAGCCATGCTTCGTTGTCCTTGGTGCTATACCTAGAAGCCGCGCTTGGCTGGAAATGTCCGACGGCCATTTCAGACAGCGTCTTTACGGTAACTTGCATGACTGGTTCATCCCACAGCTCCTGAAATTTTCGGGCTTCCACGGCTGGAAGGTCATCTAGCTGTTTATGTCTCTCACAGACATAGCATACGAAAAACCAAAAAATCAGCTGAAGTTTTGCGTGATAGAGAGCGGGCTGCCGTTCCCAGGCGGCTGGCCGTGTTGCACAATGCACATCCACGCCGCTGACAATACAAAATCTTCCACGTGCAATAAGGTGCATACACGAATCTGATAAATGATAATACTTATGTTAGTCCCGCAAATTACAGAATCTACACAAACGCCTGATAAAAACAATTACAACGACATTAAATTACTAACGCATCAAAAAATTTACATATCTGTAAATAAGAAGAAATTATCTAAAAGCACAATTAAGAAGATAAAACCACTGCAACTATAGAGCAAGGTACACAAACGATTACCGCAAATAACGGGGCACTTGCGAGAAACGACCCCTCTACGACATCTCCAATACTTCGATTAAACCTTGGCTGTTTGCAGCGACCAAAATATTGGAGTCCTACAAATACAAAAAGGGATCAAATTTCAGATTTTTCCACAAACCTGTTTTTCGAGATACTCTTAATTTTGAATTACAGCCAATACCTTCTTCCAAGCAACAGCGCTCAAAAATTTACATCCATACGTTTTCCTGAAAGTTTGAGCGAGAGATTCACGTGGTGGTTCAAATTTATACTGAACAACAGGTTTTGGCATTGCACGATGGTAAATGCAGAGAGAGTTATTTTCGCTTCCTGAAGCAGAATGATACCGTCACCACCACTGACAATTTTAAACTGTGTTGCGCACTAATTTTCACTCAGTATGTAATCAGTATTAGGGAAGTGCACCGCTGTTGGCTAGCACTGAAAGACCCAAGCGAAGCGGGAAACAAAATTAAATAAGTAAACACTTTAGAAAGTTTACTTTTTTTTAAATTTGTCCCTTATAATTTTTTGTGTTCATTAAATATAGTTTCCAACAGTACTTTTCTTTTAAGAATTTTAAAATATGAAGGCGTGACCGACGTGACCGACAAAGGTCCCGCTTTCTTGTACTTACATAAAGGACCTTCCGCTTCGCTTCGGTCGATTAGTAATTAGTAGGTAAAAGCTTATTCCATGCTGACCTGTAGCAATATAATTTCCGGAACAGTCAAGACCAACAAAACTCTTCTCATTTTGATGACCCGTAAAAGTTTTCAGCGTAGCAGGTCCTCCGGCAGCCTCAGACTCAGTGCAGCACCTCTGCAGCAGCAGCGCCAAATCCGCGCTCCGAGGCGGTAGATATACAAAGGACGCTCCAAAAGTAAGTTTCCCTATTTTGTATCTCCCAGCTTGAACGCTTTTAGTTCTTATGAACCATATTTTTAGAAACGTCCTTCACTCACGAACTAAAATAAAATATAACTCTGCCTAACTACAATCAAATGGAGAAGAACTGCCGAGAAAGCCGTCCAAGGTTTTCGGGGGTTTTACCCTGACAGTTTTTGTTATTTTTCTCAGTCTTCCTGCTCAATTTTCGGAAAGCACCAAATATCATCCGATTAGGATTCTTTTCTGTCCTAATTCCAAGAATGAAACAAAATAACTTCTTTGCAATGCTTTTCCAGAAAAGTAGAAACTGTCGATGACTAGGTGGAAAAACCACAGAGCTGCTCAAGCTGCCAGACGGTAAAAAACCGAAAATTTCTTGTAAAACATTATTGCTCTCGGTACAACTTGAAGTTATTTGTGTCCAAGACCCTCATGACTGCGCATGAAATTTTCTTTTTATTGATGTTAAGAACTTTCGGGTTCATATCAGCAAGAAGGCTGAAAAGGGGGATTCCGGCGTCGTGGAGAAAAAAAATGTTTGCTCTCCTCCGTAAATTTTTCAAAGCCTTCTGTTATTGCAGTAATATTAAGAACAGTGACGCGATTGCGAAAACAAGCTGCCAGCCGTGCCGAATTGAAGCTGCCTGGCGAAAATCTTTCGATTGGTCGGTTTAATTAAAATTAATTAAAGGCTGGCAGCTTGTTTTCGCACATAGTCCAGTATTTGTAGCTGGTACTTTAAATTTGCTGCCGAAATTACAACAGGAACGGAAGTGGTAATAAAAAGAACGAGCTTCGAAAAAACTCGTGGAAATGAATTAAATGTATAAGTAGTATTGCTAATTTGTTTTTCGTTTTCCCAGTTCTTCATCAAATCTTTTGATTCTTATTTCTCTAATTAGTTTACATAATTGCTTATACAACAAAAAATATATCACATGTCTATTACTTCAAATGGCAGGGAGGCAAAATAGGGAAAGTTACTTTTGGAGCGTCCTTTGTATTTATTCGCCGAACTAATAGGCTTGCCGCCATTTAGTAAGAGTGGAGTTTTCCGGCTGTCTTCCTTTTAAACTTTCATACTCACACGAAAATGATCGAATTTAAAATTTTGAGAACTAAAGTTTAATGAGACAACCGAAGACCCATCGGTTCATGCAAAACTATCTTGCACTCTATTTCACTATTGTCGTTCTTGGAGCTGGAATAAACCATCGTTAGAAGGAACAAGTTGTACAGTGATCTTATTTAATTTGCATTGACATTTCCTGTGGTAAGGAATTTATTGTCATTTCTGGTTGTAAAGCTACTTGAAACGGGCACTGTATATGGTTCCCACTGTGCATTAGTACTTGGGAAAGCAAAAAAGAATTGCTGCAGTCCATTTCGATGGGTTTTTTATTCGGTCGGTGTGTACAAATGTGGATAAGTATTGTATACAAATGTGTTAAGAATTGTTTTAGTTCGTTTGTACAAAAACATTATATCGAAATCCACACTCGTATAATTATGGTGCAGTAAAATTTGAAACGCAAATGTGTAGTTTTGGATGCGTTTTTACTCAGGCACTATAAAGAAGCAGTGCCATCATAGCAGCACCAAAAGCTGCTGATAACGGCAGTGTAATGAGCCATCCCCCTGCGATCCAGCCAAACAACCTCAAGTTGACTTCTTTGCGGCACTGCAGCAGCCCGACAATAATTACAGATCCCACAATGCAGTGCGTCGTGCTAATCGGTATGCCAACCTTCGAGGCCAGCATCACCGTCGACGCCGTACCCAGTCCGACGCAGAATCCACTACGAGAAAGCCAGTTAAAGGTCACCGTTAACTGGACTACATATTTCAGCTTTAAGTGACGCCTTTAACCAATTAACTTCAATTTAAAATGTATGGAGATTGGCTGCAAACTACCCAGCAGTATATTAAACACATTCTTCTCGGCTGTCTGTCGGCTCGTAAACATGGTACCTGCTGGGCAGAACAGGTGACAAGGTCGTTCCGATGGTTTCGATGACCCGACGGCCAAGACAACAAAGGCCAGCGGAAATGCTTAGGCCGCCGAAACACAGGAGCCAGATGTTCGGCTGGTTTTCATCACCGATTCGGTCGTACGTGAAAATTGCCCAAATCTCAACGAGTGGTCCCACCGTATTACTGCGTATGACAGAAATTCATCGCATTATTGTTCAAAACACGTTTATTCAACTCTTGTGCGCTTACCACACATCGTTGCCCCCGTGCGCAAAAGCGATAAAAGTGGCAGTTACACTAAAATAGGAAAATAAACTGCCTAAGCGATAAAAGTGGCAGTTACACTAAAATAGGAAAATAATAATTTTACATTCGCTAACATTTGCAAATAGGAAAATATCGGCGCGGTTTCCGGTTGATCATCGTGGAAAAAGCTGCTGCGACGGGACACCGGCTGGAAAAATGAAGACAAAATTTTATTTAATAGAAGTATTCATAGGCCACAAAGCTGCCATGTCAACTTATGCGCATGCAGCTAGCAAGTGCCGTCGATCCCCAATATGAGTGTGGGCACTGGGCACTATTTTGCTTGTGTCTTATGGTTAGCTATTACTCAGTCGGAATTTGAAGGTTCATAAAATAGGTATTACGGATAATTGGATTTAAAATAAAAACGCCAAAAGAATTTCGTGGTAATTTCTACTTCATTCATTATTTGAATATGTATGTACCCGTTCTTTTATGCACGCGCGAGCATCACTGCAGCAGTTCAGCAGAGGCCTAATTTTGCGGTTATTACTCCGTAGTTGGGCCTCAGTAAGCGTCGTGATGGTGGATTCAGTCTGTGAAGGTTTCATAGCGAATTCACTTAATGCCTCTGACTCGTTGGCATCCCTTGCATCTGTGTCATTTTTTGCCGCCCCTTCACTGATATTGTCTGAAAGCACTTCGATGCTTTCATCCGCAGCGACCGAGGTCAGCATGCCAGTTGGTGTCGGTGATGTCACGGTGACCGCTGAAACAACGGTCATGGTGATGCCGTCGCTTCTGGCGGAATTCGTTTCCGAATCTTGTCCAGGCTGCGACGGAGACGCTTCCAGAAGCGATGGCATTTTATCACCGGCGTGCAACATTCCCATTTCGGCAAGAAACTCTTCCCGCTCAAAATCACTGATGCTTCGTAAACTTTTCTTAGACAGCTGTCTGGTACGATGACGATGCCGTTTCAGTGAAGATCTCCTGTTATGACTTTGGCGTGACCAACGGTTTACCGCTGCATCGGGACATCCACCAAAGTCTGTCGTAGTGTCACTGGTGGTACTCGGCTCGTCCATGGTTGCTACTTCTGAACACAGAGCTTCTTCAATGTCGCCCATGGACAGACTGCGCTGGCGTAGTGACACGAATTCTCTTGTCCTGATTTCTATGAGGTGATCTTCTATTTTCTTCCGCTGCCATGGAACAAAGAAAAAATACACTACGAAGGCTGTTATTAGGCCTAATCCAGTGCTGATTATCAGCGAGCCCCACCAAGGAATTTTTTCTATCACGCCTAAAAAATATGAAAACATGTTATGATGTTGTTAAAGTAGTGTTGTACGTAATTACGATGTGCACGTGCGCTTTAAAATTAAATATCAGTCGAACACCTTGCACCTTAGCATAATTTATAATGCATCACATGGCAAAAATTAATGATGAACCTACTATCATGCCGTACTTGCAGCCCTGGCTGCATTATAAACCCTTGAACCTACCGGGCATGAGCTTTCCGTCGAGAAAAAGGCTAGAAAAGTTTATAAAAATGGTAATGCCGTATAAAAACGGCATCGCCGCCAGTCCGCGCTCTTTTGGGTGATCGGTGCTTATGATGAATCGCTGAATAAGGACATACAAAGCACCGGAAAACGTTCCGGCAAGTAGCGGCGAGATAAACCATGAAGCAACAATTCGCAACAGTCGCAACCAATAGACTCCATTTGGACCCACTTTTACCAGCGAAAACCCGACCGTTGCACCGACCATTGCATGGGTTCCTGCACACCGTAACAGCGTTGAGTTAAGAGAGATAACTGAGCGCTCGTTTACTCGTAGCAACATTTTGCTACAATGTCAGTAGTTTTTTTTTTCTTGGCAGCTTTGCTTTGATTTTGTAAGTAGCATATTATCAAAGTTAAGTATTTCCCAATTTTCCTTATGCGCCATGTCAGCTCCTGCCATCGGCCCATCGTTTGACAGCGCTCGATCTGTTGGTCAGCTATATGCTCAGGTCAGCTGCCAGAGTTCGGTTATCCTGATTAAAGTGGAAAAGTTAACAGATGTTCTGGAGCAAGTATTCAGTTAATAGACATGTATGTAATATTTTATTTAATAAATACGTTACCAGCTTCTTACACTATTTTTTCGTTGTTTTAGTATTTTTTGTATACTCAGTAGATTCGTGACATCATTGAGTAAGTAACATCATCTAGAGATTTTTAATGTTTGTGTGCTTAAATTATAATGATCTGAAATGTGAGCAAATCCTATTTTGTATGCTGTATACGGTATATAGCATATATGGGTTGTTTTATGTACAGTAACTATGTATTGTCAAACATTTTCCTTGTTTTCGATAGGCCGCTTAAAAAACTTTCGCGACTCCTTATTATCACATACCGGACACTGGGATTCTTAGCAGAGTCGCAACGAGCAAAACCATTGCTGTGCCGACCAAGGAACTAATTTCTCCAAAAAGCAGCACGCGTTCGTTTCCCCTGTAGACGGAAAGGTCAACGGTGTCCTTCCAGCTCGTCATGTAGGTTCCAAGCAGTATTGCTCCTACAACAGCGTAAACAATAGCTGTATGTTTCTGTCTTACCACACCATATATAATTAGTGGACTTTATATGCTTATACCTGATGTTTCAAAAACAATGGCCAGTATGCACGCAGTGCGTAAAGTCAAGGCACGGGAACCGACAGCGGTACCAAATGAATTGGCCACATCGTTGGCGCCCATCGTAAAAGCCGTAAAAAATGCAACGACGAACGCACTTCCCACAATCCATGAATAGTCCCAGTTGTATGATGGACTTGGATTAATTAGTGCTGGATTTGGAGTGGTCATTTTTGTGTTCAGAGAAAATCAACAGCTGTCGGAAACAAATGCACGAATGCAGTAGAACCGGGCCACCGCGTTCACTTTTTCCAGAGCCGTTAGGGCAATAAAATACCTATTACTACTACGTTTATTCTACAATGTAACGAATAATCCCGATGCGGTAATGCTCAAAATTTTTAGATAGAGAAAAAGCCATACAAAAAGGGCATCGGGCACTGTATATAAATAAAGCTATGCTATCAAAATCCAGAGGTGCAGTAATTGTTAACAGGATCCTACCGCTAAAAATGATCCACTGTATACGAAGATTTAGCGCAGCCGTGGCAGAGAACTGGGATAATTAATATGTGAGGAGAGGTTTTCGACTTAACGAATTTTATTGGGCAAAATATGCTGTAAAATTACTCTGAAATTACTTTCCTCTGAATCGAAATTTCTTTCATGAGTGTTCTGCTTCCTTTAAGCAACTGCCTTTGTTTTTCAAAATTTTATGACCTCGTAAAACAGTAAGCGGTAGAAAACTTTAGTCATACTGCGAATTTCTAATGCAAATCACCGCTAAAGGGCGAAGTAGTGTCATTGCATTCCGGGTTACTCATAAAACCACATTAGTAGAGAAATCTAACTCATAGTCAGTATTTGGAACTGGTAAGAAGTAATCTTATTACTTTTTGCAATTAAGCATAAAAAATTCCAACCGCGATTGTTTCGTACTGACCAACCATATTAAATTATCTATTCGTCGAATAAATACTTACTGCAGATTGTATCAGTTTCCGTAAACTTAAATTTGTTTTGTAAAGATCAATTTAGTTCTAACCAGCTTTCAGGTAGGGCTCCGGTGGGTACACGATTGTTTTATGCATGTACTCAAAAGCACTTACTGTATTGCTGTTACACTGGTGTTAAATATAGATATTAGGAAAAGCAAGAACAGAAAGTTCACGTTCAAAGGTGGAGCAAGTTTTTAGTCCTGCTCCCGTTACAATAGTTAAACTTTTAAACCTGTGTACGTATTTATTGGTACCGATAATTTTGAAAGTAACAATAAATTATTTTACAATTAAATTAGGTAACATAAGCTAAAGCACAAGCTAACAAAGATAAGTGCGGTCTGACGTCTCAGCATAATCGTGTAATGGCTCACTATGGTTGTGATCAACAACACTTATAACAGGCGCAAGTCGCGGAGTGTTCAAAACTTCCCGACGAGTACTTACACAACTACACAGTACACATGGTCATACGTATAAAATTATAAAATTAATGTGATATGATCAAATGCAGAATCACGTTCATTTGGGAACTGAAATTTTCCGTTTGAATATTGCATTGAAGAATTAAGTTTGTTTCAGATAACTGTTTTTCGGTTTTTCGAATTGGGGAATCGTGAGTTGTCCAGAAACGCATTTGAAATCAGTAATTATTATGTCGTGACTTGAGAGATCATAGATATTCCGTGACACAGTGGCAGAATGTCAAAAGATCACAGTGCTCAACTGAGCGCAGCCATTCCCATTGATTCAGGTGTTGATCCTTTGACAAGCAACCCGGAATCCGCGGATGCAGTCCAAACTACCCGACCAGCTGAGCTTCTGCTACCAATTCCGAACGATGTCGACAGCATTGCGCTGCAGTCACCGAGTCCCATGCCCACGGAGAACGCCAGCAAAATCCTGGTCCAGCCTACAGCCATTCCGGGATGCCTCAATGCACACAACGACGGGGCTTTTGACTGGTTCGTTACGCTGAATGTGTTTGATGCATAAATGCGAAGGCGAAGAATTTTGCAGGGGTTGGCAGGGATGTCTCGCATACGGAATGCAGACTCTGGTGGTGGTGCTCGATGCTCGCACCATGTCGAAGGTTCAGGTGTTGGATCTGCATAAACATCACGTCGCTGTGGTGAGTGATTGCAAGCAAACAGTGTGTTTGTGGTTGCTTTTTGTGAGCTTGCTGATTTTATGTGCTCGTGTAGGTTCGTTGGGCGCGAGAGAATTATTGTCATGGTCCACGTCAGAGTTACAGTTTACGGTTGGCATCAGCTGATATTCAAGGCTGCATCATCGTCTGGGATGTTTTAAAAGGAGCAGCGCAGTCGAAATTCGGGGAAAGTGAAGGTCCTGTTTTTGGTAGGGTGCCTTACTGGATATTGAACGCTAATTTAATTTTTAAATTGGAATTTTCATAAAACTCGGACATTTGAATTTTATTTTTGTGCGTTAATTACTGAAAAATATTTAATCTGAAGGTTTTAGAGCAAGCGTACTTCGTAATGCTCAGCCCCATTATACTTTTGTATTTCTTTCTGGGGTGTCGGTGGTCGCATAATCAGAACTTCAGTATGTGGTACCTGCTTTGTGCACATCTGAAAGACATTTTTATTGCCGCAGTTGCTGTCTTTTGACGACTACAGTTATACCGTATCCTATAATGTTTTTGAACTGCAGATATGGCATGGCATTGGCATCAGGATGCCACACAGGATTTGCTATTGTGTCTGCACGCTAATTCCTGCTTGGTACTGTGGAATGCCACAACCGGCACGATGATCTGGAAAAAAATCTTTGCCCGAGTGGATCATCATCTGGAAGCGTTTGACCTGGATCCCCATCAGCCCAATCGTGCAGTTTGTAGGTTCATCGTGCTCGTTTGTATTTTTTAATGCCTAATTGTCTGATTTCAAATTGGTACATGTTAGTTATCCATCGTTTTGCTTTCTCTAGTTATCGCTTCTGATGGCATTTGGATGATTCAGGATATGTCGTTTTACAAATCCCCTTCACATGATCTGGAGAGGATAAGTTGGTATCTGAATGGCAGACTTACGGGTGTCCATCGCGAAGGCTTGGCGGGCAAAGATGTGGCAGTATCCCCGACATCCATTCGTTCGGACATTAAGCAGCGTGCATCCAAGCTGCTTTCACGCAATTCACTGGTTGTTTCCAACATTCCGGAAGTTGACAGCAACAGTTTATTGGAGATATATTTTCATCGAAATATGTATAATGTTCTTATTGCGGTGTATCCGCGGCAGATCTTGTTCATCAGCATTCGCTATGGTAGCGTGTTTCGGCAGATTAACTCTGAGAAAGCTGCTGTTCCATTCCAGTCTGTGATTCCAGTACGGCAATTGGATGCATTCTATTGTCTCCATACAAATGGGTCCATCAGCTTCCGTAGCGTTAGCAAGCCAAGCACTAACGCTCTTATCGTCCCTTGTGATGCTGTAAATCAGCCGGAGGCCACGCGCCTTCTGAAACATTGCAAGATCTTTGGTTTTGCTGTGGATCCTGTTAGCGAAATGCATTTATCCGTTTTACTCAACGACGGCCGTATTTTAGCTTGGAAGCTAGATTCTGGCGACAACGAATTACGTATATTACCGTCCAGTTTTATTTCTCCACCAAGAATATTTTTGACATGCATGACCACTCCGTTGCATTCTCCACCATTAGTCATCCAGGCCAATCTACTAGTCAGTGAACGGGATCATCTGATTGCAGTAGGGTCGAGCAAGGGGACAGTACAAATCTTTCAACATGGAAGTAGTATATTGTTACGAGAATATTTTATCCAGAATAACCCGATTCAGGGATTGGAATGGATTACACCGAGTTTATTATTAATTTATTCGTATCCACACACCGGAAGTCCGGCAGCGTTAGTGCGCAGCGAAATTGTTCTTCTAGACTTGCGAATTGGCAGTGTCCGGCTTTTACGGAAGAGTGTGGCTGAAGAGTCGCCAATTCGGACAGTCAAAGTTTCCCCCGCGAAAGACCATCTTGTAATTGTTTTCAAGAATGGTGTTCCAGAAATCTGGAATATTTTGGAAGGTCGTCAGTTGGTATGGCACCGACCGCGCTCGGTGCCTCATGCTACAGCTGCCGAATGGGTTGTTGTGTTAACTCCGGCTGTGGACGACCCCGCGACATCTGATGCTAAAGTCCGAAAGGAACTGATACTGTTTGTCGATCTCAAAGGGCTTTTTCAGGCATTCAGAGTGAAAGGCAATATCATACATGAAGACAAATCATCGGTATTCACTACACAGGCCACCATAGGACACGTTACAGCTATGTGCCGTAAACGGAATAAAATAGTCATGGGGGATGTGGATGGTAGCCTGATAAAATGGACACCATCGGAAAGCTTAGCGGAGACTAAAAACTTGAATAGAGGTTGGATCAAAAACATTAAATTTGCTCCTAAAGATCGAACAATGTGGGCTGCTGTACTTTTTTCCGATGGGCTGGACGTGTGGGAAATAGAAACGGTAAGAGAGCAAACGTAAACAAAGTTGCACTTGCGAAAGTTTTTCATTGTTACTTACGTTCTGAACAATTATTAATTTTGTAGATGGAACTGATTAATCAAGTTAGACCAAAACTTTACAAAATTAACTCCTTTGATTGGGTGTCGGCGACGCACCTGGCTTTATGCTGCATGGATGGATGCATCCGGATATACGACTGTCGCAATTTTATTACATGCTCGTCTATTGTCAATGTGGAACTGCTGCATGGTACGTACTCTACAATTCAAAAGTACTACCGGATTGCATGCCTATTTGCATGCGTTAAGCATCTTAGTTCGAAATTTGTGAATATTATAGCGTGTTTTCAGCGGGGAAATTACTGTACTGTCGCACTGTTAATTCCGCTTGTTATTTCGAAAAGACGATATTGAAGTGTGTGCTCCTTTAAGGATCTTTTTACAGAGGACATAAAAAATCCATATTTATTATCGCAAGAAGCGATACGCCAAGAAAAAGCAACTCGTTTAATGCTGGTAAAAGATCATGAGAGCGACGAGGACGCGGCTACTTCCCTCAGGAAGCAAGAACTGGCAGATTTGCGTCGTAGCTTTTCAATGAAAACTCAAAGTAGTGCTGACCGTTGCTTCCTGACCAGCTTATTTATGGGGGATGAAAGCGATTATCATTTCTGGAAAGCGTGTCTTCGATCCTTGCCTTCCGTGCAGAGCGCTTTGAAAGATAAATTAGGTTTACAAGAAAACTTCTTTCTTCTCGATAAAGATTCCTTGCAGGTAACATGTACTGTTTGCACTTAAAACCGGCGTCTGTTACGGCTGAACTGACAGTCGTTTTACGATGTTTAGGAACACGTTTTTAGCATGACCAGTATTGTTTTGGACGATTCGACTGGAGTAAGCAATGAATGCACGCGGAAATGCATCCAAGATCTGATCTCAGTTGGGGCTAGCAGCGTTGCTGTAGAACACATTCTTGGTTTGGACCCCAACGATCCGAATTATTACACAGATTCTCTTAAGTAAGTCATTAGTTTTTCCTTGTAGTTTTCAGAGGGTTTTCTTGTTTGTGAGTACCGAATATTCCATCTCGTAGTTTGGCTGTTTTGATCGGCTGCTTTGCTTGACAACTTTTGGTGTGCGTGTAAGACGCGAGTAAAATGCACGGTGAAGTAAAAGAGTTTTAAAATTTACTGAAATTTTAAGGATTTTGCAAACTTTTTGCACATATACGGTTACCTGCGGAAAGTCTTGCAGGTGAAATCAAGATGTTTTTTCAGAGCTGCTTTGTTAACGAGTTTAAATGGTCACTCATCGGAAACTGTCCAAAGTACAATCAAACTGGTTGCTACGAGTCTGATCGCGAACACCACGATGGCCAGTAGCGGCATTGAGCTTTTGTGTATGATTGGAAAAATGCTGGAAGCTTGTAGATATTTGCAGTCCTGCGGAAAATACACTGATGCGGCCAATTTGGCTAAACTCTGCTTATCTACTGTCGAATCGAAAGAGATTATGACGAAATGGGTCGATTATTTGTGTGCTCCTGAAATAAACCAAAAGAGTTTGGCGTTGTTAATTTGTTTACATGCCGGATTTTTTGATCGTGCACTGGAATTAATGGCCACATCCAGGCAGTTTGAACGAGCAGCCATGTTTCTGCAGGCCTGTGAAGAAGATGGCATTCTGGAACCGATCTTGCAAGGAAACCTTGCCATGTGTGGTAAATAATTGGCCTTTACATTAGATGGTTTTATCCTTTATAATGTTACCACATTTTGCGTTTGATTTTGGAAAACAACGTTAATCTGACCCTTTGGTTTTCAGAAGCAGTTTACCTCGAATATGCCCGGTATCTGCATTCCATCGGATTGAAGGACCAAGCAATGTATTTTTGTGATAAGGGCGGCAAAAATGGGCGTCTACTTCGACAAGAGTTTGAAATTTTAAATCGTGATCATAACGTACATTCGGGATAACCTTCCCGTTGCGATCATTCCGGTGTCTTGAATGAACGTGCCTCAAAGCTTGTTTCATGTATGTAATGTGTGTATGTTGATTCTTAAAGAATAGAGTAGTCTGTTAGTTTTCGCAATTTTTAATGGTTTTAAAGTTTACTACCCTTTTATAATCCCCGTTCATCAGAATGGCTGTTGACAGATTCTGACGGAGTATTTCGTTGCTAGATTCTCAATCTTCGCAGCTCATATGGATTAAATTTGTATTGACTCGGAAATTCGCAATGTGAACCGATTCGACGTATGTTTTTTTATTTCCTTGGCATGTCCCGGTTAATTTCGCGTGAGAATAGCTTTAACCCAGTTTATGTGTCTTCCAATTTTAAATTTTGTTATGTTAAAAAATTCGAGATACGAAATAATACAGTAAATAACCAGTTTTCATAGCGCTTTGTAATTTGTACATGGAATGATCTAGCGAATGTAAAACCAAAGTCCGAAATCTGAGAAGTGGACCTTGCTCTTGTATCTCTTTGGAATTAAATAGCGTAAATGGTTTCAGGTTTCAGAAGAAGCGAGTAAAAACCGGTTTTTCTGCTTCTATTCGGTAGTGCTTACTTATTATCGTGTGTAATACAAGCTTAGCATGGCAAAATACGTGCATGAAAGATTGCCAAGAGCACACATCGCGTTTCAGGGACTTTCTACAAATTACACTGAATCAGCTGTCGAGCTATCAGTAGCTGCGGTTTCCCATTATTTAACTCATGATCAGCGCCGTCGGAAGAATGTGCAATTGCATAGCATCTCTTTATTTGCTACCAGAAAGGTCATCTGTTATCGCAGCTTTACAACAGGAAATCACCACCACGTTCGATCACAGCATCACGCATGGTTATCTAACTGCAACGTACATGTATGTCTGGGATCGGTACTCTACGTCCAACAAGATAAAACCATTAATTCACAAATTTAACAGTTAAGAGGTAAAAGGAACAAAAATACAAAGTTAAAACGACCGTCCTTAACCCACTTCAAAATAGTCGGCTCTTCTTCGCAGATTTCCGTCGAACCGGGATCAAACGAAGGACATGGTACCACAGCAAGGAGCCAAAGCCAAAAAACAAACATATCATCCACGAATCCAATGTTAAAGGCTGCGTAGAAAACACGTAACCGCCAAATTGCACTACCAAAACTTGTGTGACGACCATGACGGTCCACAGTATCAGAAAATACAGATTGCGCTGAATTCCTTGGAAGACGTTCACTTCGTTATGGATACAGCGAGCATTAATTAAGTTGAACGATGTCATCATCACCAAACAATTGAAGATCATCGTATAGAGGAACGTCGGCTCCCCAACAACATGACCAATTTGGCGCTCTTCATGAACGTCAAAATAGTATGGTCCTAGAATGATAGCCATGTTAATCAACCGACCAACGAAATGAGTGCAGGCAATACCATTAACTTTTGCTTAAAAGGTCAATCTTACCTAAAAATAACATCAAGAGCAGTACCACAGTTTGGTACAGTCCTTGTCCGAGAATATTTCGAGCAATTACTCTGCTAATAATCCGTTTCTTTCTGCCATACGGTTTCCGCTTTAATAAGGCTTCGCCTGGAGGCTCTGTTGCAAGTGCTAATGAACCCAGGGTGTCCTGGATCATATTAATCCACAGCATCGGAACTGCCTTGAGGGGAGTATCCTGCAAAAACATTTTAAAATATCAAATTGAGTGTTATTCTTACCAGCTATATTATCCAGATGTTAATTATTTAACTTTTCATGATAAATTTGTTCTTAAGCCCACTCTTAAAATACACAAATGTTACAACTTACAACAGTTCTTACCCCAATAGCACAAGCCGAAACAATGGCAACACTTAGCGCCGCGACATTGACTGTCAGCTGAAACTGTAGAAATTTTGCCACGTTGTCGTAGATATTTCTTCCCCACATGCAAGCCTTAACGATGCTAATGAAATTATCATCCGTAAGAATGATATCGGACGCTTCTTTTGCGACATCTGTTCCGGCGATACCCTAAAAATGACTGGCATGGAATTTACGCGCAAACAATTTCTAGCATTTCACATCTGTAAATTTCGGATGGACAGATAATACAATTAATTTTACAGAATAACTTGCACCTATTTTATCACGTTAATGTCTCCTTTGACGTTTATAAGGAACTACTCATTGTTAGCGAATTTGGTTTATTACCGTAGCGAATTTTGTAACGCCACTGAACTTAGTTCAAACTTAACAGTAATTTCACTTTTTTCGTACCATGGCAAATCCAACATCGGCTTTGCGGAGAGCCGGCGCTGTTAAAAATAATACATTTACAATATTTTATAACTATTACGTAACAATAACATATAATAAAATGCCTAAATAAACCAACCATCATTTGTCCCGTCGCCTGTTACTGCAACAACCTATAAATATAATGACTGGTTATGTTACAAATTGTTCTTGTCGGCATCCTAAATTTCCCACTAACCTCCCGATGTTTGGATATCCTGCTATTGATAATCCCGTCAACCAAGGTAAATTTATCTTCCGGTGTCGATCGTGCCAAAACTCTTAGCTTCGGCCATACACTGTTCAGTCGGCCGGGATCAATCTATTGCGCAATGAGATCAGCACATCAACGATAAATCCATTACGCAACAATCAACTCCACTCCTACCTGTCCATTGGAATCTCGAATCATGACGTTGAACTGACGACCGTCCAGTACAATGCTGTCATCCTGGGGTGCGATTATCCCGCACTTGATGGCAATCGATCGGGCCGTCTGGATATTATCACCGGTAATCATTCTCACCGTCACACCGGCGCGCTGGCACTGCCGGATGGCATTAGGCACTTCCGGCCGCACCGGGTCTTCAATGCCGACAATGCATAGGCATGTCAGATTGGATATAATGCTGTTTTCGTCATCGAAATCCGGCTGACAGGAAACTTTCTCAACATTAGGAAGGCTATCCACATCGTCAGTATTCAACAAATAGTCTTTGTAAGCGATACAAATGGTTCGAAGTGCACTGTTTGTCATCAGAGAAATCACGCTGTTGGTGACCATCTGTGACGCATCCGAACACTCCAACAACGATCCCGATTCGGTTAACATGAAACGGCACCTACAAATAAAATATCTAATTAGAAAACAGCAATATGTGCAAGCGAAAATGCACAGCCAAGCATATCGACATCTAGTATTTTCCAAGAACCGTCAGATTTATAAATATGGTTTGGACAATGCGTACAAAATAATAATGTACATCGAGATAAAGCAGATAATAAAATTCAACTGCGCATTAAATCCCAAAGAAAGTGGCACTAATTTTTACAGTGTCAAAGAAAAACCATGAACTTAAGGAAATCTGCTTACTTGGAGACGATAATCTCAGCGGCACCCTTAGTGAACACCCTCCAGCCTCCAGGGATTTCAACCACTGTTGACATTGATTTCCGCCCCGAATTGAAGGTATATACTTTCAAGAGCGATCCTTCAGGATACATTCGTCTCACTTTATGGTAATCCGTTCCCAATGAGGAAACGAAGCTCAATAGGGCACATTCAGTTTTATTTCCTCTGTGTTCCTGAGGGACTCCATCTTTAGCAGGTATAACATCGGAAGTGTAGTTGCAGTTTACGGCAACAGCAGTACCGACAATTTTCAGTACATTCTGACTCGCTGCTTTCACATCAGGCAGAGGATCATAAATTTCTCCTATCAGTTACAATCAAAAAAGTCAGCAATAATCACTATTTGTAGAAACGTAGAACTTTTACCCGAGCTATGTAAAATAAGAGGTGCGAAATGTATACTGTATAGGCGTTAAAATTTCATATTTCGTGGCTTGAGTATTCAACACAAAATTTCAACAAGTATTTCATATTTTTCCGTTTTCGCAGTACAACCTGCAAACCAGTGTGCCAAACTGAACTACCTCGGAAATTCTGAACGACTTGTTGGTTCGACAAAAATGGCATTCACAAAAGGTTAATCCAAATTTCATGTACGATTTTCGGTCAGGCTTACCTCCAAACCACGCCTGCATTACTGTCATGCGGTTTGTAGTGAGGGTTCCCGTCTTATCTAAAATACGCAGTCAGTCAGAAATATATTCCTCTTTGCACGCACATCTTTTACTGATTAATATTTAATAGAAATTAAATTAAGACCTATGAAACAAAGCAATCAGCAAAGGTATTAAACACTACAAACTGTGACCTACAGTATCTATACATATTTTCCAGCATGCAGTTCCTACTTTTCTGTTTCCCTAGTTAAAGCGAAAAATTGCTAATCTACCTGAACAAATTGTCGTCGCGCATCCCATTGTCTCACAGGCATAAAGGTGCCGGACGAGGTTGTTATCCTGCATCATTTTCTGAAACATCGAAAACATTTTAATCGTTGTACTCCCTAATTATCTGTATTGCATGCATTAATTTATGTTATGCCAAGTACTTACTATAGTGTGAGGTAAGTTCTTGGTTATGCATTAATTTATGTTACGGTAACAGCAGTAACTCGTGCAAATATGTACAGACTGCATTGTTATTGGTGTCCTTACAATTTGTTGTGATAACAGTTAAGGTTTGTACGATCATAATTATTCAGCCAAACCGATTCAAACAGCGGCAATTTGATTTACTGCAGTTGATCAAACATAAGTAGTAGTAACAGTACATACTAACAAAATGTAAGCTACTAACTTTTGCCGAAAATGCCAAGGTCAGTGTTACTGCCAGTGGCAAGCCTTCGGGAATTGCTGACACCAGGATCGTAATTCCAACAATAATACTGTCTAATATTGTAGTGGCATCTTGACTTTTCCAGGAATTTCCATCTATAGCATAGTTCTGTACACAGAACCGAATGATTATCACCAAGGATGTGGCGGCAGAAAAAATAAAACCTGCACAAATCAAGAATAAGTCATATGCACAAGATGCCAACCATTTTTCACAAAAAGCAAAATATACCAACAAAATTAAACTGACCAAGAATTCCAATCTTGTAAGCTAAAATATTCAGTTTGGACTGGAAGACCGAATGATTGGTTTGCTTTCTTTGTTGGTCCACAGATTTCCGGGCAGAAGGACCGTGCAATGGCAAATCAATGCTATCCTCGGTGGAAGCAGATCCATCTTCATCTTCCGCCGGAACAGTTATCCCATTTGGAACCTTATCTTTGGTCTTTCCATCTTTTACCGCCCCTAACAGCTTGTATATGGCACCAGTTTGTGAGTTAACTCCCACTGCCAGAACGAGAAATCGTCCTGATCCCTCAATCACATGTGTTCCTAAACCAAATAACAAGACATTCTGCAATTCAATACCGGATTTCGGAATTACAATGGCAATTACGCACAATTTCTGGCATATTACGGGTATTTCGGCACCACATGCAGTAAATACTTAACAGCAAAGCAAAACATACCCGATAAGATCTGACAGTCATTATCAGGATTTTTGCGCACTGGATCGGATTCGCCTACAAATTATGAAATAATGGTCATAAAATAATGAATGTGTAAAAACGTTTATTCTCTAAATTATTCTAAACCAACGCAAATAAATAAGAGCCATCTTTTACAGTTGCGAATCCAGTCGCATACTCAGTAAGCCCAGTACAACCACAAGATGCCACGATAAGCGGTTCAATCATCAGCCATCGTTCGATATAGATCAATTTACCTGTTAAGGAACTTTCATCGAGTCTTAGCTCCTGACTTTGCAGCACGACACCATCAGCTGGGATGAGATCACCTGCGCACACAATTTCGACGTCATAAAATTCAAAAAAATTAGAATTCAACAACAGTATCGTAATTCAATACCAACCGTATTTGACTTGGCAAATATCCCCAACAAGTAATTCCTGCACTGGTAGCAGTACAGTTTGGCCCTGACGAATCACAGATATCTTGTGTTCTTCCTGGACTCTAGCTTGTAAAGCCCGAAACTGCTGTTCTTTGCCATAGTCATTCGAAGCGCTGACTAGCACAATTATCAAAACACCAATTGCAATCGCTAATCCTTCAATCCACTCGTACGACTCGGTGCCGTTATCAGCTGCAAACAAACATTCATCATTGAAGAAAGGACGAAAATGCACACCGCCTTTGCTCATGTCAGAATAGAAGTAGAATCGCAACCCAAATAATACAAAAAATGCGCTCAATAAGGAAAGGACACTAGGTAGAAAAAGCCTTCAAAAGTAATAAATTTGTAGTAAAACTGTTCTGGGCAAATAGAACCCACCTCCAGGACGGAAAACATTCCACACCGCCAAAGCCAACGACACAACTGCAGCCACTTCCAGAATAATCAGTGTTGGTTCTCGCAAAGCTTTCAGCATCAACTGCATGAACGATTTCGGTTTCTTCATAGGAATAACATTTTTACCAAATGTCTCCTGACGCTTTTGCAGCTCTTGCGCCGATTCATCTAATCCTGTCACAATTCAAGTACGCATTTAGTATTTTAAATTATGATAATGTACCGATGGTACAAAGTTAATTCATGAAATCCACAATTCCTAACAAAGCAAAGAATTTTTATTTATTAAAAATAGTCTGGAGATACGAACGTCGCATAAACACTACGTTAGCCGATTACGATATCATTATTATAGTGGATTAACATATCTCGATAAGTTTTCGCAGTTCATCCACTACGATCAATTTACCCCGACTAGGCGATGCAAGCAGTTGCATGGATAATCCGGCGAGATCTCCATACAATTCGTCGATCCGCTCCCTCACACCGATTCCCCGCAACTGCATCAATCGACACAGATCCTCCGCAGACACTCCATACTCCAGTGCACTGCGCAAAGCAATAGCATCTGCATCCCCATCATCATTTTGGCTGTCCTTGCGAGATGGTCTCCGAAGGCCAGACGAGCGTCGCGCCTTATCACGGTACGGCTCAAATGGGCACATGGCAAAAAGACTAAAACCACTACCAAATGTAGAGGTACTGCAACTGCATTATGCTGAAGATGCCGGCCGTTTTACGCAATGCCAGAACATCACGATTCAATAGACCAAGAACAAAAACATCAGATTACAGTACTGAATCAGCTATAATGCCGTACTGCAATTATCACGCGAATCCATAATACAGCCGTTATCAGAACTCGGAATTATGATCCACTCATCAGCTGTCATATCTCTGCGATACAAAGGACAAATTCAAATTCTATACCTATCCATATTGCAAGGAAGCAGTTTAAAGTGCAAACTAACCGTCAGTATAGCGCAACACAGCGGTGAAAGCATGCGGACAGGAATTTCCTGGAGCTATCGGCACGGAAAACGGAAGTACACTATACACACGTACTGTAACTGGCACGCCCGCATAGTCGCATACGTAGCGTAGGTGCCACAGTTTACTGTACTTGAAAATCATTGGCACTTTTTGGACAGCCTGGCCCATCGCCGGACGCCGAAACTTCGGCCCATCGCCGGACGCCGAAACTTACTATTATCCGCTCTGTCAATATAAATCCTCAAATTACGCGTACATTATCATTTCTTCTACTGTGTAATCTTTTGATTCGGAAAATCTGAAACCTGTTTCAGTGTGTTGATAACGGTACTGAAACGTCCATAAGAAAAAGACTTAAAAACAAGCTTCCGGTAAACTGCTGCATATACATATGCGGTAGGTAATACGACTACGAGTATATAGAAGGAGAAATTACAAAGGTAGTGAAAGGAAAACCCCGCCCAGAAAACCCAGATTCCAGTTTTTGCAGGATAAACATAATTATTAGAAGCATTAGAATAAACTGCACTCATTGGAATCCCGGCGAATATGTTGGAATGTAATAAGTGATTATACAGGAAGTTGTCCCCACCCACACCTTTGTCAAACCGGCGCTTACAGTAAACAAATCTCACACTTACCAGTTACCTTGCCCTGGTATTATTCTGCGCGCGGGCAAATGACTACTGTAGCACTAGAACTTTCATAATGTTGTTTTATTTCTCTTTGGTTTGTCACACAAAATAATGAAAATATAATGAATGGTATTTTGCGTCTGCGACTTACAAGTTAGGAATTTCAACATAGATGTTTTCGTTCTTAATTTTTGCAGAGCGCACATTAGAATCTGGATGTTTAGTAGCATAGTAAAAAGTACAATTTGCAAGCTGCATTAATACTGATGAGGAAATTTCAAACAACTCATCATAAACAACTTGCAAAATCTTTCAGGAAGGATTATAGTATTGTCATAAAATGATACATATCATTTCTTGGGCTTGATCTAATTACCTCATAGTACACCCGAACCAAGCAGGTGGACTATGACCTCTTGACCATATATACATGACAAATTTTTTAGGTGTGAGATCGAGGGAAAAAGTTACAGTTATGATTTCCATTTCATACACACGCACTTTCTTACATCCGATATGAATGTTCCTAAATCACTTCAGCAAGAAATTGCTGTATATTGCGTGCCTAGGGGCACTCTGTCGACTTGACAGGTATAAATGACAATTGACACCGAAGGTCCGCTGCATGGTCCAAGCAAAAGCAGGCCACAGTACCTTCCATGTCTCATCATGCGCTTCCGTGTAGAACCACACCGCGCGTTTTTGTTATTGCTCATTAACGGCCAGCATCTGTAGAACGCTCGGATGTTTTTGTGACGAATTCTCGCACAATAAAATATTAATGTCTCACTCACGGTAGCATACATAGACAGAACGTAACGAAGGTTTTGTTTGAATCCGCCGTTTGTTCTTCATGAATAAGTTAAGTGCGCAATAATGAACTTGAAGCGGCTGTTAAAAAAATCATAATTATGTGATACTTTTACGCACTATATTTAACAAAAATATCTTAATTCACATACTACGGAATACAATCTGGACAATGCTGCCGTCATCAGTTTACTGTTATCTCCATGCGCTGTGGATTATATTACTGCTGGTTGTAAAAAGCAACTGTGAAAGCATCCTGCTGGGTAGGGATTCCCTTATGAACTTAAAGGTTTAAATTTTATATAGATATTTCTTGCAAAGCATTGCACTTTGTCACTGCGATATACATATGGCTGTATTTTTGGAACGTTGCACAACTATGCGTATTTCCAGGCTTCTAATGCCGCTTGATAGCCGTAAATAGGATAATATGAATAACTACCAAATTTTAGATTTAATTTTAGCACTTAAGCAGAAAAGGGAAACATACTACACCCGTAGATAATGCGATTGTATAACTTAATTATTTGATTAACTATATTATCTGCAGATTGTCGAATTTGGAATTGTAAGGTTTATAACGAGTCTTGCGATAACTCTAGATCTGTTCAAATTTTTTATAGCACCCGAATTTTAAAATGTTGTCGCAAATTGCATGAAAACCAGATCGATGGTTATTTGCCAAATTGGCTATACTCGTACTTGTATTCCACCAGATTTTTGAATTAGACCTATTTTAAACCTCCATTTAAATCCCTGTAGTGCGGTCATGTCAGAGCGCACAAGGAAACGGACGGTGCATCCCCAGTCCGGAATGCTGCAAGCTGGTCGGAGGAGCTGTTGTTACACCAAACGAAGATCAACCGTGCGGAAGCCGCGAAGTCTGTTGTTACATCGTGCCGACAGTTCCGGATTCTGATCAATCGTGCTCAGCATGTGCTGTGTTGACCGGTACGTTAAAACTGCGTCTTCATTAATACACCTTAATGCTACTGTACCGAATTAATTAAAACGACGGTAGGCGACAATGGCAAATATTGCCCACTCAACAGTTCTGTGTCACAGTGCATATATGCAGTGCACGTGTATTGTAGATGGCTTTGAAAACCAGTTAACCTTTTTATTATCTAGTAAAAAAAACCTTTTTATTATCTAGTAAAAACCTTTGAAAAACTTTTTACTATCTAGTAATAATACTAAAAAATAGCTCTTTGTGCCATAGCCTTTGACAATACTCAGGAAATAACCGAGCGCATGATGTATAGCTCAAAGCTGCCATAATTATGAGCAAAAGCAATGGAAGTGCTACAATTTTAACAACACTTTGTATTAAAATGTCTAGATTACTGATAAAAATTATAATTAGTACTAGTAGGATTTTTAAAATTTTATGTTACACAAGCAATCTGTGTACCCAAATTACTTACTAGATGCAATTACTCTTACGTTATATGCATCCTTCTATATTATGTAGTATACAGTAGTATTCGCTGAATTTAGCGATGCATCTGTTGCATCATACTGCTTTGCCAGAATTTACTTTCGAAACCTTTTTCGGCAGATTTAGACTTCGTGCTAACTGTGTACGTTGTGCGAAATTTGTTGGTCAACATATGGTCAACTGTGCCGTTTTTTGCTGTCGTGCAGCAAATAAAACCGGAGTCATCACCACACCTGCACCATCTGTCGTGAGCGTCGAGAACGCGCTGAATACTGTTGATACAGCATTGCCGGTCGCGGATGACCAAGCCAACCTGATTCGATCATTCGGTGGGCCCACCTCCAGGGATGATCTGTCGGCCGGGAGACCACGGCCGGCGTCATCGGTTTCATTCTTCGCCCGAACAGCAGAATCGGGATTCGGCATACCGTACCGTATTGAACGAACAATCTTCGACAAAGATGCCATGAAAGACACTTACTGTTGGCAGGTAATTGTGACAAGCGACATTTTTCAAGCTTGATGCGTGAATTAGACTATTATAATCATGGGAAAATTTGGTATAAAGTGTGGTGTTGTAATCTTTGCACGGACACATATAACATCAGATTTTTAAGTAGGTTGCGCTGGTGGATTCGAGCGGCAAAATTTTCGGTGGCGGCGCACTCGTGGCGAAAAACTACGTTCTCACCGCTGCCCACAAAGTGGCTAAGTAAGCGTATTCGCGATTGTATTACTACAATAATTTTGTACGTGCTATGTTGCAGAAAATACTCCGTAACGTTGTCTTACTTTGCCAAAAGTATTGTATCGTGTTTTTTCGATATGTTTATGCTGGTTCTGGTAATTATTACGCCGTAGAAACATTACATATAAACGGTCCTTAAACTATACGACTGATGCATTTTTGGCTGCTCACTAATCACCCGATTGTGAACTGGGTAGTGTCACATATTTTAAAAATATTTCATACTTTTAGTATCCTAACATGATTGCGAACGACAAAACTTACAGAACAACCTCGTGCACCATGCTGCACTCAAACAACATAACTCTAATGGTATTCATTTCGTGTGTTTTATAGTCGACTTCCTCAGAACTTTCAAGTAGTATTGGGAAAATACAACTTCAAGGATCAGGAGGAAGACAGCAGAATAGCCAGTCCACTGGAAGTTATCATCCATGAGAACTGGGATCCAGCTGTATTTGAGAACAATATTGCGCTGATCCGAATCCCTAACGTAAAATGCAACGGTGCTGAAGTGTGCACTATTTGCCCAAGCAGCAGAGGATTAGATCCGCTTGCCCAAGCACAAGATATTTGCTTTGTGACGGGATGGGGATCAACATACACAAAAGGTCCGCTCATTTAATTTAAAAGGATATACTAAGTTTAACTGTGCAGTAGTACTGTTGACGTACCGTGGATATATGAAGTTATATAATTAATAAATACAGTATGGTATAAATTAAACCGTATTCAATGGCGTAATCAGTTTTATGAATGGAAGTTTCAGACTCCGATATAGAAATAACATTACTTCATTCTTATATGCGTTTTTTAATTTGCGTCATGTGTCCATCAAGTATCATATGTATACATAGATGACTCCGTCTGGTCAGGCAGCATTCGGTATTCATTTTAAACAAGTTTTTTTAAATTTTGCAGGAGAACTGGAAAAGCTGCAACAGAATCAGATCTCACCAATCTCAAATGACGACTGCGTCCGCCGGTTGGCCAGATCTGGTATCGAAGATTTCATCGTACCTTCGACAATGTTTTGTGGCTCCAGTGCTGATCCAGATCACCTTGCTTGTGATGTATGTGCGTGATGAAAATATTATCGACAATTACTTAACGGTCTAAAGTAAAATTCTAGGGTTTTCCCGAACAGTAACATCTGTATTAAATGAGGCAGTACGTATATAAAAAAATCAACTACTAATTTTGAAAAGTAGTTTCATACGTGAGACTTGACTGAAATGGCACAATCAAACGAAATCGATACCTTGTCATTACGTTTCAAAAAACCTATAAATTTAAAAAAAGAAAAGCAAATTAACTATTTTTTATAGGGTGACGGCGGTGGACCTTTAGTCTGCATGCAAAGTGGGACATGGGCGTGGGAACTGCGGGGCTTAGTGGCGCTAGGTGTCAGTCAGTGCATAAACGTCACAGATGCCCCTACGGTGTACACGGATGTCGGAAAATTATCGGGATGGATTGCACGCAAGATCCAGCAGCTGGATGCCGAGAAGACGCCCTGGGATCGGTATAAACTGCCCACGACACCGCGCACAACTACCACCACTACCACGCCGACCACCACTACACCAGTGCCGGTGCCGGTCAACAAGGCGCCCATTCTCAACCGACGAACCTACGACCGTACTCCCATGACTTTTTCATATGTCTTCCCCTCATTTCTCAGACGTCTTGAGGATAACGCCGATGACTCGCCGACGTACTAGTGCGCTGCTTTCTGGATAAATGCAGCGCTTGCGGTTGCGATCATGCACTGTGCTGATGGTGTTTTACCTGATGGTAGTTTTCAGTGATCCTAATGTTCGTTAAATTTCAAATAGTGACGGTTTTTGTTGGTTGAACTGAATGGTTGCGAATATGTTTTGAGATCCAGCTGGTCTGGTCAATGTGCTGTATCATGAATCATGATGATGGTTAAAATAGTACAAAATAAAAGAAGCTGCTGATTCAAGTGTACACGTACTCGTATAGTTATATATGTAAGTATTGCACATACTGGTTACGCAAATATCTTGTACAGAAATTTGTAATGTTAAAAGTTGTAATGTCAAACTGTAACAAAGGCAGATTTATTAATTTTGCAGTAACCAGTTTATTAATAAGCGACCATGCGTTGCTGTACAATTTGAAAGAAATAACTCACAAATGGGGTGGTAAGTTACAATACATATATTTCAGAACTAACAAAGAGAATCGTATTTTCGCCGATTACTCATAACAAAGGAACCTAAGAAAATTTTTGTTCACAGTAAGGTCCCGTTTCCATTACGACTGCTAATCGATGACCGGGGACTGAGTTGGGAACTCGGCGATGTCGTTCGCGATGACACCGGCACCGGTCCATAATCAAAATGCTGCGCAATGACCGTCCCTGTGATTCCTACAATGATCACGGCGCTAGCAAAGGCCAGCATCATTTGTCCCACCGAGTTATTCATCCGCAAAGCGTTACAGTGCGGCGCCATGTCGAGAATAAAAGCCGCTGGCCATTTGGGACTTTGGCAGTCTTCGAATGTCGACAGTTCCGGATCGTGGAGGGAATACCGGACTTTGATAGCCATAAAGGTCACGCAGATCATAAAAACCACCACCGTGAAAACAACAATAAAGCGATGGAGTTTGGGGTTGTGGAGCTTATGCTGTACTAAACAGGCAATACCCAGGATGAGAATGGGCGTTCCTAACCATATTCCAGGCTTGAAATGGTTTTCGAAAAGATTGTGATCATGGAAGATCCAGCTTATGATTTCCGCTAAAAGCCGCAAAGTGAAGTTGCGCCACCAATAAACAACATGAAAAACTCTCTGTAGTATAGACAGCTTTCTAATCAGATATATCATGCGTTTGGTGTTGGTACGGGCATTTTTATTTATTTATACAAGTATATAGACTATAAACTAAAATACACATGTTTTGTATATTTTGATTGATTAAAAAGTATGACTGCGGGATATTAATTTTGGCTTTAAATGATACAAAATTAAGAATTCGAACAACTTACAAGCACACTGGAGAAGTATTATAATGCTGCCAAATGTTGTGTGACATCCTCCCATAATTTTCATCACGTTAAGTCGAACATATTTAAACCAAGAATTTTTACGCGGCATGACGTTTTATCAAATCTGGCAGCAAATAACGACTAAAAACGTAACATTTGCGAATGAAATAAAAGTACAGAATGCAAAAGATAGAATAAATAGCAATCCTTGAGGAATATCAGCTCTGTACAAAAACATTCCGACACAAAGTAGTGAACACCGGGAAAATCGATGAACATGATCTCACAAGACGTTTGTCTTGGATTACGGATTTGGAGCGAGTCTACACCATAAAACTTTAACTACATCCCATTAAGAGGCGGTACGTAACAAGATAACATTACGGGTTTGTTTCGAATTCTATTTCCCAGGTCTAAATATTTCATGTTCTAGGTTAAAAAAGGACATAATTCAGATGGTAGTATGTGACCGGATTTTTTTTCGGACAGTAATTCATATTTGTATTATTTAATGTTCGGATTTTTGTTATTCCTAATAAGTACTGTCAAATTATGTACAGTACAAGTACTGTATCTAAGTGAGGACCGCTTCTCGCTGTTCGAACTTTTGTCGGTAAGTTTTGTTTTTAAATAGTTGTAAAACCATGCATACAAGTATTTACTCAATTATGCGTTCGGCATCAGGATTTATGTATACTTCTATAGTATTGTACTCTGTTGCAGTTACTGAACTTAGCCGGTAATCTTTATCAACCGGTACTTCTTTATCAATCAGTAATTTCATACTGTCGTCTATTGGCTCTCATTTATTTATTTGTGCTTCAGAACTTTCGGTACCGGTGAGACGGTGAATGCTTTTAGTTCGAAAATGAACAGAACTATACAAGCAGCTTCCGATCAATACAAAGTATTTGTATTTATTACAGTAGGCTTTAAGTAATCAGTTAAGTTCATATTATCTACATATAACCGAAATGCCGACGAAACCAGTAAAAAAAAGCGTAGGCCATGTAGCCACTTTCCGTTGTCACTCTATGAAGAGAACGTTAAGAAAGTCCAGTCCTTCCTTCTGCTGTTCCCGGCATTTTAGAACTTCAATTATGTCGGCCAAGATACCCGAAGCTGCCAAATAAAAACAGAACAGTATAATGAAATTAATAAAATGCATGCATTACAGCATAGAACGGCTTTGAAAATATGTGATTATTTATACGCACTCATCATCTTAGGATGTAAAAGGGGCATCGTAATCTCCCTTAGTCCCGAAAAATTTTTGGTCTGCTCCCCTTTCAATCCGGGAATTTTGCAGAGTTGTAAAAAGCCTTCGCCCGCTAATTCGTCTTGGAACATTACATCATGGTCCATAAGAGCAAAGTGAATCGCACTGCAGTCTTTGATGCATTTGTCAATTGGAATTGCACTGTAAGTACCATGCAGACGCAGTTAAATCATACATGCTTTCGATTCTTTAAGTAAGAATTCTTACAACTCAAATCTTTCGTCCCACTGTGGATCCAAGGACTTTTTTACAACGGACGTTTTGGCTAATGGAACGTTCGAAAATATTCGCATGGGAAGGAAACGAATAATCACAAACGGATCACTTAATCCTGCAACGAAATAATGGTATTGTAATTGCGCCAGGTAAGCTGTATAAACTGCTTTTCAAAGCAATGTTATTGGAATTTTCTCATTCTTTTTTTATATTCATTCAAAAAAGTTTTGCTTTTCTTTAATGTAATTAAAACATGTTCAATATATTTGTAATTGCCCACATACCGTTTGTATCCATTGGAATCACATCTCGGGCGTGAATTACTACGAATAGATGAAAACATCGTAAAATAAGCCTAAACTCGGCTGTAAAGATACCGATACTGCCGCACCTTCCAACATAACTTTTCCAGACTTTTTCTCGTAATGTATGCGGATCGTTAAAGTGCCGTATGGTGTTTTGGTCATTGCAGATTGTATGTTAACCGCCTCCAAAACAAAGGAGTCTATCAATTCTTGAGGCGATAGTTGATAATAGAAAACTTTCCTTTTAACACTCTGCAAATGACCACAACATAGCTGACAGGTACTAGCTTTGACTCGTAATTTTATCGACTTACGTGGTATCGCTCGCTTTCAATCACATCACTTGGAAGACCTTTATCTCCAGCATGGAAATACTCAATAAAAATGCTTAAACTCTGGTACAAGTTGATAAAACAGGCTGGTTCTTTCTATAAAAAAGGATAATAAATGATTAACTAACTATACTCACGAATTAAGTAATATTCAGGAATCCGCCATGTTCTAAAATAGGCACTAGTGTAGGCTGCAGTATGTGATTTAGCACTGATTTAGTACGTTAAAAATGTTAAATTATATAAGACAATATTTATGACATAAGTACAGTACGTACTGTAATTAAATTCACTGTTATATGTACAGAATGAGCTATTACTGTAAATGGTAAGTATATTAACATTAATCAACCCAAGAAAACCTGTTTTGGCATATAAGTTAGCTAGGTGAGACACACTTGGGAACGAATGTCTGCGTGTTCAATACGAGCACATAAGATTTACCGTGCGATTCGCAAACGTAAGAGCCATAATTTGGTCTAATATGTTCAGCCACAAGAGCTCCAATGTCCGTAAAAAATTTGCTTTGAGCATGATACTGTATAAATTCGCCAGTATGGAATCCATAAAATCCACCACAGGTGAGGTAAGGCTTTCCACCGAAACCATCGGAGGACAGATTAATTTCGCCAAATGCTGCGAAATCTCTGTATTCATCTATAAATAGCAATCCAACTATTAAGCAAGCTTTGGCTTCTGAGAACTTGTGATCGCTATGTGCACTTTCGTATACCGTAATAAGATATGCATAAGGAATACCTTTTTGATTAATTTTTCCAGGGCTTTTGTTATTCGTTCTGTCAGCATCTTTTTCCCGTTGAATAGAGCCTGAGTCAGTACACCATCGCAGTCATTGGCAAATTTAATCAGAACAGGATCACCGGTGTCCCGCAGCGATTTGGTCATATCCGCCCAGCCAAGTTGTTCCGGGAAATCCATAAAATGGCACCGTATGGTCTCCAGATTATTCACAGCTATGCAGAGCTAAATCAAGGCCAAAGTGACCTTCATTATTTCATTTATTTGTATACAACCTAAAGGGAAAATGCAGTAGCCGCTGTATTAGCTTACGTCATCATTGACTTCTAACAGCTCATGTTCCAACCACCCTGAGTCTTTGAAAGCACGGTAGGTAATTTCAGAAAAATATGCAACATCCTCCGCAATGTCCTAAACCCAAAACAAAAATATTACATGCTTACTTGTTAGCGAAATTTATTGTTCCACTGCTTTCATTATCTGTAATATTGAGAATAAACTGAATAACCATTAATTTGTGGCGTAAACGTTAACGGCGCTGCATGCTCATTGCAGCGGGAGGGTGTGAACGATATAAGGTCATGCAGTACTATGCAGTATCCAGTATGCACTGAACAATATTTGTATGTATACATACTGCAGACTACCTCACCAATTTTGCAAAATTTTGATATGAATGCAAATAGCAGGAATAAGTTTATTGTATGAATTTATTGCACGCTTTCAAGTCATACACTGATCAGCTTGCACATTAGGATGCAGTTCTGCTCAGGATCAGGCCATTTCAGATCTTTTATGAAATGGACTATGGAAGTAAGCATGCCGTTTGCTTCTATAACAGAAGTGCTGTAGCGTATGATGGATTCGGCTCGTGATATCTGCAAAGAAAATGCTGTAATTTTCTGTGATGACCAACGGCATAATCATCAGCAGTTTTTGGAATATTGTAGGTGTTTCTGTTGACACACAGAGAAGCAGCAGCTACAGGCAACGCGAACACATGTTCAGCTTACTTTCTGCAAAAAAGGTCACACAATTATTAAACCCTATCGAAGTTACACAGTAAGAACACAAAAAAGTCCCGTAAGGATTTCTACCCACTTTGTCGTTTTCCACCCAAGATTTCATTTTTCGTTTGGCGGCAACTTTTGCGTAAGAAAGCCATTGCAATACAAACGGAATAAACGGGGTGTTGTATTCTTTCCATTTGTGCATTAGTTTATCTCTAAAGACAAAGTAAAAACAACCGCATTAATATTTTGTAGAGAAATTCTGTAATTAGTTTCAAAAAATTGGTCAGCCATAATCATTATCCGTCGGTTTTGTACACAACGAGCAACTGAAAATGTCCCAATAAAATTTGCACTCTTAGTTTAAAGTTTAAAGTTATGGTTTAAAAAACTTGCGTGCGAACAAAATGTACGTACTCTTCAGAAAGATGCTTTCTCAAATATATGAAGTCATTCAGTGCCATGTAAAGAACGAAAATTTCCGCATTCGGCTCCTCTTTGCCCGGCGCCGTAAAGAAATCGTCTTTTAAAATGGCATACGGATCTCGATTATTTAAAACGTCCGAAAAATCCGGCATTTGCTGTAAATAGTACTTAGTCTTCGTTTCCATGGTTGGGCCGGTGAAATTTTGCATACATGTACTTACTTGTATATATGCAAAAAAGTGGTGCACTAACCTTGAGGAAAGCAAACCGCTCGAAGTCTCCGTACACGAGTTTATCAAGTTCCATCATGGTAATTGCCAAATATTTTATCTTGAAATTACTACAAGCAAAAACCTTTTTAAGAAAAGAATTCAAGTAAACAATTTCTGAGCCAGTTTAATCGTACGCAAAAAGTTTGTCAGCTGTTCGAAATGATCGCCGTAAATCGTAGTTCATGGCAATTAAGGTGTAGGAAAACGATTCCATGCCTTTACTTCCGTCATCATCCTGTAATAACAAATGTCAGCACGGACAGAATCGTAATATTTGCCATAACTTCCATTACATAACGTTACGGTTGTTATTTTACCCGGTCATATCGGAATTTCTCCCGGATGGAATGGTAGTAATCGATAGCGGCGATCTATATTCCAAACAAAGAAAAAGTGAAACATGTGCACGCACAGCCTGAACCATGCATCGCGGGGAGCCTTTATTACAAATTAACCGCGAACATTTACGTAGATATTCAAGTAACGTGAGTTGATAACTACTCTAACAAAATAAGAAATGCTTTCATATACTACCATAATTAGCATTATTACATTACATCATGTCTTCGGCCGACGGAGCTTAAAAGAGGTACAACTACCGTACCTGAACACCGGCATTATGTATCTCGTTTGCTTACCATAGTTAATGTGTATTTTAATTTTTGTGCGGTATCTGTTTAATAATTAAAGTTAACAATTTAGTCTACACATTATACTGGCATGTACATAGTTGCTCGCTGCATGCGCTATTAATCTGTTACGTGAGTTACCTTAATAGCAGCAGTAACTACAGAGTTCATGCTGTCGTCCAAGGGGAAAAATCGTTTGAAAAACTACAAAAAATGGTATATGTTTGGTGATTATTTGTTAACGAAAAATATTTATTTGGTGTGCGCACCTTGCATTCAAACAGTAGCCGTAAACATTTGAGTAAACTCTCCATCTGCCTTTGGGCAATGGTGCGATTCATGGGAAAATGGTACCACTCTTTTTCCAAGCACGATAACGCATAGTCTTTAAAATTCCCAACACACTCGGCTGTTATTTCTTCGGCATCGAGGCCTAGTCCGTTGGCAACCCAGAGTGAATCCAGATGTTTAAGAGCTTGGAATAACACGAGATAATCCAGCCGGACCACATGGACGTGAATATCAATTAGGGCAATCCATGTGCATGCAGCCAACTGCAGGTCAGTGAGGTTGCCTTGGATAGCATGCTGATGCAATATGGTCTGCCATACAAAAATTAGTATACCACAATTGTTTTCTGAAGTGATTAGAAATGCACTTATGATTATCTTTCAAGAGAGGCTATACACATATTATTATTGCATATTAATTTATTTTTTCGTCGGTATTTGCAACCAAATTTTCGTCGGTATACTTGACAGCAGAATTCAAAAACAACTGCAACGTACCTCGGCCAGCTCATTAAGCTCACCATTCCATTCGATGGAGGTCTGTAATAGGCACAGCTTTATACAAAATTAAAAGTTTTCTTATAAGCCTGGAAAAAAATGCATTTCATCCTTAAACATGCTTTTCATCGATTTTACACCTTTTATTCAGCAATTGCAGAAAACTTTCAGCTGCAGATACATCTCACATGCCGTAACTGGTGACCATGTAGGCATGCATTCGTGTACAATATTCTTTACGCAAACATTCGTGCCTTTAATTTGAAACCTTTTCCAACATAAGTTTTTTTGTAGGTACTTACTTTAAATTTTTTTACTTCGTGTTTCATAAAAGCCGTGATGATGTCCTTATGTTGCAGAAAATCGGAGCTATATGGGCGGATCAAATCAATAACCATTTAATCGACTTGTCAGTGGTGAGGGAAGGTAGAATGAGTAGCAAGAGGAAATTACAGATTATTAGTCTGATTTTTGTCTTCCCGGGTTGTTAAGTTCAGCCGCAGGCGTAAACTGCCCTGGACACGGGATTTATTCGTCGTACGCGAGTACAGATTAAACACTTTATCGATGCCAATGGATGGAATATCCTGCGATAAGGATGCGTAGAGTAGCGGAAGTGACGTCATTTTGCTAAGCTATTTAAATTCTCCCGGTAGCGTATGTGCACATACCAGAACACGGATATCGACACACCCCAAAAAGTCATCCACATTATCAGCTGCGCTTTTCCTCGCAGACTGGGCGATTTGCTTAAAATATCTGCTCGAAATACATACATACAAGAATGACATACTGTGGAACTATTAGTAAAGGTCAAAATGAAAAGACGAATGCAGAAGCGACGTGTACCTGTTAAGGCCTTTAATACCCTGCACATTCTTGACATTTTTTACGGCATCCATTACCTGAAAGAGGTAATGAATATATTAACGCGAAGTTGCGCACAACACTGAGTTATTGTTCGCGTTACAGTCGTGGCATTTGAAATGAACTTTTATTATGATTTTCTTTACATGCAATGGTGACGCTTCGTTAGTGATTAGTGTTGTACAGTATATCGTGATGCAACATATGCTGTAGAAGTAATGCATACGGACTTGCAAATATTATATTCTTTGTACTCACTTCGTACTCTTCATCATGGTCAAAAATATCCAGATGGAGAATATCTTCACTTGGATCGTCCACCGGCCTATAACAAACCCATCAATGAGAAAAATTTTAGAAAAATTTTAGTCTGGAATAAATATATATGTTGGCCGATTATAAACTTATTACAGCTGGAATGTTTCGTTCCATTGCGGATTCAGGGTGGCCTTTTTGACCGTGGTGGTACGGATAAATTTCGCCGGCAGTTGTTCCAAAATATCAGAGTTGTAGTCTCGTCTCGATTTGGTACGATTGTGTCGGTACATGCTGCTCTTTTTTGAACGTGCTTCTTTAACATCTTCCGGAAACGTTTCGGAAGATGGGGTAGATTGTAGAGCTTCTACTTGTCGTCTGGATCTATTTCCGATAAGTCCTTCGATAAGAATGGCATATTTTAATTTGGGTATTTGACATTCAGAATAGGCCTTAAATCTATCAGACAGAATGTTATGCCAGGCATGCTCAATGGGTTAATTTCCTACCCAGCATGCAATAGGGATCGGAAAACCCGTTGGGATCTTTTGCTTCTAAATCCCGTCCTTCAATCACGGCCACGTTAAGTACCACTTTTGGAGGCTGAAATGATGATCATGTTCAAATTTATTATGCGGACACTACTACGAGTATTTTACTTCGTGTTGTATTTTAAAATCAACAGTTCATTATTTGCCCTTGCATTATGTTTCCCTTGCGACGTAATGTTCTTGTGTTGTGTGTTACACGATAAACATGCGATGTAACGCAGTAAACAGACCGAGTGTTAAGTGCTATAAATGTAAATAGTTAGGTGAATTTGGCAGGTATTGTATAAAAGCCGTTACAATAGCACAATGCAAAACACTAAATCAAAATGTTCAGCCAGACGTTAGTGCAGCTTGACTAGATACCATTAACACTACTTCTATGACTAACATATTTATAACTTTTTTTAAGCTTAAATTGGTAAAACAGCAAGTGAAAATCATGTTCGTCGCATCAACATTCTCAAATCTCATTCGTCGCATCAACATTCTCAAATCTTTCTCAAATTATGCTTTCAAGAATAACCTTTAACTTTTCATGTGATCTGTAAAAGTGAAACATGCAAGTGCGCTGTACATTTTATCTTCTCTCACGATTCCAGTGTGAATTCATTATTCATTATTCATGGACTTTTTATGCTTGTGGATCCCTTTATTAGCAACAAGCATAAAACTACACTCTGAGAAAAATATAGCTTTATAAATGTCATGGATATTCTACATCTACCATAAATCAAAGTATAAAGTTTTTACCCGGACATGCAATCTTGGAAAAACCGATATTTTAGAGCTGAACACCGAAGTGCATTTTTCTGATTTTTTGCTGGAAAACCACACCGCATAATGTGTTTTCCTGTCCATACCTATTGTGCAAAATAGAAAAGCATATATTGTTGCAATTATCCTGAACAGGATAAGCCGCAGTAACCAGATGCCGCATGTAATCCAGCAAATAACGCGCCATTAGCAAATGCAAAAAATCGATCCACCGCTTGATCGGTAGTGACATGTATGCCAATCAGCCTCAAGGCGCGGTTTCTGGATTCCAATTTATTTCATTCGGTGTGCAACACCCCGACGCAAAAGAGAGCCGGACTGTTGTTATCTCGGTTGTATTGATCGTTAACTAATTGTTGAGGTCTCGTCGTTTAGCCCCCATGAAAATGCCTCTCTAATTGAAGTGAAGTTTATCCTGACTGGTCTCAGCATTTTGTTTAGAGCGATCACTATAATCGTGTACAAAATGAATATTTTATGCAAATATAAAAAGGAATTTTACATCGACAGGGCATAATGGTAGCATAAGGCAAAGGTTCACTGAATTGTGTGCGTGAAAGATGGTTAAGCGCGCTTTTTATTTTCTTTAGATAAAAATATTTTTGAGATCGTTATTGCAAAATAAGTGTACCTAATCGGTTCTATTGATCGGCTCATTTGATGTATCATTTACGGATTGCAGCTGTTCAAGCTGCGTATTAAGTGACTAACTACGCCAAATGAAATGAAAAATATTGTTCCGCCTTACTTTTTCCTGGTTTGCTTTGGAAAACAATCGATAATGACGGGCGCTGTCAATTCCAAAAGCGGCCTGGGCATAATCCAAAAGCTCATCATTGTAAGCCAGATGTTGGTAGGGATCAGTTTGGCCGATTTTATGCTTAATTGTATACAGTACTAAAAAAATACCACATCATATTATTGTATTGCATGCGTACGTTTAGTGCTTTGCTGTGCATAGTATTTAACCCTTTATATAGTTAATAAAAGTAAATGAACACAAAAATTAAAATTGCGAAGATACCGCGCAGCACATCGATATCCTGTCTTTTCAACATTAAAGAGCAGCAAAATATTTAAAGCAGTATCATAAAATGCATATATCGAACGGTCAAGAAGTATAAATCCGCGATTACAAAAATGTACTGCATTGGAACTTATGCTTTTTTCTGCACCAGATAAATATAATTATTTTATCGGTGCAACCACATTTGAGGACACCAAGTATTTCCGTAGCCTTAGTAAGGATAAAGCCAATATTATGCTAGATGTACAAGACATTTATTAGGATTAACGATGCACTTTTACGCATCGTTGCAGGGCACTTATCCCGCTTTAAACCATTATCTTTGCTGCTTCCAGGCCTATAGGCTTTCATAGCGCACCATAATCGTGCACTACATGAATGCTTTCGTGAGAATCTCTCTAACAAACTTATCCTTACCTTCTACATAAAGTTCCTCTAACTGTAAAAGGAGTTAATAGTAATATCCATCAGTAATATGTAACGCTTGCAATATGGCAACGTACATCATCTTCGACATTGGTCACACTACGCCGTCTGCTTCCTGCATTAGACGAGTTCATTGTACTTCCGGGCAATTTGAATGGCAGACTTTGTTCTTTTTCGGCCTATCAATTAATGTAAACTTTTACATTTTGTTTGGAGCTGGTGCTGATCAGAATGTGACTCGACGTTCGACATACGAGATTCGAAACGTCCTTCTGCAAGATTGCGGCTAATTAGGGAGTCATGATGTGCCTTACCTCTTTATCGGCACGATTGCGATATTCAAGTGCTCGGGAAGAGAGTCCACTAAAGCGTTCAAAAAAGTCATCTCCAATATTGTCTCTGAAATAGAACGTACATTCAGACAACACAGAAAACAGTGATCATTTTCCCAGGAACTATACCTTGACTATACGTGTGCTCTCAGATACGCATGATTTTAGTACAATCTTTATACATCTTTTTAAGCAGATAATTATTGAGGTCCGCAATCTTAATACGATATTCCTCAAAATATTTACTTATTATTCTGTATAGGTACGTATCAGTAATTGCCAATCACTTCTGCTGTTGGTAACCAACCTGATTCTCATAGCAATCTCAGGAGAATTAACCCCTGAGGATGAACTAAAAACCGAGCTTCTTCTACGTCCCATAAACATATTGGCCGGGGCTGGGCGTGCAATTACACAATGCAGAGAAATATGATTATCATACGAAAATACTGTACATGATCACAGGGAAAAGAAAAAGAGATCCCGTTTCGCTTCCCTACAATGCCGCTGTCGGTTGCCTCAGCAGTCGCAGGCAAACAAGCCGACCCATTTGGGGTCATTAAGTGTAAATCACAGGAAGTGTTGATTCGAGACTGATTCGCTGGGTAACGAGGGAAAACATGGGGGTCTGCTTATGGCTGATTTCCTGCCGTGTGCGCCATTGTATAAGGTTTCTTTTCATCAGTCCCTTCAGTGATCCCGTGTTTCGGCATGTTGTATGGAAAGTCATTGACAGAATGACTGGGAGCCAACTTTTTGTTTCTGTTACAAAACCGGGTAACGTACAGGGACATCCGCCCTTGTGCAACTGTATGTATATATAGATATCTGTCTATATGTACATATTGGCAAAAGCCGGCCCGCTTCCGTTCAACATTGGGTGCAAAAGTGTGAACACAATTTTTGCGTGCGTGCCATATGTCGTTTATCGGATCACTGCGTGCGTCGCCAGCCTATTTGCATGGCGCGCTCTCTCCGCAACGTAGTGTTTTCTGTGTATATACGATAAGGTACATTTCGTACTTCCGGTACTCCCTTGCTTACTCTATCCCGAGTACTAATCATGGATTTCTGTTCGTCGGCATCGCACCGCCTACACAAGCGCACGTGTATCAATGCAATCGGGAAGCAGGCGCTAATGCAAAAAAATCAGGAAAACGACATCCACTCGCTGGTTTTTAGTGGAATTTGAGTGATTCAATTTGCAATATTTCATTTTGCATTTTATCCTTCGCTAAATTACAGAAAAAGCTCAGTCAGGAGTAAGTTGTGGTGTAATTTCTCGAAAAAAACGATCTTGATATGCTAGCATTTATGTGCTAGATGAATCAAAGGACTTTTGCTTCAATAGCTGACCCGGTTCTATTCGAGAAAAAAGCGCCCATGTCTTCTTCATCCAAAAGATGTCCTTTGGATGGTTGTTTTTTGAGTTTCAAAAAGCCATAATATAGTTTCGTAGACCATGTATATTAGACGTGTAAATGTACATAAAAAGGGGCTCCATAAGTATACTGAAACATGCCGCTCTAAAGACGGCGTGTTGTGCTCCGACGATGTCTAAAGCACGTCAAAAAATTGCTTGCCGTAGAACCGGGTGACATAATTATATGCGTGACCTTTCAAAACAATTTTGTATGGGGAGGCAAGTAATGGATAAATTCTTGCCGCTTGTTATGGTTTTCTGAAAATTTATGAGCAGTAGAAATTACCATGGCAGTTTTGTTACCCAAGATGGCTCGTAAAACGTGCAAAAGGGAAGTGTTATCAAGTTTAGCGGACCTGGGTTTGTAGTGAGTACTAGTGACTTATACCATAATATTATGAAACACACAGTCAGCTTAGTAATATTATGTTTATACCATACAACTGATATCAGTGACTCGGTAAGTACTGTAATTACTGTATGACCTTTCCGGTGTATGAACTTATAACTGCTTGCGGTGTTATGGTTCGAAGATACGGTACGAGAACATCAGCACCTCAAATCATACTCTAGCTCATTATAGGACGCCGGGTTGCCGACTTTTACAAGCCAGAAAAATTGAATTTTTTGTGATGATCTATTTGAGATGGCTGCAAACTAAATACATGTACTCTTATTGACATTTCAAGCTACCATTTTACGGGGCACTGGAATTCTTTCATTCCACCTGTAGCTCCGTACAGCAAAACTCAAAATATATGCAGTATGCTAGTTTAAAGGATTTGGCGAAGATCGTTTTGACACGGATCCAGACTTCTACGATTTTTTTCAAATTTTAAAATGAATTTTAAAATTTTAGAAATTCATTTTAAAATTTGAAAAACATGGTGGAACAGTGGATCCGTGTCAAAACGATCTTCATGGTTATGTGCATTTACGTGCAAAGTTCGAAAGGGATCGGTCCATAATGAGACTTTTGGTACACCTGAATGCATTTAAACTTTTTGGAATTTTGTTACCCTCATAACTCCGCAACCGGATGTTGCGCGCGAAAACGGATTTCATGCCTATGTACACCAATCATTTGGCTACACCATGTCAAAAAACAATCCAAAAAAGTGTTTGAAAGTGCGCGAAAGCGAATATTCCCGTCAATGTACACGATTTTAGCGGTATATACCGGGCCAAATCCCTTAATATAAAAACATTGTGTCAACAGTCATCTCAATATCTTAAAAATACGACCTTTATTGCGATTTCGTCCCTATTCATATTACACATCAGGCTGGGTTGGGTTTCTACATCTGCAGGAGTGGACAGGCCGATTTTTTGCTTAGCGGGAAGTAAAGAATACTACATATGCATTTTTTTGTCTACGTCTATGCTCGTTTTTTTATTATATTAATAATAAGTCTCCCCGGCTAACCAAAAACCCGCTACCTATCTATTGTTGAATACATGTTTTAACATTTACTGTTAATTAAGTTAGATTTTAAAAAATTTTATTAAGTAGAAATTTTTGATAAAGGAAAACAAAATAAACCCGGGAAAAAAGGAAAGTCGGGGAAACTTTAGATTATGGCCTGTCCAGACTTTGCCGCAAACCAACCCACTTAACACGGAAATAGCTAAACAATCGCAATAAGGTAAGGTGTAACGGAACATCAATATCACAACAACATCGGTGGACAACATGAGCATCAGTGTAGGACAGCATCGTTATCGACCGTGCTGAGGTCGACCGGCAAGGAAAGTAAACGGCTAACGTAAACAAGACGTGAACAACTTATTCGGACCTGGGGCAATCCAGTCCTTGTTAGATTTATTAAGGAAAATAACATAAGTACAGTTTAACGCAATAGCGGCCAAATTTTTAAACAAAGGCTTAAGCTGGAGAGTTTTAGTAGCTTGTCGGATGGTGGTGGCAATTCTACTAATGTTTGTCATAGCATCACGGGCGACCATTCCCCGCGAGCCTACCGCCAGGTGATAGTACTCGGTCCGCCATCCGGCATTGTTTAATTCAGTTATTAGGGAGGCGTAGCGTGTACGTTTCCTGGCTTCCGCATTGACGAATCCGTTAACAGTCTCAAAGGGAACAGTCAGCTCAGCTAAAACAATACGTTTCTCATGTAAATACTGCGTCAGCCGTTCTTCCTGCCGGATTGGACGGGCGTTACTTCGGGTGGAATCACTCATGGTTAAACAATCCGGTGATGTTGTTGATGACAAGATAAAGGTTCCGTATTTTGGTAGATGAAATACGGCAGTTTTCAAAAGAAAACGCCAGATTTTAGTATAACCGCTGTGTAAGGTGTACTTTACACAGCAACTCGGTCAGCCAGCTCAGAGCAGCATTCGCGAGTGAGCAGCATTCGCAAGTTTTGTGCCAATAAGACGTGGCACATGAAGTTAACCCTAATTGACCGCAAATTGAACGTCTCCAACATTTAACCCCGGAATTTAAGTAAGCATTTGCTCTGGATTTCGAGGGCCATGCTTGCTTGCATCGCTCAATGTGACTTTTTACATGGTATTTCTCGCAGCATCCCAATAAAAAAAGTGCAGAGCACCCGTTTATCAAACAAAGTGTTAGATTAAACTTTTTTGGTTGCAGAAAAAATTGAGGTTGTGGAAATATATTCGATCAAATTAAAAAAAACTTAGCGCCGTATTCTTAGCGGCTACTCAATAAAAGTATCTGCTCAATCGTAGAGACAACGAAATCCACGCACATTTTCATTGTGTTGCTCCAATAAATGTGCTGCAGTAGTTAGACCTCTTCAGCAAAATTAAGTATAAAATATTCTTGTAAGTATTTTGAAAGCATCTGTATTTTATACTTGTAAGTATAAAATACAGATGCAATACAAAATACTGTATTTGATATCTTTATTATACGCGACCTTCTACAATATGGTATTTCATAACAGTTTCTTGAAAACTGAAGTAACTGCGCACAGTAATTTATTTCTTGAATACGCATTTTCACGTTTCAGTCATCGTTTTGGGGACGCTTGTTGTTAGGACGGCCCTCACATCTGATTGACACAAAAGTTGCCCGCGCGAAAGTTTTAGCAGCGTCTTGCGGCAGGAGTACTAGGCACATTTACGATGCAAAGCTACAGCCTACGAGTCTGTACAATACAGAGTCGTTGTGTATTTTTCAGTGGTGTTAATAAATTTAAATATATAGAAAGGCGCATTATATTATAATAAACGGTCCCGAAATTTATAACATCACGCACATTTAATACGCATTCTGTACGAGCATTTAAACACGCTTACGAACATTTCAATACCAACCGTATGGAGTATGTCCCGTTCCATGTTACCTTATCGGTACATGCCCTCACTGAATGAAGCAACCCCCGGCCGGGAGAACTTTCTAAAACTTATTGTGTATAATTTTTTTTCATTTTGTTAGCGTTCCACGGTCCATGTTGAAATTAACAGATGTAGATTTAGCAGTTATTGCTGAATGCAAAAGACGTTATCTTTACATGTTTGCATGTGCATTCCCGGTAGGTCAACTGGCCAACGGTGGCTGTATAAGTGTGAATCGTTTATCACCCTTACGAACAACAGTTCCACATTACAAATTTATTGCATTCTAACCTAACACAAACTAAATGCACTGCTGATTTGCGTTCGAAAAACAGCATAGTTAAACGATACTGCGATAAAAAACCGAATGTACTCTTATAAGTTATGTGCGACGTTATTATTTACACATGTACTACAAGCAGATAGTGGCTACCAGTTACGGTAATTTTACATGCACTATGAGAAGTATGAGTAAAGTACGCAATTCAGTTCTCTGGGCTGTGTAAGAAATCATATTGTCATAATTCGGAGGAATTTCGAAAAACATCCTGCCGATTCCTAAGGGTCATTAACTTTCGATTTCTGCAGCATCCGCATTTCCCATTTTTTTTTTGTTAAAGACAAATCTGAAGAAACGATAACACAAATTCATTATTAAAATATGAGATAAATTGATAAAGCTTCTTTTAGCATTTCCATTCGGCACGGTTGTTATGAAACGGATTTACGGGTAACTTTGCACAAAACAAAATTTATAAAAGCAGTCGGTAATTTTTTACGCATATAGCGAAACTGTTTGAGTATTAATCAACTGGCATAATTTGGCCACTAATTCACTGGTACCAATGGCGATCTGCAATTCAGTTTCCAGCTTATCGGGAAAAAGGAATCTACGTTTTGCGTAACGGAACTGGTGTACAGTTTGTGACTCTTTACATATGACATACAGATTCCAACAGGAGCTGTATCATGGGAAAAGCGAGTGTTTTATTGACGTTTTATAGTTGTTTGTGACCAGACCTGCTGGTGGTCGACGACAGATAAACATTAATGTGGTGTATGTATATTGTTTTTCCCCGTTGGCCTTCCGGCTAGGGAATGCGATCACCGGACTCATCTGTCCGAGTGCACACAATCAAATCAAGCAGGTTATAAAATATGTAGCATTTGCGTCCCGTTTTTCCTGCGGCTTAGCCGACGAGTGTGTACACATACCGACTGTAACGGAAACCGAAGAGAGCCCTTCCCGATCAAACATTACCTAGCGGCGGAGACGTGAATAATTTAAATACCGAAGTGCGCTTTTTGCGAGAACGCCATAAGGTATAATTTCATTTACTATAGTGCATCTAGGTAAGTAATATTGACGCTTTCGTTTGCAGCTCTTGGACGTTAGCGAAAGTACTCGTATTTTTCAGACTATGTGAGAGACTATCTATATGTACGTGGTACTACAGAAAATTTAGCGGCTGATTGTGTTTCAGTTATAAATTTTGAAATAAAACGCGTTCTGGTTACAGCGCATACTGTAAGGTTTCAATAGATTTTTTTTCGTATTTTTGTACTATGTAATTTCCGTAAAGTACATAATTCTGATATTACGTGCACAACAGAGAGAACTATGCATCGGTAGTTCATTAACACATCTAACTACGTATACAGTTGTAAAAAATGTACAGTATTGCACCCAGCTTTTCATAACACGGTGAACATATGCACTAAACCACATAATTATTATTGGCAATAACAAGGGAAAAATAGAAGTTTGTTCACTAAACGGTTCAGAGTAGAAATAAAAGCATTTCAAAAAGGTAACGGCGGGTATACTCTTGGGCTGGTAAGCTGCTACTTCAAAACATACGTTTTCAGTAATAAATTAGATCCTACGTCGATGATAGTATTTGCAAGAAAACATTCCCTTATAGTGCATTTGAATATGTCGTTTCTGTTAATGCGAAGTCCAAACAATCGCTACGCTTAGTACCACAACCAAAATTCCAAAATGTTCGCGATCATAACTGACAAATTTATTTACGAAATCGTATAGCCGATTCTTGCGACATTAAAACGGAATTAGATTATGATAATATAATATTATAACAAATTAGCGCTATTAGGTGATGGAAGATCACTTCAGCGCGTGAACTGCAGCATTAACAACCCAGCTTATTTCCGCTAATATTGCAGTTACCTCCCGGGCGTCCGTCCAAAAAGTGGATTTATCACTTCGTTGTCCGCCTCCAAGCGACTTTCAATCAGCAGGGTCACTGTTGACATCGCATCATGGCGCACCGTGGCGGTGGGATTTGCGGCGGCTGTGCGCTGCATCAAGGGAGAATTACGCGCTCCGGACGATACCGACAATTGCCGATGCATAGTGTATGACAAACAGAAAACTATTTGTTTTCCGGATAAGACAAAAGTCAACTTCCTGTTAATGGTCTACGCCGTTGAGGGCCAAAGAAAAAACGCCTGAATGACAATGTCTACAGCGGTCACCCGGAATCTCACACAAAATTAAGCTGGAACGTGCTCCAAGCCGATTTCCACTTGTACTGCCACAAAATGACCCAAGATCGCATAATCAACTTAGACTTAGTAAATTGCTTTTGAGCCCCCCTCTTTGTCCATCAGTGCGGCTTCCGTCTTCTCCAGTGTACAACACAGTGCAGCGCAACGTTCACTGAGTGGCAGACAATGTTTGACTTGTGCCCAAAACCTTCCACTGTCTTCTTTACTGGTGGGATAAGGCAGAGCTTAAGTAAATCCAGAGAGCGTCGCGCCGCGATTGCCCCACGAGTATGTATGCACTAGGAAGTGTACACTGCAGGGTAGTGTGTATACGGCTACGCTGGTTTTTCTGGCGGGATGCACACATGTACATCTGTCGATAGTTGACGGGTACGACAATAATATCGTCTGCATTTAGGTGTTAAATGGGAGAAAGTGTCGTATCGATCTGCGATGCATGTGTACATTCGCAAACGCACGCGTTGTGGCGCCCGTTATACAGATACATATGTAGAGAAATTCTGTCCTCGAAAATTCGGTAATATCAATTGCAGCAATTTGCGTGTGAAATGCAGTCACATACGGTATTGTCAACGGTTAGTGTCGGCTTACATCGTTTCCGGTATCATGAATACTGACACATACACACATATGCCCGTCCAGGGAAGGAACGCTTGATGCAGCCGGGCGATGAGCCGATCTGTGAGCGCGAGTGCTGTGGCGTTGCAGCAAAATATTATGATCCCGGCGTCCTGCGAGAATGAATGCCGCATTCATTCAGCGGACTCACGCTAACAGTTAAGAAAGGTGGAGAAGCCCCAATCAAGCCGCTCTCAAGCCGCGATCATTGCCAACACCGTACATTTATCAAAAGGACATTTTTATGTTCGCTAGTCAGCTGCCGTAACTACTTTAATTCCAGCGGACTTAAATTACCCCTCAGCAAATCATGATGCAATCTCGCAGCACACTCGGACGGAGCTGCACGCACATTCACATTTTGTAAATCTTTTTATCCTTATTTCGGGTGTTTATTTGTAACGGCTCTACTAATCACTTGTACTCAAACATGCCTTTTTTAACCACCTCGTTTTTGATATTTCAGTGCTCACGTTGTTTTCCTGCTATTGATTTTTTGTTAAAAAAATTTTTAGCGATAGAAAATTTTGCTTAAAGTATACATTTTAGTCTAGACTGCGCAGGCATATGTTGCATATTAGTGAATCTGTATATATTGTCCACATCATGCTTACAGATTACAGTTAGCCTTTACTACTGACTTTTGGAGCCGACAAAGGGAGCTCACTCATTGTCAGCTGGTGGGGAAGTTGTTATTATACAGTGGCGGCAGGGGTGACACATATAGAGTAGCTGGCTATACCTGGTACCGTACCAACGCGAAAATAAGCGGACCTCTTTCTGAGCAAGAATCTTCCCGTTACGTGCGCCGAAGAACTTGTTTACGTTGCTGATCAAAGTTATTAATTTTATTTCAATCTATCTATAACCAGAGAGCTGGGTACGAAACAATTTTTACAAACTGCATAACACCGTTAACAACAATGCACTGCTTAACACACACATTTTAGAAAATAGATTACCTAATTACAGCCGTTCACCATTAGTACGAACTGCCGGGCATCGTAAAATGGCTAGAAAAAGTTCGTTTTTTCTTTTTTTCTGCTTAAAAAAGACCATTCGACTCAAGTCTCAAGCATACGTAAACCGATCGTCAAATCCCGTTTGTTAGCGAATAACCCATATGGAAAAGGTCACACCACATGCAAGTTGATGTGACCTTCGCAGACTACCGAAACGGCCTGGTTAATTTCGAAAACTGCCGCGACGAATTTTAAATTATAAAGTCAAATTAATAAGTAGCACCACAACATAACATCATATTCATGGGATCGTTAGTGGTTTTTGTATGTAACTGCCGACACTACTGCCTGCGGCGTCGATCTAAACGCAGTTCATGAATGTGAACATTCAGGTGTTTTCACTGCGTACCTTTCTCGTGCGATTCTGCAGTTAGATCGTGCACTATTCGTTGGGCGTGAACAATTAATACATTAACCAACGACCTAAATTATAACAGTGATTAAATTGATTGCTATAAAGAAACAATGGATCCCTAAAAATATTCGCCAGATTAGCATAATCGATCACACAAAATCACAAACAAAAGATCTAAAACCATTATCACGAGTACTTCTATTAAACGAAAGGTGAAAACCGGCAATGACACACCCACGAAAAAGCATATCTTCATATACAACTTATTCAACAGAACTGAAAGCCAACAATTTGTTTTCCTGATCAGTATGATAAGCCGAAAAAATATGCTCTACTAAATTTCCGCGATCGATGGTTTTATTGCAGAACTGACATCTACCCGCCGATAAGCTGATTGGTTCGTCCTCTTCTCCCAATTCGGCGCCAACGTTCAGCTCCTTCTTCATGATCCTGTAAATACACACAACAATCTTTATGAGGGAATCACATCGCAAGTTTATCGCTGCCGTAACTCACTTCATTGCATCCCGATGCAACATCACCATCTGATCGTACAACTTAATGCTTTTCTCCATTGAAGATGGCTCTGCAGATCGGCAAATGGGCATCAGGAAATTTAGTTCAGCTGCGAGCCGCTCTTTATCGTACAAAACTGGTGACCAACTGAAAGTGCTCCAAAAACCACGGTTCGGGCGTAGCATTCGCGGCTTGCTAGCCATACTAGAACAAAATTCCAAAATATTCTACTATGTTCTTATACACCTTGTTTCGAAGAACCAGTAATGACCGTTTTTCGAAGAACGAAGAACCAACCGAACGAACCTCGTTTTTCGAAGAACCAGTAATGACCGTTTCCCGCAATACCCTTATTTTGTTGAATCTTTTGCCTTTTTCTTGTAACCGTAAGTTATTTACTCTCAAGTTTTACCTAATCAACAGGTTCAGACATTCGTGCTGCAACTCATCGAAGTTGCGTACCGCATGGATGTTCCCTTGCATAATGCAAAGCATTTGATTCAGTTTTCTTCGCAAAGCATCAGCCTGTGAAAACATTACGAAATTTTAATTTCTCAACACAAATTTCAATTCAGACTCATCATATCCATACTTTATCAATATCCTCTTCGGATATGTACCCGTCAAAGACCAAATTAACTTCCCCTTCGGGATAAAAACTCTCAGTGGAATCAGCCAATGGACCCAGTCCAGTCAACAAGCCAACGTGTTCATCTTCTTTTGTCCTACAACGATAACCCAATGTCCTGAAATACTCGCGACAAAAAACCAGAAAATATATCAAAGCTCCTACGCCGTCCGCGCAAGATTCAACTTACACTATCTCAGCAACCGGTGAGAATGCCAGCGCGATCACTCCCAGCAGGCCCGGTTGCGTTGGAAGCTGACTCGTAAAGAGGCCCTTCAGAACGTCGTCAGTGTGCGAAGGATGTTGCATCAATGCGGCCACCACAGGTCGGTACGGCCACCCGCCATCCTGGGGATACTTTTCATAAGCAATGCTGTTTAAGCTCGTGTTGTTAACACTCGCAATTCTGAAATTATCACCGAACTTCGTAATCTGCTGCTAATAACTACAAACATGTCTTCCGGAATTTTACTTTTGGTCCTTCATGATAGTGACACGGCGAGATCGTGCTGGGAACTCAACCGGACCGACGGTTATCTACAAATTTCCGCGATATAGTTGTATTACAATCGTAACTGTTCAAGTAGATGAAACATACACATTTCCCGGCTACAGGTGGTGTGTCGTTCTTTAGATCCAGATCCGGAACAAATTCAGCTCCTGCGAGCATGTCAGTGTTCCCGGATTCCAGTTGCTTATGATGATTCTACGCGCCGGTTGCAATAACACCCATTCAGCATATACATCGCTACATGCTTCCATAAGATTACTGCACCTCAGAAATCCACGATTCCTTTCCTTTGAATGCACACCCCAGTCGTATCAGCTCTTCGCCAACACTTATGTCCACATCAGGCACCAAAGGACATTTCCAGAAAAGTTGACCTCGCACGATGCCATCCGTTACGGAAAACACCTAACGATTAATCATGTTTGTTGCTTCCTGCTCACTGTCACTTCTGTTATAACAAATAAAAATAACACACAATTCTCAAGCAACACATTAGAAGAATTAAAGAAATCAGTCACTCGTATTTTAAGCCAAACTATTTCTTCTCAAGCTGGTGCGGGGACCACCTTGACGCGTCATATTATATAGAACAAAGCTTTCTGCAGGATACACGATACAGTATATGCACTTTATAAAACGATTTAAACTTCGCAAAAATAAACCATCCTTAAATATTTCGTACTACAAAATCTCCAAAATCAAAGCCGTGGAGTGCGCATTAAAGGAACCAGAATCGAAGCAAAGGTGCAACACGTACTTCCAAATATACTTCGCTTTCTTCACCACACAGCAGATCCTGCATATAGCTCACGGTCAACCGCCTTTGACTTCTTGAGAAGCGAAGTCCAACAAATATAAATTCAAAGCTACTGCGAGGTATGTCCTTGAGCGAATCAGGCAGATAATATAACGACGAGGCTGAGATCAGGTCATATTCACCCAAGTCCACCAGTAATACCTGCAATAAAGAAAATTACGCAGAAGTTCCCAAAACACAATCGAAGTAACAAAAATACCGTCACACATCCGTTGTTGACTGGAGACACCACCAAGCAACGCGTATAGAACACATTACCATCTTCGTCTTCACTTTTCGCCATAAATGCCTCTCCAATTCTGATGTATCTAAGTTCAATAGGGAACATCTATACAACAAACTCACGGTTATGCAAATCAGTCCTCTGCATTCAATGTGCTCATAAACTACCTAACACTCTAACCTTTCTTTTGGCAAATGCTTTCATTCTTTCCTCCAAGTTTAACTGTTGCTGAACTATGTCGCTCCTCGTGCAGGTCACAAAAAATTTGTCCACACTGACGATCTGAAATTTGAATATTATGGCATAATTAAAATAAAAGTTGCAGCATAAATTTTTTTTAAAAATCGCGCAGAAACGGAAACACAAGAACATACATCCTGAAGTACAACAGGTATTTTCTGCCCAGTCTGAAAAATTACGGAACAGGGAGGAATTCCTTTCCTTGGGTTTCGACACTCTCCTTTATTTTCAATGGAAAATCTAAGACGACATGTATTGTTCAGCTTTGCAGCAGATAACCCCGGCCAACTGAACTTATTACCCACCGAAATCCAGCGCGACTGGTATTATCAGTACCGTCAATTTGTTGATTTACTTCTGATGACCGCTGGCGTTCCGGTAAAGTGAGCTTTCCATGAGAGTTCCTGACAAAATTTCAAAGTGGTGCTAGGTTTCATTAGAATGATGATGCAAGAGCCTCACATTGTCATTTTCAGTATGGCGCCCAGCTCAGGATGAATGTCACCGGATGGACGTCGTGTAGAACGATCAAAACAAACAAAAGTCCTAAATCACCAAATCATAACAACATTCCATAAGTTGGCTATCATGTTATCACCAATACAGTGCCGCATTACTCAAAACTGCCGTAAACAATTTTTGGTTGAATAGTGCCGCTTTCTGAGCTGTCCCTCAAAATGGCTTTCAGATCGTCATCGTATAACGGGCTCCGTACTGCTGTTTGATGACCAAAATTTGGAATCTGTTAAATTTTAAAGCAGAGGGTGCGCAAAAGATGAAAGTTTTGAGATGATATCTGTGATTAATAAATATGTGATTTAGAAAACAGAAACTGCGGTATTGAAAACAGTACTAACCACCAAAGTGCTCATAGGATCATATCCAGCAAGGACTTGTTCCATTTTTGCATCAATATATGAAGCAATATTCACCATCACATTCGGATAAAAAGCACCAGCAAATAACAACTGTAAAACGAAAGGGACACTTTCCCGAAAGCGAAGCGAACCACCAGTAACATAATGTAAAGGCGTAATGAAGATACCTTACCGGTATAATCACTTCTCTGGGAGCTCTCATGCTAGACGGATGGTCGGCGTAGATACCTTTTCGCTGGAGTCTTCCACAGAGTTCTTGTTTAAGGGCATAGAGCTGAAATTGATGATGACGAAATATTTTCTTACCGGAAGAAAGCTCAATGTGTTTCAAACCTCTTTCATTCGGGAAAGATCAATCAAGGTTGCATCCGTGAATCTTGATCGGTCAATATGTGATTTCAGGTTATCCCTTTCCGCTTCCCATAATTCATAGGCATACACAATGGCAAGCGCATCACAATGAGCACCGCGGTAATAGTGCCGTTCCATTGCGCGATACCGGTCGGCAGGCGACAACCTAGTCCTACTTAGGACTGCTTCCACGGTCATTCCAGCAGCTGAATCATAATTATGTTATGACGCGCACCATTCTTCCTATGAGAATTAAAAATTTGAATATGCCATACCGATTATGGAACCTTCATATGCATATCCAAACATGGCGCATAAGAACATAAACTTCGCAACTCGCACATCCAACGGGAAAGACGCCAGTAGAAACCCCATTGCCGTTAAATCGCCGTCCTGGTAGCACGGCTGGCCTAAAACCACTCGCTTTCTTTCGCCAGCTCTACCAATCAGTTGAAGACCACAACAGTTAATTCCAGAGTACTGACTGACCTTTATAAGTAACCGTTAATGCGCCAATCTGCAAAATCAACAGTTTCAGGGAAAAACTGCAAAAAACGAGCTGTATTTTACAGTAAATCTATTAAATTACCCATATAAATATTAAAAATTTTACGGTGCAAAGTAAAAATGGTTTGAAGAGAGAATAAAATCAACAGCGATTTAACTTACACTTTTCAGGTTAATAACCGCAATTTCAATATCGTTCTGGAGCGGAGGATCCAATAAGAGCACCAAAAGTTCAGCCGGTGGAACCGGTACACCCAGCTGCTTGATACGTAGTACGGCATTCTCTTTCGGGGCTTCCTGCAGTAAAAACATTTACAACTCGTTAACCTGTTCTGCAAAGTTATCATACCAAGATTTCCGGTTTCGGATACTGAGGTAAGCTTTGCCGAAATTTTCTTGGAACGAAGAAATACACAACTCCGGGTCTGTTGCGTCCGACCCTTCCTAAAGCAACAGCAATATAATTCTGATCTACCATCCACAGCATAGAAGAGAATCCGCACCCCTAACCTTCCACAGATTTAATTAGGTTTTTTTAAAAAAATTTGTCCGACCTTTACGCTGGGACGAACTGGATAAGGATGCCCACTGAAGCACCAACTGCGGCATCTTGGTACATGGATTCAACTTCATTGACTTCGTCAAACAAAAGTCGAAAACTGGAAAAAAAACAAATGCCAAAAACGTTAGACGGAAATTAAACTCCGGGGCTTACCGTAATTAACATAAGGCAGCGTTATAGAACTTTCAGCAATGTTTGTTGATAAGATAATTCGCCGTGAACCACTTTTAGGGAAATCGTGCGCCACCCGGAACTGCTCTTCTTTGTTTATAGTTGAATGAAGGATGCATACTTCCAGCGACTGACTTCTGTGAATAACCGGGATTCTGACTCTCAGCCCTGAACAATAAGATACTGCACGAAAGAAGCACAAAGATGGACGTACCCTTTTCTTTTGAGCAAAGCCTCCATTTCTATGATGTACTCCAGACCTGCCAGTTTGTACAAACGTTATTATTTTCTGAATATTCGACTCACACCAGTTCAAGGGTGTACACTGTACACCAGCACAGTACCAGGAAGAAACATGAGAACAGATTCGCCAAATTCAACCGCACTCGAACCAGGAAGTGGAATTAAATGGTCGATTGTATGGCAGGCCAACTCCAGCAATTTTGAAGACAATCGAGGATGATTTAGTTCAAAACCCTGTAACGGTACAAGTTTAACATTATGCAAAGGTATACTAACCCTGCAACGTCCTGGCGATGCAGACGAAAAATGACAAACAAATTGTTTACATAATATTGTACATGTAAATAATGCCGCTCTGATCAGTACACACAAATAAGGATAACTTGTCGCATTTCACAGTTAACTTCGTATCCTATTACATTTCACTGGATGCGTTGGACGTTGACCAGCGGGCATTACTGATGCAACATTTATAGCAAAAGAGCAATAGTAGCAACCGTATACCGATGTGTCGTATTCTACGGCGAATTCCTCCAAGTGCAACTCCTTGATGGGGAAATGCTCGATTCGTAAGTCAACGTTTCCAACTTCTTCTATTTCGCGTTCAGGACTTGATGTGGTTTTCTCCTTGAAGTATTCGCTCATTTTTTGAACTTCCAGTGTAGCGGACATGAGAATGGCCTAAACAATTGTAATTATTTCCTGACGAGACGGCACTGCACCTGCAGTCCGAAATAACCTTACCTGTACATTTGGAGAATTTTCGCGCATCATCTGTCGCACTAGCATCAGTGCCAAGTCGGTGTCCTGATCCCGCTCATGAACCTAAGTCAAGGTTGGCTCAAAAATTTCCAAAATTTATGGAGGTTACCATAACATATACACCCACGAAAACAGAGCGCGCATTACGGAAAACACGACCCACAACATAAATAACTGAATAAATTTAGAGATGCATTAGATAAGCAGATCATAAGTATACTAGATACGACACTGGCGGCAAAGGGTACAACGTAATTAAAAATCGATGTGCTTATCCCTATAATAACCCAAACAACCGCACCTCGTCCAAGAATACATGCGTGTACATATTCAGATTCTTCATGGATATGATTTTCTCTAGGAAAACCCCAGTAGTGCAGTAAGTCAGCCTTGTGGACTGTGTAGTCTGTCTATCCAAGCCAACCTACGACGGAAATATATTCAGAAACAAATGTCAGCGCTGAAAATCTCCTTTTTTTACGTGATATCCAACAAGTTGTCCCAGTGTCCAGCCTCTCTCAAAGCAAACTCTTCTGGCAATACTGGTAGCAGCAATTCTTCGAGGTTGAGTTACAATGATGTTGCACGGTTTATTTGTGGCGGCACATTCGTCCAGAACCATGAGCGGTACCTGAGTAGTTTTACCGGTTCCGGTAGGGCCACAAATGACGACAACCCTTCGGCTACACAAATATCTCAACACCTGAAAAGGTATCACAAAGGTCAAACACTGCCAGCAGAATAATATTTTTCGCGTGACAACGTGCTATTCCAGCTGGCTGCTAACGAATGGGAAACGCAAGATATACCACAATAATTCAACTACACATATTAAACACGTTTAAAATGCACAAAACTTTTTTACCGCTGATGTAAAAATTAGTACATCTCGCGAAATATTACGATGTCAAACCTCGTCTTTTCGAGTATAAATCGGCAACTGTAGCACGTCATGGGGGATTTCCGAGGGATAAAACTGCTGAAAAACCACTGGATCCTTCTCCGGTTGACAGATAATGTTGATATCCGGTTTATGAGACAGCAGTAACTCTCGTTCGGTAGGTCTCGAAGTGAATACATCTTGCGAGGTTACAGTCGATGCAGATGTGACTGATGCCGCCTAAGCAGAAATACAAGTAAACGCTTTCAAAACACTAAAATTGTTGACAGATTATGCAATCAATGTCTTAAAATTAATCAAACTTCAAATAATGTGAATATAAAAAGAGGGCTGCTACTTCGGACACATTGGTCAAGTACGAACTTCTAAGCAGTAGTAACAAAGTGATGCGCTCAAAGTGTAAATACCACGACACGACACGTACATCATCCAGATCGGACATCAGTTGGGAGCGAAGGGTCAAGGACATGGACGGCAAACTGGCCTGGCTACCAAAGCGACCTCTTTCGTTTTTCGAGAAGACTTTGGCGTTTCGCATTTTCAGATAATCAGCCTGAGTAGCAGCGATACCCCTAAAGAAAAGATGTTTACCATAAACTGAATAAGGTGGTATGTAATACGAGTATTTAGAAAATGAAAAATTAATAAGGAATAAGAAAAACCAGTTATTACTGCCGATAAAATCCATCACGAAATGTGCATGCAGCATGTGCACCCAAAATAAATATCCTTTTACGTACACCCTTGAAAGCTTAAGAACTTACAACTTACCTAGGGTTTTTGTAACTCGGCAGGCGTTCTTCTGGTGAGTAAATGAGATCATTCCTCAGTTCTTTGCTTACGATGTCTTGATACAAAGCCTGCAGTTCTCTTTTTAACATCCAAATGGCGGTGGCCTGTTTTGGTCGGGTAACAGTGGCCGCGCCGGTTTTCGCTTTCTCGTTGGTTGACGCGTGACTGTCGTCATCTGGATCAGGCTCAGAATCGGAATCGTGATTTTTGACTCCACTGTCCGCTGTCATTTGGAAAATTCTATCATCTTTTAGGAATGTTTCGATATCCGAAAGCGGAAGAGTCACGCCGCAATACAAACCAAAGCGCTGAATGATCAGAGGCGAGACCTGACCACCACTGCCCAATAGTAAACTGATTATTTCGCGACGATGAGTGGTTTTCAGATTCGCACGGGAGATACTCTTTTCCGGATGCTCATAATCGAAAAGAACGGGTGCATTTTTTTCAAGGAATTCATCGACGTTGCAGTTCCAGTAATCAATCTTTGGTCGGGGAATTCCGAATGAACCATCGATATCCACGAAATCAGGTATGGCGTCTTCTGGCTCTTGAACCGCTTCGGACACCGCTGTCTGTGTCTGTCGCTGCTGACTTCGCAGAAGACGTTTGAAATACGTTTCCGACATTATGCCATAATGCGTAACACAAATTTATAGAAAATGTCGATAAAAAAGTGAATTCTGAACTCTGAAATAAACGTTTCTCGAGGCTAGCACGGAAATCAAAGCAAGGCACTAGAGGGTAGCACGTACGTACTTGCTTTGTTGCAGATTTAAATTCAACGGGCATCACGGCGAAGAAAACCACGTTCACAACAAGGTCGAAGTTGCGTTTGAAATGCAGCCCGTGGGTGGTTGCTCTTACTCTTATTTTGCGCTAACAAGCCATCTGGGAGACAGAATTCGGTTAAGTTTTTACAAAAATATTAAAGGTTACAAACTTGCAACTTGCCGACACAAGTTAGTAATTGTAAGTTATAATTAGCACTCGTATTTTAATTTTGTTAGCTTGTCTTCAGAAATGCGATAGCACAAGAACCGGGCGAGCTAGGAAGCCATATGGTATCCTATACGCAGCCTGGCAGCCTCGTCCTGTGTGGTCATTAGCAGTCCGCCACAAAATTTAAAATCCGTTACAAACTTACAGTTTTATACTTTTATGGCGCAAATAGAAAGTACATTTTATGGTAAACTGTACTTTGACTTTCTGTGGTACTACTGTAACATTACTTAATTTGCCAACCGTGGCACGGCGGCTTTTTTTCGGGACAGATGTGTCGTTTTTCCTCTATTTGGAATTCGAGACTGCTTCCTTGGTAGACAGTTCAGACATTCACTTTGTCCCAATCTTTTCGGTTATCTGTCGTTCCGGACCGGATCGCTCCGATCAGAGAGATAAGTTTCAGCGTACAGTATAAATGGCGCGAGCGTTTCCCAGCCCATGGAGTCATAATTGCAAAGGCTGTCCAGGGTCCTCATCCCGTCTTCGAGATCGCTGCGTTAGTATAATGTTCTGAGCTTGTGATCTTTGTGAAATTATGGATATCTACATTCACATAAAATGTAAAATAGTTTGCACTTTGCAGCGGTTTTTATGTCTGATGGAACAATACTCGTATAGTTTCCTGCCAAAGATTTTCTGACTTTGGTTATTAATCAGATGATCACATGTGACATGATTAAAGGGAAGACCATGTTTCGACGCTAAATATTTCAGCTACTGTGTGGCTTTTCCTCTAATCATTTGCCATGTAGCTAGCCCATGAGTTTGCCGGCGCCTTAAAATGTTGTCGTCCCAAGTCGAATCTGCGACCGTACGCCATACGGCATTTTACAAGATCTGTTCTGGGAACCGTCGGTTTTGACATATTCCAGTATTTTTTATTCATAAAAAAGAGCCAGTGACAACTCTACTAAACAATAAAAAAGGTAAAGCAAAAGTGTTTTCGCATATTTTTACATTACAGCCTCACGTATGTCTTTAGCTATTTCAGTTGCTGAATACTTGTACGTTGACAGCGTTTGACCTTTGAGGAGATCGATGTCCTATTTTTCCTTTCTCATATCATGTGGTCGCGGAATGCGTAGACTTCTTGTTAGATAGTGAACAGCGTTTGATCATGAAATTAATTTTGCTAGTCAGCGAAGGACAGATTACTGTATACTCGTCACTCGTGTATCCAGTACGACTGGCAAAGTAGTTTTTCTACTCTACCTTGCTAACCGTAAGATATAAATTATTTATATGTACAGATTTCTTCTTCAAAGAAAACTAAAAAGCCTGCAATACTAAAAAGCCTGCAGTACGAGCACTGAATACGGTACTCACCATTTCTCTGTTATACGAACACTATCTGCACAATACTTCCAAACATACGGGGGACAACACAGAAGCTATTAAATGGTAAGCTGCAACGTACTGCATCAGTTTGAACGATCAAATAACGATAAGATCGTCTTTATAAGAAGACGGCTAGTCTAAAGGGTTCGTTAATACGATTTTTATCAACAATTGTTGAAATTCAAAAATTTTGGGCTGATGAGGAATCGGTTATATTTATCATTAGTGTGGTCCGTATGCATTTGCTGTGCCCGAATTACACGAGATTTTTTGTCGGCATCTTCTGGCTGTTGCGTTGGATTACAACTGCAGAAGATCACATCATGATCACTATAGAACAATAATTTGATAACTACTTTACTGTACAAGTATACTTATCTTATCCGAAAAATTATGTTATATTTTAATTTCTCGTTGAGGAGCATCTTGCATTCATTTGTGTAGCAGATATCTTTACTTTCAGTTTAGCGAACTGCTTTCTCTGATTAAAGTCCCAGATCGTGAGAAAAATGACCGTCGTATTGAGCATATCTAGTTTGGCATTTTGTATGGCGATTATCCGCAGTGGATATTGCATTGTGGATATCAATGGTAAATTGTTTGAGACGCTTCCAAACTTTAGTTACCTATATTTTTAAGACACTCAGCGAAAGTTTGAAACATAGAATTATTGAAAATTATTTTGCATTTTTTTGCTGAGTCAAACATGCATCGGTCACGACGGAAAAGGGTTTTAGCCGTATTTTGGTGACACCATGAGGTGTAGTGACATACTACACGAAATTAAACAGTGATTATTGCAAAAAAAATTTCAGTTTACAGGGAGAAAAAATTTATTGTTCACGCCACATTTTTTATATTGAATTTTTGAAAAATTATTGAAATTTCGTTTATAGTTAGTGTAAGTTGTGGTATGAACAAATAGCAGCTATTCGTTGCCGTTGACAAAAATGAACATAACTACAGGAAAGTCCGTTGACAACAACGAGGCTGCTGTCGAACTAACCCGATCAAGAATTACGACGGAAAAGCGACTGCGATCTTATTTATTTGAACATTATGATCGGAAAGTGCGACCATCAGGGAACAAAACCGACACTGTGTCGGTGTATGTGTCGATGATGCTGTTGCACATCGAAGGGATCGTAAGTGTGACTGGTGTCGAAATTAAACGATTTTATTAGGAAATCAAATTAGTGATGCTACGGAATTTATTTGCTTTTTGAAACCAGAACGAGCAGCGTCAAGTACTGAGGGTTCATACATGGACCAGCTTCCGATGGAACGATGTTCGTTTAGTATGGGATTCTTCGGAGTATGCAAATATCACCACATTGCACACCGCCGACGAAGAATTATGGCTTCCAGACATTACGCTCTATAACAAGTAAAATCTCCATCATACCGTCGCTTGTGAAGAAACACTGCAAAACTTGGATACAAGCAGTTAACAAAATTTGTATTAGCGACCCCCTTAATGTTTTTCATATAGCGCGGAAGGAAAGGATATTCATAACTTTGGCTCGACCACTATTATGGTCCAATCTAACGGCGACGTAGTATGGGTGCCTCCAGCTAGCTTCAGCGCACAGTGCAAGTACGCATTACTAATCTAGTATGGCGGAATTTTTCAGCGAAACGCCAGATCGTTTATTTAGCGACTTGTAAACTACAATTATTTTCTTTAAAGCATGAACTTTGACACCTGGCCAAGGGACAAGCATCGATGCCATCTTTTATTGGGTAAGATATCGGTATATAACAAAAGGTCAACTACAGTCTACAGAAACCAAAAACCGTAAATAACAACAAAGTAATTTACGGTTTTTGGTTTCTGTAGTCGCAAACCGTAGCATACCTACAAACAGTACACATTCAATTTGCTGTAAGTAAGATTATGTTGCAGCATTTTACGTACCTATGATGTACGACTACAATACTCGTACACACCTCGTTTTGATCATTAATATTTGTACAGTAATTTTTGTGTAGGATCGTGGACACAACACGGATTCGATCTGGACATTCAGTTAGATGATGCCGAAGCCGGCATAGGTACATTCCGGTTTTTGTTAGAGGCTGAACAGCCTGCACTAAGTGCACTTACACAGTCTGACGTACAAAAACAACAAAATAAAACCGAAGAAATTTTTCCAGATTTTGTTTTCTAATTTTCAGATACAAGGAATTTTGTGCAGAACGATCAGTGGTTACTTACAAATGTCTCCGCGACCCGGACCCAAGTTTTTTATCCGTGTTGCGTGGAGCCGTACGTTTCTGTATCGGTAAAACTGACATCATTTTGAAATTGACATCACTACACGCTAAAAAAGGGCAAACTTTCTATCATTGTAGCACAAGCGACCACAATATGAAACTTATCGGAGGAACACATAATATTAATTTGAGATACTAAATTTTCTGTTACAGTTCACTCTGCAACTTCGTCGCAATCCATCGCATTATTTTCATACCTTGGTCCTACCGGTTATAATTTTGCTTATCGCATCATGGTTCCTGTTCATCATCCCAGATTACCGATTTCGACTGTTGGTTGGTTTACTGGAAATTTTGGCACTAAGCGGGGAAAGTATATTTCTGTATTCTGTGGCACCTCCATCAACTGGAACTCCTCCAATTGGTAAACAAAATTTAACGCATACAACTGCAGCCAGTACACGTTGTATTATCAATATAGATATAATATTAATTTTTATACCTGTATTATCAATATAGATATAATATTAATTTAAGTGTACTTACAGTACAATGTTGTTCAAAGCGTGATGTTGTTTGAAGTACAGAGTACAAGATTATGTAAAGCAGTGCAGTTCTACAAAGTTTTGCTGTCAGTAACTTGACATAATTACTTACTACAATCTTATTGCAGTCCGTCTTGTGGCGTTTAGTATTGGATTCGTGTTATACGCTTTGGTGTTGTGCATGATTTTGGACGCCGTTAGACGCTGCTCAAAGCCATTACCAAAGTGGATCCAGGCAACTTTTAATCCCAAAATGGGTTTTATTCTCCTTCTTCCTTCCACCTCAACAGCGCCAGAGCAGTTTTCCGAAAACCGAGGAAAAGATGGGGATAAAGAATTTCTCACCGTTGATTTCGAAAGAGAGAACAACCCACAGCAGGAGCTGACCGGAAACGATATTGCATTACAGAGGTCATGGAAAATATTCACGGATATCTTGTCACGCATTTGCTTGCTACACTATGCTATTGGGAGCACAATCCTAATCATTTTCTTATGGTGAAATGTTGCATAAGAGAGCATAATTATTGGTGCAACCGCTGTCTTAAAATTTTGGTAGGGCAAAAGTGACGATGTACGTAGCCTCATATTACACTAATACCCAATACAAAATCGGCGTGTGCAAGCAGGAATAGCTGTGGAAATAGGTACATCTAATTAAAGACTGTTTCCGTTGTGTGGATGTAAGATACTCCTAGATCCTACACTAAAATTCCTGAAAATGTTTTAGTTACGCACACGGCGTTTTACTGTACGTTCAGCCCAACAAGCACATCTTATTAATCTGCAATAAATTCCGTTGCCGTTCACACACCAGCAGGCCTTACAACTGTCAAGGTTCTACTCGCTCCTTCAGCTTATCCATAGGTCTCGATAAGCATTACACCCGAAATACGTGACAATATAAGGGTTTGTTGAACAAAATCAACACCCAGCCCTATGTATAACGATTTTACGCATAACTGCACGAACCAGGTTTATAGCCTACTTATGCAAACGATCAAAAGATTTAATTTTATAAAGAGCTGCCAATAAGTCATTTTATTCGCGGTAACAAAACTTTACACGTTTGGATCGAAATGGACTTCTTCATGAACAGCGCCCGGGTATCGTGTGCACTTTTGCAAATGTTCTATCTTTCAGCGTTGCATCGTTTTCCTGAAGGGTTAGCATGCATGAATTCAGATTCCCTTAGCAGTAAACTGGATTTTTTACTGTCGCGCAGCAGTCTACCATTCGAATTTGAGCAGTTCCGAAATGACAACAGCTGCGAAATCTTTTTTTCCGAACAGAATTCTCACGGCCGGATTGTCTGTACGCAAAGCTCGTATAATGACGTTCGGGACGTTTTAATCCGTTACAAAAAAGATGAATCCTGCCCGCCTTTTCTGGAACTGGTCATTGACAACGGAGATAGTGGACGATACAGCGGGGAGTATAATGCGGCTCAGTTGGCCTTAAAAGACATTAACATGGCGCTGCTCCGTCCGGTAAAGACAATCTTAACCCGGCTGCTTATCCGCAATTTTTTCCGTGACCTGATCGCTGAAATCCATAGCGGAGCGCTGTCAGGACTGGAAGCACTGCAGATAATCAAAATGGAAAATATATTTTCTCTGAAAATGGACTGGGATTGGCTGCCGACCAACTTAAACAACACACTGGATAGTGTCGTAATGCGCGATGTGACCTTTATTACGGTTAATCCGGTTACTTTTAAGAGACTTTTGATTAGTCCTCGAAAGCCCTGCCTGTCTTTGGATAATGTAGTTTTTCCTTGTTCCTGCTCCCATAACTGGACACTTGATCTGGTGCAGAAAGACTTCCGCTACGCGAAACCATTCATAACGTTTTCGAAATTTGACTCTGGCGCAACAAGTGGCCCGTTCGATAGTGCATATCTTCAGTGCGGTTTCACAAATAGAAGTAACTCGACCCAGAAATGTATCGACCTGAGATTTCCATACAGTACGATGCCACTGGAAGACTTTCTGGAAAATTCCTGTATTAGCACTAATTCCACCATTATTCAAGATACAAAACTAATCAATTCTAGCCGTGGAGAAAGCACAGTTCAGAGCGACATGCTACTGTTGAAAGCACCTCGCCGGTCGTCTGCGACGGCAAAAGCAAATCCAGGTATACTGTCGAGAATCATTGGGAGTGCTATTTTATTTTCATATTGTCTCCTGCAAGAACTGCGTTCATAGACCCAGGAAACAGTATCAAATTTATGACTAGTTAAATTCCCTATCGGTACGAGGGAATTCCGTCGTATGAATGTGTGCTGATATGAGTTAAAATTGCCAATAAATAAATAATTATATTGACTGAAAAATATTCCCTTTATAGATAGAAATCGACTTGACCGTGGCTGTGCTGACTTATATGGCCATTTACGTGTTTATAACCAAATCGGACGCAGAAAATTAACGCACTCACCGAGTTACAATTCTGCAGTTCTTACGACAGTCAAAAACGAATTTATAACTGCAATTACAAGTCGTAACAATGTCTGCCACGTAAATTAATGGAGAATCCACCACTCGAAACAAAATCAACAACAAATAAAATGAACATTTTAAAACAAAAAATAAATTCGCAACTGTAGAGCAGTAGGTTAGCAGGCAGGAAATAAAAATCCGTATAGTTGGCAAAGCGCATGTAATCAGCTTAGCAGTTGTAAGACGCGCACGTTCGATTGGGGACTGACCAATCCGTAAATGTCACCCGGCTGTCAAAGTCGGCCCAAACACAAACAAATTTGAATTTTTAGACAGACAAATAATTGGACAAATACTACTTACCACAAAGGTTATCAACGTTCTCCGAATATCCAATCTTCGAAGAGATTTTAAATTCTTCATCAAATTCACCGGCATGCTCTTGATTCGGTTAAAGCTGAAATCCATTGCAAAAACTGTATCAGATCATACGGTCGTACAGAATTTATTAACTGTTACGGAGAAGATACTGTACTGGTTCAAACTTTAAACATCAAATTGCCAGAAATTGCTGTATTTTTGGGGTCCCAACATATTATATGACTGCATTAATACAGGTTTTAAGTGCTGCGTTTCTTTTACAAATTTTTACTGTACTTCTCCTTTTGCAGTTTTCGGAAAACTGCAGAAGCGAGAACGGTATTTGAATACCTTAACATGGATTTCTTAAAAAAATTCGTACAACAGGCATAGAGAAAATATATACAAACACGCACCTCACGTTCAGCACTTCCAGTTCCTTAAGATTGTCGAGAAGACCATCAGGTATATATTCTAGCCCGTTGTTGGATAAATCCAGGCTGGTTAAGAAATCCAGTCCCTTAAAGCTATCCCCTGACAAGTATTTCAGCCCATTACCGGAAAGGACAAGTTTCTCCAGTTGAGTCAAGTTGGCGAATGTGTTGCCGGGAATGTCGATAATCCAGTTGCGATGCAGATTCAGAAACTTCAAATCTTTAAACTCGCTGATCAGATCTCGTGGAAGGTAACGGATGACATTCTGAGATAAATCCAGTTCCTAGGGGGCACAGAAATACGTCAATCAAATTCATCGTCTAGAGGAGTACATATTTTGGGTTTGTTTCACACATATGTACTAGTACATAACATTCGATCGCTTTTTTTTAAACTTTAAACTGAATCTGACAGCACAACCTTTCAGCAGTGGCTTGCGATCGCGAGTCCAACAAAATATGCACTTTAACTTTTATAATTGCGTACTGATAAAAAGATCACGAGCTGAGAAATTAACTGTTAAAAATTTAGCTGCTGCAGCTTTCAAACGCACCTCCAAAACTTTAAGTCCTTTAAACATGTCAGCCGACAAGTCTCGCAGCGCATTTCTCCCCTAAAAAATAAGAATGTTGCCATTAGAACTAATCTGAATAAACACAAAGTGCGGGTACCGTTGATAAGCAAACAGTATTATGGGATAATTGCACTTAAAGGTACACTACACTTGCAGTGCAACACACAAGTAAAAGTATTGTATCGGGGGTTAGTTAAGGTCACAAACAAGACCACTATGCCCGTATGCCGTACCCATATTACCTACATTTATCATCTTACAATGTAGCGTAAATTGCTTTTTCATCGTATCATTCTGCTTACGGTTAGTCAACCTTACAAGTTTCAAACTTTTCAGTTTAGCCAGCCCTTGAAATGTCAGAGGTGGAAGGTAATTCAGTTTATTATTGGTAAGATCCAGGCTTTCCAGTCGTTTCAGATTCTCGAAGTGGCTTGGCAGTACCGCAGTCAAGGCATTGTGAGAAAGGTTTAAATAAGTCAGCTCCGTCAGATTTGATAGTAACGTGGAGGGAATGTCACGTATTCCGTTTTTGCTGATGTTGAGCAGGCGTAATTTTGGAAACTCCACAGGGCGTGTTGCCGATGGGAAATTAATCATCACACGGAATAACATCAAACTCTGTATGTCTCGCAATATGGGAATCTCTTCCAGTGATTCCAAAGCAAAATTTTTCATTTGCGGGCTATCACTGTAAAAACGAACTTTAATTGCGTCATTCATCGCGCCGGATGTGATAATTTTCGGATAAACGGCATACCTGATAGAAATTTCCGAAACTGGACTGCTGACCAAACGTATTGCGGCTTGCAGGTCTGTCACATCTCGCACCGCTCTGCATGATATTGCTATCCCTTCAGCCGCAGTCGCACCTTTTATTATTGATTAAATTATTATTCAAATCTCTTTTGAATTTTCTAGCGAGGAGCATACAGTTGGAGCAATGCTAGTGGGGTCTTCGTGATGCTTAAATAATATTTTTATTACTATAACATTTAATTAGTGTAGATCTGCTGGAAGCATATTGATGTGTGCACTGGCTGTTGCCAAATAAAACGTTTACGAGTAGGTAATTTCAATGCAAAGCACATCATTTGTTCAACTTACGAATAAAAACATTTTGCACATAATTATTGCAATATTACCACATTTGCAAACTGTCTTAGTATTCAGATTGATTATTCGCACACATAATATGCGTCGTATTATTAAAAGAATCAAACTTAGCCTGTAGAGCTGGATGAGACAGCCATACTTACAAGAACACGCCGGAGCTAGGGAAGCCGCCGGTGGGCATAGATCCGCGAAACTTTGGGCAGAATAAATCAGCACCAAAATGAAAGGAAAGACTACGCAATGGTTGTAATCCATTAATGCTGCCTTAAGCAAACGAAAATAAAATCAGCGGGCAATATCAACAATTAATGTGCACCCAAAACTCAATCTGCTCTGAAGTAAAGTAAAAACACGCTGGGCACTGAACGATTGACCAGAGCCAACAATAATGTTATATGCCATAGAAAGCATGAGCATCCTTGGCCGTAAAACAATTTGCCACTGACAATTGGTTACATTCGAACGAAACAAAAATCCAGCGGAAAATCCGGTAGATCAACACCTTTCGACACCACTAATCGCCTTTACTGTATTTCAATTTGTTGTCAGTCGAACAAGTGCACAATACCACGGTGCAATGAGGAAATTGTTGACAATTTCATGGAGATGATTTGATGAAACTCGACTGAAATACTAAGTCGTCTGCCTTGACCTGCTCATTCCATTACAGCGTACTGATAGCCGGAACAATTTTTTTAATTTGATAGTTTCATTCTGATTTACACTCGGTGCATAAGCGCAACAGAACCGTTGTTTTCAATAAGCTTTGACTTCGCTGCAACAAAAGCGCTGGCAACAATAACAATAACTAATTTCGCTTCTTCTTTTTCAGAACAGCTTGTGCATCAGCGACTTCTTGTTCTTTTTGATACTGTTGTATCAAAGCCTCCTGTGTGGCCGGTAGACAAGGAGAATAACGGCAGTATTCCATAGTGAATTCACCTTTTCCTTGTGTGGCACCACGTAACTCAGAAGAATACCCAAACATTTCATTCAAAGGGATTTCCACAAATACGGAGAACCAATCATGTGCAGAATCAGTACCTATATAACAGGCGGCAAATTTTTCAAGTAACTTTCTTAGACACCAGGTACAAAATTCATACGCTGATTACTCATCTTTCATTTATTAAAAAATTTTTAATTTAATTAAAATGTATTTATGAAATTCTGTATCAAGTTACGGTGTCCTTTATTCGTTAATTATCTGTACATTCAGCAAATTTGAAAAGCCTTTACGCTGATGATAAAGCCGAAAAACAAAATCAGAACTTACTTAAACATCAACGTACAATTCGAAAAAAACATTCCTACCTGTCACCATTCCTTGACGCCGTTGCAACTGCGCTGTAACTTGTCCCTGAAACTCTATCGGCGCGTTGACCTCCACCGTCATAATGGGTTCTAAAATCTGCCATTTTCCTTGTTCATAACAATCCTCCATGGCACCCTGCGCCGCCAACATAAAGGCAATCTCATTGGAGTCAACGATATGGTGAGCTCCATCCTTCACTACAAACCGGATTCCAGATGCCTTTGCGCCCATCAACGGACCCTTTTCGCATGCATGCCTAAACCCCTTTTCAACAGCCGGGATGAACGGTTTCGGAAGATTTGTTCCCACTGTCAGATCCTTAAACAGTACTTCCAAATTTCTAGCCGGTTCCAACGGTTCCAGCGTTCCAATAACGCGGCCGTACTGTCCCGCACCACCACTCTGCCGCTTATGCAGATAGTCAAACTGCACAGGTGCCGTTAAAGTTTCTCGGAAAGCAACCTTCGGCTTGCCGAGAATCACCGGAGTATTGTATTCACGCTCCATGCGCTGGGCATAGATCTCCAAATGTAACTCGCCCATGCCTTGACAAATCATTTCCTTCATCTCCCCGTCATAATGAACGCGGAACGTGGGATCTTCTTTAGTGAAACGATTAATAGCTTTAGAGAAATTTTCCGTCACAGTAGAATCCTTCGCCGTCAGCGACATGCTAATCACAGGCTCTGGTATGTGCATCGACTCCATCGACACCCGGTAATCATGTTGCGTAACAAACGTGTCACCTGACGCACAATCCACACCGAACAACGCACAAATATCCCCGGCATACACTTCCGTCACGTCTTCCATATCGGCCGAATGCATGCGGACTAGACGGCCAACCTTGACTTTTTTCCCAGTACGGGCATTCCACACAAAATCGCCGCGCCGCATACAACCTTGATACACGCGGATGTAGGTTAACTGGCCATACCTGGTCACATCAATCTTAAAGGCCAGGCCGAGGAAAGGATGCAAGTCATCCCGTGCGGGATTCAAAGGAACATGCTCGGGTTCGGCACCCTTTGTGGTTTCCAAAAGGCCATAATTCTCCCGTTCCGCTGGGTTTGGTAGAAAATCTATTACGGCGTCCAACAATGGCTGTACACCCTTGTTTTTCAAGGCGGAGCCTGCATAAAATTTTCCTAGTTGAAGTCTGAATTATTAGTACTAGTCCAGACCAAATTTCACTGCCAGACAAGGAGCACTTAAAATAAACGTTCCAAGCCATAAATAATTACCGCAAAAGGTATAAACCGGTTATATAACTGTTTTTATTGTACTGGCATTTCACTGATTTCAGTAAAAAGTAACTGGAAATTAATAATTAACGACTTTTAAGGTTAGTTTTTTAATCTGCTACCTGTGCCTTAACCAAAAACATACCAACTAGCACTGGTGTAAACTCCCGTTTCAAACAAGCTCTTCGAATTCCGGCCATCAAATCTTGCACCGTAGGGGTTTTCTCTTCCAAGAACAAATTTCCCAAAGTTTCGTCCGCATTGCTGACGTGCTCGATAAGCTCCTGTCTACGATCTTTCACCTCGGCCAACATATCTTTCGGAATAGCATCATACCGCACCGTTTCGCCATTTTCACCATCAAAATAAATAGCGCGTTCGTTAATTAAATCCACTATACCGCTGAATTTACTTTCCAATCCAATTGGTAGCTGGATAAAAGCTGCGTTATGGTGCAATTTCTCACGCATGAGCATCAGAACCCTCTTCGGATCGGCAGAGAGCCGATCCAGTTTATTAATAAACCCAATTGTCGGAACATGGTACCGAGCCATCTGCCTGTTCACAGTGAGGGTCTGGCTTTGTACCCCACCGACAGCGCAGAGAACCAAAATTGCGCCATCCAAAACCCGCAAAGCGCGCTCCACCTCCACGGTAAAATCTACGTGCCCCGGCGTATCAATAAAATTTATGTTCTTCCCGTTCCACTCCGTATACGTCGCGGCGGATTTGATGGTGATTCCGCGCTGACGCTCTAATTCCATGGAGTCCATTACTGCTCCAACTTGATCTTTGCCTTTCACTTCATGCATCTCCTCTATGCGTCCAGTGTAGTACAGGATCCGTTCTGACAAGGTGGTTTTCCCACTGTCGATATGGGCGCTAATTCCCATATTTCGGATCTTTTCTACTTCCTTATGGATGACGATAGCTTTTTTGCTAGCATAGCGTTGCCTGATGCTGAAGGGAGCTTGCTTTCGCAGAGCTACAAAGCTCCTAGATCCCAAGAACGCCAGCGGGTGCATGGCAAAACATTCACCGGATTTGAAAACAAAAACTGCAATCGCAAAGCGATACGACTCCTACGGCTCACAACGTCATACAATTCATGTGAGACGGTAAAACATGAATAGTTCCTGATCGAACTAAATGGTGTATCACTGCATGGCAATTTATGCTTATTTAGCTAACAATTTAAAATTAACAATACAGTAGAATCTAGATGATGGAAATCAGGCTTCCAAAACTTTTTCAAATTTTTCAATTTTTATGATGGTCATGTGAAGTCCTCCCGAGAGGAGGCTGGCTTGACTCTAATTTCGTCGATTCCGTCACGGTATGGACCGAGAGTCAGAAGCCGGCGGTCTGTACCGGACCGGTACAAAATCCACCACCATATGACCTATGCGTGCTTGACATCGGAAATTTAAATGTGAATTACATACCACAGTGGGCGGTTCCAATGGTGACTCATCTTAAAACCGTCGTAGCAGTGACAACCGGTTTGTAGTTCAGAGCGATATTACGGCATCGTTCTAGACATTTCCATCGGTTTCCATTCATTTCTTTTTGCGTAACTTTACGTCTGCCTGGACGCGTGCCTGTGCTCTGATCCAATCCTGCTGGAGGGTTGGGATCTGAGTTATTCACTTAATTCGGTTCATTTTACGCACTTTGCGTCTCGCGCTCAGTAGCAGTGTTTACAGCTGTACACGTCTCGACATCCATTGGAATTTGTGGTTTCTTGGTGTGTGTTGCATTCGGTTTTCGCAATCAGGTAATCAATGTTTTAAAAAAGTCATCCAAGTTATCACAATGTTCTTTTTTTGATAAAATTTATGTTTACATCCACTGATATCCGAAAGGTTCCAATTTACCACGGGAAAACTAAAATATAATATGAAATACTGGCACCTGCAGCAATATCGTAAAAACAAGTTCCTTATGAAAATTCAGCGACATGGAAACAGTAGCTTGTGGATCTTGAGCCACAAGGTTTCGTATTTTGTATTTCTTTGCTGAAAACTACATAAGGAATATTGTTGGACATATTGCTGGAAAGGCTCATTATGATGCTCCCAGTCCTACAACAGCGGTAGTGAAATCAAGATGATAAAGCACACCTCATTCCATTTGTAATATACATGAATTATACTGTTAAAAACATATTTTTTTGTCAGCAGAAACTTTGACAGAACTAAGATGAACACTCGGGTTTAGACTACGCTTAAAATTAAGATCAGTAATTCTGATAATCCTCTGATAAAACTAATATTTATACTCAGGTTTTCAAACCTCAGATAGCTTAGTGTTTGCGAACTCTGGTTATTTCTCCCAAAAACTCAAAATTCCTCCGTCCACAAAATGTTTTAAACCTAATTGAATTTATTATTATGTTCACCAGTGAAGTTTATTCAGCCAGAAATACACTATAACAGAAGTTAGGCACTATAACAGAACTTCAAATTTAAAAATTCAAAGAAAATTTAATGGTATTATACATTTTATTTTGTAATATCTGTTTTTGGCAAACCAAAGGAATACTAGAAACTGAAAATGACGAAATGACGTAATTGCAAAAAATATACGACATTACTAATGACGAGGATTTAAAGCCTGAGTTTTGAATTGTTTGCACATTTAATTTTGCGCCGTCATTTTTCACAACAATTTTTCATCCTGCACGTTTGCTAAATCTGTTGTCTTGAAACACTAAATATGCGTTGACCAAACAGTTATATTTCAATTGAGAAAGATTATTAGAGAAAAAAAGCAGAAAATAAAAAGTTATCTTAGCATACCATTTTTCTGGTTAAATATTTCGAAAAAATGTATATTTTTTTGTTTTTAGCTGATGTTGGAAATAAAGAGGCTAGCGCTACGCTACTATATACTTCCACTGCCGAGTAGCAGAGCGTTTCAAATGTAATGGAAATTGTTGCAAAATTGTTTTAGAACGCATTATAGGTATTATATGCAATTATTCCGTTGGTCTGAAACTTTTGCCAACACTACTATGAGCACTCAGGTTAAGACCATGCTTTGAACTAGTATCACCACTCAAGTTTATACGTTGATCAAAACTAGCATTAGTACTCGGTTAACACTCTCGTTAAAGCTAACACGAACATCTTTATTTGTACACCAAATATCATTCAATAATTCAGGAATCGTAACTGTTTCGCTACACATAATTATTTTTTGCAAAATGCTTATGAAAAACAATTTTTCGCGGACGCTTTGGCATGAGAAAAATTTGGTACAAAAACATTTTGCTGAATCGCTACACAGACATTCGGCATGCTACTGTCTTTTGTTTACGCTCTAATCTATAATCTCATTAGAATGTTTTCCTAAGTTTTTTTATATTTTACTTGTTTTTGTTAGCTTTTCTTGTGTTTTCTGAATATATTTTCGTGGTGTTCATAAGATTATTAGCTTTTTTGGCTGGCTTTAGTTTTTTAATCCAGTATGTTTTAACTTTTCAAGCTTTGTTAAAATTGTTTTTAAGCCAAATTGTGCTATGCTAAAATTGGTATATGCGGAAGAGTTTTATGCCCTTATGTTCTTATTCCGAAATGTACGTATATCATGCGCCTTCCCTGCGTAGATGTTACTAAAAGCATTTTCAACGAAAAGGTTGATTTCAGTATTCTTAATGAAAAAAAACGAAGATAAAAAGAAATGAAGACATTTTCAATGCGAAAGTTTATTTGAGTTATAGTTCCGAAGAAGATTTGCAGAAAAGATCGAGAGTCAGTTTGTCGAAGGGGTTAAGCTAAAGCCGAACAAAACAGTTGATTCGTCTGTTGACCGTATTTTTAACCAGAGTCTTAACCAGAGTGCTGTTTTTTAGTTTATAACCGAGTATAAACCTTAGTAATCTTGTTAGTCCAGATCAAAGTCTTAACCCGAGTGCACACATTAGTATCGTCAAAGTTTTACTTGACTGGAGGTTGTAAGTTAGATTTGGGTTTTCAAGCTCATTTTGAATTTCTGACTTTTATTTTGTGCGGGCGCGATTTGCAATGTCCGTTTAATTGGTTTGGAAAAGAACCGTCAGGGATAAATTTTGATTGCGTAGCATAACTTTTATAAATACTGTGCGTTAATGTATAAATATAATGGTTGCCTTGTATAAATTGTTTACTCGTGAAATATTATAGCACAGTAATGGTAAAATAAACATTCAATAAACATTTATATGAAGTAGTGCAACAGTGTATGCAAATTTGTGGATCAGTGTATAAGTTTCGCTGTACACATGAAGGTTCCTCACACTTAAATAAGAACTAATCTGAAAATGCGCATTTACAATTATAATTCAAAAATTTGATTAAGCAGTCGGCGATGATATTATTTGTTGAGATCCGAAATAAAAAACTTTGATTTTACCTTGTTGCATCACTAACATAGACGCGGCACAGCTACAATTTCCAATGGATTTCATGCGAGAGTGGAATTGTAATTGCTGTACTGAGCACGAGACGTTAAGTGCACAGAATGAACCGAATTAGGTGAATAACTCAGATCCCAACCCTCCAGCAGGATTGGATCAGAGCACAGACACGCGTCAGTATGCCTGGCAGTGCCTGCTCCGCATGTCACGGTAGTTTCAGTTTCTCCAAATTTAAACTCTGAAAACCGTTTTCAAAATTGATTTTTTGTATTGAATTCAAGACCTGTTTTCTTTGAGAATTGGGTGAAATTCCGACAAAATTCTCCAGGCCTTCCCATAGCCGAGAAAGAGTTTTCCCGGAATCTGTACGATTTTCGTACTTATCACCTTCTTACTTGAAGTCAGTAGATCTCCCTAATTGTAAGATCGTGCCCGGGATTCTGAAATCACCAAGTGTCGCAGCTGTTCATTGAACAAAAATGGTTCGCGAAACCGGACTTTATGATGAGCTCGGGGTAAAATCAAATGTGGGAGATGCGGAACTCAAGAAGGCGTATCGGAAATTAGCGCTGAAGTACCATCCCGATAAGAATCCAGAAGCAGGAGAAAAAGTGAGTGTTAAGGTTTCCCTGTTTTTCCAGACATTTGTTGCTATAGGTAGCAGTCCAAGTAGGTTTACTGTAAAACAAATTCGTTGCCATAAGACGTTTTTTCGATGGATAGTTCAAGCGAATAGCCTACGCTTATGAAGTCCTCAGCGACCCAAAGAAGCGCGAGATTTATGATCGTGGCGGAGAACAGGCCCTTAAGGAAGGCGGTGTCGATGCTGGCTCCTTTCACAACCCTATGGATATTTTCGAGATGTTCTTCGGGGGTGGGGGTTTCGGTGGAGGGCGAGCCCGTGAGCGGAAGGGCAAAGACGTTATACACCAAATCAAAGTCACTCTGGAAGATTTATATAATGGAAACACTAGGAGGCTGGCTCTCCAAAAGAATGTGATTTGCAAAAAATGTGATGGTAAGTAACCGTAAGTTCGATTTTGCCTTATATATTCATCAGTTTCTGTTAATTCAAACTGTTGCGAGGCAGATCCAAACGCTACATATTTATAGATTCTTAAAAAGATCCGGGAAATTTACAAATCAAAATATTTTCAAAATAATTACTCCGTAGCAATTTTGCGTTTTGGTGATGGGCAAAATTTGTCATTAGGTCGTGGAGGAAAAAAGGGTGCAGTGGAGTCGTGCACGGGCTGTAAAGGATCTGGAATGAAAGTCCGCATTGTGCAATTAGCCCCCGGCTTCGTGCAGCAATCTCAGTCCGTATGCGGTGATTGTGAAGGACAAGGCGAGCGTATTAAAGCCGAAGACCGGTGTCCCGAATGCATGGGCAAGAAGGTTACGCGTGACCGGAAAATCCTGGAAGTTCACATCGACAAAGGTAGTTCATTCGCTTTTGCATTGTTTTGTAACTGTATTATATTTCTAAACTATATTAAGTGTTAATAATCATCTGCTTTTCTTTAGGGATGAAAGACGGCCAGAAAATTGTGTTTAATGGCGAAGGAGATCAAGAACCAAAACTGGAACCGGGAGATGTGATAATCGTGTTAGATGAGCAGCAGCATTCAACCTTTGTGCGGAAAGGTCATGATCTCATTATGCGGATGAACATCGGGCTTGTCGAAGCTCTGTGTGGATTCCAAAAAACCATACAGACTTTGGATAACCGAACTCTTGTCATTACCAGCCTGCCAGGTACTCCTTTAGATTTAGCAATAATATTGTTATTGCTCGTGACTTGGAGTTAGTACGTGTTCCATCAAAATACCAGTTTTTTTTCTATGCAGGCCATGTGATAAAATACGGCGATGTGAAGTACATCGCAAATGAAGGGATGCCGATCTACAGAAATCCATTTGAAAAGGGACGTCTGATCGTTAATTTTTTGGTTGACTTTCCCGATGCCAAAAAGATGACTCCAAAGATGATTGCGGCGTTAGAGAAGTGTCTTCCTCCAAGAACAGAGGTTATCGTTCCAGACGATGCTGAGGAAGCGGTTCTTGTTGAGTATCAGGAACAGCATGCTCAGGGTGCGGGATCCAGAAGTCATGGGTACGCGTATATGGAAGACGATGAGGAGGAAGGACACGGTAGACCGGGAGCAGTGCAGTGTGGAACGCAGTAGACGACTAGACGTTTATTTAGCATGAGTTTGAACGAAAGCTTTGATTCCCTTGTTTTGTTGGGTTTCTGTTGATGGGTTAGCCTCAAGGAACACTGTTCGCAGGATGTCTCCGTTTACCGTTTTGGAAAAGTTTATTGCTTAAAATTTTTGTCGATTACAGGCTACAGCAACTGGCAACTCGTATAAATTATTTATTAAAAAACTAAACAAACAGTTTAATTAAGTTATCTGATCCTGCCGAAAACACCCAGGGTTGTGTAGGGTGAAATTCCACATCCACAATTCCCAAGCCACTTTCATTTTTTCCGGATTTGGCTTTCAGCATTTTAACCGGCACAATTAACGGAAACTGGTTCAGATCGCTGCAAATGATCGCAATAGTTAGTTATTACAGTACAGATGTGTAAATAGTAAATACATACCCGTACGGTCGTTCGGTTGGCCACCTATAGTAAGTGAATGGGTGATGGTCGTTCAAAGTGGCCACCTTGAATTACAATTCCCATGAACCGTTTTTCTTCCGGTTATTTTCTTTATCCAGTTAAGAATAACGTACCCTTTACAGAGTACTTAAAATTTTTAAAATATCTTGAACCGTTTTCTTGCAAATGCGTCGTTAAAAAAACAGTGACGAAACACTTAAGCCACGCCACGTGAGCCACTGCACTACACCATGAATAGTGCAATCACCGCCAAACTTGTGCGGCTGCGCTGTCGCTGTGTAAATAACACATGTGCACAGTGAAAGTAGAAAAAACAAAAAAATCACAGGTTAGTGAGCACAAAAAATTGCCGATATTCACGGAGACCGCTTTGCTTTGGGCTTCGGTGTCGCTTTTTTCTCTTCTACCTCACCGCTAACAGTTTCTTCGCCTTTGCTGTGGACAACAACAAACCCAGCCAAACCCACCTTTAGCTGTGAACCCCACACTTCAAAATCACTTAATCAAAAGATAGCAAAATCAATCAGATTAATTATACACGCATCTGAAATGCTATGCGCAGTCGCACATGCGTGGGGGTTACTGCACTAATCATGGTGTAGTGCAGTGGCTCACGTGGCGTGGCTTAAGTCTTTCGTCACTGTTTTTTTAACGACGCATTTGCAAGAAAACGGTTCAAGATATTTTAAAAATTTCAAGTACTCTGTAAAGGGTACGTTATTCTTAACTGGGTAAAGAAAAAAACCGGAAGAAAAACGGTTCATGGAATTGTAATTCAAGGTGGCCACTTTGAACGACCATCGCCCATTCACTTACTATAGGTGGCCAACCGAACGACCGTACGGGTAGATGAATAAACCTGCGAGCTGGCATACGTGATGTTGCGATGACATAAATTCACGTTATACCAGAAAACGCGTACGCTCATCTTGCACACCGGATAGCGTACATTCTACAGAAAAAAGAAAATAAATTTGCAGAACTTTTTGTAGACGTACTTGTAGACCATTCCATGGGAAATAATGACGGATCCATCATCAGAACATGAAGCAAATAAAGGATAGACTTTGTGGAATTTAACTTGTCGCACAGCCTTATTATGATGCCGCAGTGTTTGGTACGGTTTCACGCTGGCGTCCAGATCAAACCAGCATAAACGGTTATCATAACTGCCCACCAAAACGTTATCCCCTTGCGGGTGTATGGCTGCACAGGAAATGTACTGGCAAGAAGGTTGCAAAACCTTCTTCAACTGTTGTTTTGACAAGTCGTAGATACGAACCGAACGCTGGGTGCACACAAACAGGAAAGGCTTGTTAGGGTGGAAAAGCACTCTTTGGACCATTGAAATCTTCTTGAAAGGCATTTGTGAGCGCAGTTTGGATAACTGATGCATTACGACCTGTCCTGACGCACCGTCAGACACAACCGTTGCCAGATAGTCACCCTTAGGGTGCCATGTTACATCAACCACCTCCTGCAATATAAATAAAAAATTGTACACAGTACTTAAACTCTGCAGCACTCAGTTTATCAGTTGCTGTTTCAGTGCCTGCGCCGCTAGTTGCGTAAAATAAACTCATGTAAAATATCTTTTTTGAAAATCAGTTTGCATTCGTAAACCATATACAATTTTTGTATCATTACTCGTCCACTAGTAGCATAAAATAAGCTTCTGTATTATATAATTAAAGATATAATATTATGTATTATGAAAATTACGTTTGTGTCCGTTAACCGAATTTTTCGAACCAGCTTTTCTACAACAGACATAACTATAATAAACATAACTAATTAACTATCAATAAGAGAGTTCAATCATTATTAATTTTTCTCAAGCAAAGTTTAATTCTTAAGCTATCCTGCTCATTGTACAGAGTACAATAGACTGCAGCATATACAATACACTATGCGCCCGTGTAATAATGTTGCGAAACGCCGTTCAAGTTTCAAATGATTTAGCAAGCAACATATACTCGTAACAAACCATCACCTTTGTGAGAGATAACGTCAACCGTAGTCCATCGCTTTTATCCTGATCGCCTGCTCTAGTAAACGTAGCAAATTCCCCGTTAGGGTCCGGATTCCCAAGCTCTGCCAGCAATCGGTCAGTGTTGGACGATACTAATTTGTCACCAACGTCCGGTGTAAGAAAATGAATCACTTTATCTCTACAAAAAATAATCCTCTCAAAAATTATCAGAGCGCCTTAAAAATACCAAGAATGCGATACATACACACTGGCAGCTAACAGGCAGACATCAGGTTTCGGACACCAACTAAGAGCCGCAATCCGACCTTTTAGACGGTACGTCCGAAAGCATCGGCCAGTGGAAATTTCCCAGATCTTCACGGTACCATCGTCAGAACCTGATAGAAAAATATTGTTGAGGGATTTTTGTAAGCATTTACCGATCAACATAGTACAAACTCTACTGAAATCCTTACCGGAAGCCAAGAACTGACCATGGCTGTGGACAGACAAACAACGTACGACTCCCGTATGCCCTTTGTAAACCTAGAAAACACATGATATAATGATGGCATATTCTATAAAAAAAACGATTAACTCAGCATTAACATACGATCGCTTCTCGCGATGGAAAAGGCTGAAGATCTTTCGGTTTCGGTAAAACAGGAATTAGGTCTTCGGGGTTCACGTTAACTTTCATCTTGCGCTGCCGTGGACATAGATACAAGTCCAAACAACGCTCGAATCGCTCTTTAATGAAACGACCCCAGCCCGGTATCAATCGCATTGCATTGTACTGTCGTGGGACGAAATCCAGCTTGCGATCCTCCGGATCTTCGCTTCTCCATTTCTGCTTTTCTTCGTCGGTCAACATGTACTCTGGGGGCGGGTTGTACGATTCAGCATGCCCGGGTAAAGAAAGTTTCGGCGCTGGAACATGGTTGTGCGATCGAATTCTCTGGCTTTTACTCAAAGCATCCTAAAGTAATAACCATTCACCGGCTAAAAAAATCTCTTCGCACTCTCTCGAAAATCCAAATCTCCTCAAAATAAAGTACTTCAGATCTTTACAGTTTACAGATAGATTTCAATCCAGGTACGGCATCTATCATAATATTTTCAAATATCTCTGCCGCATCAGCTCTGCCATCTCAACCGCCAACTCCGCTCTGCCATCTCAACTTTAACTGTTTTATACCGACCAGACGTTGCAGTCCTGATAACCGGGTTGTCTGCTCTTGATATATGAATGAATAAATTATGAATGAATCAGTCAATCGTATTCGTACTGTAATAATTAATCAACGAACAAGTATTAATTTTACAGTAATACAGTACACTAATACTTATTTATCACGTACCTCTTCTTCTTTCTCCCATAACGCGTAATACGTCTCCTCTTTTTCGTCTTCCGTTAATTGCGACTTCGGGGCTCCAGGGGTAATCCAACCCATTTTAATTGCATGAACAAGTTTACTAATTTTTTCTTTTTCTAGCAGTGAAGGCAGAAAAGATCTTTTCGATGGAGGCCTTGAACTCAACGATGTGGTCATGGTTTCATGCGAAAAAATATCCTCAAACGGCTCATAAGGATCGCCCACTACAGGCGCCTTAGCGCCCTGTATTTTTTGAATGATATCCAAATCTTCATCAGTTAGCACTACATCTTGTCCCGTTGTTTTGTCTTTGACAGTTCGCCTAGAAAGATGAAAACTTATCCTCTTTTCGATGACGATAACTTCAAGTAAAAAAAGTACAAGCTGATACCTTCATCTGATGATATCTAATAGTCAACCAATATTATCACAATAAAAGTATTGTGCAGTAAAATCAGTAGTACGCTACCCGAAGTTTATTCATACATAGGTTTCCAGGCTTATTTACAACGAATACTCACCAAAACTCCGGATCGTCCATTCTCTTCAAAAACTTTTCCAACTCATCTCCCGTCGCCGGCTTGAGTATCTTTTTACCTTCCCAGTCGTAGCCAAGATGCGGGTAATTTTCGTACCACTGAAACGGAACATTTCCCACAGTATTCCGAATATCCTCTTCATCGCTGGAGTCCACATCATATTCGGCCGGATCCGAGTGGCTTCTCCAGTTCGCGGTAGAGCTTTCCAGTGACGACGCTTCCACATTCACGGCGCCAATCTAGACAAAAATACCATCACTGCTTGAAAGAAACTGTTAAGGTAATTTCACAGATCAATCGGTAACCGGATATAATAAATATTGTCAACCAACACACCGATTCACACGTACCTCGTTCGTACTGGGTCGACCGGGTAAGGAAGCCGTATCCCCAGGGTTTTCTTTAGGTTCAGCGAGACTGTATAAAGTAGGAGAGTCGTCATCCGTATCTGAACTCTCTGCTTCGGACAGATCAGAGTATTCGCTGCTATCGTCAGAAACGTCGGAGGATTCATTGGCATCATGGCCAGAGTGAGCTGTGGGTACGTCAGATTCGTCTTCAGACTCTTCACGATCAGAATCACTGCAGTCCGACAACGGAGCATCCACAAACAAGTCCGTCTAACCGTAGATAAATTGGAATTGGCATTAAAAAGCTGACACAAAGCCTACGGATATAAAGACAACATCAAAAACATACCAGCTCGTTAGCCTTCAGATTTGGTCCCTCATTCATATCAACATTCCCATCAGTCCATTTGCGTTTGCTAGCGCTTTCACCTGTCGGTGGCATAGTTCTCAGATTTCAGAGCCGACCTGAGAGAACCTCTCTTTATCAATTCCAAAGAATCCCACAAATCACAAGGCCGAAAACAGCGTTAATTAACTGAATTAAGGATACACATCGGGAACGGTCAAACTGACAGTAACAAATTACAAACAACTAAACAAGTGAAACAACAATAAAACATCAGACCGCCAGGTACTTTGTAAAAGGAAAGCACTACTCGTAGACGCACCGGACCGGAAGTGTCTTGCGCAATCACCAATCGGAAAACGACAGTCAGCGGCGACTATCTTTTAATACAAAGCGAATGTCTGTGCGGCTCTAAATCAGAAATTGGGATTTACTTATAATTCTTCCGATGTGGCTCCAGAAAAAATTTGCTGGATTACAGTTCGAGATGTTTTGAATTAGTTTCAAGCTGCAGCATTTTCGGAGCTTTCGCCCATTTCAGAGCGAAGCTGCCGAATAATAAGCCTTTACAAAAGATAAGCTAGTCTATTCGACTCTACGGTCCTAAAGTTAGAAACGATCTGTTTCAATTTCATAAATGAATTTCTATTGTACATATATGAGCAGTTACAGTTTAGTTCAAATGTTCAGATTTTCCTTATTGCCAATTCATACGGTCTGGTTTGATCTAATTAAAAGGTTATAGTCGTAAAGCAGAGGGACTAAACGTGCAAAATCAAAACATTCGTTTTATTTTAGCAGAAAACATAAGTGCAGCTAAAGAACAAATTCGGAGTCTGGCATTCAGTAACCCATATTGAGTGCGTACATTAAGGCGCCGAAATGTTCGGCAAAACTAGGTTGCCACATCAAAGTAAGACAACCGTGGCGAGGTACAGCTATCCGAAAAAATACAAGTGCGAATTTACAATAATCAAAAAATATTCCTGTGCTTCTTCAGCACAATTACGAAATGTGCATCCGTGATCCAGAAAGAGCGTGGAAACCGCAAGCAAACTTCGCTCACACCTTTGGGCGATGCCCCATGGACAGCAACGCCATCAGCGTCTTGTTTCCGGTCAGAATACTTCGCAATCTGGATATTTCCTCAGTTAATAACTGCGACTCCTTCTGAATCTGCTCCAATTCACGCTGTCCTTCCGTATGCTTCTTTCGCATGACGGTTCTATATTTCTCCAAATCCGCTAGATATTTTTTCTTCCTCTCTCGGTTCATCCGAGCGTAGACGGCGTGCGCAGACAGAGGACCACTATCCACCCGCTGTCGTCCCTTGCGGTGGCCTCTGTCGCCTTTCGATCCCAAAGACGCGCTAACACCGTCCTCTCCTTCTCCCGAAACACTGATGCCGTCCTCATCCTGGTGATCGGTAAGCGTGGGCATAATGGGCATAGAATCAAAGAATGCGGGCATAGAATATTCTGTGCGACTAGTGGGTGATGGGGGCACTGGCGTCGGACTCCAGCTGGGCGATGTAACGGCAGGACTATTCTGCGCTACTCTGGGGAACGCCGAGGATGTCGGCGCTAAAACGGTGTAGGTTGGTTCTGGGGCTTGATGCGAAAACCCACCTCCGGACATCGTGAAAACGGATTGATTAGGGGTAATTGTTGAAATTGGAGACGAAAAAAACGAGTCGAATGTCTGAGAATCGATAGCGTTAATCGGTAGATGAGGCTGCAGTGTTACGTAATGCGCAGGAGTCGAATCGGAGTTGGTAGACTTTACAGCTAATGGTTCTCTTGGCTTTAAAGGGGGGTATCCATTCAGTGGTGGGACTTTCAAGAATTCCCCTATGTCATCCATGACGGACGTGCGCCACAATGGCTTCCAGTGAACTAAACATCAAGATTGCCATAGTTTGGATGGTTTCAGAACCAAGCATGGATCGTGACGCTTCAACTTACCAAATTCTTAGAAAATATGATTCGATAAATACGCAGAAATCACATACAGAATATGGAGAATTCCTCAGGCATCAACAAAAACTATCTACTAATTCTTTCAAAAACTAAACGTTATACAATCCACCAATATGTCTTAATAAATCTCGTAGTGACAGTGACGCTCCAAATTCTCAAAAAACACCTTTTAATAAATTCTGTATTCTGGATTTTTTTGAGATCACCTTGCCAGTCTTCGTGACTCTGCAGGCTTGTACGGTAGCTTGCTTTACTGTACGAAGCGGGAGGGGAACTGCCGCACATACATCAATATCGCACGCCAAAAGTCGCAATTCTTATTGGTTGCGCGAAGCCTCAACCGCTAATCCAAACAGCTGCTCTACAAACCTGCCAGTCACGTATCTTGCCGATCGGGATATCAAAGCAGTCACGTGCCGCGCTAGTGTCAAGCACCATGGAGCATGGCGTCATCACATACGTGCCCACCTACGAGTAGGCACCTACTACGAGTAAATAGGTGCAGTCATATACGTAGCTGCCTCCCCGCCAAACCAAAACACTCAAGCCGAAACAAAACAAAAGCCAACCGGGTCCGAAATGCCGGAGTCCGGACGCTTTGGCATCAAATTTTGTATTATTCAATCCAATGTACAGTATTTAACAAGTATACAGATACTGTAGATTAAATGTCCTGGGTGCGCTTATACTGTGGACTGGGTTATCTTTACCACTACGATTCCGATACCGCTACGCTTTTGATTAAAATTGTCGATAAAAAAATCCAATGTTCCTATAAACATGGAATTTTTTTTGAGTGAAATCTGCATATAAAGTATATACCCGCATTCACAGGTGCATTCCAGAAATTGAATCTCGCATATTTTCGTAAAACGAAGCTTGTGACTATTACCTGATACTGCGAAGCAATGTCAAAGAAGCTATGTACTAGCATCTGTTTTAGAAATAAAAATCGCGATCGGGCTCACCGTGTATACAAAATAGTGAAAATACGATAGGTGTAAGTAATCATAACAGTGGATGCGGCGAATCATGCGATTCTACAACACATGCACAAATACCGGTTTCGATTGGACCTTGTTGCGGTTATCGCACGGCATCCCCTACCGAACATTTAGCGCACGCCTTTTAAATTGTGGAATCTGCCGTCGGGGAGATTCCTCGGGTATCATGATACCCAGATTCACGATACTCGTATGGTGATCAGCCTCATAGCCTGCATGCAGCTTTGGTGCCCGTTTCAGTAGTATTTAAATGGCATACACCGAGTTCTACGACTCATTCTAGCAATTCTCATGAACTTAACTACAAAGCTGATAATTAATTATTCATTTATTCTTAAATCCTTGTGCGTGAACTTTACTTTTTTGTGACAGCTTCATTACTACTCGTTTCCGCAATGGACTCCAAAACCCAGACCAAGGAAAAGGTTGAAGTGAAGGACGGGAAAATGACACACGACATCAAGTCGGAGACCAAAGGATGTGGTGGATGTGACCGGAAGGAGCACACAGAAGAACACCACAAAGTTAAGGATGGCAAGGAGACGCACACCTACAAATCGGAAGTAAAGCATTAGGACCGTTTTGCGATGGACTGGATCCACTTCCTTGCGGGCCTGACCTTTCATCCCGCGATCGATGGGAGGGACCTTTTACATTCCTAATAGAATACGTTCGTATCAGTTGTGAAGATCAAAAAAAGTGTTTTTAAATGTCTGCTTAACCCGTTTAGGCGTTTAGATCTATCGTTTTTGCATTCCTTTCTTAGTTTTGTATGACGATAATGACATGACTGAAACTTTGTGACCTAACTTCAAGTATTAAAAAGTGGCCAAGACTTCAAGAATTTCATGTGTGCTGTTAATCGTACGTGACGGTACGAATACCTTAGTGGTATTATATTTTGGCCGTAATTTCGGCCGACATCCAACGCAGAACGCACCAAAGCACAGCTGATATACCTATCAGTTTTAACAGAAACTTAAATAAGTACAAATGTGCCATACATTTTTTTGTGCACTTGTACCTTAATACTATAGTAACTGATTTCATCGTACTGCAAGCTAAAGATACTTAATGCTATTAACAACACTGTAATCAACTTAATATTATATGGTCATTGAATGAGCACCATTAACAAAATTCGGTTTTAGTAAACAAAAATTTAATATCTATATAACGGTTTTGGTAAACACGCGCACTTCTGCTAACGTATCTGCTGTACTTTACCGCACAGGCGCACACACTGTGTGTATTAATCGTACTGTAGCCGTGTATTAATCGTACTGTAGCCGTATTATCGTAGTAAATGACTAAATGCATGCCACGGTTGCCACCTCCTTGTACACCATAATAATGGTGGAGGTCAATTACATTTGGGTAACTGTTGCGCGTCGGGTAATCGAGAGCCGCGTAAAAAATTAGCCATGACTCAGCAGAAAAACAATCGTCCAATCGTGAGTCGAGTACGCTTCCGTGCCAAGAAAGAAATTGAACACCGTCGTGGAACTGAAAAACTCATTTTTAATGCTGTGATGTGGTAAATGTGGTATCACGTCAAAAAAGTTGATTATGAGTTTTGGATTGTGACTCTGGGTCGTTAGATTTACTTTTGGTCCAAACACAGACAAATTTTGTTAATCTGTGCAGGAGAGTTACGAGTTACTCGTAGTTTGGGTAATGGTTGCGCTTCGACGTCGAAGCGCAACGCTTACGCGGACAAGTAAGCTGAAAACCCATCCCAGATTTTGTGACTGCGAATCAGAATGTTTGCTTGGTTACACGCTGTTACGTCACATTTTTTACGCGTTTTCCCGTTACCCGACGCGCAACGCTTACCCAAATGTAATTGACCTCCACCAATGGCATAATTCATGATATTAGTAAATACCCACAACTAATACATCCTATAGTCCATACCAGGCAGTGGGCACCGAAGGGTTTTCATCGACCCCTTCATATATGTATATATATATATATATAATAATAAACCTAGAATAATACTTACTAATCATGTTTTGTTGAGTAGGAGCAGCACGAGAAATGACAATAATATTACGTGTTACGCAAATTACGTGTTACGCATATTACGGGTTTCGCAAATTAGACGTGTTACGCATATTACGTGTTTCGCAAATTAGTAGTAATTAGTAAAGTATACAATTTTTTGAAAGTAGTAGATACTGCATAATAGTTATTGTACGGTATTCAGCAGTGGCATTCTATATAATATATTTGCAGCACCAGTACCATAATAATAAGTACCAGTACCATTTAATAAGTACCAGTACCATAATAATAAGCACCAGCACCAGTACCAGTACCATTGCAATACCAGTACCATAATAATCTGCCAAATTGTGGCGAAAATGAGAAGTCTAAAAGCCATTAAAATCTGGTGATGATCTGCATTAAAAGCACTTTGTAAATTTTGCGATCAGTTTCATGTGACTTCTTTGCTGTTGCGCGTCCACAACAAATCGTGCCCATTACAATTCCCAAGTTTCAGTGACAAAACGGCCAATTCCGCTATTTTCGGGGTTGCACCATTGCAGCAATAGTCCCTCCTGGGATTTCCACAGATATGCGTTTGTCAAACAACCTTGGGAAAATACAGATATACGTATATTGCAACGTAACGTTGGAGGTGTGACTCGACTACGATAGTGAAAGGCGCAACAAAACACTTAAAGTAATGCATAACATGTACAATACTGTACGTAATACTAATGCCTATATACTATACACTAATGTAAAAATTAGTTGCATATCTATACAACATTTTATGTATGCATCTAAATGTACCTATTTGTTTCTCGTATTAACTGTAAGTAGTGGCGCGGAAAACTCACCGCACGAACAATAGAAGTAAGGCAACTGAGAAAATCGATCGTGAGCGGGAAATACCGTCCAAAATTCGGCGGAAACTACCGCTGATTTGGTGGTATACCTACAAGTGATGCCTAAGGGAGCTATCGTTGTTGGGTTTATAAAGTGAATCCGAGTCGCACTAAACGTCAGTTCACTGAACAATATTGAGAAACTTTGAATTTTTTTCGATTTTGACTTTACATTCCTTCTCCTAACCGACCAATCCTCATCACAATGGAACGATCTGTGGGCGAGAAATTTCAGGATGCTAAGGACGCTTACAAAGGAGGCCCGGGTGATATGGAACGAGTGACCAAAGAGAAGCAGGAAGTCTCCGGTGGGCAGGTGAAGCACGAAGTGAAGAGCGAAGTAAAAGATGCTCGCACCACTGGAGAGAAACTGACCGACGCCAAGAATGCATTCCAGGGACCTTAAAAGACATTTGTGGTACTGCGGCAGAGCAGCGGTTTATCGATATCATTGCATTGTTGCAAGTACTAATTAATATTGCGGCAATTTTTGTGGCAGGGTTTTTTAGCACGGTACGATCAAATGACATGCGAACCATGCTGTCTCATTTTCAGCATCTCAAGTTTGGCTTGGCGTATGTATAGTTTACTAATTACTAGTGCACAATATATTGTACATCATTAATGTCTGATGCATGACATCGTCTCGTATATTGCTGCAGTTCTTAAATTTACTGACTGCTAAATGTAATATGCTGAAAAAAAAATGGACGATGTTGAGCATTCGGGTCGAATTCTGAGCAAAATGAATTATAGATATGAAGTACTATAGTTAACTATAAAAATAAACAGACAGTCGATGTATAGTACTTATAGATGCAGAGGGATGCACAGCCTATTAAAATACCATATTGTGGTCGTGATTTTCGCAGAATTAAAAGTTCGATTTCCCCTACTGCCAAAAAAATTACCGTTTGAAAAACTTCGATAAACACCGTCGTGCTTGGTATTGTAAACCTATTATAGCACATGTACTGTACAGCGAATACGATAATACTATATAGTATTCGAAATTACCTATCGTTATTATTAAGTATCCGACGTACAGTAAGTAGTTACCTTACCTTACTGATTCCGAATGATTAATGCCCGATATTGTTTTTCTTGGCAACTTTGCTGAAACTTTGTTATCTGCATATTAAAAATGGAGTACAATAAAAAAAGCAAGTGTGGTACAAGTACTTAACTTACCAATCAGTAGTTGCTATTTTAAGTCGCAAAAAACGGTAGTTTTGTCGTTTAGTGCACAGGTGGTTAAAACATTACTCATGTTTATGTTAAATTAAAAACACATTGAGTTATCATTCTTTAATATGAGTAGAACCAGAAAAAGGCATTAATAACAGCCTGTAATTCTTGGTATTATAATCGTATTTGGATCTGGGGTAGCAACTACCGGAGTAACTATTTTCAAGCGCCCCGTAAATAAATGCGTGGGCACCAAACTGGTGATGCAAGAAATGTACGACACAATGAACAAATATAGAGAGAATCAATAATTTTATAATGCTGTGGTAAAGTTATCACGAGTGCGGCTCTCCTCTGCTTTCCAGCTGGTGACCTTTATCAACTGCCCGTGGCCCACATTTATATACCCAAACATTTACTTGAAGTACCAGTATTTGTCTTCCGTTCGTTGTGGACATTCTCCCGATTTGTTTTTATCGTACGTACGTATTCCGGATTGCCGAAAGACTAATACTAACAGGGAAAGGCATGTGACGATACTGTACAACATCTCCACGTCATACTGTAGGCCACGTACACAGTCCATGAACGATTCCCGATATTTTCCGAACATAAGGTGCAAGAGCACCTGTTCGAATCCCTCACACCTTCCCCGTTTTTGCACGATTTTGCTTAACAGTTAATAAAATATACGAGTACAGTACTACTAAGTATTAGAAGAAGCGACAAGGTGCCACCAGGTGTACTGGTGTAGTGCCACACTGCCACTTCCTTATTAATACTTAAAAACATAAAGGTTACGATCTCCAAATGACTGTAATATAGTATACCGCACCACGGCAAATTGGTTCATATATACTCGTATATGGCACGTGACTTTCTGCTGCTACCGTCATCCAGATACGGACATGGAAGTTTTAAGTAATTACGCAGCGCCCGATATCTTTGTGCCCTGTGAACTTGGAGTCGGCATATACAGTATAACTATACGGACTAATTTACTTACACTGTCACACATATTATTTTTTTGAACTTTTCGGGTGAAGCGGCAACTTTCAGGATTCAAAAGCGAGTTCAAATGTAATTTTATGCATTTTATGGATTCGTACGTTTATTTTGTGACACACGTGCAGCTATTAATTTTATGGTCGGGGGTATTTACGGGTTTCACATCTCTCACGATCACTGACGAAAACACAGTGGTCACTCAGAAAAATGTGGTTTTCGTGTCACTGCATTCGTATTCGACTTTGGCGTATAGTCTAGATTATGTTGGTCCTGCTATTGATTTAGCTATAAAAGAAGTTAGTGCTATGTATGGACCGTATTTAAATTTTTCGTTGATCACCCTGAATAATACGAAGTTACGGACCTGTCCAGATGTGGAAACCGAAACCCAGTCTTTTCTGGCTAGTTATTATTGGACAAAACGGAAGTCTGTGGATTTAATGGCTGTTATCGCGCCAGGTAGTGAAAATGGCAACCTCAATTGTAAAGGCTTGTAGAAAGCGAAACTTGTATAAATATTGAGAAATCGTCATTTTCTGTCAAACAACATAAACAGCGAAAGTGCATACCAAAAAGCTTTATGTCAAATTTTTGAGTTGTTCGAGCTACGCGTTTTTGTAAACATCTGAATCATCAAAATAGAAAATATTCATACTCTGTACATCGTACATAAGGTCAGAGAACACAGAATTTCTTATACGAGTGCTACTGCATACTTCATGTTGTACTGCAATTACTACTGCAATTACAGGAAACATATTTAATTAAGAATTTATGTGTGCCAGGATACAGACATTTCAAACACCTTTTTTAAAGGTTGCAGCAGCTCGGTGGTTCTTTTGGGAGATCTTGCCCGAGGTCGGTTCATTATATAAATCAAAAATAGAGCTCGTAAAAATAGTTAAGCGTAGCATTCATAATAATTATACGCTATTAATATACAATTTAAGTGCATTTATTGTGAGTCTGAAGCTTCTCGCATAAAATGGTGCATTCTCTTATACACTTTCATGTACAGAGTAGTTAGATGACGCTTTTTTTCCAGCAAAATAGAAAATGGCAAAAAAAATTTATACAAATAATTTAATTTGAATTTACTTGAAGGTTTGTTACAACAGTTTTGTTACAGAGTGGAATTTGCCAATTATTACCGCGTAAGTGCCATTTCCGATACGTAATGCATACGGTACCTACTGTACTTCACATCCTTTTGTACTTTTGCAACGGTTGTTTAATCGAATTTTACAGAAATCTATGAGCTGTAGTTATATTTTGGTTTCTGTAAATGCCGCAAAAAAAAAATCTTTCAAAATTCGCTCATCGTTCTTTTGATAGGGCGGGGACGGATGCGGTATTAGATTCACGAAAACGCTTTCCAACTCTGTTGCGGTTGCTTCCTTATCAACAAGGGCCTTTAGAATTGTTCACGGTGCGGTTATTGGCGCACTTTAACTGGACAGATGTGGCAATTCTCTGTGATGACAAAGCCGTGGAAAGTAACTTTTATGCACTAATTTGCAATACTCTCACGGAAATGTTACCGTTTGAGCCGACCATCAAGTCAGTTCTTCCCTTTCATTACAACTTCCGTCTGGGACGTCAGTCACACCGACATTTTTTACTAGAAGCATCGCGTGCCAGCCGCGGTATGCAAGTTCCTTTGCGATCTGGTTATGATGATCTATCTTATTTACCTTGTTTATCCTTGTGCGATTGACCGACAGTTAATTTTCTGCAGTTTTCATCGTAATCACGCAAGCCCTTCGTTTGCGGGAATTTCTGGTAACGAGATTCCAGTAAATCATAAACACTTTTACGTCATGAGCTATATGCATATAAATTACTTATCACGCTCCACAAGGAGTTGACAATTATTTAAAAAGGTAAATTTGACGATTCAGCAAACGCGTTTGCAGATGGAAGCGGCTACTTTAGGAATGGTCGATGGAGAATATGTGAGAAGTTTTCCTTTAATAATACGTTACGCGTTAGGTTTATTATTCGTATTTCCAATATATATCTGTACTTATTACAAACATATTTTTGTAATTCTGGACTAGGTGTTTTTGGCATACGAGCCCTTTCCATCACCTGCTTTCGGCACTCTATCTTGGAAAAGTAATGTCTCCACTGAGGATCAGGTGCAATATGTATTGTATATTACAATGTTTGAGCTTGGGTTATTTTTGCTCATGGTACTTTAAGGTTATGCAAGTTTCAAAAAAATTTTCTTGATTCGACTGCATGGTTTAGGGCCGGCAGCAAATTAAAACGCTTATTTGACGAAGTGATTTTTTTTACTGCACAGATGTTAGCCAAGCGGGCTTTCGAGAACCTGCTAGTAATTAGCACTCTTCTCGAGCATGCGGATGAGGAGGATGACTTGGACTCGATTATGATTGCGCAATCAGCAACGATGTACAAAAAAATTTATGAAAAGGGAGAAACGGTATGCTGAAAGCTTTCACTGACATTGATGTACCACGATAACACTGCAAATTTTTGACCTTTAATTCACAGTACTCGTACTCCACAAAGTTCGCAACTGACAATTTAATTTTTTTGTATTGTTATTTATTTGGGTGCGCGATGCAGTGCCTCCACTCTCCAGTAGTTATGTTAACAGAAAGTTCTGTTACAAACCGCGCAAATCAGGCAAGACCTGTAACTGTTCACAACGGTCCTCCAACGCCGCCGTAGATGTGATTTACTTATTACTGTGTTTGCGGTTTCTCGTCATCTAGGTTCACATGTGCGGAACATCTGATGAATCCTTGTGAATTATTTGACAGGTGTCACCTTTTGTGCACGGCTATTATCAAGGGGTAATGATTGTAGCCGAAGTAAGTAGACTTTGCGAAGAAAGGCAAACAGGGCATCATGATGAAATACTGCTCCATCATAGTGATCATACATCTACGCTCTCGCCTAACACGATCAATAATGAGTTTTTTTCTAGATATTTCACGAGCGTAACAATAATTCTTTCAACCGCAAATTGGATGTTTCTCGTAATCCGTCATCTGGAGCTTGGAATCGCACATTTTCAACTCCCATAGGAAATGTTCTACTGAATTCGAACGGTGACAAAGACAACGATTATGTGGTTAGAGTGTTGTACGATGTCGAACGGGATATTTTCGAAGTAGGCAAACATTCGCTACCCAGTCTAAAAAAAAACCGACTAATTAAATAGATTGATTTTCGTCCGATACATTCTTAAAATTCAAGAAGCGCCTGTAGCGGCAATTTTTCTTAGGCTGCAATGATCTGGAGCAAGAGCGAAAGTCAGTTCGTTTTCTGTAACACCGAACAAACACTGTGGAACAACTCGAGAGCAGTCCCGGCTAACCGACCGCGCTGTGGATTTTCTAACCACGAATGTCAAAGTAAACCGGCACATTTGATTTATGTACTCCGTGAAACACAAGTGCATGTTCTTGCACTGTTGCGACATATATATAATATATTTTTGGCTTTATCATCTTTTTGGTAATTCAGGGGGTGAGCTGCTTTCTGTGAGGGATTTGGTATTGATCAGCTTGGGAACGGTAACTGCGGTCATGGGATGCCTATCTTTGGCTGCCGTATGGGTCAGGTATAGCGTGATACAATCCATAATTAGCTGTTCTGTGTGCGGTATAAGGTACTGACCGGCCTTCACGGCACTATAATAATGGGATCTAATTTTTAGTCGCTACTATTTCCTTACCAAATTGAAAAGTGAAACCAATTGGCTGATAGAAAGCAATGAATTGAAGCCCTTGGTGGTTGCATCAAATCCCGTTTCGACCAGCCACAGTTCATCAAAAGCAAATTCACTTAAGCAGCAGCGTCGTGGAATTCAGGGAAGCTCCGCAAAATCATTACATACGACTACGGTGAGTGAGTAAATACTCGTAACTATAGTACAAGTACACCCGAAAAGTAATACATATATTATTTTTTTATAATATAATATTATTTTTATACACCTCTGAGTATATGCAAGTAAGTACTGAGAGGTGTTAGCGTTTTATTATGTACGATTAGTGCATTCTTACTTTAATTCCTAGCGAATCACAAAAGAGGATTTTTGTCTTTAAAGCATAAAATAAAGGACGTTAATCGCACTCTTCCTTATTTTTGGGCACAGCGAACAATGCTGCACGCCTACAATGCAAAAGTCAAATCTCGAAATAATATTATTTACTTGAAACACAGTGTTTGTGAAACTACGCATATTGTGCATCCTTTATACTGGCATAAGTTTTTATGCTTTTTCTTATTTGTTTAGCAGCACTAACAATATGGTGCCTTGCGCATGCCAACAGGGATATTAGTTAGTGTACGAATATCTGTGCTAGCAAAAGCTAAAAGCCATGTGACCATCCAGTACCGTGGCAAAATTGGTTATTGGTTACAGACGCGCGGATCGTTAAAGACCAGTGGTGCGATATCGCGAATTAAGGATTATCGGGGAGTGCCAGTGTGGATCTCTGTTCACAAAGATGTGCCGGGTCATAAATTATTGACCAGCTCCACGGTTATTGCAATCAATTTAGTTAGGTCAATCTTGTCAGCTAGTTTTTTTTGTTCACGTTAAATCTGGGATGGTTTACTTTTGTATACTTAAAACTGGTGATGTGCTTTTTATTGATTTAGCGCAGATCATTACGCCATGCTAATATTGCTCATCTGATTGGCCTGTGCTTCGGAGTAGACCACATCACAGTGGTCACAGATTACTTTCGCAAAGGCTCCCTGGATCAGCTGCTATCTACCGGAGAATCATGGATAGATGCGGCCTTTCAGTATTCCCTTTTGGCCGATATCGCTAGCGTAATCTTTTTTCAAAGCCACAATGATTATTGCGTGAATAGAAGTGGTCCTTCGAATATATACATTTTAGTAAAGTGATTGTCTCTCGTAAAGATCGATGTAATCTTCCGTTGTATTCGTCGACCTTTTTTAAATTGATTGTAGATACGTAGTGTTTCCAAAACGCTTTTCGATATTGCCTTGGGATGAACTCATACATAGGATTAAGTTATTATAAATGTACAAGTAAGGGCTCTTTTAAATTTGGTTTTCGTAAAGTTTTAGTTTTCTACATGAAATATTATAGTAGCCAAGAGATTCAAAGCGTTATTAATTATGCTAATCGTATAAGCAAAATTGGCACTTAGATGGTCGTTAGCAAACAAGCTAAGGAAAGATCTCGCATTTACTATACGAAATAGCTACATAAGCTGCATGCCGTGCAGATTACAATTTACTTTAGTCTTAAAAATTTTTAACTAAGCTAATAAAGATTAATGAAAAAGGTCAACAGACTTGAAATTTAATTAACGTGCACGTTAGCTGCAACATTGTGTAGGGAATGCATTACATTCACCACTCGGTCGTCAAAGTGCACGGTGCCCTGAAATGCTCCAACTGTATGATTACTGGACAATTGGGCACCAAGCTCACGGACTTCGGCTTGCCATTCCTGAATAAGGACAGAATCCGGAAAGCTTTAATGAATGAGGACTACGACTGTCTCGTGTGGACAGCACCGGAAGTGCTCCGTGACCCACGGCATATAATTAGCAAAGAGAGCGATGTTTACAGTTTTGGCATAATAATGCATGAGACTCTGTTCAACGCCGACCCATATCAGTCACCGGGAAGCAGAGATACCGGCACGAGCAAACAACGAAAAGGTTATCTTCACTGACAGCACATAAAAGTTTTATTAAGTGCAATCTCAAGGTGTTTCGTTGCTGCTGACTTCGTTAGAAGAAGCTGTTAAGATTGTTTATTTGTTACCCGACAGAACTAATTCTTTCGCTTCTGTCGCCCCAACACGGTACCATTCGCCCGCCTTATCAACCAGTGAACCATCCCATCGAAGTGACGCTGTTAATGGAAGCATGTTGGCAAGCGGACCCATCAAAGCGTCCAACATTCCTTGCCGCTTTGAATGCAATCCAAAATCAGACGGCGATGTACAAAGGCTACTCGTATGTGGACATGGTCATACGTCGGCTGGAAAAGTACGCCGAAGATTTGGAATCTCAGGTTGTGCAATCCAAAGCATTAACAGTGTTAAAACTGAAACTGAGAGAAAAACGGGTATCTATAGATTAGTGAACGTACCGCAGTTCTCCTGGAAGAAAAGCGTCGTACAGAAGCATTGCTCATGGATATACTACCCGAGTAAGTCATCTTAAATCACATAATAATTATAGATACCGGTATTACCATATACATACAGCATACTGCTATATAAAATCTGGAATTTAAACGGATGCAGTACACTTTAAAATTTAAGGCAGATACAAATTTACAATTAAGTACAGTGTTCAAACACATATACAGTAGGTTAAGATTAATTAACCACTATGAATCATTTTGATGTGTTACCGATACCGACAATGAATTAAGGTACTTCTATCGATTTTATTGTTAACAAATGTCCATGTGGTCCAACCAACTGCAGAAGGCAGACGTGCAAGTATAATGCACCATACCAAACATTACTCCAAATTTCCTTCAAAAGCTTCACAGATTTAGAGTTTGATTATTGCACTACTAGTACCTGTCTTTTATTATTAGTCTATATAATATATAATTACACTTGCATAATGTTATAGTAGTAAGATTAACACTGTAACTTCTTTGGTTGACTATATCTATATTCTGTTTATCTTTATATACGTTTTGCATACCCTGTACTAAAATTTTTTTGCAAATTTGTAGAAGCATCGCGAAAGACTTACTTGCTGGACGACCAGTAGATGCCGAAATGTTCACAAACACGACTGTAGCCTTTACAGAAGTCTGGGGATTTGCTGTAATTACGTCTCTTCAAACGCCCCTACAAATAGTCGATTTGTTGAATGACCTTTATTCCACTCTGGATGACCTCCTAGCAAAATACGATGTGTACAAAGTCGAGACGATCAAAGACAGCTACATGGTACCTTTTCCTTGATTAGAAGCTGAATAATTAAGATGTAGCGCACAGACTTCGTCGGCTGATCCACACGAAAAAAACTTGACAATTTTCTATGAATCTTGTGTACAAGCTTGTATTACGACCATAATTACTTATTTTAAAGGGCATATTTAATCAGTTTTAGAAACTTTTTTCAAAATATATAACCTGGACACTGGGCTTTAGCTGGCTAGTGGAGTTCCGAAACGCAATGGTCAAGAGCACGCGACACAGGTTGGCTTAGCCTGTTGTGGAATTATGCGGATGGTCCGAAGAGCTACCTTTGGTGGGATCAGTGTTAACCTTCGCGAAGGAATTCATTCCGGTAAGATAATATGCTTGCACTGTGGTTCTGCCAGCTACGTCCATGACAAATAAAGATACTTTTCAAATCCACCACCGTAACCTTTAGGATTGCACGTGGATAGGCTAGTTTGATACAAGAACGATAATTTTTACACTGGTTTTGTTAAAAAATACTTTCCATATGCAAAGTGACCAGTTAAACGCGGGAATGTAAACGCGCATGTGATATAAGGCTGAAAAGTTCCTTTTTAAACCATTCTCCTTTTACGCGTTGCAGGTCCTTTGGCTGGTGGAATAATTGGCCAACGTCTTCCTAGATATTGCCTGTATGAGATTATATATAGGAAACGCGGTGGTTATTGTTGATTTGTAACATCAAAGGCGCTTTTTTAAATTTTTGCAACAGATTTGGGGATACCGTCAACATTGCATCACGGATGATGACGACCAGCGAACGTTAGTGCCAAACTGCGAACATTCTTTACTTTAAAAGATTTTGTTTCTCTATTATTGTAGCCCAAAAAATTCATATCAGTCCAACAGCAGTGGCAATGCTGGCACATTCTCCGCTGTTTGAAATTATTCCCAGAGGTTCCGTAGAGATCAAGGTACTCGTAACACATTGTCCAAGCACTTGTTAAAAAACGACATTAATTATTAACGGTAAAAGTAACAAGTAGCTTACATTTTAATTCAATCGGCCCACTCAAGCACTGTCATGAATATAAAAAGTCTACTACTACATCTCCTATGAGTCAACTTTAAGTTATCCTCTCTTCTGACTATTTGCTTTCAACGGATCTAGGGCAAAGGAAATATGGAAACCTACTGGCTTGAAGCTAAACTGCGCCAAAGTTACGATCCTGTTCCTGTTAACAGAACAGTGGCAAATGGCCGACTTGTTTCTCTGCCATAAATGAAGCTGAAGCATCAAAGTCAGAATTCTCAGAAACTTATCTAAAATATGTATCGGTACGCAGAACTTCTTCCAGAAATCTCTACAAATCAACATTGACTGTTTTCTGAATAAGGAAAGCATACAAAAGCGTGGCTGTTCGCCATGAGCAACCAGTGTGCATGAAGTGTATTGTACACTGCCATTACATGTACTCTGTACGTGAAAATGTTTGTAAAAAGAGACTTAATTGTGTTCACTATAACTGCACATATCTGTATACGTATTTACCTTTCAGATCTTTCGTAATAACTGTATGAGTAGTTCTAGACTAATATTTGGCTGAGTAGTTCTAGTATGACTATTCGGCTGTCCGTACGCTCATCGTACCTGTACTTTCCCGAAATGATACTGCAGTCGAATTCAATGCAAATTTGTAACGGGAAAGGTCGCCATCAATCTCGTGAAAGTAACAAATCTCGTACCGTACATCACACTTCACAGTTCCTGTTGTTACCGTACTTACTATTACTTGCGGTTGTATATATTACAGCAGGAACTCCGCGAGAACGATATTCGTAGTTATGAACTTGGAATTCGGTTAAGCTTTATCACATGGGCATAGTGGATATTTCCATGCTTTCCTAAACAAATCATAACACATACACACTTCCACTAGGATTTGGATAACCTCCTATTCTCCTCCTCCTTTTTTTCGAGGCTGCAGATGAAAAACTTGTCTTTAGGAGGTCAGTTAGATTAGCCCCTTTGGCCATAAGAAAGATCTTGAGAGCTGGCCGGGTTGTGCACTGTTTTGCGACTGCTACAACCACCACGACATCGAGTGACACAGGCACAGCTATAACGGTCACAAAAAAGTTTAACACCCCAACCAAAATCGACATTTTGCGCAAGATTTCCTTCCTCACTTCGAAACTTTCGTTTGACAGTAGTATCGTAATTCACAGAATAGTCGACTAAAATAACGGCTTAACTTCAGGAAATACCTACGCTACGAGTGCCGAAAACAAAACTTGCCGAAATCTAATCATGCATCGATGTTGCCGTCGTATAGAGCGAAGAGCAGCATAGAGCGAAGAGCAGCATTAGCGAAACTTGAGTCGACAGCCTTTATTCATTCCAAACACTTAAATGCAATAATGCATTGCCACAACATTTTCGTTTTACAAAGGCGTCCTTTGAAATGAATGACCTCATAAATACAAATTCCACTTGCACCTTTCTGCTGCAGCCGCTACTGAGTTGCACAAAATTGCACTGTCCTTACAGGCGTAATGCGATCCACGTAAGTAAATGTCGCTGATAAACACCGTAAGCTGTTTAAATTCAAGTTACGACTTTATGAGTTTAACAGATTTTCCTTCCACCGCAAACAACGTTGGATGTCGTTGTAAATACTTCTCAAATTTTTCCTCCAGCACCTCATGAGAAGTGGATTCGTTCCCTGGATGTGCTGCGTAACTGGCAATAACCTAAATCATAACAACGCATTTACAAGGATAATTATAAAAAGTCGTACATAAAACAGAATTACAGAAATATATGACAAAAGATAAGACATCTAAAAAATAAAACCATGCCAATAGTGCAGCATCATAAGCGAAAGTGGGTATCCACGTTCCTCTTAACTTAACTTATAACCTCTTAACTTATAATAAGTGGTACGATTTGATACCGCTTGATCTCACACAGCCGCTTTTGTGAGATTTTGTCATAGACCATGATGTACAGCATATTTTTAAAGAGCACGGACATGTACGCCGTAGCTACCGGCAGTTCCCAAATTTTATAATTAGGGTAATTCAAATTCGAATCTGTAGGTAATCAATTAGGATGCTGCATTTTATTTTTTTAATTTACATGTTTTTGTTTAATTTCTTGTAAAAACGCCATACCTTCTTTTTAAGTTTCTTTTTTGGAAGAATTTCCGCATCGGCCTCGGTCAATGCATTTAATATCGCTCTTTTCCACTTGAACTTTTTCAGAGTTGAAAGGGATGGTTCTTCTGATGTGGATCCTTCATCTCCAGGGACTGCAAGAAAGAAAACTTCAGCCATGAACAACACTGAACGACATTAATTAATTAAAACAGTCGAAGTCAGCCATAATAAGCAGCAAGTTTTTTCTAATTAATATTAATAAATGATCTCGATGGACATTCGATGGACTGCTTCACACATTTTAGAAATTATAGTGCAATCTGGATCCCAAAAATGAACAAGCTAACACGCTGAACAATTACCCGAACAGCCATTTTCGGCAGATTGTGGCGCGTGGGAACTTTCTTGATTTCCTATCGCCAAGGACTGCGTTACGGAGCCATTTTCCAAAGAGGCATTCGGAACGGTTTGTTCTGCAGGTGCTTTAACTTCGGAAACCACCTTCCAGGCTGCTTCAACAATCTGGGGATTGTGGATTTTCAGACAGCTTTTTAGGAAGTTCTGAAAATCAAACATCCACCGATGTTACACAAGCAGTCATTAACAAGGAACATTATTTAAAAATTAAGTTTAACAATTTACAATGGCCAACAACTATCATCATGAAAACCATAACCAACCTTGAATTTGGCCTCTTTCCGTGGTACATTCTCGAAATCCACGAGTTTCCGCAATATATCAATTAACTGCGGGTTCTTAATACTGGCACTTTCGCTAATCTTGCGCTGGAGGTTCTCCGTCCAGGTATCTTGCTTTTTTCGTCCACTAGACCCATTTTCTTTTATTTTGACGTCTTTACCATGCCACTTTTCTTCCTCTGTCATACATCTGCAAAAATAATAGATTCGTTATTCGTATCGATAAAAAGTGGCGTTGTACTTCAGGAGAAAGGCAGCTGCAAGGAAGGTCCGTACTGATTATGGTTCCTGAAGGTGTCACCGGGGAAATCCTTGCCGCAATCAATGCAAGACAAAACCGTACAGTTCCGGCACTGTGTTTGCCAGTGCTTGTCTACTTGTGCCTTCTTTACGGACTGGCCACAAGCATTACAGATGAACACAACCATTTTTGTGCGTACCGCGGAGCTGCTGCAAAGAATCCAGAATGATGGCAGATAATGGTAAGAACTAATTACTAAGGACTGATCGACTAAATGTTAGTGCAGTACAGTACTGTCGGGTTTATGGCAATCACACAGCGCTTTCAAAATCTCCAATTGTTCTGTGGAAACGCATCAAACACCGCAAGAAACCAGACTTGTGGAAAGTCGAGAAGCCAAAGAAATCATTTTTCATCTTCCGATTCTTCTCCGGTTTCTTTAATAAGTTTGGCTAGCCTGCTAGGCGAAGGCTCGAACAGCTGTTTTGCTGTATGACATACAGTAGTGGAATGGTCCACCGCCACAGTTGGCGGTTGCCGTGTGGTCTCTAAATTTAAAGCGACATTTTTCATTTTTGCCGTTTTGATGACAAGGTCCGTCACAAGGAACAGCAGAGAGTCTGGAATAATTTGATTTTGGCAAATATATGTGTTAGTATAATTTTGTTTTCAAGCAGTCCAATTTTTTTACGGACAACTAACGTATTCCATCGTTCTCCATGATGGAAGGATTCAGCGGAACTTTGCGTTTGACTGATTTAAATGACTTTATTGCTCCAACTCAGGTAAGTACGATCTGCTCATTCTGCTTCAAACAACGGTCTTAATCATTCTTAATGAGAACCATTACGTAGTACTTCGTCTATTGTCTATGCATGCTCGTGTTATTTTTGTAGGAATGTATAAAACCAGTAAAAATTGAGCGAGCAGGTGGTAAAGCAGGGTCCATCAAAATTACTTCTACCGGTGAATACACGGAAGTGGATGCTGAAGGAACGGAAACGAAGCTGGCGAAAGCAGAGATTACGTTGAATGACTGTCTGGCGTGTAGTGGATGCGTTACCTCCGCGGAAACCGTTCTGATTCAGCAGCAGAGTACGGACGAACTCATTCGAATCTTGGATCAAAATGCTCAAGTTAGTTTTAAAAGCATAAGTCGAGTTCCGAAAGCTGTTCCCAGTGCCTATTAGACCGTTGCCATCAAGTTGATGATGCCATAAACATTTATTACACGAATTCGAAGAGTTGGTTCGTGTTTATTAGGTTGATAGCGTTTAAAAAAGTCATTCTTTAAATTATTTTGTACCTTTATTAAACCTAGTTTTATTAGGTGCCTGTGCAAGAAAAGAAATTTATCGTCCTCTCAGTCTCGGATCAGTCGCTTGCATCCATTGCGACACGCTATGGGCTTTCGATGCGTGAATGTCAGCAGCGATTGACGGGACTTTTCAAATCCATGGGTAAGTTTGTATGTATATTATTTAACAAACGTTATATCAAGGGAGCGCAGGCATGATTGGCTTCTCATATCTATTTATGTATCAAAGTATCATAATTGAAGTAGTATTTTTTTATTACTAATTTTGTCATGGGTGAACGATTCTGTTTTTAGGAGTTCATAAAGTGTTTGATCTCGGTGTTGCATCCGCTCTTTCTCTTTTGGAAAGCCGAGAAGAATTTCTGGAGCGGATGGCAAATCGCGAGATAAAAGGCGCTCTTCCAATGTTTGCTTCTGCGTGTCCAGGTTTGTACTGCCGTATAGTAGAATTAATACAACAACAAAAACACTTAGTATTTTCTATTTTTGAAGGTTACGTTTCTTGAATATTTTGTTGGGTATATTTTGAGTGGTCAGAATAGTATAGTAGAACTTAATGATTGGCTAATTGTTGCCGTTGTTTAATAGAGTTCTTGTCACTTTAACACTTGTACTAGGATGGATCTGTTACGCGGAAAAGACTCACGGTTCCTTTATCCTTCCTTTTATTAGTAGCACGAAATCACCCCAGCAGATTATGGGCTCACTCGTCAAGCATTATCTATCCACGCATTCCAATAAAACTCCGAATGAGGTGTTCCATGTCTCTCTAATGATGTGCTACGATAAAAAATTGGAAGCTAGTCGGGATGATTTTTACGACGATGTGTACCGCACCCGGGATGTTGATTTAGTTATCACTTCCGGTATGTTTTAGGGAGTGGCCGGTAAATGTGAGACTTTGGCTCTGTTGTGCATAAAATATACAGTATCTCATAGTTTAGGTTATTCTTTTACAGTGGAAGTGGAGAAAATGTTAGAGAAACGTCTAGTGGATCTAAGAGAATGCACTTTAGAGAATGTCGATGTCCTGCCGAATTTCGAGCAGTACTCCGGTCATTACGGTAGTGGAGCTGGTGGCTATTTGGAGAGTATTTTCAGATATGCGGCACAACAATTGTTCCACAAAGATGTGGATCGTGTCGAATACAAAACCGTTCGGTATGTGAAAGGAAAGTAAATAGGATTCCATGTGTTTATAATATTCGTTTTTGTGCCCTTGTAAGTTTTTGTCTGTAACATGGCGAGTGCAGTTTAGAACAGTGTAAGCTAAATTTTGCAGTGTATCGCTCAGATAATGCTTTACTCTAAGTCTGATGTGTTATAGGGATAACACTTCTCTAATTTCTATAATGGTAAGTATGAAAAACGTTAAGGTTTACCCACGGTGGAGGCACACTTTTTATTGTCGCCTCGTATATCGCATTTCGTGAAATGTGTTAATTTTTATCTTCAAGTCTGCAAGAGTTGCAGGCGCCCAGTTCATAATATTCAAGCTGTAATATCATACTCAGTAGGTTTCCAGCCATATGAATTTCTGCTGATTTCCGTTTTTATGACAGAAATCAAGACCTTCGTGAAGTTACGTTGGAAATTGATGGACAACCAAAACTTCGCTTCGCGGCGGCTTATGGCTTCAGGAATATTCAAAATATCGTTCAGAAGATGAAAAGAGGGAAATGTCCGTACGATTTCGTGGAGATAATGGCTTGTCCATCCGGTACATGGCCAAAATATTCTTTGAAAAAATACGCTAGCTAATTTCGAAACTAGTGCAGTGTGACGGCAGGTTGTGACCTGTCTTTTAATTACTTATATTATTATGCAATGGCATTGTAATTTTTCCAGCCTGCTTGAATGGTGGTGGACAAATCCGAGCTCCCGATACAGAAGTCACAAAGGATTGGTTGGACAAAGTTCAAACACGTTTTCTGGAGTACGAAAATCAAGATCTTCTGAAGCCGGCTGCCTCTGTGGATGCATTTGACCTGTGGTTGGAAGGGAAGAATTCGCCGAAAAGAAAGGAATTCTTGCACACCCAGTACCATTCTTTAGAGAATAACACTTTTAATTTAAATATAAAATGGTGACATTGTGCACAGCAGTACGAATTTTGGGTTTGTAGCTAATTGTTCGCGTGTGCACCTGAAATTGAGTCATTGCAGATAATCGATAATCTTTTCCGTATACTTTGTATATAGTGGAACAAATTACAGTTAATAGGCGACACCGCAGCTTCGCGCTCATGGTCAACGGCGTTTTAATATTTAGCGATAATAACGTATTCACAACCTTGTACAGACTGTAGACGGTTTTATCACAACCAATATATTTAAATAAGCTCCTTGTTAAGGCAATGCTAACATTCTAATAACAGGTAACTCGACGTTAAGCGGATGTACTTCGCAATGAGGAATCAAATGTCACCGTTACACTTCCAAGTCCCACACCCAAGAAAACCAATAACAGAAGGTCAAATGTGCGGCTGCAGTTTGGTATAGCAAGAACTATTAATTAAGAAAGAGAGTAGCGGTGTAATTTACAATTAGAGAAGCAGCGAAGACTGCAAGCTATTAATCCCGCATCAGCGGATGTGGATAAAAATCTGCCAGATCCAAAAAACCTAAGAATACGCATAAACTTCCATGACCATGCGAACTGAGAAACGATGCGCGCGTCGAAAGTTGATTTTAAATTTAAAACCATGAGGAAAGCCAGCTCCGCCAAAGCTCCGTCCGGATGAAAATTTTGCCGAGGGAAAAAAGGACGATCTTCGAGAAATCCGATTACTCCGACACCAAGCACACTGAAAAAAGGGAGCCAAAACAGTCAACACACCTTCGCGTTAAACTAAAACAGAGAATGCTTAATACGTACAAAATATCCACACAAAAATCCACGGCCAAAAGATCAGCGTGATGAGGCAGTGCAGACAATGATTAACACTGGAATGCCTGTAACGATTCGAGAATTTAAAGCAAATCCCAGACAGCTATAATTATAATTTGAACTTTGGAATTCCGACACTTCCGATCAGAACGGTAGCTGGAAAATCTATGATATTCGATCAGCACTGTTAATCGGAAAGGATACCGGGCAACACTCAGCAGATATTTTTCACACTAAAAACTTCCAAAAACTTACTTCTCAACAATGACCGTTCTGGTAGTGGTTGGGACCATGGTGACGGTAACCATCTACAAAAACACAATCGCTAATCAAAACAGTATCAATGTATCTGTCCGATTCTGTCACCATCTGGCATCTGGACTGCAGTTGCAATATTTTCGAAGTTGTCAACTTTAACTTACTATCTGGCAGCATCTGTAAGCCATGTCGCTTTTAAAATGAGCTATCTTAGTTTAGGGAAGGGTAGAGCAAACTAAGCATTTAAGCAACCTATCATCTCCACAGCAAAAATACTACATGCAACTGAAAACTGTCGCGTTTGTTGGTCCTGGAGATTCATATTAAAAAGAACAAATGAAAAATCGGATTTCCCCGTTGAATGGTAATCGACAGCCGTTTCTGTAGATTGCAAGGGACGTACCTGCGGTTGCTGGTATGACTGCGGGACTGCTTCTGGCGCAGCGTAAACTGGACCTGGCTGCGGCGGAGGATAGTATGGGTTAAACGGAGGAGCATGTGGGCCAACTGGTGCCCCCATGGGCTTCGCAACCAAAGGGTTGCTTCCACTCTGGCCTTTGGCCAAGATAGCTTCGTCGTATGTTGGTGGAGCATCCATCTTTGATAATCTTCCAAGGTCAACAGAAACCAACGAAAAGATTCGCTAGTTTCGTCACTTGGTGCTCCGTCTCACTGCCAGTGCCAAATAAAAACTCTCCAACAAATTCCAAGGTCCAAGAGTTATGCTACACTGCAGCTACAGCTCTGAATTACTGCGAAAATTTTGGATTGATAGTTTGGTAATAAGAATTATGACTAGTATGAGTTGTCTATATCTTTACGATACCCAGCCAAAAAGAAAAATCAACGAAAATACTTTTGCAATCAACAAATTCTAGAAAAGTAATAATACGGTACCAAATAATTATCAAAATTTAATCTGGATTTACTCATAAAACGATGGTATAGATCGCAACATACAGCAGTGTCATACACCATCAAAATCGTACTGCGTGCGAAAGCGCACCACGTTATGCTGATTGTGACGCAAAACTGCTTCCCAGATCAGATCGAAACTTCTGTTCACAGAATATTGGATCACATCCGGAAACCGAGGCAGAGCTGGAAAAGGCGTACAAAACTTCTGCACCAACCGGAAGTAATAACAACGCAAAATTTTTCTAAACTTAATATAATATAATTATAAATTATAAATATATTAATTGTTTATCATAAAAAAATAAAATAATAATAAAAATTCACGATGCTACGGGATCAGAATTTAGAAGTACTTACAGTGTTTATAAATTCTTACGAATACGAAATCTGAGATACATTACACTGATTACAGCAAAACAATCTGGCGAGTGGCGACTGGCCAGTGATACGAGTTCAGAGCAAAACCAGGAGCAACTTAAATTCTCTACTATAGAAGTACTTACATAATTCATAATATTTTCTGCACCGCACTGTGACTATGATTAATACACATTTTTTCAGTGTTAGTTTTTTGTGCCTTCCACTGCTGGCACAAGATGTTTCCGGAAAAGTGATTGGAGCTTTCGTGGTCCCCCATGGTGGTCTGGCTTTGGATCCTTTCTATGCCAACATCACCAATGCCACTGCCAAAGATCTTGCCGACCAGATTCACCAGTCGCTGATTCGGGTTAGCAGAGAAATTGGAGCTCTTTCGCCTGACATAATTTTCCTCAGCACTCCACATGGAATATCCGACTTGGAGAATTTCGTGTTTTATCTCAACAAGAAAGCTCGAGGTCTGGCTTTGGCAGAGGATTGTACGAACATTACGCAGTGCGCCTATCGCTTGAACGTGACTGTTGCAGTAAAGGAAAGTCTGCAGCTGGTCAGTCATTTGAAACGTTCCCACAATGTTTCTGGGATCAGTGGCTTCGGTCCACCTGGTGAGACTCCACAAGCGGAACCATTACCACTCGGATGGGGCGAAGTTATCCCATTGTACTTTGTGCCTAACATCTCCAGTACGAAATTGATGATTTTCTCTCATCCGAGCCGCCGGTACAACAGTACGAAATCCATGATGGCCGAACTGCTGCATCTTGGACGCTCTCTGTATCTGCGTCTGCAGCATTCCCCGGAGCGAGTGGCCATTGTCATTTCATCGGATCTAGCACACACGCACAGTAAGGATGGGCCGTATGGATATTCGGATGCGGCGCAGCCATTTGATGATGCCATCGGTCGTTATCTGACTTCTCTTGACCCCAAAGAATTACTGGAGACAGCGGGAGATTTGGTTGAAAAGGCGCTCTCTTGCGGATTTACAGGCTTGGTAAAACTGAAAAGAACTGAAATTACAAGTGCTGCATTTTGTGTTTAAAAGCATTATGAGTGTTGTATGTAAAATCATACTGTACAATTTACAAGCAGTTAGAGTATCGCACTGATGCCGCTTATGATAGGATCTCGTTAGCTGTAAAATTTAAATCATCTCATGGCTTATTTTAGGTGATGCTTCATGCTATGCTTTCTGAAGCTGGTTTAAAGAACTGGAGTTCAAAGCTGTGGATAAATGGACATCCCACATATTATGGAATGGCCACAGCAACAATAGTCCGAATGGGTACAGAGGCGATGGGATAGCCAAACCAGTCAGCGATCAGATCGAGGCAGGTTTTTTTTTAAAGTCATATTATGGAATCCTGGATTTCTTGTATTTTCAGTATTAGCTTTGAATTGGCTCATTGTTTTCCAAATTACATTGTACGTACCGGGTTAATATCTATATAGAATATTTAAAATTTGCATGTTTAGTTGTTTGTAAGAGTAATAGTGAATTTTATGGACTGTTTTACCGCAGTATGATGTGGAATGGTAATATATAATCAGTACTATACTTATCTGTCCACCACAAACCCGAAAGGATAAAAGAGTGTTGGAATTAAGTACTTTTTCCGGTTCCTTTTTTGGTGTACGTTGAATTACTTACTGTAAGTGAAGTACTTAATTAAGTACTGTACGTTGAATTACTTACTTACTGTACTTCGTCCATGCTGACGGACAGACGCTGTACACTCAGAATTTCATGTATATTTTAAGGTCGTTTCTATGCGCCCGGAAAAATTCCGGGCGCATAGTTAATTTGCTATGCGCCCGGAAAATTTCCTGGCGCGTAGTTATTTTGCTATGCGCCCGGAAATTCGTCCGCGCAATTTTGTTTGCCCTAATTGCCATCGCTTTTCGCTTGCGAAAGTTCACAAATTTTTGGTGAACTTTCGCTGGTGGTCACCACAACCGCTTGTCGGCGCTCTGTTTTCTCGTGGCTATTCGGGCCCCGTTTCCTGGGTAGCTTCGTTAATTTTTCGGTTTGAATAATTTCGTTCCACCAGCCTCTGAACTGAACTTCGTCGGCATAGTTTGCGGTTTCGACGGGTGTTTTTGACATTACATGATCAACTGTAAATGCCGCCGAGTATGCACCACAGTTGTTCGAACCCGGTGCTTGCCGGGGAAAAGATGGAAGATCATTCGCATTTCTTCCCCTTGGCTGCATAAGCATCAAGCTTGCAGCGTTGTCCAATCTGTAGGCTCCCATCCAAGAGAATCTATATAAGATCGTAACCTTCGGTTCCGGTACCCAACACGCCTTTAGGGTGGCAAAGTGGTGTCCTGGATCATAAAGTGGTTGAATTAGTGTCGCCCCATTCATTAAGTCCGCTCGTACTTGCTGCACAACTTGATATTGCCGGTGGCACTTCATTACCCATCCAAGTGCAAGGAGGCCAGTTAATTTGTTATTTTTGAGCAAGCTGCGACAGAGGTAACAGATGACATCGAGAACGCGGACATCCAAGAGGTAGCCAGTTTTGCTGAGGTAAAGTACATCCACCCGACAAATTGCCCATTTCTCACCAACTCGTTTGACTGTTTGCAGCTGATGTTCTCCCTGCAGCATCACCTTTTCTGGTTGGTTAGATGAGGGCTGTGATAGCGGAAAATCACCGATTGTTCTCCTTCTTTTAGACATATGCTTGACTGGAGGCTCGGTTGGTGTTCCGGCCGCTTGTGACCCTTGCGTCTGATAAAACCCGAGGCCGGTGCCAGGTGGTCTTCCTTTTTCTCGGACACTGGACCAACTTAACTACGCGCCAGGAAATTTTCCGGGCGCATAGCAAATTAACTATGCGCCCGGAATTTTTCCGGGCGCATAGCACTTTCGATATTTTAATGCACGTGAGATTGGTATGTTAGTCCACTTGGCGTTGCAAAAGAAACGTGATAAAAACATATTAGGATTAGTTATTTAAGGAAGATTTATGTAAGAGATAGGGTCAATTATTTCGACTAATCAAATCCGGGAAGGATAATCTAACTCTAATAGTCAACAAATCCGGACTTCCGGTGGCAACGTACAGAAGGCAACCGCCTGAAAGCGCGGCTGGTATTGCCAAATACGCAGTATGCATTTGGCTGTCGGTCGTTTTGTTTTGATATGAGTTTTCCTTTTCCAAAACTTCCAGCTGTTTTTAACATTTGTTAAAAATAAATTATTAGTCTACTACTTTGTGCTCGGTGATTTTAAGACTGTTCAACATCACAAAATCATGGCGTCCGCGAAAGAGATTGAAGGACCGGTCGAAGAACAACTTGACAGCACTGATTTGAGCCATATGAAGTTCTATTCTAAATTTGGTCGGATTGAAGATATTTCCTCACGGAAAGCAAATTCAACAGCGCAGTCTTCTGGTTCCATCAATTCCACCAAAATGGATCCTGAGACGGCGCGGTGCTTGTTCGAAGAGGGAGCTTTTCTCATATTCTTGGATGTGCCTGAGAAAACAGAATTCGGAATTGACGTCTCTTCGTGGAATGTCGGAGAAAAATTTAAAGGAGTTAAAATGATTCCGCCAGGGATACATTTTGTTCACTACAGGTTCGTAAGAATCGTAACTTAATATTGGAAAATGATTGCCATCATTTGCTCTTAGCAGTTTGATTTACTCTATTCCTTTGATAAGTTCCATAATTTGATTGTTAGTTGTTAATACACTAGTACATCATACATACAGACACAGTGATAGGAGTGTCCTCACTTAATTTCCAAATTTTCCCAGCTTCTGCTTAATTTTCGTGAGGAATATCTGTATTCTGGAGAAGCGGATATTTTACGAGTACAAAAACAGTACAGTATCGTGTCCGCTAACGATTTGATGGTTCATCCAAACCGGTGCGAGTAAAGCTGCGCCAAAAGAGTACAAATTATCCCTTTACGGCTGTCCCCTTATTTTCGTTTCTTATTTTCTTACTTTTACAGTGCCGTGAGCAAGCATAACGTGACTGCACCCCGAACAGGATTTTTTCATGATTTCAAACGAAAAGAAGTGGTCGTGAAGCGATGGGATCGCAAAAATGAAGGATTGGATACCCTTCCTGTTTGCGCAGAAGAAAGCGAACGCTATGCGTCCAGTCTGCAAAATCTTGATCCATTCCTGGGTGCCTATCCGTATGACACCTACAAGCGCTGGATCTCCATGTCTCGATGGATAACCGATATTACGCTGCTTCGATTAGTTCCCACTGGACCGAACGGATGTATTTTCGCCGTACAGCAGCTAGAATCGCAACCATATGTCTGTTTATCACGATCCGAAAGTCCTTCCCGGAAACGGACGAAGGCTACATTACCGGAGATGAAAGTCTCCGAAGAAACGCGGATACGATTTTCCGACTTGTCAACCAAACGATTGTGCCGTGGCGCACAGCCCAGCGACATAACTAGCATGAACATGGACAAAAGCGTCTTCCTCGATCACTGGATTGCGGATGAACTGCATGGCAGTCCGGCGGAAGTGCTGGGTGAGGTGCAGTTCGCCTTCGTTTGTTTCTTGGTGGGGCAAGTTTACGATGCCTTTGAACAGTGGAAGAATATTGTCGCTCTCCTGTCGCAGTGTGAAAAAGCGATGCTTGATCGTCCGGATTTTTTTCTGGATGTGATTGGATTGCTGTATTTTCAAGTGCAGGAGATACCCAAAGATTTTTTTGTGGATGTCGTTTCTCAGGAGAATTTCTTGACCAATACGCTGCAGTCGTTTTTCGCCATTGCCGAACATGCGGACGGTGTGGACGAGCGATTACGCAGCAGAGCGGGACAATTTAGAAAGTATTTGCAGAAAATGTTCAAATGGGATTTCAGTATGGAATCCAATGAAGACGCGCCGGTGGTGGTTGATTTATAAGCTGTTGGCGGAAAGAGATTTTTCAGTTGTTGTATCGTTTTTTGTATGATGGAACAAATTAGAAAAATGGATCGCAGTATCGAACTGGTGAAGGTTATTCCATCTTTTAAACCGTTCTTACTTACCTTTTGTAAACCGATTTATTGGTTTGGACCGGAAAAAGTAAAGCTTAAAGCCGTTCGAGACAAAATGTTGCACTGCAACAGTAGCAGTTCGGAATTTTAAGAATCGTTCGATTCGTCAAATTTCGGCCGGTACTTGTATCGTACAGTATCTGTAGATTCTGTACGCTGTCAACATCTTCTGAATTCGATGGGAGTAAAATTACCATGACCTTTTTATGATTTATTTAAAACTTTGGACCGGCGTAATTTTTGAACATGCGCAGATGAGTTATCGTCAATATACGATAAAAGTTAAGATCGTATGCAGTTCCTAACTTTCTAGTATGGCAGAGAAACTGGGCATAACAAGCGCGAAATCTCAAAATGATCGCACTGCGAAGATGACAAGCATATTGTTATTGACCTTTGGAGCTGATAACAATCACAACATGATGCGTTCTGCATCCATGCGCGCTTAAATATTGCAGCTACCTTGTAAATAAACCATATGCACGAGCTGAAAAATCGTCGGTAATTATAAGTTATTCGGCTAATATATTTTACGGGAGAATTACATGGGAATTACAAAAATCCGATCACTATGTGGAGCAGTAGTAACTGTAAAAACATCGGCGTGGTGGTGTTACTGCTGACAGTGAGAATTGTGTCTTTACTTGCTCTTAAAGTACAGGAAACCGAAACAAGAGATGCGACGATTTTGGATGGATTATGGAATTTTAGAAAAGCGGACATGTTAAACCCCGAAGTCGGATTTGCTGAACAATGGTATCGGACTTCATTTTGTCCGCCGATGGTATGCACTTAATACAGTATACACACAGTTGCGATGTTTCCTTTGCAATCAGTTTTTTACTTTGCTGTTTTTCGCCATCCAAACATTAATACAGTTTTGAGCAAGTATCAAGCCCAATCAAACTCTAAAAATATTTCTGTAAAAGCTGATTTTGTGGATCATTTCAGACAAAAAGCTGTATAAAAATGCCGGTACCGTCTTCGTATAACGACATTTCTCAAGACCGTACTCTTCGCGACCATGTTGGTTGGGTATGGTACGAACGCCAGTTTTTTGTCCCTTTCCATTGGTCATTCAAGAAAGAAAGGGTCGTCATACGTTTTGAGAGCGTCCATTATTTTGCACGCGTTGTACGTAATTGTGTCTTATATTGTGCGCATATTACAGGCGTAGCCATATTTTTTGCACAGTAAATAACAAATAAAGTGACTATGTTACAGTGGATAAATGGCCTGTTTGTAATCGAGCACGAAGGGGGACATCTGCCCTTTGAAGCGGAAGTGCAGCGAGCGCTGAACTGGACCTCTATTAATCGAATTACCGTGGCGGTCAATAATACATTAACGGTAGGAGTATGTGTTGCATGAAAAAGTGCACATGAAATATTCGTAATTGTACTATACAGTACACATAATACAACGTTTGATACTGTTTTGTTTATTGTTCCGTTGTTCGGTTTCCTCAGCCCTTCACTCTTCCTTGTGGACGCGTAGTATACCCAAATAATCCAGACAGGTATTGACTAAACAAACGCAGTTACGTAAGATTAGTTCAAAATTTGTACTTACATAATAATGTTATTAGTTTATATATATAATAGTTTGTGTGCCGGATAAAGTGTGCATGCAAAGTGTTCAGGCATATCTAAAAGTTATCTAAAAACATTTTATGAAATACAAATATTATAAAATACTTAAAAGCAATGGCTACGTACCGTTCTTTGCGGTCACTCCGACAGACGGATGCGTTTGAGCAAGTCAATCCAGTTTTTTATCGCAAGTTACTTTGCCAGTGTAGTACGTTACGGTGGAATTCATGATCATGGAAAGCGTATTTCAGGAAATGAAAACAAAATTAATTGCATTGTGATTTTAGTTATCCTCCTGGTTACTTTTATCAGCAGCTCATTTTTGACTTTTTCAATTACGCGGGCATTCACCGTTCCGTCAAACTTTACACCACCCCGCTGCACTATATTTCCGATATATTTATTGTCACCACCGCAAAAGAAGGTCTTGAGCCAAGTAAGTTCACTAATTCGAGGATATGCCTCATTTAAATCAAAGGTTATAATGCAGTTAATAAATCAATAAATAACAAAAAATAACCACTACTATATTTCATACAACACTTCACTGGAATAATTTATGTTCTAACCGAAGTTGTTTCAGTTACGGTAGTTGTGAGGTACACGTTATTTAGGAAAAGTAGAGTCAAAACCGCTTCTTTGTTACTGTTATGTGATATTTCTGACTTTAATATTGGTTTCTTCGTGTTTATGTAGACTCGATGTATATTTCTCATTCCACTTTGCATATTTCGGTCCCTTTTAAGATACCGCGGTACAACGTTTAATTTGGGAACGGTTTTTCAGCAGGTCTCGTTCGGTTTAATGTCTGCTACAGTGAGAGCGAAGCGGACAATAAAATAACAAGGAAGTCGGCAACATGTGCAGTACAGATGTTGGACGCCCATGCAAACGTGGTAGCCCGGTTGTCGGAGTGTACGGGCGAACTTGTGATTGCACACGCACGCTTATGGTGGCCATTTACAATGGATGCAAACGTCGGTTACCTGTACACATTGAAAGTACTACTTGTTTGCGGTATTTAACGACTAATGACCGCATAAAACAATATGAATCAACATCACTTTTTCTTAATTTCCAGGTTGAGTTATCGGTTGACGAAGAAATCGTTGACGTTTACAGGCAAAAATTTGGACTGCGGACTGTCAGAGTTGGTCACGACGGAATGTACATTAACAATCGCTTCTTTTACTTCCGCGGTTTTGGGAAGCACGAAGATTTTCATGTATTTAACCGCACAAATTTCCACAGATCCTAAATACTTTTATTCCCGAAATATCCGTGGATATGCGGTATTGGGTAGTTAATTTATATTTTTATCAGATATTCGGCCGAGGATTCAACTTGCCGGTAATGATTAAAGACTTCAATCTGCTGCAATGGAGTGGTGCAAATAGCTTTCGTACGTCGCATTATCCATACGCGGAAGAAGTTCTAGATTATGCCGACGAACATGGGATTGTTGTTATTAACGAAAGTCCAGCTGTCGGTTTACAGTAAGCGCTTAAAAATGGCACATGAATTTGTACCTACTTATAGTTTTATAACTGCGATATATATAACTTCCGCGACAATTAAGCAAACTCTTATCACAGCGAACTGGTCTGCGAAATATACCACTCGCAGCTTGCGTGATATTTTTGATTTATTTTTTGCAGCGAATTCCCAAATGAAACCCTCAAACATCATCTAAAGGTCATGACCGAGCTGATTCAACGAGATCGTAACCATCCGTCTGTGATTATGTGGTCAGTAGCGAATGAACCAAAATCCTACGACAAGGGCAGCGAATTTTACTTTCGGTGAGAGACATTTCGTTGTTCACCGAAACGTTTTCTGTTTGGTACTAGTAAAATTCTACTTAATCATTTAGATAATTTATCCGTTATTCTGTTGATTTTCGTTGATCGCATAAGTATATGGTAGCGGTTTAGTGAACTATACAATTGCAGCACTGTTATCAACCTTACAAAATCACTGGATGCAACGCGACCGGTTACTTTTGTAATTGGTGGCAGCAATGCTTCTCTGGACAAAGCGGTACACAATGCAGATTTCCGTATTACTGCCGGAATTACTCTAACGTTTTTTTCTGGATGCTGGAGAGCGGAGACAATCAAAAAATACTGCCTGTTATATTTATTAGGCTGGTCTGGTAGACATCTTATGCATTAACCACTACTTCGCATGGTACAGTGATCCAGGAAAACTGCAGCTCATACCATATCAGTTATCGCGCGATATTAAACTGTGGGCCAGTCGTTTTACGAAGCCAGTGATTATCACGGAATACGGCGCCGACACAATCACAGGACTGCATACGGTGAAAATTTTACACATAAATAGTTGTCACAATTATGCAAATCTTTGTGATTTTCCAGAATCCATCCTCAATGTTTTCCGAGGAGTACCAGACAGAATTCATGGCGCAATATCATGGTGTGTTCGATCAACTCCGCCAAGATCAGATTCTAACCGGCGAAATGGTATGGAATTTTGCTGATTTCATGACTGACCAAGGTACTTGCGTATTAAAATAACTGTCACCAGCTAACCGTGTTGAATCGTCAATTGATCCACACAGAGGTAAACCGTGTCTGGGGCAACCGGAAAGGCGTTTTTACCAGGGAGCGTCAACCAAAAACGGCTGCACATTTTCTTCGCCACCGCTACTGGAAACTCGCAATGGATATCGATCGGATGGTCCAGGTTGATCTTGCTCCACGCTCTGTTGATGAGCACCTGATTTGGAAATACGAGGAAGTTGTGAAATGGATTGAGTAAACATAATTTTACAAGACGATAATCCACCTGGACAACTACCGTTCACTAATAATGTAACCGAAATTATCACAAATATTGCAGTATACACACTTGTACAATGTCTCGGAATTACATACGGTTATGTGAATATGTAGATATGCCATTGCTGTTTATACCTTGCCTTGCATGATGTACTCTGTATTTATCAAAACAGAATAAAACTAATCATATTAACCTACTTGTGTAAATTCTAGCCCACCCTTGGCGGCTCAATAATTTCATTAATTTGTTTTTGTATTGTGGCTTCTTGTTCTAGCAGCCTTTCCAGCTCTTGTCGTTTCCTAAAACCACCACAAAAAGTTTCAGCAAAATACAGTAATGTTACAATTCACCAGTAAAATATTTGCGCACATCTCGTAGTCGCCCTTGATTTTTTTGATTGATGCTTCGATGCGTTTCCTTTCAGGAGAAAGACCCTCTTCCAGTGCTGATAACAATTGTTTTGCAGAAAATACCTGTTAAAAAATCAAAATCATTCACACTTGTACGATATTCTTACTAGCAAGTGAAATCGAAACACTACCCAACTACTATAAAATCATCAAAGACACAATCATAACATCATTCCCGTAATAATTACTGTAATGCGCATAATATGCTGTATTGTAAGTATATACACCAACAGCTCTACGGTATGTCATGTGGTAACCCTACAACGTGCTTACACTGAACGTGACGCGGTACTGACCCAAGGTTAGGTAAATCAATTTACAAGAGTTATTATTTATTAATATTTCTTCTGTTTACAGAGTGTATACTGCGACAATTCTTACGTTATTTCGTTGTTTCTCCACCGTTTCGACGGATTCCTTCGCCATTTCAATGATATCATTGGATCGACTCAGCAACTCCCGAATTCCTTCACCAAAGAGTTGTCATAAATTTACGAAGATGCTCAATGAAAAACGATTACAATGTAATAATGAAATAATATGGAAACCATGCCAACACCATAATTTGCAGCATAAATTGCGAGCGCAACCGTAACGGAATATTTTCAGACATGCCGGCAGACGGCAAGCAATAAATTAGCTGGCCAAAATGTAAATTGTGAACAGACATCATCGATTAAGATAAATTATGCCTTTTTATTGTTTTTACCGTCAATATATTGCTGCGATCGTTCCACAACATTTTTGGAGTCCGAGGAAATGTTTGAGCTGACAAGCGCAATCTCCAGAGATGAGTTAAAATGCAGGCCGAATTTAACAGTGTTATCGGCTTCCTCGCTTAAACCATTCATTTTGAATAGCAAAACGGGATTTGATTAACGAGTGAAGAGTTTGTAGAGATTGTAATTTGTATCTGTAGAGATAACTTCAGATTTTGTCGGTTAGTCATTAATATTTTTATTTCTGTACTCTGTAGTTACACGGAAATATGCTTCCCTTTTCCAATAAGGAGACTTTTAACGTACGTTGTTGCTTTCTTGATCGATATAACGGTCACGTCAGGTACTTACTTACAAACTTAGCATCTGATGGCTAACCTGTAAGTACAGTACACAATATAACATATTGAGTATTACAACCAGAAATCGCGGAGCCGATCGATAATATTGAATATTTGTACGGTTCCCTATATATCTGTACATAGAGTGAGTAGGTATATATTTTAATTTTCACGGTTTTACTTTTCACACATAGTCTACGATTCCCACTTCCGCAGCTCCGCCAATCTGTTCCAATTATTCCAGCATTCTCGTTTTTTGCAGGATTTGACAACTTCACAAAATCAACCATTAAGTGCAGCAATCTAATGGCGCTGCAGCGAAAACTTTCCGATGTCATTGTCTCCTGCTTTTTCGCCTGTAATAGCTTACTCGTAGTTTATTTTTGCGTTTCAACGTGCGGCGGTGAAATTGACCAACAGTAATAAGCTGTGGCATCACGTAGTGTCAAATCGCGCAGTTTAATGACAAATCAATGCAACTCAAAACCAATTTCCAAGTGCAGGTTTTTAAACATAAAAACTTGTATTATATTTTATTTATTTCGTCAGTCCATACAAAAAAACAGAAGATGGAAACTGCAGCGTACGACACTGTCACCATTTATTACCAACTGTTACACATCACATACATCCACAGTTGATCCACTGCGATCCAGGAACTCCACACACTTCGGCAGTGCATCAATCGAAGACAAGATCCGTTCATCAATCGAAGACAAGATCAGTATGCACCGTTCCCGTCTATTTTGGTCGGCAGGCGGCTAAGGCCTTGACCGCGCTCTGCGGCTCCGGCTTCTCGGCCACAGCGTCCACTGCATATCCTAGAGTGCGCATCGCTTCCGCAGTTGTCGGACCAATGGCCGCATACTACGAACATCAGAGATGAGTTTTTTTCTAACAGTATGCGAAATCAGTATCGACTGTCCAAAACTAACCTTAGTTTGCTTGAAGGCCAGCGACTCCTGTCGCAAAATTTCATCCATAAACTGGATTCCTGATGGACTGAAGAACAATACTGCATCCGGAAATCCCTACATCATAGCCAAAATTGGGTAACATACTTGTATTTTACTTTAAGATGTTTCGATTAAGATTTTTGTTGCTCCTGTTTTCACAACAGCGCTCTCAAAGTATCGTTAATATGCGTACGTACACGACCCAATAAATACTATGTGTTCGATAGATTTTGCACGTTTTCAGACATTTGCTTCTGCTTTCCTGTGCAACTAATTGTGAGCATATGCACATTACAGACATTTTAACCTGTGATTGCAGCGCTTGCTGGACTAGCGATACGAGCTGCGGATGAGCGGATGTTTCATAGGACTCAATATATTCCACAAATATTCCTAAAACAATTAATATTACAGGTGGCCACATAAAACAGTAGAATTTTAATACAATTTAGCGCCACCTTTTTCATCCAGAATATTTCTCAAAGATTCCAATCGAAGGTTGCCACAAGGAAACAAAAGACGTTCAGTATGTTGCTCCTTTCTGCCAGCTATTATTTCACCTAAAGCTTTTTCACTGCCGGCTTCGGTTTCGGTAGGAACTAATCCAAGTGCTCCTAATGCAAAACTGCCTGGTCACTTCACAATTCCTACTCGTAGGAAAAAAGGTCTTGACTGAGCACTTACTCGCGACTGCGGCAGTGCCTTCGCCGATGGCATAAACGGATTTCGTATTCCAGGCTGGACAGTGCGTATCCTTCCAAGCGTTTTCGTTGCCTTTTGCTGCCAATGCTAGAGCTTCCACTCCGCGTGGACTGGTTAATATTAATCCGGAATACTGTTCCGGTCTGAAAAGGGCATTTTGCAATTCCGGCACGCCCAAATATTGGAAGTTTATCACGGGAATCTGAACTACGTTCCACCCGGCCTCTTTCAAAGCCTGTTCAACAAAGACCACGAAAATTAACATGCTCTTATTCTCTTCAACCTTTTACATCTCGTGTAATTCAACATTACCACTGCAAATAATTAGAGTCTCTTCTGCGTTTTAGACCAAACGAAAGGAAAGTCAACTGGTGCCTATTTTGCTGTAGGCACAGTTTCCACTGGAGGAAGCGGATAAATTAAATAAGTTACATAACAGGCTTTATCTGTTATAACTCTCTTGGTTCTATCTGGTCGTATTATAGCATTTAAATCATTACTAACGTAATCCTTCCGTTTGGTTTGTCTCACACTGTACGAGTACTCGGGATTAAAGAGACTGTTTCCAATTAGCCATAGGCCGTCTTTATAGCTAACTGTAACTGTTAAAGAATATATGGGACGCTTTACCTGCTCGTACGCATCCCCATGGCCAACAGAACTGATAGCTTTGAACATAAATAAGACGGGCAAGGTCTTCCTAAATACAAAAAATGCAAAACATGCAAGACAACTAGCAGTGTCAATGCAAGTGCACTTTTACAGTGACACTTACGGCTGGGTTTCGTCGTCCAAATACAGTCTGTGTTCTCGAATATAATCCACAACCGACATGGTCACCAACATGCCGATGCAGCGCCCTTCTTGAACCGCATTCCTTCAAATTAAAAGATAGCTAACTACCAAAATCCAACTATAACCCATAAAAACTCAACTAACCGAATCGATGTCGACGATACGTTGTTCTCAAACCATTCCGGCACAATTATGACACTATCCTGCAACAAATGTTCCGGTACAGATTGAAGGCGACAGAAAACAATAACAAGGACACAGTATTGAGTAACCACGCAATAACATGCCGTTATCAAAAACAGATTTCAAATCAAACTGCAAAATTCAATGGAAGTAAGACGAAGTACGCATATCCGTATTTTGAAGTTTAAAACTATATACATATGAGGAAACAAGCAAATTGCAATCATCCATACTAAGAGTACTGTACAATAACCGCACACACAATACGCCTGTGAAATAAAAAAAGTTACTTCAATATTATGAACGTAAGTCGAATTCTTGTTGTATAACTTAAATCATCAATTTTTAAATTTAATTTTACAAATTTTCAAATCTACGTAAAAAGAACTGTATTCAGTTATGGAAACGACGCTATTAACAATGGCGCTGTCGAGCTCGTCCACCCGCGAATTAGCGGATGGTGAATTATTAGGAAATAAATCTAGAAATAAAACAGTAATTACTCACGCGAGCTTTCGATAAGCGGGGAGAGCAGCGAATGACATCCTCGACTGCACTTCCGGCCCGGGTGACGCACACCACGCCGTGGTTATTCAGAATAGTATCCACCTGAAACACACAAAGAATTAAAAATAAACCTACCATAAACATCTCTGAAGCCTAAATGCTACAATCGGTCTGTGGTTGCATACTGACTTGCGATTCACTCCATAATCCGGGCACGGAAAACGACTGCAGCACATCGCTGCCACATAGTAGCATCACTTGGATGTCTTGCTTCTCACTGCCACCTGCGAGTTCGGGAAACCATTCTTCTGGCTGACTATTCACCATCTGCCGATGGTATTCTAATGATTCCAGGGTCCGCTGCCAGTCCACCTGCTTGGTTTCCCATTCGGACAACCTACCGTGTGCGATATTGCGAGATTAATTAGAACTACCAAAGAAACACACGCAAAATCGCATCATGGAACTGACTTGATCCAAGGCACTTTGTAGTCATTCAGGGAAATTTTCACCATGTTCACACGGTGTTCGGCGGACACCAGACCCTGTTGTATACAATTTTTAATGTATGGTCGGTAATAAGGATAACAGAACTGGCATTAATCATTTACTTTCTTGCGATATGCATCGTGGACAGGGGATACTAATCCGCCGAGAACTTGCCATTGGAGTTTGTTATACAGGTACTCTTTAGCCAAAACTGCAAGCGAAATTTACTATCAATTCACTCGTTCAAAATTTATGGTCGAATTTGCAAGTAAATCCACGGAAAAATCCCTACGGATTAGCTGCGTAATCCCAGAATTAACGCTTCCGGTCCACTAACGCCGTAAGCAGTATCAAAGCAGCAAACCTGCACCCGCTATCGTGTAGCGTTACCTACCAAACATACGAATGTGCATAAACGTGATGGGGTTAAAACTTCCAACACATAACAATACCACTTTCTTCATTTTTGAAGAAGTTGCACGCAGTCAAGCGTGTAACTAAATTAAGGAATCAAACTAACGTTTAATCGATAAATTCAAACTAAATAAAATGGACAAAAATTACTGAGCTGTAAAAATCGATGGTTAAGCTCTATTTTTGCTTGTAGACTTGCAAGTTAATACAGCATTGTTTTCGTTAGGGTATTTCGGTGCGTTGCCGAACGAGCGATCAGCACAGGGTGAGTGAGACAGATTTAACTATATCCGGTTGAATCCAGGCTGTCAAATGTTGCTTTTCGCGATTTATGAACTGAAAATCTTACTGAAAGTGAAGTTAGTTATTGAATATTTGATATAAAAAGACTGAGGAGGAAATTTATAAACCTGAATCAGCTATCCAGAAAAGAGGAGTAAGCAAAGAACGGCTATAAAAGTATCCACGAAGACCATTAACTGTGTGGTGATCAATAATGTCAAACCGGTAAAAATAACCAACACCCTAAAAATCCTCTTTTGCTCGCTACGCCACGGTAAGCAGTAAGCACCCCTTGAGGGATTTGCAAGCGTCGGGTCTTGCTTGCTACAAAGTACAAATAACAAACGAATCAAAACATGTTCCAGTTCCCTGGATAAGGCTGAGGTCGAAAGTTCTTGGTTTTTAAATTTTACTTTACAGTTTTACTTTTAGAGTGTACAGATCCTTTACTTTTCAGTTTTCATTTTGTTTGGCTTACACCTATGAGTAATAATCCATAGTACTGTGGAGATTTTTAGTTACTTAGTATTTTGTAGTACTAGTATTCTTACTCATAATGTTTCGCAATCGATTTTGGAATATTATTGAAATTTCTCAACTTTGCGAGCGCTCAGGAGTTGTGTCGAAATAACGATGTGAGCCGAATGCAGAAGTATTGAAGTAGACACATTAATTAATTTTAATTTTCTCGTTTTCTGGTTGATTTTATTCACGGCAAACCTTAACGAGAAAGCCTAGACGGAATTTGGACACTCAGGAGTAGCGGTATTGTTAACTACCAGACTGATTGGTCCACGCGTGGCGCGTGCCAAGAGCAGTATGTCGTCAAGATACGATCGAAGGAAGCAGCGCAGTCCATCTAGTAAGTTTTGCGGTGGTGAACTGTTGATCTCACACCGAACTCACACCGAACGGTAGCTCTTGTCGCCATTACTGACTAGTATGGTGATGCGGGTGTGATTGCTTAGGTGAGCGCATAACGCGCGAGTCTGACAAGCGTAAGAAGAACGTGAGCAGTCCCGCAAGAGATAAAGTGGGTTCCCGCATATATGAGATCGGCGACCCCACACCCAGCACTAGTCGCGATGCGATTCCCTCCACATCTGGCTCATACGGGTCCAGTAGTCGCAGCCGAACGAGTGGTGGTGCCACTACGCCAAAGCAAGATAGCGCACATCAGATGGTTAAAAATGAAGCCACCGGGCAGCCGAGAAATAGGTTAACGCGGCAGATCTTCGAACAAATCCCCTTTCTGGAGAGTGATCCTCTGAAAGCTCTGGAAATGCTCAAGAAAATGGTACAAGAATCAGGTAGGATTGCGGAATGTATGGTTGTGTGGAAGCTGATCGTGTTGAGTAGATCAACAAAATTTTAGTGTGTTACTACCTACAAAACGAGTACAGTACAGTATTGCGCAATTCCGGGATTGCACTCTGAACTTATGAGCATTTTGCACTGTAATTGCGATGCTTTAATTTGGTGTTATGGTTTTTCACACGTGTGTCATGTATGCAACGCTTGCTTTTGGTAATCACGGTTCTCTTGTGATTTGCAGGGTTGGAAACATTGTATGCTAATGTAAACGAAAACACAAGCCGTGCTCGCGACTTCAGTGACAGGATTGCGGGTACGGATCAACATGAAATAGCGCTTTTTATTTACTGCAGAAAGCATTGCATCGACGGGATGTGTAAAAATATTTTAATATATTAGAAAATCTGTTTTCTGGTCTCATGGGGGTGATTAGTTTTTTGATTATATTATTACTACTGTTATCAAAAAACTTGCCGACAGAAGCACCCTGATCAGGATGAAACTTGCTACTCCTCTATGTAATTTATTGTTTATTTTGTTTTCATAGAGTTGAAGAGGAATGTGGACAGTATTTTGAAATTCATGATGAGCGGGAAAGCTTCCGAACAGGAAAAGTTGGAGAAATACCGTGAAATGAAAACAATTTGGGCCAAAATCCATGGATTAAACGAAGCTAAAGTTAAACTCACGCAGAACGCATATGATATGGTACGGGGTGCGCGTTCCGTTGTGCGAAGAACAGTAATATGCAATTATGCATGTGTGGTGATAAATCTTTCAGGTTGATCGGGTAATACGCCGCCTAGACAAAGAACTGGAAGCTATAGTCAGTGAGATTGGGTCGGGGAAGTCTTCGTCAGCAGAGAAAAATCAACGTAAGCTTACTTGTTAGCACTAATCTTATATTTTTCTCGGAAACAGTTCAGACGCAATGAATGTTTGTTGTAACCGATGAGAAAATTGCGCAGTATTGGTGTCCAACAGCTGTGTCAAATGTTTTTAATAGATATTTTATATACTCTACGAACTGCTACCTCTAAAGGCTTGGTTACCGGAATACTTACCTGTAGGTGACAAAGGCGCACTGGACGAGGGTCCTGGTCGAGCACGGGTGCGTGGAGCTGATCCGTTCGATATGCCTGTCGATCCCAACGAGCCTACCTATTGCGAGTGTAAACAGATCAGCTTTGGTGAAATGATTGCTTGTGACAATCAGAGCGTAAGTATTTAATTTGATAGTTACGGTGCTTAATTAAAGCATAGCGAAAGGTCAACGGATTTATTGATTTGTGTTTATTCCGTGTTCAGTGCCCGATTGAATGGTTCCATTTCGCTTGTGTTGGACTGACCAGCAAGCCGAAAGGTAAATGGTTCTGTAAGCGCTGCGTGGCCAGTGGGCAGAATAAAGTGGGAAAGAAAAAGAAATCCCGTTTGGGCATCATTGAAAAGTATGCGTCAGCCTCAGATAAAAGTGAAGTGGAGCACATTCTCACTGCCTCCGATTCAGATTAGCCATGAAACCTTATACACGTTGGTGCTGGAGATCTATGTCCGCTGTATTGGTTTTGTCGATCTCTCTTTATTCGAAAGTTTAATCATGACACTTTTTATGCCATCCAATAATGTGCTTTTAGTGGATTATGCTTGTTGCTTTTATGGTGTGATCGTCAAGTGCCACTATACTCCTGGACCTTTTTAGTGTGTTCTTTTATCGAACCCTTCTCTTACAAGGGCTTTTTAGTGTTTGGTTGTTGATGTGTTTTACTGGTTTTTCCTTTCCTCCTTTACCCTTTGAAAATTTTTGTACATCTGTGTTGATGTTTTAGCCTGTTGGACTTTTTTTCGAATTCCAAATTGCTGTACAATTTCTTGTTTACAAAATAAAGGATTAACCTTGGGATCTTTGCGAGAGCGAAACTTAGTCACAGTGGACGACTCATCGCCATCCGTCAATGTTTATTGCAGTATAAACTACTCGTGTAACCTGCAGCAAGAATGTATGGATACTACGTAGTATAGACATAATTATGATCCTGCATTGCAGCCGGTAAAAGCTGCTCTAAGTGATCTTTGATGCACATAGTCTCAAGATTTTTAATTCCGATAGACTTTAGTATTGGCAGTTGCAAAAGAGAAATTATCAATTTGAAGATTTCAACGATCAGATAAAGATCGACTTTTTCTCATAAAGATACACTGTAAATTGTAAAGAATTTTTGCACAGTTGCGAAAGCAGTGAAAATTAAGTACAGCGCAATAAAGCAAGTATCAAACACAAATACAGGTAGGTAGGTACGTATCTACAACCCTGAGCGGCCACTTGGATTAACAACAATAAGAGTAGCGTAACATTTCCATAGAAAAGGCAAATCACGAAAACACTGCCGCAGCCATGACGTCACCAGTAAAAAAGGAACAAATAAGAGCTCCACAGACCAAAACGGTTGCACATTCGTCGGTCTTAACAGCTCTCCCCCAGACTCCTCCAAACAACAAAAATAAAACCAGCATCTCCAGACCTCAATTTTCGGCTAAGTGAGATTACAGGGAAGTTATCCACCGCATGGCGCACTCTTGCGTGCCAGTGGCAGCGCTTCATTTCTTGACCTCTGCGCAAAATTTATACTGCGCCTTGTTGAAAGGACAAGGCAGGTCTCCGTTGCCACGAACGAATAAAAACGGTAATCTGCTGGATAACGAACCAGTAACAAACATTTTAAATGCTGGAGCAGTGTTGAGAATTAGCTAGGATGCAACAAGGATTATGTATGGTGGCGCCCAGGTAATCGTGACGACGGTCGACCTTTTTCCGGATACAGTTTGGCGTCGCGTTGAAGAGGGCAATATTTTTCTGAAAATTAGAGAACCCAAAAGGTTCAGTAACTTGCTAACATATCTACCATCAAAAACTCATAAAGAAGAACTTGTTATCTTATTACCGGCTTCTTCTGGATCTAGCTGCTTCTTTCGGGGACAGTATTCTCCAATATGCCCAGTTACCCCGCAATTATAACATGACACAGGCTTTTGATATAGCGGAACTGACTGAGCCGGGAAGTTCGGAGGATGCATCGGCTGCACCATGTAAGGAACATGACTGGGCAAACGCGGGCCATTCGGTCCAGTTATGGAATAAATACGTGGAAATGCTCCAGTGATGCCTGGTGGTAACGGGTTATTCATATGCACAGGCCACTGCTCGGCGTTGGGAACTGCATGGCGAAGTTCTTCCGGTTCGGTGGAGTTCCTCTTGCCCACTCCGGCCATATCACTCCGCATGTTTTCGGGGAAGAATCCGGCAACCGGTGCCACCACGTTTGGTCTAATGGGCATACTGTCGCTGGGCAGGCGTGGAAATTCCGCAGTGGAAGACATCGACTGCTGAGGTGCCAAGCCCTTACCACCATGGATGGCCGACTTCTCGACTTTCGGTGTTTCTGAATGACGTTTCTGGAGATCACAATGTTCTACTGAGTTACTTCGGGGAATCACAGATGGCTCAGCCGTTTTCTTCGGAGGATACGTTGGGGAGGATACACTGCAATCATAAAAATTTCTCCCAACATTCTCATTCATCCGGGCCGGTACGGACGGAGCTTTTGGTCTGTGATTGACCATTCCACCAGGGAGTAAAGGAGACTGGACTGCAGCAGAAAGCGGCGGAAAATTGGGATTATACATAGCCGGCTTCTGCGGGTTTTTCTCAACTTCGACGAAGGGCGCTGCAGGTGGATGTGGATGTTCGTAATAGCCATTCGGTAATCTGTCGGCCCTAACCAGGGAACTAAAAGTTGCAACCAATTTTCTTACTGGTGCTTTACAGTCATCAGGTGTTCTTACCCAGAAGCGGTTATGGTAGGCTGGTGTTCCACAGGGTTAGCATTAGCTGCCGGGATTAGGTCCACTTTAGGCTGTTCTGGCTCTTCCTCTGTCTCCTGCCTTGCCAGTTCGGCCTGTTCTTCCGCCTCCTGTAATAGCTAATTATTTCGAATCGTAAAATCAAAATCAACAACCATACAAATTGCAAATAAACGAACACATTACAACAAGAAGTTCCATCTATACTGAATTGCAGCAAGTATACGAAGAAGTATAAAACCGGGATAATTTCATGATTAGTTCAAATTTTAATAATAAATATGGCCTTTGCGTTTAATCGCAAATACCGTATTCATTAAAGACTGTGACGACATATTACGATACAGATCCAGTAACGTCGTGATTCATAATTTCTTTGTGTTTGGACTATTGGTTTCATTTGTATTAGAAAAAATTTAGAGTATTCGTGCATAAATGATAAACTGTTATGGTTTAGTACTTTCACAGGGAACCTATCTCTTTTTGATAATAGAAATACAACTTTATAAAAACTTTTTTTCTACAGACCTTCAATGCTTGCAGTTTTTGCGACAGAATTTTGGAGATATTCCAAATAAACAACCTATTGTCGAAGCGGAAAGCGGCATGACGTGCGACCATAATCGTGATGAGGATCAACTCCCGCAGCAGCTTCTGACTGTCCCCGTTGAAATTCCACGTTCCCAGTTCGGCGCGCTGTAGCACCCCAAAGAAGATATCGGCACAATAGAAATTCAGGGGGTGCAACGCCGACAAATCCACAATAAACTGGCGCCGCAACCCATCGTTCGCCATCACGTTGCGCGGATCGTAGTTCTCATAGAAATGCGACAAGCGTACAAAATTATTGGCCTGATTCAGTGAGTTGGTGTACAGGGATTCATCCCGCTTGAGAAACCCGTCAATAACGCCGTGAATGTAGCGCAGCTCCGTGGGGAATAGACTGTGCATCAGCAGATAGACGAAATCAATGCGCTCAAATGTCTCTAGACCGCGAGCCCAGGCCAACACCTTGGCGGATGTGTACTCGCTGGTACTGGAGGACGCTCTCGACGACATGGCCACAGTGATTCGTAATCCGGGTGATCAGCGCTATGCTTAAGGAATTTTCAGTTCGTTTCCACGTTCGGAGACCTTTCAACTTTAAAGATCACAATGTCGAAAACAACAGCAGGCTTCGCAAAATAAAAAAACGGCAAATTCGTCTTGGAATGTTCCGGAATGGCAGGGAATGAATAGACTTGTCTGAGCGGGTGTGTGGTAATGAGTGGCAGAGTAGGAACTGTCTGGCGCGTCGTCTCAAAAATGGCCGTCAAACGCAGCCTGCTAAATCAATATCGACATCACCAGCATGCAACACGTTTTATCGATATCAGAATGGCAAGTAATATCTAGTGCTTCACATATTTTAAACGAAGTATTACGAACAGTAACTAAGTTTCCAAAAAATCGAAAGGAATCTATCTGGTAGTATAACACTGATTGTACTGTAACAAAATTTAACATATACAGCGCTTACTGGTTAGTACTGCAGCTACCGTAATATTACAGCACAGTCTTATTAGAGCCTACAACACGTTTACTCACTGGTGTAGTTGTGTTCTTCCCGTTCGGATGTCTTCCGGGATACAGGGCCCAGAGAACAATACTACACAGGAAAAGAGTGTAAATTCATCAGCCGGAAGGGTCTAAAACTCGAAACTAATGGCAGATTTGTTATCAGGAGTCAATGGTAACGAACTCCAGGACTCCTAAAGGAGAAACCTCCGCTAAATTATTCACGAATGTGTGACGTACAGACGGCACGGCACAGTGGCAAATTATCCCGGCCCTAATGATTGATAGTTTGTCCTAGAACCCAAAGCAGCAGCAGCCCTGCGAAATAATAAAATCATCGACTTATATTCGTCCAGAATCTCTGAAAAGAGAGTCGATAATGAGAAGTGGAAGAAGAAAAGTTTAGTTCGGGACTGATTTGTGAAGTTTTAAATTTTCATTTCATCGGGATTTTGACCAAGCGATGAAATGAAAAGCGATAAAATGATTTTCACGGGCACGGTGTGGAAAGCCAAAAGTGTAACGAACGGCTTTCCAAGCTAAAGATTCCGTTTGGTGCATGCGCCACTTGTAAAAAAAATAAATTTACTGTAATAAATATATTTTTTATAATTCGTTTCTCTGTCTTTTTGATAGCATGTTTGAAACATTCTCGCGTTTGGGATTTGGTAGAACTTTATTATTAATTATTCTGAGGATAAATTTGCTTTTTGTTGCTCTCACCAGAATAGTTAGAGTAGCGATTTTGCGAGACACATAACAACTTCAACTTCTATCTGAATCTACCGACCGATTTCTTGTGCTGAGCAGCTGAGCTCCTTCAACGTTTTCGAACGGATTACCGCCGAGGGCTCTCAGCATATTTGTCCCATTATAAACAGGGAGCACAAACGTAAGCAGAAACCCTTTGGATTTAGTATTCTTAGCGCAGGAAGATATGACCTGAGAGCGGTTTACCTGTTTGATTTGCATAAGTTGTGCTTAGCCGATGTTAGTAATCTACATAACACTGCATCGCGACTTTACAGTAATTGTCAGGAATCGTTTTAAGCAGCATTACATCACCGATACGATGTCTGTCGATTTCGCTCTCATCCTTTCTTGTTCATCCTATGTGTCCGATCTAGGTGCTGATTTATCTTCATCGCGTATTGGCTGCCGTCTGTGAATTTCCTAAGTGGAATTCCAAACAGTCAGAACTGGATCAGCCAGTGTTGCGATTATGAGCAGTCTCCTGTCGCATTCGCACCGTAACTCGGCATCTTCATCCAGTGCATCATTGGGTTACGCTTTGCCGGACACAGTGTCATCCCAGAGCACCGAAGAACATGAGCCGTTTACGGAGGAAACCTGTTGTGTCAAGTTGCGTAAAGTGGGCCGCAGCACTGACCAGGTGCGCGGCTTATCCGCTTGGATTTTCCATCATCGTTCCCATCTTTCGCGTGTCGCTAAATTATGGTTGGCGGAGCTAAAAAAAGGTTTGTTTGATAGATATTGCCGTCTGAATTTTACTTGAAGAATAATAAATTTTTTATTCTTCTAGCACCTCCTGGGCGCCGCTTAACGCTATACTATGTGGCCTATGAAACCTTGGCTATTTGTAAAAAGAAAAAATTCGAGAAGGGATTTCCCTGTTTTCAGGCGGTTCTGCGAGAGGCGACTGTTTATTGCCGGTGCGTCCTTTAACTGGTCCGAATAATGCTCAATTTTTTTGTGCAACTGCGCATTTGTACTAGGGATCGTGAATGCAAGATCGGCGTCCGGAAGGTGTTTGCCATATTCAAAGAAGCCCAATTCTTCAGTGATGACTACCTCAAACAACTCCGTGATGATCTGGAGAAGGGTCGTTCCGTTAGTAATCATAATAAAGTCGTCCTCTTGGATTTCGAACCCGGAGTGATCAGTAAGATCCATGAACAAATGGAAGAGTTTCGAGAAGGTACTCTTAAAATAGCAGAACGGAAGTACCGGGAGAAAGAATCAGATTTGGTTTTTGGAGACGAAGTAATTGGCAAAATTAAAGGTGGGTGTGGTGCGAACAGCGAAACCGCTGCGGCGTTTGGAAGTTCTGTGGGTATTTTCGGTTCAAATCAGTATAAAGGGTTTGTTTTTTGTTCTGCAGAACACGCCGTGGGAAAAGAGTATTTGGCCCGCTTTGACGCAGCATTTCAGCATATGCGGGATTTAGAAGATGCTCGCGAACAAGACCTGAAGCAGTCGTATGATCTGCTTAACCAATTGGAATTGCTCCGCGTTTTTTACAGCACCACTTCTAAAGAGGCGGAGAAGGTTATTGTGGCCTATGGCAATTACGAGCGAGTAGCCCAGAATGGGATGTCTCATCTGGAGAAAGCTCAGCGACTGCTCAATATTCCGTTACCAAATTTGGTTCCCGCAGAACCTGAAGCTGCGGACGTCGTCGATATGGAGCTGTCCGACGATGAAGCCGACGCGACCAAAAAGCCCGTCGGATTTCTTGGAGAAAAACCTGTTGACGGTGCAGCAGAAGTCAACCAGAACACAATGGCGCCAGCGGATTCCTCTCCTTTTAAGGAAAACCCGCGACTGCCTGGACTTAATAATAATCATTTTGCTGCCTTGTTATCTAGTCTCCCGGTGGCACCACCGATTGCCCTACCGTTGCCTTCTATTCCGGTACAGAGCATACCATCCCACACTACACTCCTTCCTCTTCCACCACCATCCCTTCCGCCTTATGCATACCAGCCTCATTCGGTTCCGCCACCAAATTTTTATGATCAAGACGAGTACGAGGATGATTTGCCCGTGGAGCCTTTGAGCACGGGATTTCCGTTAGAACGATACGATAGTAATCCTTTGGTACGCGACCACAGACACGAACACGATGATTATGATGAATACGACGAAGACGATTACGATCACAACGAACAAACAAATCGCCCTCGGTTTGATGATCAGCCGGGTCCTAATAGACCGTTATTCATTGACAGTTCACCTCTGATGGATAACATCAGCCCCCCACGACATCCACCGGTGTCGTTACTCGGCCCGCCGCCTACGACGCCCACGCGACCGCCGTTTGAGATGCGTTTCAGTCCTCCCAGTCTGAGACCGCAAAATATGGGCCGTAACGACTTCTCTCCGCCTCGCTTCCGACCTGCTCCACCAAACGGGAAACCTGCTCTCCTCAGCAATCACCCTTCGCCACAAATCCGTCAATCTGGCCAGTATATCCAATACATTCCCGCCTCCGCAGTGTCTCCGGGATCTCAGCGTATGCCGCTGTTGGCTTCGCCAGTCGGTCCGTCATCACCGCATTTTGATCAGCATTCACTATCAGGCGATCACAACGAACCGCAGACTCCCTTTCAGGGCCGCGGTCGAGGACGAAGAGGGTTCGGCGGTCGACAGACATCCGAAGGACGAGGTGGAGGTGGACGTGGGCGGGGCGCAGGAGGAATGAACGGCCGGGTTGAGGACGCCCATCCTGCGGGAACTTTCAGTATTCCGTCTCTGGCGTCTGGCAGTGGACGCAACAGGGAGCGAACTGGTGGAGCACAGCGTGGGAGAGGCGTAGAGCACATGAGGGGGCGGGGTCGAGGAGGTCACTCAGGACCGTGGAAACCTCAGTTTGATGAGGACGACAATGAAGGAGGCTGGTGTGCAGGTGAATAGATAGATGTTCTTTCTTTCTTCATAGTGAATACGACGTTACGGAAAATTTTTAATTTTACAGGTACTGGATCGAATTTGATTCCGGTTGTTACCACTCAAATGCCGAATATTGAGCCTGTCGGAGAAAGTGTGACGGATCGCTTAATACGCCTGGCTAATATGAAATGATTAATAAATATTGGCCAGTCTGCGGTTTTCTAGTGTGCTGCCGACTGCAGTTTACGAGGATTGTTATTTTTCTTCGTTTTCACTACATTTGTTTTTTCGTGTTAATGCAGACCGAGTGGTACTTATTTATCATCGGCAAATGGCTTGTTTTGTATTGAGTGACGTATTAAACAAAGCCGAGATTTTATGTGTTGGGAAATTAAAAAGAAAGTGTACCATGCTGCCATGAAGCTGACCCGGTGCTTTCATAGTGTAGAAAATTTATATTTTTCGCTTCAAAAGGGCACAGACCTTTTGTTACACTCTGGGGTTTCAAACAGTTACAGAACAAAACAGAAATTCATTGCCGGAAAAGTTTCCATTTCTTTGGCTACAAAGTAGGCATAATATAGAAAACTGCCATAACTTGCACTCGCACGCCAGTTTTTCGTACACTGGCGTACAGTACAACTATGTAAATTTAAACTTCCCAAATACTGCGAGCCAAAACTCGGTTAATAGTGCCGCTCAAATGGATTTCCGCCGGATAACGAAAAAATCGGGTCCAGTAAATCACCAAGGAATTCGTACGCCTGTTCATAGGCATTCACATAATTTTAAAGCAAAAAATATAAGCGGCACATTAATGACGTTCATGCTAGATTGGTATTAACCTGAATGGTCGAATAAAAGCAGAACCGCACCACATGACCAATTTGTGCTGTGTCTTGAATATCCTCGTACAGTAAGCTAGTAGTGGCAATCGCGGTGCAATCTGGAGTAACTCCTGTAGAAATTAAGACAAGAGATAAAAGGAAATTCAGGAAACCTAAAATTCACAAATGTGGCAAATTTACCGTATGCATAGCCCATTTTCAACTGCTCTAGTTTTCCTTGCAACATGCTGGATAATTGGCTTCCAATAATTACACACGTTCCGAATACCTAGAAACAGACACCGGCACATAATCCAACGAATACGGCAAGTCTGGGCAGTACTGCAATTTGGATGCAGTCTATGATATTCCGTACTTTCGATTTATTTATTTGGTTTCAGTCTTGCAGATACAAAAGAACGCACTGTGTATTTTCCCATGGCTGCCGGCAAAATTTGTCCACCATGACTTCGATGTTCCAGTCGAAATGCGTCATGAAAGATTGGCTTCCCATTTTTTGTGACAGCTGTATCGCTGGCAATCCTAAACATGCACAGATACCTGGTCGCTCATTGCCACATCGATGTTTCAGAAGATCAGAAAAAAGTCGATGCCAGTAGTAATGTGCGACAACATCGCTTTACTGCCGCTCTGTCAGCCTCTGTGCACGCAGTTTTGCACTTTAATTTGCAACTTTCAGAGAGCTAGCGTAATTTAATCACTTCTTACAATTAAACACGTCTTTTATCCCGTTAAAAAATTTTTGAAGTGCAAAAAAATTTCAGCACTTAAAATTAATACAGGATTTAATTAAAAATAATATAAGAGCAAACCGAAACTGATGAACTCTAATTATTGACAATAATTATTGACAACTGATATTTTTTATTGACAACCTTACGATTTCTTTTTTCTATATACCTTTTTGCTGACCAGTGTTCACGCAATGTCGCTCTGCCAGCGGTGTACCAGTCCAACAGAATAATTTCTGAAGACGCGTCGCTGAGAATGACTTCCTAAAAAAATTTTAATCAGATCTTATAACCATTTTGCCATCAAGCGGACACTGTTGTTCACCTGTTTCTGCATGAACACTGCATCGGCATACACCATAATGGGGTCCGGCATAACGATTAGCAATGCATTTTCGTCCACAATGTATTGCCAGTTTTGCTTTATCTCCTGCTGCCCTTCACAGGAAAAAGCCTCAAAACACCAAATTGTCAGACTAGTTAGTACTGTTATTATTATTACGCATAAAACCCAGTAATGAAATATCAAATTGGGATAATCAAATAATGCCCACAAATAAGGTTTACCATAATTATGTACATTATGTAGCGTTCGAAATTAAATAGATAAACATAGTTATTAACAGTTACGACTTGGAGATTCGCGGTCAACCGATACACATTCCTACCTTACCATATCCTAGCGAAGTATACAAACAGCGGCAGCGATTGCCGACGGTAATACGGCAGTGGACATCATCTCCCCCAACAAATCCCCCTCCGAACTGCATACCATACAACCACAGGCATGATGACGAAGTGTGGGAACCGCGCGGTACCCAGAACTTCATTGGGTACTGGTATCGCAACTGCTTGGTTCGGCAGCGGCTTCTAGCTGAGACGAGAAAAAGAGAATTGGATTCTGTGTCCGCATCAAAACGCACTGTACATTTATTGTTATTTGAAGCGAACCCGCTTTGTCAAGGATTTTATAACTGCGGCCATTTGTCGGTAACTTTCCTGATCTGCTCGTAGTGTACAACACGCGACAAACTACAACTTCATATGATGCTGGTTTACCTTCATGTTCATTAATACTGCTCCTATCGGCGTCAACGGAAATAATTTCGATATCGCCATGGAGTGAAGGAGAACTGGAAGATAATTTGCATTCCGATATTTCCATGGCGCAAGTAAAACTGTATCAGCATGCATTCATCCATAAAAGAAGACACTCACATTCGTGTAAGAAGTCAGAAGTTAGCACAACATGTGAGCACGCCTGGCTTATTCTGTGCTATGAATGCAACCAGCAATTCGACAGAATCTGGTGTTTTAAACCTGAAGACTGAAGTGGCATTCGCTATAAGAATACGATACAAATATCTATAAAGGTATGTATGTGCAATCTATCAGGGTCAATTGATTACTGATGAGGCTTCGACACTGGTATTTGCCGCCTTGCCGGTACGATTGATTTGCCGGTTCGATAACTGCCTTTTGCGCATTGGTATAAGAATTAACGATAAGCAAGAAAACAAGTTGTAATTGGCTTTATGGAGAACAACCAGCAAGATTTCGATGCCTTAGCACTTCACAAAGATTTTTCATTGCGAATCGTAATACATATCAAACAAACGAAAGCGCAACGAAAGCGAAAGCGCAAACAAACAAACAAACAAACAAACAAACGAAAGCGCAACTTCCTGCCGAAGGTCAGAGACGATTTTCGAGCATGTAATAAGACCGGAAGTAATTTTTTTCGTTCATCGACAAGAGCAAGCGAGACATCTGACTGGTAAACGGACGCGGCGGCTCTAGCTGATAGCGCTGACAAAAAAAGAAATTATTTAAAAATTTTTATTAACGATCAACCGTTTTCTAAACCAGTACTTAGGTAATTAATTATAAATCCTTTATAATAAAAGAATAAGAAGGTGCACAAAAATCGTGTCTGTCTCCCTTTTCTGAACAAAGTTAAGAATTTTCAAAGATTTACGTTAAAACAGCCTGTGGCATGGGCCACCGCACGCGTGCTTCTGTTACGTTGTCACTTGACAACTGGAGGGTCCACAAATGGTGCAATGGCTGTAAAATCACGAATAAAATCAAGTAAGAGGCAGTTTATCGGACCTGACTACTTGCTACTTGCTACCATTTTCGCAGGCGTGGTCTCCCGTAGCCGTTTTGGTAGCAAGTAGTTCCACAAAATGAGTTTATGCTGGCTGACTACTGCTACGTAGCTGGCTATGTAGCACCGACTACGTAGCGCAACTGTCTGCATAAACAGACGATGCTATTGGTAGTCGTGACTAGATTGCTAGCTCGTAAGGACTATGGATAAGCCATGTAGTAACCTCTTGAGGTTGCTAATCCATATACCAACTTCGCAGATAATGCGGAAAAATTCGATACAGTACACAATAACCATTAAAAAGTTTGAAACCAAGTTCGAATTAACAAACACGATCATGTAATGAAACGTTTTAAATTTAAAATTCAATTTTTTAACTTTTAAATTAAATTTGAAAGTTAAACTGTATTTTTTTTTAAATTCAAGTTCAAATTGGGAAAAAAATTTTTAACTTACAACTAAACCTGAAATTTCAAAATTAAAATTTTCAAAGATTTTAATTTAGATTTTGAAGATGAAATCTTGAAACAAATCAAATAAATAAAATGTTTCACATGTACAATAAATTAAAAAGTTAAAAGCGGATTAAAATAATTTCCAGAAAATAGTGTGAAATGTGGTGGCCAGTGGGAGAGCAAAAAGGTCGTAGTGAATAAGTCTTTATTCGCAATGAGACTGAACAAACAGAGCAACACAAACACATAAGCTGGTGAAACAATCTGCTGACAAGCAAGCTGACAAAGATGCAGAAGCTGGAGAAGTAATGGGCCAAGATCATAAGCAGAAGCTCGCTATATATACGGCGAATGCGATAGCGGATATGAACCGTTATGTTAGTCGGTAACGTCTAATCAAAGAGCACGCATAATAAGTAGCGCAATGGACAGGCATATCAAGTAGCGCAATGTACGGAAGCATGTAGATGAACAGCACATATACTGTGAAATATACAATATGCTGTGAATAGCCGTAGGATATCTCACATAATCCTCTCTTTAGCTGTTGCACGTCCTCGCTGCAACCAAGGTCTTTTCCACACGGGTGGTCAACAGTGGGCAACGTTAGCGTATGTTACAATGCCATTATCCGTTTCTTTCCGGTCGCTGAATTATAGGGAAGTTGATAGGGTCGGGTTCAAAGGTAATCCTCCTCTTCTTCTGTCATATATCGGTTTGACGAATATGCACTATTCCCGCAAGTACAGCAATTCTGGTCTTCACCTTCGTATTCAACGTACTCGCTGTTTCCGGAATATTCCTGCGCGGATTTTTTAGAGTGACAATAGTAAACATCGTCCTCATCCTGATTGGTACGTTCATCATCATCGTCATTTCCATCGTTTTCATCGTCTTCTTCGCTGTTGTTGGTTTCTTCGTGATACCAGTCGTTGTCATTGTAATCAGCATTTTCGTGATTACCATCGCCTTCTTCATTCCAAGCGTCGTTATAGCCCTGGTTATAGGCTTTATTGCAAGCATTCTTGTTTTCTTGATGAGCATAATTATAACCGTCGTCGTACCCAGCTTGGTAGCCTTCGTCGTAGGCACTCTCAATCATTTTATTAAAGTATCGCAATCCGGATTTCTTCAAATAACCGGTATCGGTTTGCTGATCGTATTCCATATGATACATGCACTGCTGCAGCTGCGGTGTTTTCTCTGCATGCATTTGCTGGACCAGGTCGAAAAACTCGTTCAAAAACTTCCTCAGGGCTGGCTGAGTTTTACACAGTGGTTGCATGTAACTTTTAAAATCGATCCATCCAAGGATAAAGTTGTGTCCACCTGGGTTCCGGCGAACTACGTGACATTGGATATTCCGCTCGGACCCGAAAGCTTTAAGCAAAAACGTTGCAGTACCAAGTGTACGTAACTTGTGTCCAGATGCGGTCTTGATTGTGATTGTTTCCTTCGATAAATCGTTGAGTGAAATTTTGAAAGATTTTAGCGTTGGCCTGTCTATCGTTGTGACCGACGAGCCGGTATCCAGGAGCGTTCGTACTTCACAGTTCCCCATTCCGCGGGTACTTACGACCCATGATTTAATCAGAGCTTCGGAATTTGTCATGGTTTCCATGGGGAATCCAATCCAATGAATTTCAGAATATCAATAATGCGCTTTGGCGGTTCCTTTCATGAGAAACTTCGTACTTACTGTTGATCCAGACGCTTCAAGGGTATTCAAGTTGATTCCTCTTTTCTTATTGAACGGTTTTCTATTGCTCACTACTATACTTTGGTATAATAGTGGATGTCACACGAGTGTTTTCGGCGTTTTATCTGCAGATGATTCAAATGGAACTCAGGTTCCGTGATGATTCACGCTCCGCGTAAATTTACTCGAGTTGATTAATCTTGCGGGCAAACTGTTGCCAATCTGCTCTTCGCATATGCCTCCGGTAGTAGAACTCCACGCTCGACGGAGGCGGAAAATTCGTCCTGGGGCGACTTTGCACCAACAGGCTAACTGCACATGTATTGTGTGCTATTTAGCACGGTAAACGTCGTGCAAAATACCGGAAAATGGACGGACGCTGCCGATCCATTGACAATGATTTGGCCGCTTCAAGTAGCGATCCAATAGCGCGCACGGACTGCCAATCGGAAAACCAATGATTCTTTGTTACTTCTGGACTGCTCGCGGGAGAAGCCGGAAATAACGGGGCTGGGAAGATTCCAATCTTTTTCTTGGCAGTTTCTTTTGTCGTATCCTTCCGCCGACCTGTGGCTGACCGGAAAGAACTTTCTCTTCCAGACTGATGGAGCGCTGCTTCGAAGCTGATGGGACGGACTCTGGAGTCTCCGGGCTGCTGGGGCAGCTGTTGACAGGTTGTATTCGGTTGTACACGTACAACCGTTTATGATGTTCGATGGTCGTGTCCGTTCGACCGCTAAGGATTCCGGACGAGTGTTCCCACTCGATCCTTCAGGACGTCCGAGGTAACGACGCGTTCCACGCCGGGCCCAATTATCGCCTGACCGGGATCGTCGACTATCCTGGTCTGACGGTCTCCAAGCTTTGATGTCCAAATGAAGTATAACGTATGACTTACTGTTAATCCAGGAGGAGATTGGGTCCACGGGGTGATCAGCTCCGCGTCGCCTCACGTCCTGATTCCTTCGACGGTCCTATCTTCAAACCGGTTTCGGCACCACTGTGAAATGTGGTGGCCAGTGGGAGAGCAAAACGGTCGTAGTGAATAAGTCTTTATTCGCAATGAGACTGAACAAACAGAGCAACACAAACACATAAGCTGGTGAAACAATCTGCTGACAAGCAAGCTGACAAAGATGCAGAAGCTGGAGAAGTAATGGGCCAAGATCATAAGCAGAAGCTCGCTATATATACGGCGAATGCGATAGCGGATATGAACCGTTATGTTAGTCGGTAACGTCTAATCAAAGAGCACGCATAATAAGTAGCTAGAGATGGGCAAACTAAAATTAGTCGATTAATTAACGGTTAACTTCGGTTAACCTGACCAAAACCAAAAAAATTAGTTTAGCAAACTTTAGTAACTAAAAAATTTAGTCAGAAGCTTTTTAGTGACTAAATATTTTAGTCAAGTTGATTTTAGTTACTAAATTTCCACGGTTAACCGGTTAACCAAAATTGTGTGGTTAGGGCACTAAAAAACCAAGCCCAAATGTACAAAATAAATTCATTGGTGCATTACACACCTTCCCTGTGCTCAGTACTGCTCTAATAAGCGCCTAAAGTATGACCAAATGGCGAAACTACGGGCGGACGACTGCAGCAGTACCAGGAGGTGTGTAATGCATCTTTATTTACGGCTATATTATCCCAGTGTCTGAGTGAGCCGCACTAAATGACTGTTTCTATATACGTGTACTGTAAAGTTTAAGCTCGTCTGGCTCGACAACCATAGGCGTACGGCGAAATGAGCAACATATTAATTTTTGCAAATGATAGCCTGGACGCAGTAAATTACACTTAATTTGAAAACCGAAAAATTTAATTTTAGTCTCGGTTAACTTTGGTTAACCGGTTAAAAATTTTAACCAACTCGTAGTTAACCACTAAGAAATTTAGTCACCAACGTTTAGTTGACTAAAAGTTTTAACCAAGTCAGTTTTAGCAACTAAAACTTTTAACCGAGTTTTAGTTTAGTTTAGTTTAGTCAGTTTTAGTTTGCCCATCTCTATAAGTAGCGCAATGGACAGGCATATCAAGTAGCGCAATGTACGGAAGCATGTAGATGAACAGCACATATACTGTGAAATATACAATATGCTGTGAATAGCCGTAGGATATCTCACAATAGCAATATTACGGAGTACGCCTAATATCAGCTTGCCATAATGTATTTAATGTCGGCTTGCCATATACCTAATGTCGGCTTGCCATAAGCCTAATATCGGCTTGCCATAGTCAAGTAACCCGCCACCATAAGAGGTTGTCCGCTGCCGTAGCGGTGGGCGGGCGCTGCTGTTGCTGCCTGCCGTTACTGTGGGCGGTTGCCTTCTACGGTCACACCGGGCGGGTGCCGTCTAGTCGTAGCAAGCCGCTGTGAACTGGCTACTTTCTTGCTATCAGCTAGAAGGGTAGCAAGCTGGCGACGAGTTTATGCGAACAGACTAGCATTTGTGCATCGGGGGAAGGGATAGCACGTAGCCACAAAGTTGTAGCAACCGCTATAAACTCCCTCTAAGACGCCACTTCTGCACAATATTATTGTGCACTCCTCCAGGTTGTATTGCAGGAAGTACGATAGGCAAACAAGCGAGGCAAACAAGCAAGGCTAAGCTTCTTGAATATTTTTCTTAATTATGTTTAATTCTGCTAGTATTAGAAATGATTTAGAGCGTAGAAAATGTTTGGCACAAGTTTGGTACACAACATTTAAGATTTAAAACATTTCAGCAGTACATTGTATTAACTGTAGTTATTTAATAAAAACTGGTTAGTAAATTTGCTTAATGTAATGCGCCTCTTCTTTAATATACTTCTGTGCGCAAAATATAAATCACCATATTAATTTGTTTTGTAAAAAACTCAAGAGAACAAGGATTTTTTTATACTAAACACTACAATTTTTTGCGTTTTTGCATTTATGAATTTTTTTATAGCGCTTAATTTTGTTTATAGTACGGCCCGATGTACTGTTTAAAATTTATAATTCAATAAATTCTTTTTACATTTATAAAGTCCTTTACATTACATTTATTAAAATCTTTAAAACCATACCAGATATCTTTCCGTTCTACCGGTTACAAATTTTTATTTTAACTTTTAAAATTGTTTTTAATATGATTAAATATAACTAAAAATAATATTCAGGAATCAAGATGCTTAGCTGATATCTTATGCATTATAATCAAAGACCGGCGTGCGGGCTGGTTTGCTTAATGTATTGCCTGTAGTACAACGCGTAGTATAATCTAGTGTATGACCTGTAGTTTAACGTCACTTTAACCTGTAGTGCGCTAAGTTGAGTTGATAGCAATGCCTGTAGTACAGCTTAGTGTTCAGTTTGCAGTATTACGTGGCGTATAGCCTGCAGGACACCTCAGTGTATGGCCTGTAGTAAAAACTTTGTTTTTTATGACTGTAATACATATGCTGCTTTCGTCGCCGTATAGAATGTTGTCAGTATTTTCTTGCACAGTATAATAAAATTTTCAGGATACATCGAACGGGGTTTTTATTAGTTTCTCAGCAAATTATAAAAATTGGGATATTCTTTAACTTACTATTACTTGTGTGTATGTGTATCATTACCAATGTATATCACTCTAAAAAGATTCATAACTTTTTCAATTAATACACATATTGCTTCTCATTGCTCTTCAGCATGTCAGTTAATGGAAAATGGAAACAGTTGTGGTTTAATCTCTGCTAATAAAATGTCAGGTCTTTGTATTCAGAAAACTTGTATTATTTCGATTTCGTTTTAGATTCCAAACACGGTAATAGTTAGGTAACTGGTCAGTGGTCCATAGGAATTAGTCGGTCAGCCACCATTTTCACATTTTGGTTTTTTTATTATTAAGCGTGGGCAACAGCGGTGGTCGAATACTGGATTCTGGAATCAGATTGTTATTACGGACAGATTTGGAATTTAAAATGGCGGAAAATACGGTCTGTAGTAACAGTGAGCCGGGCGCGTGATGTACCAGCTCTGTAAAACACGGAAAAGTCACAGTGGTAGCGGGAAATTTCGCTCCAAGCGTGAGTGCTTGGGTCAAATGGGCCTCTTGCTTTTCAGAAAATTTGAAAAGGAAAGGGTTGACTTAATTATTATGCTATTACAATTGTCATTTGTCATGAAGATTGTTGTGACGATTTTTATGAAAATCATCTATGAATTTTAAAATTCCATTTAGAATTTTATACCAGTAACCTTTGCAAAAATTAAATGAATTAATTTCGTTATAAATTCCAACGCTTTGGTCAAACATGTACCTACATCAAAAAAGTTTGACGTAAGAAAAACGCCAGTTTTAATTTTTTTTATATTTATATATGATTCCCTAACAAAAACAAATAAAACACGGGAAGTTGGACAATGCCAGCTCTCGGCAGTGATTGTGGTATGACAGTACTGTAACGGGACGCCCGCGCCGATCAGGAAATGCGGTCGGAAATCGGGAGTGACAGACGGGATGTCTTTGAATTTATTTATTTAAAATGTATTTGCTGTCTGTGAACTAATAAGGTGCACATGGAAACGGCAATTTTTCAGAGGAAACTTTCAAATTTCTACGCTTAACGGTATTCCGCAATCTGAGCCAACGAATCGACGAGACGTTAAGCCATTCAAACATTTGCTTATGCAAATAAATTAAACTGCACTAGGTTTCGCTCATTAAAATTACATTTTGTAATCGTTATTTTATAGTTCTGCGTTTAGTATGAAAAGGTAATAATAATCCTTCGCGGACTTATTCCGCGCAAATTGCGCGGGGTCTGCTAGTTTAATTACTTATAAATTTAAAAGTACAACACTTACCGTTCTGCATTGTAATTCCCATGCTATATGCTGAAAGAAGCATAAGCTACCCTTACCGGCAATCGAACCCCCTGCGATTTCGGATGTCCCATACTACTGTATATAAATTTGCAGTGCCGCCACCGCATCGGAAGTTTTTACGGGTTTGTGGTAGCATTGATCAGGCATTTGCATCGAAGAGTTTTTCCCTGAGTTTTCATCTTCGAAATCCTGCCAGGATGGGTTTCAGTAACAAGGTAAGTGGCTAAGCTGTACCGGAGAACACGCACGGGTCCTAGCTTTGTAAGTGTATTAAAAGAAATTCAGGGATATGCGCAGCGTATACTATGGGCTCTCCGTGGTTCTTCCGCGACGCACTTGGTTCTTCCCTGAACTTGGCTCACTAACTGTGTATTACAGCCTATGATTATCGATGGCCGCGGCCATTTACTGGGCCGGCTCGCCGCTATGACCGCCAAAACCCTTCTTACTGGTAAGCACAGGATAGTACTGCGCCTGTTTGCTAAGGTATATGTCGTGATGCTTTCATACAAATCGTATTGATTCTTTTCCAGGTCAGAATATCGTGGTTGTCAGATGCGAAGGAATCAATATCTCTGGCAGTTTTTATCGCAACAAGTGTACGTATTTCGTGAAGGGAGTGCGAGGGTGAAAAATAACAGTTTATGATTTTGCAGTGAAGTACCTTGATTTCCTCCGCAAACGTATGAACACTAACCCTCGTCGCGGACCATACCATTTCCGAGCTCCCAGCAAGATCTTTTGGCGTACAGTAAGAGGTGAGAAGGCAATCAGGGCTTCGAACATGCGATCTGTTTAATTGTATTCGGTTGTTCGCTGCGTTGCGATGTGTCCCAGACTCCCAATAGATTTACGTGATTAAACTTTCTTTTACGTACTTCACTTCCTATAGGAATGCTGCCACATAAGACTGCTCGTGGTCAAGCGGCACTGGACCGCTTGAAGGTGTTCGAAGGAATTCCTCCTCCATATGACAAGAAAAAGCGCCAGGTTGTTCCTTGTGCCCTCCGGAGTCTGAGACTTAATCCCCGTCGCAAGGTATTTTGCGTTTCACTTTCGACACTACTGTAGTGTCACGCGTTTGGAAACGTACAATAAGTAACCTAACATCTTTACTTCAGTTCTGTGAGGTTGGTCGGTTATCAGCGGAAGTGGGCTGGAAATACCAGGATGTTATTGCCACCCTTGAAGCGAAACGGAAAGCCAAGGCGAATGTGTTTCACAAGCAGAAAAAGCGAGACCGCGTAAGTTCGCGACATTGATTTGTTGTTAGGACCTGCATCCCTTCAGCCATTAACTATAGATACAGAACGGCTTCCAAACGCGGGTGTATTTGAGCGGCGCTATTTTTGTATTGTAGAAACTTTTGGATCAGGCGCGGAAAAATGTTGGAACAAAAGCAGCGAAATACCAACAGATCATTGAAAGTTACGGTCATAAATGAATTATTTCATCGATGTTTTTTATCTGAGAGACACCTTTCTGAGGAACTGAGGAAACAATTTAGACATCAAAAATAAAGAAGACCCGTCAGCTGGTTTGTGGTTGATAATTATTTCGGAATACGAGTCTCACTATCGCAGTTTGACTTCTTGTGCAGTTCGCTCTTCGCATTGGTTTTTGAATTCTAGAGCATTGAATCTTTCCAGTGACTTCCACTAAATTTAGCGTTGATGAATGATGAGCAGGGTCAGCTCTCTTAAATCTGGCATCATAGCGATATCATAACGGTGAACCATAAGAAACTAAAAGAGAGAGAGAGAGACAAAGCCGGTAAGAAACTTCAAACAGAAATTCTGGAAGTGCGTTCTTTCCGTATCCTGCGAAATAGTTGTGACAATAAAGGTGGTTCATGGATGCAAAATTTACAATGTAGGACTAAATGGTCGCATAGCCCCACACCCAGCATTCTGTACGCAAGCGGTGCAGTGCACTTGTACGAAACGGATATTTTGAACTCAGTCGTACAGTGCACTGCGCTGCATTCGTACTGAATGTGGAGATGTTGGGTATGCGACCATTTCGTCCTAAGCTGTACTCTGGGCCTTGCAGTTGACCGTCCACTTCCGATGTACATCCGGTTACTTTTCTAGTTGGTTTTTTTTACGTTATGGCTTTATTGGAAAATTATACGTTCGTTTACATGCCTTTTGCACACTGAGATCATATAATATCCTCGTAGTACAGAGTACGAAGTAGTTTATTTTATGGAACCAGAAACCGGAGGACATCGTCAGCTGCAGGCGAGATCACTAGATAGCAGATGCTACAAGCCCATCCAACAATTCTTTGACCGCTGTAAGCGCAGCGCATATAAATCGCGCACAGTAATGCAAATACGCATCGTAGTGTAGTGGCAGATATATTTATAAATATTCAACCAATAATAATATATTAGATCACAATTAATCGACCATTATTAGACCAACGTGGCATCAATCATCATCTAGACAGTTTCGTTAACAATGCGACAAAATTACCCCTTTATGTAGTCAAGTCCTGGCGGGAAATTTGTGGAATTGCGCTATGCCGGCTACAAAGACCGCAAAATCGTGCTGCAAACGGTGGAGCTAATCGACGACGAGAAAGCCCTAATATCCTTATTGGCGAGTTGCAATCAGTAATTTGAAAGTAATATGGATATTAAGTACCACCGCGATATTGTATTGCAAAGCAAAGATAATACTGATACAAAAGCATAAAATTAATATAAATTATGATGGCAATAAATAATGCTAAACATATTACGTTGTATATCACAGATACAGTAACCGCAAATTACATGCAGATTTGTTGCTTATTTACGCAATACGCAGACCATGTGGCGTGACGTGTCGAAACATTAAAATGCCCGCTCATCGTTTGCTTTTTTAAATTCCGCCACAGTGGTCAAAGAATTGTTGGATGGGCTTGTATTTGACATTGGATATAGTCATATAGATATGTTGTCCAAAAATCTTCAAAGAAGCGGAATTAAGGATAAAGTGATTTAAACGTGCCATATTAAATTTATAAGGCGTATTGTACAACTACAAATAGACCGCTAAGTGCCGTGATTATTCCTTATGCTTTAAATTTTGCGCGAAACGGGCGGTCGACCGCTCGACACTACTAACTGACTCGACAGCAGCCGAAAGACGAAGTGGAATGCAACTCACAAGTACAGTAAATTTATTGTTTACGTTTTTATCTTTTGTGATTTATCGTACGAGTAGCGTTTGAATTTTTTTCCGTTTTGCTTTGCAAAGTAAAGTGTATAGAGGTGTGGACCGTTTGGTACTTACTTATGAGTTTAATCTCTGTAGGCTTTTAAGGAAAATTCACTGGCAGTTCGGTACTGCCTTTATGTTGTCACTATCTGTGACTATCAGGCAGTTATTTCGAAAGGTGGAATTGATCGTGCTCCTCCTAGAGTGCCGCACAGTTTGCTTTGCAGTTGCGGCACGATGATTTAACGGGGACCGCTGGAAATGCTAATGACAGTCAGGCAAATTATAGATGTCGATTTGTTGCAGAATGTTTCGTATGAAGACGGGAAAAGTCTTCTTATGGATGTTACTAATCCTTTGCAAAACGTCTTGCCAAGGGGAAAAGGATCCTTCATCCAAAAACCAAACTGTACTCTCAACGAAATGCGGTGCGGACGGAAAAGGTGCTGGTTGTCGGAACGTGATGGAAGTGGCGCAAGAACAATTCCTTGAGCAGCCGTCGGGGCATTCTGTTGGCGGGAAAGTTGATCAGATGGAGATAAAATCCCCGCAGAACAGCGATACTGATAACTCTTTTGGGAAAAAAGACGTTGCAGACGCTCGTCCATTGGCGGGGTTGTCCGATGTGGAGCAGCTGTCTGGGAAAAAGATCAGAAACAACGACGATGCGGGAGTACCGAGCGCAGATCACTTTGCAGACTCCTTTCACGCACACGGTGCGGAATTTTTCCAATACAATCCCTACTCACCAGTCGTGCAGTGTGATTATTTGTAAGCGGATGCACTATTTTGGTCTTCTTGGCTATTGTAATTTTCTTCGTTTTAACCGTTTTCTCGTTCCGCATACCAAATGGTAGCTAAGAAAAAAGTGTGAGATGTTAGATTTATAAGAAAATAGTTTTGTAGTTCAGTTCTAGTACCGCAATGTGAAACAGATCGAAGATGGCAGATGCCACATTTGTAATGTTTTTGAAACAATTTTGAAATTTCAGCGTATTTACTATTTCTGTTATATTCTTATTTGTCTCCATTCGTTTCATATAATTACTCTGTACTAGAAATGCTTTAATTTTCTGTAAGAACTCTAGTTGTTTTTGTAAGATTTCGTTTAGGGACAGATTAGTGTTCACAAGTTTCTTTTTAAAACCTGAAGCTGCTTTATTTGCAGGCCTATGGAGTTTTTGGAATGTGAACAACCTGCCGACTTGCAAGGGAACGTGACTCAATATCAGCAGCAGGGATACGGCTGCTATACGGTTAGTGGCTTACGCACGGCTTACTAGAGTAGTCCGCGTTTCGCGATTTCTCATTGTACCATTAGAACGCAGCCGATTTCTTGTAGTCTTACGGTTAGATATACAAATTTGAAGCCGACCTGCTGTTTATTTCAAGCTTATGGTTAATTCTCTGTAGTACGGTGGACGCAGATGGGAAGATGTGCAGCATAGTGCGGCTTGGTGTGCCGTTCTACCAGGAATCGAATGCTTTGGCCAACGGCAGTTCCTTCGGGAAGGATTTCCCTGTGTTAAGTAAGTACGTTCGCCGAAGTCCAATAGGAGTAAACGCCTAAACGGGTGGAAGTTTGTGAAAGTGCAGTACAAGTGGTCTCACTCGTCTATATTTTATCGTATCCGTTATCCAACTATAAACCGTTGGTTGCAGGTATACCGGCTATAGTTTTTTATCTACGTTTCTCTATTCCTTGTTGCTGGGATTTCTCGGCGTGGATCGTTTCTGCCTGGGGTATACTGGACTGGGTGCGGCTAAGCTGCTGACCATTGGTGGCTTCGGTGTGTGGTGGTTCGTGGACATTGTTCTTCTGGTCACAGGAGACATTATGCCCGCTGATGGTAGCAACTGGGTTCCCGATTATTGACTGCATTTCTGATTGTGGGGATTATCTGAGGGAATGATGTCTTACCTGTTAGATGAGCGCGGAAGATGAGAAGGAAACGGGATGGAGATTGTTTCCGTTGATTTATGCCATCTTGTTTGCAACGATGCCAGACTGATATGTTTATAAATGAAAGTGTATTGAATTTGCATTGTTAAAAGTTTTGGTTTTATTTGATTTTTTAACTGTATGATTCCGATTTTAGCTATTGTTTCAAGACTGGTTTTAACTAAATCGTGTTTTGTTTGCGTTTGAAGATTGTCTTGGAGATTATTTTTCTATCCTGAACATTTCCACGAATGACTTGACGTTTTACTGAACGACTGACGTACAAATAAGGGTGCAAAATAACTGCAAATAATACAATTTTTTTTTTACCTACGCATATAAAATTTATCGGTATGTGTTAGTGGATTTTGTGCAATAATATACCGAGATATATGTAGTACATATAAAGATTGCAAAATTGAGCACTTTGGGAACGGGTATCGTTGCGAGCAGTTACTTAATTCCGATCGCCACATTTTTTGTATGTGTTATTGTTCCGCTATTGCCTTCACACTATGATTATTCTCCCTTTGATTGTCTAAATATAATCGCAGATGATTTATTACCAATAATGCCATTCATTTTACCAAATATTTATATTTATACAACATAGGGAAGACGACATGGTCAGTATCATGTCAGCCAGTTGACGGTGTCACGTAGCGTCTTGATCGTTTCAAGTGCTTCTTTAAATCGGCTTAATCGGCCCATATCAAATGCTCAATCATCCTTGCCGGCCTTACAATTTGTTAGTTTTGTGCATCATAATTTGACCGTCCAGTTGCTTATTTCTGCACTTTTCGCGCACCGCATTACGCAGTAATACGTACTTCCGGAAAGTTTTGAAATTAAATCGTACATAAGGTTGCTTGAGCCACTTTGCTTGTTGGAAATAGTATTATTGAAAAATGTTCGTGCGACCACATCTTCGTGGACGACTACTGCATTATGCCATAAACGTGGAAGTGATGGCGCGTGGTTTTTATATTAATATAAAATAATAATTGTCATTATATTGTATCGGGGGTTTATAAGGTTCATAAGGTTTGTAAGATTCAGTTATAATCATTGTATTAATTTTTGCAAGTTGCATTAATTGCGTCCCCGTTTTCGAATATTCGGTGAAAGAGACGAGCTCGAGCTGTTCGAAAACGTTCCTTCCGCCTTTGATACTTAAGAAATCGATGAGCATATGTTCTCTTAATTGTTTCGACCTTAAGTAAACAGAAAACATTCAACAATACCACGGAACTGGCGCCACTTTACTATGCAAACCAACCCAGACAGGTGAAAAGCGCTCAATTAAAGCCTTGTTATACTGGATATATAGATATACTATTGGCAACACCGTGTTTTACCTGCCGATAGGTTTAATAGTTTATCAAACTCGCAGTTACGTATTACGTGAAGTGTAAGTAACTAAAAATTGCATCAGGTATTGCATGATAATAATTCACAATAATAATTCTACATACTGTAGTTATCCTGATGATGGTTGATTTAATTGCAAGTGATAATTTATTAAGAAACTATATACAGTTTCTGCCGGCAGCTTGACAGCATATTATAACGACAGTGCCGAAGACGGCTGTGAGATCTTCAGCATGCAAAAAAAAACAGTCCTAACACAGTCGGGATGAGATCTGCTTTTGCTGACTGAAGGAATTTATACCCGAAAGATCCGATTGCTCCCTGATCTTTATGAACCTAACATTACCAGAAGGTCACGAACAATATACTATATGAGATACACAGCGTATGTCTGGCATCTGCAGCGCAGAGAAATCGTTCGTAGTTTACTGGTGTAAAAGTTTACGTAAAGGAACTTTCTAGAAACTCTTTTCATCTTTGGTTTTTGGAATTGACAAATAATTAGAAATTAAATTGCTGCTCAAGATAGCTCATTCTGTCATGGAATAACACTGCATGATTGCCTACGGACTGTATAACAAATACTTGCTACGTACGTACGTGAGGATTTCATTAGCTTTGGACCACGAGCTAGTTCATCGCACACTGGAAAACTCACTTCTTAAACGGCCTATCCAGGTTCTAAAACACCGAATCCACATTATTTTGGTACAAAAAATGCAGCCTATTATTAGGAAATATTTTTTGTATTGGTGGGAGCCAGTTACTCCTACTTAGTTACATGTTTTAATACTCGTGCCCCTGATGTAAAGCTTGATGAAGTGTAATATCTGTATATCATGAAAATAATTATGGGAAGTGTTGTTGTGTTGTTAAGACTCAGACTTAAGGTTATACTTTGAATAACAAAAATTTGCTATCACCCATTTAAAAAATAAACTAGACTAAAGAGAAGCAGCAATACAACCCATTTATGTACTGTTGATATCCAGCCTAAACTACTTACTCCGCTTTGATGCGCAGTAGTATTATTATCAGGTAGCCAATCCAAAGCATATAAAAGGTTAATCTTTTATTTGAACGTTATTCTGGCGTATCAACGTTTCCGCTGTACAAATAAAAATGCAGATGTAAGTTGGTCGTCATCGGTGTTCTGTTTATATTTAGCGTTCTTTTTCGATGCGGCTGCATTTATCAGTGCTAAATAATACTGTTAGACGGTATTATCTCATGGAATATTTTTATCCACGCATACGCATATATGTATTGTGCATAGACTAACATAGCCATGTTTACTATCGCTGTTAATCGTTCGACGAATGACCAACAATATTGGGAGAATCCGGAATTCAAAATAGTACGATAAAATAGCGTACTCCTAGTTGCAAAATTTTCTAATATAAAGAGCTTATCATGCACACTCAATCAGTTTATAGTCTGTCAGATTTGTTAATCTGCAGCAAGGTAAAAATTAATAAAATTGTAATATAATAATAGACATTTAATACAAAGTCATTGCCGCATTCGTTAAGTAACTCAAAATTAGCACCTAATTAACTACAATCATGCAATAACTGCATTATGTTATATGGGGATGTTTTAGCAGAGTTTTTATTGTCAAGCTGTCGCTGTCAGGCTGTTTTAATTGTCAAGTCACTGCCAAAGGCATATAAACCAACGCATTCTGTACATTCTCCGCCCTCATTTAAGCTATGTATGCACAATATATGCAAAACTTAATTAATACAAAGTATGTTTGTTTGTGGTATTTATGTTTTGCCATCCTGAGAGCGGTGGAGAGTCATATGCAATTAATATCCCAGTCGTATTGGCAGAACTAGCACAGAATGCCAGCAAAAGGTTTTAAGGTTTGATATATTGTTATTCAGAAGTCACGTACGGCTCGCTGTATCGATGGTTATGAATCAATATTTGGACAATCGTTTAGGCCAATGAGCTGACGGCAGCAGTGGTTGGAGAAATTTGGGGGAAAGCGCCTAATGCGAACACATACGAGATTTCTCGAAATATTTTTCGCAGGTCAAGTTAGCACTGACAATCCTACCGACGTACGAGTATGTCTACGGATTATGCCTGCGATTTGCTGCTTGTATTTGCAAGATTTCAAAATTTTCTGTAAAATAGTTTAATTAGCGTGGCAAGCAATGAAATTTTATAACAAACTTGTACGTTACGCAAATATATGAATGCACCTGTTTGCAACAAACATGTTAAAATTTTTCATTTTTCAGCGCGTGACCTTTTGGTATAACACCGTAACTACTTCGTATGTTACTTGATATGAAACGTTCTCAGTGGGTTTTAAAAATTAGTGATCACACGAAAACAATTGTTAATAAGGAGTAAACAAAAACTGGATAAAAATGTTTTTACGATTTACATGATGTACAAATCACAAGTGAATAAGCGCTGCAGCATTAGGAAAACTCCCTGGCGACCGGCAGAGTGTAGGGGGTGATCAAGACGGATAATCAGATGACCAGGCCGGCAGTAGCAGCCATCAGCCATACACAATACACCATTAGGGATTACCACTCCTGTCCATTGAAAACTCATTACACTTTTAAGAGGGATACTTTTCACCAGGTAAACTTTGATTATAACTGCCGTATTATTCTCCTTGATATACTTATACCGCTACATGAATATCACTGTGCAAACCCCATCTTTATTTAGTCACTTAAAATCAAACGACCACATCGCTCAAGCCGACATTGATATCGCTCTTACAAATAATGCGGTGATATGATTTATATATTGACGACGACATTCATACCCTGCAAATTGTATTGGAAGCTCAGTACGCCGTACAAATCGTGTAGTGTGTGTGGATAATACGTCTCGAGTGCGCACTCTTGTGGCACCTGTTGATCTCCACTCCATTTTATTATGAATTAAATCTTTTGTCCGGCCAGGGAAGTTTTTAAATTCCCTTCTGAATTTTACATTAACCATAAGTTTACTTTTTCCCAGCTTGACTAAACATCGTCGTCATCAAAGACGCTTTACTAGAAATCGAAGTGTCCAACGTCATTTATGATATGGCGATTGGTCAGTAGCGCACACAGCGCGCCTGTACATGTGGGAAGTTTGTGATTTATGGCGCAGACAGTTTATCCTGAACAATTTCGAAGTCTTATTCCCCATCCGGCATCCTCATTTTTAACCGCCATGAACAGAGCACCGAGCTTTTAATTGATAACTTGCTGGGCAAGGGCGATATGAAGGACGGTCAAAAATGCTCCAACGCCGTCGTCTGCGGCCCAACCTTTCCCGCGTCGGCGGCAGCAGCTGCGGCTGCCATGGATCTTAAGTTGTTTGGATTGCCAGCACGAAATATGGAAATACACGGGGACACTTCGCGCTTCTTATCATCGATAGCCTCTCCTTTTTTCCCTAATCCTTGTATGCCATTCTTACCCACGACTGCCGCTATGCATAATCTTATGCACTCAATGAGGATGGATCCACATGCTCAGACTTTCCAAGGATACGGTAATACTGCGCAATTACTTGAATATCTTACGCACGGTAAAATGTTTTTTGTTAAAGACAAAGTACACGTACTGTAAAACGAAACCTATAATAAAATACTTACAATAAATTCTTTTCTTGCCTGAAGTGAATTTGTTTTGAAGAGACAGCATCTGAATCTCTAAAACTACAGTAATAAACTTGACCAGCACATAAGCTAAAAATAATAATACAATAACCAATAAAGACTTTTTATAAACAGACGGAAACCGCGCCCACTTTCAGCTTTTTTAATAAACTTTCAAAGATTCATTGCAACTGCATTAAATACAATATCTGCGTGTACCTATAGTGCGCTTAAATTTTGTAAAATTAAAGTAAAATGGAGAGCTGTGCATCAAAAAAAGTATGCGACGCTAAAAATTATAAACTGAAATGAGGTTCGTTATGATGTCAAATAGATCTGGTTTGCATTGCCGACTTTTGTAGAGTAGTCGTATCCACAATTTGCTGTAGTGTGAAAGTATTATGTTTGGACGTGGAACGGAATCGTACAGCTACAAGACCGCAACAATTTTCCTGCCGATAATTGTTGTAAAGTAGTGGTTTAAATTGGAAGAAATAAGAAATTGAAGAGTTTGAAAAGTTTTCGTTATAATTTGTTTCTTTCCAACCACGGCTATCAAAACAGGTTTAAGGTTGGTGACCTTTTGTGATGCGTTGTTTAACGTGTGACCTTCCATTTTTAGGTTACAAAGGAAGTTTACACGCGCCGTTACCAAACATGCACCCATTCTTCCAGCCTTCGCGGCAGCTGCACAAACGCAAAGGTGGACAAGTGCGTTTCTCTAACGATCAGACGGTGGAGTTGGAGAAAAAGTTCAAAAACCAAAAATACCTCACCCCGCCTGAGCGGAAAAAGCTAGCCAAATCCTTGAGCCTTTCAGAGCGGCAAATTAAGACATGGTACGTGCATACAGACATTGCCAACTATTTGCTGAAGTAGGTTCATTTGACAAGTTCAATAACTGCGATAGTGCAGAATTAAAATTGCAAATGAGATGCTAGCAAGATGATTTTATATAGTCCATGAAGAGCGGCACATGATTGATTTAAAGTCAAATTGTGACGGCAGCCTCAAATGGCGCCATCTTAAGCGCACTAATATTTAAAGTTCTTTGAAGGTTTATAACACCGAAAATGCCATTTAGGCGCCTACGTTTTATTCGAGCGCGATGCTGCTTTTTCGTTTTGAAATATACTTCATCCGATTTACCCGTTATTCGAATAGGTTTCAAAGATAAGGAATAGCTGTGCAACGAGTATATTAGCAGTGGCATTCAGAAGCTCCCAACTATAACGCATACATCAGTGACCTTTCGTTTAGAAGAAATTTGTGCAGCAAAGACGTCTCATTTAAAACTACAAATTATTTTGATTAGGAATTTACACTTTATCCGCATATAAAGCTAAGAATAGAATACGTTCATGTCTATGACAATACTCATGAATAATTATACAATGGTAAGAAATAATTATTTAAATGCAACAATTAAATAACAGTAAAGATAGTAAATGGCTAAATGCTATATATAATTGTAAACAAGTAAAGCAACCAATTGCTTTTTAGGTTTCAGAATCGTCGCGCAAAGTGGCGGCGCTTAAAGCATGATGGTGAACAGGAACCGCCAGATTCACCCAGCGGAAATTCCGGCCGCAGTAATAAAACATTACCGGCACATTATGTTGACAAAATGTCACCAACAAGTAGCCGCAGCCATTCTGACGACAGATCAAAAGAAACGCGTACAAAAGACTCCATATTAACAGTAGTGCCGTCGTCAGCGGAAAGCAGTAGCAATTTCCAGCGAATTGGCGCGATAAAAACAGCAACGAAATCACATGACAATAGACCAACCAGCTCAGCAAGTTTGACGAGCGATGCTGGACAGGAAATCTGTAATTCAGACTCGGATTCGGTTAGCAGTGGTGACAATCAAGACGATGATGTTGTTGACGTTGACGGTTTCAATGGCGATAATTGATCTGATTGATTTGCCGTCCTTCTTTTTCACCGTCGCTGCACTATTACTGTTTTATCAAATACCGTGCTGGCCGGCTGTACTGTATGGTGTATGTGTAATTTGGCACTCATTTCTACTGACATATTCAAGTTCATTCTGAGATGATTAACCTGTAAACAGACATATCATCCTTAATCGCTCTCCGCTAAATCCTGCTGCGGTATGCGAAATGCGGTCAATCTGTCTGAATATGGATGATCAATATTGTATCTCCGAGAGCGTCTTTTCGCACGGCTGCCAAAATTGCTCTTCGAGTGCCATACAGATGAATTTTCGGTTATATTGAATGGTAGCGATATGAATATTTTTGTTTTTGCACGATGTACCACACAAAGCAAGGTTCTGTTAACAAAGTCCGAAGCCTGAAAAACTCATTCATACAATTATTTACCAAATTAATGCCAAAGCTAACTAAGCGTATTTCTTTATTTCACATTGCGCTGTACAGCTGCAAAGTGACAACAGAAATTTGGATTATTGCAATCCTTTAAAAAACAAGGACGCGAGCCAAAACAGCCCTACATTTATTTTACTTTGGGTTTTCGTATATAGACCTATATCGGGTAAAAATGTTTCGTTTGTTTGACACCGTGTTGCAATATATTCGAATATTCGATTAATTTACGGTAACTTACCGGACGTTTTTTTTGCAGTAGACAACTACAGTGTATTTGAGCAACTTAATTGCAAACTTTAATAGGACTGCACTCAAATCTGGATTACTGCTCGTATTGACCTGTTGATTGGCTGTAGTAAATAGTCAAGTACTAAAAAGTACAGTGTGCGCCAAATAATTCACACTCGTGGGTGACATAGCAATACGACATCCTCATAATTAAAACTAGTTATCTCTTTTGCAAACATAACCATTTTTGCTAATTTCGATATGTTTTATTGCAAACCGTCAGATATGGATTCTGAGCAAATTTAGTAAGCACTGAGCATTTTGAGCAATAGATAGCGTTGCACAATATTATGCTCAGGTTTCATCAGTATTCGTACGATCGTCCATTCCACCATGTATGGGCTGTGTCCAGCCAAATGTGTCGTTGTATCTGTTTTTGCAAATCTTTTCGCTGCATAATGTAGACAAAGAAAATTTCATTTTTGTAGAAGTTTTATAATAATCCCGATCCGAAGTTATGAACACGCGCAGTAACGTACATTTACTCTGAACACGCAAATGCCCTCGTATGCAACCATCTTGACCAGCTACGGTACATGTTGTTTTCAAATTCAAGGCGCAGAAAAATGTGTTGTAGGTATTCTAGTCAATGCTTCCACCTTAGCTATTGGGTCATAAGAATACATGCGCAAACCTTATCTTTACACATTTTTATATTCAAATAACCTGCACCGCGATAACACAACTTCAGCATTCTGTACATATGCACATTCAAAAAACCAAAATAATTAAACCCCGGAAAGAATTATAGCAAACGCTCAAAGAGCAGAATGCGGGTACATACATAAATAATACCACTACTTCAGTTCTACTGCATTTGGATCAATAATTATTTGAACAAAGTAGTGTGCACACTATTAAAAGACATCACGGTCACATACTGAGCGCAAATTCGAAAATACTGTCAATACAGTGCGACACGGCGCTACTGAAGTGAGAAAATGTAAAACTGCATCCTGGCCTGATCCTGATGTCCCTGCTCAATGAAGTCACCGCGCGACAGTTTACCAAAATGTTGCAATCAGATCCGGAACTGCAAGGTTGAACTTGTCTGTCTGACTACTTTATAGCCATTGTCCGTTACGAAGCCTTCTCCGGATTCGCGACCTTTTCAAACGTTCTGCAATAACTGCGCAACCTACTTCTATCGTATATAAAAACTAGCGATCGTAGCCGATTCCGTTTTTTCGTCTCCTCATTTTGGCAGTCCAACTTTTTCTACCCGCAACGGTGAATATTTTCATATAGCCGCTGGTCGGCCATAATACATTACACAGCCAGATTATTTTAGGAAAGCAGTTTTTTTTAAATTTTCGGTTCCCTTTACGGTGTTCTAATAATATTTTACCATGAATTTGAGCGCGGTATGTGTTGCCTTATCATTGGTCATCGGTTGCGCGGTGTGCGCACCGATTAATACCAATTCCACCGACACCGGCATGAGTACCGAGCAGATGCAGTCCATCCGCCAGCAGTTTGAGAAGGAACAGGCCGAGGTTAGACGCAAACAGGACGAAGAAGCCTTCCGTCAGCAGCTGCGCCAGGAGAGCCAAATTCAGCAGGAGAACCTCCATGATGCGGCGCCGATTGGAGCAGGATCTAAACTCGTGCCGGGTGTGCCCATTATCCCCACTGTGCCGGTTGTGCAGACGGTAGGCGGTACCGGATCGGCGGTTCCCATTGTGCCCGTTAAAGTGGATATCACCACTACCACCGCAACTCCCATGATTCAGGTAATGCGCTCCTATTAATCTTTGGTTAATTTTTTTGATAAGATTAATTTGAAAATGTAATGTACTTGAGAATGTAATTTTGCAAATGTAATTTGCGAATGCGAATGTAACTGCATCAGTACATAACAATATTAACCATTTCTTTGTGCACGTGGGTAGACTTTGAACAGATATTGGCGTGCATATCGAGTTTTAATTTTCTCGTACAGACTGAGTGCAATGAACTAATTATACATGAATCCTTGTAAATTTTAATGCATTTCGAATTGCCTAGTTTAAACTTAAATATCAGTAATGCCATTCCGCGTTGTATCAAAGGTCATCCATATCCGCCCGCGACTTTGTTAATTATTTTCTTACATCCGTTTTAGGGAAGGGCCGATGACACGGATGCGGTGCTGCGAGCCTTCACTGACCTCCTGACACCCAAGATCGGCGGCAACATGATCCCGAAAGGCCCCCCTGCCCAGCCGGCTGCTGCCACTGCCTTGCAGACTGCCCAGCCTCAGGTGCAGCCGGTAGCCACTGCCCCCATGGCAACTGCCGGCATGGATCCGCGTTTGATGCAGTTTCCCATGGCCGGCATCAACGGTGGCGGCATGAACTATCCCATGGGTGGCCTGCAGGCTGCTTTACCGCAGACCGTCTCCATTCCCATGGCCGCCATTCCTCTGGCTCGTTCGGACCAGCAGCAGCTTCCGCAGACCCAGCAGGCCAACCCGGCATATGGACAACAGCAGCTGATGGCGCGCGACATGAACGGCTATCCAACGATGGTGGACCAGCAGACTCTGAACAGCTTATACGGAAACCAGGCCGCGCTGCAGCAACCCGTATACACCGGAACTGGGATGTAAATGAACTGTTGTAGTAAAGTTTGAATTTTTTTATTGTTTTGAATTTTTAATGCGGATGTGGTAATGATGGTCACTTGCAGTCCCTTGATGAGTCTAATAACTATACCTTCTACTTCTGTCATGAAAAAATTGCGCTAATAAGACTTGCAACAAACTGATAATCTCAGTTCAAAATGCGTATCAAATTACCGATAGGATAGGTACACCAATAAAATATTATTAAGTATCAATAACGATGAACAACTCAAGGTAGTGCGAAAACAGAATCGGACTTCCGTTCTGGAAATCCATCCAGATTATGTTCATAATTCACAGTCGATGGAGATTTAAAGATAAATAAATGGAACAATAGCATAGCTCATAAATCGACATTTTCTTTAATAAATCCGCAGATGCGAAGGCAGGCACAGACTTTAACGCACAAATTTGATTACAACTCAGCTCCCGCGGACGTGCTTGTCCTCTGATGGCGAATTTGTTCCGCTGCTGTTTTCCGTCGATTACGCTGCAAGAACAACATAGGTAAGAAACCAACATCTCCGTGAGTAAAAAAACCAATCAACCTCAATTCATCGTGATGCTGCAAGCAACTGTCCAACCGTTTCATCCCCATTACAAAACTTCTTACCATTCCCGATGTCGTCGGCGTAACGTCGATAACACTGCTGATGAGTTTCTTGCCAGCATCGCGATTCAGAGCGCGCTCAGCTTCATCGAACAGCGCAGCAATCTGCGGATCGGAGGCGCGTTCTCCGGCTTCAGCTTTCAAATGCTGCAGATCGGTTGTGGCACTGGCCATGGCATTCTTGATTTCATACAGGAGGTACAAATCGTTGCGTGCCTTGTTGTATTCTTCAATCACGCTCTGGTCGGCCATAGGATGCTCTTCCAAACCCAGTTCATTGGTCATGACTTTGATGGCTGTAGCTTTCTTCGTGCTGAGATTGTTCGGTAATTTAAGACAGCCGCTGCGGGCATAAACACCTGGAGCCTTCAGTTCGGGGAACTTTAAATCTGCAATAACCAATCAGCCGTTAAGGTGCCATGGATCAAAACAGAAAATAAAAACTTTTACGCTAAAATTATAAATAGTGGGCCATATTGCTCCAATATTGCTCTTACTAGCTTCCAAGTTCAGCATGAATCCAGCTGGTCCGGCATCCACACTTTTCCTTTTATCGCCCTTTTTCACTGTGGTGGCAGCCTTCTTTTTCTGTTTCGTACTCGTAGTCGACTGAGCTTTTTCGCCCGTACGCTGAACTGGACGAGAGCCCGGTGTCCGCGGTTCGGATCCGGTACGATTATGGAAATTCGTCAGCGACATCTGAATGGCACCATGGCGCCTTTCTCGTTCTGCCCGGTTGGATTTGATTTTTCGCTCCTGATCTTTAAGCTGTGCGTGCTCATCAATCTATCAAAAACCAAAATGAAATAACCAATCAATTAAACATTAATTCAACAAACTTAATTCAATTTTCCAATCAATCAACAAAAGTTCAAAAAACGAAAAACGTTACAAAAGAAAATTTCGATCGTGAAACGTAACATAAAAATGACAAAAATATAGGTTTCCCGTGCCCAAAAAGCTAATACAAATCAGTATCAATAAATTATTCCGTACCGCAAAACTTCTAACAGAGGTAGGACCGTAGGTGCTAAATTAGTAACAAAGCTTTCATACTTCTTCCTGCGTCCTTAATTGCAGACGGTCCAGCTGCAAACGTCGTTTTTTCTCCGAAGCAGCATCATAGGGTGGTAGCGGCGGCCGTTTATCATTTCTGATTCGCAGCATGAAATTGTACACATCTGTGAAACGCGCTCGCAGATCGACACAATCCCGCTTCCCGAACCGTTCCGTGTCCCAGAAATACTGCAGCACCTCGAAGCGCATATCGAACTGACTGACTAAATCCATCAAGTGGCGCGTCGCGTCTTCCGTCCACGAATCACCAAACTCCGACGGCATCATCTTGTACTCCGCCGAGGAGAATTTCGGCAAATCCAACGGCTCCACAAACGTATGGGGGGCTAGTTTAGAGAACGGATAATCCTTGTCCACATCCTCCGCTTTGCTCCAGTGCGAGAGGAACTTCTTTCCTTCGGGTTTGGCCAACGGATTGAACGCGCCTAACTGCCAACGTCGCGCGCGGCGCTTCTTATCGCGATGGATGGTCTTACGCCAGGATTCTGTGACCGGTGGGGTGGTGGGGATGGTGGTGTAGGTCTCCGGTAGATCCCCGTCGACAGCCATGATGCTGAAGAGCTCGCGCGACATTCCCTTGGGAATCTTCTTCGTCTTGGGCGTCTTGGCCGCTTTCGAGCCCGATGCACCAGTCGGAGGGCCTTCCTGAACCAACTGCGTGCGATCCACCGCCAGCATATCGTAAACATCTTTAAAAAACAAAAATTTATGTACCAAATGATCGATTTTAGCCAGGGAACTGGAGATCATCCAGAACCAGAACAATGCAGTTACTGCGATCGATGGGCAAAACTTACGATGTGCCATGGTTGCAATACGTTCACAAGATAAAAGCGGTACAACGGCGAAAACTCCTAAATGCGTAAAGTTTCGTGATTAGAATTTAGAACTGACTTCCAAAAATATCATAGATATCGGAGCAATCAAAAAAAGGGCTCAAAGAGATTTAAATATTTATCTAAAAACTCACAAGGTTAGGAAGAACTGAAGCGAACAACTTAAAAAGTATGGCGTACCGATTGCGCAAACGTTTTACGAACAAACGTTTTTTACTTTTCAATCAAATGTTAGACACAAATAAATCTGACAAATGTTTGCCAACAAATTTTTAACAAACAAATGTCACTGACAAATGCTTTCGTGAAAAGACAAATGTTTTTCACTATCAGACACATATTTTTCACTATCAGACAAATGTTTGTTGACAAACATTTGTCAGATTTATTTGTGTGTAACATTTGACTGAAAACTAAAAAACGTTTGTTCGTAAAACGTTTGCGTAATCGGTACGCCATAAAAAAGTACTTAAAAGTTAATTACAAACTGTGTAGTGTGTAACAAAACGAGCAGAAATAAGGCTACTGCTGGATTGTAGCGAGACGAGCTTATCATTGCGTTATCGTGTCCGGTCACTCCGGTCAGAGTCCGGTGCCGCGAACATTTACATACTTAAGAAAACATAGTATGCGAGCGAAAGAATAACTTCTTCTGAACTTCAACAAATTACGTAACGATACTGTACATTCGAACAGTTCCAAAAAGAAGTTTATCACTTTTATTCGTCATCTTCTACAAAAAAACGTGAGAGGGTCACAACTGAACACGTACATCCGTCCACCAACCTTCGTCTAATTCAACAGGTTCACAAGCAAAACTGGAAGTTTCACCTTATACATGCAACGAAGTGCGCAGTAAACAGTAAACGCAGGCACTTAAACCACCAATGTTAATATTGATCATCCGTCTGATATACCACTGTTTCCTCGTTTTGACAGCTTCGGAGAAGGCGCGTCGGTCCATGGTGAGAATGACCGCTCGGGTAATTCCTTCTTTAGATGCATTTGCCATGGCGTCCAACGCTTTAGGGTACAATGTTCTTCGGTCACACTTATGACGCTTCCCGAAAGGGAAATCTGATATCCAGGCATCCACGCTATGAGGTCGGAAAGGAAAAGCTGCCAAATCACAGTGCAGGACATCTACTGTTGACATAGTTTTGCCGGTTTTACTAGGCATTTCTTTGCAATTCCTCAGGGTGCTTTCGCAAGCTAGCGCAAAATTATCGCCGGCCAAGAAGTAAGTGCCGGGATAAGATGCAGCCGCTTCGAGGGGGATTGATCCGCTTCCACACATGGGATCGCATACGATGTCGCCTGCGCAATCACGAAAGTTATTAGATTTACACTCTGATACACCATAAATAGAAGCGGCTTCTAGCCTATCCAGTACATCCTGCTCTATCTGGCTTCGCTTTTCAGTTTCGAATTTGCTTTTGAAAGTTATCACCATGCAGTGATTCTTTGGTTGAAACAGGAAAAACAGCTCAAATTAAGGTAACAGAATATCGGAAATTTGAGGAAGTAACAAATAAAATGCACAGCACTCAAACTGTAATGATAAAGGTTCATAACAAATTTTAAAAAAATAACGATAACCATGTATTACGTAGCTGCAAGTTAAAAATAAGGAGCGTATTTATTTATACAACTCAAAAGTACTAGAAGTACTTGTAATGTAAACCGGCAAATATCTACAGAATAAAATAGCTAGGCAATGATTGTCTAGCTGATATACTTAGCTAGGCAATGATTGTCGGCATTCGTAAATACATACCCACCGGATTTAATTTCGGCTAGCCGGAGCATGCTGTACGAAATGGTACTCTTCAACGTACTTCGGCCAAAGTGAGTAATATTTCGTTTAAATAAAGGTTCTCTTGTCAACGTAAGACAGACGCGGACCCGCTCGCCATCCACAATAAGCACAGCCTCCACATCGTAATCCGTCAAATTAACTTTCCACTCGAAAGCTGTATTCAGTGCTCCACCAAATGCCGGCATAGCTTCCTGCGAAGTAAAACAATGCTTTCCGCTTCTGTAGCATGTGGCACGGTACGATGGAACGAATTCAGTTGGAGGCAGAACACTCTTGGGAATATCAATCTGATTCCGCTGGAATCGGTCCACTTCCAACTGCTGCATGGCTGCTTTCCAAACCGCGAATCCCGTTTTCCAGTCCACATCATCGCGGATCGCGATCGACTTCACCTGCTGCAGCGCAGTTTCCTTCGTATCACTAAATGCAATGTTATTTTCTAACAAAACCGAGTACAGATTGTCCACACTGCGCAACGTGAAGATATCGTTTATCCTGGATAAAGGCACACTGAAGAATATGGCACCGCGCTCGGTTGTTATATCCGAAACATCAGAACCAAAATGCTCCTCGCACTCTTCGCGTGCAACACTTTCAAACCCAGACACCACCGTTCCGTATATTCGACAGGCTTGCGTAGGAAGTAGAAACTGGGAATCCTTCGTCTCCATGGATCAAATTGTTACGTCGCAGCCAACATCAAGTTTTCGTAGATCTTCTGACAAGTCCTAACAATAACATAACAAACTTCAGCGGGTTGTTTGCGACAGTTTGTGACTGTTTGTGGCAGTTTGTACAAGCCCATCCAACAATTCTTTGACCGCTGTAAGCGCAGCGCATATAAATCGCGCACAGTAATGCAAATACGCATCGTAGTGTATTGGCAGATATATTTATAAATATTCAACCAATAATAATATATTAGATCACAATTAATCGACCATTATTAGACCAACGTGGAATCAATCATCTTTAGCCCGGGCATGTTGCAATCAGTAATTTGAAAGTAATATGGATATTAAGTACCACCGCGATATTGTATTGCAAAGCAAAGATAATACTGATACAAAAGCATAAAATTAATATAAATCATGATGGCAATAAATAATGCTAAACATATTACGTTGTATATCACAGATACAGTAACTGCAACACATGCAGATTTGTTGCTTATTTACGCTGAATACGCAGACCCATGTGGCGTGACGTGTCGAAGCACATTAAATGGCTCAAGCCCACGTTTCTTTAAATTCCCGCTTACAGCGGTCAAAGAATTGTTGGATGGGCTTGTAGTTTGTACCAAGCTGTTTGTCAGTTTGTGGTAGTAAACTGTAAACATCAAAAACCCAACAGACCAGTCTGAATGGTGGTCCGGAAGTGTACCGAACCACCCAGGGTGGTAAGCGTAATGTCCACAAAGTCACTATTTATCAGGCACCTCGCTGGTCCACGCCTAAGTCTTCGCCACTCCACGCTACATTTCCATTTCTCCCGAGTAGATGAAAAAATTTGAAAAACAAAATTTCAAACTTTGCTTGGACGAATAAGTTATACAGTAACTCACTGTAACTGTAAAAGTGATACCAAGTACATCGAAGGATGTATTGTTTTTGGTTTTCTACGTAGTGCTTCGGAAGCACAATCTATTTCTAATGTTATTATCAGCCCTAAAAACTCGAATTACTTACCTTTACATGTTCATCACGTACTGATGCTTAGGAATGGATATTTCCGCTACATTTCGGGGTCTCTGTAAAGCCCGAAAATCGTTGGAGCAGCATCTGCAGAATGGATCTGATATGGGAAGTGGGAATATTCATCGGAAAAAGGCACCCGACACGGCTGGTGTCAAACGCGAGACATCGCCATTTCAAAAGCATGCCATTGAAATAGTAAGTTTATGTTGTACTTGTAGCTGTTACAGCGTGGCTGGATGAATTGCATATCAAACTGGACCACACGACTACACGTAGTCTTCAGCTTTGTTCTTTGCAAATGCTTCCGAAATAACAGAAAGTTTTACGAAACGTAATAATTTGTAAGCTTTCACCTTCATATTTTGTTTCAGTTAAATCTCTTGGCACAAGCCCGAGATTACATCTTAGCACATAGAAAAGAATATCTGGATTTCGGTGAGTTGTGACTTATGATTCTGGAATGCGCACACTTCTTAATTTATTAATATCCTCTGCAGAGGTGGGATCGGAATCTAAGCGCGTGGATCTTGAAACAGAAGCCTTACGACAACTGGAATGTTGCTCTGATCATCTTGTGTCCTTACAAAAAGATGGTAAATTGCAAATATTGCACTCCGTAGCTATTTGTTAACACGTAGTGTTGTTTAGCCGTTTTGGATCGCCGTTCGTAACATTTTGTAAGTTTTGTTTTTTTTTGCCTGACTTCTCAGTTTATAGGCTCCACAATGTGGCGAACTGGCGCTGGCTTACTTAAATTTGTTATAATAATTTACCGTTATACATTTATAATAGATAACAAATAGTACCTACCATTTTTCCGAAACGTATTTGACGTTTGTGTAAATTTATTCGAACTGATTTTAACACAGTTATTTGATAGTGGAACACAATCGAGTTCAAGTGAAACAACACAGAAGCGCTGTGGTCACCATCCTAAAGAACTATATGACAAGTAAGTAGTTAGCGTATGCTGGCTTAGTTGTAGAAGCTCAGTTTTTAACTGTTGTTGTTTAAGCTGTGTGTTTTATTGGAAATCGATCATAAAGCAAGCAACTGTGGATATCCACAGACCATTATTTATTCCAACTGTTCCGTATTTTGTTTTCCGGTTTTACTTAAATTTTTGCAAATGATTCGACTTCGAAATTTTTGCAAATGAATCTCCAGTTTCGCTAGACATGCCACACCGCATCGCCGTAATCCTTAGCAGCGATGTGGGATATAATACCAATTTAATTTTTGAATATTTTTATTTGTATTTGTTGGATCGTAAAATACTTGTGTAAATATTTGAACGAATTTTGTGATCTGTTGCAGCGGTATCTAAACTTCTTACTGATCAACAGGAGTTACGGGTCAATCGAGCACTGGAACATGCGAAGCTGTAAGCAAAGGGTTTTCGTCTACAAAAGAACATTCATAATATTCGTCATTATCTGCAGTGTAGTCTGTAATTAACTTCAGTTCAAAACTGGAAAGCATGGGTACGAAAAGAGTGCCGAAAAATCGCCCGGACCGTGATGGGAAACGACTTAGGAACGATGGAAACGACTCAAATGGTAAAGCGTCGTTATAACAGTGGATATACTCATAATAGCGTATTTATTTGAAAGAGTTGACTGTAATTTGCAGGCCATGCTCACCATGTAATGCTCGAAGAGGATCAGTTACACTCTGCTCCCACCAAGGAAATATTTTCCGCCGATGAGCTGCAAATGGTTGGTTCATTATGGTGAATCTTAGTGCCCAAAACGTTAACTTTTTCCTAGCATATCAGATTGTATTTTGTTGTGGTGATGATTCTATTACTTTAAAATACCGCAAAAACATTCTTTTTATGCAGTTTGAAAATGAAAACGCCAGTTTATACCAAGAACTCAGTGGAATGCAGGACGAAATTAAGTATGCACGATGTTCGATTCAGATCATGTAGTGTTACTACGAGTACTGTGTATAAATTGTTAGCAATCGTTTCTATTTGGATTTCAGACGTATAGAGAATCAAATGAATGAAATCTCAAAGCTGCAGAACATTTTCACCGAAAATGTGCTCGTACAAGTGAGTTTTATTGTTTTTTATTGCGACAGATTTCCACGATGCAAATTGCAGCTGTCGTATGTGATGCGCTTTTTTGTATGCAGGAACAGCAAATTGACGACGTTGCTGCGACTGCTGTTAGTACGACGGAAAACATAAAAGCTGGAAATATTGACATTCGAGAGGTAAGCAAAGCGGTTGCAGAATGGATGATCGTTTTGTGATTACGAATTGTTGGTGATTTTGAGGAATGGGCTTCCGGTGCAGTAGTTGTGTGAGCTTTCTCCAGCATCTCTTGGAGCTACCGGACATACCTCTTAATAGTAAAAAGCTAAATTTACTGTCATAGTAATAATTGATGCATTCTCATTTTGGGTAGGCCATCCAAAAAACGGCTTCTTTCCGGGCGTGGATTTTGTTCGTCGTATTGGTACTGTCGTTCACTCTTCTTTTCCTGGATTGGTACAACGACTGAGCCTTTTTGCCTTGAAAAAAGCGGAGTCTATCGGAGCCTTCCACGAGAGATGATGATGCCTTCCACGAAAAATTGATTGAGTTTTGTGTTGCTACAGGCGTTACGATTATAGCGCCAGGTTTTATTTAACTCTGTGATATTTGCCGGTTTTTTATACTGCTCTGCAGACTACTATAAGCAAAGAAAAAGCTTGAAAAATTAAACAGCTGGGAGTGTCTGGCAGTCATCATTAAATGCGTACATAAATTTTGCACGAACAGGGTGGCGATGGTTATTTGAATAACAGTGACGCGGTTAAGTGATTAAAATTAAGGAAGCTGGTTACGGATCTTTTGGGAAAGATATTGATTTGGGACCTGCTCACGTTCAGTTTGCCATGTGTTGCCATTTCAATGCCGAAATGACTGGGTGTGGATCGCCGCAATGTAAAGACGTTCATCAAAGCCATTTGGGATTTCTAATTGACAGTTATTTATCTGATTAAGGGCCATATACAGGTTACGCAAGGCTAGGATTAGGCTTCTCTGGCAACGTTTCGCATCGGTCCCGCTGACAAGAGAGATGTCAGCTACACCGCGCTAATTGTTACTTAACGTGTTACAACGTTTTTCATACAATTTCTGTTTGTAGACACATGAATAGTTTAGTACGGGCTTTTGATGTCTTTTATTCGGCATCAATGGCCAATCAAATTATTAATTTATTCTGCATATGCAGTTGGGTTGACAGGTGCAGAAGAAACTGAAACAGTGACCAAGCTGTGACCTTTCAATTAAATGGCAGCGCGCTGTAAATTTTTTTTCATTCACGAACACTTATCAGTACGTATCTTTTTGTTGATTGACTTTCCAAAGATTAAATTACGCTTCCATGTGAATATTGTGTGCAGACAGCCGTTTATACTGTATATTGTATATGTGCGAAACAATCACTGGTATGCAGCTTGTTATAACCGATAATTATGTTGATAAATCGATTTATGTTCAAGACGGTAATTCCAATGGTTCATTGGTATGCCGATTGTTTGTTGTCTTTTGCAGATGCGCGACGGAAGAGCTTCGATCGATAAAATAAGTAGCATACTTTTTCTGATAGTAATCTTGCATCATTCACAATAATTAGCGGTCTCATTGGAAATTATCAATTATCAAAGGATAAGATAGTTAAGATTTCTCATGACAAGGGTACGACCGACCACCGCCATGCAGACATGCCCAGAATAACTAATAACGGTTGTATTCCTGGGAAGAAGTCGCTGCCGTATGACTCAAGATGCCGGATTTATTAGTCCAGGAATGCGAAGAATGCGACTGGAATTATTTACTTCAACGATTCTGCTACTAAAAGGGATCGGAACAGCTCATCGTCAGTGAATCAAATTAGCACCTAACCGAAGTGACAAGTAGTATTTTGTTTGCCTAAATGGCAATTGATGAAACAGATTATACAATTCAATAATTAACCGACACTATGTATACTGTCTCTGAGCAATGTTGTACTTTGCTCGCCAATGGATAACGACCTGGTGGGATCAGACACAAGAATTTTGTTTAGTGTACTGGTATTCAGGCGTTATGTTCATTCATTTGCAGGACAAAGGTCAGTTTGGGTTTAGCGATGTACAGTACTCGTACGCGAATAACAACAACTGAACAACACAATGATTATTATTATCCTGACGGCGCTCACCACCGGCTCATCCCGAAGCATGTATAAGAATATTAAGCGCTTGTTTCACTGGCTGACCGTTGGTGGTAGCGCACGTTAATCTAATTAGACCTTTTAATGTTTACTCATTCATTCACGGTGTGAGCTGATTAGTACCACCAAAGAAGAATGACTGTTTACATCTTCAGTGCAATTAGCATACGTTTGTCGATTGCTGATTAAGCATGAACTCGAAAAAAATGCTTGGATAATCTGGCGTCTTATTGTTACACGTGCATAATCTTCGCATATCTCACAATTGTCGTGTTTTGTTCACGATGCAGCAGCCTGTATGGACTTAACATTGAACAATAATAATTAACGTCATACGGTATTTGTGTGGCATTACTGCAATGCGCGAGCTTTGACTATGCTCATGCTATTTGTATTTCTGCGTGGTGAACCGAATACGATAATACAGAAAGAAACATGTATGTTATGAAATATTAAAATAGCTTTAAATGGGACTGCATTTATTTCTTTCGTATTGTAATGTGGTAAATATAATGTAAATACGAACATCGATCGGCTCATTTGTGTGATAAATATTATTGTAGTTACATGATTTACGTACATCAGTTTGTCTTAAACTACAACACCCTGCAACGTGCTATGCAGCAATGCAGTTCGTATCCGGCGGTGTTCGTAAAATTATCTGGCCGCCTGTATCACACAAAATCTAAAACAAGTGAACTGGTGTTTGGTGCGATTTGATCTTAATATTTTATTTGTTACCGGGTGTGGTTCAGATAGTTGTAAGTTTACCGAATAAAATAAGCATAACACAGCGTACGGACTCGATGTCAGCGCGACGTGGGCGTTTATTTATTATTGAACGATTTGTGCATTTACAACCAAATGATACATTTATTAAGCAGTAATGTTTTGATTTGGGTTTTGTTCGTCACTTTATTTCTAAGACAGTAAATGACCTGGTGGTTGAATATCAGTTCACCTCGTGGTATAGCACCATGAGCCAGCAAAATGCGCGGAAGTGGTTCCATTGACTGTGGTATTTTTGGTTACAGTACCTGCTACAAAATTACAACAGCCCCGTCAGTGAGTAATACTTCCAGGTAAGCGTAGTAAAACACACTCCCTTATACGTACTTCAGCATTTGTCTGACTGTGAATACGATGGAATAAATGCCGCACAGTAAACAAACAGACACACGCTGTGAAGTATCAATTATCCGAACAAACCTCAACGAAACGCGTTATAAACATGCCTTGCAATAATAATTATCATTTCGTTTGATCATTCTAACACTGAAATGTGTGAAAAAATGCCACGCAATCGGTAATCTATTACGAAACCGACAAATTACACCGACGCTAGTTCTTGTTAACAAGCCTTAATTGACTTTTGTGGTTACTTTGATTTTCATGATTTGTAAGTTAATACTCTTAAATTTTAATGCAATCCAAATTGAAAGAACATCAAAATCCTTCACGTTAAATAATAATTCATGTGCGTAATTAATCAAAGAAGTTAGTAGTAGTAAGTAAGTGAATACGATTATATCATGAAATATAAAGGTCAACATTTCACCTTTATTTTTGTAAGCAGATGTAATCCAGTAAAAATAATTATACGGATACGGTAATCGGTCGAGGTCTGTAAAAGTCGTATGATGATCGATGCCGTGAATAATTGCTGCTTTACCGGTAAACGTAACACATCCCACTATGTAGTATGTTACATGTACAGTACTGGTTTGTTCCCTGACCCTGATTTTTGCCGCATTAATATTATAATGGGTTGCCTTACATTTAGCGACGGGACATAGAACGGGCGATTTTGAAGGGTTAAAGTGTCTAACAAAACAGCACAAACCGATCCCAGTGCTCCGCTGGTCTCTCGGCAATTTAATAATTTACCTTGTCCAATTAAACTACCGAAGCTGGGCGTCGCACAGAAAGTATTATGTAGCAGCTGACGAGATAGAAGCGGATACAAGACCGGAACTAGCGTTTTCGCACAAAAGCGCTCTTTGTGTCAGATGCTCTCCCACACGCTTCACATGAAAATCACTTCGTATGTTCTTGAGCATTTGTTTGTACCACGCCCTTACGTAAGAGGTAAAAACAATTGCACTGCATGTATTATATTGGCAGTGCAAAGGCGAAAGACGTACATATTCCATACAAAACTGATACAATTGCAACTCCTCCGTTATTGTTGTCCTCTTGCGCTGCTTCACGCACTGAATGCACTCTGAGCGGGCACAGAGAATCCCGAGAGGGTTCCGCGCTTAACGAGTCATGGTACACTGTTCCAGTTACCTTTACCGGCGTGGAACAACGTTCCAGACAAAATAACAGTGTCCACAACAGCGCATTTCCGTAATCACAACCTACGCCACTTACGTCGGCAGTGGAACCATTTGTAAATCTCGGAGTGTTTGCACCAATTGTGTGACTTGGTCTTGATTCCTTTAGGGAATTTGACGGCTTACGCACAGCAAAGTAACACAGTACTTTCAGTATGCTTTTTTACAGGAAAAATACGATACGAGTATTTATTTAGAACTATATAGGATTTAGATAATTGTAAAAACGTTTAAAGAGTTGATTGAAAGTCAGCTCATTTAGATGTAAACTACCAATGAAACCTAAACAGGACCTCTGCTATTTTTAATAATACAGTACAAATGCAGATCACTCCTAAAATATTTATTACGAACAATATTATATAATGCATTATTCTATCTAATATACGTTTTCTACGATGTGTTTAAACATGTATTGTACTCGTACATGCAGTATATCATCGCGTAATTAGTGTGCAATCCATAGACTGCCGCATTCCGACAGAAAAACATTCACGCACATTTAAATGTTTATCGGCCAAAACCTTTATCAAGAACGAAAATGAAAACCAAGAAAACGCAACAGCAACCGACAACAAATGTTGTTCATATTCAGCTGAATTTTATGAGCTGAATATGGATGCATAATATCCTGGAAAAGGTCACGGACAACCTTTTATCAAGAAAAGACAAGTGCTGCATCATGAAAGTCACCTACGCTTTTAAAAATAGGCATTGAATCTATGTCACTGTGTTAATTATGGTTTGGAGAACGCTCAACGACACTAAAGACGGGAAAATTGCCTCATCAACGCAGTGCGCCCGAACAGAATCTGTTGTTAGTGGAACTTGAATGCGCAGTGCGCACTTTGACTTTTTACCTTGTACCGCAGTGACGTCACGCGTAATGGAAGCCTGTGCCGGACAGGACCTTCTACCCTTAATGTATCATAGGGCGTGCTTGAACTTTAATTTCATACTTGGAAGTACGCGCTTAATAAGTATATTATATTTTACAGAAAGCGTCATTCGGTTATTCAGCTCAATATACACTTGCGTACTCACATGTAAATTATGTAACATAATTTTGGAAGATGCAATTTACACTATCACGAATGCCCACCTCGTTTCCTGGCAGCTTTGCTTATAAAATTTTACATATGTAAGCGATCCGACAGCAATTAAAAATCTTATCAGACTTTTAATTATCGCATGTTGTTGACATTTGACGTTCCGGTTCTGAAACGCTACGACGATTGGTAAATCGAAGGAAAAGGCAGCAAACTATAATTACCGGTTCAAACAACATGTTTGCAGCTTTTTTATTAACTTTCAGACGTGATTACACCCGGACTTGTTTTATGTAGAAATCACTCACAGAGATACACCTTTAGGGACACTTCCTATTTCTTACGTGAAAAATATTGATTGACTGGCTGTTATCACGGAATTTCCAAATTTTTCCCAGCCTCTGTTTGGTTTTCATGACGAATATACGGAAGCTGCGCTTATTAATACAAAAACAGTGTGACCGCTAGCGATTTAATCGTGCAAACCAAACATGAAAACTGTCATTAATTATAGTCTGGCACGCATTATTAATTTTCCACATTCGGAAAATGTACCGCTATGTGTGGTACGAGTACATATGTACTGTAATTTACACTAATCGTCAGTTGCGCAACCACAACACAGTGAACACACGGTTTCGCTGTGCACCTCTACGTGAAGACAGCCAACCAATCGCCGACGACAGAATGGGTGGGAGCAATGAGCGCCAGACACCAAAAAGTATAAAAGCTTTAGGTTTTCACCAGTTCATTGTCTCACATCACCAAAAAGATTCCTTTTTGAAGTAAAAGCATTTCTGCGAGCTTAATACCTGCTTTGTGAATGAGTTGATTTCTAAAACCTTCTGAATTGTTGATGAGTCTGGGTAGTATTCTTAAACAGTTGTCAGCTTACCGATATCCAACGCATGTGGAACCGAATCTTATGATAACCACTGGTCAGCGACATTTTTTCAAGTGATCCCTTTTTGATCCGGCGCTACATTTAGCCTCTTATACCCAGCAATAACTTCTATTGTTAGTCAGGATGAATCGGAGAAATAGGGAAATACTACGGAGCGGTAAGTGTTAACATGCTTTCGTACAGGCAGGCTGAGGCAGCCAAAACACGCGCAACAAGTACGAACCTGCAACAACAAAGTTGTGGAAAATTATTCTTAAACATAACCTGAAGATGTCCTGGATTGCATAGCGAAATTTTTTAAAAAGATTTTTATCGAAAATCATCGCTTTGGCAGGCATCGCTTTCTAATTTAACCACAACGGTGCGTGTATAAAGGATGATTACATCCACCGGAAACCGTAGAAGCGTATATCTATTGCGCGGTTCTTTGGGTGTGTCGTATTGGGAACCTACGCAATATCCCTACCACACTGAGACATATCCTGTGCCCTTCAATATTAACTGATAGTGAGCGTTGGAGATGATTTAGCTTCGCACGTTTGTTTAAAAAATCTAGTGATTTTTCAATCAGGAATTAACTAGAAAATTACTTATGTCACAGCCAAGAACATGTTCCAATAAAATTTTGATTAAATGATAAGATAAGCTCAATGGAGTGCGTTAGAATAAATGATTTGTTTAGCATAATATCAAAAGCCCTTTATAAAAATAAGTTTATAACTATTGAGCAAATCACTTTCACCGGAGTTGAAATTTACAAAGTATAAACTGAAAAATTAGCAAAAATACTTCTAAATGAGACTTCGATCACACCGGTCAATCAACTGATTTTAAAATGTAGTGTAACGCAATACCAACACTATATTAATTGATCAATCTGATTGATATGTATGGTTTTACCAGATAACTATCTGATACAAATATATCTTACCCAGCATTGGTTGAGTTGGTTTGTTGGTAATTGGTTCCTACCTCTAAATTCAAACCCGTTTCCCAGCATAAAATGAGCAGACATGATGAGTCACACTTATGCGGCAGTAATACATGGCCGCTACTGATTGACCAGCCGGCTTTCACTAATATTTGAACGAACAGCTACGATATCGTCTCATTCACGTAGGGCGTAATAATAAATCAGGTCACGAGTTTTTTGAAGATGTCTTATGACTATCAGCATGTGCGTTAATTAAGAAAGTAAAATGATGCAATATGCCGATTATTTATCGCATTTTTATAAAGAAAAATGTTCAGCCGAAAAGCAGAATAGGAACACATGTTCCAGCATGCTCTTCCTGGACTGGTCAATAGACCGTTGACACACTGAGCAGTTGTACAGTAAGAACGGTCAGCGCCACAGCATTCTTGACACCTCGTTCGTAGCGATGACATCATTGCACTCAAGGCCTGCGCGCTGAGAAATATAAAGCGGTCTGTGTGTGTCACGGGAGGACAATGTCCACTTAAAATGATTCACAACTTTGGATTGCGGAATTTCCTAATGCTCCATTTGCACATCCTAGATAATTACGGCACATGCTTTAAGAAAATGTTCGCGTGTCCGTTCTCTCACTCTACCGTTAGTTTAGTAGGTTTTGTAGTTGAAACGCCTTTTGCATCTTTATTCAACCCGTGCGCATGAAAAAACCAACGTATTCGTTGATTGCAGGTGTGTGGTGCACGATGATCGTATTGTGCATCGTAAGGACATCCCATGCTTCACCAACAAACTTTCCCTTTGCCGCACTACGCCGGCAACCAAGGAATTTTATCACTCCCTACTGGTTGAGTCCTTGTGGCGAAAGTGGAACCGTAACGGCCAGCAAACCTCTCAGTTTCCAGCCGAGTTCGTCTAAAAGCCTGAAACACCATTATTTGGCCATTCGAAACTACGCGGAAGCCTTGGATAAATTGGTGCAGGCTTTGGAAACAAAAAAGGTAAGAATCGCCCTTATATTCAAAACATTTTGATGACGATTACCTGTATCTGTACTGGCAAACTGATTACGAGATACGTTAAGACTTAAGTTCTGAGGCAGTTAAGATAACAGCTAATTACAACGAGCTAACATGCGTCACCAAAAAAAGGGCAAAGGTACGATTGGCCATTAATTTATCTTTAGCGCTGGAATGACCTTTTCATGGGGTATTTTCCCACATATCGGGCGCTAATTAAAAATATCATTGGTCCACTTAAATTCGATGACGCGCTAGGTGTTACCATTTGTTGGGGGAATAATGAGGGTGAACACCCATAATCTCCATAGTTAGAACACCAGAGAGCCATGATAGCCGGGCATTATTTGGGCGATGCTGCGACTCCCCCGTCGCAGTGCGCCGTGTTTATTATTCTCCCGAGAACCATCCAGCATGCTCAGCCAGTCCCGGTGCGGCCCAAACGGGCCGGTTGTTGCCGGCTGACATTTCCAAGCTTATTTACCAAACAAGCAATCATATCCTGGACCGGTTGCGCACACGCGCTTCACCGTTTCAATGACTGGCAATTTTTGGCACAGGTGTAGTTTTATCTTCAGAACGAACACGCGAGAATACTGCATCCTTTTCGAAATCTGAAAATACCCTTGATGCTGTTTTTAAATCGTCCCGGTCATAACAACCACGATTAAAGAGGCGTATGATCAAACAAACAACAACGGCGCCCACATGTACAAGTACACGCTATAAAAATAAGGTACTTAGCTTGAGCAACTGTACGCGTACCTACACCACATTGCTGGAGTTCATTGCTGTATAATTGTTATCGAAAACGCGATGTGCGTGAGGCAAAATATATTGTCGCATAACAGTATAACACCAACAAAAAAATAAGAATACTTATCATGACTGAATGATTTTTCTCTTGTAGATGGGTGGCGATCCATATCTTCCAAACCAAATTAAGCAGTTCAAACTGGATAAATTTCCCCGGCCGCCTACATTCAGTGACAACGTCGTGAGTGCTATCGTTGGTCAATCCCCGTCAACGCTCTTAGTGGAAGTCTACCGATTACTGCAGATTGTGGCCGTGCATTTGAGTAGCACGGAATCGGACGAAATCGCCTTTGAAGGCCGCTACCAGGACGATCTGGATGATTTACAACGCGGTCCCAGTGGCCTACAGGCCCTTATGTGCTCGGTACGGCTGGGCATGAAGCATGCCGGGGTTGATCCGGTCGACAACAGCGACGTACTGAAGACCATTTACACAACGCCGATTCGCGATTATTCCCAGCGAAATCTCCGGGATATACTGCGCCTGGATGGAACCAGTTATATTCTCGAATATGTTAAGACCGTCTTCAATGAACTGTACGGGCAGTCGACGCAAAAGTAAAGGTCAACTCATCGATGGCCATTTTCATGGCATTCACACTCGACCAAAGAATCTCTCTCGGTATACGATGCATTCAATGTTCCAAAGAGAACGCGCGTCCGTCGCGTCCGTCATACCTCTTCGCAATGAATCTCACTCGGTTTAGCTGGTTTGTGTTCAGCTGCTCGTCGTTTATTGCTGTCAAAAGCAAGTCCAAAGATTGCTGGTGAAGTTGTTGGGGTTTGGTATTCCTGTTTGGATTGTGATAAAACCGATGAAGTTGCTGCAGTGCACGGATGTCTTTTAACTTATTTATTTATTAATGTTATGGATGTTTTTGTGTTCCGTTATTTATTGAACCGCACCTTTTTGTGGTATTGTCAAAGTTTTTGATACTCTTGAGAAAGTTTTTAATTTTTTTATATTTAAACCTCCTGATGTAAATTTATTTGTACAGTTGTGTACAATTATTTGTATGAAACTCTGTATTTTGGTTTTTGTATGTGTTTTTGCATGCTCACTCATCGGGTATATTACCCGAGCTTTGTATTGTCGAGAACGCATTTCGGAGACAGATGCACAAATGCACCGGCTATATCAATTAAAATCCAAGAAAAACATCGAAAAAATTTTGAGCGGTTTCGACGTAATTCCCAAATACTAAAAAACAGTGTGGATTAAACCTAAGGTATGAACTTGGATTGAAGGATTTTAAATCAGCATTCAAAAATATGTGTAAAAAAATTGAAACTACGGCATACCGATGAAATATTTCACCTTTTTTTATCAGTACTTCTTTTATTTAAAGCTTACTGATTTAGACTGTCTTATGCAACGGGACAGCGTCCCGTCAAGGCATTTGAGGAAACAATGCCCCTTAAACAACGTGATCATCCGATAATAATGAAACAATATACTGCAGTATATGTAGTATCCCTGAGGCTTAATAGAACTACTACCAGATAACATTTCCAGAATATTAAATTATATTTGTGCTTCAATTATAACTTTGACTAAATTTGCTGCATACAGCATGCTTTTTTATTGCACTGGTAATCTTTAAAGTGCAACAGAACCACGTACAGTACGTACAGTCCGATTACAGATACTTCCGCACTGGCAGCGTGTCTTTCCATTTCCATCACTTGCATGACCATGAAAGGCACCATCATAATATCATGACGTCGGCGATTTGCAACTGCTATTGCGACATAACTGACTAATTAGGGATATTGCTATCGTTTAACAACCGAGTACATGCGCATTTAGTAATCCTAAAAGCAACATTGTGACAGTTCAGTAATCCGATCAATCTACCACGCGAGCCACACCTACGGAACCGTTTTGAACGGCGTAATGATCGCCCGGAAGTCCTTCGATATCGAAACGGGAACAGCCTAATCACAATAATTAATACAGATTTGAACCGTTGCGGAATTACCATGTCTTTGAAAGTCTTTTGTACGAGAAGCTACCGAATGTACACTGGAAAATTATCATGTCATGGTAATTTTATAAAACTACTTATGAACATGTAAAGTCTGTAAAGTTGCTTGTGATGAAATAATTTTTCGTGAAATTTGATTCGGCTCGTCTAGAGCCCGTCCGCCTCGCTCAAGGAGTGCCGCGGATTCTCCAAAACAGGGCGGCGTAATAAAACATTTTAATAAAACTAATGCGGTCTGTAAAATACCCACAAAATACAAAATGCCCGGCAGGAATATTTTACGATTTATGGAGACAGCAGATGTGACAAACATAGGAGTGACATCATTAAGGCCACACAGACCACCGTATGAGTCTCCGCTGAAAACTTTCCGTCTTATGCAAATATCATCAACAAAACTAATGATTCATCAAGCAATCAAGGCAAAATATTTTCACATACCCATGCGTACACATCTGTTTGTGTTCCTTGAGGTGTTACGACACCGACCACGTTGCTGGCACTTTTACGGCGTGCATCGAAAGTAGGTTAACAACCTCAAGTTCACCAAAAAATTATTCATTTTACTAACTCTCCGTAACAAATGCGCATGTTTGACTTTTGATTGTTGTACAAATATACCGATGATTTCCGGAGAGATCATGAGCATGCGAAATTACTGTGCATTTTTTAGAAGAAGTATATTACCATCATGATAAAGCACTAATGTGTAACAATTTACCGGTCATAGAAGCATAATTTCCTAGATTTCATTTTTTATGTAAATATGTATACGTTTATCGACGACGTTTTCTCTGACTGCAATCCAGTTTTTTTTTAATTCAGAAAAGATCAGCAATAAATATTCATTTTTTTCAAGACTTCACTCATTATCGTGAACGATAAGTTGTTTAAAACAGGTGCTGTAAACACGATCTCGATGCGCACACAACACCTTACTGGTAGGTCTTAGAATAAATTAAAAAACAAAACAAACGCAAAGAAACTTTGGACAACCACAGATGGAAAATCGAACAAATGTCACCCTTATTTTAACAAAAATACAAAATTACGGTATTTTCAACCGAGTCACCCACTCGACGTTTTGGGTGTAACGCAGCGTCGGAAAGATCCCCTGCCGTCGGCCATTGACACTGTAATCTATAGCAAGAAAAAGGGATAACTTTCACTGCGCACCTCCACCACCGCCTGCGCCACCGGGTTGTCCTCCCAACTGTCCGGAGAATAGCATAAATAGTACCACCGGAACAATGTACATCCACTGCAACAAAACGTTATCCATAATGAGATTTCAAAATTAACAACCTTCCCCCATTCACACCCGTTCATTTACAGAAAGGCGCAATTTCGCGCTTCAACGTTCGCATGTGCTGCATTGACGTCAAGGTCATGGATGAAATACGGATTAAAAACTGTCATATGTTTAGAAACATAATCCACTAAGGATAAGGAGACAGTGTATATCGCTAACACTACAGCTTTAATATTACGCATTTAACGGCACGAGGTAAGCTTGTCGATGCGGTAAATCTGCCAACATATCTTTTCAGTTACTTTTAGCCATACCAGAATACGTTTATCCGCCTGCTAAATTTCCATTCACTTTTGCAGAATGAGCTATCCCTAAAAATCACACCCTACCGACTAGCGCAGGGTTCAAGTGCTTGTGGGAATACTGATTAATTCTTACATGCATACGCAACAAACCTAAGCTTCATTTAACATGAGCAGCCTCATATTTATTTTTGTCACTCTTCCAATGATAAAACTATATTTGTCTTAATTAAATGCCAGGGTCCAGGTGAATTAAAGGGTCTGAGTCAATATAAACTGTGTGTGGGATACGAGTAAAACGTGAACTATGCCTAACACAAACATAAGAACCAATCTTGCCTGAACAAAGCACAGCAGTTGGTTCAGAGATTACTAGTTAGTTATCAGACTGGTAAAAAGATCAAACACTGCCTCAAGTTCCCTTGAGGCAACATTTAAATCTTGTTGGATTTCTGCAGCCATTATCAAGCACACCTAACCCTTGTGCGTTAACATTTAGACTGTAAAATTACTCCCGGAAGGAACAAAGCCTGACAAATCAGGGATGGATATCTGGATTACCTAAATACAGCAATCGCGTCAGTGTATAAACGAACGGAAACAGTAAAAACCCATGGAAGTAGCCCGTAGGCCGATGCATAGGCATATCGGTTTCACTGCTTTATAGACTCCATATCACTTAACCACCTGTCTACACCGGCAACTTTAAAAGCTCACAAATACCAGCGTGTATAAGGTAAAGTAATATTTGTAAACCGTGTCTCGCCGCACGGAAAAAATTCATTTATCCATACAGACGGCGCTAATTTTTTCGATAAACTTTTGTTTGGGGTCAGGACACTCTACGGTAAAAACCTATGCAAGAAAGATAAACCCATTTCAAAAACTGCACAGTAAAGCGAAAACCTCCAATTAAAACTGGCGAACATAGTGCAAGAACAACACTGGTTGAGGCAGAAAAAAAAGAAAGCTGATAACCATTAAAAACCGTTCTCGAATAAATCTGAAATGGTATTTTCCCACACTTTATGATCAAGTAACAACGTTTGTATTTAGAATGAGACCGTTGGCCTAATTTAAATTTTTTTGAAAGCGCTTTAAACTTGAAACATGCTACCTGCAAGGAGAATTCTACGTACAAGATCAGAACGCACTTTAATCAGCCACTCAACATCACGCATTCAAGCATCACAGCGAATGGCATTAGAAATATTGTGAGAGTATAATTCTACAAGGACCGAAAATAAACAATCACTAATGCTAATCAAGCACCACCAATTTTGAAATTTTCCTGTCGTGCATCAGGAACAGAATTTAGTTTTCGACAAAAGATGTTTATTACCGTAAATTAATCAGCCGACCTAGAATCTTACTGCTCAACATTGAAATGTGCCTGTGTAAATATTCACCGATGCACTTGGAAAGATTAAGCTTTTCACCAAAAATATTACAAATTACCGAAAATTTGAGACTTTAAAACCAGTAAACCAGAAAGCTTTAATCCAATAAATGATAATAAAAATTAATATTAGTTTTCCTTGGATCTCGCTCCTGTGAAGCAAGTCTAGTCAGGATAGGAGATAGTACAAATATTTTCAAAATTCAGCGTTTTTAAGTATCCATTTATGCAGCATAATTATTATGTCCATTTTGACTGGTTTTGACTGGTTCTGATCGGTCACGAGAACAGACATGTGGCGGCTTCTCAATATCACAAGTTTTACTGTTTTCTATTATCGCGGGTGCACTTTTGTTATATAGTAGGTTGTTAACTAATAAAAGGTGACTATCTCACCAGTTTCCATTTTCTACTTACATATTTCGCCAAAAATGAACGATTGTCTCCTGTTTCAGCAGCTAACTTCTCCGCTTTTTCTTTCGCCAGCTTGCGTTTATATCCCTCTAAATCTGGGCTAAAGGTATAAATATCTTTATTAAAACACAGAAACCCCAATGTAGTATTCCAATACACACCTCGGACCCTGATGACTACCATGCACCGTCACTAGTCCAGTTAACGTGTCAGGGGCGTCGGACGGCTCCTCCGGTAAGAGAAGTAATTTCGGATCATTTCGATCAAGTGGCGATACTTCCACGGCATAAACTCTTCCGAATGCGTCCACATTAATTGTGATTCCGATAAGTAATCCAGACTTGCTTACATCGTTCTAAAAGTAAATAGCATCATCTGGGTTAAATTTTTTCTGGCAGAATTCCTTTAACAATATAAAGCTCGACTGTACAGAAATTATCTCTAACTGCAATTTCTAAATGCGCAATTTAACTAAACTTACAAGCGGAATTCTGGATGACTAACTAACGTCCAGATCCTATTGCAGCGCACGAAAAATATACCAAAACAGAATTCTATTTCTTGAAAATCTTTTTTCAAATTTCGTTCGTTGGTTTTAAGCAGACAATTATGCAATCCACACTCGCATACTCACCGCTTTGCAGAAACACTGCATATATTTGTCAGTATGGTCAGAATCCAGCCTGGCTCGCAGGAAATAATAGTCGTCTTTATCCACGGAAGCCTGAATGAAAATCACAATAACCAACGGTCTAAAAATTTTATCTCAACTGACGCTATGTTGCATCTTGTTCCTACTCGTAAGTACGAATATACACGTAAACTCCAACATCGATAAGTATAAAAACCTCTTGCACAACAAAACACCAATTCCTTACCTTAAGCAATTCGGCTTCGCTACTGCTCAACTGATATGTGAACGACTGCGTCTGATTAATTCGCAGGGAATTGGTAGCGAGCTCCGTAATCTTTTTACAGCGAAACTGGAGCTGGTCTGCAAGTCAAAATTACAATAATAACTGCTGTATATAAAGTGAACAAATTCTTGTAATTTTTTACCATTTAATGCGACAAGGAACAAAACAGTACAAAGCGTATTAATTTTATCAAAAGAGCAAAGTGGGTTAATAATAGAAGAACTGCATAGTGCATAGTACTGCATACCTTCAAAACAGTGTTGAAACGTCAAAGTCCCGCCCGACGATATCGACTGTGAAAGCGTCAAAGGAAAAATCTAAATTAAAGAGGAGAGACATTAGCAGAGACGGAATTCCATAAAAATTATTTCCCATGCAATACAAAAAATCAAATAATGTGGGCGCCAAATAAAAGTCAAATAAAAAGAATAAAACAACACAATATCTGAGTGTTCTGTTAACATGTCATGTCACTGATAACCATTTTCCGCTGGCTTTTCTCACAAATGCATGGCTGCATCTTGCACAGCAAAATTCATCCTTTTCACTTCAAGTAGGATCGCTTATGGTTATAGTTATTTGATTTCCTGTGTCGCATCACTTACACCAGGTACGATCATACCGTATGTAACTAATGTAAGTATGTTCGAGAATCAAGAGCGTACCTGAGCAGCAAAATGAAGAAATACAAAAATCGGGTTTCCGAATCTTTTCTCCATTTTCCCACTTCAGACTCCGTAGCTGTTCGCCTCAACTCGTTTCCGTCCGAAACACTGAATCTTCAAATTTTAAGCTGATATAAGTGATGGAATTCCGGCACAGTACTTTTTCAAGACGACTCCCACCAGCGCTGCTTCTGCACACAATGAGCGAAAACGAAAGGCACCAGATAACTACGGCTACAGGCCTACAGCCAAGAACTTTCGTATGAAATTCTTTCCGGGGGTCCCGAAGACAATCAAAAGAAATAACTTTTATGTACCGGCACTCAAGTTTCATCTGGTAATACTCTGCATATTATTAGATAACCATCAAATTACTGCAAAACAACAACGACGAAAATTATCGGTGATTATTGTGGAGTGTTCGCGTCGATTTTAATTTTTAATTGTTAAGTAAACAGATGTTAGCAGGCTAGCAGCTAATACGCATCTGCAGCCGCAACAAGCTGGCTGTTGGATGAAACAAACTCAACCCTATGAGAGCAGGTCACATTTTCCGGCTCCAAAAATAATTAATTTTGAAATGAAGAACTGTGCCTTCGGTGGCGGTATCCGGCAATTTTTTATGCGATTGCCATTACCCTAATTTTGGAATTTCATGATTGATCTAATGATATAAAAATTGAGACGTGAACGTTATTGCCGTTTCATAAAATTATTTGTTGTCTCGTTGTTCAGTAGTAACAGTACAGCCCCTGCATTAAACAGAAAGTTCAATTCTTCCTACAAGTACTGTGGTAAAAGTTGCGTGTCTATTTTCGTTCACTGTCTACAGTAGTGATGTAGAAATCAGTAAGCAAACTGAACTCTCTCGTTTTACTCGAATTAAGATTGCTACACCAAATAAACGGAATGCAGCACTTACACAGCGAATGTTTGCCTCTGAGAAAGATCACAAATTAGATCATGAATTTTATGATGAAACATAACATGCAAGGAATGCTAACAATGAGAGAACAAAATATAAAGCTGCTTCTTTGCAGCAACGTTCCTGAAAAACTATCGCACCAAATAGCGCATGACTGTCAGGACATTTTCTGTGGCTTTCTTTGGTCTGAAGGCATATCTTTTTCCGTGTTCAGTTCCCAGCTGCCGGATATTCACTATTCCGGATTTGAGATCGTCCAAAAACGGCATCACTATATTCCACCACGAACCGGCTAAGCCACGACACCGGGTTTGGCATTAACAAGGAATCGCCCTCCAAAAAGCCCAAATGTCCACCGTGGCGTGTGACAACGAGCATAGACGTTTCATGGTTACCTAAAAGTATGATGCTTTTACCGGCTACTGCTAAGCGCTTGGTGGAAAGCAATTTCTCTACTTGTATGATCCTTCACAAAATCCAACAAATTCGGAGGAACAATGGGATCATCCAGTGCATTAATAAAAACCATAGGAATGTTTATCTACAACAAAAACAACAATTACAAGTCTGCAAAATATCGTTACTAACCCGACTACATATTACCACACATCGTTTCCATAACGAATACAAGTAACAAACAATTCCGTAATAGATATACCATGTGCAACTTCCCACTACAACTAAGATCTTGGTACATCTTGTCCAAATTTTCGTATCCCAATACGAAGCGAGTGAAATGTTCATCTATTTGCTCTAGACATGTAGCTTGGAAAACAGCGTCCATATTGATCTTTGGGTGGGTTTTCATCATATCATCGCTGAATAAAATATCGCGGTGACGGGCAAATAGCTTCTTCATATTTCTTGTCATACTGAACATATAGGCCCTTCGCAACTGCTGCCACTGCAGCAGTAATGGACGAGATCGGATAATGTCATAACCCTGGCACACGGATATTCCGCAGAGAAAACGTTTCTGAATTTCTGCTGACTCCGAAAGGTAGCAACTGACCACATTTGCTCCCATACTAAACCCGACCGCAATGGCTGTGGTTCCGGAATATTTAGCTAAAACATCGTCCACCATCGAGGCATACTCAGCCGTTCCGCCTACACAAAAAACATACATGACGCTATTATGCATTCACAACCGGTCAAAAACTTTTGAGTCAACTATGTATGTACTAATGTACATACTTTTACACGCTCAGTCTTACTATGAGTAGTAAAAAAATCATGACAACTAAAGCGAAAATTAACGAAATGACTGATTATCCGGTGAACCGTAAACGGAAAAATACCAAACGCAATAAGCAATTTTTAATAACTAATTTTTTAATGATTACGATTTACGAATATGAAAAAGGCAAGCAAGTCAAAAGCTCGAAGAGTTTTTCTTTACTCTGCGAAGCGCATCGAAATATAGCGAATTTTAGATTTCACAAAACAAGTTCCGTCCAGTTCGACTTGCGGGTAGAAGTTGGCGTTACGGGTCGATTTACGTCCGTTCGCGACGTAAGGCGCCGTAACCTAACGTCGTTGGCTGACGCGTAAAAACTATCTGCCTTGCGTGGATCTGTGCAACGGCTCAGCCGTATGGCTGAGCGACAAGCCAGCGCATGCTGCCTGTGGATCTTTTTTATGTGCTCTAACCGCCTCCCCGAAAGCAGGTTGGTCACGCTCTCGGCACTCTCGACTCGATTTGTTTTTCAGCTGTACGTCCCTGCAAGTGTGCATCCGTACAAGCATTTTAAACGCTGTTCAATCTGGTAACGTACTGTTTATGTGACGCAGTAGTTTCTAGTGGACGGAGCCTGAACCATGTGAAATCTAAAATTCCCTTATAACTTACTGTACTCGCACGGAAAAATTACTATTACATAGTATTTGTATCAAACTTACAACAACTCTTACAAAAGTATCTGCTTCATACAAGTGATAAAACCAATCTAAACTGTCAAGACAAAATAACTTACCATATGTGAACAGCCTGGGTGCGGTCAGTTTAACATCGGGAACAACTCCCAAGTGATTTAAAACGACACATCGGTAACCGGAATTTTGTGCATAAAGCACAAATGATCGGATATAAACGCTCTCCGAGGAATTCGCGATACCTATTTTATCATGAAAATTACATCTTTGTCAAATATGTTCTATTAACGAGCATGCCGCCTTACCGGGACAAACCAGGAAAGTAAGGTCTTCTGTAAAAATAGTCACGTCGGGACCTGGGTGCAGGAAAGCAAGATTTCAGGAAAACTGAAACTGGCTACCTTTAGAGGTATGTGGGGCAAGCGGCTCGAAAACATCGTAAGTAATTGTCGCTCCATCCTTGCACAGCAGCGATGTCCGTGTTCCTTTTGGTAGCCAACGCTTCGATTTCCGGTTACCTAAAATTCCGTACGCAAGGGTCTGCCAATGTCCAAAGCGGCCCCACAGAAGGGGTGGAACAAACCTGCGCAAAAAGTGATTTGACCAATGGCTGCAGTCCTACGATTCACAGAACTTGTATCAAGTTACCGGTTAAATACTACTGTAAACGATTAAGTACTGTAATTACTTACCAGTAAAAATCGAGGTTTACGAGTTCAAGAAAAATTTTATAAATTCTGGAATTATTTTTAAGTTACTCGGTGCACAGTACATAGACTGAACAAAATATTCCAACTACTACCGATCTGCACGTTTATACAAACAACGCGACTGTACAATAAAAATACGTATTCTATTTCTAGTTACAAATAACGATAAGTACAGTATTGGTACCATGTGTATTAATATTTCATAACTGTATTGTTATTACCTGTAAAATTTGTGTAACTGATGTTTTTATAAGCAGAACTATTATGCTTACCGTTTTTTCAAGATGGGTGTATTTTGGACCACATGATCATGAAGTGGAGACTCTTTTTTATAAAACAGCTCCGGAACCGTCGGCTGATTACATTCTTGAAGTATACCTCGAAGCCACCATAGAGCAGTTATCAAGGCCAAAATACAGATCTCCACCAACATCGTGGCTTGCGCCACTTACTAGCAGCATAAAATGTAGGTATAACTCCGTCTTCGTATTCTCTTTGAATCGTTTGCTTTCAGTATTTTACTTCGGAAGAACGGAAATTAACGCGTATAATGTCATACTAATAACCTTTCTGTTCTTGATAAATAACACCTTTGAAAGATAAAAAGAGAATAAATACTACAAATAACAAGTAAGTTATACATAGCACACCAAACTTCAAACGCAAGGTTCTTCCAAGCGGGTTTCCAGTAGAGCATCCACTTTCCGCTGGGATACACACCGGCGTAAGACTTTTACTGAAGTATTTAACCGCGACAAGCAAGGTGCCTGCTACCAGGCGCGACTTACATGTTTGATAGATTTATATGCAAGCAAGGCGATTCCACAACAAGTTGTCAATGGATTGGGAATCGAATCAATCGATAGAGCATTCTGCGTAAACAAAATTATTAATAATTCAATGCCGGTACCTTCGTAGTCGCCATCCGCCCGGTGGCACAAGCAGTTCAGCTGACGTGTAAATCGCGTATGCACTATGCGGATCCTTTACAGCTGCATCCCAGAAATTTCCAACTTTTTGGTTTCTATACGAGAAGTTTGGAACTGTTTTTATTTGATTCGTTGGTACTGTCAAACCACTGATAGTTCTGTTTTCATATTTTCGTTTTCATTGATCTAGAAATCCACCAGTATTTGTACAGTACCACAATGCATCGAGCTCTGCTCACGTTGTTGCTTGTGCTCATATCATCATGTTATGGGTTGTATTTCCATCTTGGGGAGACCGAGAAGAAATGTTTTATGGAAGAAATCCCAGATGAAACCATGGTTGTAGGTAAGTCATGAGTGCTGCATGTTTCCGAAAGCGGGAGGGATGCGTAGAAGTGAAGTCGTTCAGGGGGTCTATCGTAAAACAGCTAGAAGTCATTCCCGGTTGAGATGTCCTAAGAGTGGCGATACTTCTACAGCCTTACCTAGAACGAAATAGATATTTGAGAAGTGGTGCGCAAAGTATTTTCGATTCTGTTCTGTGTATTTCAACCGTTTTTGGTAATATTTTGCTTTTTTTCGAAACTGATCGCTATTGAGTAAGGTAGACTGATAGACTTTTAATATAAGTGCGCTGTTAATCTGACTGGTTTGCTTGACGATTGTCAACTACACAGTATTGTACACACTGGGAGAATGACACAGGTTTGTGATTCGGCGGTGATTAGCATACCTAATCTATTTTTTAGGAAAGTACAAGGTTGAATTTTTGGATATCAACACGAACTCGTACGTCCATGTTCCGGCTGGAATGGGAATGCATGTGAGTTGCAATTTAAGTTCAGCTTCCATACTGCTTGTGCTGCGTGGTCTTACTTACCCAGCTATCATTAGCGTAACAAGGCTGTTTTGCTGGTTTCTAGTAGGGATTTTTGGTTATAGGTGGAGGTAAAAGACCCAGAGCAAAAGGAGCTGTTATCGCGCACCTATGGTGCTGAAGGTCGATATACTTTCACATCCCATACACCTGGAGAGCACACAATGTGTTTGTCGACGAATACTTCCCGGTGGTTTGGAGGGAGTTCTTTGGTATGTCTTTATGTAGATTACTCATATTGATCGGTATGGCAACTAAGTTGCAGTTTAATATGGCATTTAAGTTAACTTCTGAACAGTTTTCTGAGTAATTTATTAATTCCTTATATTCGTAATGTCGACCGGATCTACTTTCGAATTGTCCGTACGTGGGAATACGTTTCGCGGTTATCATTTCGTTAATGCCGACTGACAGCGAAATGCATCGCATTTGCACTAAGGGATTTTCAGCTGTAATTTGCGTATTCTTATTTGAAGCTTGTACTCATCTCGTTTAGGCAAAAATGTTTTACCTTTTACTACAAAAACTGATAGTTTACAAATTCGATGTACATACCGTATTTCTCTGGTTTTTGGGGAAGAGAGTGTTTGTAAGATGTCAAAATCCTTAAGGTGCTGTAGCTTGAGAGATAGGACGGAAAAGAGCAACTATGTAATTAACTTTTACACTCAGTTCTTGCATGATTCGAACAGTAAACCTGCAGTTGGAAGCTTTTTTCGTTCTTTTTGGTGTTCTCATGAGCACTCTTATCATCTGTAACAGAGAGTCCACTTGGATATTTCTATTGGAGAGCACGCCAACGATTACAAGGAAATCGCTGAAAAGGATAAACTCTCCGAATTGCAGCTTCGCGTTCGGCAGTTATTGGACCAAGTTGACCAGATCACCAAAGAGCAAAATTACCAACGGGTAACGAGTGATAACACTTATGTCAACTTTGTTTGACTAATGCATAAATGATATTTCGGATGACCGGCCTAGGAATTAAGCAAAGATATGTTATAAGTGCTTTAAATTAATGAAACGCTACTTACTACTTAGTTGTACAGAGCAGTCACTATTAAACGGAAATTTTTCTTACATTTAGTGGTCTTGCTTATATAGCTTGCCGCTTGCGAAATGTTTTCACGGCTGCTATCTTGTGTAAGTATTATTATCGACTTGTTTTAGGTACGGGAAGAACGATTCCGGCAGACCAGTGAAAGCACAAACTTTCGAGTGTTATGGTGGAGTTTCATCCAGGGTGGCCTGCTTTTAGCTATTGGATTTTGGCAGATGCGACATCTTAAGAGCTTTTTTGAAGCTAAGAAGCTCGTGTAATCTCTTTTGCTGTTTCGCGGGATTTTCTTTCATTTGTGGGGGCGGTTTTTACGGTTTTAATTGTCGCCGGTATTGACACTGTTTGATGGACGAACTGGTGTGATCGTCGTTTAATTAGCGGCTATGTTGCTCTTGAACGCACGTTGTTTATAGTGCGATTGATTCCATTGTCATGCGATAATGTGTAAGCGTAGAACAAGACAATTAGCGCTGGCAGACCTTTGCTTGTTTGTTAGTTTGCCTGACCTCCCAGTGTTGTGGGAGGGTGTTATTTGCACGTCGTACACCGCTTTTTATGGAAAGATTTAAAGAAAGCTAAAACAAGCTTAAAAGCCAGTCATGTGGCACGTGCAAGTTTCCGGTTCTCTTACGGACAAAAGCAAGATAGGTGGGCACCGTATCGACCAGTTGTGTGTATGCGAGCAATGTCCGAACTACACAAGCACAAGTAAGTAATATTTTAAAAGTAAGCAAACGCTTTTTTCGTTAACCGGATCATTCATTTGCAGTACGGCAATAAGACAATTTCTGACCATTATCATGTACTGTAGAATTGCTGTACAATCACATGTACTGTTGGTGGTGCATGGGCGCAAACTTGTAACCGACGATGGTATTTTCAAAGACTACTGACTCATAACACTCGAAACGAGCTTCGATGTTCTATCCAAACATTTAGACTGATTAACAGCAGTAAGCGACATACCCTGCTTTCCGTTAGCAAACGACCAAACGGGAATACCTGGTATACTTTGCAGTTGTTAAGTTGTAGCTTGATATAAATAAATACTAATCGGTTTACTTTATTGTTGTTTGTTAACCTAATTAATAATCTGCTTTAAATTAACAAATATTCTGGATATCGGTATGCTACTACCGTACTCTTTAATTTTGTTTTAGTATTTACTTTTCCATGGCTACTATCATGATGAAGACTAACTACGTATACAGTCTACAGTAGTATTGACTTTACCTATAGTTGCTACTTACTGCAGTCGTATTTGTTGTTTGTTATTTTATACAAAGTTACAAAGTAGAACGTATTTTATAGAACGTATAGTATTTGTTGTTTGTTATTTTATTTGTTGTTTGTTATTTTTATTTTATAGCCTTCTCTAGGACTTACTGTGTAGATGCTTGCAAGGCTCAGAACGGCGATAATTATAATCGCTTCTGGGATGCGCCTTCATACGGAAATACTTGTTTTGTTTTACTGTACTATAGCTAATTGTTGAAACCGTACAATCAAGCCATTTAAAACATCTTAACTGCCGGCACGATTTACAAAATTATAACGCCATGCTCGGCCAGCCGTGCTGGATTGCATTTAAAATTTGTGGCCATTCCAGAACAGCAGCGCTACTAGCCTACTACGAGTACTCGTAATGCACTCGTAGTAATAATATTAGTGTACGAGTAGCTACCAAAGTGTACAATACAGACATACATTATTGTACATACATCGGCGGCATGGCGGACATCACGGTAGCTGTTCGCTCAGCGATGTGGTGTAGCATCAGCAGATTTTGTGGTACAGCGGTTGAAATATTTATGGCCGACGCGGTGATCTAAAACCAACAATGCCATATATTCATAACTCTCGCGAACTCGCCAGAAATTCACTTCGCTTCACCGCGATAGCAATGCAGCCATATTTTTACACGATGGCCATTAGACACCTACGTCAACGCGTTGACCATATCACACCCAGCGTAGAAGCTATCGCAGCACTATGTTGATTACAACGACAAGCAGTCCTCTGGCCATCTGCAGGACCATCATTCTAATCTGCAGTCTAATCCTTAATTTAACCGCCTTCCGGTCTCATCCTTGCAGCTGTACAAAAAAGCGCTGTCTGATTTTGCCGCTCTTCCTGATCGGCAATCTGCTGACCCTACTGCTGCACATTCCTGATCTCGTCCTCGCCTTTGGCGGATATTTTCCTATTGCACAACTGAAATGCTCATTTGTCTTTGTATCCTCGAGCCTGCTATGCGGATACTTTGTGGCACTGGGCATTCTGCGCTGCGTACTGATTCTGCCGGATCTGCGTTCATATCGTCCATATTTCTATGCCAGCCTCATCTTCACACCGTTGATAGCCGCCGGAATTCAAGTATTCTACATGAAAGCGGCACTGGAAGAGCCGTTATTTCTGCATTTTCGCATGATTCCCAACGATTCCGATAGTGCGGCCTATGCAAGAGAACTCGTGCTGCCGGTGTCCGGATGTGCACGGACGATTTGCAATTCCAGCGATGTGATTCTGACCATGCTGGGAAATCTAGTTCCTGCCCTCATTCCAACGGTGTCTTTTATCGTATCGTTCCTTGTGTCATATTCATCCAGACGAAGAGTCCAGAGTGAGAAATATGTTGAAAGCGATATTGTGTCGTCATACACGCTGGCACAAGATTACTGTGATCGTGAAAACCACTGTTGGCAGGTAAACTATAATGAAAACCGGTCTTCTGTAGAAAAGCACTTGAAGTACGGAAGTATGTATTCTGGACTGGGATCTTTGATGATAACATTAATTATTTATCTACATAACTACATTCTACATCGTGTGCGCGCAAATTACGATAGTAAAACTTTGTTCTACTCTGTATATTACTCGTATGTTCGCGCATGAGTGTCTACATGTACATGTAGCTTTAGACAACCGGCAAGCCAAAAAAATATATTGATAACCTTACATTTCACAAAATTAATTAAGATCGCAACGTCAGGATTAACATGAAAACAACAGACCAATGCAATGTCGCCATCGAAATTCCACAAGAATTATTAAAGCGAGAGTCAATCTGTACTCCGTGGTATTGATGCTTAGAAACTTATGCTTACAGGTTCTAAAATTCGTTCTGATCCTGTTCTTTGGATGGACTGTTTTCGCCAAACCTTTGACCTTGTTCCTGACTTACTTGACTCGTTATTACGCTAGCAGCCGGATTGAACATTCATCAGTGTATTTTTGCTCAAATTTTTGGGACATCGGAAACAATGTGATTTTGTTTATTGCAGTATCTGTGGTGCCGTTTTGTTTGATTCTTTCGCATCGGTCCACTTGCAATCGCACATCCACGACTGACAAATATCACAGTGGACGTAGAAGCAAATCACTGCAATGTGTTGATCGTCCGGTGGCCATTATCGGCAGTCCTACCGCCGAAGCGGATGTTGGGATGTTTACTTGGGACACCTTCTGCGTGTCCACACCTGTGGTCAAGTTGAACCAGTGCAACAACCATAGTTCAGTTACATAGTCCGGAGTTTGCAGTTAATACATCCAGACCACGTGTTATATGCGCAATGGAAAACCGATGGACAGATATTCAAGATAGAAGCAGTAATCAAACATTGTACATAATAAATATCTGTAAACAGATAATTACAAGAACTGGATTATTAGATTTAATAATCGACCTGTGCATACAATTTTTACTAATTGGAAAAATTCTACTAATTGGAATTTGTTTTACGCTCAATAATATAAAAATATCCGGAAGTCGTATCCCAGTAATATAATATAACTAACTGTATTGGTCTAACATTATTGTAAGTATCGGAAACAGTACGGCAACACAATAATATATTACAGTATATAGATATGCAGCAGAAGTATAGTACTTACATTAGTGCTGATCGGTACGTGGTGCACCATAGGCTCGAGTCAGGTGAGATCTAAAAGGCGAGCCCCGGCGGTTTTTGTAACAAAAAGATTAGTACATTCAACAACTTGCACTAATTTCTTATGCCGAATTATAGTGTTTGTGTTTACAGCTATAGTTTAAAACTGTCACCTAGCCCTGCACCCGGAACGTCGTCCTCAAAATTTTGCTTGCTTGATAAATTAGAGTCTAGTAATACCGGTAAAATAGCTTTGTATATCACTCGAAATTTCTTTGTTGTGGGTAATGAATGTAATTGTAGTACATTAATGTAATCGAAATTAATAAGGGATTTTCATGGCAGTAAATAAAAGAAATAGAAAATAAATAAGAATGCTAATAATGACTAATAATGACATATCATGAGAGGAGACTAGAACTGACAATCTGACGAGATACTTAAAAATAAATCACATTTCATCCAAGCAGTTTAATGCTTATGCAAGTGCTTATACGATAATTTTTGCTAATTACGAGCATGAATTCAGGCAAATGGGGCTACACCAGCCTGCTTTTGCTGATCGTTGATAGACGAGGAAGGTCACATACGGACACGGTACAATCAGTTCACAAATCAAAACATTCCCAGACGTAGTACAAACGCCCATTGACGGGCGCGACGAAGGGATGGATGACACTTCCATTCAGATTTTTGGCTTGTGCCTGCCACTGCCTGGCACGTAAGTACGAGTATTGTACGTCTTGACTCTTGTGCATCAGCTGTCTTCATTCTGATTTTCCGTCTGACTTGGACACAAAGTTGCTGATTTACGACGGTACTGGTCTGAATTAATAGTATCGTTTTGTTTATTTGTTTGCTGTACATGTTAGGTAAGAGTCTAAGACATTGTTTTATCCAAATATCCTTTCATCATTTTTTTGTTCCACGTTTATTTTCGAGTGATTAATTATTCCTCTCAGGGAATTTCCCGAAAGGGTTGTTATCTGTGCAATATTTGATTTCGATCGTGGGCGCATATTACAGGACAACTGAGGACATAGATTTGCTTGCGCTCCCATTATGATTATTTACTTACTCTGGTCTCTGGAAACGGTTCTTCATATGTTATGCGCGAACTATAGACGCAGTCGTTATCTCTGATAAGTAAAAACCACTTCTGAAAATTTGATCGATTGGATAAGTGCTAAATCAGTACGCCCTCGAATCTCTGTGCGATCCAAGAAAACAGCGGGGTCTGTAACGTATCCTTGATTTGGGAAGTTACGAGTCTGGCTTTTGGCTTTATGGAACCCTTCCTTACTGTTTGGCAGTTCGTTTCTATCACATAGCTGTGGGTTCTAGTCCTACGGTACAGCGATATGTGCTGTTTGCCCAGTCGTTGCCTGTCTTATTATGCTGGATTTTGTTGAGATATCATGGAACGGGAGAGTGAACAGAAAGAACACCAGCTGCGCAAATCGGATGATGCAGGTGAGTCGTCACTTCTGGTTGTTTCCTATGGCAAACGGTAGTTAGCCGAGAAAGTTCTCTTCAACTGAAAATTATATGTGTGAATAAATGCGCATGACAGTGTAACATATTGTTAGATGGCCTTCATTTGCAACCTCCAAGTAATTCCCTCTGGTGCAGTCCAGCTGGACACAATCTGGAATTCGCCCACAAAATGCGCGTACTCGACCAGGTAGATAATTCTTATCCGCTGGTCCGATGCAAACTGTGCTATAGTTCGCTAAAGTCTGACCGTAGTGAGATTGTAGTGCGATTAAGCGCAGCATTGATGATTGATCAGTTGTTGATCGCCCGCCTGGCGTTCGTAACACTTATATAAAAATTAGTCATTGATTCATTCATTAATTACTTGAGATTGATGTTTCATTCAGGCAGAGCAGGGTTGGGTGGACGATGAAATCGCCACAGCTGCCATGAAAATGCTGAAGTCACAGTACGACCTGGGTGGACTACGTCCCACAGCGTTGTTTTATGGACAAACACGGGCGCCATCGGAAGAACGCCGTCAGCAGCTGTTTTGGCTGAGAAATCTCTGGCAAGCTGCGGACTTCAAGCCCGAAAGGCGGCAAGCGCAGATTCTGTACACAGGATCATTGCACTGGGTTCTCGTGAGCAATTATCATCAGTTTGAAGAGGAACTGGTTTATGTGTAAGTTTCTACTGAAAGAATTTTTCCTCTTTCGTGGTTTTACGGGCTGTAGTCTTGATCCGCATGTTTTGCACGGTTATTCGATCGATAGGGAACTGCCGTAACAAAAATATCTTCAATAATGAATTGTCGGTAATATTGATTGCGGCCACGATACCCGTAAGAAACAAACTGGATCAGTGATCACCAAGAATGTGCGTGCGCATGTTATGAGTGCCATCCAGTGTGTCGGCATCATGTTATTTACTCTTCTTGGTTTATTTAAAATCAATCAATACGTCGTTACAGTGCGGTTGAGAGATCGAATGAGAACAGAAACCCACGGGGATGCTTTTTATTGCAGATATGACAGCCGAGATGAACCTGCACCGGATTTCCTTATTAATAAGGTGGCCGCTGTCTACAGATTTAAAAGTCCGAAATTTCGAATGTCATGGCCCTTGGTCGATCAGCAGAGGAATAATAAGGACTGTGGAATATATGCGAGTGCTTTCCTAGTTGCCTTGTGCAATAAAACAGACCCTGCCACAGTTTTACTGGACGACTCGAAGGTATGTATATTCCATATAGGTATTTTGTTCTTTTTATATGCTCTAATTTCATACAGAGTGACACTATTTTCAGAAACTAAGAGAACATTTAGTTCGATGTTGCGAAGAAGGAGCATTTGCTGTGGATGATCTCTTTCCTACTCGTTCGGCATCTACAAACAAGGACTGGTCAGCCTTCTCCATGTCTGCACATCTTTTATGGCAGCGTTTCAAAAAAGTGAGGCACAGAGTGGCACTGCCGGATCGGGAAATTCGTATTATTTGCGAGTGCCGAATGCCGCCTGGCAAAGGACGCAAAGATCGGAACGTCATGTGCCAGGAATCTAAGTGTGATATAAAACGATTTCATGAGAGTTGTATTTATAACTTTGATAGGGAGTTTTATGAAAGAATTGAGCGAAAGCACTGGGTATGTCCTACTTGTCGCTCTATGTTTAAGAGGGAATAATTGCTTGAGTTCCTGTGTTATAGCTAGATTATTTATTTTTTCGCTGCCCCGAGTGATTTCTACTGTTTTATGATTCAGTATTCAATCTAAGCGCAATGCAGATCTATTTTTACTTGTGATTTATAGTGTGAAAATTGCCATTCTCCGTCTTGGATATCATTAACGTTAATTTTGTGGGGTACGCTCTCTTGACTTACGGATTTTAAGTGTAACACCCACACGACGCGGTTCCTGTCCAGAAGGTATGAATAAACCCATAAAAAAATTCTAAAAGCTATGACGCCGATATTTTTCACATGGTGCCCAGTTTCAACAAAATGTAGTCGATAAAAATGGCGAAAGAACTAAAAAAGCCACCAATGGGACTCGAACCCATGATCTTCTGCTTACTAGGCAGACGCTTTACCAACTAAGCCATGGCGGCTCTGCGATAACACCACACGAAATAATAAACGTACAATTTTGTGTGGCAGGACACCAAACTTCTAATCAAAATTCCCTTCGCATGCAAAAAAACTGCGATTTTATCATCGTGTAGAGATGCAGTGAACTTCCTGCATTTTATACTGCGCAACTATCTTGATTTCCCACGCATATCAGTTATATTTTATATCGCCAACTTTGAACTTTTGATCTTCCATACTCGCATTCCTTAAACTGATTCATATTATGGCCGGTAGGCATGATATGTAGTCGGTATCCACGAAGTAACACTTAATTAAAACAAGCAAAAAAGCGTAAAGGTAAACTTAAGCTTTAAACCAAAATACTGAAAACAGATGCTTCAAACTGAAATACTATCTATCACAAAAAGTATAAATATAAAATAATATGAAAAAGTACAAAACAAACGACGAAAATCATGCAGTTTTCAGACGTTTTGGGGAGGCATTATCGACCGCTGGGAACAATATTCTGATAATCGTCAGAGTTTCCGCAGTTAAATAATTCTGAATGGCTTCGAAAAGATGATTTCCAGTGCTTGTCATAAAAAAGGCATGCCTTTGCAGATCCGCCTGCAGAGCTTCTGTAGATTCGCGATTAGCTCCTCTGGTTTTATGAACGCTCACACCAACTGAAGGTGATTCTGAGCGCAGCTCCATCACAACCTTGCCCAGAAGTAAACTAAATTCACTCACAATTTCCGGGCTGATAATAAAGTCGAAAAACTGTCTGAACGAAAACTTTTGCCGGGCTTCCAAAACCGTAAAAAGATGCCGGAATAAATCGGGATACTGTCCAATAACGGGCTGGATCAGGACAAAAGCCACTTGCAGATGCTCGTCACTAATACGATCCACCGACTGTGGTTTCATCAGATCCGACTGCAAATGATTCAACAAGATCATGCAGCAAAACGCCAACAAATCTTGGTCGTCCCAGATGTATGCAACCATGGCTGACTTTTCTCCATCAAATATAGATCGCGAAACATCAAATTTTCCTTGGACACGCAGCCTGCGAACAAGCTTACATATATTTTCAAACGTTTCCAGAGTTATGGGTGTTTTGCACGACTGAGCAATATGTTGAGCCAGCAACTGGGTTTTCAACCAGTAAGGAAAGGAATCAGAGTCGAATATCGCCAAAGAACGGCCAATCAATATGGCGAGATCCGACCGGAAAGTACTGAATACGGAAGATTCATCGAGTCGTAATTCGGAATAAGTCTGCGATAGCAGCAAACGATTGGCATCGTCGTCATTCAGAATATTCCATACCTTTTCACTTAAATTCATAATACCTTCCATATATAATGACAACTTTCGTAGCTGCATTTTTCCGACATGAGACACCACCTGGAACAGAAGCAGAAGAACTAGTAGGAAAAGCCTGCCTGCATACTTGCAATTCGCGCACGATGTGAAAGAGCAAAGTTTAAAAAAATGTAAATTTACTTTCAAAAAACAACAATGGTACTTTAATTTACCTGTTTCGAAACACCCGCACCCATTCTTAACAAAAATGGTCTTCGCTGGGGAAATATCACAGAGTGACTTTGCGTAAAAATACTTGTGCAAGAGAAACGCCCAGAAAGTCAAAGTCACCAGAAAATCCAAGACATCATTAAAAATTCCCGTGTTCTTATGGACACTTTGCCATTTGCAATACATTTTCCACCAATGCTCCAGGTTTACGATAGAATCCGACGATTTCCAAAATCCGCACCAGCTCATTTTGAATGCAGAAAACATCTCGTTAATCAGCTGATGAACACTCTGCCAACAGCTGTCGGGGTTGATGTTTATGGCCTCCTCGTCCGATGAGCATTCAAGAATACAGCTGAGATGATATTTCACTACGACAGTTATGACACGCTGATAAAACTGCCCGCGATCTCCATCTTTCTTTGAAATCAAAAACAGCGGAAATAATTTCGTAGCAATCACAAAATGATATTTAGTGCGGTAGATGATGAACCTGCGTGGAGCTTCGTCAAGCAGAGTGTTGATTGTGTCCCGTATGATTTCTATAGTGCGGCTCTCGTAAACCGATTTAGGGAACATCTGCAGAAATGTCAGCAGCAGTGCCAAACGCTCTTCAATCTGGTGAGGCTTAGAGTGGTTCTGCAGAACCTCCACGATGAATTTCTGCAACTCGTCATAGGGCATTAAGGCCAACATCTGCAGGAATCTCTCATCGGAACCATCTTTCCCCAGGAGGGCCTCAACAACCTGTTGTTGCCGTTCGATCTGTGTACCAACGAGGTCCGCGAGGTTTCCGTCCTTCAAAAGTAGTTCAGGTTTGGTTTCAACAAGATCAGTTGTGTCCATACGTTCCATTTCGAAACGATATAACCCTAAAGATTCGAATTCCGCTTTCAGATCAACAAAACCAAGTTTCGGATACTGGTTTCCGCAAAGAATGATAGCGTCATACAAAAATCTAGAGAAGGCTCAAAAGTGGCGCTTCCTAATTTTAAACAGGTGCAATTCTGACAAGATATGGATGCTGAAGCGGGTGAAGCTGATGCGGACTTAATGGCTTTCGTAATAGTTAATATCATACTATCCCGCAGCAAAATTTATCATGACAGCATGCAAGTAAAGTGCAAGCAAACTTTAAAAAAAGTTACTGTACGTATCGTTAACAGATAACTTCGCTATATCTACCCGAGAGATATGGCACTGATTGTTTAGGTTGAAAACGCGCGACAGTTTATGATTACTGTAACTGACGGAACTGTTATGGAACTTTACGGAATTTGACGGAACCCAATGGAACTCTACGGAACCTGACGGAACCTAATGGAACTCTACGGAACCTAACGGAACCCAATGGAACTATACGGAACCCAATTGGAACTGTACAGAACTGTACGGAACCTGACGGAACCTAACGGAACCCAATGGAACTCTACGGAACCTGACGGAACCTAACGGAACCTATTGGAACTCTACGGAACCTGACGGAACCTAACGGAACCCAATGGACCTCTACGGAACCTGACGGAACCTAATGGAACTCTACGGAACCTAACGGAACCCAATGGAACTCTACGGAACCTGACGGAACCTAACAGAACCCAATCGAACTCTACGGAACCTGACGGAACTTGATGGAACCCAATGGAGCTTTACGGAACCCAATGGAACCTGACGGAACCTAACGGAACCCAATGGACCTCTACGGAACCTGACGGAACCTAATGAAACTCTACGGACCCTGACGGAACCTGACGGAACCTAATGGAACTCTACGGAACCTAACGGAACCCAATGGAACTCTACGGAACCTAACGGAACCCAATGGAACTGTACGGAACCTGACGGAACCTAACGGCAATGGAACTGTACGGAACCTAATGGAACCCTGACCGAACCTAACGGAACCCAATGGACCTCTACGGAACCTGACGGAACCCTAATGGAACTGTGCAGAACCTGACGGAACCTGGAACCTAATGGAACTCTACAGGAACCTGGCCAGAACCTAACTTGGAACCCAAAGGAACTGTACGGAACCTAATGGAACCTGACGGAACCCAATGGAACTCTACGGAACCTGGCCGGAACAGGAACCCAATGGACCTCTGCAGACCTGACGGAACCTAATGAAACTCTACGGAACCTGACGGAACCTGACGGAACCTAATGGAACTCTACGGAACCTAACGGAACCCAATGGAACTGTACGGAACCTGACGGAACCTAACGGAACCCAATGGACCTCTACGGAACCTGACGAAACCTAATGAAACTCTACGGTACCTGACGGAACCTAACGGAACCTAATGGAACTCTACGGAACCTGACGGAACCTAACGGAACCCAATGGAACTGTACGGAACCTAATGGAACCTGACGGAACCTAATGGAACCTGACGGAACCTAACCTGACGGAACCCATCAGGCTTTGTGAACTGAACAGAACCGGGTGCCGCTAGCGGTCACCCGCTCACCCCGGGCTCCGTACACTGGAGGATACCAGTAGCCCGGTCACCTCACCCTAACGAGGCCCGTGCACTGGACAGTACCAGTTGCTCGGTCACTTATTCACCCATCAGGCTTTGTGCACTGATCAGAACAGGTGCCGCTAGCCCGGTCACCCGCTTACCTAACGTGCTCCGTACACTGGAGAGTACCGGTAGCCTGGTCACCGCCCCTAGCGGGCTCCGTACACGAGAAAGTACCGATAGCCCGGTCACCCGCTCACCTAACGGGCCCCGTGCACTGGACAGCCAGTATCTCAGTCGCTCGTTCACCCATCAGGTCCTGTGCACTGGACAGTACAAGTAGCTCGGTCATTCGCTAACAGGCTCTGTGCACTGAACAGCACCGGTAGCCCGAGACATTACCTTAATTTTAATTTCTGCAACATTACAATTCTCAGTGTCCGAACTGGAAGGAAAATTATCGTAACTGGGCAGATTGACCTTAATAAATATCACATGAAAGTACAAACTAAGTACTAAAAAACAAAGTTTGATTATGCATACGAAACAGCGGCATCTACTGTCCTTAGGTGAACAGCCATTCACGCACTAACCGTTACCTAATTTTAATTACTTATCCTTAAGTATCATGAAAGTACAAACTAAGTACTAAAAACAAAAGTTTGATTATGCATACGAAACAGCGGCATCTACTGCTCATAGGGGTGAACAGCCATTCACGCGTAATTTAATTCAAATATTATCGTAACTTAATTCAAATATTTAGTTTACGTTGAACACTAGAAATTTAGTACTTATCCCTTAGACAAAATTTCTGTCAAGTTTATCAACTATGCCATAGGGTAGTGTAAACTAAAAAAGCAGCAGCAAATGTATAGTCGAAAACATTATAAGATAATTCTAGAATAATGTAAATATCGCGAGATTCCGAATAAAAAACACACTGCAGCATGAGTCGTATGAGATAGGACCGAAATTTACGTGCGTAATAGTCCAGTATCAAAGGAGAAATATTTATTCCGCGCAATTTGCGCGGGTCCGATAGTCAGTGTCACAATATTCCTAACAAACACAAATATTGTACGCATTCTTATTCTTTATTATAACGGATTTTAATATTTATTATTACCCTACTCTTTTAGTTACTCAATGCTTGTTTGCTTGTTTTCTCAGGTCCCGGGGTCCAAATTTGGATTATATTTCCAGTTTCCCAGATCGCTAAAGTTGTAAAAATGTATGCAGGTCTGTTTGGCTGCAAACTGCGATCTGGCTCCTCTGGTAGGTGAAACGGCGCAATCAATGTGGGAACGCAGACCTACTTCCGGAATAAGACTGAATAGTTTAACAGGAAGAATAGAGATTTATTTTTTCTGCAAACACATTTTAACATTACCTAAAACTTAATTTACCTTGGCGTGCATTGGTACATTTCAGGAACAGAAAAAGCTTGTGGGCACGAGTTTTTTTTTCCAAAAGATTGCCGCCACGCCCTCGTTATGGAAAGTGTTTGACCTCTCCTATTTGTTATGTGCAGGAGCCGTGCACCGTCATATATCTCGGGCCCGGCGTCCTTCATTCCGTAATTATTCTTGGTGGAAATGTGAGCCAAGCACGAAACTTTGTCGACGAACGTTGGATTCCGATCATCGACACCGTTATACTCTTGCGCAAAAAAGTTAGTCCATAACAATTTACCTTGAGTGCCTCCGAATTTTAATCTTTAATTTATCTTAGTGTATCAAGTTACGCAACAACTCTAATTCCGAAATACTGCATAAATGGACGCTGCTGCTTAGGGAACGGTTGCTCGCCCGCACTGCAGCTGCTATACAGGAAGTGAATCCACGTCGTTTTCCTTTGCGGCATAAAAACAAATATGGAAAATTTTTGAAAGCTACTAGCTCATTTTCAACAAATTTCCCAAATGTTCTGGGTGAAATCGACGTTTTGGACATCAGCTGTCTGCCCCCTTCTGTATTCCCGACCAATTTAATCTTTGATGATGATGCCAACTGCCTTCTTGCTCCACCAACAACTGGAATATCAATAAGTGCGCCGTTAGTAAATGGTCACTTTCTCGCAGAACGAACATCACTGAATTCCGGAAAAGCGTTTGTGTGCCATTATACTGAGTGTACAAGATCTTACAACAGCATTACTCACTCAATCTCCATATTCGTGGGTAACACAAAAAGAAATATGTGTGCCATTTATGCAATCCAAAATTTGCATATTGCTCTCCACATTGGCTTAAAGTTCACCAAATTAACGACCATGGTAACCATAAAAATCAGCTTAAACAATATTTGGTTTCTTAAATAAATTGTTCTATCAGTTATAATAAATTTTTAAGCAAAGCTGCTGTAATTTGAAATACAGTGCTAGATTCATTTACTCTAAATGCTGCAGTTTTTAGTCCGAAACATTTTACTGGAATTGTTTAGGTATGCCAGATGAACCACCGCGCAAGAAGTCCAAGTGCGGTCGGCGACCTATGAATATCACCCCTGATTCTCTTTAAATGTGTGTTCCGGTGCGTTTTTACCAGGTTTATGAATATGAGCGCAGCAACTGTTTGGTAAACGATTCTGCGCTGCAATACTAACTGAAAAAATGTGCCAGTATTTTTCTTCCAGCTGACGCAGTTTGATTTGATTTGAGACTCTGCATAACTGTAACACACGGCACAGCGTTATTTTACATTGCGCTACATGGAATTGGCTCCGTTTAACGTATCATTTTCACAGATATACATGGGTTCTACTTTGGATTTCCGTTACTCAAATTGGTTTTACATTGCTGGACACGGAATTGACGCCGTTTAGCACAACATTTTCACAGATTTACAGCAATTTTCAAGTGCATTTACGTTACTTACGTTGATTTCGCAATGCCGGACATGGGCTTAACGGTACTTACACAGATCTACAGCAGTTTTACGTTGTTGGGCCAGTCGCCATGGCAGCCTACGAGTATGGCAGCCAGCGACAGTCCCGCTTCCGGTGCACGGCTCAGTGGTGCACAATATCGCACACACTCACGCCTGCACGCACTCGCATAGCGACGTCGAATCACTGGCCTCAACTCCGCCTTGCCACACCTACGGCTTCACGTCTCGGCCAATCAGCGTTCGCCATTCGCTCGTGTTGGACCTGCCCAGTGCCGCATTAGGCTTTTCTATGTTACGGCTCGATATGCCGCTTGTTCATGATTCAGTAATCATTCTCACGCTGTGCTGTACACTAGCATGCGCTATATCGAGCCTTCACGTGCTTTGTGTTTTGGTTCTTCGCTTATTGATTCCTCAATAAAGCCTTTGTTCTCACACTCGTGAGCCTTTGTTTGCCAGCTGTCACAACGTTGTATTTACGTTATTTACGTGATTTTTACTTTACCGGACCTGGACTTAAAATTGTCAAACCTAGATTAACAACATATTTACGATAACTAACGTTGGTTTCACTTTGCCGGACATGGAACTTCAACGGTTTGGTCTGCAATATACATTGCATTCACTTTTATATGCGTTGGTTTACGCGTACTTACCCTAAAAAGGGATTCCACTTGTTTTTTTCTTCGAACAAATCGTGCATTAAGTGCAAATTACATAAAAGATGCCATGATAATATTTGACAATACTCATAAAAATGCTTCCTTTTTATGTGTCACTCCATCCTAAGAATATACCTGAGGTTCCTTTACCATAGAATCTCAGAAGGTAACGTTACAGTCAGCTTGGTGAATGCACGAAGGCAAGGTATCAAGACATCAGTAAGAGTCTCAACGTCTGTTATAATTGGAAATTATCTAATTCAGGTTACTTTGATAAATTATCTTCCTTCATGGAAAAGCTGTAAAGCACAACATTACTTTACCATATGAAAATGCCAAGAACGACAACACCGAGCAGCTGAAAGCACCTTCAAAGCCGACATTAGGCAGCACCACGTCAAAGTCTGATGTCCAACGTTAACTGGCCTCTTGCGATAGCTCAACCGGCCTGCATTGGGTCACCTCAAATTCCGTACAATTCCGTGGAGTTCTATGAGGTTCCGCACCGTTCCGTAGAGTTCCATTAAGTTCCCTCAAGTTCCGTACAGTTCCGTAGAGTTCCATCAGGTTCCATCAGGTTCCGTAGAGTTCCATTAGGTTCCGTACAGTTCCATTAAGTTCCGTCAGGTTCCGTAGAGTTCCATTAGGTTCCGTCAGGTTCCGTCAGGTTCCGTAGAGTTTCATTAGGTTCCGTCAGGTTCCGTAGAGGGCCATTGGGTTCCGTTAGGTTCCGTCAGGTTCCGTAGAGTTCCATTGGGTTCCGTCAGGTTCCATTAGGTTCCGTACAGTTCGTTTGGGTTCCGTTAGGTTCCGTCAGGTTCCGTAGAGTTCCATTAGGTTCCGTTAGGTTCCGTCAGGTTCCGTAGAGTTTCATTAGGTTCCGTCAGGTTCCGTAGAGGTCCATTGGGTTCCGTTAGGTTCCGTCAGGTTCCATTAGGTTCCGTACAGTTCCATTGGGTTCCGTTAGGTTCCATTAGGTTCCGTACAGTTCCATTGGGTTCCGTACACTTCCATTAAGTTCCGTCAGGTTCCGTACAGTTCCATTAGGTTCCGTTAGGTTCCGTAGAGTTTCATTAAGTTCCGTCAGGTTCCGTAGAGTTCCATTGGGTTCCGTTAGGTTCCGTAGAGTTCCATTGGGTTCCGTAGAGTTCCGTAGAGTTCCGTAGAGTTCCATTGGGTTCCGTCAAGTTTCGTAGAGTTCCATTAGGTTCCGTCAGATTCCGTAGAGTTCCATTAGGTTCCGTCAGATTCCGTAGAGTTCCATCAGGTACGTGCCAGCATTACGCGTTGCTATTTTTCGGCCTAAACAATCTGTGCCATATGTGCTACCCGAGCACTCAAAACTTCGAAGTGCAACAGCTGATTTAGCCTGATTACGAAATTTATGATACCGTATGCGGTGTACAGATATGGTGCTGTGAGAGTAGGCTAATCGTAAAAAGCACAACAATTATTTGACAAAGCACTTCCAGTGACCAATATCGATGAAAATAAAACAAAACTCACTGCATTTCGACACTAATCACACTAAATACAATGTCATATAGCCAAAAAACATGACTGTGCTGAACTTCATTTTAAATTAGCTCTAGCCATAAGCTAGACTGCTAGAGTAGTTCATCAAAATTATTGGAAACAAGGAAGGCAGCAGATCGTACAGGTTTGGCGGCTTTGTACTTTGCAGATAGTTGGACTGATACCGTAAGTTAAAACTCGATACTGCAAAACAAAATTAAATTTTTGTGCTGCTAGTGGGTTGTGCGGCATCGCTGACCGACTGCCAGCTTTTAATCATGTACGCAATCGTTGTAAATAATTGTTTTCTATCTGTTCTATTGTTAATCTTCGTTGTTAATCGTTTTATACATTTCTTCGCTTTGCCGTACGTAGCAAGCGGTTGGTGGACTGCCTGACTGACTTTGGAAGAGGGTATTGTACATGATCCATCCACGTTTTGGCCTACTCTGTAGTCGACACGTTTTGCTTTAATGGGAGTCGATACGCATAGTGGAAGACAAAAATTCTTAACTGCAACATAATCACAATAATAGCGATCTGCTTGCGAGTGCAGTTCCTTTGTGCATATGTTTGAATGGTAGAAACTTGAAAGTGTAATAGATCGTTCAGGGCGGCAACATTAGATGACTTAAAATGTTAATTACAATTAGTACTTGTACTTACCATAATGATATACCTGTATGATTATGTAGCTGTATATAGTATGCTGTATATGCATATGCTACAAGAATATGCTGCGTTTAGCTACCAAAGACTACTGTATACTGTACTATTTTCAGTGCAATTTTAAATTATTAACATCTGAACTGCATCAGTATCTTATTTTTCTGCCCGCCGCCGCCGTCATCATGCAGTGCCATTAAATTTTGAGGTCATGCGCTTGAAACAAAATTGATTAGCCATTCACATAATGCAAGGTGCGGTCCTGCAAACCGTTATGTTTGGGATAGCCATACATAAGTACACGTATGAACAGTCAGTAAATAATTACATCAAATAATAATTTTCTATTATGAACCGTTTGAGTATAAGTACTATTCCGCCTGCAATATGCAGTACACAGCACAAGTAAAATGAATTATTATGCTAGCCCAAGTTACGTGACCCGAGCATCTACCCAGAAATCATAATGCTCGCCATGCCGGGGAAGCATCGTCAGCCGTAAGTCAGTTAGCTCCAGATAGCGGGAATTTCATGGTTGTGGTATTGCTCAGGTTTGTTTATTGACACAGTAACTGTAAAGCGCAGCCAGGAGATTATTGGTTTCTCCTCGACCTCGGGATATTCTTCGGAACTGCGAGGCAAAATTGCTTAGGTCCCCTGGACAATCAGAGATGGCATATGGTAAACCGGCAACCCCTGTCTTGGGAAACAGCCAGCGACGCTTTGGAAAAGTGGGTTGGATCTGCGTCCATTGCGCATTTTCTTGTTCTGTCGACCCAGATGGCCTACTCAGGTCACCGCTAGGCATTCCTACAAACAGTGCAAGTTGACGAGTTTCCCAGAAAGCGATATTTCATAGTTGGCAAAATGATAACGACGTTCAAAATATATGCATATGGCAGGGATTGTCAGCCAAGCGTTGACCTTTAAACCTCGCTTCAGCTTGTAACCACTAAATGTAAGTAAATTAAATGATTGGTGACTGCCTACTGAAACAGTGCTTTATTTATACTTATATGTTTTCTTTGTTAAATGATTGTTGACTGCCTACTGAACAGTGTTTTATTTATACTTATACTGTATGTTTTCTTTGAAGTAATTGACAATTGCCTAAGTACATTTCAGCTTTTACCACACCATACCAATCCAAGAATTTTATGTCATGTAAGCATAGTTATATTAAATACACGTACGAGAAGGGAATGACAATGCTAGCTGCGTACTTCTTCTTTTGTTGAAATTTTAATGCAGATTCTATGATCGCATAAAATTTAGTTAAAAACATGAACACACTGAAGATTACCGGGATTGTAGTAATAAGCATATGGAGTCCATTGGTCCTCTTCCCACCATTTCGGTAACGCCGACTGCCTCACAGGAAATGCGAGAAGAACTTGCGGAAGATAAGCACAACAAAATACGCACAGAACTGCCCATAGGTACATTTTACCTTCAGCTGACAGTTCTGGCAACCAAATGAAATTTCGAATGGTAAAATAGTAGATAAGATAATAAATCTGTTGTATTTGTGCCACCACCTGTAAAAAATTCCTTCCAAGTGCCTATACAAATTAAAGGCGTCGACGTAGACCTTATATATCCTGTGCTCCCAGACCTATTCAAGGATTGCAGTATACATCTATCACGACATCATTATATGCAGCCGATATATATAGCCACAGTAAACTTGGAAAATGTCAACATCCAGAAAATCAAAGGACTCTCCACCTAGCGTTTTGATTGTCGTTAATTCGGATGCGCACTGGACGATGTGATAAATTTCGTGATCTGACTTCTTTGGATTTGCCGTCGGCGAACAGTTGCCTGTATGGCGAGGGGTATATAATATATATGCTACGCACATTTAAAATGGAACTTAAATGAATTATCGGTGCATGCAGGCCAGGGCGTAACCCGTTTCATGAGAATTGAAGTGCTACTTCTGCAATTCCAAACCAATATTCCACAAGATTTGATCCTGTTTCATTTGTGGCCGTAATTGCTCCTTGATGTGCTGGTAGAATGTGATCCCATCACAAATGTGCGTCAACGCGCAATCAAACTATCGCGATCCAGAAAATGCACTGTACCGTGGTTCCGTGTCCGGTTTTCACGGCACTGAAAATGCCGAATTTTGAGCAACCCTTTTTAAGTCTCGCAAAATTAAATTAATGGGACAAAATAATATATCTATGACGTCCGTGGTTGTAACACGATTAAGAGTCTGTCCGAGTAAAATGCACAACTGTAAACCGAAAAACAGTATAAGCTACAATACGAACACTAGAAGTACTGAAACCAAAGCATGACTAAATGTAAATTACTACTTTCATTATACGACGGTATTAAATGTACTCTTTTCAACTAACCTATTTGCAGTACGAGTACTTTTCTTTTTGTTTATTATATATCGTGAAATCGTATTTCTCAACAGCCATACCATGTTGGATGCATGATCAACACTCTGTGTAAACAAAACTTATGTATTTCTACATTCATTTTTAAATAATATATCTTTCAATATTATTGCCAGTACTGCGTCAGTGTTTCCTCCCTATTGTGAAGGCTTCGTTCTTCTTGTAGTACGAGGCAAGCGGCAACTCTTTCCCATCGCTTTAGTAAATTACATCACTTTCCCTGCTGCATCTTACCCGTATGCAGGCGCTCACGTGATACTTTGATTTCAGCCGTTTCACATATAAACCGGCTTTGCGGCTACAGTTGATTACGCAGCTGATTAAGGCCTCGTCCTTTCTGTAGCGAATCTAGCTTCCGTACAGTGCACCACCGTCCCAGAACAGCAGGTACGCGATACGGTATGGCAGTTTTCGATTCGCGTACCTGGCTACCAAGGGAAAGATTCGGGACGGAGGTGCGCTCCGTATCCGAGTGTCCCGTATTCGCAACGGGTAGATACGATGCTTCGCGTACCGTACCTCGTAGCCTGTACTAACCCTGCGTCTCATATCAGGCGAAAATTAAACGCGCCCTTTTTCGCATACCGTCGAAAACAAAGAAAAACGATACGGTACGCGAAGCCACCTTCAGAGGTGGCTTTCCGTATCCGTCGTTTCTCATGATAATTTTCAAGAAATTTTTTCGCCTAATAATCTTGAACACTTATTAATGGAATTTTGTTAAAAATGGACTATGATGCCGTTTGTTCTGATGACGAGAACGAAAGCGTTACAAAACTGTTAGTGCAGTATGTATGTCAGTTTCTAGTGCAATTCAGAATTTATTTGGTGGTTTAAAAAACTTGAGTACTAAGGGATATCTATCTCGTGGAGGTAACAAGAACGTTAATCGCCGAGAAATTCGTTTTGCTGCGCAAAACCTTTACAAGCGATATCCTGGGCATTTATTCTTTGAGACGTACCACGTTAATGTGGATGTTTTTCGTGAAATTGTGGAGAAATTACGTCCATATTTTGAAAAGAGTTCGACGAAGAGGCCTTATTCTACGGAATGCAAAATCGCTGCCTGCCTCCATATGCTGGCACACGGATCATCGGTACGGTCACAGTGCGAACTTCATGGTTTGTCGCGCTCGACGACGTGTAGAGCTTTTCGGACGTTTTTGAATGCCCTGAAGAAAGAATACTGGTCGCTTATACAGTTTCCCGACGAAGATGGTATGATGCGTTCGGCCCGTGAGTTTGAAGAAAAAGGACTGCTTTATGGCGCTGATTGGGTACCAAAAATACTGGGAGCAGTGGACGGGACACACATCAACATTAAAGCACCACACTCTCGCCCCGAAAGCTACGTCAACAGGAAAGGGGAATTATCTCTTAACGTGCAGGCTTGTGTCAATTCTTCTATGGAATTTATACATCTATATGTTGGAGCTCCTGGGCGGGTGCATGACCAGAACGTGTACGACAATTCGGGGCTGGAAGGCTTAATTCCAGAGAACTGGATGATTTTGGGTGAGTATACGCACTAAGAATTTAAAGAAATTTGTTATTTTAGAAATAAACGAGTCTATAGTGCTGACTTAAATTTGTACTGCTGTTAATTTCTCCGATTTTTAATAGCTTTAATATTTTCTACTAATGTTGTGTAAAAAAGGTAAAATTAAGTAGTGTATTTTTCATTTTCGAGATTAAATTTCAACGAAGTAACGCAATTACAAGTTATTATTGTAATTTGCAGGTGATGGTGGGTACCGTGCGACAAGAAAAGTTTTGACACCGTTTAGAGAGAACGGCCGCCTCTCAGCTAGGCAGGAAGATTTCAATGAAATTCAGTCCAGTTTAAGAAAAGTCGTTGAAAGAGCTTTTGGCGTTCTGAAGCGACGTTTTCGAATTTTGAAGTTCTTGGATTATGACGACATGAGTGCAATGAAGCACATTATTATTGTGTGCTGTCTGCTTCATAATTTGGACATCAAATCCGTAGATGATTTTACGTTGGAGGGAGACGATCATGTCGAAGCGGTTGATCTGGATGATGAAGAGGATGCTGTTGCCGAAGGAGCATTTGGCGATTTTAAAAACGCTCTAGTTGCGCGGATGCTGCCAAATTCGTTGGGTTAAGAAATCGGTAAGTGTAAAATTTCTGGTAAATTTATTTATGCAGTTTTATTAAGTCAATAGCTATCAAAATAACAAAAAGTTGCAAACGCGGGCATTATCGTCCGTAGATGCGTAAAGCCCTAAGTATGTTTTCCTTGGCTTTCTATACAAGTACTGTATGCCCGGAAGCGCGCATAAAACCAGTAATTTTACTTAAGTTGGTACAACGGAACTTACGTGCCTGTATGTACTGGTGGGCATTAGGGTTGCATATGCCTTTTAAATCTACTTGTCTCTGTAAACTGAGGTGAGCAAAATTGCCCTATAATAATGTTATAATACGAGTACATAACGCTTTTGTATGATATATCTGTACACGTGAATATGCACTAGATTCATTCACAATTTTGCATTTGTAATCAGATATGTCGGCTTTTTAAAAATAGCTGGTCGTACGTGTGTGCTGTACTGTTAATTATTCACTCAACCGGCAAGTCAAAGTGAACGGCTTACATTACCGCTGCAGTTTGCTTATCGAGTTTACGTATATTATTTTATTTTGATTCTATAGCACAGGAAAAAAGTTGTGTTTTTATTTTTATCTCATTTTTATCCATGGAGACGCTTGGCGATCGACACACATGGTTTTGGCTTGTTTTGTGAAAACTGTTGTTTATCTAATCATCAATAACTCCTGCATATTGACAGGGAAGGTGACCTAACGAAGTGGACCTGATGCGAGTGAGAATCTGTTGCTGCGCTATGGGAACACTGTAGAGTGGTGGCTAAATGCCAGTACGGTACAGTATACAATGCGCGTTGAAGTCGTCGTTTATGCTGCGGTTAGCTGTTTAAATGTGGATGAAGTTGAAAATGGATGGACGCCCTTGTACCTCGGAGTGGCTGCGCGATCATTATGAAAGCGCTTTATCTTCGGCTCTCATTCTGGACTGTCATCCTCATGCAGAATACAATTATGTCGGCCATTAATGTAAGCCTACCGGCGATTGTGCTGCGCTCACATTTTTTGTAACCTTCGTTGCGATTAAAGAAACTTTGCGATTTGTCGAAGCTAGGTAGTTCACCGGATTGGTTAACTATCCGGATAGGTTTTAACCGAAAACCGCTGTTTAAACGATCCTCGTAAACAGTGGATATTTTTAACAATAGCAAAGTTTTTCTGTTTGGTCCTATTGAAAGATTTTCCTATTAAAAGACAAAATCTTCGCATCTGTATAATTAGTGGCAATTGTCTACATTTGGACACAGTGCCCCATACTGTAGAGGCGGCGTAGACGTACTATATGCGTAGTCGTGGAAAATGAAAACGGGTTTCCGATGAATGGATGTGTAACTGTGATTAAGATGTATTGCGGTTAACATTCTTGTTATTATTTCTGCTTGTTATATGGAAAGTAGGTAAACAGTGTGGCGATTATATTTTCTATTGCTGAACTCTATTATACTTCTATTGCTAAACTACACAACGCTTAATGTACGAGTGTTTATATACCCAGAAAAAACAACAAAAATTCATAACACCAGAGTTTTTACGACACCGTTTTATCATAATAATCTCAAGTCAAATTTCGGTTCCGCTTTACTAGTCAAATTCAGTTCCGCTTTACTACTCTTCTCCTAAAGCCTGCGGAACTTCATCGTCTCCGAAGTCGACTTCCACGTTGTACTGCCGCTCGAACTTCAATTTTGCCAGCTCAACCTTCATTTTTTCCAGCTTTACCATTTCGGTTAGCGAAGTTCGCATATCATCCATGATAGCAACGGAACGCGTCATGAGTTTAACCGTCTCACTGGCGGCGCTGCGTTTTTCGCTCTTCTTTGCTTTCTTTGGCTTTTCCGCGCTTCCAATTGGAGATCCCGCAGGAGTATCCGGTTGCATATCATCGTCGCTAAATTAGCAAAACTTAATATTTCTATTATTTTGCCACATCAATTTCTCAAATTACTAGGGTACAACTGTGCATGATAATATCAAAGATTTTACCTCAAATTAATATCACATTCCTCGGCACCGATGTCTTCCAAAACGTTGCTCGTGGATCCCGCTCCCAGAGCCACCGAATTAGTTGCAAAAGCAATATCATCCCGATCGCCGTACGTCTTATCGAAGAGTTCAAATAAATGATATTTCACTTCACCGCTTTCCCCGGTGCCATTTTTTCGTTTTTTCTCTGCCTACAAGTAACCGCAAAAAAGTGCAAAAATTAATTTCACAGTTTGCAGAACTATTGTTAGTAATTTAATCACTGTCACTAATGCAGGTAAGTAATTTCTACATATTTTATTTGAAAAACATGTATTATAGCAAAAATTGATTTACCTTATATTTCTTCCACGCATTTTCGTAAGAGATCTTCAGGTTCTCGCTGGTGCGGTTTCCCAGGGCATCTTTAAAAACCAACTGCATCTCCTGGAACACCTTTGACCAAAATTTCGCTTTACTTGTACAACGTCGAAACTCATCCTCCCGGTCGATGCGAGTAGCGACAAGCCACCTATGCAGAAACAAAATAAGCATGGCTGATAACACAGAGGAGCTCCTGCAGCCATCGGTCGTAGACTAAAGATTATGAGAAGCATAGACAGCACTCACTTCATTTTTTTGGGAGACAGAGGAGCAGATTTGGGAGCGCGAGGCATCGTAGCACTAATTGGTTAGATGATATATGGAGCTGATATAACACGGGGATCAAGAACTTTTATACAATTTTCCCGAACTTTGAAATTAAAAAAGCGAAAACTTTCGTCGTACGAACTGATCGGCGCTCGGACAAATAAAGTTATGCGCGGCAAGATGCGATCGAAGCGATGAGACGCAAGTACAGCGATACGGCGTCAAAGCTAGAGATGCGATACAGGAAACCGATAGCGAGCCCGGTTTCGATGTGCGTAGCTTGTACTGTGTCTTGGTGGTGCGCACCAAATAGTGTCCCATTTTTATACTGTAACGAAACTAGATACGGTGCTGTATCGCAACACGATACGCTTTAGAAAGGGGACGAGGCCTAAGAGTACTCGTACGGAGAAGAGTACGGTAGCCGAGATTTTATCAGCGGCTCACCGGTAAGCTCTGAGTCAGCAATGAACACGATAGCATTAAGTATCACGTGTGCGCCGACACACGGCAAAGATGCAGCAGGGAAAGTGATGTAATTTACTAAAGCGATGGGAAAGAGTTGCCGCTTGCCTCGTACTTATTTGATAATGTTAATGGTGTTAAACGTGGGCTTTGGATTTGGGTGCGCCGGCGCCCTAACTCTTTTTCCCACTTCTACCGTTTTTAGCGATGCCGCACTTAGTATTTATCTTTTCTAAGTGACTTTACATGTGTCCGTCTATGCATACTTCGAATATTGTAAAGATGTTATTTAATCGCAATCTAGTTTGTACATTTCGTAATTGGATGCACAAAATTAATCGTATACAATCTTTTTATGAATTACTGTAGTACAGTAGCCGTTATGCATGCTATTTGAAGACACTATGCTGTAATCAGTCGTATTATTATTATTATCATTAAAATTAGAAGACATAATTATTTTATTAGGCCTTCATAAATTAATAATAAGTAATAAGTTAATAAGTAATTACACGAATAGAAATACATGCCGTATAGAAATACATGCAGTACAGAAACATTCCTCGTATAGAAATACATGCAGTACGCAGCTGGGGTTTCACCACAGTTTAAAATTATGAGTTATTAGAAGGAAGAAATAAATCATTCTACAGAATTTACGCAAGCCCCAAAGTTTCATTTTTAAATAAGAGCAGAAATGTTGCGTGTTTCAGACTTTCAGATCCCTACACCCGACACCGTTAAAGTGCAAAGCATTTGATTCAGCATTTCCGTCTATGTGAGCGCATCGCGGAAACATTGCACTTCCGCTCCAAAGGTAGACTTTGTGTGTGGTGCACTGGTGATTCATCATTCTCTACTTGCGCAGTATTGTGGTAGCTTACTTTTCAGTGTTTTCTGGCCCCGAGGCGTGCAAACTTTTGCAGTCTTTTGCCATAATAACAATTCAGAGATTAGATTATTATAAAATTATAAGGTGCTGTTTATCTTCCCTTATTTTTCTTTTGTCCGATTTCCCTGCTCCTTCAAGCGAATCAAGCCAAAAATAACCATGACCAATCATCGCTCCAACGGCTCGCTGAAGCATCGTCGCTGCGTCTCCAGCTCCCTGAACGAATCTTCCCGCCCCACACATCTGGCCCAGGCCTCGGCCGGGGAATGCGGCTTCAGCGGGGGCGACGGGGTGCTGGTGCCGACGCTCTCCACCGACTCCCTGACCAACATGACCCTATCCGCACTGGAGGCTGACGACAAGCACTCCGTGGAGGCCTACGAAACCGCGGCGGAATCCGCGGAGACCACTAAGATGGAGGATGAGGAATTTGAGGCCGCCGCCTCCTACGTCGATGTTTTCACGATTGGCGGCTATGTGACACTGCAGTTGTTTGGCTATTTACGGGATTTCCTCCGTCGCTGGGGCATTGAGAAGAGTCTGATTGCCACGGAGAAGGGCAACGTGGGATTCACGCCACTGTATAACAACTGGGAGGATTTCTACACGCGCAATATTTACATGCGCATTCGTGACTGTTGGAATCGTCCAATTTGCAGTGTTCCGGGCGCGGAGATCGATGTTATGGAGCGATCGACGCCGAATTACGGATGGAATTTTGAGCTGACGGGACAGAAACTGCGCTGTATCAATATGGGATCGTATAATTATCTGGGTTTTGCGGAGAAGTTCGGTCCGTGTGCGGAGGATTCGGTGGCGGCGGTGGACAGTTACGGCGTGGCTGGCTGCTCGCCACGTGATGATGTGGGCACGCAGAGCGTTCATTTGGAGCTGGAGAACCTCGTGGCACGCTTTGTGGGCTGCGAGGCCGCGGTGACTTTCGGGATGGGTTTCGCGACGAACAGTATGAATATCCCGGAGCTGATCGATAAAAATTGCGCTGTTCTGAGTGACGCCTTGAACCACTGTTCGATCGTTACGGGAGTACGATTGTCGGGTGCCTTTGTGAAGATTTTCAAGCATAATGACATGAAGGATCTGGAGCAGAAGTTGAAGGAATTGGTTATTGCTGGTCATCCACGAACGCGTCGTCCCTTCAAAAAGGTAAGTATAGAAATATCGATTTTTTGCTTTGTTTTTGTTGTGAATGTTTTTTTTTGTAACCCGATAAGTAATTGGACTTTACCTGAATTTATATTGATATCTGTAAATTCTGCATTAGAATATCTTTCCGATATAGCCAACTGCAAAACTGGTAAATTACTTCTAGAGGAATTATCGAAAAACAATATTTACTTAACGAAAGCAAAATGCCTGCAAATCAAAGTTGTGCCTTTTTTCAGATTTTGATTGTTGTGGAGGGTATTTACAGTATGGAGGGCTCAATTTGCAAGCTTCCAGAGATCATTGCGTTGAAGAAAAAGTACAAAGCGTATCTCTTCCTGGACGAAGCCCACAGCATTGGCGCACTGGGACCACATGGGCGGGGCGTGGTGGACTTTTTCGGGCTGGACCCGCGTGATGTTGACATCATGATGGGAACCTTCACCAAGAGCTTCGGTTCAGCCGGCGGCTACATTGCAGGATCGCGGGCTTTGATTGATTATCTGAAAATTGCTTCCGGTGGGATGGTGTATTCTTCCGCGATGCCGGCTTCCGTTGCCCAGCAGATTATTACTTCCATGAAGATCATTATGGGTGAAGACGGAACGGATGAAGGGATGCGGCGCATCCGGCAGTTAGCGGAAAACACCCGGTATTTCCGTAGTGAATTGAAAAAGCGGGGATTTATTATCTACGGGCACAAAGATTCGCCGGTGGTGCCGTTGTTGCTGTACTATCCGACAAAGATTGCGACATTTGGTCGGTTTATGCTGCAGCGAGGCATTGCGGTGGTGGTGGTCGGATTCCCCGCTACTCCGGTCAAGTTGGGACGTGCCCGGTTCTGTTTGTCGGCAGCTCATACTCGGGAAATGTTGGATAGAGTTATTGCAGCTACCGAGGAGGTCGGTGATATTATGAGCTTGAAATACTCCCGAATACATGGAACAAGCGCTTACAGACACTTTGTGAGCCCTTATAAATAAAACTCAGAATTTGTTTTTGTGAAATGTGCTGACTTTTAGTTTCCTTTTTTGTATTTCATTCCTTGTTTCATCGACATTCTTTTTATGTTTTTCGCGATTATTTGCTTTTCGTATTTTTATACTCTGAGTTGCTTATTAATATCCCTTTATATTATGTTATTACAGTTAAATGTGCCATAACAGTAACATATTTTTATGGAATGTGATTTGAGGCGCTGGTTCTTTAACTTTTGTGGACACTTGACTTGACAGATTATATACAACACCTTCTGTGCTGCTTTATGGTTGCAGAAAACAATCTGTCGTACATGGATAAATTTCGGGTTTTTATAGGCAAACCTAACACGCAATCAATAGTAAATACAAGCAGAACTGGCAATAAAATTAGATGGTTAAAATCAATCGGAATAAAATCAACACAAAATCAACAACGTATTCACAAGATGACGAGATAGTACGGGGATGCTTGTTTTCGGAAAGTAAGTTCACAATGGTATCACAAAAATTTTGACGTGACAATTCACCCTTTAACATTACTTAGTTTTACGTTTCTACAATGCCTTCTCGTTCAATCTTTACCTTATCAAAGCATTCGTTCAGAAACAGAAAAAACGGAGTGTAAATTTTAACAGTACGAACAGGTCGTTGTGGCCTAGCGTAGTCGAAACTGAAGAACGGTTGTTCATCTTCGTTTCCTCCTCGTTCGATCTGCCACTTTGTGATGTCCTTCCATTCGAAATCAATCTCTTGGCTTTCGGGTGTTCCATCCGCCGTACATGCCTGCAGTTTAAATTTGGAGAGTAACACAATGGGAATAACGGGTGAGCCTTTTCGAGCATCGCTAGAACATGGAGGAAAGCTGAAAGATCCGTAACCTGGAAGCGCGCGGCACAGAGCCAGATATTCAATCTTCTTTGCCGCATCCTGTAAAGCTTTCAGTTCATGCAAGCGGGTTCCCGAGCGAATGTGTCCGCGGTTCACCTCATCCACTGCCTGCCAGAAGAAGTAGTTCAACGCTATCTCATGCCGCTCCGTCAATCGCAGCTCCGTTTGTGGATTGAACACCCACTTGCCGAAACTTATGCATGTGTTGGTGGCGGTCGTATAATTATGAATATAAATCTCATGCGGTCGTTCGTCATCGCGTAACTTACGCTCAAACGAATACTCAACAAGTTCAAACAATGCGAAGTGTGGCAATAATTCTTCTGGTAAGCGCACAGCCGTGGCTGTCATGCGGTAAACAACGGGTGTGCAGGCCGTCTTGTCAATGGTCAGGGTCACGGTTGACTTATCCGGAAGCAATATTTTAATTTCCACATCGGTTACCGTGTCCGACTTCACACCGCCTGATTCGGGACTGTTTAAGAAATCCTGCATAATGTCCGAATCCGCAATTACCCGCACAGAACAGACGCGCTCTAGCCACTGTTCCAGTTTTCGGCGTCGTGCATCGGTCTGTTGTTCCGAGAGGGAAAAAGGCCACTTGGAAGGGAACTTCGGGTACGGAAAATCGTAAAATTCACGTTTAAGACTATTGTGCAATTCGTCAAACTGCTTGTACCGTCTTGAACATAGATGCCGACCCGCCATGTGGATACAGAAAACAGCAAACTTTTCACCATTCTTCTCAATTAATTTATACTCGGGAATGCTAATTGGTAGTGAACGGCGCTCCGTGTAATCAATGGCAAAGTTCGTCGACTCTTCTTGTGGCTCCAGGCGCTCGGCGTCTTCATGGGTAACGGTAATGACGGTGAGCGTCAACACATGGCCGCCTGATCGGATGAGATCAACCACTTGCTTATGCGTCGCTCCTTCCACACTGACACCATTCACTTCCAGGATGCGGTCGCCTTTACGGAGTCCCGCTTGCTCTGCCGCACCTCCTTCCAAAACGGCACTAACATGCTGCAGCGGAGCATACAGTTCACCTAAAACAAATAAATTACCACATTTTTGTTCTGACAACAGAAAAGCAACAACGTAATAGTTCAGCATCTTCTTTACAAATAAAGTAAAAGTGAAAAAAAATTATTAAGCTTGTTCCAATTAAATCGGAAAAACCTGAAGCAATCTATAACTGTCTGTCGATGCAGAAGTCTGTAATCAATAATTACAAATATAAGCAGGATATCTTGAATTATTCTTGTTAATCTTTCGATTTTTAAAAATGAAAAATGAGAATCCAAAAAAATATCTAAATGTAAAATTAATTATATTTTATAGTTCAATTGCAGCACAGTACTTCTACAGACTATAACACACGTTCTAAATTTTGAGATAATTTTGATGAAAGCGCAGAGGAACAAAATCATATTTCAATCGCAGGACCGATAAGATAAAAGACGACACCAAGCCCTTCGCAATGGCGAAATTTAAATGCGTCGTGCTCGAAGTATCGCTAATTGCGCGAGGGCGGATACCGTAAAGCGGAAAAAATGTTGAAGCCGCCAAAGCGTTACCCATGAAGTAACACGCGGAGTTATCCTCTCAGAGTCTCTGATTTATAACAATCAACTATTACAAAACTAATCGATATCCATATCATCACAGCTTATAACAAGATAAATTCCTGTCACCCAGTCCGCGTGAATTCACGTCATGCATTTAACATACGTGAAGATTCCAAGAAAACAAAAATCTCTGATTGTGAATCCACAGAATGATCGCACTTAATACTGCAACTGTATTAACATACTCCTATGAAAATAAACCTCTTAAAAGTTAAACGATAAAAATTTCAGAAGCCGTTATTAATTATATACTGAACAAACGGCAAAAAAATTCCACGCTCTACTCACTTAATGGATATTTATTTTGACACTTCGCGACTCTGACTTACCGTTAATACTTTTCATGGGACCACCCTCTCCGATCTGGCCGCGAACATTAAAACCGAATCCAGTTTCAGATTTCGTAACGACAACGGTATGTGGGCCTGTGCGAGTTTTGTTGGATATCGCGTGGTCATCATCTTTGATAGATTTGGCACCAGCTGCGTTTGAAGTGGTTCGGTTGGACGTAAAGTGGATACTGCTATCCCGTTTCGCATTCATGTCCGAGCCTTTATCCAGTCCAGGTGCCACGATAACCATTTTTCTTTAGTTGAACAACCGATTAAACAAACCACAAAATTCTCACAACACATGAATTTTGACTTTCTTTCCTTCTTCTACGAGAACAAGAACAACTCAAATCCACGTCCAAATCCCGTCTGCCACGTTCAGATTACAGTGCTAGCAACTCTTCGCCTGCGTCACAGCAAAATAATTTAACTCGTTATGCTCATAATCGTTTTCAGTTGCTGCTGTGTATCAGCTTCCACAATACAACAGAATTTCAAAACCTTCTGTTGTCAAAAAATTCAAAGATTTCGAAACAGAAGAGAAGTGAAGTAGACATCCGAAATGACAACAGCGACTTCAGATTTTTTGCTCTGCAGCGCGTCGCATATCGCACTACGTACAGCAGGCCTGAAATTTAAATTGCTGTGACGTTTACTGATACAATGAATGGCCCATAACGCTAATTTTGTTTCTATATGTGCACTATAATAATAATATTTATTTTACAAAAAGTAATTATCAGAAATGAGTGAAGTGTTGTAATACAAAGTTAAATGATCCACGTACGTTTAATACGTAGCTCGTACGCAAGCGTAAGTAACCAGCCACTCTGCTGCCATTTGAGGGGGGAAATATTTTCGACAGCCTTCTGACGTTTACGGCTTGCGTGTCACACCACATACACACAGCGTGCTGAAATTTCGTACGATATGGGTAACCAATCCGTCCGGCGTACAGGACTCTGGAAAGTGCAGATTCACAGCGGTCGCTCTGGCGACCCGACACTCGATACCCATTTGAATTTTTTCGCAGTCACTCGCATGTTTATGGACAGTGGAAAATGATACTGGATTTATAAGTGGGAATTTGACAAACTTGTTATGCGAATTTTCCTGCGGATTGTGAGGAATTTTGTTCTGTCTGCTTCTCCCTACATTCCACGCCGATCGATTACGTACGTTTCGTATAACGCGATGCACTGGTTTCGCACTCCGAATGTGGAGTTAGCGACCTCTTGCAAACTGGTGTCACTACGAATCTGCTGCCTACATTCTACGATTAACGATAGAGATGTTTACCAGAGAGTCCTAGTCACACCCTACACGGGAGACAAAATTAAACCGAGCACCATTGTGGTCTCACTGTTTTGCTGATATTATATTTATAGAATGGTGAACACAGCGGCGCCACCGAACCCTATCAAAAGAGTCATCGAAAACATCCCTAAATCCCCGCAGGATAATCGCGCTTACCGCGGTATAATCCTAGCCAATGATCTGAAAGCCATCGTTATCTCCGATCCAGCTGCGGAAAAAGCTGCAGCTGCTTTGGATGTCAACATTGGTGAGTAAAAGTGGTAGAGCACAACATAATGTTCACCGGTTCGTACTGCGCGCTGTGAACCGAAAGAATATAGTTTATCCGCAGCGAGCCAAACAGATTATGTTAAACTGTATTATTATTATCGTTATTATTCGATTTTTCTGACCTACTGCGTGCTGTTCCCTTAGGATGTATGTGCGACCCATGGAAACTTCAAGGTTTGGCCCACTTTTTGGAACATATGCTTTTTATGGGAACAAAGAAGTTTCCGGAAGAAAATGCATTTGAAAAGGTAAAAAACCGCTGAGATTTTGATGCGAATGAAATCTCCAGACGCATAATTTTTTGTTTAGTACGTTTCGGAGCACGGCGGGCAGTATAATGCTTACACGTGTGAGGAGCATACTAATTATCACTTTGACGTGGCTGCCGATTATCTGGAGACGAGCTTGGATCGGTTTGCGCAGTTTTTCATATCTCCTCTCCTTACCGAATCCGGCACCGAACGAGAAGTGAACGCTGTGAACTCTGAGCACGAAAACAATCTCACCAGCGATAGCCGTCGTTTGGACCATCTTAGCCGTGTTACGGGAGATCCAAAACATGACTTTAATAAATTTGGAACCGGTAAAAGACGACGTCACTACATTCCATTGAACGCCTAAGTTTTCTTTAAGATCATTTGATGTTTTAATTTTTTAGGAAATAAGGACACGTTATGGTTCAATCCGCAAAAAGAAGGAGTGGCTGTTCGAGAAGAATTGTTGAAATTCCACCAGGCTTATTACTCATCCAACATAATGTCGTTGGTGGTTGTTGGAAAAGGTAAGACTGTTTTTTTAGAAAGACGGTTTATCTGAGAGTGTTATAGCGAAAGTTATTTTTTCAGAAAGTCTGGACATTTTGACCGATATGGTTGTGGTAAGTGGAGAACCGGCAGACCAAAGTATCATATCATTAACCGAACAATATTAGCATTGCTTAACATGACCAGTTGTAAACTGAATTACCTTTACGGAGCTGTTTTGTGGATGCGTGGTGCTTGATACGTTCCTTGACGTTTTATCTTGTTTAGAATATGTTCAGCGAAGTTCCCAACAAGAACGTTACTGTGCCTCATTGGGAGCGCCCTCCTTTCGCGCCGGAACAGTTGCAAACTCAGCTGAAAATGGTTCCAGTAAAGGATGTGCGTTCGCTGAATATTGTCTGGCCCACTCCGGATTTTCACCCCTTTTATAAAACAAAAGTAATTAAATTTCTTTTTTGCAACGTTTCATTTAAGTTCTAAAATTTCGGTGTTTATTAGCCTGGCCATTATATCGGCGGTCTGGTCGGCCACGAAGGTCCCGGAAGCTTGCTGTCCGCCTTGAAACTGAAGGGTTCGTTTGTTATGCTCAATGTTTAGCGCAGATAAATATTAGCAAAGCATTAACGCTTAGGTTGGTCCAATACTTTACACGCTGGAGAAGACGATGGAGCGAATGGATTTCAGTTCTTCATGCTCGGTGTTGACTTGACAGAAGATGGTCTAGGTAAATAAATTATCACATATCTGTATAGCTTTTCGTGAGATAAAATTGTTTTGTTTAATGTATGCTTCATAATTCCGTAGCCCACACGGATGAAATCATTAAGATGGTGTATGAATATCTTAATATGCTTCGTGCCGCTGGACCCCAGGAGAGGATCTGGGCGGAGGAGCAGCAGATCCAGGAGATTAAATTTCGATTCCGTGATAAGGAAAAACCTCTGGGATATGCCCGAGCTTTGGCTGCGGGAATGCAGGTTGCCTAAACGTTTGAAGAATTCTAGTACTGGAATTACCGTAGTTAAAACGGTTTAACCCCTGTAGAAATACCCCATAGAAGAAGTGATAACTGGTCCGGTACTGGTGTCAGAGTATCGTCCCGAAGTGATAACTGATCTTCTTAAATACCTTGTTCCGGAGAATATGAGGTGAGATTAAGAGTCTATTTACGTTGTCAACAAAAAAGTAAAAGATTGTGCTTTTGCATCGTGAGATGCATTTTTGTTATTTTTGCGGTTGCAGGGTGGCCATTCTATCTCAGCAGTTTAAGGAGATTGCTGGTGAAAAAGAACCGATTTACGGTATCGATTACTGTTTGGAGAAGATCTCTAAGGAAAAAATCGAAACGTGGCGCAACGTCGCTGTCACGGACGAGATAGCACTGCCTCCGCCGAACGATTTCATTCCGCAGCATTTCGATATTTTGCCACCTCCTACCGCGGTAAGTGGCAAATGGGACTACTGGAAGTTGTGCAAAATCGATTATGGAACGTGTTGCAATAATTGTTGGTTGTGTGTTGACTTTTGTAGATTCACCGGTTGCCTTTGCTTATACGAAAAACAGATATGTCTCGTTTGTGGTACCTCCAGGATATCGAGCATAAACTCCCGAAAGCCTGTGCCTTCTTTGAACTGTGCAGGTGCGTGCGTATCAGTCCGGTAGCCTTTACGAGGCTGACTGGTTGAATTGTCAATGTCGCCTGTGTTAAAAAAGCAATGGGACAGCAGCTACCCTTCTATAAATTATGAAAAACTGGAAAGATGTACGATAGAGTGACCGTATAATATAAGCACAGTCTGCGTGGAAATCGATTGATTTACGTACATGCATTACAATGATTGTCTGCCATTTTTCTTCAGTCCCGCTGTATATAAAGATCCTCTCCATGCCAATCTGACGCATGTCTATGTTGAGCTATTCAAGGATCATATTAACGAAATGGTGTACATGGCGGAACTGGCCGGGATGAAATATACTGTTGAACAGTCAAAATACGGTTTGACGGTAAGGTCCGGGGCATGGTTGTCGGTGTCGAAGCGGGCTGATTGTGAGCGATGTCTTTGTTGGGTTTAATGGTGGCGGGCGTGCTTGCGAAGTGCCTTGCCTCGTTTGCTGTGACGTTTAATTTGTCCATCCGATTCATTTGCAGCCTTCCTTGCAGCTACTTGTACGCGGTTACGATGATAAAATTGACGTGCTGCTGAACATGCTGGTGGAGAAACTTATGCATTTTAAACCCGATCCCAAGCGATTTGAAGTTCTTAAAGAAGTGGTAGGTGTTTGATGAATGCTTTTTTTTATTTTTTTAAGCAATATACATGTCATACCGGTAAAAGAATTTCTGTGATGTTGTTCAAGCTCAACAGGGCTGAAGTTTTTTGATGATTGTTTTTTATCCTGAGAAATTCTGCAAAGAAGATTTTGTCAAGTTGTGCTAGACACTTTTGAGCGATATAGATTTCTGGTTGAGTAAATTAATTTTATTTTGTAGTACGGTCGCCAGTTGAAGAACTTCTTTGCCAGCGAGCCGAATCGCCAGAGCATGTGGTATTTCAACGTCCTGATGAGTGAATTATGTTTCACAAAAGAGGAGTTAATGGGGGCTATGGATGCACTGACCTTTGATACAGTAGTGGAGTTAGGCCCGAAATTATTTGCGGAAACTTATGTGGAAGGCTTTGTATATGGTAATGTCAGTCGGAAGAAAGCGGAACTCATGATGGATCAAGTGGAAACTGCCCTGCGCAGCATTGCTACGAAAACGCCCGATGCGCATAATCGTTTGCGATTAGTGCAGCTGCGAGAAGGTATTCGAATTTGGATAGTGAAAAACCTGTGTGAAAAACTTACTCAATTGCGTAATTTTGTGTAGGGTCCAGTTTGGTGTATCATCGCGAGAACGATGTGCACAAAAGCTCTTGTGTGACCAATTATTATCAGACAGCATGTGAAGATTCACGGATGAATATGTTACTGGAGCTGTTCGAGCAGATCATCAATGAGCCGTGCTTTGATATTTTGCGAACGAAGGAACAATTAGGTATGGAGGCTTGCTTAGGCTTGTACTTGGTCCGCTCGCCAGTGATTTTAGTACTGTACTTCGTCGACAGATGTATGTAGTAAATAATGCTTAGGGTAATCTACACCTGTTCATCGTTATTTGTGTTGATTTTCTAAATTGGATATCGAATTCAGCAGAGGTATTTCTGCAACACTTTTCGTACGGAATCTCTATGATGTTGTTCAAGCTCAACAGGGCTGAGTGGCGCTGTGCTGACATAAACATTTCTCCTGAGAGATTCGTGAATTATTAGATACGCCGTAGCCTTCTTGTAAAACCGCTGTTTGTTTTATTGGTTGTACAGTACTTTATAGTTTATAGTTCGTAGGTACAGACTTAACACATGCAACCTTACCTTGTTAGTTTTGCAATTCACGCTTCTTAAGCAGTGAATGCATTTGTCACTTGTGCTCTAGGATACATTGTCTTCAGTTCGGTGAAAAATGTTAGCGGAGTTCTGGGTCTACAGATTTTGGTGCAATCTGACCGAAATCCATCTCACTGTGATCAACGCATCGAAAGCTTTTTGCAAGAAATGGAGGTTAGTATTAAATTTTGTCATCAATTGTCACAAAAAATCATTGTTATGATCATGGTTCGGCATATTTAATTGTAAACTTCATGGTGTGTTACGAACAGAAATTTTTGGAAAATCTCACGGAAAACGAATTCCAAACGCACATAGAAGCTCTGGCCGTGAAGCGCCTGGAGAAGCCGAAAACAATTATGCAACAAGCTAGCAAATACTGGAATGAGATCTATGTACGTCAGTACAATTTTGATCGGGATAATCTGGAAGTGGCCATACTGCGGACATTAACGAAAACCGATCTCTTAAATTTTGTAAAGGTATGTCGGCGTAGTTCTGTAACTTCTGTTTCTTTTATTTGCTGGGACCTTACATGTGGATGTGGAAACACGTCGTTTTCTAGGACTATTTATTGCAAAACGGTTCTCAGAGGAAGAAGCTGTCCATTCACATTACTTCCACCGTTCCCGCCAAGAATGCACGCAAAAAGCGCAGCGCTGATGGTGATGAAGTCAAAGAAGACAAGCCGACCGTAGATCCTGCACCAGTTACTTTGACAGCAGATAAAGTGGACAGTCCCCAGACTCTGAAGTCAAAAATGGGCTTAGCGCCGCTTCCCCCTAAATATACTGATGTGGATACGGTTGTTACCGGCTACTAAAATGTTCGAACTTTTAATTGTCTCTTCTACGATCAACTTGGCTGCATTACGTTATACGTTGAGCCACCCAATCTACCTGAAATGCAACGCGGCTATTCTCTCGTTATATCTTGTGTTAAAACCCGGCATAATTTTGTGTAGCGGGCATAAGTGAGCCCGATTTTTAGTTGACGATTGCAGAACTTATTGCGCTATTTTATTTATATTAAAGTTTCCGAGGTTTAATGGTGTTCTTCTCTTGCTTAACGTCTGACAAAACACTGACATAGCTAACGCTAGCCCAGAAATTCTGATCAGAACGATTAGAAGCGTGTATTTCGTCGTTCAACGTCCGAAGAAATTAAACCAGCCTCCGCCACCATTATTGCCGTTGTTATTATTGTTGTTGTCGGTGTTAGAATTAGAATTGGACTGCCAGTCGTTGGCGCCACCGTTATTGTTGTTTGACCACTGATTTCCGTTTGGTTTACCGTTGCTTTGGCCATTACCGCTCCATTGTGATCCGCCATTATTGTCGTTAGACGAGGGTCTTGGCTTATGATGATGAGGTTTAGAATTCGGATTGTTATTCCCAAACGGCGGCGCTGTGGTGGCAGGCGGGGCAGCAGTGATGTGGCGCAGTTGTATTTCTGCAGTGGACACAACAATGAATAATGACATGTAAATAATTATTTATTTCGGGCACGATGCATTCTAATTGCGCTGTGTCAGGCTTTTACTGATAATAAATTGTTTGTGTGAATGTATCGCACTCGTACCTTTGTTAACTGACCGATAAATATTGATAGGAAAATCCAGTAGGAGCGGTGTAGTGTCAAAGTTAGCTTTTACCCAGTTTTTTACCGATACTGGAAATTTTGGACAGTTTGCAGCATCCACATATTTCAGCTGCGGCGAAATTGATTTGGGCGGAGGCACGGACAATAACCATGGATTGCTGCTAAGTTTAAGTTTTCTCAATTCCGGAAGATCAGTCCAGAAGGAATTGGGCAGCAGCTCAATGCCGGTGTTGGATATATCTAGAATTTCCAGTGCGCTCAGACCTCGGAAAAACTTGCCAGGAATTTCCAGCAATTTTGGATTGTCGTCCAGGTGAAGTTCCTTCAAAGTCTTGCCCGCCCTTGATAACAGCGATTCTGGCAAAGCCTAAAAGACGCAGAGTGGACTCCAGTTTTACAGATTATGCATTGCTCTGCAACTGGACAACAGTGATATTATGAGCATACTCGGACGTTCCTAAGGTCACTCAGATCCAGGGATTCCAGAGGAATGCTATCGAAGATATGCGGGGGGATAACTGTGAATCATAAAGAAATTAAACTAACCATAAGTAAAGGTAGGTACAATTCAACAGACGGTAAGATTTATCAGCAAAACGAAAACTTCGACAGCATGTGAAAAAATCGACGATTTCATTCAACAACATCAGGTATATTTCTGCCGAACGGCGAACTTACCGGCAGCTTGTATTCCATCAAAGCAAATACCTGCCAATTAAAAAACAAATAACTAGAGTAGATACGTATAACATGCCTAAAAAGAATTTGCAATATTTGTCCAAGAATTAATATAAATTATATAGAAGCCAAAAAGGTGAACAAAGATATGTAAATGGTGTTACCGCCATGCAGTTTTTGTAATGTGCCATCGCAATTTCGCCTTGCGGTTGTAATTATCGCCTAGCTATTGCCTATTAATCTTCATTTTATAGTATTGATTGTTGGGTATGATATATACGTACGTGCAAGGTTGGGAGTTCCAGAAAACAAATCGTTACTAAGAGCATTTATTGGATTTTTCCTGGTGTCAAGAACAGTTAAATTTGGCATCATGGTAAAATGAGTTGATGTTAATGATGAAATCCTGTTGCCACCGATATCCATGATTTTCAGGTTATCTTGGGTATCGTCAAACAAATCCAGAGGCTATTTATTAGAACAGACCATTTGCCGCAAGACAATTTTGATAAAAATTTAATAGGCTATACGGTAAGTATAACGTTACAAATGAGAACAACCCCATCGATACCGCTTACCAACTCTTGTAGCCGATTATTACTGAGATCCAGCATCTTTAGATCCAATAAATCGGCAATAACATAAGCCGGTAAACCTGCTACCTGGTTGTCGCTGAGATCAAGAACCTACAAAAAATTACCTCGTTTAAAATTTAAATTACACTTCTGCTTATTCGGGTAGACGTTAACCGTGGTAACTTCAGTTTGCGGTCCAGTTTGCGCATACCAAGGCCGCACACAATTTACGACGAATTTTCCACATTTTGTACCTGTAAGCTCTTTAGGTTTTCAAACATGGAGGGACGAAGTTGTGCAATTTGGTTATTGCTCAGGTCCAAATGCTAAAACATGTACAACAATACTGTGATGTTAAATTATGAAAATCATAAGGTACTTGCGCGTGATTTTTCGATTTATTTACTCTACTGGCGCTGTAATGTGCATAAAGAATATTGCTGAAATACATACTGCATGTTACATATTTTACATATGTTTATTGCCATTTACGTACGTAAAGAATGATGAGCATAACATAATGTATCAACATAATGATCAATGTGTATACTCGAGTGTTAATACGAGGTAACCACAAGAACACAATATGTGTGATAATACGTATGTATACAAGTGCAGATGTACAGTAAGACAGAATTGTGAAACCATAAGATTAAAAAAGAAGAAACTATTATTGTATACCAAAAATAAACTACATGCAAGTACATCTGTTAGCACCTTGAGCTTCCCCAAAGGCGCAAGAAGTTCCGGAGGCAGAATCTGTTCGGTTTGATTACTGGTGGATAAATCCAGCGCTTCGAGAGTACTGCCTATAGTATCGAACAATCCGACCGGCATCACCAGGTTGCTATTCGGATTCGCAGCCAAGGAAAGCCTCTCCAGTTTTTTATATCCTTTAAAAAAATCTGGCCGCATTCCCCGAAGATCTTTTGATCGTAAAATAGCCAGTTCGGTGATCTCCTCGATAGGAATTCCTTCTAGCTGATACTTAATATCCTGTGGGTAATTTAGCCCATCGCATGATACCACCAGTTCACTGGTTCTGACTTCCGTACAATTGCACAACGAATATCCGGCTGGTGGACATCCGCCACGGACAAAAGCGATACAAGTTGCTATTATGGAGTAAACGAAAATTTCCCACATTGCGATCGCTCATAAATACGTGGGCTATATAGTTATTGTAACAAACAACTATACAGGAGCAATATTTTGACGTACTGATGATATTTACGTGTTTTCACACACAAAATTAATGCGAAGATGACCTAAGACTATTATAACTACTGAATAATTACTGCAGAAATTAAAATAAAAACTAGAAATTGCTTCAAAAGCCTGACTGAATGCGGGAACATGCTTGACCTTTCGCGCAAACCATGAGTTATTCAGAAAAGTTTTTGCTTGTATCAACAAATTAATCTGCTCAGTCAACAATAAGTTCAACTAATAATTATCACGGCATGAAATGCGCCCTGTAAAGTTCCAGCTTTCTGTGCGGCAGTCACACGCGTAATATGAGACAGGCTACGATTAGTATATCCAGCGTATATTGTGTTTTTGTTGAAGGTTGTAGCACATTCGTCATACTTCGCAGTTCTCACTTGCTATTTGCCTTCTCACCCACTTTTTGCGACATCACGATGCGTTCATTGTGTTCTCAAATCTCAGTTACGCGATACTTTTTTTTTATTTTATGCATATATCATTCGGTAATCAGAAAGGATTTAAGAGGAAGATATGCGTTTTTAATTTTTTGCAATATTCGAGCTCCAAGAACTTGTGGAACTGTGCAGATAAAAACGTAAGATCACACAGATGCAACTCAATAAACTAACAACAGAGAATTTTAGGAAACAATGCACGCTGCAATCTGAAACGAATATTCAGAAATAGGAAAATAAACCAATGAGCAAATTTCATAAAAAAGGCACAGCATTTTGGAATAATCAAGGAACATTAAAAAAAGGCGCTCAAGAAAACCTAGCAAATGGAATAATCTCAAGCGTAAAGAGATTCTTCGGTTTTTGGCACTGGATGCACAGTACTTCGGAAAGGCACGTTATCAGTTCGCTCCTTGGACACTTTCCCTCCTACGGAAACCATCTCAATGGATGCCACAGTGCTGTCACTATCATCCGTAAAATCCAAAAACGAGCAGCATGGAATCAGCTTACGCAGTTCCCAGAACGTATTTACAATGGCAATAAAATTTTTCATAATAAACAAAGCCGTGGTAACGTCCGCCGAGTGCCAAAGATATAGTCGAATTACCACGTAAGGAATATTGACGAAAGCCGTGGCAATAACGCTCTGGATTAAAATTAAATTGTCCAACGGCTTCGATTTCGAAAAATTAAATCCACTCAGCTGCAAAATACATACAGGTAATTCTAGGAAAAGTTCGCAGAATTTAACCAGAGAAAAGGTATGCGATTACGATTTAAAAGGAGAAGCGATTCAAATTCCTGACAACATCAGACATCAACTACAGTATATTATCAACAGAAGAATTAAGTGAACGAACTGAAACGACTCACCTGATACAAAGCCACCGCAGGAATAATAAGATTCATGACCGAGTAGGCTAAAATTGCATGCTCCACTGACCACGACAACAATATTTTGGTTTCATTGGCAAATAAAATACTTAAAAATTCGACAGTATCCAGGAGCTCGAATACAACGTGGGTCTGCAAAACGAGAATATCAAAATTACAAGAGCAGTTAGAGCAGTTAGAGCACAATAAATGACAATAACGACAAGCAGACCGTTTCACTGTATAATAATTCTGTTATATCTAAAACAGGTCTGCTTAGTGTTTTTCTTAGGAACTTCAACCGAAGAATCGTTGTAGGTCATGCATGTTAACGTTAAAATTAAATTAAATAACTACAATAGTCAATCGACAAAATTAGCAGGATCAATAAATATTTACACACCTGCAGCCATTTTAAGCAAAATTTATGCCTCTCGCTGGATCGATTACGATGATGTCCCGCAACAAGAAGGGCAAAAAATGCAGCAGACAAACCAATAGCAATTTTCATCAAGTTGGTTCCCATCCAACCTCCGTCAGGCAGGTCTCGTGCGAATGTTTTAAACATGTGGAAAACCTTCCCCGCCAGAATCACGCTATAGAAGATCCATGTGATAAATGCATAGGGCAAGAGACCCAGCTGAGGCACGGGTTTCCGTCTCACGGTTCCAAAATAACGAATGGCCAGCACATTGAGAACAATGTAAATCCCCAGGAAAACCGCATCCGCTGCCACCCAACCAAGCCATCTCCAATCTCCAGGAAAACCTATAAAATTATGCAATTCCCTCAATCCCGTTCCCCATGTGACATCTTTCTTGAAAGAACATACATTTCATTAAAATGTTTTCAAAAGAAAGCAGCATATCTTTAAATAAAATCATAAAGACATTTTGACGTTTCGGTTGACTTATTATGTCTTAAAATTATAGTAATGATATGACTAATAATGAGTAATTCAAAGCTTTGCTGAACGTTTACAGTAGGAGCCTTACCTGTATACATGAAATAATACAGCAAGCATGTTTGACCAATAAAGATCAACCCATTAAAGCAACGCGCGAGAATTTCTCCGATGGAAACATTCAGTAAATTAAAACGATTAGGTTTTGGGTTCACAGGTTTGGCCATGAGAATAGACAGAATTCCAGCGTCGATGAAGGATCGCGAAACAATGCAAACCCATCTCTCTAAAATCACAACGTAGTGAAGAGCATTGCTACAGTCATCCGTTAACAATTTCAATCAGCAGATAATCAGAAAAGAATGTAAACGAATGCGTTAAGCTAGCAAATACGAAACAAACAATGACAGCTACCTTTTAGCTTTTAAAATTAAAAAAAACCAAAGAATTCTTGTTCCAACATGAAGATTGCAGACTGCAAAACGAAATTTATGACATGACAAAAAGTAGAACCAAAAACGTTGTTGCCTCTTGCCCATGAAACTATTTTAGAGCTAACTGCCGGCGTGGGGGCTGCCAGAGAACCGGAAGTGTACATGAGAACGTTTTTCAATTTTATTTTAAAAATTGCACTACGCAGTGGAGATCTTGAGGTTTTCTGTTTTCATATTGATTTTAATTTGGACGAGTTTTTGTTAAGTAGCTGATGTACCGATCTGCAACTTAAGCACAGGAGTATTCTGGTGATCTGGTGTGCTTCTACTGGTTTAAACCGTTTCAAGAACGTTTCCACTCCTGGATTTGGATCAACCATCAGATTTCTTTTTGGTTTGGACTTTGGTCTTTATAGGTAAGTGGAAAATCGTCATTACTTAATTGCCGGATCTCGTTATCGACGAACGCTTGGTTTGTTGTTTTGAGTGAAGCTGTGAAAGACAAGAAGGTTGTCGCTAATCGATTACTACGCTAGTCTTGCAGAAATGCGGGCGCTTGCTTAAATTGTGCTCGGTTTGTTTTAGGGAAAAATGAAAACTACTAAGAAAGCGAAGGCTCAGACAGATATGGGCGCCCGAGTAGAAGAAGCAGCTGAAGCATCATCAGTCACCACTGCCTCGCACGCAAGATCAGAAGTTAACGAGGATCTTCGAAGCTTATTTCAAGATGCCGGTTCGAAGCCATTTAAATTCTTCGATAATAACGATCAGGATATGGATGATCCTCTTTCTACCCCTTCGGCTGCACTTCATAAATTTCCTCAGAAATTTACGCACTTTGAAACCGTGGACGAGACACCGGTAACGGAGGATGAATTCATACCAACACCACACGTGTTTTCAGTTTCCCACAGCTTTACTGGGAATTTTTTCTTTACGGTCGATGATCCGCGCTTGCTGGAAGGTCGGCGGTATCTCGCCATGAGCGATGAAGAAAGAGCGAGCAATCTGGCTGAATGGGAAAAGACGAGGCCTCAAATGATGGCGGATTTCAAGAAGCAGAAAAAACAAGCTAACCGAAAGCGAACTTTTATGGAAAGGAAACAGACGTAAACTTTTCCTCATAAATGATAAATGTCATAATCTGTACTGCGATACAGCAGTAATTACCTGTGATGGAATTAGTTTTGTGGCTTCATTAATTATGGTATCTTACACCGTTTACCTGCGATTTTCCGATAAAAACGAATTGTTTGTTGGTGACAGAGGCGCACTGGATGGGTATTTTGCAGCATTTTGTAGTGCGATATTGTGAGCTGGTATTGCACTGTGCGCTCTCTTTATTGCTACTGCGGGGTAATTAGAGAGGGAATTTTCTGAATATACTCCGGCTACTGTATGTTCGAACTCCAGACGAAAACAATAAGTCATAGTTTAGTAATTTTTATGAACGTATCGTCAGTCCGTCATGTACGTCGGTATTTTCTAGTTTACTTTTCAATTAACAGCGCAAGCAGGCATTTGCCAGATCAAACCTAGATGTTCAAAATATAATCAGAAAAAGAAACGATGTAAAAAACAGACGAAAGTCAGGAAAAGCCGCAACATTAAAACACCAGAACGATGCTTGTTAAAAAAGAAGTCGCTTAAAATAAACTGTAAATAAATCAGGATAATATACAGGTCGGCAAAACGCAGAAGATCCAATAATACTATCGCTTCGCATAAGAAATGGAAATAGGATTGGAAGGTTTTATGCGGTAACCTGTGAAGTATAAAAAACCATATAAATTCCCAGCAAATGAACAATTTCCATCAGGTTTTAGTACCATCCTAATAGTGTTACCAATTTATACTAATCGTAGAACTGGATAAAACAATTTACTGGCATTACCTTCCGAGGATTACAAAAAAAATCGCCTGTTCTCAACGCCAATACAAACTGGATTTCTAATAATCTAGTATGACTAGGAACTTGCCGTGTAACGAATCTTTCGCCGTCGACGCCTGAAGCTCGGTCTCGAACTCCACAAAGACAATGTCCTGGCGGCCAGGAACAAGACGAACTTCTTTGAAGCCATCATGCGGACTGAAGACCGTCGACACCATCTCCGCTGTATCCACACCCGAAGGCAAATTGGACACGAAGAGGATTTTATTGGGTGTCTCGTCCTCGGCGGCATTCATCGCCATTTCCGCAAATGCGGAAAAGTCGCCCGCCGGTAACTCTTCGGTCTTTTTCTCTTTCTTCTTCTTCGCTGCAGCATCTTTCGCTTCGTCTTCCTTCTTTCGCATTCTGAAGGTGCCAGTGCGCTTTTGAGTGGCCTCGGACTCGGTCTACAATAAATTAAGTTTAAGCAGAGAGTCATGCAGACATCACTCTTGTCTCTGCACAAATCCTTACTTGAGCGAACGCAATTTTCATGGGCTTGTTATAAAACGGGCATCCCTGGAGCGCTCGGAGACCTGATGTGGCACTGGCCACATCTTTGAACACTATAAATGCCTGGCCTCGCATTTTCATGGTTTTCAACGCGACAATGTCTATAAAAAAAGTTATAATGAAAATCGGCTGTTATAACCAATCCAGAAGAACCAGCCGCGAGACTATGAATCTGGTCGCCCATAGTGATGCAGTGATGCTCACCAAGAACCGGTCCAAACTGTGAGAACAAATGAAAAAGGGACTTCTTCAGCTCATCCTTCTTGATTTTCTCGTTGATATTGTTGACGTATAGAGTGCAATTCGGCTTCGAATCCATGATTCACAAACAACTACTAACAGAACGCCGTCAAACCAAACAGCAACGATGAAAAGATGTGTCGCACTTGCCTGAAAAGCAAATTTAATAGAAGTGCTGTACTAGAACATACATAGATCAACTAAAGTTCTAAAGTCTAAACTAAAAATATTGCAAAAATTTTCAAAATCAAACGAAACCTTGACGTCTGAGATTGGTCTCATAAACGCCGTTGCGAGCCGAAAGCTTTTTGCTAACCTTTGCCAGTGCAACTGAACACACTGGCAAAACATTTCGAGGGCGTTTGCCCCTCAAGCACAGTATTCGGCTCGAGAGTCGAGACTTTCTTCCCTTACATTTGCGGTCTTTCTTTTCGTTTTTTGGTTCGCCGATGCTCAGGTTCTTTCCTGTGTAGACGTAATTAACAGTAAACAATTTACTTGAATTATTCCTTGTTCTGCAGCAGCGACGTTTGAAACTATCATATTTTGTGTATTAGGTGACATTGCTTAGTTAAAAGAGTCCATCTAAAAGTTCTTCTGAATCTTCTCACTGGAACGTTTGCCTGGTTCTTGATAATAGCTGTCTACATTCATTTGTGATTAATTTGTTGCAAATAAATCAATTTATTTATCTTTGATTACAAAATCTGCAGTAAGCAATCAGCTACTTGCTCGATAAACTGATCGTCCTTAGCCGGGGAAACACATCGAACGATTTGATCTTAAAATTAATTATTTATCTCGAAGCGTTCCATCCCAGGAACCTAACTTCGGAACTGTTAACAGTGACGTAACACGTTTTGTTGTCGATGCTTTCGTTTTGCCATGGAACAGGAATCGAAAATCCGGAAAAGCAACGGAAAATCAGCTGTGGATGCGCGTACATCGATGAAAACGATGAAGTTTCGGACCGAAGAACAGCGCTTGCTGCAGTCCATTCTAACTCAAAAAGATGCGCTTGTAAAATCTTTGATTTTTATCAGCGGAGTGAGGGGAACCGGAAAGAGTATGCTGGTTAAAACTGTGCTGGACGGCTTACCTGTGCCAAGTACGCTTGTGGACTGCACCGTGGCAGACACCGAAAACGCGGTGGCCAGTAGAATTTTCAGCCTTCTGCGACATATCGACGACGATTTCTCCAAAGCTTCTGAAGGTCTAACCTGCAGAAAACTGTTTGATCTTCGCAAGTTTTTGCGATTATTTGCTGTGCAGAAGATTTCCACGTTAATCGTCGTTTTGGATGGATTTGAAATGGTGGAAAAATGGGCTTTTGTGTGGTCAGAGCTGTTAAAACTGCAAAAATTCTGTCTGCCTGCATTGAAGTTTGTCGTGACCAGCCGCTCATCTGTATGCTTGTTAGCCGGAACATCATACAACTTTGACGATCCGATGCAAATCCATTTGGGTAAATACAACAAGGATCAGTTGATTGATCTGGTTACAGGGATATTCCGCTGCAGGAGCGATGTGGATGCTCCGTTTGTTCGAAACTATTGTGACCTAATTGTTGACAGTTTCGGTCCAGTCACAAGTGATGTGCGGGAGCTTCGCGCCTACGCTCAGCGATATTATCCACAATATTGTGCAAAAGTCTCCAAGGATGTTCCGGTTTCGCAAACCGAAAAGTTGTGGCGACACATCTTGCCACATTTGAGAGCAGAATTACAAGTAAGCTTGCGTCGAATTTCACAGTGCATTTGATTGTAAGAAAACAGAGGTAAAAACAGTACGAGAAAGCAGTTTTAATTTATTTAAGTTTTCTTTCGTTCACTGTCCCGTTTGAATGCTCCGTGTGATGTTACAGTTTTCACTACCATAGTATGCATACATTTGCAACAGCACATGTATGTTCACTTTTCTTCCAGTTTTTAATCTGGCACTTGATTTACGCTTTATTGGTGGTATTGGTGCTTTTAATGAGTGCTTTTATGCATTTGTTTAGTTTGTTTTCTTGAATCAGACTGACAGTAGTTTGAGAAGCTTGAAAATTACTGCTTCATTAAATTTTTATCGCACTGATTCTTGGGTAATTACGGCTTTCGTTCAAATGTGAATCATTTAGTAAGTTGTTCTTCCTAATAATCTCGTCTTGATTCTCTTTTAGTTCGGTCATACGAAAGGTTTTGAAGAGAAAGCGCGGATGGAAGCAGACATAAAATCCCTTCCTCTACACCTCCGATTTTTGATTGTGGCTGGTTTCTTTTGCTCATATAATTCAAGCTCAATGGACGCCAAAATGTTGTCGAAGCGCCATGATCCGGGTAAAAAACGGGCTCCGCATACGGGGATCAAGAAAAAAACGACTGAAAAGCGGCTGACGATGTTAGGACCACAGTCGTTTAGTTTTGACCGAGTGTACAGTGGACTTCGTTTCCTAATGGAAGACGTCGCTTCCGGCATTTCCCCCATGCAAGTGCAATGCAGTGTCCGCAGGCTCTGCGATATGGAGCTGTTTGTGCGGGTGGGGCACGAGGATAACTTGGACTATCCTAAATACAAGTGCAGATGCAGTAAGGAATATGTTGAGCAGATTGCGGCGTCCATCGGTTTGGAACTTAATAGGTATTTGAAAGAATTACAACAGTGATATGGCTTAGCGGATTACGCCCGGAACGTTCGCGCCCATTACCCCTTAAATTATTCTCTCCTTTATTAAATCTTAATTGGTTCTAGTGGATCATGTTGCTATTTATTTATGGTAGTTGCTCAACAGCTTTTTTTAATTATGTTGTTCTTGTGATTCGAAGTTGAACACTTGCGAAATCGCAGGAAATCGAGTGATTTGTGTTTTTTTGTGTATAAACGATTACAACGATGCGTGCCTGGAACACGAAAGCCCAATAGTGAATCATAATTCCCGTCCGTGTTGATTTTACGTCGTTGTGTTGATTAGGATGGAACGAATGAGTCAGAGTTGATTGTTGTTGAATTTTCGCTTTTGATTCAAATGCAATTCATGCAGCCAGCGTTCTGCAAATCGTCAAAGATTAATCCCAGTGTGTCATCATTTTTTGGCAGAAAACCTTGTATATTAAAAAAATAACTGCCAGATCGGCAAAAGTTAGAATACGCTACACCTTTGTCGCATCCGGCAGACAGCAACCATAGGCTAAAAACCATTGCAGCGCTCTGGTATTAAAGCCAACTGAGAGCAGGATATCAGTGATAGTTTCGTAATACCTCCAAAGTGGTCAGAACTGTACTGCGGACTGAGCTTGAAAAACATTCCCGTTCGATTTCGGTTAGGCTGCTGGCAGCCGAATACCCGTTCGTACACAGGAGCAGGTTTCCTTATTATCTCGGATCACCATACTAACGGCTGACTGGAACCTCTATAACTGTTACAATTTTACTGTTTGGAGAACAAAGTACCGGTTAAATTGCATCACTGACCTCCACCATGCAAGTCAAGACAGTCATTGTTTATGGAATAGCTGTCATCCTTTGCCATCTTTGCGATGTAAGTGTTTCGCGAATACGGCGCAAACAATTCTCTTGTTTACTGCTTAGTAAAAACATACTTTTTTTATCTAAACCTTTGACCTCTTAAATTTGATTTAATTTTGGAACAATGCCGACAAATAATCTAGTTTGGCTCCCAGAAATCATTTGAAATCACTACGTAGGTACATTAAAAGAACATGAAAATTAATATTATTGTATATGAGTATACTAGTGTAAATGCCGCAGTAGTAAAAATTAGTTATTGTGGGGTCTACATATTTGAAGTTCTGTCCACTTGATTGAAATCAGTAAACAGAATACGGAAACTGTGATGGTTAACCTGTGAGCCGTGACTGTATGTGAGGCACTTGAAAAATTCTGAACTTAGAAGTTAATATATTCCAAAGGTTGATAACGATTCAGTGCCTTAATATTCCAACAGAATTTCATTGAAGTAGAATAGAACAGAATCCCCAGTGACCTCATTGAAGAAGTCATGAAACACCACTAATATTCCGTCTGCAACAGCCGCAACACGGCATTTGTTAATCTCTTTTTTTGCAGGCCGATAAATTAAATAACGTAGAGCACGTTTTGGTGAAGCGTCAGTATACGTATGCAACGCCTTCCGCGCCGGCCACACCTCGGTCGGTCTCCGCGGCATCCTACACCAACTACTACCAGAGCGCCTACACATCCGCCCAGTCCGGCTATCCGGTGTTCAGTGGGCCGAGCACTCTGTCCTTCTCTTTCGGCGGCACACAGCCCGTTGACGGGTCCAGCTCGGTAACAACATTTGGAACTTCCAATTCTATCGGGCAAGGCGCTAGTACGTCTGGTTTCGCATCAACATCCGGCCTGTCCTCCTCCAATCCCAACGTCGTAATATTCAGCGCTCAACCGGTGACCGGAAGTGCGTCATCGTCCCTGACCTTTCCTAGCAACAGTAATTCCGCACTGACTAGTCCATTGTATGGTGGCTCACCTTCTTCGTCCGCGTTAACAGCCTATCCGCAAGGTTAGTAAAACAGGTTTTTTTGGACAATTCTGTCACATGATAAGAGAAAACGAAAATGCTTTTCTCAGCAAGCTGCACATGCTGTTAGCTGCACGCGCTGCAGTATAATAACGATGTTCAAGTTTTATTCGGCATCAACCGGTACACATATCAAATAAGCCTTAGCACATTTACTCTACGTAAAACGATCAAACTGATAATGATATTATTTGTTTACTGTTAGGTTCGGGAGCTGCAGGCTCAGCCCCCAATTGCGTACAGTCGGCATATAATCTGACCATTCCCGACAACACCGCGGTGGGTGTTATTGTGTTGCGCGTACTGGCCACCGATCCACAAGGCCGGCCACTAACGTACACCATTGCGGATCCGGTTTTCGGATCATTCAATATCAATGCCCAGTCCGGGGATATTACAGTGGCGTCCAATTTGGTTAATTTCGCTCGTGCTATTGAGTTCGCCGTACAGGTCACCAATTCATTGAACCAGGTAAAATACGATTTTGTACAGCGTAATACAAACGCTGCTGTTAATTTTTTATTCACCATTAGCCTAAACAAATATTTCACGGAATTTACTGCGCAGCATGCTGATAAATTTATACGAGTATGTAAATAGTGAAACACTGAAACTTACATCATCGACACAATCGCTTCGACATTTTGTAGTACTGAGTCCACATCATTTAACCATAACTTTTTTATATGTATTGAATTGTCCGATGCGTTTTACGGTTAGCAATGCTGAAACAGACAACTGTTTACACAATGGCATGGTAGTTTGGTTATGGATGCAACAGCCCATGTGTCCTAATTTTGAACATGTTGATATTATTATTTATGCACATGTGCCATGAGTACGTATTTAAGAACCTGAAATTCGGTTTTTAATATTATGACTTTCTATGACGTTATCTGCCTAACGTATTTCGTTCTCCTGCAGCAATGTACCTCCAATGTTCGGATAAATTTCATCAAAACATCCTCGTCGCTGACTGCTGTTACTCCCAGTGGATACGGCTATGGATCGGACACCACACCTACACCGTACAACCCCTACATGCCCACCGGCACCCCGGTGCTGGCTTACACTCCCCGTCCTGGACTGTACAACCAGTACACCCAGCCGACACCTGCTCCCACTGCCGGTTACGGATCTGCCAACCTCATCGCCACCACAGTGCCACCCCCGGCGCCGGTGACCTTTCCCAATTACTTCAACCCCCCACCGGCCGTCACCTTTCCATCGTACCCATCGGGCAATCTGGTGGCCACCACACCGTATCCGGTCTACAACGCACCCACCCCGGGATACGGCTCACCGTCCGGTAATCTGGTGGCCGTTACACCTGCGCCGGTTAATACTTACGGTGGCAGTCCTAGCTACAGTGGTAATTTGGTGGCCACGACACCTTATTTCGTGTATAATGCACCCGCCCCGGGATACGGGTCCCCATCGGGCAATCTGGTGGCCACTACGCCGATGCCTTATGTGCCCGTGACGTTACCCAATTATGTTAACAATCCACCGGTGACCTTTCCCACCAACGGACAGCTGAATACGGGTTATGGTAATACAGCGCCTTTGGTGGCCACACCCGCGCCTCCGTACCCGGTCACTTTTCCATCCAACGGCCAACTGAACACGGGATATGGGAATAACGCGCCTTTAGTTGCCACACCAGCGCCGCTTTATCCTGTTACGTTTCCCAGTATTGGAAATCTTTTCAATGGAGTCTCCACTGTTGCCACTATCCGCACAGACAATGGTAGCGGTTACTAATTAGGTTTTTAACTCATGATTTTTTTATAGTAATAAGCAACTAAACGTAAGAACATAGTAATTTAATATACATCTCGTACTTATATAATTGGAATACTTACAGTATACTGTATGCAGTAAGCGAGTTCAGTTATTTGTTTGAGTTGGTCATTCAGCTCCCGGTTTCCGTCCGTATTTATTTTTTATGCCGTTTTTTATTGGGATTACATGGTTGCATTAACTTAATTTTTTATGCTGTTTTGTACTACTGATCATGATTGATTTCAGTGCTAGCCAGGCTTGAAATGATTGATTAAAATTTGATTTGTAACATCTGTCATATGTCGCGCTATATTAAAAAATCTGAGATCCCGAAAAATGGTGAAGAACGTTGAAGCAAACCTTTTGATTATAGCACAAATTACACCACGTAGTGATTTAGATAGAATCTTAAAAGCCGAAGTGCACTTTAGATGTACTCTATGATAGCGTATTACTAGCATGATACTTTATTATGATAACGTTTATTATTTTTGCTACAGCTGTACTAAAATTATTAACAGTTGCTAGTATTAAATTAATTGTGGCTGTCACACATTCGTTTTGCATAGATCTGATAGATTTCAGAAAGCTTATTTGGGTTATTTATCGAAACAGGTCGTGCAAAACGAGTGTGTGACAACCACAAACCAATGTGGCTGTATGTTTTGTAAACTAATGTGGCCCAATACACATGATAACGCATCCTCACATGATCACATCACTGTTTTGTAGGTAACAAAGCGTTGGGTTCGGACGGAATTCCCAGTTCGCCCGCGACCACCATGAATTGGTCATTCTTCGTGCCAAATTACTCCGGCACATCCACCTTGGTCGGCAATCTCAATATCCCCGGTATGAATCAGTTCACATTCACGCCCCGTGGGAATCCGTTCATTGTGGTGGACCCGCGAACGGCAGACGTGACACTGGCCAGTGGCTACTGTCCACCCAGCAGCCCCACCCAAGAAGTGGTCATTATCCAAGGCCGCGACATGGCTGGCAACGGGATGCAAGGGAATTTGTCCATTGTCATCTTTTCCTCACCGTCATATGTTCAGTCCTGTCAAAGTAATCCTGTCCAGCCGCCAACTACTCCGACTTCCGCTCCGCCGCAACCGGTTACATCGTTGCCGCTAATGCCCACGCCGTCACCACCGGGAGCGGTCTCCGTTACTTTTGCCGGGGATACTTCGTTTACGTAGGTTTACCATTATGCCAAATTTTTATAAATCAAACGAATTAAGAGTTTTCAATTTTAATCCTTTACAGTAGTCATATACCCGTAACGCCGTAAGTTATAGACTGTACAGTACGTATACGCGTATAATTGTATTAAGATTTTTGATTAATTTGTAGCGTAAACCAATGCCAGCCAATGTCCAGTGCGCCTGCAGTGGCAGGATCATTCCGAGCGAAATTCAGTCCCAACGTGGATTTCTCGAAGCTGCGAATTACAATTTCAAACAGGTGACACGGAACTAACGATCTAAACTGTTCCATGACAAGCCAGCTGTTCCATAAGTGTCGCTTAAATGTATTATTTTGAATATTGTGTATTACAGCCTTTTCCAACCCGCACTTCCGGTGGTCTGTGATCAAAATTTTCAGTGCAACATCACACTAGTTTTCTCCCGGCCAATGGACAGTAGCCTGCAGGGATCATACTTAATAACGGCAAATTTCGAAGGGGGTGGTCTGCCGACAACATCGCAGCGCCTGCAGGTGTCCGTGCAGTGCGGATCGCTGCAGTCCGATCAAACTCCGTCCGTGCCACCACGCACGGTAGCTAGCGATCCATCGTTGATTGTTCCAGAACTTCCGCCCTGTGGTGTGGCATCGGTTCCTATTGATGTTAACGAAGACACACCTGTTGGTACCGTGGTAGCCAGTCTGCCTTCCACTGTACGTGGTCCAAAAATTCTTACAAAAGCGTTCAGTAATTGTAGAAATTCAACATTAATTACAGTATTCTTGTGCGGCAAAGTTTACTCCACTCCAGAGACAGGAAACATATTTGCAACCGTAACACAAATGGGTTATAGAGCGACATCGAAAGATCATTCATTACCGTACAACGGCTAAAAAAATACAATATAAAGGTCATCGTCACATTGGTTATTTCGTTATAGCCATCGCCCGGCTTTCGGTTCCAAATCGTTGACGCGTCTGCTACCGGATATTTCGACATCTCAGACCAGTAAGTTATTCTGAAGTAAAATCTGAACTCAACCAAAGTAAGGTAACTGTTTGTGCCATTTAGGGGTTTCGTGGCTGTTGCCAGTCCGTTGTCGGAACCAACTGTTGATTCGGTTTATCTGCGAGTTGCCGGACAAATCAATAATCAGTCGGTAGGGAAAATTTATGAAAACTTAACAATTGTGCTGTGCATGAGACGTAAATAATTTGGTTTGGCGATCGACAGGTGTGTGGTACAGATGTTCTCATTGGCATTAAGAACGTCAACTTACGAAAGCCAGAGTTCGACCAAGTTTCATACAGCTTTGCCGCTGACTGCAATATTCCATCGATCCCCATTGGGACTGTGACTGTAAGTAGAAAAAGTTTTAAAATGCGAGATTTTCTCCTCAAATTATGTAATTGTTTCATGAAACAATTGTCAAATATCAACAGGCATCGGATTCAGATAGTGGACGGAACAATATTCGCCGATTCTTCGTTAACCCGGAAGATACAGCGTAAGACAACGCTCACCAGTCAGACACGTTTGTTTGTACCACTAATTCCCTCTCATTAAATTATCTGGAAAAACATTTTTTTTTTAAGTATTGCTACCATCGACCCGGCTAGCGGTACTCTTCGATTAAGGAGCAGACTGCGCGAGTCAACATCGTTATTGGTAAGCGGAAGCGCCCTGAATTGCTTTATGTATCCTCTTCATGTTAAAAAATGCCAGTTGAACCATGACATGCGCATCGGCAGGTATTTGTCGAAAATCCCGGTACAAATCTGAGAAGTTCGGCATTAGTGCAGATCAGCTGTACAGGTGACAACTCCATAGTCCAACTGGGAGGATTTGGCGGAAGGAGCGCACCACGTCCGACCACTACAACCCAAAGGTCGATCCCGCGAAACGTAATGGCTTCGCTTAGAGTGGATCCGCGAGCGCATACTGCTGTGTCCTCTAATCAGCCTGCTTCGTATCCCTTTACGGTGTCAATAAGGCGTTCGTAAGCTCACTATATCAAATTTTGCGAAAGCTTCTTGCAGAATGTTTATTAAAAAAGAGGAAAATAGCACTTTTATCAGCATGCAAAACGACAGAAATACATAGAGCACTGTAACAGAAGGTTATTTATAAACTTAATAAATACGAGCATATTCCATACCTCGTCACTAAAATTATCGAAAAGATTTAACAGTGTAAATCTAACACCAGAAAAATGAGCAAAAGCTGTCAATCTGCATTCAAATCCAAAAGCAAAAATATGTTCTATCATCACTGCGTCGGGTTTGTTTCTCTAGCCGAACCTTTTTCTTTATGCTTTGTAAACCGGTAAATCGTAGTGTGCTCCACGGATTGCCCCCTTTTCAGCACAGGAGTTGGAAAGTTTGGCTAAAAAAATTTTCATTGACCAAAACATTAAAGGACATTAAAGTTCGTCTGGCGAAAATACTTACAACATTTATGGCGTTTGGATAATTTTGTGCTAATAAGCAAATCGATGAATGACGATCGTTTATCTCCCCGTACTTTCCGACTATGTTCTTATTCAAAAAATTTCCGGTGTAAACCGTCATCCCTGGTTGCGTGGTTAAAACATCCAGATGGACGCCATTCTTGGGGTTATACAGTCTGCAAAAACATGGTTTGTGTTATGCCCGGTTGCTGAGTTTTCACATAACAGAAAAAGTTCCAATTTGGTTGGCAACTGCTGAATTATAATCACGATAATTTTGTGTGCAAGTTAATCACGAACTGCGTGAAATTCTCCAATCAAAAAGCATATCATATTTACTTTGCGCATAATGACGGTTTGGTCAATGGACGGAATGCATGATTCAGGCACCAGTTATCATCGAAACCATTATACTGTGATGTGGCAATGGCGGGACCTAGTCGCTTTCCATTACGGAAATCATAAGGAGTACCTTCGACGGGAACAATTTCGCCCGTTGGAATCCATTCCGCATCTGTTGGAGTGTACTCGTCGGCCAAAACAGTTAGCACGTGTTCATTGATGTCTTTCTCAGCCTAAACAACACACTTCTGAGAACCACTTCTTGAGAAGTGAAATTCTTCTGAAAATTTTTCAGCGGTGTACCTCGCCTCCTAAATTAAAATAGATATGCACGGGAATGCTCAAAATGGTGTCTTCCTCCGTGGAACATTTTAATCGGATTATCAGCTCATTATCGTTGGTCAATCGATATTCCAGCTCGGTGACCAATTCACCGGGATAGCCTTCCGAACCATCCGCACTGACGTAGCGAAATCGAACACCACTGACGCCGTTTTTATCGTCTTCTTCGATGGTTTCGGCAGACCAAATCGCCTACAACGCAAAGCATACAGCAGTTCAGTTTTTTTCTAAACTACTGTGTTAGCGTTAACGTTACGACTTCGTTTGCTTGGATACCAAAAAATCAGCCCGATAATGTGCAGGAAAATTGAGAAAAGAAGAAGTTCATGACAGAAAAAAATACTTCTTAAACTATGGCTAAAGAATTTATCAGGAATATTTTTTAAGCGTTCGTGCCATAAATGTTACCGGTTACCGTATCGAAGCCGTTTTTTCCGCCATTCATGTGAACGTTCTGTGTGTTTGGAATCAAATTGCAAAGTTTCCCCTCAATCATGACGTTGGAAGGTGAAATTCGACCGGCAACACGGCCCACAACAGCACCAAAATAGTATTCATCTTTCATATACTCTGCAAAACCACAACAATATTACTGTATCTCTGAACCTGTTGAGGGCAACTGGGCAAGTAATTACATATGTAACAAATTGTGAAACCAAAAACAATATCCACAACACTTATAAGAAACTGAAATACTAATAAGCGCTCGTATCAGAGCTAAAATACTAATTATTCAGAGCGCTCGTATCAGAAGCAACAGGTGAGAAACAGCCTTCAAAATACTATCCGTGATTGATATGACGGATATCAAACACATTATCAATGCCGCGTTCTAAAGCATAAATGAAATTCTTCCTGAAAAATAATTTTTATTCATGCAAGCAGCATGAGATTTCGCTCCTTTTTCCATAGAAAACCGCATTTTGACGATATCACGGCACAATCTTATCATATTATTACAAATATTACAGCAGTCGCCCACGTTTACTGACTCCGTTCTCACACAAACCTTCCATAGAAGCAAATCCTCGCACAACATCCACAACACCGCCATTTAAATCAGGGACCTTGAGGCCAACGATGCGTGCTCCAAAAGAGATCACACTTAACTGCATCCCATGTTTATTCTCCAATTCGTAGAGCTGTACGGGTTGTCCGAAAGGAAGTTTCCCAAACACACGTGTTTTCATTTTATAAATGCTTGTATGTGAACCTGGGCAGCAACATTTAGAAATCCAGTCCATTCCATAAGAAACACGCCTCTCTATTCCAGATTCTTCACCGGACGATTTTTATGCACGCTGAAAACCAGAAGATCCAAAAATTTCAAATAAAAAAATGGTAAAATGGGGAATACTGTATGTATTCACAGGAAACAACAAAGTTCCGGATTTGCTTCGTGTAATATCTATATAATATAGATATACTAAGGCCTTGTCCCGAATTCAAAGCGAATCTCGCTATGGTACGGTTGCTCAACCGCACGACGTGGCTGTATGCAGTGGCCACGCCTACAGATACGGTACGCGAAGCCACCTCGCGAGGTGGAGTTGCTGTATCGCAACGAGATTCGCTTTGAATTAGGGACGAGGCCTAATACAGTACTCGGAGTACTGTATGTGTCAAGTCGTACAATCATTTGCCAGTCGTACTGACTTGGCACTAGCCTACTGTACTGTACATTGCACCCGCCTATAGCAAATCGTTTCGAAACTAGAGGGCGGTGGCAGATGAAGTATGGAGCCACGGTATACGGGTATAGATTATAGACAGATTTTCTGGTTGATAATTTTTGATAATTATCAGTTTGATATTTGATGATAAATTAATAATCATAAAGCAATCGGAAGCACTCCGGTATCGTCGGTGGTTTTTGGTGCATGGTTGACCACACATAATCCCGTTTACTAAAAACCAACCTGCTTCTGCTGCCTTGGATTGCCAGCTTTGCATCTTTACAAAAGTTGGCTTAACACTCACCAGTATTAAACGAAGGAGTTTAGAATCGTCGTCTTGCTGCTTGCAGCTTACGAGTTACTTAACTTTTCTTTCCCTTCTTCCATCTGGCGGATTAGCTTATAGCGACAAATCTTTGGAATTGCCAGTTTCGTTGCTTTAAAAGAGTTTCGTTGTGTTCTGGGCGCAAACAGCAACAAGAACTGAAATGGCGTCGAAACTATTTGGACGGGATCTCAGTGAATATGACGATTTGGATGTTGAGGCTATGCTGGATAAACTTACTCCGGCCGAGATCGAAGAGTTAAACAATTACGTTGATCCTGATGTAAGTACATATAATTTTATTTTACATTCAATATGATTTTTTAAGTACGATCTTCACTGTAAATTTAAATATTGCTGTGAATTCAATACTTGAGTTTATTCAAAAAACGTTAGCACGCATGCATATTTGTGCTTTTTTTAATTGTGAGCTTCGTCGTTATTCACTCTATTTTTGACTTGTGATATGATGAGCAAGGTAAGTCGTAAGGACATCGCAGTGAAATGATTGGATTATTCATTGTTGATATTTAGTCATCCGTGCTGTTTGGATCGATTTTGCCTTTAAAATTCGTTTACGTGATAATATCTTCGACATCCAGGGACTATGGGAAATTAAATAGGAGTTACAATTTTGGGTCAGCGATAGCGTTATTGTGCATCGATTTTATTGTAACAGATTTTATTCCTGACGGTATTCTATTCTATTATGGTTCTGCCATAAGTCTGTAATAGTAGCGTAGTAGGTTGCGTGATTATTCGATTTTTCATCGATTTGCAAATCCTAAATTATTTATATTTCTATTTAACGCTGAGTACTGATAATAAGATTCTGCCATTTTTAAAGTGAAGTTTTGTTTAGAATTCGTATCTCCCGGCTCATCAGCGATGTCGGGATCAGACAACAAAAGCCCCCACTGGGCCACTGAATCGGGAAAAATTAGTGGAGTTTCTTGAAATGAAAGCCAGAGAAGAGAAAGACTGGGACGAAGCTGTTCCATATGAAGCCGGAACTGTTAGAGGTGAATTTTCTTTAGCACAAATTACAAATAGCTTATTTTATGCGTATTATCTATAACTTCCGGTTTGGAAAATCTTGCCATTCTTTCTTAGGGAAAAAGTTTGTCCCGAAAGAAATCACCCCTCCACCTTCAAAGGACGACATTGGCTTTAATGTTGACGATGAGTACGAAAAAGCGTTGGACGACGCAACAGAAGAAGATCTTGTGGATTTGGCAGCTATTTTGGGCCTGCATGGCATGCTCAACCAGACCCAGTATCATGCGGCATTTGACGACATCCAGAAGGGTGGAGTGGCGCCCAAACAAACCAAATTTCAAAGTACGGTTAACTTGCTAATGATCTGTTAAATATTGTTAAGGATCACCCCAAATGAGGAAGTAATTGTGAATCTGTAAGTGATTGTAAATATGTAAGTGAACCGATTTCTATTAAATTGTCCAGCTGAGCACTGTCTTGAAATATATTCGTGAATTTTATATTATGTTGTGAATTTGCAATACAGGTTTTTGAGTTTTTTGCTGCCCGGATACTTATTTTATGGTTTTAGATTGTTTCTTTTAATAACTGCTGATGCACCTCAATTCACGTAACAGGCATGATAGAGAGGAATATGGTTTTGTTATTTTTATCTTATAACAGTATTATCATATGGCAGGCGGGTATGGCGAAAATGGGAATAGGTATTGCAGATGTTTTCTTTAGTGATAAAGTCTCTCAAACTGATTGAGATAGAAATAATAGAATACCAGTTGTAAGTGGTGCGTAGGTAGTGAAAATTCAGAATTCCAGCACTTTATGACTTGAAGTGTGCTTATTTTACGGTTGACCAAGTCTTCTGTGCACGCTTATCGTTAAAGTGCGAAACTGGCGTAATAATTCACAATAGCGTCAAACTGCTTGGCTTGTCAGTCGGATTATAATTATTGTTATTTTTTACTGTCCTGCACTGCGCATGTAAGACAAGTTATTGTTGCGCAGGTATTGCTAAGGCGGATATGCCTAAATTTATGCCGCCCGAGCCGGACAACGATACCGATGTGGAAGCTACCATTGAGCAAGTTAAGAAAAACGATAGTTCACTGAAAGAGCTCAACTGGAACAATATCAAGGTAAAACCAAAGAAAGAAATACTGAAGTTGAGCGCCAAGATGTTTTATTAAAGAGAGTCATCTTCGGGTAATGTGTGTGTGTTTCCATGCAGAATATTTCCATTGAAAAATTTCATCAGCTTTTCGAAGGCTTAAAGAGCAACACCCATCTTCAGTCGCTTTCGCTGGCTAACACTCGAATGACCGATCATGCCGCTAAGGTGAAATATCGTGAGAAAAAACATTGATTTCCGGTTGGATTTCTTGACGATTAACGGTAACGTGTGTGATCGTTATGTAGCCACTTGCGCAAGCACTTGAAGAGAACAAGACACTAAAGACACTGAATGTTGAGACGAATTATTTGGCCGGCGAGACCGTCGTGGAATTGATTCGGGCTCTGCTGAAAAACCAGACTGTCCTCGAATTCCGCGCATCGAACCAGGTATATAGCGCTAAGATAAATATTGACAACATAGCGTCTTGACCGGGTCTTCTCTTTTGTTGCGCTGCCGGTTAAATATTGAACCAGACTGCATTATTGCATTGTTACGTGTTGCGCTAGTAACTGATTAACCTACATAAATTTCCTGCGACGCGGCGGTATTATGGTTTTATTTCTGTTTATGGTTATGGTATTTTTATCTTTTGCTTTTATCTTGGAAATATCCTATATTTAATATTCTTTAGTGGCGCGTATGAAGTGGATGTTTCTCTACGCGACAGTATGCCTTACTATACTTCGACCTGAAATGCGCAGTCATTTTGTTCACTTTGTTGTATGAAATTAGTAAACAGGAAGAGAAGGAGTAAGTGTAAATATATGATCAACAGAATTTTCTTTGGAAATCCCGTCGCAGTTTTAGAATGTATTATTGTCGTAACGGGTCAATTATTTGTCTGTGTTTTAGAGTCCTTCCGTGTTGGGACAGAAGATTGAGATGGAGATTTCTAAACTGATTCTGCAAAATCAGAATATACTTCGATTGGGTATAGCTTTTGAGATTGCCGGGGCACGTGTGCGGGTGCATGAACATTTGCAACGGAATAATGATAAAATTCGCCAACAGCGTGCTAAAGGTGATGAGGACTAACCGGAAAACCGGTTAATTTGCTCCGTATATGCTATATCTGAGTAGACCTAATAACATACTGGCTGAAACTAACTCGCATAATATGCTTTGTAGCTCTGCACTAAATTACTTCGTCGCCCCTTTAACTACTTTACCGGTTCCTCTGCTTCCCCGTTATCCCATTACCTCAGTGACTTCGCCGTCTTTTTTTACAGTCGCCTTTTAATCGCATTTAGCACTTTCTTTAGTGATTTCAGTGTTCTCTTCGTGCCGTTTAAAATTGGTTCGTCTTTGCCTGTTGTGCTGGTTTTAGCCGCATGTCGTGCGATCGAGTAATTATGCCCGTGAAATATGCCGGATAGAATTGTAGTTCCATAGACTATCTTCGCGTGATGCTGCGAAGCTGACCTTGTGAGTTTTGTGTGTGCCATTGCGCATTTTGTTATTTTTAGCTTTTAGTGTGTTGGTTTGACAGAGAGACTGTTGTTGATGTCACTGTTTTTAGTGGTTGTACAAGACCTTGCATAAGGAAGACGATTTGTAGTATTTATGATCAGCATTTTCAGTTTTCGCGATCACGAAATCTGAACGAACGGTGCATGTTATATGATACGATGGATTACTACTGTAGTGCGTGTCTGCGCCGTGTAACGGCCCGTGTTTAGTTTTTTGCAATACAGACGTTACAAAACCATGGGTATTTAATTTCAGAAAATGCGATAAACATGAAATTATTTTTTCAGTGCGTTGCGCTTCATACGTACAGAGTGCTTAATACAAAATTTTAACAATACAGTAATTTACGTAGTCCTGAAGCTGTTTACGGTTGAGATGTGGTCAAGCTGATTAAACAACAGTCATGTTGATAGATTGCTCAGACAGTCAGACTCAACGGATGTTTACTGTATGCTTCTTATGTATTCCGTTCAAAACATACCTCTATTCAACATGCAAAAATTATATGTTTCGATTAATATTTATAAATCTTCTTAAGTTGCACTAAAGCGTTTGAAATTATAACCGAATCAGTTGTTTGTTATTGTGAAAAAGAGAAACATCCATTAAAAACAAAGTCCAGTGATACACTTTTTTTAATGTGACGGAACGGAAAACTACTATATATATTTTTGTACCATTAACAATGCCATTACTTCCGTTAAAATTTGTGCTAAAACACTTACATGTATTATATTCATTGTAACAGAATCGTAATCCTTAAGAAATGGAATTGTAGCAAGTACTAAATACAACATATACAATCTTGTGTGAATTTATTAGAAGTTAGAAACAGGCGAAAATCATACAAAACTAATAATGACAAAGTGCAAAGTACAGTTGCAAAATGCTCGCATCACGGTTTTCATCCCGGTTCTGCCGTTTAAAGTTCTGAGAGAAATTTAAAATGCCACTCCGGTGCGGTAGCCCGCAGACGACTTTCTGGTGAATCAACCAGCGATTACGCAAATTCCGGCGGATCTGCCCACCACTCACCAGTATCAATTATGTTGGATTTGGATCGCTGTCTCTTCCAAGCTCCCTGCAGCAGCAGCACTTTTATTAATTTGATGAAGTCCTAAGGTTGCTCTTCTTTAATCTTGAACAGCTTCTGCAGATGCAGTTTTTCATTTTGTTTGCGGTAAATCATATTGATCTGCTCATGCGCTTTCGACGCAACGGTGTATGATTAATTTCCCAGTTCTGCATCCAAATTCCTGATCCCATGGAATCGTTACAGAGTATTTTACAGTTTCTAAACGATCCGAAGCTGGTGTACCGTTTCCAGAACTTTTGCGGACTGCGGAAGCTGACGCTGACGGAGGATGTTGACGGCCGAAGAACAAGCTTCCTCAAGGGCGACAAAGGTATTGATGCATTATTTTCGGCCGTGGATCGAGACTCGCGCTTCATTTCGCAAGACGAACTCGTGCAGCGCCACATTGACCACATTAAACATTCGGATGAGCCTGCAACGGAGTCTCCGTCGTCCGACAAAACTAATCATGCCCGCACGGTTCCGAAGACTTCTCCTAAAACGATTAACAATACTGCGAAACATTTGAAGCATTCTAAAAAAGAGGAAAAAGTCAGCAGCGAAGAGATGCCGCAGTACCATATCAGCTCCAAAGCTCTGTATTATTTGTTCCGTTTTGGATCGAGCCTGGGCTATGAAGCGTTTTACGCCACATTCTTCCCTGTTTGGAACTGGAATATTGATGGAGCAGTGTGCAGGTTGGAATTGCGGAGATATATTATTAACTTCTGCATCGCTTATCGGCCTTTTGTAAATTTTGTTCATTTTAATTTAGGCGGGTCCTTTTTATTTGGATTGCTACCATGTAAGTTCTTGGTTTAGTTAATTTGCTCACGAATTTGGTCTTCAAGTTCTAGTTACTTGTTCTGGTTTCTTGTTTAACGTAAGAAAATTGTATGATTGCAAAATGTAGGTGTACTAGTCGGGTATTGAGAAAAGTTGTATCTGATATGTTTTTGTGAATTATTTTCATATTTCATTCGCAAAGGATTTCTTCACATTTCGATTTTTTGTCAGGTACATTGGACAACTGCTGAAAGATATCTTGAAATTGCCTCGTCCATCGCCCAGGATTGTGGTGCAAATGGAACCGCATTATGTGAATGAATATGGCATGCCGAGGTGTGTTTCTAATTTCTTACAACTGGAATTATTACTATTAATTGTGCATTAGAATAAACGGTAAAGGTAAAGATCTGTACCAGTATGGTGCATTACATTACTGTTATGGCCTAACAGTAAACTCATTAAAATTAACATGTCGTCGTCGTCGTTGCATGTTTATTGCACTATATAGCACCATGGTACAATAAGAAGTATTGTCACTGTTATTAAATTCATAAGACTGAACAATCTTTAATTGCATCGTCTGTATCGGTTTTTTCTGTATCGGTTTATTCGGTAAGGTAACTCTCGTACACCAGTACTTTAAAAAAATTACAACCATTTCAAAGTACTGCTTTACATTACATTTAAAGTACTGCAGTACTTTCCAGGTGTCTCAGTGCTCAATCGCATGTTTCGGCCTGTTCGGGGATGTTCGGCAAGGTCACATTGGTGCATCACTACTTTGGAAGTATTACAGTACTTTCAAAGTACTGTCCTACTTTCAAAGTACTGCAGTACTTTCCAGGTGTCTCAGTGCTCAATCGCCTGTTTCGGCCTGTTCGGGGATGTTCGGGAAGGTCACTTTGGTGCATCAGTACTTTGGAAGTATTACAGTACTTTGAAAGTAGGACAGTCTTTGAAAGTACTGTAATACTTCAAAGTACTGATGCACAAAGTATTCGAACTATCCCCAAAACAGGCTATTGATTAACACTATCTGAAATACTACAGTGCTGAAAGAGACAGTGCTTTGAAAGTGCTGTAATACTTCCAAATGCTGATGCGCAAGTGACCTTCGAACATCCCCGAACAGGCCGAAACAGGCGATTGAGCACTGAGACACCTGGAAAGTACTGTACTTTCCAGGTGCCTCAGTGCTCAATCGCCTGTTTCGGCCTATTCGGGGATGTTCGGAAGGTCACTTTGGTGCATCAGTACTTTGGAAGTATTACAGTACTTTCAAAGCACTGTCCTACTTTCAAAGTACTGCAGTACTTTCCAGGTGTCTCAGTGCTCAATCGCCTGTTTCGGCCTGTTCGGGGATGTTCGGGAAGGTCACTTTGGTGCATCAGTACTTTGGAAGTATTACAGTACTTTCAAAGCACTGTCCTACTTTCAAAGTACTGCAGTACTTTCCAGGTGTCTCAGTGCTCAATCGCCTGTTTCGGCCTGTTCGGGGATGTTCGGGAAGGTCACTTTGGTGCATCAGTACTTTGGAAGTATTACAGTACTTTCAAAGCACTGTCCTACTTTCAAAGTACTGCAGTACTTTCCAGGTGTCTCAGTGCTCAATCGCCTGTTTCGGCCTGTTCGGGGATGTTCGGGAAGGTCACTTTGGTGCATCAGTACTTTGGAAGTATTACAGTACTTTGAAAGTAGGACAGTGCTTTGAAAGTACTGTAATACTTCCAAAGTACTGATGCGCAATTTTCAAATACTAGCACTTTGAAAGTAGGACAGTGCTTTGAAATGCTGTAATACTTCCAAAGTACTGATGCACCAAAGTGACCTTCCCGAACATCCCCGAACAGGCCGAAACAGGCGATTGAGCACTGTCCTACTTTCAAAGTACTGCAGTACTTTCCAGGTGTCTCAGTGCTCAATCGCCTGTTTCGGCCTGTTCGGGGATGTTCGGGAAGGTCACTTTGGTGCATCAGTACTTTGGAAGTATTACAGTACTTTCAAAGCACTGTCCTACTTTCAAAGTACTGCAGTACTTTCCAGGTGCCTCAGTGCTCAATCGCCTGTTTCAGCCTATTCGGGGATGTTCGGGAAGGTCACTTTGGTGCATCAGTACTTTGGAAGTATTACAGTACTTTCAAAGCACTGTCCTACTTTCAAAGTACTGCAGTACTTTCCAGGTGTCTCAGTGCTCAATCGCCTGTTTCGGCCTGTTCGGGGATGTTCGGGAAGGTCACTTTGGTGCATCAGTACTTTGGAAGTATTACAGTACTTTCAAAGCACTGTCCTACTTTCAAAGTACTGCAGTACTTTCCAGGTGCCTCAGTGCTCAATCGCCTGTTTCGGCCTATTCGGGGATGTTCGGGAAGGTCACTTTGGTGCATCAGTACTTTGGAAGTATTACAGTACTTTCAAAGCACTGTCCTACTTTCAAAGTACTGCAGTACTTTCCAGGTGTCTCAGTGCTCAATCGCCTGTTTCGGCCTGTTCGGGGATGTTCGGGAAGGTCACTTTGGTGCATCAGTACTTTGGAAGTATTACAGTACTTTCAAAGCACTGTCCTACTTTCAAAGTACTGCAGTACTTTCCAGGTGTCTCAGTGCTCAATCGCCTGTTTCGGCCTGTTCGGGGATGTTCGGGAAGGTCACTTTGGTGCATCAGTACTTTGGAAGTATTACAGTACTTTCAAAGCACTGTCCTACTTTCAAAGTACTGCAGTACTTTCCAGGTGCCTCAGTGCTCAATCGCCTGTTTCGGCCTATTCGGGGATGTTCGGGAAGGTCACTTTGTTGCATCAGTACTTTGGAAGTATTACAGTATTTTCAAAGCACTGTCCTACTTTCAAAGTACTGCAGTACTTTCCAGGTGTCTCAGTGCTCAATCGCCTGTTTCGGCCTGTTCGGGGATGTTCGGGAAGGTCACTTTGGTGCATCAGTACTTTGGAAGTATTACAGTACTTTCAAAGCACTGTCCTACTTTCAAAGTACTGCAGTACTTTCCAGGTGCCTCAGTGCTCAATCGCCTGTTTCGGCCTATTCGGGGATGTTCGGGAAGGTCACTTTGGTGCATCAGTACTTTGGAAGTATTACAGTACTTTCAAAGCACTGTCCTACTTTCAAAGTACTGCAGTACTTTCCAGGTGTCTCAGTGCTCAATCGCCTGTTTCGGCCTGTTCGGGGATGTTCGGGAAGGTCACTTTGGTGCATCAGTACTTTGGAAGTATTACAGTACTTTCAAAGCACTGTCCTACTCTCAAAGTACTGCAGTACTTTCCAGGTGTCTCAGTGCTCAATCGCCTGTTTCGGCCTGTTCGGGGATGTTCGGGAAGGTCACTTTGGTGCATCAGTACTTTGGAAGTATTACAGTACTTTCAAAGCACTGTCCTACTTTCAAAGTACTGCAGTACTTTCCAGGTGCCTCAGTGCTCAATCGCCTGTTTCGGCCTATTCGGGGATGTTCGGGAAGGTCACTTTGGTGCATCAGTACTTTGGAAGTATTACAGTGCTTTGAAAGTTGGACGTAGGGTAATACTTTCACCGTACTGATGCACCAAAGTGACCTTCCCGAACATCCCCGAACAGGCCGAAACAGATGACTGAGCGCTGAGACACCTGGAATGTACTGTAGTACTTTGAAAGTAGAACAGTACTTTGATAGTGCTATAATACTGCCATAGTAATGATGCACCAAAGTGATTGAGACACCTGAAAGTACTGCAGTGCCGAATAAAGCAAAGTGCTGCTACGCTTTGAAAATACTATAATACTTTGCAGCTAAGTACTAGCTTTTAATGTTTACCATAAACAATCGGATTCGAGTTAGTACTGAATAAATGTGCGATTCATTAGTAGAGTTAATCTTTGATAAAAAAACACACAATGAAACCAAATAGAAATACTGTAATTAAGGTAGACTTTTCTCGAGCTGATTGTACCTCGCTTACACATTTTTCAGGTATAGAACTACTTTCTACCTTAATTTTTTTGGAAAGAATATGTTTTAGTTGTAGTGTGGTGGTACTGGAAGATTATAATGTACTGCAGTACTTTGTAGCAGGGCAGTACTTGTGCAAATGCCCCATATACTGTTCGCCTGTTTCGGGATGTTCGGCGGTGTTCGGGAAGATCACCTTGAAAATGTATTGGTAGTACTGTATTATATTATTTTGAAATAAATACTGCAATATCTGTAGTGCGTAAGTACTTACTGTAAAGTGCTTTCGCCATCGTTCACACCACAAATCGGTCGATTTACGAGGTAATTCCGACGGCTTTCAAGTTGACTTACAAGGCGCTGCTGCAAATTATACAGTATGCACCTTGGCCCAGTATTAATTTGTGTATAATACGCAGTGCAAGTATGGCATTAGCAGTTATTTAGCACCACATTTGTTTTACAGTAGTACTGCTACCCGTAGTACTCATCGTTGTCTTACAACCCTTTTACTAACTCACGGTTTGTTGGTGTTGTTGCTGTTGTTGCATAAACATACAGCAACTCATACTCATCCTTTTACTAACACACAGTTTGTTAACTCATCGCGACGAAAATTGACTAAGAACAAACTGTCTCCAAGCGACTGTTAAAGAAGCATGCGATATCAAAGAAACCATTATTGTCAGTAAAAGTACTGACTAAGTTTTTGTAATAGTTAGTATGGGCTTTATGGTTGCATGAGTACTGTACTGCCCAATAATGCGCATTCTGGTTCAAATCAGTACTGTAGTTAACTATCAATCTATTAATAACAGTTTAATAAATACACTAACTATCTAAGAAAAGCAGCATGTGAATCAGTATGACTGCAGTGCAAACAGTCTGTGTAATCACAAATAAAAAAATTCGCTGAAAAACAGGAAATATACTGTACAGAAATTTCTGTACTATGATACTGACCGAAGTTAATGGCGCCACTGTACTCTAAAATACTTAGTATGCTGCTGCCCCAAACCCCACGTGTACGACTGCGGTTGAGTGTAAAACAATGGAAGTTATTGAACTAAGGCTTTAAATTTTAAATTGGTTTATGGGTCAGAGTTTTAGTAATGCAAAGTTATACCCTTAATATGCCCCAGTGCTCGAACACGACGTGAATTTTCTCGATGTCGATAAACAACCTGAAAAAATTTAATGAAGCGTAAATACTTGTAAATGCAATTATGCAAGTACCAGTGGTGCACAAAAATATGAACCATAATGTTCATAAACATGCACCATAATATAAGGGGCATATATGGGCAGAGTAGCAAGCGGCGAAGGGGTGACGATAGATACTATACTCTGTACAATAACTGACAATTGTGAGGTAAGTAGTGGTCAGGTTCATGGTGCACAAAACATACGGTGCATGCACCAGTGGTGCATAAATATGCACCGTTGGTACGGATCTTTACTGGTGCCGAATAAACTGCTCATTTGTAGCCTTTTATTCAATCAAAATTATAAAATGCGTGAAGTGAAGCATTTGCTGTTGTATAACGAATTTCTTAATTCACCGCGGCGAATATATGCCGGTTTGGGCTTCAAAACTTATAGCTTACAGTTTTGAAATTTCTTGTAACGTAGAAGTTAGCACAAAGATTTCACACACACGTGTATTTTGCATTTTCACACACACGTGTACGGTGTTGTACCTCGGTATGATAACAACGAAGTGTTCTTTTTATTAAATTCAGCACCCATGCGATGGTTGGATTCAGCGTTCCATTTGCCTTACTGTACTTCAGTTCTTTGCGGTACCAGGTGCGAAACGCTTTGCCTGGATGTTTTGGAATTTAGATTATATTGGATTGTTTTTATTTTTGCAGTTCCCGTTTATTTTGGGCCTGTTAGTTTGTTCGGTATGGTGCCTCCTGATTTGCTCGAGTCGGGTGTATTTGGGAATGCACAGTCTGTTGGTAAATTAGTAATCTCAAGGATACCAACCGCACCGTAGTCCGTACTTGTCTAAAAATTACGGTACAGTTTATTCTGGTTTGTAGGACATTCTGGGAGGACTGCTGCTGGTCTCAATCTTATTTGCGATAATTCTGCCCTTTTCGGATGCAATTGATAATTTCCTTTTAACCAGCCATCTGGCACCTTTTGTTATTCTAATTTTGTATCTCACCCCGTCCCTATACTATCCGCAGAGTTTTTCTGAAGAAATTACCAAGGGACAATGGGGCCCGACTTGGGCAGACACGGTGACCATCTTAGCGGTGGGATACGGCGTGACCACGGGATCGTGGCTGAATTATCAGATGGGGCTGATAGCGGCGCCGGCACTCACCCCTGACGGCGCATTGCCGCTGCCACCGCCGTACCCGATCGTTTGGCCCAGCTCGCAGGAGTGGATTTATGTTGTTTTACGAGCGGTTGTGGGTTTGGCGTGTCTGGCCACAGTGCGAATAGCGGGAAAAACTATGGCATATCTGGCTGTTTGTAAACTTTTCGGAAAAGACCCTAACGAGGTGAAGGGAAAAAATTTGGTCAAAGTGGAATTGCCGGTGAAATTTTTTACATATTCCGCAATCGGTCTCGCAGGTAATTTTCCTGATTCTAAGAAATTTTCTAGATATGTTCTGCGCTTCGTTATTCTGTAATTTGGCTTTGGATATGGTTGAGACTTTAGAGGGTCGCATACCAATTTTAGGGCTGCTTATAACTTATGACGATATTAATTTTCAGTGTGTATTTACTAATTCGGGTTACATAGTTCCTGTTGCCTCTTTGAGCGGTATCATGTGCAGCTGTTTTGCTCCAACGGTTTTTAAGTTTTTTCGTTTAAAGCAGTATTTACATCTTTACCGTGGTTGTGATTGAAGTAAGTATATGTTTTGCAGTGTCATTTTTTATCCCGGCTTTATTTCGTGGCCTTCACATTGCTAGGGATACGATGTATACGGAAGTTTGAGTATGCGGTGAACCCCAGATTAGAATTTTTCAGCGTACATTTGTTACAGTTATTATTAAACTATAATTATGGACACATTCCCTTTTGTAGTCGTGCTTCTCATAGCTCTTTCATGTTCCTATGCTCTGTAAAATTCATCGTGATACGATGGATGGAATTATGGAAATGCTGCTGCTTGATTTTTGTTGATACGATGCTGTTAAATTTAATTTATTGACTTATTGTGCAGCTTCAACACTCCAGTGTATTAAATTCTCACTTCACACCGGCTTTTAATTCAATCTGTATTGTACTCGTACGAATGTTTTGGTCCAATAACATCGTTTGGAAGAGAAAATGCCATCGAATTATTCGTTAGTAGATTTACCACGGTGGAATGCTTAACAGCAACGTTATGCACCATACAGATTGTCAGATTCTGTAAACTTTAATAGATTCTCTCACAACCTGAACGAATAAACATTTGTGCAATTCTGCTAAATGTATTTCTTAACGTTGAGCAAAACGTCTACCCAAATTTGTAGAGATATTTTTAAAACACACCACAACCATCTCACATCGAGGACATCCAATAAAAAACCAACTCTTCCAAAACTTTGATAACATCAAACTCTTCTTAAAATTAAATCTACATAAACAAAATATATATACATATCAGAATCACTGGAACATCAGATCACTGAACTGTGCCAATATTGAAGAATCGCTGAGTTGGTCGCAAGTGGTCGATAGGAATGATATGGCCAGCCGATTTCGCTCCCAGAAAAGCAGCCCCAATGGCCGATGCGCCACATAATTTGAAGAATGTCATCTCTGGAATGTTATCGTCAAACCGGGACATAAAGCCATGCTTGAGCAGTTCCCAACTGTTAAAAACCGAGCCAACACAAATAATTGGTATACCACCGGGCTGCCGCTTCAGTTCCTGAGTTGCATCAGGTAACACAGCCATAATGTGGTTAGCCAAAACGTAGCCTGCTTCATGAAAAACTTTTCGGCAGAAAGGATCCCCAGCGGTAGCCGCTTCAGCCAGATGTTCACAGAATTTGGCGATAAAGCATTTGTCAAAAGGGGAATAAAAGAACTTCAGCAATTCCGAACGTTTTTCGACCCCGAAGTAATCCACAATCAGCCGACTCAACAGCGATAGATCGTACTTGGAGATTTTCACTCGATCCTCGTGATCAAAATATGTCTTGATGGCATAATGTGCGATCCCTAAAACACAAGACTGATAAATCATAGGATAACGTCTAATTATTGATTAACTTTAGTGCCGCAGTTTATATCAAATACCGAGATACGGAGGAAACGAACTAAATGAAACTTTAGGTAATTACCGATTTATGATAACCAATGCCCATGAGACTATTACATAAAAAATCTATTAGTCGCAAAATAATGTACAAACTTGCACGCTGCACTTGCAAGTTGCAGTAGACTAACAACAAACTTGCAATAAACATAAAATACTGCACTTGCAGTAGACTAACAACACAAGCGTAGTCCTTATATTTTTGAACAAGTTTTGCAAGAGTTACTAATTTTATTATCCCTTTTCACCCAAAAACTAAAGCACAACGAAATCCAGAAATTTAATAAAATAGCGCATGAATAAGTCAGAGCCTTTTGAATAAGATATTTTTCTTCCTTCACAAACAAAAATCACACTAAATTCTCTTCGCATCAAATTATTTCGTAGCACAAGCCTGCAAAACAGATAAGTACTCATTGTTAGTTCAAAATAAGGGCCAGAAACACAGCATCAGCGGGTAATTATCGTTACAGCGTACTCGAAGTTAGCACTTAAAATTTCAACTTTTCACGGATATTTACTTGGACTGCATTTGGCTAACAATAAGCACCATTTCATAAGCGAAACCAGCAAATGTCTTACGGCAGCATGAAATCCGATCACGCGAACGGCGCTCGGTACATTTCGAGTACACCGTGTTACGGCACCATTACAGAATGCGCTCTATCGTAAAAACATTACTCAATCAACGAAGAAAAACCGCAGCGGCACGACTACGACTACAACGTGGCGCAAAGTAAAGAGTTCAGAAACAGTCACTTAATAATGAGATCGACTCACAATATCCCGACCCCTCATCGCCCAACATGTGGCCCCATCCTCCAGCATGAATCACTTCGCCGTTCGGATTTCGAAGAATACAATTAGATCCAGTTCCTGTAGAAAAAATACACAAATGTCGTAGACAACGATAACATCGCGCAGCCACGTGGAAAGAACCCAAATACACGGTATCTTTATTGTGGATCAGCCACAATGTAAGCGCTTCCGTGGTTGCGTAACAAACAAATTCCACAACTCATTGACGCGCCTGAATCATCCGCACCGTCCATGGGTTCAATGCCAACTAGGAAATGACTTACCCGAAATCAACACAATCCCAGCCAAATCCGAGCGCGCCGTGGCTAACGATCCCAGGGTATCGTTCTCGATAATGTAGCTGCGCGCCAGGGCGAATTTCTCATCCAGCAACGTCACCCATTCCTGATTCTTTTTCTCATCATCCGCGCCGGACATACATAATCCCAAGGACGTTATGGGGACATCCACTGGAAGATTGGCCGTTTGACGGAGCTCTTTAACCATGTCCGCGATGGTCTTGCAGGCCTTGTCCAGACCGACAACCCATTGGTTGGTAGTGCAGCCGCGGCATTTAGCCAGAATCACGGCGTCCTCATTGAGCAGCACACCCTGCGAATGCGAAGCACCCCCTTCGATACCAACGAAATAGTGCACCGCGTGAGCCCCGCCGTTCTCCAATCCAGAATGACCATTATGTCCGTTCACTGTGCCGCCGTTTTCCATTGCGCCAACAAATTCTTACCAGTATTGCACTCGTAGCGTTCTGATTTTTCACGAAAACTACTACGCGGCGTCGTAGACGTTCTTTTACTCCTACACAAGATCGTTAGACGTTAGTGTTTGTAAAGACTTTGTTGCCTACAGAAATGTTGAAAATTCTACTGATATGCGTGTTGTGACCCAGTGACACGACTACGTTAGCAAACAGTAGCGTTCATTCATTCTGAACGCGAAATGCAACGAACAGCACTTTCACCTGTGACTGTGAGAAAACTGCATAGCGGGCGGCATCAGCATTTTAAGTACACGGACACCGTACTTTTCGCACCCGAAGTATTAGTATATACATATAGTATATACATATAGAAGTATTAGTATATACATATGTACTCGTACTTGTGGCTCCCGTGTCTCGTAATAAATAATACGCCCATACTTATGGCTGTAAGATTGGCAAATAATTGTATTCAACCTAATTTTAAAAACGTCCTCAAAGTCAAATTTGTAAACCGGAAGTATTCCCGAAATTAAAATTAAAGAATAAACCAACGGGAAGTAGTCGAATTAATGAAGTACTTTCTTTTAGGGATAGTTTACATGAGTAAAATTTACGGTTAATTCAATTTTGTACAAGTATACGTAGAAATAAACAAATCAATTCTTTTTCAACGGTTATAGTTTATAAAAATTTTATAGGTACAACTGTGCAAGACTATAAGTACTGTCATATATAAACATACGATATTATTAATATTTTTCCTGCATGCTCGTACACTGTTCGGTAATTTCCCACGAGTGCCCGCGATCTCCTCTGCAGATTCAAATCAGAGATTCAAACAAAATTCGGATTAAATCTCAATCCGCCATAAGACTACTCGTGCGGAAGTTTGGCAGTGGTGCGAAATATCCATAATAATTAAACGTATTTGCCTTTATTTCTTCTGTACTTGTTACTGTCGGCGGTGCCTTGCTTTTGCCTGCAGGCTGCAGCATGAGCTCTAGCCACTGAACTACGATTCCACTGAATTACGATCGTTATGGTTAGCCTTTTTGACTGTTATTCGATTATTTCTACGTTTCTACGTTTCTACGTTATCGATTCCACTGAACTACGATTCCATTGAACTACGATCGTTATGGTTAGCTTTTTTGACTGTTATTCGCATATTTCTACGTTAGTTTCTTTGCTTGTGTAAATTTTGATATCTTTTTCTTTGAAAAGTGGAAACACCGGAAATTTTATATCCAATTTGGCCACTGCAGCAACTGATCTGCAATATAACGTATGACATTTATTTAATGCAAAATTGTATCAAAGAATTATAAATTTTGCTCTCACCGTCAGTAAATACAGATACAGATATTTGTAGCAAACCTTCACTTATAGAACTTCGTTTGCCACGCCTATCATCGGCAGGACAATTTGGGTAATGGGTTCACTTTCAGAAGATGGTGGCTGCTAGTTTGCCGCTAGGCGCTAGCCACTGGCCAGTCGCCACTCAGCCGATTATAGCGGTCACTGGCGGCCAGCACGTCGTCGAGCAGCCAGTCTGCAGAAAGAGAAGAGAGAAAATTTTCTCTTCCCAGTTTTCCGAAACCTCAGAATGGAGCCATTTCATTGCAGCCTGCACATTCTTCTTATAGCGTTAGTCGCCTAATGATGCATCGCTTTGTCTTTACCATAACGGTCGGACACACTACGCTGGCGAAATGCAGCACCTGATCTGCTACACGAGTCAATTGTCTGTGCCGCCATACGTTTGTTTTATCTCATTACGATTTTAAAGGTTTGTTTGGTTACTACTAAAGCCAACGCTTTCTTTATAGCCGCTTCAATACGGAATACCGCCACTGATTGTGATTAACACGGCTTTCATATTGCAAATATGAATTATTATGTACAGTGTGTATACGCCGGAACTGGTTTTGTCGTACAAGCCTTGATAGTTAACGTCCGCGCCGCTGCGTTATCCGCCATTAGATAAAACCACACTGTGCAACAGCCGCATGGCGTCATGCCTTCGCGCTGGCTAGGGTACGCAGCCGTGATTTAAATTCTTTTGGCAAGATTGTATATGACGATATATGTCGATCATCTTCTGCCTGGCGCCGCCGTTTCGTGGTCCGTCGCCGTAGCTGCATTTTGTCTACAGTTGCAACATTGTCAGTTCTCAATGGATTTTTAATCGGGCAGACAGTAGTTTCTGTTAACGTTATTGCAGACAATTTATTACTTATACACACATTTGGACGAAGGAAAAAAGAAGGCCCCAGTTAAAATTATTACCAACCGCCTGACTGACTTGCAGCGATAACTAATAACCATTATTATTCGTTTGTCGGTTGATCATTACTGCACAATTTCGCCTTCCCGATTCCGACGATTTCGTATGGACTGCGTGGCGCAGTTGCTCTATCAATATCATCTATTGCCCATAATGATGCAAAGCGAATTTGTTCCGGAAATTGTTATCTGGTCACGAATACGGCTTCCTGAGCATACATAAAAGCCTCCCTTTCCCATCAGCAGAATAAACCGTGCGATATCGGTTTGTTTCGCTACACACCGTGTGTGCAGTGAAAATCAGGACCTGTTGCGCATTGTTGGCTGTTTGTTGTTGTTTTTTTTTTGTTCTTCTGCATCGTTTGTCGAGCTGTATGTTTGCTATTCGTTATTTTAAACGCAAAATTCGTCTCCATGCATTATGGAATCTTCGAGCGAGGGAATGTACTGTGGGGTGCGATGACGAGTCGCCAATCTTGCCGCACAATATGGATGCGCATAAGAAGGTTGATGATGGTGTTTTGGACGCGGATAAGCTGAAGAAAATCTTCCAGAAATTCTGTTGTCTGCTGACTGATCATCAGCTCAAACAGCTGCACCGTGTAGTGGAAGGGAAGGGTGCCGGCTATGGCGAGTGTATAATGTTACCGCGCATGATTACCTTGCCTGTGGCCAAATGTGCATCGCACACTGCTGCAGCGAATTCCCGAATTTCTCCTCTCTTGCTGACCAGCAAAGTGTGGCGATGGAAGGATCTGCAGGATACCGGTGAGCTCACCGTGCTGTCGCATGTCTGTCCTGGCCGTTGTGATGCACGGAGCGTGGATTATGACAGTCATAAGTGTGTGCCGGATACGATGATGTGTGCTACGGAGATTAATAATTTTCCACCGGAAATCGCCCATCATCTCCATAACACTCCATCTGATAGCCAGCTGGAATGCTGCAATCCGTACCACTGGGCCCGGCAAACAGGTAAGATTGATAGGCTAAGTGTTTATACTACTGGCGTAAGAGTGTGTCACGGTTATATTTTAATGCCGATCGGAAATGTATCGGAAATTTAGAATCTTTTACAACTCGATCATTTCGATGGTTTATGGGAGTATTGGGCCGTTGCATACGAAGCTTATGTGTGCGTTAACATTTGCGACATGATAACACAGTAGTTAGAGCACGTCGAGCACTCAATGTACCGTAAATCCTGTGGGTGAATCATCTGGGTTCGGAAAGCGACACAGCGGATCAAAACATTTTTTTCTGGAGGTCAAAGTCGTATCTCGCATTTTAAAAACAGTGCTACTATTACTACTACCGAAATGATACATGAAATTTGTTGCTCCTGTGGCTATCACGTACCTAGTTTGTATCGCTTAGACAGTGGAATCTAATAACAACAGAAATTGCGCAATCCTTTATATTGGGAGCTTTGTTTCATCTTAAATTGGGCATATCATATGTAGACGCGTACTCGTACTTAAGAGGTTTACAATAAAGCAGAATATCGTCGACTTTTCGGTTGCATTTATTTGTGGAAGGTAGACAATGAAATCTCGCTAACTCGTATTATAACGGCTGTTAACAGCGCGAAAACTTTATACTGGCATTTTTCTTGGAAAATTTTTCGCTTCAAGCATTCGTTAATCAGACAGATTGTTTTTGAGACGTGTCGTTTTACTATTCATATTTAGCCTAATTTATGAAAGGGCTATTCCGGCTCCCTGCTGCGTCAGATTTTTATAGCCATTATTCTTTTAGCGTACGAAACAATCACAGTAAATAATTAATAAATAAATTTATTTTAAGTCAGGTAAAATGATAGCATGGCTCTGTTTGCAGTGATAAACTGTGTTAGTTTATGTTTTAAGTTTTACTATTGTTTGTAACGAAGTGTACTTCAAAACTGTAGGTTAAATTATACGTCTTCGTTTTTTATTACGCCCAAAAAGTGTCTAGATGCTGTAGTAAAGTTTTCTACCGGTTAATCGTTTTTATTCGTGTATTAAAATATAGAGCATTCTGATTACAACTTGATTTAAGGAAAATGTAATTCCAGTTCGTTCACGGTTTCCGGTTTGTAAACTAGTGCTTTTTTTAGTTCTGATAATTACTTCAGCATTCAGTGTTGATTAATAAAGCAAGGTATTTTACGATTAATCAAGTATCTGCTTCGCTTTATCCAGGTTGTTTTGTAGCAGCTGCATGTCTAGACAGTGGCGTGCGTTGGCAGCCACAGATCCCTTGGTGTCCGGCGTCACAGGAACAGGTGATTTTGAGTCGACGTGGTCAGCCTGCAGAGCCGCTTGATCGATGTTGATTTCAGAATATAAATATACTTTTCGCTAGTATTTTGATTTGCCCTGACGCCGCAGAGCTCACTTACAGTGTACATAATGAAAATTATTTGTATGTCATGATTGTCATCTAATTTTTGATGTTTTTTAGCTCCTAACAAAAGGAGTTTACTTAAGCGTTTTAAAAGGAAGCAGTGAATTTGCTTTTAAATTAGACTATTTGTTGCATGTATCTCCACCATTTATGAAAATTGTTACATCTTGCAAAAAATAGTTAGTATTAGTTTCTTAGCCGGTTATCCTCAAAAGAAAATGAATGTTTTTTTCTGTGCAGAATGTTCATTTCTTATATCTGTGTCCACTTTAACGCCTGTGCGAAGGTTTCTTATCGGACATGAATTCAGCACATTTACATGGATGAACATCGAAATTGTAAAAAAGTAGAGAAGTTAAGTGTGGTTTTATTTGGCAGATACAAATAAATTCATAATCCATGTACTTTGTACCCTAGCGCACGCGACGCATATCATCGCTTGTGGCCGTGTGTGGCGACTGTTGATTGTGTGAGAGACAAATCGATCAGACATTGCACGACGGGGTCGACGACAGAAACTGAGAAACCGACTAGTTTATCATTGGTGTCGGCGCCATTACCATCCTGCGGGATGAGCCCAAGAGTTTTATAAGTGGTCACACGGCAAAAAAGTTGTCCCTGCCGTCAGCTGGCGCCCAGTGCCGGCATGGCGTACACTCTGCTTTGGGGACGATGTATCGTTATAATAATTTGTAGAGCGACAGTGGGAAGTTGTTTCGCGGGTGTTTGTATGATATGCCATACCTGATTATTAATAATAAACCCGGCTTGCGCAGTGTAACAGTAGTGTTCGAGTTATTAGTGCATCCGCGCCTTGCCGGTGCCACTTGTCAACAAGACGCGTTCCACAATTTACAACGTCGCTTACGCGACGTCAAAGCCCCGGCTCGTTTCTCGCCCATCGGACTGGCTGGCGTCTTGCGATATGTTGGTCTGATTGTCTTTCATAATAATGAGCTGATCTGTATGCAATATTATATATATGCTGTAAACTCTGACCACAAACCGCAAATTTTTAATATGGCACCGTCGGGAAATTGGCGACGAGAAGACAGTGCGATAGACTGATAGTCGACTGCCCTCGGTAGACTGCGACAGTCGCCTAAAATTCCGGTGGCAGTTGTATGTTTACTCAGTAACTGCTCTGTTGCAGCGGAAGTGACCTTGTAGTTTGCCATACTCCGGTATATGCAAATTCGGCGGGGCTGTGCAGTATTCGTATCAGCGGAAGTCTTTAGATGTTGTTACTTGGGCACAGTACGATAGAAGGGCGCTTTCACACTTCATTTACAGAGTGATTTGCTAACTAGGATAGTCGCCGAAAACCGTTATCTGCGCCGGCGCTAATCGCTATCGGTTATTATGTTTGATTTTCTTTAATCATTAAGTTCTTTAATAACCGTACTTATCGCTAATCATCAATAATTTTCGTGTCGAGTGAAGCCGGTTTCAAATCGTGATTTTTCACAGAACTGCCACCATCTGCTTCCTATCACTTGGAGAAATCCGAACAAGCCTTGCTAGATCTTCTTCCTAGTCAGTTCGAGGGTTCGACAAATGCTATGACAGCTGGTGGAAAAGGTACGGCTCTTAAATTGCTCGCTAATTTTAATTCAACTTAATAACATCCTTTCAAATGATGATTCCAGCGCAGATATGAGCGCGTGCGTAGAATTTATACGGAAGTATCCACTTATTTTAGCAGATTTTTTGTTTCCTGGTTGATTATTTCTGATGTATTTACAAGTTTTGATATCTTGTTAGATGGAATATTTTCCCTTGCTTACAGAGTATGATGCAACGATGGTAAATGAAACCCAAATATGCAGCACAGAAACGCGAATCTCTTATGAGTTCGGAGGACAGCCGAGTATCGGTAAGAAAATTAGCGCTTTACAGTGTGGCTGTAACAGTTCGCAGTAAATCTTTGAAATTTCATCAGTTTAGTTAAGAAAACAGTTTAAACGGATTCTGTTATTAAATACTTGCTTGTCGTCTGCAGATACGAGCGTGGCCTTGCTGGACATTGATAAACAACCGCTTCCCGGCGGAGCCTACATCAATCCTTCTTCTGTACATACCGGTCAACACCACTGGTGTTCCGTAAAGTACTGGGAAGAAGGCAGGCATGAGAGTAAACAAGTATTTCGAGTGGTACATCCGGTGTTGAATGTTTTTAATGGAGCGACTGCGGCGGCTGTGCCCGATCAAGTCGGTCTATCATTAGAAGCACTCGGCACTCCCAGCGGTCAACGGAGCGGCAAAACTCTCAAACTACGCCAGCGCATCGGTCTCGGCTTCTGTCTTATCCGGGATGAGCGCCGGCGGACGATCAGTATCTACAATCGTACCACAGATCTCCCGTTGTTTGTGTCCTCACGCTATTTGGAGTCGAAGCAGGCGGAACAGCCGAAGAGAAGCGCTAAAGTCCTACCGGGATACTCAGTCACAGCTTTCGATCTGGATTATAAAGATTTCTCCTCAGCAGCAGTGGGCGCGCCGTCATGTGATGTTCCTAATGTAACCAAGTGTAGCAGTATTTTTGTTAGTTTCGGCAAGGGTTTTGGGCTGGGTTATTCGCGTGTCACGGCCGTAAATTGCCCGTGCATGGTGGAGATTTGTCTAGATAATTTATCGCGCAAGCGTCCTCGGTGATTTTTATGGCTGGACGGAAATGAGCAAGATTTCCATCGGAGTGTGGATAAGTGGTGTTACGCGGGTGTTTGGTCCGTTGGAAACTTAGTATTCCGTCCTAATTGTGAGGTTGGGAGAAAATGATGCATTTTTCGTTTGCTGCCAAGATTAACACTACTTACGTTGACTGATGTTATGGTGACGTTTTGGATTGACACGTTCCTGAACATGTATGAAGGACACGGAAATGTGTGCGTGTGTACTCCAGAGGTTATTAAATTAAACTGTTTCGATCGGCTTTGATTTCGATACATCGGCGATGGACTATCAGTACTGTCAACTAACCGTAAGATGTGTATACATAACCTATGGCAAGAAAATGAAAGTCGACAGTATTTGACGGGTTCTGACGAAATGATCTTTTGTCGATAGTACGCCAGCATCGTATACACATGCATGCAGTTGTACACCGGTGCAACCTTTTCCACTGATAAAAAGGTTTAACATTTGTTAGACACTTGAACTGAGTTGCTTACTTCTGCTCGGACGATGCTTTGCCATCAAAGATAAATATACGTACATAAAAAGTAATTTGTATGTACACATTATAATAAATTATTTAACACACCTTTATTTTGTGGAAATCAGCATCAAGGGACACAGTAAACACATAGAAACAGAACTTCAGTAACCGTCTTTAACTGTACGGGCGACATGCAACTGCAAGTGATGCAACAATCGTAGGAAGTACTAACCATAAGAACCTGCTATTCACAAAAGCCACAATAAACTTTGCATGTCATCCGCGACTGCCTAAAATCTATTACCACCGCTGCCTGGCGGCGTAAACATGACAGCAAGAGATAAATGGTGTCTCGCAGTAATGAAGTGGCCAGCCGCCGCGACAAATTTGATATAAAAATATAAACAAGCATTGGTGCCCATCCGTTGACCGTTGTTGTCGAAAATTTGTTGTCAAAAGATTTTATGAAAACATTCAAGACTTCGAACCACAGTATACAAATCAACGGCCGAAAGAGCCACATCTACGACTGCAATTGAGTATTGGGTGTGTATTGTGTAAGCAGTATAAAGACAAATGGCTTTATCATGGTACTCCAAGCGCTTATACCAAGCACTTCCGGGGTGCGAGACTGATTGTAAGGATATTACGAGGATAATGACAATCCCTATAAGAGTACGGCGATTTACAAAATATTAATAACTTAATAACGCAGTCCGTATAAAAAGGGGGGGGGCGCTTAAATCGAGAACAACCGGCAAAACGGGTACGTCAAGAAATTTGTTTAGTAAGTACTGTAACAAATTAGTATTCTTTTTTGTTGCAATTACAACCAGCGAAACTCATAACGATGGTTTTCCGTTTGAAAACAATCACTCAACGGCACGACAAATACCAGAAGAACCAAAAACAATCTCGTATAAATGGAAAAAAATTAATTTGTATGTGCTGAACGGATAGCTTAAAATCGAACATCATCAGCATAGAAAAGCGTCAGAGAGTTAAACAGCTGCCGGCTCTTCGGCAGGAACCGGCTGCACAGCCGGCACCGTTGCCGCTGCTTCCTCACCGGCACCAGCTATCACTGCCTCATCCAGATCATCATCCGCCACGTTCAGCGCATTAAATATGCAGATTTTCTCTGCATTCCAGAAAATAGTCGATCCGCCGTAGACCAACGTCCAACAGTACGGCAGGAAGAACTCTTCGGGGTGCTCCTCTTCCACGTAGCGAAATTTCAGATTGGGTAGCTTCTTCAAACGCTGCGTGCTGAAGCTAACCGACTGTTGTTTGATAATATCCAGCACCTGCTCCACCGTCATATTCGTGTCGTTTTTATCCAGTTTGGATGCGAAGTGCACGATTACCTGTAGCGCCATCAACAAACGACATTATTTACCCATGCCGAAATCAATATTATCTTGTAACATTTTATGTCACTTAATCAGACGGGCGATAGCTATGTCGGTGCTTTGATCTGCTCATACCGTCTCAATATTGTGGACGACCTCTTGAAAATTTGGATACGAGCGGAAACGCTCAAACAAATTTCGCTTGTACAGGAGCGAATGAATCAGGTTGGCATTGCTTGATAACTCATAAAATAATACGCCGTTAATAATTTCCAATATCATGCGTAGGACTTCTTCATGAATGGACAATTCAAGTGTCTGCAAATAATGGATGGGTTGAGTAGCACACTTCCGTACAGGTGTATTCAATGGATGCCAGATTTACACGTAAAAACTACTAGGGGACCAAATGAAATAAAAATCGAGCGAATTCGTGGAGGTATACGCTGCGCGAAACGTAAATACTCGGAATGCAATACGAAAAATTATTAACCACTCACCAGATCTGGATTGACACTCTCTTGTTCCACTTTTTCCGACCACTGTCGATAGTCTTCTCCTAGTTTTCGGTGTCTTTTAGAAAGCTGCTCGAACAAAGTAATCAGTCGCTGGCATGCGAGGACATGCAAATTTTTGGTATCAGCAGCCATATTGGCCAGAGCGGCTAAGCAGTTGTTATGCAGATATTTGTCCTTGATTTTCGTGATGTTCATTTGGATAACTCGTGTTACCACCAGCACGATCAAGCTTCCGAGTGGCATTGGTGGTAATGCACGCTCCTTGTACCACCGGATGTTCTTTACTTGCTACAAAAGCGAAAGAAAAATTAAATAACAAATAATCAATCGCGGAAACGACAACTTACGATTTCATGGATAGTTTTGGTAAAAAACTCATCTTCACTTAGAATTAGGAGGATAATCAGCAACATGTAGACATGATGGGAACTGGCGGCCGGCGCATTATACAGCAGCTCCAATAAAGGCAAGATCAAAAGGTCGATGTTGGTTTTCGACAAGATATACACATTGAAGTCCCGGTTACGATGCAGTAAACAATAAAACAAAAGAGAGACTTCTTCGCGGCGTAACTGCTGACAAACACGGCTGTAGATCTGAGAAAACGGTAGCGCGTGTGTGCTGTTAGAAGCGTAGGCCGGATCTGTGAACAAAAGGATTCACTGTATTAATAACAACTGGTCCGTATTAATAACAGGTGCTCATTTGAGAGAAGAAAATTTGAAAATTCTTACATCATCAGCATACCGATTCATTGTCATTCTTCATGCATAAAAAACAAAAACGTATTTTTCGCTTACCCTCAGAATTTCCAAAGGAAAATAAAGCTTTTCGAATGGGATTCTCTGGAAGTCCATTATTGTTACTTAATAACAAAACCAAGAATACCGACTGTAGGGCCATAATGGATTCGGGCTCAGGTGGATATCGATAATTCTTCAAAGTTAGGACGTTCCATATTCCCGCTATGAGAAAATAACATGAGTGATAACCTCTTTCCTGTTTAAAACAGCGATATGTCACACTTACACGCGAGTCCCAGAACGATACTTCCATGCAGATTGCTCTGTAACAGATATCCTGGCGCTTTTGGTTGCTGAATAAAATTCGTTATTAAGCGCGACACTAATCCGTTCGCGGAAGGACTCCTAAAAACCAATCAATGACATAGAATACACTTTAAAAACCAGAAAGCACAGAACAAAGCGCTACATTATTCTGTATCATCGAAACAGACACTTACAGCTGTTCTCCCAACAGCATGTCGCAAATTGGCGAAACCGCGTCAATATCCGGTCGGTAAATTCTCACCGACAACAAAACAATCAGGGAGTTAATGGCTTCCATCTCGTAAAGGTAGAAGGGATCGCTACAACCAAAAAACGTTCACATAAAATGGTATTCCTTCAATTTACCAGGATGGAAAGGAAGATACGATTCAAAAAGTGTCCCGAGTTTTTACAAAAACATAGCATAAACATTACTATTGCCCCACAAACCAGATTTTGCTTACCTAACCGGAGACTTAATCAGAATATCGACAACGGCCGATACGTAAGCACTAATCACAGAGGCTGAACCGACAGTACTGGCCACTGGCCCGTTTCCGTTGTGATCGCCGCCATCACCGTTCACCGCGCGCGGTAAGTTGGTGCGACTCTGATCATCTCCGTTAACAGCGGGAGGCGTGACGGACCGCTCAAAGGCTTTAACCAGATCCTTCTCATCCAGATTCTGAATGAAATACTTGCAGATAAAACGTATCAAGAACATTACGTTCGAGAGCGGCCAGTTGAAGGTTCTGCAAGAGAGAAAACACAATGTAAGCAGTTTTTGATTTATCCTGCTACGATTTGATAAGCAACAGCCACGTAATCGCCACAAACACATAAAATGTGTAAACCAGCAAACGACTGCACTTGAAACGGAAACCAAGAAAGGAAACTGTCAAAAACATAGCAATTCCGCAATTCACATATTTAGCAAAAAAAAAATACTGCAGTGTAGCCACTGTACTACGATTGTCCACTTGATACTTCAATTCATACTTTTCCAGGCCGACTTGCATCTGAGCGTCTTTCAGCGCAACGAATTTCCTGACCAACGTGGAGAAATTTCCCGTTGACTCTTCATTGACGATGAAGTCCTTAAGCAAAGATTGCACCGCTTCTTCGATTGTTTTGTAATCTTGGCTGCAATGAAAAGAACGGCTTCGTCAGAGTTACCTCCTATCATTGTAAGCCCTAACGAATCCAAAATAGTAAAAAGTAAAAACCGCACCAGCGACTTCAAAAAATGACACATTCGAAAATCATACTGCTAACATAAGTCGTAACAATTTTGCGCACCTGTTCATGGGGGGATAAAATTTGAAAGACAACATCTTATCCCAAAACTCATCATCCATCGCCACCGTTTCGGGGCCTACAAGTCGTTGTAGGAAAGCATTCTCAGGCAAGTCCTTCACGCTGCTGCTGGAATTCCCCATTGTGCTTCAAGATTCCGACAAATGAAAAGTTACAGCGAGTCCGTGAACAGAAGAAGCCAGCAGTCCAAATTCGAAAATGAAAGGAAAATGACAATATGATAGCAGATAGACAGACACTTTGTAAGCAAGCGCGCACACACGCAGAAAAAAATCAATCCGGAATGGAAATATCAACGATCGTTATCTTTGAACGCAGATAATTGCATCTACATGCCAGAAATCAAGTGCTTTTGTAAAGCACAGCAAAAATTGTTTTCTTTTTATCATAATACTGCAATATTTTATCTAGAAAATTTTAGCTTTAAATTTTAATTATGACTATTTTGCTACTCTAAAATAACATCGCGCTTTTGAGTCTTGACTCTTCACCGAGTTCGCTTACGTGGACGCTGTTTCTTTGGTGCGCCGATAGAGCCATATGGCCACTTTTAAACGCCTTCTCGGGGCGGAAAAACATGGTATTGGAGCCAATCTGTACTTGATAAAATTTAATACTAGTATCCTGGTGACCTTCGTTGGCCGGCAGGCCCGGCACCAAGAGTTACAACGGGAAAGGATAGAGAGAACGGAAAATGTCAAACAGAGCTGCACTGTAAACTGTACGAACTGGTCAATAATTCGTGACGGGTGTTGCGTAAAGCATAGCGTGCAAGCCGGTCAGCAACGTCTGCAAGATATCAGCGGCAAATACGGCAATAACGTTAACAGCTATTAATGAGTACTGCTTTCTGGAACGACCATATTCTTTTCGCAGCTGCCACGCAGCAACCTCGAAACTCACGGAGCGTTAGGGATCTTTAAAAGTTTTTTAGATCGCAAAAGTTTGAACAGACAGGAGAAGCGCAATCGACATGTTTTGTTTTTCGTAAAAGCGTTGTATATTAGCGTTGCTGTTGTTCGCGACATCGGGGGGGGGCGTTTTGGACGACACCTTGCATGCTTTAATCAGTCCGGAAAATCCAAGGATTTCTATTAATTTATTGTTAGTACCGTATTTGTTCACAATTATTGCACTACAAGTAATTTTATCACACGAACAGAAAACCGTTTTCCGAAGCGTACGTGAATCTGGTGCAGTGTGACCTTAGACAATAAAAATCAAGACTGATATTTGCCGTAACTGACCTCTTCGAAATCACAATTCTGTACTGTGTAGGATGAAATAAACTTGCGTTGAAGAATTATAATCACACATACATCTACTGTGCTTATATAACGGAAAACAATGAAACAATCATCCGCGGCAGATACACCCCAATCACAACAAGAAAAATTCTTCTATACTGTCCTGCTCGGGAATCGTGCCCATAACGCATATCGCATTCCCGCGCTGTATCTGTATAGACAAACGCTGCCGAAAAAACTCTTTGGCGCGTTTCTGGCCAGTGGCAGATATTAGGCAGCTTCCAACCTTATCCACAAGTTTCTTAGTGCCACCGCTCCACGGTCCGTGAATCTCAAACGCCGCCGCAACGAAATCGTATCGTGGCATCAGCCAGCTGTGCTTCGATAACTTTCCCCTTTCGGCTTGCTCCGCTGCGGCTCCAGCATTCACGGAGGTGCGATCAATATAGGAGGCCGCGAGTGTGTCAACGCAGGTAACATCTACGGCCAGTGGTTTACCTCGTGCCCATGGTACTAGAGTGATGACGTCCGGCCTTTTGTTATCTTTACCCGACAGGCCCTTTGGCTCCATTCTGGCTGGAAAGCCCGCTGTCTTAAGGCCCCGGGCGATCTCACCGGTAATACCGTCGTGCCTTGGCAGTCTTCCTGCTGAGCGCTTGCAGCGAAGTCCATGCCGGCCAAACTCATCAACTTGCATGCCGCATACGCAAACGTGAGGAGTAACAATAGGCGCTCTTAACCGTAAAGCGACGCTGATTCGGAAGGCCGTGTTGTCCAGTAGGTTTCCGAGACATGCAGCGGGAAGCGCGTGAATCCATATACCAGATTCGGGTACTGATACAGCTTTGAGATGCGCGACCTGGTCCAGTGATCCACGCAATTGGGTTAATTCGGAGAAAGTCGCAAGTGTAGCCACAAGTGTACTGTGTAGGTTTTATATTAAGTCCGTCCCGTATGTACAAAGCAACGGTTTTTAATAGAACATTTTAGGTGGACCTGAGTTGCAGTAGTTGCACAATTTGAGGTAGAATTGGCTACCCGTTTTCAAGAATGATTTAAAAAACATATTCCAAAGTGGTTCATCTTGTTGGACTCGCAATTAATAACGTTAGCGATTTGATGATTTTGTATCCATACTACGATTAACTAGTTCAGCGCTTACAATGTTAGTAATTCGGCAAAATCTGCGTAATATTGTCCTTTAACCTTCAGTGAATGCAAGATTAAATACGGCTAATGACGATGGAGATCGTGAAGCTTTCGTCGGCAACATTAGCGTTCCGTCATAAGTAACCAGATTCAAGTGTACAGACATCAGCAATACCCACATAAATATTGTAAACGTCCATATATGTTTACTTCCGTCAAGGTTGCAGGCGACGTAATGCGAAAAAAAATTGTTAGAAGCACAGGCATTAGCGCGGTGACTACCGATTGTATTAGTCGCTAATATTCAATCACTATGTGCAAGTACCTAAATGTAAAGTTTCATGTGCAACTGGTTTAACAGCTGACCATTCAGGGACAACACGATAGTCGTATATCTCAAGCGGCAAGTATATACGGCTGCATGCATAAGCAGCTTCAATTGCCCAGTGTGACGGAATGGTCGCACACAACATTGTAATAGGATAGCCGAAATAAATAGTGCCACCCCGCCACTTCAATGTCTAACACATATATAAAAACGAGATTTTTTTGTTGAAAAGATTGGCTTTGTTTCATTTGTTTTCTCACATCGCGCCGGTTCATTGTATTGTGTATTGAAAAGGAATGTATAGTTGGGAATAATATCGGTATGATGACGATCACCAATATACTGTGGACTAGCGTCTTGTTATTGTTTTGTTTATTGTTATCATTCAGCGAATGCGGTAAGCATATCATGATCGACTTGTACCAATGCTGGTATTTACGTCTAGCCCTCTAACAAATAAGTCGCCGTACCACTTTTAGGGAAAGGAAGCAAGCGGGGTGGTCGGCATGATTCAGGAAAACTCGTAGCCACACTGTGCCACTACTACAGTGATGGCGCGATGGGATGCAAAGAATGCTACGAAGTGGCAAGGTCACATCGCTCCAACCACAATTCCACGCTGCTGCCTCCCTGCAAAAGCGTTCAGGGTGTAAAAAGAAGGAACTGGACACTCGAAGACGGTACGTACGAAGAGTAACAATCGTTTTTAATGTATTTTTCACCGCAAAAAAATTTATTATTTTTCCGTGAGAAATGCGCTACTGTAATTAGAATTTAGAATAAGCAAGTTTTGTAAATGCTTAGGACGTAGTGTCCATTTGGCTGATCGATCGCGAGAGACTGTAATGTATTTTGTCACAGAAGTACAGTAGATATTGTGAGGGTTTTTATTAAGCAATTTTCGGGAAAAGGTTATTTATATTCTACAAAAATAAAAGCCGGCAACCACCATACCCACTGAATAATTGAAAATTTGCGGGCAGCATCCTGGTTATACCTTCAAAGCTTTTCGATTGTCAAAAACCATACACAAGTGTACATGTACGTCTCGCTTTTAACAGAGCCTACCCACACTCGTTTTTTTGGTAGACCGTAAAGGCGATTTCTAGTTTCTAGTGATTTTCAGTTTCTGAAAAAAAAACCAGGATTTACCGCTTTTTAAAGCATTTGACTGCCACAATTTATGATAACTTATCCCGGCTAACTTTCAAAAACGCAATCGACATTTTATCAACGTTTAATCGCATAAAATGCAAATTGTGCAACCGTTAAGCGAGGAAGCATTTTATTTATGTTTTTGCAATTTGTAAAAGCGGATTTCTTCAAAAACAGTTTCTCAGTTGGTAAAAGACTAAGATTTGTTGTAAACGATTACTTAGAATAAATGTGAACATTTGCAACGAATATTTTTAGGAATATTACCTAGTGCTATAATTGAGCTGAACACGACAAAGCGCGTTACACTGGCATCGTGTGCGTTCTATTCCAACAATAAGACGTACACGTGTGTTGCAACTCGCTTACACTGCGACAACATGACGGAAGTTGACTGTGCAAACAACACATCATGGAGCGGAAGATATGAAGGATCAGTTTCTGAAGGTTAGTTTACAGTTTCGATTTTTAGTCTGTAGACAGTAGAGAGCAAAATAATTTATAATTAAGCACAAACACATAAAAATGATGCAGTGCTTTCCTAGCGCAATATATGCTTATGGTCATGAGGCGTTTTAATGACAATACCGACTGTATGCAAATGTTGACCTTGCACCACTTTCAAGTGATTGACTTAGCACGCCATGGATGGGCTGTTAAAAAGCCAGACACTTGAGGATGTACAGTGTTGGTCATTGAAAACAGGGTTCCGCTGGGTCGCACCGCCCATTAACGGCTCCAAACCAGCTAAGCATTTCAACGGCACATGGAACTCAACAACAAAAGCCCCGCCCGCCCCCAATGCGACCCTCGACGCGGCGGCCACCACCAGCAGCATGAACATTTCCGGGCAGACGACAACGACCAACACCACATCACCAACCACCACGTCAACCTCATTCGTACCATTGTCAAAGGCGTCGTCGACCGCGTTGACAAAGCAGTCAACCACGCAAGGCTCCACTCCAGCCCAGATCACACAAATCACCTCACAAGCCGGGTCGACTAAGACACAAAAGACATCTGACCTTTCCGTCCTTCCCACGTCCACCACCGATCAGAAGACCTCATCGTCATCGACATCGGAACTCTTGGTACCGGAACGCATCAATTCCGCTACCACACCCGGCAAGACGACATTCACGCTGACCTCCCTCGTAACGACACAGGTACAGTCGTCAGGGACAACAGAGTTCAGTGAGAACTGCACAACAACCTCGTGCACTATCTTTGTCGAGACATCGGCACCCAATACCACCACGAGTGTGCCCCTCGTTACCGGCACCACGCTGGTGACCTCGATGCAACCATTCAATGAAACCCAGGTTCAGGATAGCCCTAAAGGTGACGATGGGGAAAATTCGGTTGGAGATCGCCAGGACCATGACACCACTATAACGAGCACAGCCGCACCCACTACACACTCCGGGTCGATCATTACGATTACGAGTCTGCAGTCTGGTTCGGAATCATCAGCGGAAGCGGATAAGTCTACCAGCCAATCGTCCACGACGCATGTGAAAATGATCCTCATGGACGAGGTCATCACGCCCACGACGGCCGTGCAGAGTACCAGCACACCGGCTACAACCTCCACGACAACGATGGCAGTATTTCCGACCTTTGCCACCAATATCTCCTCGTCCAAACATCCGGAGCCCAGAAAGCGTCAACCCATTCGTCGCATGTATTAATCCGTTTCCATGTATTTGTGATCTTTTAGTGCCGGCTTCGATTTGATGCCTTGTTATTTAATTTCTTTCAAAAATGGTCAAGCGAATCCTGTGGATTGAATTTTGGTGTTTGCTGTTTACTGCTATCTAAGAAAATCAATCATAAACAGTTTAATTCCTATCATGAAATTTCCGAGTACACCAAACATCTATGGATTCAACAACTTCCTCTGCATTGGCAGTTAGCGGAGAGTAAGATCACCATCGGTCAATCCGATATTGCACACAATGCCGATAAAATCCAGATGACGCATTATTGCAAGGCTGAAAAACTTTATTATTAACAAGCCATAATTAACGATAAAACTAGCAATTCAGTGACCCAGAACCGAAAGGTACAGACAGGTTTCAGAAGATTCCCGGTTTACGATAACAACATAATTCACTAAGATCAGTTAGATGTTGAACTAGTCGTAAATATTCCAATAGGCAATTAGCGAATTTAAAAGTAACAGACCAAGAATACTAACAGCGCAGTCAGATAAAACCTACCCTAACCTAACCAACAACACCTACAGTCATCTACTGCGCTGCATACAAGAATATCTCTCTTCCATAGTCAACAACTCAAAAGCACTTGCATGCATAGGAAACAAAAATTGTATATAACCGAAGCCGTAACAATACCATGCGAGGACTGAAATCGCGAAAAACTGTTATCAGAATTCAAAACTGACCAGCAACAACGAAAGAAAAATACTATGGGAGAACCAAAAAGACATCTTCCATCACATCCATTCCGTCACATGCAATTGTATCACCCGTTCAACTATCCACATTCCCATCCCCCCGGTTACAGCCGGTCAGTATCCCTAAGACATGCTGGAACAAGGAATTCGCGGAGATCCCATCTGTATCAGCACCTTGTCCAGCCACTGTAGCGGACCATTTAAGTAGACTTCCACCCAGCAGGGAGTGCTGGTAACAGTCTGCCGCCGATAGTCCGCTCCCCAACCCTTAACAAAGCTGATCCGAATGGTGCACATTTGTGTCAGCTGATAAACCGCCTCGAAACCTTGATGCACCTGTGCAGCCAACATGGCCGCGAACTCTTGGTTGTTGAATATTTTCAAATTGCAACCTAAAATGTCGTCACAAAATGTAGAAACTGGCAGGAAGGCCTGTAGACAATTTTGACCGGATTACGTATGCTGTTATTTTAAAATTACCTGGAGGAACTTTGCAGACAGTGGAAGCCGCCCATCCATAGCGTTGGTTACAGTTTGGGCTTTGTACAAACACCGCTTCTTCCCCCAGCGATTCCACCATGACTTCACCGCCCAAATAATACAGTCGGATGCCTTTGCCAATGTGACGGCGGGTCATTTCTGCAGCGATGTTCCGATTGACATTCGAAAGAAGGCCCAGACAAAATCGTTCCGAATTCGATGGATCAGTAAAACCATCCACGAAAACCTGAGGTTGTGAGGCATGAAAGGTTTCCCCCACGCGCACATTCAGTTCGTAATAACTGATCGAACACCAGAAAGCTGGCTCAGAGTAGCTCACGGGTTCCGTGTCCATGTTCTCATACGAAAAACCATTGTTAACGGGAGTTATGATCATATTGTTTCCGTTCAGAGTCGGCGCAGAGGAATCTACGAATCCAGTGATACGAATCAAACAAAACATCACTTCACAGGCAACATCTGTGCAGTGTTTCACCATCAGTTCCCAATTCGAACTTCCTAGTTTATCTCTCTCTCTCTACTTGTTGCAGCAGACCTCACATAAACGAGGCTGTTTGTATTTTGTCGACTGCTGACGTCAAAATGTACGAGTAAATAAGCGTAAGAAAGCACGAGTAAAAATCAGGTCAGTATTATAAAAACATGTCAAATTAGTTTTTTATGTTCTATCAATTTTGTTACTGTTAAAATAGCCTCTCATCTGTTCAGTTTGTGCCTGAAATCTTCCATGAGCAATATTTAAGCGAATTAAAGCTTAAAAGGCAAAAGTCCAACGAATATCCTTGGGCTAAAAACCAGCGAGAAATGGCTGAGAAAAATTCAACCTATGATCAGCGGAAACTGAAGTATCTGTACCTGGTAGATTTTCAAATTTTGAAGATATGCGTATAATCAAATTCCAAACTTAATACATAATTATACGTATCACATTTTGAAACGCTTTCATGTAACACGACACCATTCCTGTAAAACGCATATTGCATCAAACTAGCCCGGTTTATTGCGCTGTACTGCATCATACGTCTTATCGGTTTTATTATTAACGATAAAATAATCATTAATAAGTACAAAAATTTTGTAAAATCGTGCGAATCTTCACAGGTTGAACACCGTATGTACGCTATAGCAATGTACAAATAAATTACTGACTGTATAATCTAAGTTAAAATTGTATGGGCTATCGCGCTAACGCCACCAAGTACCCATTCAAGGACAGTCTCGCAGTCCGTGGTTTTGCTTTTACTGTGTTTTTAACGTTTAAGTGCTTTTTCAGTTAGTAAAGACATTTACAGTTTGCGATCGCTTACCGCTGAATTCACTCCATGATTCGGCCGTATCGTTTTCGTCGCTGGCATGGGAAAACGGTGGTGAACTGGTATCCGAAAACGGCGAAAACAAATCCAACTGATCCAAATCTGCCGGAAGATCGGTATTTGCGGGGATTCCTCCCATGGCTAAATCATCAAGCGACGGCAGTTCTGAGTGCGGTGGCAGTGATTCTCCCTGATTACGTGGAACCATGATCGGCGGTAAAGCAGCTACAACGAAAAAATAATTAAGCGCATCCTTATTATGCTCCCAATGTAAACCTTGTTTCTGAAAATATCCACCTGGAGCTGGAACTCGATCATAATGGTATGGATTAATGCAGACCGCTTCTTTGCGAGAGTTATATCCATTACTGCAGGTCTCGGTCGAGCGCAGCTGATGCGGACTGGTCAAATCGGGATAGCGAAATATTCGACAGTAGATAAAATGTGGAAGTCCCTTCCGCTGCGATACCTGCAACCGGCCATCACTCGACCTGCAGCAAGACAACAATTAAGTCTGTGAAAATCTCCCACAACCTAGCAAGTCGTCGACTTCGTTCAAATACAGGACACTGACACTGTGATCAGATCGTATTTTCCAATCTGATTACGCTGTCAGACAACAACAAAGCTGGAAAAAATGTATCCACGAAGTACGAGTCCTCATCAATAAGTAGGCTTCACAGAAACATAAATAACCTGAGTTAAACATAAATAAGCTGAGTTCTGAATACAAACCAAAGAGCAACTTGCACAGTACGTACCATAGTACTTACACGGTACATGGTTAGAGTAAACCTCATGAACTTTCCGTAGAAAAAATCGATAGGTACTTTTAGTTTTTATTATCACAATGCTCGAAGCCAATGTTAAGAAACAAAATTTACAATTTCCTACAAAAAAACGAAATCAAATATTAATTTTTTACTGATTTCAAATCAACTTTGAAAGATTCCAATCGGTGATAACAAATTAAACAAACTTGAGAACATAAGTCATCGTCGATTTTTTGGGTTCCAGATGGCTCGATAAATCGAAGAAAAAGCTGCGCACTTTCTATGCAAAGATCGGAAAAGAAGTGGAAAATTTCAAACCATTAACCATCACACAAAACTGCAAGTTGTCAGTCAGTTTTTTTAATGCCGGATTTCATTTACATTTCGACTGTTAAACGGATCAAGGGTATTTCATTTCATCGTATAAAATATTAATTTTTATGCAAAAGTCTTTTAACTGATTTTGAACGATATCTACCACCTGGAATCTCTTACCTTGGTACAGTCACGCATTTGCTGTTGCGATCCTTCGTGGCTAAAGCTTTCTCCAAGTCGTTTAGAGCCTGCCCATTCTTCGTCAACTTCTTCACCAGACTCTTGATGGCTTTCTCGGACCATTTCTCTTCGTTCTCGTTGGCTCCCAGCTCCGAAGACTTTCGCCAGTTCTGAAACCTGCGAACCACTGGGTTGGAAAAGAAAGTATTCATCGCTGCTTAAGGGCAGGCTTAATAATAACTACAACAAAAATTAAGTGATCATTCATATAAACAGAGCGCGAGAAAAAGGAAATAAGACGATCCCGTTTAGGGAATCCCAGCGTCACGGTCAAGGTGTGACTGCTGATCACGATGCAGCCTGAAATGCAGGCCTAGAGTGCAGGTTACTGCTTCCAGGATATCTCTGTGACTGACAAAACAGAAACGTGGAACGCATAAAATCAGCTCCCAGTTTAGAACAACACACAAAGAAATATGCTATTTTAAAATCAAAGAAAGATACTGGGAAATATGTAATCGCGTTGGAATTCGCGAACAAACCAAATTTTATTTTTGTCTGATAAAATAATAAATGATCACAGTTCAGGAATTATAGAAACTGAAAAAGACCTTGTCGCACAGCTGGCCTTCCTGGCAGCGTACTGATTTCACACTGCGGCTCTCATGTAACCGCCACCCAAAGGTATTCAATATCCACAAACCGAACACTACACTACTCTAGTACAATACATAATGTTACACATTCCGCCAAACCAAAGGTCAGCAAAGTAAACATGCCCAATTGATAATAATTATTAAGGTAGATAGGTAATAAATACAAAATTACCAAATTCAATAACTTTCACAGTAAAATTGTAATAAGCCTGTAATCTGCTAATAAATGTGAAATGCCTACTTATGGAATCACAATAAATTTTACACACGTATCTTATGATCAGCGATCGCGATTCATCAAGCAATAATATTCTCATTTCTTCGAGCTCAAAAGATTTACCGAAGCAGCTTTTAAGAATTCTTGTTACATAGAGTTATATGATTATGTGAATGAGAGCTGGATATATAAGCTGTTTTGCTGTCTGCATCAGATTGATTAAGACGAAATCTGTATCTAAGAATTTTGCAATGTAAATGCGCTCATGATCAAGTTTTATTTTTTTAAATTGTACTCTAGAGTTATTTTGCAGATTGCTTTCTCTTTGGCTTGCTTCTCTATTCTCTCGTTGTGCTCTGTAAGTACAAGTCTGAGTAGCTACATATGTAAAGAAAGTAATTTTTAATGCCGGTATTTCTACACTGTATTTCTGCCTTGAATTTGTTCTTCCTAGCCTTTCCCCAAAATTCCTTCCACTGGAAGCATAGATTCCACAAGTCAAGCAGACTCAAAACTTAAATAAATTTTATGGCATCTCCACAACTAAGGTATTCGGAAAACTATATACGAAAAAGAAAACTATAAACGAAAAAAAGGTACGAGTATTATATCATGCTAGCTGATATATCATGGCGTATTATATCATGCCAGCTGCTATACTCGTAGTCTCGTACATCTGAACTATAAGTGAACGTGCACATCCTTTCTTTTACATGCTGATATTATACAAAACAAAGTAAGATTGGCGAGGTTATCATGCATACTTATATAAAGCAGCAATGCATAATTTGGTAGACGCGTTTTGCATAAGATAATTATTCACACATTTTACTTGGCCGCGAGCACGTAGGAATCGTAATTTTTAGATTCCAATTTTTTTCTATTGTAAGCGCAAATTGTTTGTAAGGTACGTAAGGTTTGTCAGGTTTGTGACATTATCCGGAAAGAAGCTCGGCAAAACTCTGATAGTGAGAAATGAGACTACCGTATTTTGAGCTGGATGTTGCGCTGGTTTACATGTTGTTATAAACTGCAGTTGGAATCTAACTGCAAAAGAGATGCGGCTTTTGAGCAGCTCCAGTTCTGGGATGGAAAAACGAAAATTGTGCATTTATGAGCTCTTTGCACAGCACGCTATATTTCTATTTGGACGGTTTGTGCTATATGGTCACTATTCGGTATTCGGCACAGCAGCGCAAATCTCTTCTGTCATTGTGCAGCGCGGACGCTATAGCGTCTACAAAGAGGTTACATAAAACATCTAACAGGACCGCGTCAGTGCGCTGGTCTTATTTTTTATTGCTCACATTGCCGGATGAGCCGACAACAGAGCGGCAAAGAACCGGGGAATCTCTTTCCGTTGCCTTTTATTGTGTTATGAAACTTCTTAACTTGTAAATCAATTGATCATCTTCTTGGCACCCCGTATACCGACATCCCCTTTAATTTTAAATTGATTTTTTTCGGGATGACTGGATGCCATTTTTCGTCAACATTAGCGTGCTGAACGGGCAACGTCGCTTTAAACAAAACTCATAGTTAGTACTTTCTGATATGCCTGCTCCGTAGCTCCTTTTCCAGTGTAAAATACGAGTAACTACAGTACATGGATGTCTTTATTGTAGCACTGCGTTATGCAATGTTTTACGGTGGCTATATATAATGCCGCACTGATTTGACAGTATCTTGACATCCTGTCGGAAAGTAAGATTTGCGAGGTTAGTATGCATACTTATATAAAGCAATGCATAATTTGGTAGACGCGTTTTGCATAAGATAATTATTCACACATTTGATTTGTACGTGCACGTAGGAATCGTATTTTTAGATTCCATTTTTTCTATTAGCGCAAATTGTTTGTAAGGTACGTGGGTTTGTCAGGTTTGTGACATTATCCGAGCTCGGCAAAACTCTGATAGTGAGAAATGAGACTACCGTATTTTGAGCTGGATGTTGCGCTGGTTTACATGTTGTTATAAACTGCAGTTGGAATCTAACTGCAAAAAAGATGCGGCTTTTGAGCAGCTCTAGTTCTGGGATGGAAAAACGAAAATTGTGCATTTATGAGCTCTTTGCACAGCACGCTATATTTCTATTTGGACGGTTTATGCTATATGGTCACTATTCGGTATTCGGCACAGCAGCGCAAATCTCTTCTGTCATTGTGCAGCGCGGACGCTATAGCGTCTACAAAGAGGTTACATAAAACATTTAACAGGACCGCGTCAATGCGCTGGTCTTATTTTTTATTGCTCACATTGCCGGATGAGCCGACAACAGAGCGGCAAAGAACCGGGGAATCTCTTTCCGTTGCCTTTTATTGTGTTATGAAACTTCTTAACTTGTAAATCAATTGATCATCTTCTTGGCACCCCGTATACCGACATCCCCTTTAATTTCAAATTGATTTTTTTCGGGATGACTGGATGCCATTTTTCGTCAACATTAGCGTGCTGAACGGGCAACGTCGCTAAACAAAACCCAGCTACATAGTTAGTACTTTCTGATATGCATGCTCCGTAGCTCCTTTTCCAGTGTAAAATAACTACAGTACATGGATGTCTTTATTGTAGCACTGCGTTATGCAATGTTTTACGGTGGCTATATATAATGCCGCACTGATTTGACAGCCCGACGACATACATTGTACGGATGCCAGTACTGTGTGATCTGTATGTTTTAGGACGAACTCCCTGCCCATTCCGTGATTTGCCGCGCAACATCTCTGATGCCGTTCTTGACCGGATCAAAATTCATTCACGATATTCGATTGTAATATGAACCCCGTCACTCACTACGAAGTGTTTTTGATTTTAGAACTGCTTTTGCCGAACCGATTGACTATTTGATGACTGCAGCGTACAGAATTGCCGTATTGGTCACGCTTTACCGGCGATAGGTGAATAAATTAATCACAGGGCGGATCGCTGCATCAGCTGAGTTTAGCCAGCACAACGTAATCACATTCACATACATATATAAATCGTTTTATCGGCCGGCTAGCCACGGCAATTTTCTCTTGTCACCTGTAGATGCAAATTATTTGAATTTATCGGTTTTGATTTGTCTTATACCGGACATTACCTGAATGTTTGCTGCTACCACCTAATTCCGCGGCTATATTTATCCAGCTATAAATCTGAACGATATTGGGCGCTATATAGCGACAGTGTTTTGCACCGGCATTCACAAGCCGACTTGTCCTAATTCAGTTTGGATCCCCCATCACTCCAGATCGGATGCCCCTTATTAATTTATGGTTAAAGTGATTTGCGAGTATCTTTCACCCGGGTTTTTTTGTCCCGACACACGTTTTCCGTGACATCGGCCCATCTGTCGTCTGCATGCATAATCTCGCGTCAAGATTACAACAACGTGCAATTGGCACTTGCTGGCACGCCGGCTATGGCATTTCCGGCTGATGCTCCATGGGGGATAAAGGGAGCTATAGTGTATTAAATGCGTCCCGGTTTCTACTGCTGCCAGTCTTCATCATTGCGCTGCGCGAATTAAGTGTTTATACAATGTCGACAAGTGTACTAATGTTGACGTTGTGCTTTGCAAATTGCGGTAAGACGATTAAACAATATACTGTGCCCAATGTGAATGTGAATCCTTGTGCATCGCTCAAGTGTACATTCGAGCAGCGTCTCATCTTGCATACATAAACAGTTTCAGATCGATAAAAGTTTTTATGAAAATAATCCACCAGTTGTTGCACAATCAATTTAATACAATTTGCTCTTTCTATGCTTCAGTTATACCAACGTATGTGCACATACAGATTATGCTGATGATGAGGTTTGGAAGTGTGCCAATTTCTGTAGTTGAAAGCAAGGATTCTGAAAATTCAAGACGAAGTCTGTTTTACTTGTTGTAATAGCGCACTTGAAATCAGATTAATACACCGCTTTTAAGTTTTGCTACACAAAAGCGGAAAGTTAAATGTTGGGAAAGAACACTTGACCACGGAGATTATCTCTTGTTTGTATGTGCATTATTGTAAAGACTCGTATTTTGTACATTCGTAGTATTCCAAAGTATTACCGAAATTTCTTAAGTAATGTCATGACCGGAAGAGAATTAAGCAGCAAAATTAATAGAGCCTCAGCAATTTTCTGCAGTCAATAACTCTAATTATGCTTATACAAACTGCGGAAAACCAGTCATCTGGCAATTATTTGGTTATACTGCATTTTTGCGCGTTAGATTGTTTGGATATTAATAAAACTCGTAGTTGCGTCTATCGTCTATAGGAAGCGGAATTTTCGATTGCATTTGCATGCAACCTCCACATACTGGAAGTCTGGAACTGCCCCTGCTCATGACCAAGTGCAAAGCACTGGGGCAGTAGTACTCATAATTATATTACCTTGAGCCCGCTCAGTTTCAGGGATGCTTCCTGGCAAAACTGAATCATAAACCTTACTATTCTGAATCAAAACGTAATGATACAAGCGGTATCGATGTAATTCACAAACTGCACATAATCGACAACACCGGTACGACTATACGTACATAATCGTTTTAATTTCGGAAATGACTGCCTGTAATTACGCTTGTTTTTAAAAAAAATCTAAAAAGTTTCCAGTTGCGTTAATATTGGAGCATATCGCTCGAAAAAAGCCTGATTTTCTCTACTGCCCGTTCACATTAAGTTAATGATGTCCTTTGACCAAACGGAGGCATATGTAGAAGTTGCTGTCCGAAGAAAGCAAAAATTCCGAATGGAGGAACACGCAATGTATTTTTAACTTTGATTGATAGTGATGGCCATACAGAGACAGTATCTCTATCACGCTTTTCAAGGATCGACTTCCTTACGCTTCGTTTATCAACATTACATAAGGGCATGACATGTGTAAACTTAATATACATATAAGTTAATTTGTGATCTTATCGAACAGTAACGAGTGTATAGTGCGTTCGCAAACGAATGTACCGGAAATGTGGCGAACACAAGAGCGACATCCCGATGCAAATCCAAACTATCTTTCCTCCTAATATAATAATTTATTTGCTTAATGAGCCTTGACAAATTTTTGCAGTATCAGGTCAATGGAACTTAAACGCCGGTCCCAGTAGTTTTCAAGGAACATTAACGGCGCTTAACAGCAACTCGGGGCCAGCATTTGCTGCAACTTCATCAAACATTTTCCCGCCTCCGAGTGGCGATGGATTTTTCAGCAGTGCTTTGTCCAATCGGGCCGGAAGCATTGATAACTGGAATTGGTTGAACGGACAGAATGCGCCGGGGAGTATAAGCTTCTTTACTTCCGGTGCCGGAGCGCCTGGATTCCCACCGTCCCACTCGGCGCCATTCAATGCCATAACCACACCGTACTACGGCTCCCCAATAGGCAGTCTGAGCACATATCAGCACGGGACTTCCGGTTCGGTGTATGCCGTCGATGACCAGACCATTCTGGTCAGAGGCTTCGTTTACGATGGGCTCGCCCCAGGTATGTTGCAAAAATTATCGATGCTAATATAGACAAATAATTAATCTTTTTGATTAGAACGAAAAGAACGTTGTGTCAGTTCTAAAGTAAACAAAATACAAAAAGTGGCATTTTTACGTACGTGAAAGACTTTTTAAGTATGTGTTTTTGTAGCTAAGAATGTGTCATTTAATTTTTCAGTTTTAAAAATGATAATGTGTTGTACAATGGGCGCACTGATGATAAGTAAAATTGTTTTAGTAACTTTGCAATTACATCTCCTCACTAAAATCTAATATAGTTGTCAACGTACCAATTAAATGCTCATTAGTTTTAAAACTGCTGTCGACTGGCAAAGAAGGTCTTAATTGGGGTCGACGGAAGTGCACCGCGGTAGACTGTAATTAATTGCCGCGACTGTTACAAATAGTTTAAACTATGAAAAACTGTTGGTGTTATTTAATGCTAGCCAGTGCATGCATGTGTCACCGGCTTTGGTGTGGCTTTTTCTAATACGGTTGTTTTCGAAATATGTAACATCTTTTGATGACGTTTTATCGTGGATTTGCATTGACAGCGAAATTCATTGCGGGATCAAGTCATCTTATTGTTCGCTATTCATGTTAATCATCTTCTAAGTGTGATGAAACGGAATTTCACAAGTATTCTCAGCTGAACAGTCATTTAGCAATACAATGAAGTTGTAAACAAATTAAACCAGCTGATGCATACATCTCTTGTTATGCAACTATTAAGTGCTATTCTGTTATATAATACAGTTTGCTATCGTGGAAATTTGAGAACCGTTACACTAACTCTTACTGTTTGCATTGAATATGTGACTAAAATAAATGATCAATATATTTATTTGCAGATGCCTTTTTTTACATTGGTACCAGTGAATCAGCACAGCCCTATCAAGGCACAGCGGTGCCGGTAGCACTGGATGAAACCCGTCCACTTGGACGCTACGAAGGTCAAGATGTTGTACTGAAACTGAAGCCGGGAATGAATCTGAAGAATTATCGATGGTTGGCAGTTATGTCCAACTCTCAGAATGTATGTCAAGCTTACTGTTTATGGAGGTGTAAAAATAGACGGCTATTTCCGGTGTCACACTTAAAGAAAACTGTGAGGTATCGAATATAAGATTGAATACCGTGACAAATATTTACTTTTCATATCCTCAAAGTTGATGAAAATTTTAAATAAGAAATTAGATTGCCACAATATATTCCGTACATGAAAAAATTGCTTGTTGGGAGCTTTTCTTACGTTTTTAACAGTTTTTTGTGCCTCAAATGGTGCGCCAGAAGTATTTTCCTTGCCGAGCAATATTTAAATTAGAATTTCTCACGCATTCTCTGTATATTTTCCCAACAGGGCTGACAAAATCTTTGATGCCAATGCAATATTGTAAATCGATTTGCTGTGCGACAGAAAGCATTACGATGAAGCAACTCTCAAAATCAATGGGACCTCCGCGTAATAAAGTAGTGCCCTACAATATCATTGTAAAACTATCCCTCTGGGCATAAATCCTCGCAAGATTTGTAACATGGTTGTGTTTATTAGCAGATTGATTACCGCTGGGGCATCTTATCATTATTAAAACTTTTATATGTCCAACAAAATAGGTGGCTTAATGAATTATGTACAATGCCGATTCAGCGTAAATGGAAGCCGAATCCATTGTGCGGCGAATTGTATTAATTAATTACCAAATCTTTTAGGGAAATACCGGGTTATCTATGGATTTGCCAAATTGTAATGTGTACGGGAACGGGAAGCTGCAAGTGCGTTGGGCCGTGCAAGGCTTTGATCTGCTCGTCCAAATGAAAGGCCGTATCGGTACGCATTATGCATTCCGCATGATTAATGTGGTCACAATCAATACAAATCAATAAACAAATACAAAACCAAATTGATTACATCAAAAGTCATCGAAAGGTTTAGTGGAACAAACATGTTCCGGACAAACCACGAGGCGCATGTAGTGCTTCAATAATAAAACTGCTTGCTCCAAAACATGCTTGAACAGTTGAACTGGACAGCAATCATTGTGGAGAATTTCCTTTACATTGCAGCTAAATTCTTTTGAGTATTGTTTACCACACCATATTGGTGGTTAATAAAGGTCGTACGTTGTTTTTTTTCATACAAGCGCATCGTACGACATGTTGTACCAAATGCCAATCTAGTATGCTAACGCTAATTATGCTCACAGTCGTAGGATTTACTCGCAATTTAAAAATTGTATACTGTTTTAATGATACACAGTAGATGCGTATTTTACTTTTAGTTGAGCCTGCTGTATTTATTTCTCGCTGTGCATACTATAAATATTTATCGAATTGTGTGTGATTAGATGACGGACAGTATATGGCTTTCGGTATAAGCGGTGCGCAGAATCGAGTGTCGATGATCGGATCGGATGTTGTGGTTGCCTACTGGGACGCTAATAGCAACAGCGTAATCGCCCAAGACTACACCATCAACGCCCGACAGGAAGTGAGTGAATATCCCGGCAGAAAATTTGCACTTCCGTGTGAAATTCATTCAGTCATATTACGAAATAACATATATTCCTCATCTGTGTACAGTGTATGGCTCCAATGGGGGTATGTCCGGATCTGAGAGTGGGGGGCAGTAATAACGTGGACATTGTCAGCAGCTCCCATGCCGATGGTTACACCAGCGTGACGTATAAACGCCGCATAAACACCGGGGATAGACTGGATCAGGTTATTAATCCCACTGTCGACACGTATATTGTGTGGGCCATTGGGCCGCTGAATCGCGACAATTATCCGGCCAAACATTATGAGGGGATGCGGGCGAGTGCGGAAGTGGGAGAGAAGATTCGCTTTGGCAGCGGCAGTAACCCTGTGGATAACTGCATGACTGCGCATGATCAGCTGAGCAATGGACAAATATCTCCGACGTCCGGCGGTAGTAGTAATCGGGCCAAAATATGAGAATGCCGCCTGGAAGAAGCAGTATATCCTGGGAAGCGATACTAAAACCTTTATTGCCGTCATTGGACCGAGCGGTGGGAGAAAGGGATTTATGGCTGCTACGAGTAAACCGACGTGGGGAATTGTTTGGTGAGCGTCCTTAATACATAACTTATTTTGTCCAGTCTCCGACACTGAGTTTTATCTGCATAAAAAGACATTTAACAATTACTCAGCCAAAAAATTACGAAAAGCCAGTGCTTTTAATTGTCGTTCAAACACAGTAAAATTACATAATTAGTTGAGATGCAATTCACTGTTTTTCAACTTTCAACTTCGCAGGTACATCAATGGCAAAATGGCTCCAGAACTCATACTGAGGCGAGGTGAAACTTACCATTTCCTTGTTTACGGTGGAATGTATCCTCAGGCTCAACCACGCTTCCATCCTTTCTATCTGACCACGGTAAAAGCTTTTAAGCAACAGAAATGACTTACGTCAGTGTCTGTTGTAGCAGTATTTAACTGAAAAATGTACCGAACAAATTTTTGCAGGATCCGTCTGGAGGATTTGGAAGCAAATTTCCGGCGGACAAACAAAAAGAAGAAGCTGCCGGTATTGTCGCGGGCATCAATAAACTGCCGAACGGAGACTACGAGCCAGTTACCGGTATGCCATTTGCCGCTATGCTTGGATGCATGTACCGTTAAATTTAAAGTTCAGGAGTCCAGAAAAGTTTACTCTTTTGGGACCTAGATATATAAATACAAGAATATCAGACAATATGCAAACAGTAAATCCAATAATCAGAATGATAGCAATTTTTCGTATGAATAATAATTGTTGTATAGATTAACGGCGGCACTGAATAAATTTTGTAGTGGGCCAATACTGCGCATTTGTCCAGTCGGGGTCAACCGATCCCGACGCCTTTATGTCTTTCGAAGAGTTCAACCGCACGTTGAGATTACAATGTGATGGATCTCCGCCCGGTGTTCTACCGGTGGGAGACGGCGTTGCAGGCCTCTTAGAGTGGACACCTTCGCCGGTGGATCCCGCTCATTTGTATTATCAGTGCTATTCACACAGGTAAACTACAGGCATTGTAGCTGATAAAAAGCGCCAGCAGTGGTGATACCACTTCTCATTTTATTTTTATTTGGTCATTTCTCGCTTTATTTTTATTTGGTTATGTTATCAGGGATATGGGATGGAAAATAACCCTGGTGAATGACTATAATGAATACATGCCTTATCAAGATCGACCGCAGCTAACCGAGCCGGCTTCCGGTCTGATCGCTCAAGGTTACCCCGGTGTTTTAAGTCGCGATGTCAATCCTGTTAGCCAGTCGAATCGTTTATTCGGACTGTCCGCACCTTTGTTACTTGTTTTTGTTGCTTTCTGTTTGCTGTAACTCTCTTGAAAGTATCATTCCTGAAATTTATGTTGTTGCGTTATGATGACGGAAGTGTAAAAAAATAAAATAAAGTTTATCTATTATATTAGAGAAGCGCGTCTACCCCGTAGTTGAATCGGTCCTGACCTTAGCGAATGGGCGCGAATTATAAGATCGTATTAGCATTCACTCTGCAACGGCAGTGAAAACGTACTCATGTATTATCGTAAATATTTCTATGGTTATTTTTATAAATAAAATAGTAACAAATTGCTGACCTTAAAGCTCTAAATGTTTTCAGACTTGTGTGAGCTCGGGTGCACAGCATTTTTCGTAGGCTATTTTTAAAGTCAGTGCAACACGCATTCAGATTCAGAGCTATAGTATTCGTAATTAAGCATAAGATTACTCTGCACAATTAATAATACATCAGGAAGAAGACTTTCGCATGGCAATATACAACAGAAAACATAAAAATGTACAAAATTCTGTACAGACTGTACAGCCTTTCAGGTTTTGGACGGCAGTGCAACAGGTGAGGATGAGCCCGCACTACTGCTATGAACATCCGCATTTTTGCTGTTGGTATTGGCATCCGAATGAGCCATGAATATCTGGGTCGAGTCGGACGTGGCATCGGCCCCCCGCAACAGCACTCCCGTTTTCGTCATGGCTGATCCTTTACCGGAACTGGACGACTGAAAGCCCAAACCGGTACTGATACCCGTGGAGCCCATTCCACCATCCGCGGCTTTATTATTAGCCACTGTGCTTAGATCCCGTTTGCTTAATAATTTTCGGAAATGATGAGCAAAAGTATCTGCGGTGTGGAAAGAATGGCTGGCAATACCGGCACTTCTATACCAAGTTGCAACATTTCCGTAAGTGAGATGTATTAACAACAGGGCAATCGTTACCAGAATTCCAGTAAAACGTGGGGCAAACATTTTGGTCGTAAAGCAGTAAACTTGGATCTGGCGCGGCAATACTCTATTTCACAAATTAATAGAATCCAAAAACGAGGATGCAGCACGAATTTGGTATCAGCACTAGTGCTTGTGTTTGACGAAACATAAAGCACTTCAAGTTTCTTTTATAGCTGTACAGATACTTTAATTAAATCTGACTTGGCTAATATCGAATCACATGTAGCAGTAAATTACACCAGCAGCGGAACTGATAACACAACATGTGTGCCGACATCAGATTTTATCGTAGTTGCCTTCTGTTTGGGATTTTCCTGGGTACAAAACTACATAAATGGTCTGAAATTCCAAGTAAGTTTTCGAGGGAAAACAAAATTCCGCCTATCTAAACTGTGCGATCATACGCACTGAATTATGTCATTTCGCAGCAATTCTGAAATTTTCAAACCTCCTTGGGATCTTGTCAACACAATCGGCGCAGAAATGTTTTAAAAGATCTTTTTACCAAAATTCAACTTGAAGAACATATAAGTAACGAATTTTTACAAAAAACGTTTCATCATTGGATTTCGAGGAATGCATCTCGAGTTGTCTTTTTGTCAGAACAACCGGGATAATGCAAATGTGTGGCATATATGTAAAATACATTGAACGTGTGCAATAAAAAGCACACATCTTCCGCGGGTGATTGGAAATTTTGCTTAATTCGTGCACTGTCACGATGAAAACGTCGCGTTCTATATATATATTCAAAAACAACAATAATTTCTAATCAAAACTTCTAGATAACAAGAGATGAAAGACACCAGACAGTCACAGGAATGAAGTACATAATCTTGTATAAAAGAAAGCTAATCTCTGCTGCCCGCAAACACACATTCAGCTACTGATTACCACGGCCAACATGGATCACTACAATAACGCAGATAAGTTTCCATTTGTCCGGTTTTCACGTGCATCAAGGTGGTGTACGCGGTTAATTTGTTAAGCACGGGCTTTGTGTTCAACACATCGAAAATGTTCGGCAGCGTGGCATTAGCCCTTCCCATTGTGTTCATGCATTTCATGGCCGGGGTTCGACGGTCATCAATAAACAGTGGCTTCTTCCAGTGGTCGTAGTTGGTTTCCAGAATATACCATGTGTTGTTTGTGATGTTAAGATTCCAAATATCCAAAGCCTTGTCGGCAGCGCGCGTAATAACAGCACCCTCTCCGCTTTCCACTCCACCTAAAAAATACAACAGTTCAGCACAGAAAAGATATCATATGTTCATTCAAAATAGATAACAGTACTTAAACAGATAGAAACTGCAGCAGTATTGCATAGTCCCGATAGAAAACTTGAGGATCCACTGTAATTAAGATCACGATGCCATAAACTATCAGAATTTATCGCATTACATAATTATACGTAATTTTAAGCTTTGAGTCGCTTCTTATACGCACAATACTGTTTACAGTATTTATATACTAAGATTTACCTCAATTTTGGTTACCGCATTTGCGGCAATTTATTACAATCTGAAATCAGAAAAAAGCAAACGCGCAGACGAAAACCGTACCGAGGATAAAATAGATGGGCCCAATCAGCTGCTTCGTAGAGAGGATATTCTTGGCGTCGCTGAAGGTGTCCACAGTTTCGAACACCGTTCTGGTCAAGAAACCCATCCAGTTGCCCGTATGCGTTCCCAGAATCCATTTCAGAATTCCAGCTAGACCCGATCCTTTCAAGCTGTATCGCTCGTTCACCGTCAAGGAGAATTTCTGCGGCTTCATCCCGGTGATAATACCAATATACCCGACAAAATTGACACCCTTGAATACCGTCTGGTTATTTTTCGTAAACTCCACATTGACCACCAGGGGGCGGAGTTTTTCCGTCAGCAGCCATGTATCGTTATGCACATCCCAGCCCATAAACAGTCCAAAATCCATATTGCGTGCATGGTAGATTTCACCTGATGGGTCTTCGCTGACGATGGACGTACAGAGGGCGTTGAATTCGTAAAATAAATTGTACAGATAGACTTCTCCCAAGGGAACACCGGAGGCCTGTGCGATGCCCGTCATCTCGGCAACGGCGATATCGGGAAGGCCGCTCATCAGTTTGGGCAGATCACGGTCGACAATGTCAATGATCAGTCCACCGGAGAAGCTGTTTACGAGACTCTTGATGACAGCTATCAGATCGCGCATCTCCTGAGCCTTGTCTGTCGCCAGTTCCGTCCAGCGTTTCTCGCCAGGAAGATCTAGATTGATTTGGTAGGTGGGGACGTTAACGGGACGGTAGGGCGCATCCGCTGGGGGATACGTGCCATGGCGACAATCCTCCACGTAGGGAGGAAACTGCGCGGACACGGCGCAGAATGCCGTGAATAACAAAAGCAGTTGTTTGCGAGCCATTCTGCCAAATCCAATAACTATGAATGCAAACAGATCCTGGTTTTACAGAATTTTTACAACTTATATCTATACATGAATCTTGGCTATACCAGATGCCTGTTGTCCGATAAGGCAGTAATTTCTGATACAACAATTGCAACAAAGCAGAACGATGATAGCAGAAAAGATAAGTAGTTCAGAAATCAGCTGACTAGCACCATAAAATGAAAAAATAATATAAGTACAACAACAGTAAGGAATAACACTATTCTTAAAATTATTACAAATTTTAAAATTAATAACTGACTGATGAAAACGCCTCTGATGGCTCTGTAGGCCATAAATTTTAAAGACGTAACTCCCATCCCGTGTAGGTCCACTACTGCAACGAATATTGGCTTGCCCAACCGCCAAGTGGTGACAGCTGGGCTACCTTAACAGAGCAGCGGATTATTCCACTGAGGGAAAAAACAGTCGGACCGACTCGGGTGGCAAACGTTTTCTCGTTTTCTGTGTTGGTGCTTGCTCGACACTGTGTAAGTTTTTGAAGGTAGACTGTTTCAAAAGTGTCACATATAATTGTACTTGTTTATTACTCATAGTCTCATTCATAAGCTGCCCGTGCGGATCTGTACCAGGTGTAAATCTTGTGACAACACTCAAAGGTAAGCTTCATTTCACGAACGGGCAAGCCAGTCAGACACTTTCGCTGCTTACAGCTTATAACATGGCCGCCGCGCGAACCACAATCCTTGCGAGCTATACACTTTGAATTTACCTTACAATTAGTTATGGAAAGGACCAGGAAATTACAGTACTTATTAATTAATTATTATTGATTACTGATTCGCGTTCACTGCTGTTGTACGAATTTATGATTATTTATCATTTGGTGGATCTGAGTACATCCCGTCGCTGATTTCAGATTATGCCAGCAGTGGGCAGAAAACCACTGGAAGACTATCAGACCACTTACATGGATACTGATCAGTCCAGTTCATCTCCGCGCACCCGCAGCGCGGCCCAGCGCACTCCTAACACTACACGGCGCTCTGAATCCCCCAATAAGAACAGTCCTTCGAAGATGTACCCTGATCTCAGTCAGCTGCGAAACGAGTATGATCCGCGGTATCCTCGTGATATTAAACCGGTGTATCCGAACATTGCTAGCGAACGAGCACATGCTGATAATTTTGTTTACCTGGCTTCTCATTCACCATATAGGGAGGGTGTGCCGGCCGAAGAGCATGTGTACGAAGAAATCCGAGAGGATGAGAATGGGGCTAGTGCGCGTTGGGTGTATGAGTCGACAATGGGAGGTCCAGCACCAGAAGATGAATTTGTGCAGGAATCACTGAAACCGCAGCCTCCTCCGCGTGTCCGTAAGGCGGTTGCGACCCGGAATGTCGCGGATGGGGAAGTCGAGCGGAAGACTTTACCGGAAGGACCCTTGTGGTTAATAATTGTCGCAGTTGCTTTCGGTGTGTTGGCCTTTTTTGCCAGGCATCAGGTTGCATCGTATTGGAATTGGTATTGGACACCCACAGACAGTCAGCACGCGTTGGATCGCTTCCATGAAAACTTCAAAAATTTTACTGCGGACTTCAAGAACGATATCCATCCTGATTCCCTAAATGTTCTTCGTCATGTGAGTTACTAGTACTGACTATAAGTATTGTACTCCTAGGCGTGCGGAATGGTAGTTTTGACTATAATATTGTGCTAGTCATATGCTTCGAGCATGTTACGTTTTGTTTTTTTTTGCAAAATAATAAGAATTGTTTGCAGAATATTAGGAATGTTTGTACACATTAATAATATGGTTTGAATATGGCGTGATTATTTGTTAACGTAATTAATATTAATATTCGTACCTAAAATTACGATGCATTGTGACATGTGGTGTAAGTGAATTTGTCTTCACCGTGTGCGTCATCTCGTATAGAGCACGCAGGGTTTTTATGGCTTCGATTGAACTGTTTTAAAGACTTATTATTTTGCTTCGCTTAGGCATTGGAGCATCATGTTGAAATAGCGGAAAACTCGAAACAGCAGTATCCCACTTGTATCCTGCTTGCTGGCGACCGTGCCGGCTCAAAGTCGTTGAATTGTTTGGCCGGCCGAATTGCTGAAATGATTCCGTTTCCAGCTAGCAAGAACCCTCCTAAACGACCCATTTACACGGTGGACTTGAAGGACGATTCCCATCTTCACAATAAAGACCCCGACCACGAAGATTTGCGGAGTCGTGTACACAGTGGCATCAATGAGGGTATCAATAACGGAGCGAAAATTGTCGTTTTCCGCAATCTGGAGGCACTGATACCCAAAGACATCCCATTGCTGCAACTATTCTACAGTTACTGCGATGGCGAGAATCCCACCTTTCCCAAAACACTGTGGATATTAACGGTCGGCACGGAGAACGTAACGTATGCGGATGAACGGGAAATAGAAATTAAAACAGACACACATGACACACATCGAAGTCTTGGAAGAAAAGTGGAGGAGTTTTTAGAGAGGATTTTAGAGGGTAACCCAGATGATGCGGAAGCTGCGGAACGTGTTAGAAAACGAACCAGTGGCAACCCGATTTTAACGCGGATTGCCAATTATATTATTCCCGTTTTGAAAGCTCCGCAGACCACTGGCAAGTGTTGATGTCGCAGTGAGCTTGGCACTGGAATCTGACTGCATGTTGCAGGTCTCTGCTGAATTTCCTTTTGGTGTAAATTATTTGGGCTACTGGTAAAATTAATGGCTGCGGCAGTGTTTTCCAGCTGTAGATTTTTTTATAAACCGTTTGATGAGCAGCTTGTTGTATTATTCCATACCGTTGTTTCCGAATTTTCGTTCGCAGCCAAAAACTTTCCCATTTCATAATTTTCAGACCAGGAAGCTAAATTGGTACTGTGGTTAAGAAATAAATCGGTTCGGTTACAAAGAACCATTTAAATGTGTACATAATTGTCAGAATCACTGTCCGAATCGGCAGAATCTATATCAGACAACTCATCATCGAAATCCGCTAATGGTGGCTCGCATTCTTTATACAAATTTAATACAGCCGACACGTTGTCACTGATAAAAAGATCGCTTGTTCGGGAATTGGTGTGTGGCACCGATGGCACAATCTCCATGAATGGTAAAGGAGCTGAAAAATTCGCAAGATCAACTGATTTTTTAAACTCGTCTGCATAATTAACTTAACACTTAGGATTTCTGCGTAGTACGCACAAAGCGAAGCCTAACCATATTAAAATTAAATTATGGTGACAAAAGTCAAAAGTTATAATTCCGATGCAATAAATATGTAAAATGTTGCGAAGTGCTACGTTAGCTATTACCTGTCTTTTTCTTTCCTGCCTGTCGATTGCGAAAGAAACAGTAGTCCATGAAAACGTAAATTATAGCTACTATCAGAAACGCTAAGGCGAAAATCTGAAAGGACATTCGGTGGCCAACCGCCGTGATGACATAGCCGCCTGCTAACGATCCCAAACCTCTTCCTAAAAAAAATGCATTATTGTGTATTCGAAATTTTCGCTCAAAATAAGTGCGTATGGAATTCTTACCTAAACCAAATGTTACCGCTGTGACGACAGCTTGCAGCGAAGCAGCATAGATGGGATTTACAGTCTGAGCATAGTGGACCGGAACAAGATATATGATTGCCTGGAAATTAGAATGATGTTGCAAACAATAAATTGCAGTGAAAACACTTCCGGTGCGTACATACTCTGTATCTTATTCACAACGTAAGTTTGCAGACCACATTAACAAGCACAATAGAAACGTTAAGACTTAAGTATATCTTTACATTGTACTTAATGTGCAACAAAAAAAGGTTACCGTTGTTATTCCAGACATCATTTCCACAACGAGAAACCAGTAAGCGCTGGGCAGCGCGGCATAGCACAGGAATCTTGTGCTCGTTAAAAGAAGCCCAATAACCAGCAGGTTCGAGTGTCCGATCCAATCAATAATTTTGTTCGACAATAAAAATACTGGAATAGCTAACAAATTCGCCACGGCTGTTCCACTGCCCAGAAGAACTTTCGAAGCGGCAAGTTCTGATTCCAAAAACCAAAACAAAAAGCTAAACAATAAAATAACTTTAAGAATTCTTACACCTGGCGCTCATTTTATACATACCAAAATAGTACAAATGTAGAAAGTTAAATATAAATCGTATGATGGCAGAATGTAGAAAGAACACATAATTATTATGTAAATTATGCACCAATAAGTTTTATTGTCGTGTGGAAACTAGATGCATGCAAGAAAAATGTTTTCAAATAGTTGCCTCATGTATTGAAAGAAATCGGTTCACCTGGTACTGTAACCTTCTCCCATTCCTGCCGCACACATGACAAACAATACTGCAGCAACTTGGAGATTTTTTATCGCCTTGCTAACATCGCGCCAGACATTTTTTTGTGGCGATCGTGCCGGCATATCGATTAACAAAAGCACCAGCGCACCCGCCGCTGCCGAAGATGCGAACAAAATGAATGCCGGAGTGAAATCTGATGCGCTAAACCGATCTGTGTCATTACGGCCTTTATGGCTGGACACATCAATCAAATATCCTGATAATGGCGGAAAACACACAAAAGCAATGGAGGCAAATATCCTGTGCATAGCAAACGTGGCACTGGCATAATTCAGTATCAGTCGAAAGGTTATGGTGTCTATGATTATAAAGACAGCCGTCAAACCCACCAAACCCAGTAAACGGAGGACAAAATACATGGAAACTGTCAGTATATGGCTGCCTTCCACAAACGTTTCCGTACATGTGAACGAATTGGCCGTTGTAGCTTGACAGAAAACCGAGCACTCCGCGTCTTTGCGTCGCCGTCGACCATTTTTCCCACGGACACACCTTGCTGCTTTGATCGCGTAGCCTTCATCATTATGAAATCCCAGGACTTCCCAATTCGAATTTGACCGATTTTGATCTGTCTGTTCGACATCGAACATTTTTCGAAAGGTCATATTTTTAAACACCTGCAATTCCAGCTCATCCCATTTGGAGCAATAGTGATCGTTTCCGGTGGCGGCAAAGAAGCAGACGCTGGGAACAGATCGTGCGCTTCGACAATCCGTCCAACAATCCTCGATCTGCAGCTCATTATCACCGTGATCACTATAGGTCACCGTCAGGTTACCGTTGTCGCAGTTGACCACATTACGTTTGGGCACATAGAAGACGGCATTCTGCTGATCATGACAGTGGAATTCAATACCGACGCTACTGATGTGCGTTGGACTATTTTTTGTAATCAAGCGGGTGGTTGGAACCAGCGGGATGAGCAGATGAAATATTATATGCAGAATGCTAAATCCCAAAAGGGTCCATTTGTAGTGACCGATTTTATCAGCCACTATACCGCTGAACGGAACGAATAGGCAGCTCAACAGTGGCAACAAACAGGATATTATTGCTGTTTCCAATAGGCTAATTCCAATACTTTTCATATGCAGGGTAAAAAAAGGATAGAGTGCCGCCATACCTAATAACATGGGGAAATGTACTATACTGAACAATACAATTTTTAGTCCTCTCATACGCGTACCAGTACGTTACTTGATATGATTGTATCATTTATTTGGATTCGTATGTATGTATATGTATGTTATTTATATGAATCATATGCATCATTTATTTCTTACTGCTTCAAAATTAGATTAGAAAGTGAATATGCTAATTATACGTGTAATAGTAAACTTTAGGTCTGTCAGCATTTTTATATTGAAATCCGCGTCCACCGTGTTAAGAAATAATTTTTGCTGTTTAATACTATTTACCTCTCGAGCGGTACAGAGTATCAAAACAGCAAAAATGGACTGCAGGACTGCAGCCACCCGTTTCAAAGCTCTGAAACGGGTGGCTGCAGTCCAAGTATATAGTGCTCCTTAACCGGTTAAAATATTTCAAAAGTAAAACGTCGTAGTGTATGTACTGTATTAATAATATATATGTACAAGGGTATATGCATGCGCACACCCATTAAACCTGTCCGACTTCGATTAGGAGTAACTGTATATGTTAAGTTACTTTTCATTTTTTTTCTTTATTACTACATTAGAGGACACATTTTTAAATGGCATAGTCAGAAGAAATTTGCGGAAACTAACGGATTGCGAGTGATTGCTGTTCTCTTTACAATTTAAGCCTGTGTTGGATGGAAAGGGGCGACTATGAGTCGATTTATGTCCAGTAAGCGTGAAGTAGTTATCATCTAAAAATTGTTGTACTAATTTGCATAAAAATCATAATAGTATGTCAGAAACTAATTACGAGGTATTTATGCACGAATCAGCACGATTACCACAATGTGCCAAATAAAACGCCCATTTAAGGCAATCTTTCTTTATTTCGTTGTACAAGTAAAATTACTATTTCGGTTATGGTCTTTCGAGTACACCCTTAAAATAATCCAGATTTATAAACAGTTTGCGTTTGGTCCGACTGCATGCCTGCACGAGGTAACTTAATTGTATTTTACGAAAACTGACAGCTCTATGATTCGAAACAGCTAGTCTACTGTAACTAACCACTAAAAAAGCCGCTGTGATATATATTTGGACAATAAGAGCGTGACCACAAAAGCTTTTGGCTAATGGTGGCCATTTATGGATTTACAAGCATTACACTCACATTTCTGCCAGACTGGTGCATAACATATAGTTCAGATTACCTTTTTAGATTTATGTGCAACTGAGAATGTGCAATTTGTACTTGTAATTGATCATCGCGATTATGAGTAACGTAAGTTACCGTTGCAAATTATAACTGCTTCGTATACCAACGATTCTGTCTGTATACTATGCCAAGTTTTTTGTTCAGTGATGCAAGACAAAAATATTTAAGTAAGTATAGATTTTATCCCTGTTGCGTACACAGTTTATTAGAACACTATCATCGAGCTCTATCCATTTCTTGATTCCTGAATATCAAAACATGCAGTTACGCTTGAGTTAGCGGCAGCAAAGCATCCGCGGCTTTTAATTAAGGGTATTTACAACCGTCCGGTATTAATTTCAGCGGAATTTTCATTGACCTCTTGAAGCAATGCTCAAGAGCAGCATGCATAAATTTTGACCCACGAATAAAACAGCAGACTTACCTCCGTATACGAAAAATATAGCAATCTTTAGGGGTAATAATTTGGGAATCACGCAGGGATCTTTCTCGGTGGCCATTTGTTCTTCCGGCTGAATTCGGCTATTCCTCTGCAGTAGCCGCATCGTATCCTTCTTCGTATACTCCGTGCCGCTTTTCGGCATAGCACGCATTTGCAGTGAATTGCCTAGTTTTTACAGTTTTGTCCAACGTTATGATTAGACAAAAAAGCAAAGCTAACAAAAAGCGTCGGCATATTTGCTGATGAGAAAGAAAAAAGTGTAACTACATGTTCGTATAAAAGCTCGAGTTCATAAAAAATGTATCTTCGAAAGCAGATCGATCGAACAGTGCGCACGAATATTAAACAGTAGTGTTGCCTTAAGGTTACTCTCGACTGCGCGCGATATTGTAAGCGTATCGTTTCTCAATATAGTAATCAAAACTATACAGTATCTGTACAGCAAGCAGGAATCATGCCGAGAAATATTAGCACGGCAATTGTTGCACATGTTAGACGATCTGTCGAAATAGCACGTTACTAATTTATCAAACCTGCAATTACCGCTTCGAACGTTTTCAGAATCTGCGAAAACGTCATCTCAACAATGTTCAAGATTATGTGGTAACTACATACTTTCTACGAGCTAGGCGTTTTCTTTGCTAAACAATTTTACACATTAACTATGAAAAACGAAAAAAACATACGATTGTACGTGTCCTGAGTTTTTAACGCTACACTATTATTACGAAGTTGCGAATTGACAAAATTAATATGTGAATTCGAGTGCGCACGGCGCACTTTAGTAAGCGACACGCACTACAGTACAATGTTAGACTAAAAAATTACTTTCCCAGTCCATAGTTAATTTTTGCAAGCCGCAATCCATATTTAACTTTTACCTGAAACCATATGTTACAGTAATTTTTTTATACTGACCAAATGACCAGTGAGGTAAGTGGGCTGATGTTCTATTCTGCATTTATAAACTAAGTAAATCTCGACCATAGGATTCTATACCAATGAAAGCCTATCGCGGAATTATAGTGTCCGTACCTGTATGCCGCTAAAATAAAAAATGGTACAGTACCAGAGACAAAATTGACAACATAATTTTCGGAAGTTGTACAACAGTTCAGACTTCAGATACATTCGTTTACAGTCTAGTGGTAGAAAGCGCATTCGCCGAGAAAATAACATCATGGTAAAATGGAGAATTGACCAACAGACCAAACTGACCAACAACTTGATAACCTAACAACCGAATTTAAATTAATACTGCAATCCATGGTATCGGCAATATTAAAAGTTGGAAGATCTCCGGTGGTCACTTTGTGGCGGCCGCCAGTCGCGTGGCGGCAGTGCTCCCGTTTGGTTATTACTTAGATTATACCGGTCAATGTCCGCTTCAGGAAGCAGTCGATCATGTTGCTCCTTTAGGGACCGAAACGTTTTGGGATCGCCATCTTTATCGAACAACTGATTTTCTAAATTATCTCTCATGCGGTGGAATTGTTCGTCATGTGGTCTCGATGGGTAATACGGTGCATCCTTCGGTTTTACAATGGTCTCTATGCCGGGCGCCAGTGGTTGAACTTCTTCCTGTGTAATTACTGGCAACTTCGAAATGACTTCTGGAACATCTAACGGGATGAAGAAATTTTAAATTATAGCTGTAAAAAATTTCCATGATCACATGTACATCATTATTTCTCATACTTCTACTAACACCGTTTGCAATAATTAGATCCGCTGATTTCCAGGTAACACATATACACTATACGCTGAATGGTTTCTTACCAGTAGCGGGAAGAATAGTTGTCCGAAGGCGTTTAAGAACAAGGTGGTAGAGCAGAAAATATATTATTCCCACACCGGCACAAATTCCTGACCATATCCTAAAAGTTTGACGATATCCCAGAGCGTGCACCATGAATCCACCCGTTAATGGTCCGATCCCTCCTCCTAATACCAAAAGTGTCAGATGTTATTTTTACCTTTTAAGCAGTTTTAAAAACCAGGATCAATCCGGCGGTCATGCTCGTAAGTAAAATAAGTGTAATAACAACTGTTATTAGAAAACTGCTGTTAATGATGGGTCTTGAAAAAACTTGACAATAATGTGCAAGAGCGCTCAAAATGACCGGCGTGACATCAATCACGCTTACCCAAACCAAAGTTGACAGCTCCAAATAATCCAACAAGAGTCGCTAAATATCGCGGAGCCGTTTTGATGGCAAATTGTGGAAGCACGACCAACATCATCTGGGTAACGGCGGTGAGCACTTCAATGGGCAGGATTAGAAAAGGATTATACGTGTAAGAATACAAAAGAAAACGCCCTGCGTAACAAAGCAGCCCAGCAGCCACAATGTTTTCATGGCCAAATATTCGTATTAGTGGGGTGGAGAAGAAGAGCAGCGGAATTGACAGCAGATACCCAACCGTATTAATTAATCCGAACAGCCAGCCAGGGGATTTCATGATAAATTCGGGGTCTCCTTTCATGAACAGGAAGAGATAACTGCAAATATGCCCATAGTTTTCAGATGTGGGAAAACAGAAAAAATTTATTGTATTCGTTAGAGTAAGGTGTTACGCACATGAAGCACTATATACAAAGTACTTATACTTATACGTATTCTATTATGCGAGTATGACGTAAGAGTTGAAGATTGGAAGTCCTTTTATTAGTAATAAAAAAAATTTTATAATGTAATAAATAGCTGATAGAATTTATGGTACTTATTATCTACACTTTATACGGTTTCCGACCAGAAACTTACTTGACGATTACACCAAAGGCACAGCCACTCATAAAGATCGCCACAACAAAGGCCGCTACATTCGGTATCCGAAGCACCACGCCCACCGATTTCCAAATATTAGCCTGCGGCTTTCTCGCTCCAAATTTCATGCAGACCATTAGCCCAGCAGCCATTAAGTTCAGAGCTCCAAAAATATAAAATGCCGGTGAGTAGTCGTCGCTTCCCGTCCGCTTCTTGGCCACATCGATCAACCAGCCGGAAATGGGCGGTACAATGCAAAATCCCACCGAGGCGAATAGTCGCTGAATGCCAAAATCCCCATTCTCCTGCTTGGCAATCTCCAACACCGCCGCATCCGACAGCGGGAAAACCACACGGATGGCTGTAAACGACAGAAACCTCCACGTGAAATACAACGCGAGCGTCGTCAGACGATCGCCTATTTTTCTCCAAACTGATTCGCGGCAGATGACCTCGTTCGTCGACTTGGCTTCGCAACTGACGGAACAATTCATTACCGGACTGATATCATTGGAGACACAACGGGCGTTGTCCAGATCACGGATATTTCGTAATGGGAACGCAAAACTCGACGGACTCCACGTGATGTTGCCCATTGGCTGGACACTGGTCAAGTGGGCTTTAAGCGTGTCGATATTGTCAAGGGCAAAGCAATAGCCGTCCCTGCTGTTCACCGCGCCAAAACACATACGTGGATTACTGTAGCCCCGTGCAATGCAGTTGGATGTACAGTTGGTCAGCTCCGCTGACTGCCAGTTATTTTTAACGGCACAATGGTGTAGTTTTCGCGGGGTATCTGTGGTCAGTCTCAAATCGGGAAAATCGGAGATGCCACAAGGAAGATTCACGGTGAAGTTGGAGTTTTCCAGAGTTGAATTTTGGTTGATCATTTTATTTTCGTAAAACGGCACTCCGAACCAGAGGAGAGTGTGCAGAATGACGCTGAGAATCGTAAAGATAATGAGAACGATTTTATAGTTCCCGACCCGATCGGCCAGAAAGCCGCCGATCGGTGGGCCAATACTGCTGACTATGGGAAGAAGGAAGAGGATCACGGCAATTTCCTTGATGGATATGCCCACACTCATCATGTGCAGCGCAAAATAAGGGAATAATGCAGCAACACCTAATTTTGGAACAGAAACATAAAAGTAAAAGTTTATAGCAGAAATTCTTACTTAGGTAACTTATAACATTTACGACGCAATGTGATGTGTTTCAGTTTCCGATAGCATTCATTTTTGATATTGAAAACAAATTAAATATTTTTTTGGCTCTCAAAAGTCAACATTAAGAAAAAAATAGATTTTTTTCAATACTTCTTTACTAACCTCCATGAATCAAGAATACCAGCAGCTTAACCGGCAGAAGTTTTGGGTTGATTTTTAAAACCGTTTTGAAGCTCTTTGCCGGTGGAGGTTGCATATTTTGTGGAGCATTCCCGACCACAACAAGGGGTTTTCCATTTTGTGCCTCTTTGCTAATCAAATCCGATTTCTCCATTGTACCCGTAATTGACTATAAAAATTTTGCGAAGCAGAAACACGCAGATGAATCACGCGGTCAGTTTGTTGAGATCATGCACGGAAGTCGGACTATCCGCTTATACGCAGACGTCAACTCACACTTGTATCACATAAACTGTAGAATTAGAAAATGACCCATCCATCGTCGGCAACCAATTTAGATCAGATGCGATGAGTGCGCTGAGGTTGGAGCTTGAAAAATTAACTTCAAACGGTTAAAACTCTGCCAAAAATATTTTAGCCAGAAGGTGAAGCTTAGTGTTGAACCAGTTTAGATCACGATAGACTGGCATACACCGCTCGCGAGTAAAGTGAACTCGAATCAAGCATCACTCGCAAGGTAATAAATCTGATTTTAACGGTATCCGCTATAGTCTTGTAATTACGGTATTATCAGCTATTGCACCATTTAGTACTGTAGTAATTTATTTGGTCTTCCGGTGGTATGCAAGATCTACAGAAGATACTCAATAGTCAATATCCGTGCCTGGACGACTGAGTCATTAAAACTATTAACGGCAGCAATATTCCAGTAACTTGTTATATTTACCAAACCTTGCTCTTTTTGCAAACGATTTTCGATATGGCAGCTGTTGCTGGACACGATTACAGACTTATAGACTTAAATAAGCAACGAAAGAAGCAAAAAAATTTTAATGCTGTGCCACCAAAAGACTGCGTTAATGCGGCAGTTGCCTATTAGTGCATAGTATACTTATGCCGGTATTTGAAACTTTGCACTTAATAAGCGAACTTGTAAAATCCCTGTATTTGAAAGAGATTCGTACAGTTAGACTGCTATCCGAGTAATTAAAATTATGTTAATTCATCAGCAGAGTTTTAGAGCACAATCCGACCGCCGATCGCGATCGCGAATAAGCATTAAAATGGCACATGTAGCATCTCCAGTTTACTCCAGTAGCATCTCCAGTTTACATTGCCTGGGTAAAATTAATTACTTCATGAGCTGATACCGCTACGATTTCGGTAGCCGGTTGTTACAGAAAAACGGAAATGGACAAACTGTGATATTATTACCGTACGAAATACAGTACTCGCCAGTCGTGGCTTTGTTGTCCGGCTGTGACGTATCACACCTACGTACGGTGTTATGAGTGCATCAGAAACGATGGGGTGTTATGAGTGCATCCGAAACGATGTTACGAGTGCATACGAAACTGTTCAAGGCTGTTTGTAATTTTTGGTACTTATTTGATCGCACTTAAAATTTTGTGCATCTCAAATTCGAAACATATCACAATCTGTCCTGAAATTAGAAGACAATTAGCAATCAATTTAGCAAGATACGAATGTGCAGTCTAATGCAAAATTGAAAAATACCGACATTTCCAGTTCCGGTATTTTGTGATTCTCTGCACTGCACTGGTGTAAACTAATTTTTTTCGCAGTGCGAAATTCGTACTTCGTAAATTCCTTTTTAGATTTTTATTTCTATGGATTTCCTTGTACAGACACACATTTCTTCTGTTCATGCTTTGGGAAATTATATGGACGACTGTGTCGACGGATGCGATGAAGGTCGTTCACTCTCGAACCATTTGCACAAACGCTTAATTTGCTTACAGTAAGTACCATTCTCGTACCGCAGTATGCTACAAGTTGTTTTTACAGTACACGTGTGATGTCCGTATGCAGCTACTGTATTATTGTACATGCACAAGTCATCAGTGCAAATCACAAAATTTACGATTATTACTTACCACTGTTTAAATACCAGTACAGGATCGGAAAACGAACAATTACTTATAGTTCATTGTTACTGCGGTGTCATAATTATTTTTATTTTTTAAATTCGAATTCGCAGATTCCGATTAAATCCAAATTTTGTTCGACAGTGGATTTTATCCAGTTATCTACGAAAACTGTCTCCGCGCCTCGTTACATTTTGTGTACCCAAGTTTGGATAAACAACCCGCCGACCCGCTGTAGTCGTACGAGACAGCGCAATGTATTTGTTCGTTGCTTATTTATCGCTGGATTTGAGAAGCGGAGAGACGAACCTCTTTTCTTGAAGAAAAGTAAAAGAGTTTCTCGTTTTTCTGGAATGATGAATGATGATGATTGCAGAACATTTTTTTACGACTTGCTGGCCGTGTTGATTATATCTGGAGGGTACTAGGCAGGTAATGCAGTGGCCAAAACCGGAGATGCACCATGCCTGCTAATTCATCATCCAAAGCTTACCTTATCATCATCGCTATCGTTTTCCTGATCTCGGGATTCCTCTTCATTGGTCTGCTCCACTGGAACAACACAGTTACCCTTCGCCCACTGGAAGGTGCCACAAGGCAGCATAATAGTCTGAGTGAACTCTTCTCAATCGAGAACACCACTGCAACGAGGAGCAGCAAATATCGACCTAGCAAAAAAACCACATCTCCTCCGGCGGAAAGTCTTTCAGCCGATTCTTTCTATCTTGACGCCTCTGTTGTTGCCAGCCAGTATTCCATTAATCCGGCACCCTGTTCGACGCTTCCGGTGAAGCCGTACGTCGTCATTATCGTTTTTGCGCGGCCCAATGGATACAAACTCCGACAGGCCATTCGGAGCACGTGGGGCTCCTTGGTTGATACGCACTGCGGAGTGCGCATGTTGTTTATGTTTGGTCGCGTCTATGACTCCGCCGTGCAAGAAGCACTGAACGAGGAGTCCAAAAAATACGGGGATGTGATACAGTCCAACCAGTTCGACGACAGATACCGTTCCGCTGCCAATAAGGCTGTTCATCTGTTGCAGTGGGGTGCTGCGTTCTGCCCAGAATCGGCCTACACGGCCAAGATTGACGACGATAATTGGTTGAATTTACAGAAATATTTAAATTTTCTCAAAGCTCATCCGCCGAGTGATATTGTTTATGGAGGGATGTTTTATGCTGGGACAATAGTAATTCGTGATCCGAATAGTAAATATTTCGTTCCAAGGGAGGAATTCCCACAGGAATATTATCCCGAATATCTTTCCGGAATACTGTACGCATTCCCTACAAAACACTTGGCCAAAGTAGTGTACATGGCACAGCATAGTCAGATGACATTTAACGATGACGTTTTTGTCTGCGGAGTGGTGGCGACGAAAGCGGGACTGACGCGAAAAGAAGTTCCGGACTATGGATGGGATCACAATATACACGATACCACGTGTCCTAAGCGAGATAAAATGTGCATTCATTATTCGAAAATTGAAGATTTTTACAGACTATGGAATGATCCTTGCTTCAAGTATGAAAAGTTGTGTTAAACCAGTTAAAGGATGGATATTTATTGTTGCCTTATGTACTCAGTATGTAGTTTTGGTTATGCAGTTTTGTCACAATGTCTGCAGCATGTGAACCTGAGTTCCTTTTTTTAGCGCAGCTGCTTTTGCCAGCTTTAATTCTTTCGCTGTAATTCTCATTACGTGTTGAACTTGCAATCTCTGTCAAAGTCTCAAAGTTCTGTTTGAATAAGCATGATAAGCTGACAATGAGATAAATTTTTTCACAAAATATAACGAAAACAGAAGCAAGAGCACTGCAGCCGCAGGTGAATATCGGATGGCAGACTGCCTACCTTGCAGCGGTGGCATACCAATCGACCCGTAGCATGCGCCGCTGCCTGTTGGAAGGGCGATTCCGATCAGCTGTTTCGCCTAGGCCCTGCTTGTGAGTTGTCCAGCAAATAAAAAAATCGGATAAAAAAATGCTCACGATATTCAGGAGAAAAAAAGTTTTTGAGATTTTCCTTCCATAAAGTCCTCTTGTTAAGATGACACTTATAACAGATCTTGTTACCTATGTATCAGATAATATGTGAAACTCTTATTATTCGTTCTCTGCCTTATGTCTTCTGAATGGCTTTTCATAGCAGTTTGCCCTGCAGCTTAATGTTCAGTACGACTGTGCGAGTAACCCGTGCTGGTTCATGAAAGGCATCATTGGCCTTGTATTACTGTAATTGGATTTTGGGATAAGATTGGCAGTGAGCACTGCAAACCTGTTGGGGAGCTTTTTGTTTTTATTACGAACAGACTGAAAGACATGCTACTCTGGGCCGTGCGGTCTGAGGGAGTGTGAAACTTGAGGTGACGACTGAAGGTTCGAAGCACTGCTGTTATTAATTGATCGTTGCAAAGTCTACTTATTACACTTTGCAGTGGCCTCTGCAGTTCCGATACGCTAGTGACGCCAGTCACGCCACCAGTTGGTGCTTCGAAAAAATCCGGGAAAGGCGCTGCAAAATGGATGTAGAAATGACTGAGATCACAGGGACGGAACTCACGGAAGAAACATCCCCGTCAACACGCTCGTCTAATGTGTTACCTGTTCCTCGTGAGTTTCGTGGAAGCATCACAGAGAAAGTTTCGCAGCAGGAAGCCGTTGCAGTACAAGCAGGTAAATGGTAGCCATCAAAACAAAGCTCCAGTAAATCAAGCGGACGTCGAGTGGTGTTCTGCAGGCAAAGTTGGACCACCTGTAGATAGCAATGGGACTGCGGAGTTTTCCTCAGAAACCGCGCATACCCAGACCACTCCCACGACACCCGCTAGTTTCAGCTCGGCTAGCGGAAGTTCACCCGCTGCCAGCACGTGTAAAAACGCATTCACATTTTTACTGTTAAAGCCATCATCTAAACAGACACGGTTGTTTATTGTTTAGTTAGTCCAGATGCTTTCCCGGGATCCGTTGGACGGTGGCGTCTGCGTGACATGAGCATCAGCGAAGATGAGGCCAACAGTAAGAAAAAGCTGGGAAAACACTTCAAAAGAAACCGTAAAGCGATATTATTTGTGCTCCCTTACTTGAGATCTCAACCGACTACCATTAGAGCGTTATTGTTGAACGCTTGAACAGAATTTAATAGAATACCATTTGACTGGTATTACTATTTTTTTATTTAATACTAGTATGTGTTTTTATTTTTTCATAAAACCTTATACTTGCCCTAATATTTTTATAATTATTCATTAGTTTATTATTTATTTTATTGCCAGTTTGTCGCTCCTGGTCATCGTCCGCTGTGGGATCTCCTCGTTCGCCCACTTCCAGTGTGGAAGATAGTCCACAGTGGCAGTCATCTCCGGCGGCCGGAGCGGGTGTCGTTGCACAAGATGCCAGCAGTGTTTCTATGAATGGCTACCCAAATCATGACGGCATTGGAAACCGTATGCGTATTCGAGAATCACCTTTGGACCGGCAGATCTCGGAAACGGGACGATCGTTAGCCGAATCCGTCAGCCACGATGGGTTGCTGGACTCTTTTAGTATGCTGGCCACTTCTAGGCAGACTGGCGCCATGGGCACCGCCAAGCCGCCTCCCACTTCGTATCCACCTCGGTAAGCAGTATGCTTATTTCTGTTTGCATGGAGTTTTTGCTTACGAGCCTTTTATTTTGCAGTCCTAGTTCCCCCTTCGCAGAAATTGTTCCACGTAACGCAGGTTCAATTATCGCTGGACAGCGCCTGTTGGACAGCACGAGAAACAAGAACATGTGGAAATCCGCTCTAGTGGATCGTAAAATTCCTTTGCTTGGCTTATCGCCCGATAATCAGACTGGCCAGGTAGTGTTACGGTTCTGCCGATCCTTTGCTGTATAGTTCGGAAAATCAGAGAATTTTGTAGAATAAACGTATAAGAATTTCACTAGATTAACTATCGTTGGATTGAATCATTTAACATGACCAATCTTATGCAGATGCTGCCAGCCATCAACCGTATAGTTCACGATGAAGCTTCATTTTCTGCAGCTGAATGCCATGGGGAGAGGTCAGTAAATTAATGAAAATTAATGACATCATTTGTATTCCTTTTTTTGGTGTTTTATAGAGAAATGCACCAGAAGTTCCGTCTCTCGCGGTCGTGTAATGATCTATGTTTTCCGGCATCAGCAACGAGTCATACGGAAAAAACTGAAAAAGATAATCTGTCCTCTTTGCTGACTAACAGTATGCAGATTGATTCCACAACTACCTCAAGTGAGAAAGCTGTGTTCATGCTGGAGGACAAGTTTCAAGACAGTCCTACCGCCATGTCAGAAGGGAGTGACAGTGGTAATGGTAACGGCAGTGGTGGAAAAGAACAGTGGAAGTCTAATGGTGAGTAATTATTATTATTAAAATGAACGAGAATCGGACCGTCTCCGAGGTATTTCATTGTAACGGTGCTTTCCAGGATCACCAGCTGTGTCGGTGCCGGCGGATAGTCCGGAGCCAGCTATGAGCCCAGTTGGATTTTTTACGGTACGACTGAGCGATGTCCCTCACTAGCAGGGAAAGACCGTATTGTATAGATGTCACAGTCTTCATTTGGGTTAGACACCGGGAAGTCCAGGAGCGGCTGGGACTCCGCTGGGAATGCGACCGCGCTCGGGAAGCCAGAGTCCATACCGTAGAACATATACCTCGCCAAACACCGTGCAGTTGCGCCAAAGTGTGCTGAATGCCAAGAGGAAACGTAAGATACATTAGCATAAAATTAGGTTTCCGTAAGTTGTAATTTTTCAGAGCAGCAGTAGCCAGACTGCGCCCTAAAATATCGATTACGATAACATATTTTATGAAATAAAAATTGTGCATGGGTTTAAGACTTGCCATAGAATCGTTGTGCTTTATTTCGCAATCACGAATAGATTTTGAATGGGCTTTTATTGAAAGTTAAACTTAAATTTATACCGGTTTATTTAAAAGGAGACGAATTGGATGAGAGTATGGAAGATGTTTCGAAACGCCCCTGCAAGGGCGATAATATGGAATAATGATGCACAACATCCCTATGTGATGCTGAAGATCGACCTGCTGGCATCACTAGTTTTTTTCCGGTTTTACACCGCACATATCGTCTTTGTTGGAAATCTCTGTCATCGTTCAGTTTGGGTTGAGTACACTGCATTATTTACTTTGGAAGTGTTGCTACAGTTTGTGATGCCTGGAAGCTGGCCCAGTGGTTGCAAATCGGATTTTAACCGGTTTTGAGAAATGCTGAATTCGAAGTCACTGAAAATCCGCTACTATTCGGAAGGCATTTTTCCTTTTATTGTCCTGCTCTGTGGTCCCGTATTACACAATTAAAGTGCACTTTTGATGGATAAATGGATCTCTGCGGTATTTGGGAAATGTTTCCGTAAGTTATTTTGCCTTATAATAAATATTTTTTGGCATAACTCCTGGTTACTTTTTTTCAGTAAACCGCAAAATATTGCGCGACAAAGCAGACTTGATCGCCGCTCAAACAAACTGTTGTGGAAAAGCGGAACGAGGAATGGACAGCGGTCAGCATCGAACGAAGTCGTTGGGAAGTCGAACGTGTTTCGGACCCACCAGTCTTTCAAATTACACAGTAATTAGTGGTTATATATTCTGTTGATAAGTGCAAAATTTCAGCTGTTTTAGTGATTTCATCTGTCTTTCGAAATCAAACATTTTGAACAGGGATTTTGCTTTTAAATACGATGTATAAACTCTGTACAGTCGGTAGATACTATAGATACTTTACTAACTGAATAACGAGTGAACAACAATTACTGTTACAGGTGACTGATTGACAACTGTTTGTTGTGAAACTTGATTATTGACATTTTTGATTTGATGTGGACGATAGTCTGAATAACATGAAATATTTATTAATGGTTTGCGAAACTTGGGATATTGAAGTTATCGAATTGATACGTTTTGTAAACATATCCAATTGTTGACGGGAATTTACATACTACACTACATCCTTCGTTAGCGGTCGTTGTTGGGATCTGGCGTAGTGGCACTGGTCGCCATTCCGAGTTCCACCTGACAGCCACATGAAGCAGGAATTTCGAACCATTCCAGATGCAGTCCTCTTGCGGGTGTGCAAGTGAGAAGCTGTTGGATATAAAAGCGCTGTTGACAGTAGCTCTTCAGATTGCTGCAGAGATGTTCGCAGGGTTCATCGGGCCTAAAATTTAGAAACAAATTCTGACAAATTGTTTACGAAAGTACAAGCATAAGCAGCTACGTTTACTCAACTATGGACATTCGCCGAGTTATACGTTTGAATCTTTAGTTCGCAAACCAGATTAAATTTGCAGTGAAAGCATTCTACCACAAGCGCAACAAATGCATTGTTCTGAGTTTTCAACTTTTCATATCTACATTATAATGCTACGTAAATCTAATAAAATGATGTTTTGCGTGCCCTGGTTGACCCGAGCACATGAATGAGCTCAGTATGTGTCTACGTTGGCTATTTTATTCTTGCGAAAAATGCAGGTATATCTGGTTGGTTTTTGATACTGTTATTAATAATCTCATTGTTATTAACATTTGATTAATTGTCAGTATTACTATTCTGATATGTTAGTTATTAGATCAGCTGGGAAACTGTAGCTTGTAGTACTTGTACAGTGTGTAGCTGATGCCTCATTACTTCCCACTTTCGTAATTAACAGATAAAGGCCGGACAAACAGACACGGTTTGATTTTGTCTGAATTAAGAACCCTCGATGCGCTCCAGTCGATTAAATTTAAACATTTATATGTATCTTAATGGATCTTACCGAAGACATTCCTCCATTCTCACAATCTGCTTACAGTCACCCATTTGCACTAACGGCATCCACTCGCGGTTTTCAGTTCGCGCTTTGACAATTCCAACCGCCGCCTTCACCACGGATGGGCAAACTTCGTACGTATAATTAAATTTGGACATTGGAAACATCAGTCGGGAGTATCCGTATGGATCTCCAGAAGAATCGTCACGTTTTCCACGCCGCTGATCAACACGCCTCTGCGAGAAAGACGAAGTTTTCCCGGACTGCATCAACCGTTCTTGCGTCGATCGTGGTTTCGGCACGATGTTTCGTGAACGAATCGGCTGCGAGGTTTCCGGTTCGGCGGGGTTTTCGGCATCCGGAGCCGCATCGGTTGTCGTCATGTACGTGGACGGTTCTTTAGAAAACAGCAGTTCATCTGGAAATTCTTCGCACGACCACTGCACTTTGGAGCGCAGTTGTTTGAAAAGGTCAACATTCTCCAGTAAGCAGCTTGTTATCAGCTCGCTACAACACATATTCACCATGATTACATATGATTCCGCAGCTGTAATCCAAAAAAATTATTGGCTTTAGCACACTAGCTGCATTACCTTGGGTATTCCTGATCCACTGCGCAATATGACAAGCTAGGAGATTCGGCACAAGCGGGAGGTAACGGATGCGCTCCTAGAAAATAGTACAGGATATTCGTTCATCAAATAATACGTATATAGCAGAACCATTTCAAATAGTTTCCTGAAGTTCAAGTAAGGGAATTTTTTAGTTTTACCGTAAAGAACAAACGGAGGTTGTGGACCAGCATTAACGATTCGGCCATTTCGGCGCATCGCACCTGCGAGACGGAAAATTAATTTTGCTTGTGCATAGTGATATCACCATTATACCGATAATATTGATGACCTTTCAAATCTTTGGTATATGCAGGTCTTGCTAACATTAGAAGATTAGACAAAGTGTAATAAAAAGCAAGAACGATGCAAACATTGCAATAAATATATCATATAGCGCGGGAATAGAGTAATAGTCAACTGTGGCTAATGATCTAATAATTGAAAGCCTTACTGTTTCGGTAAGTAGCAAGGGGTTGCGAAAACATGTTCGCCATTGATCTGAAGGATGGAAAACTGGGGTATTCGGGCCACACTCCATCATCGCCGGCAAACACGTTCGTGATGCTTATGAAGAGAAAGATCACAAAGGCAAAATGCGAGGATGACCTTTGACATGGAAGGCCCATTTTGCAATGCACTGATAGTGGTTCCTGAACGGAGTATGTGTACAACGGTATTAAACTTTGCGCCAGAGAAAAAACGACACACTATGAAAATCATATTTCAGTTTCTTGCGGATTTGCTTATATATATACTGAACCAACCTCGAGGAAGTTGCTAGTGTAGCATCAAACAGAAGCCTTAATCTTAGCAGAAAAAAATTAAACATGCCGGGACGAGCTTAAAAAGTCGATAAGTAGCGAATGGAACCGCTGCGAAAATTACCGCAAGTGATCGCTTTACAATCACTTCCGGTAGATTTAATTTGAGCGTTTCGAAACTGACCACACATGCACTGATTTTTATGCAGTTACAAGTGATCAGTAAGCACAAGTCCATTATTGTAGCTTTTCTGGTTTCGCCAGCGCAAGTGGTTTTCAGTTCTATTAAACTGTTAGCATTAAATATTTTGAATCTACGTATATACCTGTTAATGCGCTTAGCTGCAGTGCTGGTAAATTTATCGGTGGCCTAAATAGTGTCCTTAATCACAGTCTAAAAGCCCTTTACAAAGTTTCGTAGAATTTCTTGTTATTTTGTGACAGTATATCGACATAAACTTGCAGCCTGACATGTAAGTCCTGAGTCATTTTATAAAAAGATATGCCCTTCAGCTAATTGTAATCAGACGTCTGGAGCACCATGGTGTTTGATTGCATGAAGGGCGCCGTACCACGTCTTCAAAAAGTCATAAACCGAACTACTAAAATCGTATAATGAGTTAATTCGAACTTTGGAAAAGTGACTAATCGCTTTCACTTTTACTTCTAATCTATACTTCCATCTATTTCCATAGTATGATATTGATGAAATAACTCGATACAGTAGGGCAGTTTTAAACAACTGCATTTCACAGCACCTTTGTCGCATATATCTCAGTTGCAACGGCAAAGAACAGCAAATAACTGTCGCAAGACTACCAACAATCTCAACAATAGTGTATGCACATTGCACACCGAGACGAAGCAACCGACACCCACAAACAAAAGTAACAAAACAATGGACACCAGATAACTAAAAACTCCTTACGATACAATCCCAGATCTCTAAAAACGTAGCAGACCAAACAACTAGAGTAATACAATTATATTGCACAGGCCACAGACCCATCAAACAATAAAAATTGTTTCTACTGGAAATAAGTTTTATACCTTTGGCCAACTATACTATTACAAGGTGCCATACTGGGTTCCATTAAGCCATATTGACATATGGCTTCCAAAAAACATCTGTCATAAAAACACACGATTTTGAAATCATAATCGGTATGTAGACGCGGACGCCGATTTTGTTTCCGGTATCCACAGTTAAGCGTTCATCAGCAGCGCCAGCTTAGATGCACTTTTTGGATCACACACCCAGCATCGGCATTGGCGAGTTGCCAACGCTTGATAGACTGAAAAACACTAAAGTGACATTTCCTACGGAAATAGCTCCGTCAGGCCTGGATGGAAAGGGAAATAATCGGGATAAACGGGAACTGGATACAAACCACATGGAATACTTCTATAATTATTAGGCTATTAGCCCAACCATTCTAGCGACAGCTATGCTGACTATGCAGTATGCCCGTATTAACTGGCATACCGTAAACCACACCCCTAGCTTGTGCCAATCACAGGGGTGTAACATTTTGGTTACAGATTTCCCCATAGACCGTGCAAGAAACAAGCCGTATACACTCTTATACAGAAAGTCTCACTTTCTGTTTTTATTATAGTGTATAGGTCCTGCAACAGTGTGCAGGCCTGACGGAAAATATGAGACATCAGTAAGACAACACTGAAGACTGATTTCAACCTGACGCTGAAATGAAATTTGAAGGCTATTTATAGAATTACGGTTTAGTTAAGCCAGAAAACTATGCTTAATTACGAAAACAAAGCAAAAACATTCGTATATCGCAGAAAATTTGATATTTGGGGCTGAAAATTATAATCGTATAGGTTCAGACATGTTTAATTATTAATATATATTTAATAAAATTCATTAGCTGCTATTTACTGTTTAGTAAATGGATGAATTTTTTCGTGCCTTCAGACTTTTTGAGTACAATCTTGAAGTACGCTTACGTATTTGTTAATATCACGGCAGATGTTGTACTAGCGCGTTTACGATAGCACAGTCTTTATTTCTTATGCCGTGCTTAATACTGTCAATTTCATTCAGCACAGAAATCGCTTGGGAAAATGCTGATAGTGCTAGTTTCCATTAACTTTACTGGTTTGTGGAAACTCACTTGTTGCTAGAATATTCAAAAGGAAGAGCGGGAACAGCAAGAAAAGGCAGACGAAGGCCATGATGGAAGTGAATTCGTAGTTGCTGTGCGGTTCGATCAAAGAAACATTATGTGATAATGTGATGATGTACGCCACGATTCCGATGCCGTTGCAGTACAGGCAGAAGAAGGCATTAAAAAGGAAATATCCCCGACGGAACTTGATATGCATTTCACGATGGATAGATCTTTTGTTAGCAAAGCGACCCATAATTCCCACAAAGATATTGACACACCCGATCCATGTCGCGTACCATAACCGGTCTTCACCCGGCATCAACCGAAATCCGCGATCAACAATTACTCGTTGTTCAGGGCTCGTCCCATTGTTAGTCCTAAGTTCCGAGGAGCCGGAAAAAATTGGGAAATGCGCTAAACAAAAATAATTTTTGTACACAATAATCCGTTGTGATAGAAGCGCGTACCGGTGCAGCGCAAATGCACCTCTTAGTTAAAGAAGCAATGTCGCAATTATTGTACTTTTATGAGATCTAATACTGTGGACACTGCTCAGTAATAATATTTGTTACAGCTGATAGCTCAGGAACCTAGAGTACTTCTGTTGACAAAGACAGACTTTACCGCCGCGTTTGTTTTTATACAGTACGATAACAGCAAGACGGTTGTCAGTACTAATGCCAATATTATTTCTTTTTCTTGTACCGAAGACCGTACCCATGGTAGGTAAATCTGAAGTTAAGCATTTTTAATTATAAATCTTACAGCTCGCATCCTAAGTGATCACGACATCGTAATAAGTAATAACTAATTGCAGTTTTCTTTTTTAAACCCTTGCTATACTTGATTTTACAATAAGAATAAGGTTGAAAAACGTTGTAAAACTGCAAACACCGTAATCCATAATTTGGCTTGTGAACAGAGGTTGCAAGGTGACTAGTACAACTTTTGGGTAACAATAAGTAGTAAATTATAAAGCGTTGCTGCCAGATTTTTTGTAGTAATAGGTAATAAAAACTCGAAGCCATAAATCAGATCGATCTGCTATCGTAGATGCAACAGCTGAGTATGGAAAAAAATGCGAGCAAAAAGCACTAGCAGCACTTCCGCCGTGCACAGCGTATGCAAACTGAGCATCCGTTGCACTGATATTTGTTCCACCATGTCGAACGCATCCTTTAACCCATTCAGTACCTAACCAACCAGCGGCTGACCAGCAGTTGATTTTTGTTGGACAAATGTCTAATGTAATTTAAGACGGTACTTGACTTCGCGGTAGTCTATACACTATAGCTGCCGGGCGTTAAGAAGATACAAGACTATATTCTACAGTATATCCGCTTACTGTAAAGGCCCGCGGCAGTGAGCACGATGCCCAAAATAATCTGCGCCAGCGCCACATAGCGGAAGCGTCGGGAAAACCAGCAATTATAATTGTGTCCATATACGGATCCATCATCCAAGTGTTTTACACGTAATCCCGACCGATAGGGATAGGGCTCGGAATTAAGGAATGTGGCTGGATGATTCAACATGAGGGGAGTGTTCGGCGGATAATTGCTCGTACCATCGATAACACCGTCCACTGCGCCGCTTTTCGACTTGGTCGCTCCGGAGCTGTGCTTCCTCTGACTAGATTTCTCCATCCTGGCGCTAAGCTAGCAACTTTCCTCTTCAACGAGTATACAAGGAGAAAACCGGTGTCTGAACTTTGATCGCCTGTACGATATGCGCGGAAGTTAAATTAACGAAGCGCGACTGTGCTGATCGTTAATAGTATATTTAGAAGAATATCTCGGGCAGTATATAAGCTGGAAAAAGCGAAACTATGCAGAGGAAGTGCGAAAGCACCGCGGCGATGGCAAGTCATCCAAATTCTATTAGGTGCCGCTTCTTCCGACCGCAGACTGACTGCATGCAGCAAACTGGGTTCGTCACTGGTGCATGGACATGCAGCTGGTGCATGCCAGGCACTGGAAAGTATGTTGGCTGAGAGAAAGAAAGAATTCTTCACTAGACAGCTGAGCGGTACAACGTAATACGTACGCTACACGCACGCTAGTTGTCCGACCGGTGCCAGCGTGTTTTTTGAAGTTTTCTCACACAAACAAGTTACAACAAATGTGAATCGTTTGGTCGTGCAGTATTTATATAATAAGTAACGCGCCAACAAACAATCGCTGAAACCGGCATTTATGCGTAACATTGTAAATCTCTCACTCTAGATGCAGTATTCCTCAAAGTGATAAAATCGCGAAAAATTTTATTACTGATGAGAATAGAAAATCTGAAGTTTATATGGTTTTATCATAGCCACAACTTATAGTACTCGTATAAGCACCTGCTGGGAACGATTTACCTGCAGCTCTTCAAGAACCTGTACGTAAAATGAAAGATGTATATGGTTTATTTAACAATTTTATTTAAAAATGGTACATCATATGCCCTGTCCACAACAAAAATATTCAGGTATTTAGAATACAATGCCGTTATGCCTTGTAATATCTATGGAAATCCGTTGTAGTCTTCGAATTGCACAGTACTGGACAAATGGAGATCTTCGCATTGTATCGTCGGCCCTGTAAAGCCTCCGAGCTGTGTCGACGAAAATTTTCGTGCAAAGGTATCTTTTACCTGAAATTATTAATGCGTAAGTAATTTGTTGCCTTTTACCTGAAACTTTTGCGGCAGGTTCATTGAACCGTGACAGGTTCTTATATGCGGTATACGACTAGAATCAGTCGTAGCATATATGAAACTGTAGTTTCGGTTTTTGGTCTTCGATATCCGTGTGTAAACAAAAGTAATTTTTGGCGCCCATAGAGTAGGGAAGGGTCCGGCCGGTTGAGGGAAGCGGTGGGGCCTAACAGTCATGTGACATGAGTCATTTGACATGAGTCGAGTAACGATGCGTGAAACTTGTAGATGGCGTTGTTAGCTCGGCATCTTTTTAGTTTACATTCTTTGCTCCTACATTATGTAGGAGCACACTGGAATGTGCTCGTACATTATGTAGGAGCACATTGCATCGGTTTCATCAGTTCTTGGAGGAGAAAAACGGAACTGTAGTATCCAAACAAACGTAATCCAATATGCTCCTGCAATATGCTCCTACATATGTAGGAGCGCATTGCAATCTGTTCCTACATATATGAGCTCCTACATATGTAGGAGCACATTGGAATGTGCTCCTACATATGTAGGAGCACATTGCATTGTGCTCCTACATATGTAGGAGGACATTGCAATATGCTTCTACATAATGTAGGAGTACATTGCAGGAGCATATTGTATGTGGAGATTATAAGAGGTAGGTGGTAATTATTGTGGTGTGAAAAATGGTTGGAGCATAATGTAGGAGCATATTGCAGGAGCTTATTGTAGGACTATAATATTAGATACAAGCATCGGGAAACGTTTTGTATCGGTAAGAGACTGGATGAAGTGTACTATGTGTTGAAATGATGAGAACTGCGTAATTTATGAGTTTAACCAATGTTAACTTTAATAACTCAATAAACACACACTCAGTATCGGGTAGTAATATCAACAGAAATTGCTCTGTAACCAATTTAATAGGATACTAGATTATATTAAAAGATTTGTTTGGAAGAAACTGATAATGAAGAGGTGAATGTTGTAGCAGAGGGAAGGTTGTAGGGGGTTTTACTGTAGTCTGACATAAGTGTATTCGACTTATTGGTTGTTCATACTTCATAGTTTAATGAAGTGTAACAGGAAGCAGAGTGTGTTATGAGTTGTGGTGGTGGATGGTGATGGATTATTGTGAAAAATTCATGAAAGTTCGAGAAAATTGATTGCTTCATGGAGCAGACTATGATGTTCTGATCTGATGGTCATAGATGTTTAGTAACAGGTGGTTTTTATATGGGAAGTAGGTTGCGATTAACATTAAAAAGTTGTTCGAGAAAGTGTTAGGGTGATTCGGTTTGTTGACTGGATTTTTTTAGTTCGGTAGGTATATAAGATTCCGGAATAAGAAGAAGTTGCGTGTGAGCTATTATGGATTTGAAGAAGTATGCAGTGAAGAAGATTTTTCTCCTGTTGATTATTTTGTGGTGGTCGGTTTGGATTTTAGTACAGTGCTGATTCAGGCTGCCGTGTTTTGTTTGATTTTGGTACGTTTTTTTAGCTTCAGTGTGGGTTAGTAAGTTTTCTTGCACAGAGATCTGCGTTAAATTTGAAGTATCAATATCCTTAATGAAATAATGGAAGGTGATTCTAATCGGAAGAAATATGCGTGAATACATGCGTGAATATAGAAAACGTAAAATGCAAATTAAGGGTGATTGTAGTAGAAAGATAATGAAGTAAGTAATGATGAAGTAAATAGGTTTATGAAGCGCTAATTATTTTGATTTGTAATAATGTGTTTTATGCGAACTGTAGAATTCGTGATTTGGAAAATTTAGATACCAGTGAGGCTGCAATCAGCATGAAAATCTGTTTTATGGTAAGTGCTGCTTTATTGGATACGAATAATGTCATACCGCTTAAGTACACACAGGGTTATGAACGTGTTTTTACAGACCTAGATTAAATTATAATGATAATTTATTCTGGGTCTGGAACTCAGACCCTGTACTGGAAAAAAGAGCTTATCTTTGTTATGGTGGTTTGCCAGGTGATCGGCTTTATAGTATTTCACCTGAAAAATATTTTAAATTACGTCTTTAAAGTGCAGACAATAGGCTTCAAAAAGAATGCTCCTACGTTTTTTGAGCTCTGAACCTCTATCAACGGGATTAGTTAAGACGGAAAATCAATTATGTTCTCAAAAAGGACAATTTTTGTATAGGAAAAGATTAGGTAACAAAAGTGTAGCTAATTATTTTACCCAAAAATTTTGTACTATACTATTTTCCTGTTTATGTACTATACTGTTCATGTACTATGCTCCTATTCATGTACTATATTATTTTGGATAACAAAAGTTTCAATTTCAAAGCCATCAAATTAAACGTCCTATTTACATAAAGCCATTGCCGACATTGGTGTTATCACTGCCACTAAACAGACCGACCGTTTTTTATCCTGGATAAGAAGCTTTATTTGAAATTAATTCAACAATGAACATATAATTTTTATTCTATCTGGAATTCTGTATGTATAGCAAAAAC